AGATCTAAACGGCCATTGAAACTCTCTGAACATGATGCATACCTTGGCCCTTCACGGCAATACATGACATCTTCGAGCATCTATCGATATAGATCTATGACAAATCCGTATAAATACACGCCTTGCTATGCAAAACAAGACCGTATACGGTCTCATGCCTGCATAGCGTAGGACCCTGCCCTCTTGCCGGTTGCACCGTGCTGCCTCGAGGCGCCGGGAGCGATGCTACAGACGACAACGGACAGCAAAACTCGGAGCACCATGTGCCTCATTTTCCCGTTTTCAGCGACCGGAGGGCCTCATGCGGGCGGGCCGGCTGCTGTTGGGCAGAGACGTGGGAGGAGTCGGTTTTTTCTTTTCCATTTCCGGCCAGATATAGGCTGGGGGCCGGTATAACAGACTCGCAGAAAGACCACTTCTGGGCCGGAAAACGGCTGGGCCCATTGGCTACTTGGCTTCATAACGCGGTGCCCTTGGCCAAATCTGAGAGGATGGAGTGTCTCAGAGATGCATCACTCGGCCGAAAACCGGATGCCAGTCAAGCGAACAAAGTGGAATGTTTGAGTCGTCAACTATTTTGGTCTCCACACCATTGAGTGAAGTCTGCAAGAAGGCGGGCTGTTCGAATAGGCACGAGAAATAGATAGCTTTGATAACAACAGTACATGGCTTTTGGTTAGTTCACTGCAATAAATTACAGACATGTTAACGGACTTCATGTGTGAGATATTTTCATATATAGAAGAGAGTGCCGTCATTGCTATACAAAAAGACGATGGTGGTTCGAATGAAAACACTCTCAATACCAATGACTGAAACTAAATTCCATGGCTTATAACAACATGAAAACGTCCCGATTGAGACTTTGGCCATGATTGAAACTCTTGGATACACTTTCAACTCTCTTGCTACTTACCCTGCCGTCATGAGGTTGTCTTTTGCTGTTACATTGAGACTGCCAGTGTCAAAGAAAGCCTTGCGCTCCGGAGCCTCGTGCGGCTGAACAGATCAGCTCAAATCAATCTTGAATGGGCATCCTGCAAACCATTCGATTCGAGAACTACGAACCATCTCAACTGAAACACGAGCAGCTCATACTTCTTGAGGGAGTGGTCCAAGCGTCCTTTGTTTCTCGTCTCAGGCTCCTCAGAGCGTTGGCTTCGAGGCGAAATGAAGGAGGCGGGGAAATGAGCAGTTCCACATTCGGGCGCCCAATCTTGGCAAGACTGGCAATCTCGTGGGGTACTGAGCACGGGAATGACGGGACGAAGAACCAGAACCTTATCGGCCATAATCTTGGTTCTCATGCCCGTTGGACTCGACTAGAGAGCACAAGTACAATTACCGTTCAGACTCCACGATCGGGTTGGATCCTTGATCCTGACTCTTGTGTTCACTACAAGTAGGTACTTCATTGAACAGCCCGTTTTGGCAGACCCCGCTCGCCGTCGAGGAGAGATTGCGATCTTGCACCTGTCGGGATAATGCCTCCAGCAGGGAGTGTGAATAGAAGAGCCCTTCGCCCTTTCTGGGCTAAACTCCGACAGGAGAGCATAATTATCCCCATGGATATTACAAGTACGAGTATCGCGACAGAATCTGGAACCTTGAGCCGTGTCCGGAGCAGTCTAGAGCCGCCACTGGTTCAGAGGCCTTTTCTTTTTTTGGGCTTGAGAAGAGGTGTCAGATGGACAAGTTTCGACTGGCGGTTGCAGGGATCTGTCGGGTCCTGATTGGGACGGCGCAGCTCGTCGTGCGCGATGTAACGGCGGCTCGTTGAATTTGCTGGAGCGAACAGCAAAGTCCCCTGTTCCCTGCTCTTGCAGACATTTCTTGCTTGCTTGCTGGCTGGAAGGCCCCCCCCCCCCCCCCCCCCCCCGGGCGACCTGCAGCGTGTGCAGCATGGCACGTCGTCTGCGTGCCCTCGTTTTGTTTTTTCTCCTTCCCTCCTTTGCCTGCCTTTCTCCGCACGGGGCGAACTGTTATATTGTTAGCCCACATTCGAACGCGTTTCTCGGTGACGAAGAGTTCAAGCAAAGGTATGAAGTGTAGATTGGACAAGTGGGGGCCATTGCGAGCACATACGAGATCACAAGAACAGGAGGACATATTGATCAGCTGACGGGCTGCAGTCATGTGGTGGCAAGTAGGTAGCAGAGAAGGGCCTCGCATGTTCTCTTGGAAGAACAGGGATCAGCAATAATCAGCACAGGGGTGTGAGGTTATCTCAGGTGAGGGGGAAGGGGAAAGCTCTGATGCGGAGAACAACGCGATGCCTGAGCACACTCATCACAAGTCCTCTGATACCGCACCACCAAAATATCATAAACGAGGAGACGAGTGAGTCCCCGCTCTCGCGCCGGCTGACCTGAGGCCTTTGTCGAGACAGATAGCGTCCGCTGCATGGTAAGACGAGGGCCAGCAGTTGGATCCCTCGAAGAAGCTGGCGTTGCACAACAGGTCAAGATTGCCCTCTGGCCGAGCTTGTGAGAGACTGCGTGCAGCGATCAGGGCAGTGGCTGCTTGAATTGGCAGGCTTGCAAGGGTGCCAGGTAAGCTCGGTTCATCTTCCGTAAACCGGGGGGGCTTTTAGTCACCGATCGATCCGGGCCCCGGTCTGCCAGTGACCTATCACACTCTCTCTCGAGGTCAACCCTTCTGCAAGCCCTGTGCCACGTCGTCCAGTAAAGAGCGCCGTGGAGCGAGATTGCAGCTTCGGCGTACTGCACCTTTCTGGCGAACCCTCTAGTTATCTTGTCCGAATCGAACGGCTGTTTGCGAGTGGCCAGGAACTTTTACCTGGATACGGCACATCATGTACGTGCGCCCCATCCTTCTCGTCCCGCCGTGGGCCGCAGACAGGGTCGCATGCGGCGGGCAGTAGCCATCGCCATCTCGGTTGAGCAGAGACTACTAGGCACCAACGGGTAGCAGTGCTCGTCAATGGGGTTTACCGACTTTGAACAGGTTTCTTTTCTGGACGTACCTGCTGTCCTCGCCGTGCGCTATCAAGCTGACTATTTGTAGGTGTCCTGATGCGGGTTGCAGTCCAGGCCGTGGCTACATCGTTGGAGTGGCCGGAGCACTCGTTTTCGCTCTAGCTTCAACGGCCGCAGCGGCGATGAGCGAGCGCCAGCTCGGCAGATTCGGTTGGCAAACGCCCTCTGTGCTGTCAAGGTAAACGAGCAGGACCAGGGGCCTGGACGCCACCGGGCGGCGCCTCGCCTTGCTCACCTGGTCAGACTCCTTACGAACGTACGTGCAAAGGCGCATGCATCAGCAGTGACAAACGGCCACATCACGCAGACTAGCGTTGTACAACGCTCGGGTTGCTGCTGAGTGCAGCGGCTCTTGTCTACGTACTGGTAATGCTTGCTTTTTTCCCCCCTTTGCTCGCTTCTGCACTCCACCTATGCAGGCCGGCCCTTAAACTTTGACGTCCAATGCCACTTGGCCAGCTCTAAAGTCGTATTGAGCCCGCCCCGGTTCCCATCATGGGAAGCAACAATCTCTCCTCCTCGATGACACCAGGGAAGAAGGACTTTTCCGAAATACAGATGACCGATAACTACGTGAAGGTGGTGTGGAGAGGGGACCAGGCCTGTTTGTTCTTGTAAGGATGCCCCCCGGTCACATCTTTTGACGTCTGTGCCCAGCCCCCCCCTTCCGACGTTGCACTCTTGAAACGCCAGCAGTGCAATGCTTTCGTGCACGCGCGCGTCAGATGAGCTAGCTGCCTTTGCGGAGAGTGGAGCAAGGCAAGGGGTGAGTGATCAAGGCGTCGGGGCGAACGAACTGGCGGGCTTTGCCCGCCCGTTGTGGAGGTCTAGAATGTTTCGAGATTGGCTGTTTCGGCTTCTTTTGCAGAGCATCCGGCACTCGCTGCGACGGTGCACGTCCTCGGCGCTCCCCGCTTCGAAAGGCCACAGAGGGAGGGAGGCGTCGTAGCGGACAATTTCGCATTGACCCATCGTTCATTTCCCAACCCGGTTGGGGCGAGTTCAAACGGCTTTCTCTGTGTGGCCGAGTACAATTTTGCCTGGGCAATCTCAAGTCACTGGTACATTGCCGTCGCTGAGAAAATTGGCCGTGGAGGATGGCGAGCAAAGTCGAGTACCAGCAGCTTGAACCAAGCCAATGGAACTCAGGAGGCGAGGCAGAAGCAAATATCAAGAGTCGTCACTCTTGTAAGATCAGTACGAATCATTGTCGAGTAGCTGTATGATTTCTTTAATATAAATTCAACTTTCTGGCAACCAGGTATACGATCTTGCTACTCCTACGATGCAATTGCAACATTTATATATGTCTCTCATACCCAAGTGCTACAGAAACCTCAAGTTGTCAAGAGTGGATATAGTTAACATGAAGTTCAATAACAAGAGTGTGGAATGCAGCACTAGTTCCAGACAAGGTCGACAGTATCTCGGGGCACGACATACTGGGTACAGCTCGATAGACCACGATATCTCTATGCGCAACTAATTATGCATGTCACTAAGTCGGTCCTGCAAGGATTTTCAGATATCCGGCAAGCTTTTCTAATCATTCCACAGCGCTTCAACATGCCAAATTGCATTTAACCCAAAGTTCAATCCAGACATACTGACCTGCGGCACATTGATAGACTATATGTCTCTTTGAAATCTGTACGCTTCTAAAACCTGCCTTCAAAGGAGGCCCAAACAAAGTTCGGCTCTTTCCATATCAACTCGAGCCCTGTGTAGTGGGTAGCTCCTCCGTGCGACTTAAGAGTTCCATGTTCTAGATATGATATAGAGTATGTGAATACTAAGTCGGACTTGTTTCGGACTTGGGGGCCCCTCGAAGGGAAAGCAAAAAGAAGAAGAAAAAGGTATACGTATTATTTCGTATGAGAATGATAAACTACCCAAGCAAGAAGCTCATTTTGAAGGGTTTGCCATTTATAGGCCCTTGTTGTCTCGGAATCAACCAACTCGTTGATACTACCAGCGAAGCAGTCTTATATTCCTCAACCTCTACTCCTCAACTTCGTCCTCCTCGTCATCGCACTCCTCAATAGGCGGGGCGGTCTCTGTCATCAGATATCAGTGGTTGCTTGTATTAGACACAGGTATGCAGCCAGATGGCTTTCAACTTACTGGTTGGAAGAGGCTTGGTCAGTGTCATGGTTGGCTTTGACTTATCTATTGAACACCTCTGCATTAGTGCTAGCTTCTCGGAGACATCTATCAGACAGCGAGCAATTCCACAAAGACTTACGGCTTATGGTCGGCAAGGGTCGCCCGGTGCCGATTGGCACGACAGTCGTAGGACCCGTAGGAAACGGCGGCCGCGGCGGGCTGCTAGGGCCTGTAGAAGACGCCATCATCAGCACTGGATCTCGGTGACACGTAGGAGTTTTCCTCTTTGAGATTTTGAGATTTTCCACATACGGCCAGTAGACTTGCCGGTCGGCCGAGGTGAAGGGCCAGTTCTCGTCGGTCTAGGGGGACGGCCGGTGCCAGGGACTGTAAAACGAGAATTCATCAGTACAGAGACTCTGATAACGAAATACGTGGAGAATTTAGATCTTGTGCGTACGGCCAGTTGACTTGCCAGTCGGACGGGGTGGAGGGCCACTCCTCGTCGGTCTCGGAGGGGAACCGGTGCCAGGCACTGTAGAGGCAGCGGTATCAGCTACTGGAACTCAGGGATACACTCTGCTCCTTTGAAGTTGCTTCACGTACTGCCTGTCGACTTGCCAGTCGGACGCGGCGAAGGACCAGTCCTTGTCGGCCTCGGCGGTCCAGTGGGGCCTACAAAACTCGGGACATTAGCACCGAGACTCTCTGACGATACCTGTATCTTCGGGGGGGTTCGGGGGATCTTATGACATACGACCAGTCGACTTGCCGGTCGGACGAGGCGGAGGACCAGTCCGCGTCGGCCTCGGCGGAAACCCCGTGCCAGGGACTATGAGGAATCATTAGCAAAAAGCAAAAAAAAGCCACGCATGGAGGCCACAACTCACGTGTCAGCGTAGCGGTCGGGCGCGACTTGAAGGTCGGGGTAGGCAGCCCCTTGCCAGTGGACGTTCCCTTGCTGGTAGGCATGCTCTTGCCCGTGCCGATGGGAACGATGGGTTCTGTTTTTGAAAATATCAGCCTGTCAGTCCCACCACGCCAGGGGGTGTCAGTTCGATCTCACTGGTCGGAGAAGGCCGCATGGTGGGCGTCGGACGCCTCGTCGGAGCAGGCCGGGTAGACTTGCCCGTGGGGACCGGCCGCCGCGTCGGAGTCGGCCGGCTCTTGCCCGTGGGGCGACTCATGGTCGGAGTCGGACGGCTCTTCCCGGTAGGAAGACTCATAGTCGGGGTCGGACGGCTCTTGCCGGTGGGCCGACTCATAGTCGGCGTGGGCCAGCTGCGATGCGTCGTCGTCGTCGTCTTCGCCGTGGCGGGAGGCGTCGGCCGGATGGTCACGGCCGAGGTCGTCTTGGACTTTGACGGCCGCGGCGGCGGCGGCGGCCGGATGGTCACGCTCGGGGTCGGAGGCCGGATGGTGACCTTGGACGTCGTCGTCGGCGGCGGGGGCCGGATGGTGACGCGGGTCAGCGTCGGGCGCGGCGGGACGGGGCCCTTGGTCGGGGTCGGCCAGTGCCAGCTGATGGTCCGCGTGGGCTTCTTCTTGTGGTGCCACCAGGGCTCGTCGTGGTCCCACGGATCGTCGTCCCACGGGTCGTCGTCGTCCCAGGGGTCGTCGCCCCACGGGTCCTCCCAGTCCCACGGGTCGTCCCGATCCCACGGGTCGTCGTCCCAGGGGTCGTCGTCGCCCCAGCCCCATCCCCAGCCTTTCCACTGTCGGCGCTCGGGCTTCTGCTAGTCACGAATCATGTAAGAAAAGGGGGTTGCTTTCACGAGTCTGAGTCGTTGTGTGAAATTCAGGATTTACCTTTGCAGGACCCGCGAGAGCCGGGACAGCGAGCACTGCTGCAGCACCCTGTTGTACATTATAAGCTTTGTGGAACCCGGGATAGACCTTGAACGTCCAAGGAGGGAGCATACAATGTAGCGGAGCGCGACACCCGCACCGCCTTGGGGTGCAATACCGGCGACGGGAGCCGAAGACAGTAGGCCCGCAAGGGCCAGCTGGACCAGAGACGGAATATGCATCGCGATCTTGCAGAGCTTGGACTCAAGCTTATGCTGAGCCTTTCCTCTCAGATGAGCTAGGGTAGAACAGAGACACTGCGAAGGCTCAGAGAACCACCAAGGCTTGTCAACGCGATGCTCTGGCAGCCCGGATCACTTATATCCTCCCTCAAGCACGCCCTTCCCTGGGGCGAGAAGGCGGTTCGTTTATTAAGGTACCCTGTAGCCGGAGAAAATCACATCATCTCAAAAGACAGAAGCACCAATCTGGGTAAAAAAGTCCATCCTTGCCCCCTGGCGGGCTGTCCAGACGTCGGGAGCGTGTAGAGGCTATTTGCAGAGCCGAAGCAGCTCGCAGCGGGAGACCTTCGAGAAGGTCCATCCCTGCGTAATCTTTTGCGCAGGTGTTTTGCACACACAGAGTAGAGGGCATAATCTATTCGTGAGTGTCGTGGGCTATTTTGCCGATAGTGACAGTGTGAGGATGTCCCCCGGGAAGAAGATGCCACCATCTGGGGTGATCGACACACCGTCTTGCGCAACCCCAGGAGTCGGGAGATCCGAGTGAGGGGCGGGGGGCTTGAAGAGCTTATAGAGAAGAGCCGTAAGGACGAGGATATAGAGAGTGTGCCTGGTACCGCACGAGCCGATCGACCACCTTTCGAACAGCCGAAGCTGTGAAGAAGCAACGCAAGACGAACGGGTTGACCTGGCTCGCGGCCCACAGGCGAGACGAGAGCCGCTGCAAGGTGTTTGTTGGGTGAAGTCTTGGCTAATCGGGCCAATCTGGGTCAATTCTGCTGTCAGCCAACCAGGCCGACGAATTGATTAAATCACGTCTCGAAGAACATGTCTCCCCTCTTCAGACAAATGTTACCTTGGTTTCCGATGGTTCAGAATGTTGAAACGCAGGCGAAGGCTCAAGCTTTCCCCAGGCTCCCCCACCCCCACACACTTGCCTGTAGATCTCGAGATAAGCTCTTCTGTAGCGCCTGTGGCCCCGCTAACGACCCATCCATGCATGGATCCTCTAGGGCGAGTTAGGCAGCTGTCAGACTGTTAGCCGAATCGAGTTGGAGCCAAGTGCCGAACTCCACGCGTCTCGATCTTGGGTTGGGTGCCTCTCAACGTCGTCCCCTTTCTCCAGGAAACGTATACGAGCAATGTCTGGCTCGCCATTCACGAACCGTCTTGTACCTAGTTTCAGCCGAGATTATCCAACCGACTGCTCTCTTGGTCAGGGAAACGGGCGTGGGGAGATTAGAGATCAGCTTCAACCCGCTCTGTCGTTCACTACATGAGACCTCTCTGCCTTGGTATTTGGATCTACTTAGCCACCGTGTGGGACAACGATTGAGAAGGGAAATGCATTGAAATCTATGTACATAAAAGAAAGTCTAAAGTATTTTGAACATATCGTCCCATAATGCTGAGACGTGAAACTGTCGTGGTGGGGGGGAAACCCCTAGGTGCCTCAGTGCCGGCCGAGCTCATAATCTTCCTTTGCCTTCCCATCTCTAACAAGCTATTGCTTTTTCCTAAACTCCTAATGGTGAGAAAATGCGGAATATCCAGAAAAAAGAAAAAGGAAAGAAAAGAGAGAGAGACAGAGAGACGACGATTCAAACATTATGGCCACAGCAAAGAAAAGCCTTATACGATGAAAGAAACAGCTACGATGAAAGAAACAGCTTCGCAACTCCGGACATGAGCCACAGTCACCCTACATGTCCTCAACCGCCTGCAAGACGTCCGAGAGAGTCCTTGGGTTCGCATCGCCCAAAGGCATCCCGATCTCGCGGATCGTGAGGCCATTGGGCCCAGGACCGGCCCATTCGGAAGAACAGGCCGCGGAGCTCAGGTCCAGCTCTTCCTCGCGGGGCACCGGCCCACCGTCAAACTGGTCGTGGGTGGTGTAGAGAGATCCGGACTCGGGCCCCGGAGAGGACTGCCGGCTGGAATCCGAGGAGGAGGATGAAGACGAGACCGCCGTACGGCAGGGGGACCCGCCCCAGTAAGTGGCACACGTCGACCCTTTGAGGGGGAGGAGGACATCCTCGCCGTCCTCTGCCTTGTCGCCGCTCGCGGAGGGGACGACATCCGTCGGCTTCGTGGTCTCGGTGCAGCGGCTGAACAGGTCTTCGTTCTGGGGGGTCCCGTATGCCGACATGGCCTCGCTCGCGGTATCTATGCCTCGGAGAGAGAGGGCGTTGGTCGCAGCGGAAGCTGGCAGCTGTACCTGCTGCTGCTTTGAAGAAAAAGAAGAGGGTTAGCTCAAGTCAGGCGGGCACTTGGAGACCTCAGTCTCTCTCACCTGGATGCGCCTTTCATCCTGCTCTGTCGGGAGTAGTCCGCAGGCGAAGAAAGGCAACTCGGGCCATAGCTCGCGTGCCGTCACAGCCCTGGCTTGCTCCGGCAGAGAGGGCTCGCCGCTTTCACTCTCCATCGTGTTTCGGGGGGCTCAAACCCTGAAGATATCTGGTAGGGATAGATTGCTGAATAATGTTCTGGTCAGATCATCATAGGCACGAAGTAGTTGCAGACATGAGACCGAGTAGGCGGAGCCGGTTCGGAAGCGCCTCTAACATCCGGTTGGGCAGACTTACAACGTTTTAAATAGGAGAAAGCACCAGGATGTATAGGTGCTCCCATCTGCTTGGACCTGCTTGTTGCAAACGTCTCGAGATGTCTGGGAGGTTCGTGATCTTCAACGCCTCTAGTTGTGTGTACGTATAGCTGCCCAAGAAGACGGGGGGGGGGGGGCACCGAGACCCTCCGACAATACGGTCTTGATCTTTCGAAGCTGCTAAAGAAAGTTGCGGGGCAAGAGAGAGAGAGCGTATATCTTGATAATGACCGGGGAGCACAGGACCCTAGCCACAGCAATGTGGCCAGCCGATTATGCCTAGGCATTCACAATAGGAAAAGGAGAAAAGAGAAAAAAAAGAAGCGCTGGACAACAGTGAACCACATCGAGTGGTGGGTGAGGAGGAGGAGGGGGAGCTCGAGCTGTGTGGCCACTCTCCTTTGGGCAGTGAGCTGTCGACGTACCTCCCCTCCTCCCCTCTTGGCAACTCCCCAAGTCATTAGGAAAGCTTCCAAGGTCCAGAATCAACCAGTCTCGGGCGAGCACTAAAATGTACCTCGAGATGCAAAAAGAAGACGTGGCCCAGCATGCCTGGCCCAGCCAGCCAGCCAGGAGCTTCGGGACGGTCTCCGGCCGCCGCTGCTGGTGTGGACTGAAAGAAACACGAGGGTCTAGCCAGGGATACCTTTTCGTAGAGATTGGGCTGCGAAACCCGGTGGTTGTCATTGCTGAAGCTATGGTTGGAGGGGGCGTTGGACGAGAAGGGGGCTTGCTGCTCGTTCAGATCCATTGGGCGTAGAGACCGGAGAGTTGGTGGTACACCCCGCTCCCTAACAAGCCTAACAAGCCGGGCGTAAAGCACCTTTTGACTTCCAGAGCTGTTTGCACGCGGAGGTAGAAAACGTTCTTGTCGCTTTTACACTCGGTGATCGATCGGTTATCACAAACCTAAGGTAGCTACGGATAGGTTAGTGACGGGAGCGGGAGGACCCGAGCACTTCCTTCTGTCAGGCACCAGCTTCTAGCGATGGACACAGCAGAGGGACCCTTGAATTAAGATATTGTGTATTGTATGGAATAACTGGTGTGGTCATGTCGCAGAGGCTTCGTGAACCTCGTGTGGCCTGAATGACCTGACCCTCTCTAAGTACCTGCCTGTATCCCTCCCATGTTCACACTCCCTCCCTCCCCCGCCGGACCGTGTGGAAGCCGTTTTTACTGTCGTCTTGAAAGCTGCGCCGAGCTTGTTGTACCCAAAAGAAAAAGAGAAAAGAAAAAGTCTCGTAGGGGGGGTATACTAATAGTACAAAATGCGGTACAAGTTACAAAGCAATAGGAGCCAGTGTCTGTCTGCTAGGTAGGTAGGTAGTTGAAAAAGACAAAAGAAAAGCAAGGGTTGGTTGGTCAGGACAGCCATTCACAAGCAGCAGACCTAGTGCCCAAATCTCCTGAACCAGTTGCCGAGTTTCCTCCATCTGGCCCCTTTGTCATCGTGGTGTCCGGGACCATCCACGGCGGCGCGCATGGGCCGGTGGGCCCCGTCGACAGATCCGAGTTCGAGAGCCGCGTCGTGGTCGGACGAGGTCATATGAATCGTGTAATTCGCGTGATAATCCGGGTACGGTGACGGATCTGCGACAACATCGACAGCCGACGGCGATGCAGAAGAGGACAGATCTCGGTCGACTTGCAAGGGCCCAATCGCTGCCTCCTCGCTGATAAAGGAGCCCGAGCTGTTCAGGTGCAATGGCACGCCGAGCTGATGACCCTGGGCGGTGTCCCGCACCTGCGTTCCGTGGTCGCCGTTTGCGGCCTTGCGGCCTCGGCTCTTGGACCCGCGCGTGGCTCGTTCTGTATCGTTTGCCTCCGAGATCTGCGACTTTACGCGCCGCTGCATGAATGCTGCCCCGGTGCTGGTGGTCCTCTTAGGCAGAGTCCTCTTGCTGCTCGGGCTTGCGACCGAAGACGCCGGGGAAGTATCCCGCGATCTAGTGCAGGGTTTGAGACTGAGAGACACCGGACGAGGCCGCCCTCTCTTGAAAGACAGAGTGTGGCCGCCCGAGCTCGGAGCGAGATCGCTGATGTTGGACCGATCGTCGTGGCTCGATGACTGCCGACTCTCTGTGCTAAAGCTGTCTTCTCGTTTCGTGCCGGGGTGTCTGGACACCGTCAAAGACGACCGACTAGGAGTACCAGTCGCCGAAGGCATGTTGCCGGGGGCGGCGTCTGAGCTCGGCGATGGGTACTTATACCTAGGCGCCCACCCTTGTTTCAGAGCCACCCATATTGCTGTGACTGAGATGAGGCTTTTCATTTCCTCGCTGATAGGATGTGTTGTTCTTTGGTTCGACGGAGGGAGTGAGTTTGCTAGGGTCGAGTTCAGCTCGTCAAAGCGAGAATGGTTGTCAGAGGTTGTTGGAGAAGGGGTGCGAGGAAGGACGCCGGTGGCCGGCGTAGTGAGCGACCGACCCATCGACCTCGAGGGAGGATAGCGGGAAGATGACTGCGATACAGTCGTGTACGAATCGAGGATCTCGAGTTTGTTTGATACCAAGGTGGCCATGATGGGATGTCGCCTGGATTGCGGATCGATGACGCTGAACGTAAAGCGAGGCTCCGGGAGGTCCGAGGCCTTGGCCGGGAGTGTCGCCGACGCGGTCGAATCCCAGCTCGGGGTGCTCTTGAATTGCTTGGCAGCCCTCCGGGCCCATCTGACAGTGGTGGCGAGCCCATTCTTGTCGGTATGGACGAAGTCATAGGAGCCGGAAGGCAAAGGCTTCGCCACCCACACTGCCCCGTTCGCAAACACAATCTCGGCACGGTCTTCCCTCTTGATAGGGCTGAGGACGGCAATGAGCTCCCGCTGGGATAGACGCTCCTCGTCATGGTCGCTATCGGTGTCTTCCTGGCCGGAATCATACTCTTCGCTCCTGACGAGGATGATGTCGTGCACACCCAGTTCTCCCTTGACGCCGAACAGCCTGGGACACTTCTTCCAGAAGCGGGGGGCGACTACATTGCCAGCGATCAACGTCGACGGAAAGACGTCGATGGCCGGCCTCGGCCGCCTTTCCAGGGAGAGCTGCTGCAGCTGCAGCAGGAGCGACGGTCGAATGTGGCGTAGGATCGGCTTTTTGGAACGGAAGTTGGGAGCCGGGTGGGCAAACAAGAAGTCGGTGCTCTTGCGCGGAGCCCGCGTGCGTTTCTTCTTGCGTTGCGTGTTCGCAGTGTTGGCGGTGGTGTCGCTCAGATAGCTGGCGTCTGAAGCGGACTGCACCGACTCGTCCTCGCTCATCGAGGGTTCGGCCAAGGTGGCGTCGACCTCTGGTTCCCGGAAGCGGACGGCCGGCTCGGAGTACCCTCTAGGTAGAGCTTCGGACAACGGGCGCTGGCGGAGACGTGGAGGAGGCTGCTGCTGTGTCTCTAGTTGCAGGCTGGCCCGGGGATTTGAAGGCTGAAAGGCAGCTCGCAGCAGCGGGGACCGTCGGTTGTTTGCTAGGGGGCTTGGTGAGGGCCGACGGTTGGAGAATTCGTGGCCATGCATGCTCGCTCCGGCGTGGAGAAACATCTTGAGGAAGCAGGCATGCACGACCCGAGGTGAGGGCTCAGACTACCTAGGTAGGTAGCAGAGAGGCGCGGGAAGGCGCCGTCCACGACACTGGCGGCGCGCGCGAGGGGGGGCCTCGGGCGCGCTGCTATCGAAGACGACGGACAACTCTGAGGGCGGAGTGTTGGTCGGTCGTTTGTGGCCTTTTACAAGTACCAGTCGTGCTCCAGTTGGTGATGGTGGACCGGACGGGGTGCCGCCCGGGGTCTGTGTACATGCAACTGGGGGCGTGGGGATGATCTGCTGGACCCTGGATTGCACTCGTCCACGGCATGGCAGGGACGGCGACAAAAGCCAGCAGGACAGCCACCCGGCGCAAAAGGCCACTGTTCCGATACCGCGAGTATCAAAAGTAGGGCCAGACGGGAGAAGCCGAGGAACAGCAGGAAGAGGGAGAATAGGTAGGGAGGCGGTGAAAAGGGCAAGAGTGGCTTGTAATCTGACCGAGTGAGCTGAGATAATAGTGTGTCTCTCTCGCTCTCTCGCTCTCTCGCACACACTCACAGGCACGACACACACGACTCCCAATCGGGTCAAACAACCGTCAAACGGCGAGGGGAAGGGCCACTAATGCAGGCGTTGATGAAAGGCTGTATGGAGAGGTGAGAGTGGTGGACGGTCAGATCGGGCTGACCCCACGACGGGCGGATGTAGGTGCAATGCGTGTGTGTATGTGGACGGATGGATGTATGTATGGACGGGAGACTGCAACGCAACGCAACGCAGCGCAGCGCAGCGCAGCGCCGCGTATGGTGCCGAGAATAAGGGTCCTGCTTGCTGTAAGATCCCGAACAGGGCAGGCCAGAGATGGCCTTTCTTCTCCCTTTCCCCTTTTCCCAATTACTCCTGTTCTTGCAAATGCGATCGCTTCGAGTGCGAAGACCTGTTGCATCAATCGTCGCCGGAGAGTCGCAGTAGGCGTGCGTACGTGTCACACCGCTGATCGGTAATAAGCCGCCCCCTTGGCAGACCAAATCTCTTCCACCAATGCTTCTTCTTCTACCGTCGAGCTGTGCCCAAAAAGATTGCCAGGTTTTTCTTTTTCCTGGCAGCAGAAGCTGGGAACACGGATGCGACGGCCACACACGCACACACACGTGAAAAGAAGTCGTTCAATTGCTGACTGCCCCTCCTCTTCTGATCGGATGATACGCGTGCAAGTCGGGCGTCTAGACGCTAGCCAGTGTGGTAATTGCCTAGCCCTTGGCAAGGGTGCGAGCTCTGGGCAATCCCTGGGTTTAATCTCAGGAAATCCGGCCTGATCGGGGTGGTGGTGGTGGTGGTGTTGGCGGTACCAAGCACGAATGGGCGCAGGTGACGGCCAGGGAGGGTTGCTTGCTCCAAAGCGGGTGTGATTTGATGTGTGATGGACTGACTGACTGCTTGGCTGCCGTTGCGCAGAGACAAGAGACAGACAGCCACCTTTTTGTCTATTATGATTCAAAAAGCTGCCGGATGCTGTCGATAGGGATGGACGGCGGGCGATATTGGGCCAGTGAGGTCACACACGGCTGACTCGGCCTCAGTCCGTTTCGCTTCCTTGGTTTCGTACAGGCTGATGGCGATAAAGAGTTTCTTAGAGCAGCCGGACTGGTTGGTGCCCACCCTGACAGCTGAGGTCATACAGTATAATAAACCCGGGTTGGTGAGATCTTGGTCCCAATGAGTTGGCTGAACCCTAAAATACCGGCTTCACGATGGCGGAAGCACGTCACAAGCAGAGGAATGGGGATATGGTGACTGAAGGGAGGAGAGAGCTGGAACAAGACAAAAGAGACGGACAAAAGAGAAAAAGGCCAGTTCCATCAAGCGAAGCGGTCTGTGACAGACACCGAACGCATCCTTTTTTTTTTCGAGTGTCCTTTTCTTTTTTTCTTGCCTGCCTGTCCACATTTTATTACCTCCATGACACAATGTAGACAGGGCGAGTCAGCTGTGTTTGGAAATACAAGTACTGGCAAAGCGCGAGGTCGCCGGCGGACCCGGATCGTGCGGAGATATCCAGTAGTCTCTGCCAAGTTCCAGCCAGCCTCTTGTCCGCGCTCCGCTCCGCTCCACGGGCAAGGAGTACACTACTTGTACAATACCTACCTTAGGTACAGCTCGCGCGCTCTCGAAGGGAGGAGGGCCCCATCTGAAACGAAGGATGGGCAGAGGAACGCATGTCCGGCATCACCTGGCCTAGGTAGACCTTGACCGGTGTGGCATATCATGCATGCCTCATTGCCCATAACCCATACACCCATTAACACCCATGAACCCACGTCCCGCTCTAGCCCGCACGGTGATAGATAGCCTGCCCCCAACGTGCTGGTATTCTTGCCTGATCAGCCAGCTGACTGACGCGCTATGGGACCTGGTGCCGACGGCATCCGGACGCGGACAGTTTGGAATGCCCGATGGTGTCGGCCTCGCCAATCATAGCGCGCCCGACCGAAGCGAGCCCAGCTAGAAGCCAAGCAACTTTTGGAGGCGCCTTTGCACCGTTGATGGGCTCCATCTATGGAGTACAGGAAGCGGCTCCTTCGCGTGCGCGCGCGGTACAAGTAGTGCGAGTGAAGCTTCTAGAGAGAAGGCTAGGGAAGGGGTGTGTTCCACCCATGCTGACAAGTGCCGAGGAATTGATGACAATTTACCTGCCAAGCAGGCCAAAGGAGTTGACTACCTACCTATACCTAGGTAGTAGCCTAGTAGGTACGTGTTCGATATTGCCTGCCTTGATCCTTCCCATCGTCATCATGGAAGCAAGGGTGCTTGGGCATCCTGGGCATCCTGGGCGTGCTGGTGACTAACTCCTCACTGCTCCTCTGGCTTGCACAGTAATACACACTGATGCCTCTGTTCGGATAGTCATGCTCAGACGGGGTGAAACAATGCATGGCTCCAGTCCCCGAGGCATTTGCAGCATCGCAAGCAACGGCCACATCGGAATTCCGATCTGTACCCCACGCCCGCAAATGCCATGTGCTGTGTCTGTGTCTGTGTCCCTTCGTAGCTCATGGTCCCCGTTCTTCCCTGCCAGCAGTGGGGCGATCCCTCAGATGATTGCCGAGTGAAGCGATGTGCCATGGATGAGGGATGAGACCAAGCATACCAAGCATTCGCTACAGCCATTCCGGACTTTCTAGAAATGTAGCCCCCCTTTTTTTTTCTCTCGCCGCCGCCATTGTGAACGACATCCCCTAAAAACCCGCTTTCGACAAGTCTTAATTCCCTAGCCCGTCTGTCTAGACCACCTTTCGAAATCACCGAAGTTCCGTGTTGCCCGCCCTCCTCCCTCCTTGCACCCGCCCGGCTTCGAAAGGCACGGTCCAATCGCGCTATTCGGTCGAGGGCAACCCTTCACTCGTAGGGCTGAACCACCCTCCCTGTTCCCTGTGTATTATCACCCACTACCTACCTAGGTAGTGCTCACTGCAAACCAAAAAAACTGCCGCGGACCAACCAGCCATGCTCGGCCGCTGGGACACCCACCCCCTGACCGACCTGACGGGCCTCTTCGTCGCCTGGAAGGCCTTCCTGCTGGCCATCGCCGCTGGGACCTCGGTGGGGCCCAGATACGATACCTCCGGCAGCCTCCTCGACCTCGGCCGCCATGGGGCGCCGGCCTTGCCCCTCCTCGTCCAGAGGCTGATGAGCTGGGACGCCTTCTACTTTGTCCAGACTGCCCGCCGCGGCTACCTCTTTGAGCAGGAATGGGCCTTTGGCACCGGCCTGCCCATCCTCATAAACTCCATCCAGAAAGGTGGGCACTCAAGTCTTTGTTTTTGCTTTTAAAAAAAATCGACCCGATTCCCGCCCTCCTCCTCCTCCTCCTCCGCGGAATTTGGACAAGGGGCCAGGCCCCCCTAGCTAGACGAAGCCAAAGCCGAGGCCGACGACGATAGATCTTCAGAAGAAAAAAAAAGTAAATGACGCTAACCTCTCTCCCACCCGGCCTCCAGGGCTCGGCTTCTTCGGCCTGGGCCGGGACGCGGTCGACGCAGCGGTCGTCGCCGTCGCCGTCGCCAACCTGTCGCACCTCCTGGCCGTCCTGGCCCTGTACCGGCTCGCCAAGGTCCTGACCCGCGGCGACCGGAAGCTGGCCTTCGTCGCCGCCTGCCTGCACGTGCTGTCCCCGGCCGGCGTCTTCCTGTGCGCGCCCTACGCCGAGAGCACCTTCGCCCTGCTCACCTTCGCGGGCTACCTGGCCTTCTGCGCCGGCGTCCTGAGCGGCTCGTGCGCGGCGCGCGCGGCGCTGACCGTCGCCTCGGGCGCCCTCTTCGGCCTGGCCACGGCCTTCCGCTCCAACGGCGTGCTCAACGGCGTGCTCTTCGCCGTCTTCGCCCTCGACGCCGCCGGGCGGCTCGTGCGCAAGAGGCCGTCGTCCCGGTCCCTGCCGGCGCTCGTCGACCTGGCCGCCCTCGGCCTCGGCGGGGTCCTGGTGGCCGCGGGCACCGTCGCGCCGCAGTACGTCGCCTACCGGCGGTTCTGCGTCCAAGGGGCCGCCTCCTCCGCGCTGGGCGCGAGGGAGTGGTGCGGCCACCGCGTGCCGAGCATCTACCACTTTGTGCAGGAATACTACTGGTAAGAGCGATCCGCCGGCTTTTCCCGGGCGCGGGCAACGACAACAACAAGAACAAGAACAACAATAAAGCAACCCCCGAGCAATCCGAATGACTGACATTCTTGAGAAAATCACAGGGACAACGGCTTCCTCCGGTACTGGAAGACATCCAACATCCCCCTCTTCGTCATGGCCGGCCCCACGGTCCTCGTCCTCCTCCGGTCCGGCGTCGTCACCCTCTCCCAGCCGAGGGCGGCGGAGGGCGGCCGCCCCCCCCGCGAGGCGCAGCAGCTCCTCGACGTGCTCTGGTGCATGGCCGCCTCGCAGGTCGCGCTCGCCGTGCTCGCCGTGCTCAACCACCACGTCCAGATCGTCGCGCGCATCTCGTCCGGCCTGCCGCTGTGGTACCTGTGGCTCGCCCGGCGCGTCCTCCTCGAGGCCAAGGCGGGGCGGCCCGCCGCCGCCAACAACATGGTCATGTTCATGCTCATGTACGCCCCCATCCAGGCTGCTCTATTCGGCGCTTTTCTCCCCCCGGCCTAGAGAGAGAAAAAGGGGGGGTTTTTCTCCTTGCCATAGGTCCTCCTGAATCATAAGGGGAGTCGTGTGCTTCCCACAAGGGACCTCCGGCAGTTTGTACATAATTTGACAAAGTCTTGGATTCTCTTTGATCGATCAATGAGGTAATCTAAGCCCTCAAACTGAAAACCTTTTTTATATCAAGTAAAGCCGTGCGTGATCTCTTTGATGCTTTCTTGCCATCTTTCTCCTTCATCAAAATTACATCGATGCCAGCGGCGCTTGAGCAAGCCAATAAAGGAACTAACTGTTGAGTTTGGAGTTGGCCGGCAAGTTATCGCGGAATGCAGACAAATTACCCCTGACAGGGCCGAGTGGCAAGCACGACAAGGCTTGAAAAATATCTAATCTCATAGACGGCAGTCAGTATCGAAGCCCTGCGCGACCCGTCATACGGAATAAGATCGGTGCTTCTGTTTAAAAAGAATTATATCTAGCTAGGTAGGCCAAGGGGCTTCCGCCAGCTCTGCATAACCGTCCATGAACGAACAAGGGCCCCGTAACAGAGAACTTTGATAATCTAAGCTCCCTCTCCAAGAGCAAGTTGGCGAAACCTAGAGCAAGCGCGTAGTGCAAACAAGGAGTCCCGTCCATTTCATGCCAAGACAACAAACAGGATTCATGGGGAAATGGTTCTGAAATTATATACAGCGTATGGGGAACGAAGAGAATGTCTACTGTGCGGCCGAGCTAATGTACATGGACAAATAACAATGCAACAATAAGAGCGAAATCCTTCCTAGATGTTTTGATCCCTCACCTTCCTTCATGCAATACAAATTGAAACAAACGCGCATCAAATGTTGCCGCCGTCGCCGCCAGCCGGCTCCCGTTTTGTCCCTCAGGTCAACGCCATAGAGAAGTAGAAGAGCATGACAACAAAAATGATGATGAAAAAAAAAAAAAGATTGAAACAGAATCCAACGCCAAGATTTTCGGGTATATCCCTCTAGGATCCCTCGTCGGGATCATGCAAACGTAGTCGTAAAACACTTGTTCGTCCCCAGAATTTTGTTGTCAGCGGTGAGGAGAGGACTCATCGAGATGTTACCTCCGTTCAAGTCCAGCCTCTTGTATGGCATACCAGGTCTCGCGCTGTAGTGGGCATGGCTATACTTGCAACCAAGCCTCTGTCCACCGTGATTGACCGTACAAGGCGGCCCCGAGCCCGCCACACTGAGGCTTCCATATGCATCATAAGCATCCGCAATCGTACACCGTCCCCAACATGACCGGGTGCAACAGCATGGTGTACGCGGTCACAGATCATAGCTCAGCTGGTCGAAGAGTCTTCGATTTGCTCTTTCCTTCTCATGAATGGCCTACATGTTGGGGTGGCCAGTGCCCTGCTCGACGATGTTATCGGAGAGGTTGATCAGAAGTTGAGCGAGGCAACGCTTAGTTGCAGCGTCATCCCTGAGAACGGACGAGAAAGTGGCGTCGCGGAGAGGCTCCGGAAGGCATTGCCTAAGTGCCTCACGGGCACGTGCGTTGTCACTCAGGCTTGAAGACGCAAAAAAACAAAGGTTAGCAGACTACATCTACACCACAATCACCAACCCCGCTCTGCAACTCACCGAAGAAAGCAGCGGACGACGTGCTTGAGCAGACGCGCAGTCTGCTGCTCGACGAGCTGGCCCACCATGTTGCTGAGGACGGTGCCAACCGCGTAGAACCGCTCGTACGTAGCGCAAATGTAGTTGAGTCCGTTGTCGTCAAGGAGAATCTTCTGGACGATGAAGATAGCGACCGTCTTGCTGAGCTCAGACCCGGTCTCCATGATGCGCAGGCAGAGGGGGATGATCTCGGTGGTCAGGAGGAAGTTGATAACTTCCGAAGAATCATTCTTCACGAGTGCGCCGATCACACCGAGAGAGGTTAGACGGAGGTATTCGAATGGTCTCGATTTGGAAGTGGTGTTGAGGAACGGATAGAGGAAGAGCGGAATGTGGGCTACAGAGCAGAGTATTAGTCTCTCGTCACCTCCTACAAGATTTGATCAGAGTGGTCTTGTGTCCTACCGTTCAGGAAGAGAGTGCGGGTCTCGTTGTGGGAAGCAACGCACTGCAGCAGAGCAAGCGCGTTGCAGACCCGGTTCGAGGCAGCAGCGGTGAGCTGCGACGGGTTGAGCAGCGTGTAGACGGAGATGATCTCCTGGAGGAGCGATGTCATAACACCTAGAGACCCCGATGTTAATACTTCGGCCATTTTCGACTGAGCTTTCGTGGTTGTCCCATACCGAACGAGTGCCACAGTATCAACGCGAGCTCCGGCACCTGCTCCCTCTTCTTACTAAGTTCCAAGAGCGCAGCCTCCCGTGTGCTCTCGTTCAGCAGATCTGCGATGAAGGCCAGCGTACGCCGATTGTCCTCGGACACAGCCGAGCTCGAGTCGGCCCCGTCGGCCTGCTGTGGCTGCTGCTGGCCGGCGGCGCCGCCGGCAGCAGCATTGTGCGCACTGGCAATACGGTTGTAGTGTTGCTGCTGGGCCGCCGAAGCGGCAGCCGCGGCGGCAGCAGCTTGTTGCTGGGCAGCGTGGGGGTTGTGGTGTTGAGCCGCCTGAGGGTGCATCCATGCCGCCGGCGTGTCCGCCGGCGACGGGTTGTACTGGTGGTGGCTATACATGTGTGGATTCTGCATCATCCTGCTGGCTGGCGGGGGGAGGGAACTCCGAGGAACAATGACTCCAGTGTGTTGAAGGGACAAAGACGTCGTGGCCGAGAAAGAACAGGTGGTGGTCGGTCGGCGCGCTGGGTTTGGAGGTGACGAGCCGAGGGCGGGAAATTTCGGTCGGGCCACAGCAGCGCAGCGACGAGCTGGTCAGTGGTAGGAAGTCGGTTGATGAAATGCGGCCGTGGATAAATAGTGCGCCTTCACAGCACGATGAAGTCCGAGGCGAGTTCCGTGGGGTGCTGCGTGGCTTCGCGGGGATGGGCAAGAGGAGGGCGATGATGGGTTGGAGGTCGGTGAGAAAGGCGATACGATGTGCGATGCGCCAGTGGGATGAATCGATCGAGTCCGACTGGCCAAAGGGTAGACCGGGAGTGGCCTGTGCGCTGGGCTGGCGGCGTGCGATTGAGCGATTCAGCCGCGTGTCCAAGCTTCTTGTGGCCCTGGAGCTTTTTAAATTTTGTTGGCCCTTTTCGCCTAACTTGGGTAGCCTCAGCAGGTAGCCCCGGTACTTGCTCCGCCGTAAGCCAAAGCCACCTGCTGGGCAGAAACAGCCCGATCCAGAAGAAACAAACAAATCCATAGCCCCCACCTGCCACTCACCACCCCCACACTCCCGCCTCTCCACATGTCGCGATGAAAGGCAGGAGAGGACCCGTGATGGAAGAATCCGGGAGAGGCACTACGAATGGCAATAGTTGTTCTACTTCAAGGTTCCTTGCTACATAGGCTTGAGTACCTGGGTGGAAGCCTAGGCGTCACAAGCCAAAGTTCAACTCACTCAACTCCACTCAGATACAAGTCAGCCAACCCATGGATGAATACACACTCCAGCCAGAAATCGGCAGTACGTGTCAGGGGAAAAGACTTGGCATGTTCAATCGCTCACTACATGAAATCTATGTAATAGTAATAAAGAGGCGCCTCGTACTGCTGTCACTAGTCCTGCGACAAGAGGCAGCCACCTGCCTGGCTGGCGAGAATCGAAGAGCAACGAAGAAGTGCAGATCGCCATGCTGTGTCGTATTCTCTCCCGGAACGCCTGATTTGTTGTTGCTGAGCTCGCATCCCGTCTCCCATTCCCTTCTCGTAAAAAAGTAAGATTATTATACACTAGTAGTGCTCCTCCCGATTTCTTGTCCCGGTTCGTGGCAGGAAATGGTCAAGAAAAAAACAATAAATCAAGCATGTGAAGTCAGGTGGTCTGCTGATGCCCGCTATCGTATGCAATTTTTGCTCGTGTCCCAACTTCCAATCACCGCCCGTCCGCCTTCTTCCTCACCAGGTACCGTTGCCGTTGGGGGTCTCAAGACTATAGTCTCAGCTCCTTGAGGATCTGGTCTGCCATATTCTTGTATTGCCAAGTGTTGCCGCTAAGCCGCTTGAACTGAATGCCGTGGAGCGATATGACAGGCACCTTGACGATGAATATCTCGAATTCGAGCACCATGTTGCCGCCCATGTCATTCCGGACATGGGTACTCGTCTCACCAGCCGCCATTCGCCGCGAAGACTCTCCGTTGTCCATTCCCTGGACGCTATCCTCGGAAATATCAGAGTTGGAGTAATCTGCCGCACGATGGCCCGGAGTACGGGGTGTTGTGGGACCCCGTTCAACATTATCCCGCACGTCATCGCGGTCCTTCTCGCTACCACGCAAGCCGCCAAAGCTGAAGCGTCGCTTGTGGCCAGGCGTCGCCATAGGGCTTTGCGGTGGATCGGCGACCTTCTTCAGATCAATGCTGGGCGAGTGGATGCAGGTAAAGCCGCCCTTGATTTCGGTGTAGTCCACCGCAAGGAGCTTCAGAACGCGCCTGATATCGGCCCGAATCTCCCGCACGGGCTTAGTCGATGTGGTCGAGACGCTGAAGAGACCCTTGAGATAGACCGGCTTGTCTAGGTCAAAGTCGGCCAGCCGTTCGTTTGAAACTCCACTAGTCTCTCCCACTTCGGCATCAGTCTCTTCAGGAACGTTGGCCTCGCGTCCACGCTCTTCCTCCCTTCGAAGTCGCCGGGCCTGGATGCTCTCCCTGCGAGCATGACCCAGCGGCTTGGCTCTCATTGAAACCGACCGACTGCTCATGGCCCGTGCATGTTCACCAACAGGCTTTTCATTGACAGTAGAATGGTCAGATCCGCTGGTGGGAGGAGGGTCCTTGGCAAGGGCGGTACCGGAGCCGCCCATGCGTCGCCTCGAGAACTCGGCAGAGTTCACGCTGGTCGAACGGCCAAGGCCCTTCTTGTAGCTGGAGGTATTGGCACCTGCGGATAGTGGCGGGCTTAGAAGCTCACTATGCTGTGGCTGACTGCTGCCGGACCGAAGGCGAGACGTGGAATTATCATCATCGCGGTCTCGGCGGCTCCGCCTGATGCTGAAGCTCTTCCGCGGCACAGAAGGTTGTTCGACCGGCGAGTGCACGTGAACGACAGGCGGATGCGAACGATCCTTTTCCAGACGCTCAGGATCCTTGGGGCGACGTCGGGTGCTGAATCGTCTGAGAATGCCGGCGGCGGTGCTCTCCTTCTTGGCTGGCTCCGGGTGCTGGTCCTGAGGAAGGTTTGGCGACATGGGCGAGCTCTTGCCTACATCAGGGGCATCGTCCTCGCCATGGGTTCGCGCGCGCGGCCTCGTCCTGCCTCCTGTGGCTTTCTCGCCAGGCATCTCATAGGCAGATGCATTGGTATGTGCTTCCTGAGGCGGAGATATCTCAGGTAGCGATTCCTTCTCCTTCGGCGCGGCGCCGCCGGGATGCATCTCTGCAGCGTCGCGCTGCTGCTTTTCTCGCACAAGGTAGTAGATGGAGATGAGAGGACTGAAGGCGTTGAGCGGATCGGCTCCGAGCTGTAGGCCCTCAGCGCTGGGCGTGGTCAACGCATCTCTGCTGCTTGTCGAATTGCGCCGTTTATAAAAGTCGAATCCAAACCCTCGCTTCTTCTCCATGTCTTTCGTGGGCTGCGGCAGTTCCCGCTCCTTTTGCAAAAGACGCACGGCCCTCTGATAGTCTTCAGACTCGATCACTCGAGCTAGCTGAGCCTTGATGACCTCTGGAGGCCCGAAGTTGAAGCCAGTCATGGCAGTAATCACCTCCTGGTCAAGAGGTAGGGTAAGAGGTTCGCGCGGAGGGAGGTAGTTATCGGGTATGCCGCTGTAGCCCTTAATCATCCACGGATGTGACATAACCTCGGCCATCGTGGCTCGTTGCTTGGGGTCGGTAACGAGCATTCGAGAGAGCAGGTGTTTGCATTCTGTCGGAACAATGTTAGGTTGCTATATTCACGTGAAGGAGAGGCGTCAAAGTCTCAACGCACCTGACGATAGCCAGTTGGGATAGTCCACCAGGCCCTTCTTAATCTTGGCATGCAAGGCCGGCATGCTTTGGTCGTCAAAGGGGACCTTGCCGCACACCAGAACGTAAAGCACGATGCCGAAGCTCCACACATCGACTTCAGGCCCAGTATAGGCCCTGGCTTGGAGGAGCTCGGGCGCTGCGAAGTATAGACTTCCGCAGAAGGTTTTGAGATGGCCGCGCGGCGCAAAAAGGTTGCTGAGTCCGAAGTCGATGATCTTGATATCTCCCGTCTTACTGATGAGGATGTTCTCGATCTTGAGATCTCGGTGGACGATGCTGTTCCGATGGCAGTAGTCAAGGGCGCTCGCTATCTGGCGGCTGAACTTCCTGGCCTGCTTCTCCTTGAGCTTGCCGTGGGAGATGATGTAGTCGAGCATCTGGCCGCCGTTGACATATTCAAAGAGCATGTACCAATGGTAGTTGGTTCGTACGACATCGCGCAGGCCACAAATGTGCGGGTGGTTAAGGAGTGTAACGATGGCCGCCTCCCGCGCCGTGCGGATTTCCTTCGATTGGTCGGCCCGCTCCTTGTCTGCTCGCGAGTGATGGCCATCGTCCGTTGAACCTCGGGGAATAATTTTGCATGCAACCTAGAGACAACAGTCAGATCCCTCGATCATGTATGCGGTCCCGGGATGGGAGAGAGCTGGGCAGTAGACGCATACCTGTTCTGCGCTATCCTCCTTTTTGGCCAACTTCACCTTGCCCATGCTGCCGGCACCGATCGTCTTGCCCAGAATCCACTTGCCAGACTGGGTAGGGATGGTAGTCCGTGACCTAGACGGCTTTGAACTGGACGTTCTCCCATCAGCATGGGAAGCCGATGCGGTCCCAGCGTTATTCACGATAGCGGGAGTCATCTCTGGGGGAGGTTGGGCCGGCTGCCCGTTGCGCTGGCTAGGGCGTCGTTGTGGACGGGAGGAAGAATCGCCTCGACTTGGGGGCGGGCGGTCTCTGCTGGAGTTTCGCTGCGAGTATTGGGCTACATTGGAGGTCTCAAAATCGCGGTGAGGAAGGACGTCTTGGACAGGGCGGCCTGAGGTGGAGCTGGTGTGATGGTGGTGGTGGTGGTGATGATTCTGCGACGCGGCGCGTGTTGGAGCTCCCGATGCGGATGATGTTTGGGGCCTGGATCGGGTTGACTGAGATCTGGAAACGGAGCTGTAGCCCTGGCCACGTTGAGGCGATGGTTGGGGAGCCTCGGCGCCCGACGAAACTGCGGTGGTCATTGCGAGGGAATCAGGAGGGGTGCGAAATAAGCTGTCGAGCCAGGGAAATTTGCGGGATAATCAATTCTGGGGCTCGCTGGCTCTGGCTCGAGCGCAGTGCTCACCCTCTGGCACAGGCTCAGGGGATGTTGAGTGGCTGCAGAGATCGACTTGTCTGTGTGAACCTTGGCGGTACAGGATGGAAAGGTGAAACTCGAGAGGCAGACAATCCAGTAGTTGGGCGGGTCGTGGTTTTCTGGTCTGGCCGGTTTTTGCCTGGCGCTGGTTCTGCCGGTCTGGAGAGTCAAGATTGGAGGAGGCGGGAAGTCCAGGTGGTTTTGGCTAGCGTCGGGCCTGGCTAGTGGCAGTCGAGCTGCTAACCTTAGAAGAAATGGGGTGGCGGTCTGGGTAGTAGCAAGACTGTGGCCCCGCTCCCGCCAGCACTACTGGTACCACCTACGCAATCCTCAAGTTCCAGTCACCAGGATGCCCCTCCAGGCTCCAGATGGCAAGTCCTTACAGAGAGGTACGCGGCAGGTTGCGATGGCAGCTGCAAGCTGTGTGGGTTGATAAGGACGACTCTTCCGGAGGCCTGAACCACTCAGATCAGATACCCAAGCAAGCTCCCTGGTATATGTCACTCTCTACCTCTCAATGAGTGTAGGTCGAAGGGAAAAGCAACTGATTTTCCTGTCGAGAGAGGCGGGAGCTGAGGACCTAGCTGACTGGTTTCAGGATGGACTCCTTCGACATAAGATATCATGTATTCTTTCAAGCAAGAGGCGTACAGACTGGCGTATAAGAAGCGAGATGAGAGATAGCAGAGCAAGTAACAAGAAAGGGCTGCACTGTCACAGTTGTCCAGCTTGTCGTCCTGTTCTGATAAGTAACGGGGAAAGGTAAGAGAGGGAATGCAAAACAGCGATGTCCAAAAAGGTACATGCAAGTTGGTCAATGGGGAAGTGAGAATGCGAGTTGGAGTCGGGGAGCTACCAAGCATGAGGTCATGCTGTGACAGGGGGGGCTTAAGTTGCAAGTACTGCAGGACTTCTGCTTGTTCCCTGGACTCTCTGTCTGGAGGGTGGGGTGAATTTCAGAGGAAAACTGTCCATGTATTCTCTCTGCTTCATTACGTGGCTGTGTCTCCATTGCGACTGCGGTGGTTCGCTCGCCTGTATCCTTTGCACCACCCGATTCTATTCTTGTTTGCGTCTCGTCCCGTCGTCCTTGATTCTCTGCAATTGTGTCGCAAGCGGATTGCAAGGTGGGCTCCTCAAACAGACGGTGCCTGACCTGCTTTGGCTGGGCTAAGTATGGTGGGTGCTCTGGCTTCCCACAACTTGTCTGTCACCAATCGATAGAGATCCAGGTCTTCAAATGTGTGCTGGCCAGCTCGTAAATCAGCGGGCCAAGGAGGGTTGTTCGTATTGACGATTGGTGGTCAGCCACGTCCATCACACAAACCCGGCCCTGCAACGGAGCAATGCTCCTGAGAGCACAGACTACAGGCAACTACCTAGGTACAAGTAGATTGCATGTAGAAGACCCGGAGCAGTGTGACCTTCGAGGGTTGCCCGCTGCACCTGCACAACCTCATATCCGTCATGTGCTTTGGGAGTCTGGAAATCCGGAAAGGAGCAATATCCGATTTGGCTCGAAATTGGAGAGCTCATTACAAGCATCCGTCGTTTTTCCTTTGCAAGTGGGAGCATGTCTAAGTTCTAGTGGAGAACTTGAATTCGTAAAGAAGTTCAGGTGCTTACAGTGGAACCAGCACGCGCCTCACCTTAAGTGGTTGGCGCGTCACCGCAAAAAAAAGCATAGAGATCCATGATTCCATAGAGCTAACAATCCACACTGATCAGCGCCTACCTACCTAGGTACATTACTTTATCTTATCGGATAAAACGCATGCATCTGAAAGGCAAAAGATACCTTGGGTCACATCCGACATCTGTCAATTGAAAACGTCGAATGCAGTCAAGCTTGTCTCTCCGCTGCCAGCTGTGGTAAACCGCAAATAGCGCGCTTTCAGCGACGAGACATTCTATGCATGACCCTCACAGCTTGGATCTCCCATGTCCGGCAAGCGATCCCGCGCGACCTACGAAGCCGATCTACAGGCGCAACAATCGCCTTTTGTCCTCTTTGGCACACCTCTACCGCCACTCGACCCCGACGTGAGAGATGATGGGACCTACTTGCCCGTCTGGAAGCAGGAGGTGAGGGACGAGAGGGGGCGAAGGAGGCTCCACGGCGCATTCACGGGAGGATGGAGCGCAGGGTAAGTTGGCCAGTTTGCATCCAGGCGCCCGAGCCTTCTAGCTGACGCGCCAGGGAAGTTATTTCAACACTGTAGGATCGAAGGAGGGATGGACCCCCTCGGCATTTGTCTCCTCCCGGTCCAATCGACGAAAAGATGATCAAAAGTCGGCGCAGCAACGGCCTGAGGATTTTATGGACGACGAGGATCTGGCTGATGCGGAGGAAGCCAGGAAGATCCAGACTTCGCAAGGATTTGCCGGTCTTGGTCTTACGGAGAATGATGCAAGGCGCGCAACGGGGCTTGCTGGCCTTTTTTGCGTCGAAGGCGATACCATGGGCACAAAGCTCTTGAGAAGAATGGGCTGGCGGGAAGGCCAGGGTATAGGACCCAAAGTACGTCGCGCGGCAGAACTGGGAATGCAATCTGCCGACCCAAATGTCAAGACATATCTTTTCGCCCCGGAGGACGTATCAATGGTCAGCTTCGTCCGCAAGACCGACAGAAAGGGGCTGGGTTATCAGGGACATGCAAGGCTGTCTCCGATTGATGCGCCTTCCAAAGAGGACCGTGCTGGGGAGTCTGATGAAGACGAGGATGAGATATCAACTGTGACGGCGAGACAGCCTTTACATTTCACGCACAAGGGTGGTAGAAAGGACAAAAAGCCTCGTGGTGGCATTGGGATTGGGATCCTCAACGACACGGGCTCCGATGATGACGACCCTTATGAAATCGGCCCTCGTATTTCTTATAATCGCGTCATTGGTGGTAACAAGAAGAAGAAAAAGAAGGAAAGCGGCAGCGGACCTACGAACCCGTCACTCAAGTCAAAGCCCGTATTCCTTCCCAAGTCGTCTTTAGCACGAGTTGCCCAGGGTGTTCGGAAATGCCACGACGGGAGACTCCCTTTGGACGGCTTCATATGGGGGAAAGAGAGCGACCCGTTGGCGTCCGAGGTGATTTCAGGAGGCAAATATCCACCGCCAGAAATGCCACCTGGTTGGAAGTCCTCCAAGACTGCAACCGAAGCCACCGGGGTGACCCCCTATACATCGACTGCCGATGCAGCGAAGGCATCTACGCTGGACGCGAAAGCGAGGGCTGCGGCACTTGGCGAAGCCCAACTTCCAGGCAAGTCTGTGTTTGATTTCATATCGTCGGCAGCTCGGGATCGCCTAGTCCATGCCACGGGCAGGACAGACCTCCCGCAAGGCCTTGGTGAGGTGCCTGCCGAATTCGCATTATCGGAATCGGATAAGTTGCAAGAACTCCTCTCCAATGTACCAAAGGTGGACAAAGAGACGGCCGTTGCTGCAATCAGCCGTGGTATCAACATCGGAGGACCATACGCAGACAATGAAGCAAAGGCGTCGAGATACAGGGCTTATCTGGAGCATCAGGCCGGCTTAGATACTCCCTTACCCCGAAAACCGAGCGGTATGTCGAACGACGACTGGCTACAAGAATTCCATGAGTTCTTTAGCTGCGCACGGATTTTCAAGCCCATGACTGGCTTCATGGCGTCGCGCTTTACGACCTCCACTTCACCATCAACTTCGAAGCTGTCAAGCGGTTCAAGTGGGCAAGGGGACGGTCAGAATCTTATCAACAAGCCAGCACCCAAACCATCAGATCCTGCAGAAGAAGCGGCCAAGCTCGGGATGTACGGTCCTATGACAAGATCTGTGGCCGACTTCTTCCCCACGCGGCTTCTGTGCAAACGTTTTGGAGTGAAGCCACCGGCGAATCTCCAGGCTGATGAAGACGTGGGGTCCAACGATACCACCAAGGCGGGAACAGCGTACAATGCAGCGCATGAGGCCTACGGATCGAGCCGTGGTGGGCAGACTCTCCAGCCTCTCCTCGCCATTACAGCCGGTCCCGCAACTCCTTCTGTCGGCAGGGACGCTACAGCGACTCAAGGGCTTGACCAGCCCGCGGCTGTAGCCTTGCCAGACAAGCGAAATGAGACCGTCGACGCGAGCAGGAACGAAGCTTTGGAGGGCAAGCGGGCAGGAGAGGAAGTGTTCAAGGCTATCTTTGGCGATAGCAGTGATGAGGAAGAAGAGTGATTATGATACCGATACTTCTAGACCAGATACCCAATTAGACTTGTGTCCATTTTATCTCCCCAAAATGATTCTGAATATGGTATCATCCTAGGAAAACTTGCTCGGAATTTGCGATACCATCCAGAAAAGCTCGGTATCTTGCTGACATGGGTGCTGGGGTACCACGAGAACAAGGATCATGAGAATACCTGGGATGATTGGGCAGAGGCTGGGCGGCTAGACGGCGCCTTACTCCACTCTCGACCCCCTTTTAGCATAGGCGGTTCACCCTGAAGGGCCAACAAAGTGCACTGTCACAACTGCGACACGGCGGAAACACGCCCAATTAGCAGGGCAGTACAGCAGTACAGGGACTGGCAGGTGGGCAAACTACGCCCGGAACGGTGTTGGAGTCACCATTAATCTGGGGAGGGCAGGCTCGCAATCCAAACAAACCTGGGAACCTCATTTCCAGCTTCAGCATCCCAGCATTTGATCTCCTTCTCTCTCTCTCTCTCTCTCTTATGGACATCAGTGTTTGACAAAGCGATTTGATCACACCCAATTCTTCACCAGTCACAGTCAGCCTCATGTTCCCACATCATTAATTCGCAAGCGATTAATTGCATCGTTATAACCGACCCCTCCCCTCCCGCTGCGACCGGCCCCAAGATCTCTCCCAAGTGTCGGCGCCAGGATACCTGCCCTCCTCCCCTTGGCCTGTCCCATATGCGAGCAATCAATCAAATTCCCACCCGCATCTGCCCGACTGCCAGCCCAGGGTCTCACTCATCCTTGCCCTCTCAACGGCAGGCGAACCATCTCCAAGCACGGCGACAAAGGGCCGCAGTCCAGCCATTGATCTAGCAAGCTCGACGACCAGACCGCCACATTGTCCGATTCGCAGAACGCCGGAACAGGACAACCTACGTCCGCCGGCCAGAGGAGAGCCGAAGCAGAAGAGCCCGCACCGATAGACGAGCGGACTACCATTCCTTTCACACAAGAAGTCAATCATTTCCTCAAGGCCGTGCCTGCAGCAGAGCGCCAGCGCAGCCCGCCGCCGCAGTACCCTGCCTCAGAAACCTCGGAAGCGTCAACCTCGTTTCGCCCGGGACCGCCGCCTTTCAGCGCTCTCTTCGCATCGTCGCTCGAGTCGAATCCCGACCCGGCTGGAGTCCTCGAACCGTTCAAGCCTCTCGCCTCAGACGCGTGTGCAAGCCCAGTCGCTGCTGCTCCGGCATATGCTACGATAGCATCATCATCGTCGGAACCATCGTCGTCTATCCAGGAAGAGACTAAGCGCGCCCTTCCGCCAGACCACAAGCCCGAGGGAGAAGGATCCAAGAGCAAGGACGACGAAGCAGAACCGCCACCAGCCTACTCGGAGGGATCCAGTCCCCTCCACTCGTTTACATACGTCATGGCGGCAGCAGGAGGAGCGTCGAGTATCATTACTCAAGTCCAGCAAGGCGGCCCGCCCATCAATGCAATCGGAGGTGCGCGAATAATAACGCTCATAGACCACTGGTGAATAGTTGCTGACCTCACTCTGCAGATGTCGGTGCGGACGAAACCATTACGATGGACCTACGGTACGGACGAGGGCAATCCAGGGTGTCGGGACCCTGCAGGACGCGCGCTAACTTACCGTTTGAACACAGGGGAACACGCTTCGTGCTTTCTAGAGACGAGCTGCTGACACTGCCCGAATTCGTCCTGCTATCTCTATTCCCTAATGGGCTTTTCCCTGAAGGACATATGGGTGGCTTTGCCGAGGGCGATGCTGTTCAAGTCGACGTAAGTGGGCCTATTTGACTTCTTGCAAGCCACGCATACAGTGAATGGTGTAGCTCATCAGGCTGCGGTGATTTGCAACCAAGCCTACATTCTCTTGCATGACTGACAAAACACCGCCCGCATAGTATGATCCCGCTTCCCTCCAATACATGCTAGACTTCTTCCGCTCCGTGGCACAGTCTATACCCACAGAGTCGTCTCCTAGTGCGTCACAGGACGGTGATGCCGTGGATGCTCTGGGAGGTGCAAACCGGGAGGAGTCGAAGAGGGCCGGTATCATCGTTCTCCGTGAAGACCTCGACTTCTACGCGATCCCGCCTAAAGCCGACATCAGTCAGGCTGAGATGATCGAGGTGAAACGAGCAGCGGCCAAAGCCCTCCTGAAGCAGAATGGTATCTTTTCCGGACTCAAGCGTAGCGACGAGCCAGGTACGACCGAGGCTCATCTCATTGAGATGCTTACAGCTGGGTAAGTCAACCTTCATGAAACCGGGACCCTATAGATCCAGCCTGTCTGACTGATCATGCTCGCCCTGCTTAGTGGATTCAACCATGACGACTCTTGGGGTCACCGTGCTGGCGAGCCCAACAAGGCTGTCGTCTGTAGTTTGGCGCTGGCGCGGCTTCGGTCCGATATCAGGGGCAACGACATGGGCAACAACGCCGTGGGGATGGCTCAGAAGCTCTTGCTCTTCTGGCGGAAACCGGCTCGGAGATGCTGGTGGGAGGGCGTTGAGCTCGAGGATGTCGAGGGTGTGGAAGGCAAGCTCAAGGTCTGGATCAGGCGGGTGTGGACGCTGGAGATGAGCGTCATCGGCCTTCGCTGACGGTACAGAGGCCCCGTCTGCGATGCAAGTGGAAAGTGGGAAGTGGCGTGGGAAAGGAATGGAAGCTGGACGGGTGCTTCAGTTCAGCAGGACACAACTTGTTACACATATCCGGGTGTCCGTCGCGTGCATATCAGGACGAGGCCATGGACTCGTCGTGCGTTTCACAGATTTACAATATTGTTTATAGCCTTTCGTTTGTTTGAAGATACATCCATCGAGTGTCAGATCAGTCCGGCTCGATGACAGTTTGTTGACGAAGCATTCCGAAATTCGAGTCGGGAGGTATCGTGCGTGGATAATTACAAGCCACGCGTGCAAGAATGACAAAACATGGTTCAGAAAAAGGACAACTTCAGTGACTAACAGGTAGAGAGAGCTCTGGTTGTTTCTTGCAACAACTCTTACGAAGCCCAAACAACACGACGGTCATAGAACATCCTCGCATGATGGCAACCTCTACTGTCACACACCCCGCTGCCGCCAAGGATCCTCAAAGAGGAGGTTCTCAGATAGCACACCAATGGTAGGCAATGACATCACCGCCCGTACACCACCATCTTTGGCAGTCCCGCGCATCACTCTTTCTCCGGGTACGAGGCGGTAAATCCGAAGATAGGTGGGAGCACGGGGAGGAGTTGGCCTCTTGTGTGTTCTTGGCAGCCGCGTATGGTGATGGGGCTGTGCCAATCGCAGAGCTGCTCAAAGCGCAACGGCGTTTCAGATGCGGGTTGCGCATTGAAGAAAGGCAGGCCGATCTTCCCGCTCTCTGCTTCCAAGCTTGCCTATTACTCTTTCTGGTGACTCGCACGCGGGAAAGAGGGCAAGCTCGAGTATTGTGTGGAGTGGTTCATCTAGAAGGAACGCAAGCATCAGGCATATTGTCATTGGATATAAGTCGTGGTGGAATCTTGACTCTTTTCTGTTCATCGAACTGATTGATTGAGTGTGATTGAAGTACAATTGGACTTACACCAATTTGGTCCGAGTCAATTGAGGATTGAGCTTCACGTCTCTATTTCAGAACTATCTCGACCACTTTCAAGTCCACACATTCGCAAAGGTCATGGGCTTCATCATCAAAGCCGCACTTGCGGCGTTGTTGCACGCTTCCCTCACATATGCCCAGGCCGCCGCCACCTGCGCCAATGCTCTCAAGCCGTCGTACAGCGCCCCCGTCGTCGGCGCCGGCTACACGGCGCAGCTCATCGCGACGGGCCTCAAGAAGCCGCGCGGCATCCTCTTCGACCGCGAGGGCGGCCTGCTCGTCGTGCAGCAGGGCACGGGCATCCAGCGGCTCACCTTCACCGACAGCGGCGGCACCTGCCTCGCCGTCAAGGACAGCAAGACGCTCGTCGCCGACAGCGGCCTCAACCACGGCATCGAGCTCTCGCCGGACGGCAGGACGCTGTACGCCTCGTCGGCCGACAAGGTCTACTCGTGGGCCTACGACGCCGCCGGCACCGGGGTCAGCGGCCGGCGGACGCTGGTGCAGAACATGAGCAACTCGGACCACGTGTCGCGGACGCTGCTGCTGTCTCGCCGGGCCGAGGGCGTCCTGCTCGTGTCGCGCGGCAGCAGCGAGAACATGGACATGGAGACGCGGCAGGTCGGCTCCGGGCGGTCGCAGATCCGGGCCTTCAACGTCACGGACCTGCCCAACGGCGGCAGGGACGCCTTCGACTACGGCTCCGGCGGCACGGTGCTCGGCTGGGGCCTGCGCAACTCGGTCGGCGTGGCCGAGGAGCCGCTGACGGGCGGCGTCTTCAGCGTCGAGAACTCGGCCGACCAGATCCGGCGCCAGGGCAAGGACATCCACCAGGACGACCCGGGCGAGGAGATGAACTTCCACGGCTTCCTCAACGGGTCGCTGTCCTCAAAGGAGGGCAACCAGGGCGGCAACTTTGGGTACCCGGACTGCTTCGCGCTCTGGGGCACCGACGTCCCGGACAAGGGCGACATGGTGGTCGGCAGCCAGTTTGCGCTCGATCCCAACGACCAGCTCAACGACAAGACGTGCGCGGACAAGTATGTCGCGCCACGGTTGACCTTTCAGGTAAGTATTGAAGCAGACATTCACTTTCGGGGGCAAGCCTCGAAAAGCCCAGAGAGAAGGCCTGCTAAGAGTATGTTACACAAAGGCGCACATGGCACCCCTTGATATCAAGTTCAACTCCAACGGCACCGAAGCCTACGTAGCGTTCCACGGCAGCTGTAAGTCGCAGACAACCACCTCACCTCGTCTCCCCTGTTCCCTCCCACAATGCACGAAGAGAAATAAAGAACGCACGCTCACATATAGCACACCACACCCTGCAGGGAACCGCAACGACCCGGTAGGCTACAAGCTCTCGGTCGTCTCCTTCGCCAACGGGCAGCCCGTCGAGCCGCCCACCAGCACCACCGCCGCCAAGGACATCCTGTCCAACGCCGACCTGTCGGCCTGCCCGGGCAAGTGCTTCCGCCCCGTCGGCCTGGCCATCGACGACAAGGGCCGCATCTTCATGAGCTCCGACAGCACGGGCGAGATCTACGTGCTGCAAAAGGGGGACATGACCGCCCTCGGCGGCGGCGGTTCCGCAACGAGCACTCCCAACGTCGGTCCTCGTTCGGGTAGATACCGAACGGCCGAGGGCGCCTGGATGGCTGCTGGAGCTGCAGTGCTGGGTTTGCTTGGTGGGATGTTGATGGTTGCTATTTGAGCCATGGTGAGACTTTTTCATCATCACACATGACGATTTATGATATGGGACGAACACAAAGTTTACCTCTTTAATTACGGATTGTTATGCGGTGCTTGTTTTGTATTCTCAAGAATGAAAATGGTTTACAAGTCTTGTAACTCAACCAAAATTTAATTTCAGAGCTGCAAAGGCACACATCGCGATGCCAAGCAAGTGAGTAGCATGATTTGCATAGACCCGAGTCTCGGCACTATTACTCTGCAATACAAGCCCCCTTCGCTACGTGGGGGGCGAAGCCTGAACGCCGTACATGACATCGTCTAATTTCTCCCATTTTGTATCCCTTGTTCTTCCCCTGCGCCCAGGCAAGAAGCCCGGATGTCTACTCCTCCATGGTCTTCACGCACTCCCACTCGCCCTTGAGGTTCTCCTTCCACAGCGTAACCTTGTTGTCGCCGCCACTGACGGCCAGAACGTTGCCGCTCAGCGACCAGCTGACCCGCCAGACGGGGGCGTCGAAGTTGAGCACCTTGCAGTTCCAGGCGCCCTGGCTGCCGGCGTCGCTCGTCCAGATGCGCACCGTCTTGTCCTGGCTGGCGCTGGCGATGTAGCTCTTCTGCAGGACGGTCGGGCTCCAGGCGACGTCGCGGACCCAGTCGGTGTGGCCGGCGAGGGGCTCGCGCTCCTGCTTGTAGCCGTTGGCCGCGGGGTCCCAGGCCCAGATCTTGAGCAGGTTGTCGCAGCCGCCCGTCACGAAGCGGCGGTTGCCGGTGCTGCCGGGGCCCGGGTTGGACGAGACGATGGAGCCCGGGGTGGTGCTGGGCGCCCACGAGACCGAGTTGACGCCGAGGCCGTGGGCGGGGAAGGTCGTGTGCTCGTAGTTGTTGTCCTTGAACTCGAGGACCGAGACGGCGCCGTCGGACGAGGCGCAGGCCAGCAGGCAGCCCGACTCGTGCGGGGACCAGGCGACGATGTTGACCGAGGCCTTGTGCAGGGCAAAGTCGAAGAGCTTCTGCCATGAGCCCGACTGCTCGCGCCAGATGAAGACCTTGCCGTCGTAGCCGGCCGAGGCGAGGATGTTGCCGTACTTGGGGTGTGCCCACGCGACGCACCAGACGGGACCTTCGTGTCTAGAAAGAACCGCAAGCAGTGATTAGGAGACAGATCTCGAATTGAGGTTCTAGTTGGTGAGGATCGAGAGGACGGGGGGGCAGACTTACCCCTTTAGCGTCTCGGTGAGCCTCTGAGTCTCGCCATCGACCTCGAAGATCTTGATCGTTCTATCGGAGGAGCAGGTGGCTAGCCGGCGGCCGTAGTAGTCGAGGACGGCATCATGCTACGTCGGGGGTTAGCTTGGGGCGCAGAGGTTCGGGATCAGCCTCCTCGAGCTGTGATGCTGTTGTTTGTGACGTACGATCATCTCCTCATGACTGGAGTTCGCTATGACTTGGGTAGCCTAGAAGCATCAACTTGGTTAGCTATTGTCTTCCATGCTGTCACCACCGAAATAGAGCGGGCCGTGGAATGAATGAGGGGCATGATGATACTTGGGCAGGGAGCTATACCATTACGAGCTGATTCGGGATCGGCTCAATTGAACTGATCGAAGATACGGGTCTCTTAGATTTGCAGCAAAAGGCTGAATGGGAACGGTCTGGGGCTTGGGCTATTGTGAGGTGTCGCGATGCTGTTTTTATTGTTGAGGCAAAGGGGCGTGACTCTTGATAGCTTGGAGGTTGCTTGCCAAGTGTCTAGAGAGATGCCAGCTACACTGATAACTAATCCTTAGCGCATCAATGCGTTCTGGACAGCACAGCACAAGCCTAAAATGCTGCTGGTTGGGGCACTGACCTCAGGTACCAAATCCAGTGTGTGCAGCACCACCAGAAGGGGGGGCCAAAGTAAATCCGGCACCGGCCTCCAACCGGCTTTTGGCGCTTTAGCGGTTGATGTCACCTGAAGTGCGTGTCTTTCATCCCTAACCAGCCCCAGGCTCAGGCTTGTTCCTTATCCGTTTAGCGCCATTAATCAGCACTCTCTGGGGAAGTGGGGGCTCCATCTTTTTGCATGTGCTTCTCTAAGCCGGAACCATCCTTCGGCTTCCACCATCGCGAACATGGCCTCACACTTCAACATCCCACTCTTCACGACTCCGGCTTTTTGGATCACGATCTCTTTTTGCGGGTCCACCAGGACTTCAAGCATGGACTCATATCTATCATTATATAATTCTTATCTCAGGTAAACCTCTTCCCCTCTTCCTCTTTTTTTCGCTTCGCAAATCGCCACCACTTTCTCAGCGATCCATCCCCCACCACGAACCTCTTCCCGATCAACCTCGGCTCTTGATTCCCAGGCTTTCTGACCTTCGCGATAGTTTATCTACACTTCCGTCGCGATAGAAACAGTTCGCTCTTTTGATCCAAAGCAACGAGACCTCGAAATTTCCCCTTCCTCGTCGCTGATCAGCAACCCGTCACCAAGATGTCGGACAACCTCTGCGGCCCCTCCAATGCTCTCAAGAGCTTCGGAGAGCACGTCGATCGCGATCGCTCCCTCCAGCAGGATCGCCTGACCGGAGCGCCTCAGGGAGGCTCGTCGGTGAGTCTTGCCTCAACTTGCGACTCATTTCGATTTCACTTGCGCTTCACTTTGCCCTTGCTACAATGGATTGTATCCTAACCTATGCAGATCTTCCGCGGTGCCCGACACTCGAACAACGATGAAGCCTTCCAGGCATTCTTGCAGAGCCCGCTTCCCCCAGCTGCCGGACACGGGATCAGCGCGGCTCACCAGCCGGAGCTCGCTCCTCACCATCTTCCGTACGTCCGGACCTTGCCCCGCGTCAACCCCAGAGCGCGCCCCGGCGTCGATACACCTATGCCCAGCCTGAACCGCCCTGAGGATCACGAGCTCGGCCCAGCCGGCTTCAACACCTGGGCTTCTGAATTTGCTGCTGGAGGCACACAGAACAATGGCGTTGGCGCAGCTCCTGGCCAGATGATGAACAATATGGGCCCGGCCCAAGCTGCCTCTCGACCGGGCATGCTTGCCTACGGAGGTGGTCCCATGTACGCGCAGATGGGACCGGCGGCCGCATACCCAGCTCAGTTCCACCAGCCTACCTACCAGCCCTTCATGAACGCTCAGCCGGGTCCCGCTGCTGCTGGTTTGGCGCCTGCCCCCCCGCAGACCACAGTTGCCTCACTGCCTCCCGGCCTGACCGAGGAGGCGCTTGCCGCGCAGTTCGCTCAGCTGAGCACTGAATACGCTGATTTCGAGAACGAGATGGACGCTTACATGGTCGAGAACGGCCCTACCGCGGACGAGCGTGCACTTGCTCGAGCGGAGACAGAGGACACGCAGGCCGTGATGGAGCGCCTAGCTGACCAACTCGATCAGGAGCGTGCCGAGGGACACCCCCTGCTCGCCCCTGGTGCCCTTGGCGCTACCAAGGAAGAGCGGGATGCAATCCTGGAGGAGCGTCGTGTCAAGGATGAGCTCTCTCAGACAGCGCGCGAGATCCTCGACTCGGTTGCTGACAACAACAGCGAGAAGTTTGCCAACTCGAGCTTCCTCGCCCTCATGCGCCGCATCACCGCCCAGGAGGTGGTCCTGATGGGTGATGACTTGATCGATCTCGAGACTGGCCGATCCGTTCTTGACGTCGAGAGCGCCACTCCCGAGACCGATGCCAAGGGCAAAGGCAAGGCTGTCGAGAATGGTGATTCCACCCAGACACCTAGCACCCAGTGAAGGCCGGAGGATGTCCAAACGGCAGGGGTGAGGACTGATGTTTGGACTGCGCCCGGACCCGAGTCGCTCGCCCCATCTCCGTCGACTCCCATATCGACCTACTCACTCTCACCAAAACGTCCCTTTCCACCTGGTACTGAGCTTCCACCGTTTCATTATTTTACGGCTTTGTTATCTTCCAATACCCCGACTTCTCAGGAGTTGCGCGATATGGCCGAGGAGGCCGTCGCTCGAATGAAGTATTTCTCTCCGATTGCATCGCCGGCCGTGCCCTCATCACCTATACGGCCTCTGTCATCAGCTGGCTCAAAGGGTTAGATGGAGCATGGACACGGACAGCGCAGCAGGCTTTTTATGTTTTACAAAAAGGGAGGCACTCATGAATTGTTTTTTTCTTTTTACTCTTGTTCAGTGGTCCCTATGGAATGGTCTATGCGATTTCAAAATAGCATCAACACTGAGCGTCCAGGCAGCATGTATATGAAGCCGGGAGATGCCCATCAGTAATACTGATCGGTATCTTCAGCGACACTCACCTCGTTGAAGTTCTATGTTCTTTGGCGTTGAGGTAGACGGTACACTTGCCAGTGGTATGGAACTTTGATAGAATCATTGCATCACTTGCAAATAAATAAAAGATTGTTTGATTTCTACAACAGGTCTTGTAATATGTGCCCCTCTACCCGATCCTTCTGAGCAAAGCTAAGCTGCCAACATAAATGACGAGAGGCTCTTCAGACCCATACATAATCAACCCTTGTTCTAAGGTTCGCTGAACTATCATATACGATGCAATGATCATCAATCTTCATATCATCACCAGTCTGGAGCCATGCCACATCCCCCACCCACAGCCAACTGTACAGGCTTGCGCATGGGGAGTTCGGCATGCGGCCTGACGCCGGGCTTCTTGGCCCGCCGCCCCTTGAACCCAATCTTGCGGTCGAGCTCCGTGAAGGGCGGTCCTCCCGCGCCGTTGCTCGTGCCGTCCGCGCCCACCTCCCCGTCGCCCTTGCGCACCATCCACCTGCTCGTCCCCAGCGCGGCGTCCAGCTCTTCCACCGGCGGCAGCCTCAGGTAGACCATGCCGTCCGCGCGCTCCTCGACGTCAAACGTCGCGATCGACAGCGCCGAGTCGGTCTTGCAGCTGCCGTCCCCGAGGTCGTAGTTGCGCTTGTGGTACGGGCACGACACCCACGGCGCCGCCTTCTTGTCGCACCCGCTGGCCCCCTCCTTCTCCTCTTGCTGCTGCCCGATAAGCCCGTCGGACAGCACAAAGGCCCGCTTGTGCGGGCACATCTGCTGCGTGGCGAAGTAGCGGCCCCGGACGCGCCACACGGCGAGCTGCGTGTCGCCGCGCTTGATGGTCGCCGAGATGCCGTTGGGCGCGTCGTCGGCGCCCTCGAAGTGCGCCGCCTCGATGACGGGCTGCCACGCCGTCGACGACCAGCGGTCGCGCAGGCCGGCAAAGTCGTCGGCCGCGGCGTCGCGCGGCCAGTGCACGGGGCGGCGCTGCCCGCGCTCGGGCGCGAGCTCCGTGGCGTCGACCGACTCGTCCGTGTTGTCGAACTGGCGGAACTTGGCGGCGATGGCCGGGTCGGCGAGCGCCTCGGCCCACTCGTCGAAGAAGGAGTCGACGAGCTCCTGCATCTGCGCCTCGAGCGAGGCGCAGATGCCCAGGCGGTCGTGCAGGACCACGTCGCGCAGGTAGGCGATGCCGCCCGGCAGGGCCTCGAGCCAGCGGGCCGTGCGCTGGAGCTTGTCGGCGGTGCGGATGTAGAACATGAGGTAGCGGTCGAGGATGGGCACGACCTCGGCGGGCGGCACGTCCTTGGCCAGGAGCTCCGAGTGCCTCGGCTTTGCGCCGCCGTTGCCGCCGACGAAGATGTTGAACCCCTTTTCCGTGGCGATGAGGCCAAAGCTAGTTACGAGGAAGGAGACAATGTCAGTGATCGAAACAAACTGCCAAGAATGGAAGAACCACTTACTCCTTGTTCTGCGCCTCGGCGCACTCGCGCACGCACCCGCTCACGCCGCCCTTGATCTTGTGCGGGCTCCGGATGCTCTTGTACCGCTCCTCGAGCCGGACGGCCATGCCGACGCTGTCGCCGATGCCGAAGCGGCACCACGTCGTGCCGACGCAGCTCTTGACCGTCCGCAGCGACTTGGCGTACGCGTGCCCGCTCTCCATGCCGGCGTCGACGAGCCGCCGCCAGATGGCCAGCAGGTCCTGCTTGCGCGCGCCAAACATGTCGATGCGCTGCCCGCCCGTGATCTTGGTGTAGAGCCCGTACTCGCGCGCCACCTCGCCCATGACGATGAGCCGGTCGGGCGTGATCTCGCCGCCGGCCACGCGCGGCACGACGCTGAAGGTGCCGTTGCGCTGGATGTTGCCCAGGAAGCGGTCGTTGGTGTCCTGCAGGCCGTGGTGCGCCCGGTCCATGACGTGCCGGTTCCACAGGCTCGAGAAGATGCTGCCGACCGTCGGCTTGCACACCTCGCAGCCCAGGCCGTCGGGCGAGGTGCCCGCCTCGCGCATCACGTCCTGGAAGGTCCGGAGGCGCTTCGCCATGACGATGTTGTACAGGTCCGCGCGGGTGAAGTCGAAGTGCGGGCACAGGTTGTTCTTGACCTCGTTGCCCATGTCCTTCATGGCCTTGTTGAAGATGGATGTGACCAGGGGCATGCATCCTCCGCAGCCCGTGCCTGCTTTCGTGCACGATTTCACCTCGCCCAAGCTCTTGCACGAGCCGTCCTTGACGATATTCACAATGTCGCCCTTGTTGACGTTGTGACACGAGCAGATCTGCGTGTCGTCTTCTAGGTCGTCGCCGTCGTCTGCCCCTTCTTTCTTCGCCCCTAGGATGAGTTGTGCTGGTGGTATGTCGAGCTCCTTCTGGTTCTTGACCATGGGAACTAGTTTCACATAGTCGCTCGTGTCTCCTATCATCATGCCACCGAGTAGATACTTCCCATCCTTGGTGAATATGTACTTCTTGTAGATATTTTGAAAGGGGTCCTTGTACGTTAGAGCCTTGACTTGGCCTGCTGCTGCCCCTCCGTTTACTGTGCCGTTGCCGTTGGTCTGCTTGTGGCCGTTTGTCCCGTTTGTCCCGTTTGTCTGTCGCGACCCCTTCCGTGCTGCCTTAGCTGGGAGGTGCTTGGGTCCGTCCCTGTCTGCAAAGAAGTCGCCGAAGCTCGCAACGTCGACGCCCATCAGCTTGAGTTTCGTACTCAAGTCCGGTCGCTTATACAGGCGTGGCTGATGTAGCTTGGCCTGTGTCAGGTTAAACGACAGGACGTCTGCCATCTCGATACCGGGCGCGATCAGACCGAATGTCTGATCCTGCCAGCTTGCACACTCGCCAATGGCGTAGATGTCGGGCTCGCTGGTGGTAAGGTCGTCACTGACAACAATCCCGCCACCGCGCTCTGCACACTCGATCCCTGCTTTCCTGGCAAGCTCATCTCGCGGCCGTACTCCGATCGCGAAACATATGGTCGAGCACGGCAGGTACTCTCCATCCTCAAAGTGCACGCCGACAACATTGTTATCAGCGTCGGCCTCGATCTTCCCTACCTGTCTCGTGAGAAGAACATCCACCCCTAAGCTCCGCACCTGCTCGACCACCATGCCGCCTGCATCGCCGTCAAGTTGTCGACTGAGTACCCATTTGTTGCGCTCGATGACCTTGACCCTCTCGTAGCAGTCAAGATCAAGCATTGCTTTCGCGGCCTCGAGACCCAAGAGTCCGCCGCCAACGACGGCGCCGACTGTGCCTTTCCTCGTCGCGGCAAAGGCAATCAGCCTCTCCAGGTCATCGATCGTCCGGTAGAGAAAGACACCGTTTGCGTCATGGCCTGGTGTGTGGCTTGGGAGAATGGCATCGGAACCGGTGGCAATGACCAGAATGTCATAGGACACTTCACTGCCATCTGCACATGTGACTATTTTTGTTGCGGGAAGAATCTCGGTGACCTTTGTGTTGATGTGGCAGCCGAGAGCACCGTCTGCGAAACCATTGTACTACATAAGCGTGTAAGTAACTCAAGCATGGCAATTATTGCACGGAAAGGACACCTACCCAATCTTCAGAGTTGAGATACAGGTTCTCAATCTTCCTATGCTCGAAGAAAGTTGTCAACCCGACTCGATTGTAAGCCAGATGCGGCTCCTCGCCAATGACAACAATGTCGTATTCTCGGGTTTTGGCGTCGAGTTTCAGCACTTTCTCTCTAAGGGCAAGGCAAACATTAGTTGGGCCTCGACTGAACCCGCCTCGGCGGTTTGCCCTCTCCGACTTACATGAAGCTGATCCCCACCATCCCCAGCCCAACCACAACGATCTTCTTGCGCTGCCCGACAGTCATCTTGACTGACAAGCGGTACCCGCTCGCTGCTGGCGAAAGATGAAAAGAGCCAAGAAGATGACCCCGTTGAAGAGGAGACAGTAGAAGATGCTGATGGGGAAGAAGTTCGTAGACAGCACCATGGCCTGCGAGGCCTGCAACAACGAGAAACCGTCAAAGGATAGATAGCGTGGATAACTGTAAGTCGTTTATACGGTCACTGCTGTAAAAGTAAGAGAGGAGGGAAGACAAGGCAAGAGAGTTTGGGAAATGAAAATGAAAAATGAAGACAATGCTCAAATTGCTTCGCATTTTTCGTCCCTCTCTAGGGATACATCTGAACAAGAGTCTCCTGATATGGATCTATAAGTCGATCAATGGTGAAATGTGCGGGCCCGCCCAATACAAGATCACACCAGGTTGAAGCCTCTGTATCCCAGGCCCCGTTTATCCCCCATCTTGCCGAGCTGTCGCCGCCCCAGCTGTACGCAGGTCCAGCCCAGCCATCAGAGCCATCGGACGGCGCCTCCCCAATCACAAGCCTGCATTGGCAATGCTCCCGGCGTCATAAGGGCGTCGCGAGGATCTCCTCGGGAGATGCGCTTCTCGTTCGAGGCGCGGCGCTGATTTGCGCATTGTGCCGTCAAATGTGGTTGATCAAGATAAGGACTGAGATATGTCGTTCCAAGAACGGGACTTGATAAGAGCAAACCGGCCAATCGTAGCTCTACCCGCAATCTTGAGCCTCTGTTGACGCTCCGCGGAGAAACGGTTTCGCACAATCCGATACAGACTTGACCTATTTTCGTTTCTTCCATTGTTTGGTTTCGATGACAGATGCTTGGATCGTATCGCAGAACCATCTTCAGGCCTTACTCGCAAGTCGAGCACTCCCGACAAGTGACTCCTGTTGCTTACCCCTTGGGTCTCATTCTGACACTCATTGTCAACCCCGAGATGGTCATTAAATCTGTGCCAGCATTGCACGAACGAGTGTTGCTTAGAGGATAGTACAAACCAAATTTTCCAACACTCATCCATCGGGTGACGAGTTGATTTCAAATGGAAGCTTATTGCCGAAAGTCAACAACTCCAGCCATATTGAGCGAAAATACAGTGTCGTGAACTACACTCTACTGCTGGACATCTGCGAGCAAGAAAGCACACAGCCAAATCTCGGTGGCAGACAGGCTCACTTCAAACAAATTGGTATATTGCCCAGCGCAGATGAAATACCTGGCACCCCAAAAGAACATATATGCATGCGCACCCCTTTCCTATCCAAACCCACTCAAAATGCAAAGCCAAAATCATTCCCAATGCTTCTAGGCACAAGAGATCAATCAGGTAGTGCAATGCAGCCCCGGCCACGAAAATTTCAAAAAAAGTAGATACGCCGTACCGAATTTTGCCTCTTGAAAATCACGACTCCAGCCCCCGACCGCCAGCCTGGATGACCAGGACACTGGCCTTGACTCCGCTCGTGGCAACCCACTCTCCGACCGTGCCGACGGTGCCCCTGAAGTCCGTGGCGGCGGCAGAGTCGCCAAACGAGGCGTGGCGCCGGCCGACGATGACGAGATCGCCCGCGTTGCGGCTGGACTTGCCGACGACCTGCTTGGCCTCGGCGATGACGTCGGTCAGGGCGGACTTGCCGTGCGTAGTCACCTCCATGAACGTGACGCGAGGGGAGAGCTCCTCGGGAAGCGAGTTCTTCAAGGACGAGAAGAGACCCAGGTCGTGGGCAGTGGCCTCCTCCACAGTCTTGACGTTGTCGATGTCGGTACCAGTAGCAAGCTTTGAGCCAGCATCGCGAGGGCTTGCCGCGCCGCTGCCCGCAACGGCGACCTCTGGCGGGTGGGTGATGTCGACCTCCTCTCCAGACAGATCGAACCGGCAGATCGTAGCGTTCACATTGGTGTTCTTGGCAAGCCGTAGCACGAAGCGTAGAGCCACTCGGTCATCGACACCGCCAAAGAAGGGGAAGAAGATGTGGTGAGTCTTGTCCGCGACGGGCAGGGACGCCGGCTGGGCGCGAATGCTGTGGATAGACATGGCCGAAACGCTCCTGTGAAGCGATGGCCGATCGGACTTGACTTGACCGCCAAACCCATTGTTGATGAAGATGCCAGTGTTGCATACGGCGTGAGCCAGGCACTTTTGCATGAAGTCCAGATGAGTCCGCGAGTTGAAGCGATCCTGTTCCGAGACCGCTGCGGGAACCGTGGAATCTTCCGTGACAGAGCCGATTTCGCTCCAGGGGATCAAAGCAAAGTCTGAAGCAACCTCGGACGCCTGGCGCGTCAGAGTCTCGGCGTACGAATCGCTGGGAGCGACAACGACCTGACCAGCGGCAGCAAGATTGTTGAGCTGGGAGAAGGTCTTGAAGGTGTTGACAATCGGGTCGCGACGCGAGTACTCTTCAACTTGGGAGACCTGCATGACACTAGATGTACGTTCGGTAAGTTCCAAAATCCGCAGGCCGTGGACCTCGAGGGGGCGCTGTGGAGGCTGAGACACCTGGCCCTGCTGAGCTTGCTCTTCTGGAGGCGAAACAGGTTGTATCTCGCTCGCCTGACCGACGAGGGAGATGAATGTGAACAGGCTAGGAAGACTGTCCAGTCGCAGGTAGACCAATAGACGGCGAATTTGGCTCTCGTTGAGCTTCTCCACCGAATCTTGTTGGCTTGTGGAAGGCGTCAGTGGGTTGCCATCCCAGTCAATCTCGCCGCGCTTCCACTTCTCCAGTTTGTACTGGTACGATTTCGGGTACAGGAGCTTGGTCAAGGGCGTGGTTGTCACGGTCGTTACGACGGCCATAACAACGAACAACGTAAAGGTCCGCTGCGAGAGAATGTTGGCTTGAAGACCGATGTTCTGCTCTCGGTCAGTGGCCGTCATTCACGGGGAGGAGAGGTAAACTTACCAGGACGATCAGCTCGACAAGACCTTTGCAACTCATCAACACACCGATCGTGAAGCTTTCCCTCCAGACCAGACCGTTGAACTTGGCAGCGAGGGTACCGCCGACAATCTTTCCAAAGAACGCGACAGCAGTCACACCGACCACGTAAGCCCAAACCAACCCATCGTTCAACAGACCGAGGTTTGTGTTCAGCCCAGACAGCGCAAAATAAAGAGGGAGGAAGACAACGCTGACAAAATCCTCAATCTTTTCCGTCAGCTTGATGGCGAAGCCACTCTCGCGGGGGCAGATAAGTCCGACCAGGAATCCACCGAAAATGGGATGGACGCCAATAATACCTGAAACAATGTATCAGTATTGCGGGGGAAAACATAGGATATCTGATGCAAAGTGAAGGGGCAAGTCGGGAGAAAAGGACATACCGGTGAACCAAGCGGAGACGAACACGAGGAGGATCGTGAGGCCGATAGTGCCCTGGGTCGGTCCGTTCTGCAGACTGCCGTTCCTTCGCAAGAACCAGTGGAAGGCAGGCTTGACGGCAAAGACGAGAACGAGAATCCAGCCAACGCAGCACAACAAGGCCCACAGAGCAGCCAGACCGTTGGCGTTGTTGACCAGAGCGACGCAGAGGGCGAGCAAGATCCATCCGACGACGTCGTTGCCCACGCCAGCAGCCAGCACAGTGACGCCGACCGATGTGCTCAGCAACTCGAGCTCGGTCAAGATCCTGCACAGCACCGGGAAGGCGGTGATGGCGAGAGCAGTTCCGACGAACAGGGAAAAGGTGCCGAAGCCAATTGGCGAAACTCCATCCTCGTTGTTGAAATGGTTGTAGAGACCGACAGCGATAGCAACACCCAGGGCAAAAGATAGAACCATGCCGAGGAAACCAACACTGACTGCAACTTTCCAGTTGCGCTTGAACATGTGGAGATCAACCTGTGTGCGATGTCAGCTTCAGAAACCAAGGACAGTCACCAGGTGAATATCTACCTCTAGAGCTGTCAGGAACAAGAAAATGATAAGACCGAGGTTGGCGGCATTGTTGAGGACGGGCATCGAGGGAGCCGGGAAGATGGCATCTTTGAAATGCGGAATATGGCCCATAACCGAAGGGCCCAGAATAATGCCCCCAATCACCTCAGCGATGACACGAGGCTGTCCCAGGTATCTAAGAGGGAAGTATAACAGTCGACAGAACACAATGATGAGAGCAGCCTATAGGATGGCGGTCAGCGGAATAGCACTTTGTCGGGGCGTACGGAGCGTGGCTCTCGCAAGACCACGGCATAAGAATCCGATGCCACGCAGCAGGTGTGCCTTTGTTGCAGTCGCACTGCCTATCCCGGTGTAGCTTGGGAGAACAAGGACCCAAGGCATGATGAACGCACCTGGACCATGAACAGCTGGATCGGATTCTTCGGGTCGACTGCAACGCGCGATATGTTAACATCCACATCCAATACCTCCTTTCCCGAGTCAGGGTGAGAGCCACAAGGCGCTCCGAGAGGGATCCCGGCAGCAGCGTTGGGCGGCGCGTCACTTACAAGCAACAGGACTGGCACCCTCGAGAACCCCAGCCTGCGGCGTCGCGCGATCGCCGGTCGACGTCGCCGCGGGCGCGTTGGACGTCGCGGACGCAATCAGCGTCGAGATGACAGTAACGGTCGCCATGTTGGGGTAGATGCTGATCCCCACTGCGGGGGAAAAGCACGGGGGTGGTGTGGTCTGGACGACGAACGGTCCGTCGTCGCGGATGAATTGGCGAGACAAGAGAAGAGGGAGAAAGGAAGGAAAGGAGCTGCGATCCCTTGACGAGCAGGATTGAGGCGCTGCTTGCTCGCAAGTGCGGTTCTCCACGAGAGAACTCGAGACTGACGCGGTGAAGCGTAGATACAAATAGAGGAAGCCAAACCTTGAAAGCGGCACATCGACTAACTAATGGGTCTCTAGTCGATCACTGCCGTTCAGGTATCGCTCTCTAGCGTCTGGGGTGCAAACACATGGGCGAAATACCTCAGATCATCACCCTTACACAGCTATCCGGGGTCTTGGCAGACGGGGTTGTTCAAGTACGGACTGTGGTAATCACATGCAGTCTGTTGCATGCTGACCGCTACGACAGCCGCTTAAAAGAGCCAACACGCTCAAGGCCAGGGCGTACACCGAGCTTGCTATCTTTGGCCTCTCACGAGTCAAGTCCACGCACCGCCGCCATGATTATGCTTCTGGACAAAGGGGAGCAAAGGACCAAGACAGACAACAGCCTCCGGCCCGATCTGGCCCTTTACGACCCTTAACTAATGTCCCTCCTGAAGGATGCAAGGAGGGTGCGCCATTCCTGCTCCCTGTGCGTGCTCGTTGCTAGGTGCTGGCCGGATCAAGGCTGCTGACCAGGCTGTCCGGTACTCAGCTGCCACACCATCTACGTCCCGAGCACTTGGCGCCGCCCCATCTGACCACCTTCCGTCTCCGTTGTCCTCCGCTTCTTATTGAGGACTCGAGGGCGGACGGGCTTTGTCGACGCTGGCCAGTCGTTCCCTTCGCGCACAGGATTAAACATGTGAAGCATGCAACACCATCTCAGGGTAGAGAGACACCAGCGAGAGGAGAAATACTGGTGGATAATCGCCTCGATTAGAAAGTGAACTACGCTACTGTAGGTACCTAGACTAAACCTTATTTAACCTCCTCGATCGTGCCGGATTTGACATCGTAGATGTAGCCAGTAATAGGCACGTCCAGAACCAGCGGGCTCTTCTTCAAGACGGCAATGTCGTCGCGGACGCTCTGCTCGAGGTCGCTGAAGGGTAAAAACGCAATGTGGTCGACGTTCTGGTCTAAATCCTTCCGAACTTTTGCTTTGAGATCGACGTCGGAGAAGGTGAGCATTCCGCAATCGGTCTGCCATATATATATGTGTAAGATACTGGTGGTCAGATGATGTCGGATGGGCTTCTCTACGAGGATAGAGGTAGCTCAGGGTTGTTTGCTGAGCAGCAAAAAAGGAAACCCCCTCGAACGTACGTACATGGTGCACAATGACGATTTCTCGCGTGCCGAGGAGCTGCTGCGAGATGATGACGGACCGCAGAGCGTCAGCGGCTCGACCCCCGGCGTTGCGGATCACATGGGCGGACCCCAGCTCGATCCCCAGCGCCTGGGCCGGGTCCAGACGGGCGTCCATGCACGCTATCACGGCGACCTGGCTGCATGCGCAACAACAACACAACGAGAAAACTTGGTAAGCTTATTCAAGTTGCTTTCCATAGTCGGACATAAAACTTTATCAGAGGAGGGAGGGGACGGCAGTACCGAGAGGGCGGGAGAGCTAAATGGCCCTTGTCAAAGGCGGCGGCATACTTGCCATTGGCCGCTTCGTACTCCGGGGTGATCGAGGTCGGCGACGGCATGGCGGGGGGAGATGCGGTTGGGAGTTAATATTCGAAAGTGACAGGCCAGCCGGGTGCTTTGATGCGGCGCAGCGAGAACTGGGAGGGGGTTTTATGCTCCCCATTTTCATCATCCTTGCTTCTCTTGTCCATCGAAGAATACTACCTAGATATTCCGTGCTTCATCGTGACAAATGCAAGCCCTCAGTCGCCATGAGTGGGGGTTCTGTCGCCATCGCACGGACGGTCAAGAAGAGAAAGCACAGACCCCGCCCGTTAAGCTAAACAGGATGCCGATGTTTGTTCGAGACGCAGTGTATTTTTAGCTCACCCGCCGCCAGTGCTGTCATTGTCATAATTCCTTGGATGGGATATGAGAATGAATAGACGAGGAGATTACCGAAGACGAGATGAATGGCATGGACCCAGTGGCCACAGACGACGTCTATTCATATAAGCTTTCAACCAAGCCTCGCCTGTTCCTATGGTGAATTTTGATTTCGACTCTTCAATATGCTTCATAGTCCATCAGTATCACTTGGCCTTGCACGTCGGGGCACAAAAAGTGTAATTGCAGTGCATATAACTCCCAGTTGCATGAATACCCGGCAAGTTTAATGATGCAATCCGTATATCCCTCGCTTGATAGCTGGCTGATATGATATTCCGTCATCTCTGAATAAAACGAGAGAACAAACTCCGTCTCCTGCCTCTGCGGGCCTGGTATCGCAAATTCCCTATATGTATATAGTTCCCAGTTTTTTGCCCATCATCAAACGCCGGTGTACCTGTGCGATAAAAAGCGAAAATCCCAGCTGGTGTGAAGGACGCCTCGAGAACATCAAAATCATAGTACAGATGTCAAAATGCAACCGCCAACATAAAGGAAGTGAAAAGGTTCGAGTAGAGATTGCAAGCAAAGCCCATGTCTATGATGTAAGCTCTTCCAGGTCGCATTCGTCGCTCATGCTGCCGTACCCTTGGTCCGAGTCCATGCCGATGAGGCTCTTGGTCACGGACAGGCATCGGTCGACGACGTTGTGTCGCGTATCCTGATCCAGACCACACTTGTCACCTGCATGGCCTCCGATCCAAAGACGCAGGGTGCCTGCCAGCCTCTCGAGCGACGGCGCACAGGCCTCAGCAGCAACATTGTGCTTGTGCAGACGCTCCATCAGCTTGAAGGCAGCAGTGCAGCCCAGCAGCGTCATGCCTTCTGTGGAACCAGGAAGGATCGAGTCGATGCAGGCCAGTGTGTCTTTGGAAGGCTCAGCAAACCGTTGCAAATGAGCAATGCTCATCGCGCACCGGAGCGCCATCTCAACATCGGGGTCCAGGTCGATCGTCGACATGGGCGAGTCAATGAGGGGCGGCACACCTTTGCTGTAGTGGGGGTGCTTGTCGGGGTTGAGGAGGGGACCCAGAGCCTGCAGGGCGGAGGCGATATTGGAGCCCCGCTTCTCATCGAGGAGAACAGCCCGTGCGACCAGCGATCGAAGCTGGGCATTTGAGCCAATGGGTGAGGTAGCAGCGGCAAGGTCAAGATCCTCTTTGATGAGCTCAACTGTGGCCTCGTCGACTTCCTCGGACAAAGCAGTGCTCACGGCGCGGTGCAGCACTAGGCTTGACCACCAGGCGGCAACGGCATCCATAGGTGATCTGACAGCGGGGTCTTCCACGACGGCGCTCATGCCACCGATATCGAGGTCAACATTGAAGGTCGTGGGGTTATTCCAGGCCAAGTTGTGGGCACGCTGCACCACATCGTCATTGAGCACCTCTTCACACTCCTGGTCGAGAAGAGCCGCGAGGTGTTCGGGAAGTTCCTCGTCGGCGACTTGGGCGCCGCTTCGGCGGAGTTGTGTTGTAATCTGGTAGAGCTGCTTGGCCTGGTTCCACTTGCTTCTGGCCAGCTTGTTGGCGATGACATTCTGAATACCACGGATGCCAGACTGCCACAAGATGACTCGAATGTGCAGGGCCTTGAGCATTAGCCGCAGGGGAGTGTCTGGCAGGGTACCAGAAGCGAGCAGCGTCAGTGTCAGGCGGCTCTTGTTGATCTCGATATCACCACCAGCGAGCTGGGCATCGAGCGCAATCGTCCACGCCTGGACCCGAGCCGTTTCTTGTTCCTCGGTGAGTCCTGTAAGCGTCTGATAGCCATGCAACCCCATCGCATTGCGGAGGCTGAGCTTCACTGTCTTCAGAATCAGGGCCAAAGCTTCGAGGATGAAGTTGTGCCGAGGAACCCAAACAGTTTGGATGGCCGTGAGCCACGCTTGCCTCCGGACGTGGATAGGCGATGCCAGGGACGGAACCTTCTCCAGAGACGCGCTAATGTGACCGCCCTTTTGTGGCTTGGGAGGCTTAGAGCTGAATAGAGATGGCACGAATGCCCACAGCAAAGCGCCAAAGAGCACCAAAAGCTTGAGCGTAGATAAGACCTGCGCTGTCGACAAGTGATATCCCGCAACGCTGAAGTGAGGAGTTGAGGCGATGCTGGCGAGCAGGTGAATGGGAACCGCAAACAGCCCGCGCCCTTCGGTCTCGTCGTTGCTCTGCTCGTTCTCTCGCGCCGCCTCCACGATCATCAAGCCAGCGAGAGTGCCCACCATCAGTTTGCCGAAATAAGGGCCGGCATTCTGCCACCTGTTTTGCTGCATCTGCTGTTGCTGCTGGATTTGTTGTTGGCGCATGAGGGCGGGGTTCGGCTGGAAAGGTTGAGGAGGCACAGGGTAAGGCCGGCCAGCGGCAGCCTGCGCCTGAATGATCCGCTTCATCTCCTCGGGGACTTGAATCATGCCCGGCGGGTCTGATGCTCCCGGTGTCGACATCGGGCTGTTCATGAAGGCATCCTGGGCGAACTGCATGGGAGTAGGGGGTTGCGGCATGGGGCTCATGCCGCCATTCATAGCGCCATGCATGAAAAGCTTCTCAAATGCAGATATCCTCTGCTGCATGGTGTTGTTTTCATCTAGGAGGCGAGTGTTTCGCTTCTCGAGATGCCGAATGTATTCGGTGGCTTTGCTCAGGACCTGGTTTTGAATGTCAGTGGAAACCTTCTCCTCGACATGATGCGCAAAAATAGCTTACCGTCGCCTTGTTCAGCTTGTGGGCGGGGGTGAGTCCGTGTAGCTCTTCGCGATCCTCAGTAGTGTCCTCTCCTCTTGCGCTCTTGGACATGATCCGGAGACTGGGTACGCTGTCTCTCAAGGCAGCAATCTTGTCGTTCAGATTTGTCCGATATCTCTTCTCAATCATATTATGCGCCGTCTTCTTGATCGGCTGGTTCTCGTCGTCGTCATCGTCATCATCCTCGTCGTCAGCCGAGGACTTCCTCTTCCTGTTCTTGGTTGGATCGTCGGGCGACGAGGCGAGGTCGCCCTTGTCCTTGTCATTGATGCTGGACTGCGGACTCGGCTCGCTCTTGGGCGAGTGGTACTGCAGATGGGCGGGCATTGCGATGCTCTTGAGTTTCTCCTGCTGGGCCGGGGTCAGGGTGCTGAGGATGTCGGCCGAGAAGTGCGGTCGAACTTGGGCTTCGCTGCCGGAGAAGGAAGAATTGGGTCCCAGGGGGCTATTTAGAGAGTCGGCATTGATGGACGCTGGGCTGATGCCGTTGAGGGACTGGGGGTGCGGTCTCTGCGGCAGATGGCCGATGAACTGGGGGGCCTGCTGGAGGTTCCAGGCCTGCTGCAACAGCTGTGGGTTGAAGGCCTCGACCGAGCCGCCAAAGTCGAATTCGTAGGGAGGAGTGTCCTGAAATGAGGCCCAGCTGGCGTTGGTAGGGAAGAAAGACTGGGGAGTGTTGCCGTTGGTGGTTGCGGCGGCGGTGCTGGTGGTGGTGGTGGTGGGAGGAACGGTGCCAGGATCGGTAGCGGAGACAGGCTGTGAGGTGCCGAGAGAGGCGTTGTCGTCGAGATAGGAGCCTGCAAAGCCAGAGTCGTAGGAGTCGAGGTCGCCAAAGATGGCACCGTTCTCCTGCTGCTGCTGTTGCTCGGCCATCGTTCACCTAATGAACCAGCACGGACAAGGGCAGCGACGGCATGCAAGACAGAAATGGCCTGACCCGGCGGAGCGTCAGGTGGCCTGAGAATGGCGGCAGCGAGGGCTGCAGAGGCGCTCTCCGACAGGCAATTGACCCTGTCGCGCGCGCAGGCAAGCGTTGCAGAGCCCCAAGTCTGACCAACCGGGGCCGGGGATGGGCTGGCCGAAAGAGGGTCGGAGGACGTTAGCAATGGCAGACAGTCGAATGATTCTCGTTGCGCGCGCTGGAGTGGTTTTTCGCTTCGAGACAGGATCATACGAGGGCGCCTTTGGATGAGCCAGTTCCCAGATTTGATTGAGGGTGAGGGGAGAGAGAAAGTGTCCTAGAATTGGGGGCGATCAGGCCATTATTGGGGGGAATCGGCTGAGGCCAAACCGGCTTTGGGATCGGGTAGGCCTTGCCCAGTTGGGAAAGCTAAGCGAGGGGTTGTTAGTGTCGCCGTCTTTCCTCGCTCGATCGCCCACGCTTCAGATTCGAGAGATTTCAGGTGCTGCACCAGGAGGAAGCAGTCTGTGTAATCTACTCCGTATTCGTAGGTGCGAGTCCAGCATCTGTTCAGCTTCTGTTGGACTAGGGTCCGGTCCAGCAGACACACAAGACTATCGGAAAAGATGGAGGGGAACACCAATCCAAGGTTTGCGTCCTGCCTTGGCCCTGCAAAAAAAACTCGCTCTCCGACCCGTCCGTTACGCAACCCGCGGACACAACGCCAGCGGCCAGCGTTTTAGATCTCTTCTTCCTCCCCCCCTTTACGTCAGCGACTGAGACAGCGCCATGTCCCAACCGGGAGTTAGGCGTGGTGAGTGGATGGTGGGAACACGTCTCGATTGGGAGATCGGGGAGCACAAGAGAGGCAAAGGGCACGCTAGCTCCCGGCTCTTGCTTGGGACCGATCTTGCGATCTTACCTGGGCCATGACATTTCCTACGAATCGGGCCCGAGTCAGCACCTCCAGGTCCGTTCACCAGCTTGGCAGCTCCCCAACGACTGGCTCGCTCGAGACGGTACGGGCAGCGGCAGCACCACGCCGTCGAGGCGTTTGTCTAGGACGCCCGGGAATGTGGTCGAGGCCGGGCCTCCCTTTGTTCTTGTCTCGGTTGGGGTGTCACAGCCAGCCCAGGCGCTGAGGCAGGATTTCCAGCGGCACGGGCACTGCGAGGTCCGTCCGTCACGGCTTTTGAAAGACAATTTTGAATTTCAGCCCAAAGCGGCACAGGCATGCATCCAAAAAGCATGTGTCGCAGCTGGACCATTGTATGCGTATGCGGGTCCATTAGCTGTGTCCACGATCGCCCACTACGATCGAGTTAATTGCATCATACTCATCCGTTTGTCTCCTCAACAGAATGGAGTTGGCCAGGTCCAGTTCGCGGCTCCTTCTTCGACTAACTAGGCTCTAATTAGATGCCTATCGCCGCTAAAAGCAGCGTGCCTTTCCGTGAGGGGATTGCCTCCTGCCCAGCTCTAGCAAGGGGATGGCAGGTGTTTCATCCTGGACAATCCGAGACACCACCGTTGCAGGCCCACAGGAACTTCATGATATGCCCAAGGCGTAAGTGAAACAAATGTAAATCGGGTATTTTATTTGGCAAAAGACTATTGATAAGATCCAATTCTGCCACTGGACTCTACGCATAAACTCCCTCCCAATGACGATAAGGCACCAACGATCAACTCATGAGGGAGCATCCCCATGACTGCCCCTCTAACATGAAAGGCTCAAGTGAGCAAAAGTTCATTACTAAGGATGTCGAAATCGCACATCGAAAATGCCCTCCGGAAATAACAGTCGTTTACCAGAGATCCTCGGTACTCCGCACCATCTCGACGGTAGGTGTCTTGGGTTCCATTCTCTTCATCCTCTTCCGATCAGCCTTGGTGACCAGACTTGGCGTCATGGGGACGACCGGAGAGAAAGGCTGATACGGCGAGTATGGGACCGGCGCACCAGTCCAGGGCGTCCTCTGCCCCCCAGGCGACAGCGGTCCTGCCCGTTCAAAGACGGTCTGCTTTGTCTGGTGGCTCGACGCCGACGGCGAGGCTAGCGATGGCTCGTAGGCTCGCAGGGGTAGTGTACCGCCAGTGCGGACAGCCGATGGCGCATTGGGCCTAGAGAAGGTCGCTCCCGGCTTGGGCGAGCTCGGCAGCGAGGCGAGAGATGGGAATCGGGTCACCCCTGGCTTGGGGGATGAAGGCAGTCCGACAAGCGGTGTCGTGGACTTTTCCGAGGCGGCCGACACAGGGTCAGCCTCGGTCGTCGCTGATGAGATGTCTCGAGCATGTCGCTGAGGCGGCTGGCCGAGTTGGACGCCGATCCTCTCATCAATGCTCTGAGTGCTCTGGGGCGAGATGTCCGGCGTCAGGGGAGCCCCCATCGCCCGCTGCTGTTGCCTATAGGGGGCCTGATCCGTGGGGATCGGTGGCGGTGCTGCGGGAGCATACTGGCGAGGCGGGATGGCGCTCATCTCCTCGCCCTCATACCGCGGGAAAGTTCCCGACATGGGCGTCATGATGGGGGATGAGATGGACATGCCCTGCATCTTCTTCTTGCGCGGAGATTTCAGCGCGGACAAGATGGAAGACGTGCGCGACTGCGTCTTTTCCTCTTTGTTCAGATTCAAGCTCGACGGCTTCATTCTCTCTTTCTTTGTGAGCGTCGTTGTCGAGCTGTTGGTCGGCGCCTGCCTCGGCTGCGCGCCGGGGATCACCGGCGGGTCGAGGACGATGCCCGCCTCCTTGGCGGCCTCCTGCTCCATCACATACTTGTACATGTCCTCGAGCTGTGCTTGCGCCATTTCTCTATCGGCTGAGACCACAGCTTGGTCGACGGCAAGATCGATGCCGGGAGCCTGAACAGTGGAGATTGGGGAGGGATATATGTAAGGCCTGCCAGGGTCTTCTTGGGTTGGGCTGGTGGGAGACGGATACGAAAAGTTTCGTACCGGACTCGTTGGGGATTGAACTGGGTAGGGGAAATTATCTTGGTTCTCAAAGGCTGAGAAGGTCGCAGGGTAAGCGTATGCGCTGGGCTCGTATTTCTCGGGCTCGTCGGCTGCCTCGAGGTGTTCACGACGGCGCTTTGCTAGGGAAAGGAGAGTGATGGCGACCAGCACCAGCGAAACGGCGTATGCTCCAACGATGCCGCCGATCTGGGCTGGGAGGTAAGTGGTATCCCGAAGGGCTCCGGCAGAGAGTGGAGGGCCTTCTTCAGGTGGCGGATCAGGGCCCCAATCGATGTTGAGCGGGTTGCTGTCGCTTCTTGTTGCAAACTCGGGGGAAGGCGCAGCCTCGACGACGATACCCAGGAGGATAAAAAGGCAGAGTACAGAAAGCAATGAGATTCGGTTATAAATACCAGTGCGCATGATGGAACGAGGCCGGCGGGGATGTCGTGTAAGAAGGCCTCGCTTTATTAAGGCATCGACCCCTTGGGACGGTCGAAACGCATTCTGAGGAAGCGGTGGCATGAGGGGGATGGAGGAAAGATCCGCAGAGCAGGAGGTGTGACCGGGTATATAGCGGCTGGTGATACTGTGATGTTTCTTCGGGCCGTGCTCGACTGTGTCGAGTGGGCGCTCGAGACCAATACCGAGCGGCGACGACTGGTGGAGGTGTGAAATGAACTGCCACTTGCTGATGCCATTTCAGGCACAGGCGGCACCCGCATGACGGCCACAAGAAATAGCGCCCAAGACGATGTGCGATCCTGTTGCCCTCTCGCCTTAGTCTTGCAGCGAGCACGGGAGGTTGAACGGGCGCGGCGGGATGTGGTTGGACGGATCTGCATGGCCGACCGGGGTCGTCTAAGCGCCCGGCTGGAGATCCGGGATGCTATTGGATCGCCAGATGTGAAGACCCTGGCCCATTCCCCGCCATCTGTGCTGTTGTCTGTTGTCCCTCCCAACCAGATCCCGTCGTCGCTCCCCTCGCGAGGCACTGGCACAGTGGTCGCATTTGATTAGGTTCGACAAAGGCCTCAAAGCGCACAATGAGCCCCACGGCTTGCGCTCGTCGAGGCAAGCGGTGGAGGAAGAAAGGAAGAATGGCCAACTCGTGTCTATTTCTGTCAAAGCAAAGCCACAAGAGTATCCGCAGAGCTGTTGGACGGGTTCGTCCTTGGATCTCTAGGTTGTCTCAAGGACAGCCGAGGCGAGTCCTTCGCAGTTGGTCTTCGCCTCGATAGGTGATACGCAGCTGCACAAGGTGCACTAGTCTAATGTGACAAGAACTGATAAGATGCTCCAGCCAGCTCTTAAGGGCCAGGGATACAGCATAAGAATGATTCCTACACGACAAACCTGGTTGGCGTAGACAAGTCGAGCCTGCATCACACCAGCCTGTAAGCGGGGGCCGGGGGGCCGGCGGTTCCAAATGTGACAAAGTGCCGTGACAGCACGCAGATGCTTATGTCGGCACATGAGTAAACTAAGCTTCGAGCACATACAAGTAAGAACTCATGCGACTTCACACCTCTGCCAACTGTCCGGCAGGCCAGGCAGAGTGCAAAGACGCGAGGGTCCAAGCTGCTCTCGTTGGCCAAGTCAGGTTGCTTCTCACAGGCCAACATCCTTGGGCACCTACATAGAGTGCACCTAGTGTGATAAGGCAGGTCAACATCGTGGTCCAACGAATATGCCAGCTTCTAAGGAGGTGTGCCAGAATTGGTGAATGCTCTGCAAGACAAATTGGTAGTAGTTTAAAACATCCAGCTATTGACAGCGATGACAGAGACCAGGTGCAATTGAAGAGCAAAGGTGAAGGGCAGCCGACTTGGAAGACGGGATTTCCGCTTGGCCGTGATTGGTGCAGCACGTGACCACGCAACAAGGGGGTCGCGCTCCCTACGCGCTGCCCTGGATCAAACGCGCTGGTGGTGTAAGGAGACGTCGATCGCAATAGCAGAGAGGTCGCATTTTCCAGAATATTCCGCCTGCGTTGGCCCTTCTTCTCAGCCGCTACGGGCTCATGAAGTGTTGACGCTCGAACAAACTCGGCAGTTGTCGTCTCGTGCTCTGATCCCGGCGGCATTCATCCTCGACCATGGCTGGCGCGTCGGGCCCGCCCACGTTGCTGGACAATCTCAATGCTGCTCAACGCCTCGCAGTCCGCTCTGACAGAGATACTGTCGCCATCCTCGCCGGCCCGGGGAGTGGCAAGACGCACACGCTGACTTCCCGAGTCGCCTGGCTTATTGACCATGTCGGCTATAAACCGGAACATGTCATTGTCGCGACTTTCACCGTCAAGGCGGCGAGGGAGATGAAAGAGCGAATCGGCAAGGCTCTCGGTAATGGTCGAGAGAAGAGAATCATTCTGGGAACCTTTCACAGCATTGCACGCCGTTACCTCGCTGCGTATGGACAGCGGATAGGCCTGGACCAAAAGTTTGGCATCGCAGACGATGCCGACTCGAGAGCCATCATCCAGCGTATCATCAAGCGCCTGCAATTGACTCTCGATCCGCCCATGGCACGAGGTTGGATCAGCAAAAGGAAAGCGAAGGGCACAGGTGATAACGCCCAAGCGAAGCCGCAGTTCGGAGGCAACCAATCACAACGCACCCGCGAGCTGGAGACTTGTTATGCCGAGTATCAAAGCCACCTGGAACGATCCAACCTGCTCGACTATGATGACTTGCTCGTCAAGTGTGTTGAGCTTCTGACCAAATTCCCCTCCTGCGTCTCTAATATCCAGTCTGTACTCATCGACGAGTATCAAGACACCAACGGCGTCCAGTACGAGTTGATGAGACTTTTCGCCCAGAAACACCGGAGAATCACCATTGTTGGCGACCCTGACCAGAGTATCTATGGCTGGCGCTCAGCAGAGATTAGAAATCTTTTCAAGCTACTGCAAGATTACCCTGGAACGGACGAGATATCCTTGGAGGAGAATTACCGGTCGTCGTCTCGCATTCTGGATGTGTCTTTGCAGGTCATCCAACAAGATGAAAAACGATACAAAAAGGTGCTGCTTCCAGTACACCAGAAGGGTACGAAGCCGGTGTTGCGTAAATTGAGGACATCTTCGATCGAAGCGGAGTGGATCGTGTCTGAAATCCGGCGAAGCATTTTGATGTCAGGCAAGATGATCACTCACGACGACATTGCAATCCTCCTTCGCTCCGCTTTTCTGTCGAGGCATATCGAAACAGCACTCGGCAAAGCTGGTATTCCCTATCGGATGGTTGGTAAGTAGAGAAGCTTGCTCTTGTCGTCTTGATGAGCATGCATTGACATAGGCCCAGGCGGCTTCAAATTCTACGAGCGAGCTGAGATCAAAGTAATTCTGGACTACTTGCGAGTCATCCATCAGCCAAATAACAACGACTCTCTCGCTCGAGTGATTAACACACCCAAGCGTGGCGTGGGCGAAGCCACCATCAAGGCGCTCTTAGAAGAGGCTGAGAAGGCCTCTATGAGTCTTTGGGACTTACTCGTCAAGCACTGTAGGGGTGATCGGAGGGCAAACACCAACATTAAAAAGAATGTGGAGAACAAACTGAGCGGCGATTTCATCAGGCTCATCCTGGGTATACAGAAGCGTGTCCAGGAAGCGACTCCCGAAAAGCCTTTTACTCTCGTTGAGATGATTGAGCAGCTCCTTGCTTCACTGAAGTTCGAGAAGTACCTAGAGGACACCTACGGCGAGGACCATGAGGGCAGATGGGCCAATGTCAAAGAGTTCCTTGGCCTGGCCAAGGATTTCATGAAGGAAGCCCAAGACACCGAAGCAGAAGCGCTTCCCGAGGTCGAGGGCGTTGATCAAGTCAAGGAAGTCGAGATTCTCCCTCGCTTTCTCGCCAATGTCTCGCTTTCGTCTGATGCCCAAAAGACCGACGAGGACCAGGAGCAAAAGCCCATGATCACTATCTCGACCATTCACGCTGCGAAAGGCCTAGAATGGCCCGTTGTCTTCGTCCCGTCCGCATACAACGGCTCCATCCCACATATGCGGTCCGAGGACAGCGACGAAGAACGGCGGCTGCTCTATGTCGCCATGACACGGGCAAAAGCCTTGCTCTATCTCAGCTGCCCTCAGTATAGCTCGCACGGGCACGGCGAGGAACTCGAACTGTCGCCTTTCCTTGAGCCCGTCCCTTTGCATTACTTTGCCGAGAGAGGTCCTTCGTTCGACAGGCCGGTGCTCGAAGAGCTTGGTCGTATTCTGAACAGGCAGGTGCCATTGGAGGCTGATATTTACACTTCAATGCCCATGCTCGTCAGCACGGAAGACGATGCGTTCCCGATAGACCCGGAAGACACTTATAAAGTTTCCTCCAGAGACTGGAACGGGTCGGGTGGCTCCTCTGCCGGTGTATCCAGGCCATCAAAAAGGCAAAAGCTGTACGGACCGGCAGGAAGCGTCGACGCCGACGATCAACCACAGTGGAAGCGGGACTATGCTACCACCATGGAGGCGGCGTCCAGCTTTACCGTGCCGTCGCTGCCAGGCTTTGTCAGCGCTGGTGCACATCACACTGCTCTTGCTGCTGCCGAGCCCGTTCCTCCAGAAGCACCTCGCCAGACGGGCCAGAAGGCTCCCGGCAAGGCCACGACGAAGCGACCTGCAAATCAGCAGAGCATGCTCTCATTCGTAAAAGGCGGATCACAACCTGTTCCACATCCAGTCCAGGCACCTGCTCCGACTCCAGTCCAGGCACCTGCTCTCCCACGACCTGGTGTATACCACACAGTCCCGTCAGCTGGGCGAGCATACATCGGTGGCCAGAATACCATGCCGCCCATGAGCTACAATCGGCCACCACCACCGACCATTCAGCCCGAATTCACCGGCCACAGGCTCGGCGGCGGCAGAATGATGAGCCGCCCGCAATACCCACGATCAGAACCGGTGCAGAGGAATGCGTATGTGCAATTCACGAGCTCGCCGCCAACATCGCCGAGCAAGACTGGTGCGGTTGTAGCGCAGGGTGATTATACGGGCGTAGAGAACGCGCAGAACGTGCAGGGAGTCATGCGGCCCGCCGCCTGCCTGCACCAACCGACGACGTACTCGATGCCGCCGGGGCTCGCAGGTTACAAGAGGCCTGGCGGGCTCTCCAGAGAAGGCATAGCCCCGATGGAGAGGCTGCGCAAGCCTTTCAAGCCTCTGACGATGAATAGACCCTCTTGATGACGCACAATAGGCATCGTGACCTGTAAGAGGACAAACTCGCCATTTTTTTCAAGATAACGAGGGGATCACATATTTGTGCTTGTTTTGGGCGTTTGGGTCCGGCGCCTAACATCACGGGTCTTCATGGCTAGAGAATAATGGCTGTTTAGAAGTGGGTGTTGAGTGTGTCATGCTCTGGGAGCCTGTCATTGTCAGCGGCTCGAATTACTTGATGTTTTTCAAGTTGACACAAGTGGCCTTCTCGTGTTGACATGTTCACGGGGATGACGCACCAACCTCACCATGATGAGATGTTAGTGCTTGTTGAATAACAAGCATAACTCATAGGCATAACGCTCAGCCCAGGTATATAAAGACACCAATTGTGTGGGCTGGAAAAGGGAGAGATCAACCTCAATTCAAGCAAAGAGACTAAACCAATCATAATATTGCATAAAACTCCTAACTGAGGACTTTCCAACGATACATCACCGAAAGAGACAAGTCATCATGTCGTCCTACATCGTCAACTTCACCACCGCCCCTCTCCGAGCTGCGACCTCGGCGGCGGTTCGTACTGCTGCTACACGGCCGTCTACCTCCCTAGCCAGCGCCGGTCAGCGCAGCGCCATGTCAACCACGTCGGGCACGGCCGCGCCCGGTACATTCAGCCTGGCAAACAAGCGCACTCGCATCTTGGTCGCGACGGGTCTGTTCACGGGTGGATTCGTGGATGGAGCTCTCTACATGAAGTACACGGGCAACGGGGCTAGCGGGAAGAAACAGGCTTGAGCGCCAACCGTCCATATTTTTGGAAGGAAAGGGTTTCAGTGAGAGACAGACAAGCTTGTAGCTAGTTCATCGTTGCGAGATGCGGTCCAAGTCGAATGGGATAGAATTCACTCTCTTCATCTAGTCGTCGCGATAACTTTGCGTTCTTCTCAATACAATACACAACATTCAACGCTCGGTCTTTTTCCTTTTTCCTTTTTCATTTTCTCAATTAGTCTTTTGGGGCCCCCGGCCGTCAAACTTCCCCTCAGAGTTGATATGAAAACTGACAGGTACATGCATGTCAGACGGGTCGTGGACGATTGCCGTGACCTCGCTTCCACGATGCAGGGACACTAACAGCCTAGACAGGGATGACGTCAAAGCATATCGGCGCTAAAGCCCAAGCCAAGGCGGTTTCTGGGGTTCCTCTTTCGGATTTCTACAGGGGGCTACAGTAGCCACATGCCCTAAAGGGAAACCCCGCGCGGGGAAGGCTCCAGTGATGGCACAGGGAGCACTCCGATCCGAATGCTTTCCCCCGCAGAGAAAGCGCAAAGCGGCAGAGTTGCATTCGCATTGCGGTCAGTGAATTACCTAGGCTATTGTATATGATTTTACAATTTCGCATGTGATGGCAGGTTGGGGGACAGGCAGGTTGTGTATCCTCAAGACAAATAATACACACGAGACCAGAACGCGGAAAGCTGCCCTGGGCGTACGTACCTACATTACTTCATCTCTCGTGGACCCAATCACGATGGAGAAGATGGCCATTTGACTGAAGTGGAAAGGCAAGACACTCCAGCACGGGGTTCCCTGTTCCTGGAAAAGCCTGTTCGAACTTTCTTATTTGACGGCTGGCTCTTCCTTTCGTCTCAAAGTCAAATCTGCCGCACTTCGTCTGCTGCCACTCGTCGCCGCCGCTAAAGTAGAGACAAGACAAGCGATGACATGCTCGGTCCGGTCTGCTGCCACGCAAGGCCCATGTGGCCGCGTGATGGGTTCGACATGTATCATGTATCATGTATCCTGCCTGCGACTTGTACTTGATCTCCCACACCTTTCTCCTCTGAATCGCATGTAACCCTGCAGCAGAACCAGGCACACACACGCGCCCACCCCGACTACTTACGTAGCCAGCTATGCCGTCTTCTCCGCTTTCATTGGTGAGAATCTGAGCAACGACAGGCATGGTAAACCAAGATTTCCGCCGATCTAGCTACGTCTCTCCAAGACCCCTGTAGATGTCGCCCTCGCCAGTGACCATGTTCCCAGAGGGTTAACGCGACCGCTTCGGGTTGCATTTCATCAAAAAGAGTGAGGGGACAGACGCATGCTGTTGATCAGCTGAAAAGCCATGCTGTCCGCCTTCCGCAACCTCGGGTTGCGAAACCCTCCGCCGCCGCCCTCGTCTTCATCTGCTGTCGAGAAGAGGAGACTTAAGGACAGTCCTGCTTGGCACCAAACCTGGGTGGCCGACACTTTTACATCACAGACCGACTTCACCGGCTCAGTCGTCGCACGTCTCTTGCCCGGTCGATCTCGCCAGACCGCCATGACCAACTCGGGTGATTATCTTCCTCTTGAGAGGGACCCGCCTCCGCGGCGCCGGCCTCTGCTCGCTATCTTTACGGCCGTCTCGGTCTTCGCCCTGGCGATCCTGGCTCTGACCCAGCTGGGTGCCTCGCCAAAGAGGGCGTCTTACCAAGCCGGCCAGGCAGAAGCTTTCAAGACGCCTCTGCTCGCAAAGGCCCGCGCAACACCGCCGGGAGACAAGTACCTGCTCGGCGTTGGCAAGGCCGACATTACCGGACCCGTTGTGGAGATCAACTTTGCCGGCTATGCTAGTCTTCCGCAGACCGGCAGCGGCCTGCGCCAGCGGCTGTATTCCCGGGCTTTCATCGTCGGCGATGTGAACAGCCCCAAGGACCGCTTCGTATACATGATACTCGACACCCAGTCTGGAGACACTGGCGTCCGCCGTGGCATCCTCGAGGGCGTGGCAGCACTCGGGTCCGACTATTCCGTCTACGGGCAGTCCAACATCGCTGTCACCGGGACGCACTCCCACAGTGGACCTGGCGCCTGGTTCAACTATCTCCTTCCACAAGTGACCAGCCTGGGCTTTGACAAGCAGAGCTATCAGGCCATCGTTGACGGAGCTGTGCTGTCCATCAAGCGAGCACACGAGTCGCTAACCACTGTAAGACTTCAGATCTATAAGACCTGCGATGAAAATACTAATCGTACAAGGGCTACCTGGACTTTGGAACCACCAACATTACAGATGCCAACCTGAGCCGCAGCTTATACGCTTACCTGGCCAACCCGGCAGAGGAGCGTGCAGCATACGATGACAGCACTGACAAGACCCTAACATTGCTCCGCTTCCAGCGCGAGTCTGACATGAAGAACATTGGCGTGCTCACCTGGTATCCTGTCCATGGAACCTCTATGCTGGAGAACAACACGCACGTCACCGGTGACAACAAGGGCGTGGCTGCTTATCTGTTTGAGCAAGCTATGAAGGGTGACGCCAACGCTGCCGATGGGTTTGTCGCGGGCTTCTCCCAAGCCAATGTTGGCGATACCACTCCCAACGTTCTGGGCGCTTATTGCGACGACGGGTCTGGACAGATGTGTAGCTTCGAGAACAGTACCTGCGCCGATGGTAAGTCGCAGCAATGTCATGGCCGCGGTCCCGAGTTCCAGAAGCTCGACTTGGGTGTTTCTAGCTGCTACGAGATTGGCCGTCGGCAGTTTGCTGGCGCGAAGAATATTTATGTAAGTGTCTATGCCTCGTCTTCTTCGACATTCAATCGCCCGCCGCTGACATTAGATCTTTTGTAGGACGAAATGTCCAGCTCTTCAACACCAGTCGTGGGTTCAAGCGTCAAATCCTTCCATTTCTTCCACGACATGAGGTACTTCAAGTTCCCCCTGGAGAATGGCACGATGGTGCAGACTTGCCCGGCCGCCCTCGGGTACTCATTTGCGGCGGGCACCACGGACGGCCCGGGTGCCTTTGACTTCACGCAAAACGACTCGGGCAAGCCCGACGCGAATCCCCTCTGGGCTGTTGTCTCGGGCCTCCTACGTACTCCAACGCCCGAGCAGAAGGCCTGCCAGTATCCCAAGCCTGTCCTCCTGGATGTGGGAGAGATGGATGTTCCCTATGCCTGGACTCCAAACATCATTGACGTCCAGACGCTGCGCGTTGGCCAGTTTGTCATCATCATCTCGCCCTCCGAGGCGACCACCATGAGCGGGCGGCGGTGGAGGAATGCCGTCCAGAAGGAAGCCAAGACTTTCCTGACCGGGCCGGAGCCGGTGGTCGTGCTGGGCGGGCCAGCCAACTCGTATGCGCACTACTGTGCAACCCCGGAGGAGTACGGCATCCAGCGCTACGAGGGCGCGAGTACCCTGTACGGCCAGTGGGAGCTCAACGCCTACATCAATCTGACCGTCAGCAACCTGCACTACCTGGCGCCCACGGCGACGGGCGGCCCGGACGCGGGACCGGCGCCGCCCGACAACAGGGGGAACTCGCTGAGCCTCATCGCGGGCGTGGTGCAGGACGGCGTGCCCATCGGCAAGAGCTTCGGGCAGTGCACCGGCCAGCCCAAGGCGTCCTATTCTAAGGGCGACGTCGTCAACGCGACCTTTGCGGGCGCCAACCCGCGCAACAACCTGCGGCTCGAGGGCACGTTCGCGGCCGTCGAGCAGAAGCAAGGGGACGGCAGCTGGAGGCAGGTCCGCAGCGACGAGGACTGGTTCCTGGTCTACACCTGGACGCGGACCAACTGGCTGCTGGGCTGGAGCGACGTCGTCATCAGCTGGGAGACTGCGGGCGAGGGCGCGGGATTGGCGGCGGGCACGTACCGCATCCGGTACAACGGCGACGCGAAGAACCTGCTGGGCAAGATCTCGAGCTTCACGGGCACGAGCAATGAGTTTACGCTGAAGTGAGGCGTGTGCGTGATGTTTGTATGGATGATTGGGCTTTTGCTGGTTTGGCTTTGGTGCGATTCGGGATGGCCTGCGTGCAGTTTGTTGGATTGGTGGAAGCAGAATTACATATTCATACGCGAACATTGCCCAACATGCAGATATTGAAAACATGGCTTGTTTTGAAAGATATGGTTTTACTCAGCAAGCACTTTTTGAGACTCAAAAGCAGTTCTTCGGTCTCAAGGGGTTGATGACTCCTGCAGTATGCAGTGCGATCCTGGCGGGGAAGGCGGTTGAGGCCCTGCAGCGCTCGTCGGTTTGACTCGTGGAATTAGATACAGCGTACATGCACTCGAGTTGCAGGGCGTCATCAAACCCTCTCAGGTCATAGGTGCGCCTAAAGCGGAAACCCGAGTCGACGTTGTTCAGAAAGGTTGTTCTTGTGAGACGGAGAGCCAAGCACTCCACCCCAAACTCTGACACATCCGACAACGGAACGGAGACAGGGCCTCTCTGGAAGAATCGGCATTCAAGAAAAGGATTCATGGGATGCTTAGGTTTTGTAAGGAGAAAAATAACGATCAGGAGAGTTATTCATCGTTATGCCAAGCAAAATAAACTGGAAGCCCGAAAGGGCCAAGAAGTCAGCTGCCGGGGCTCTAGGTCCCAGGAGCGGTGGACTTGCATCACGTTTTACAACATCCATCACCCAATTGTCCCGTCGGCTCACCCGTTCGGAGGCCCATCGGCGAGCCGGTGTCCACGGCGGACCAGCCTCCACTTTTGGCGAGCCATTCACGACTCAGGCCATCCCAACGCCGGTCCATAAATGCCCCTACAAGCCTGCACGCCGGCACAAGACTAGCCGCACCCACAAGGCATCTGATGCTCGGGCCGTAATCCCGTACGGACCACGATCATTGCTCCTGGACCGGTGAGGTGTTGGATAAGAGCTCTGTGTTGGGATACCTGCTGCTTTCTCTCTAGAGTCTCGTTTCCACCTTCTTCACAATATACCCTTTCCACGAGAGAACTCGACGATACCACTGTAAGCTGCAGTGAGAAGACACCTGCAGCAAAACGAGCAGTGTACTACCAGCCAGTGCCTCTTTGTTTGTCTGTGAGAGGAATTATTCAATAATAAAACTCACCTCTCAAAAGAAGAGACTCCAGGTCCTGTGCGGATCTTTCGCCGTTCACCATGAAGTTCCGTGATGGCATGTGGATGACGGCCGAGGGCATGAGCGTGCAGCATGCCGAAGAAGTCTACGACATCAGAGAGACCGAGCGAGGCCTCAGTTTGCTGTGTCCGACTAAGCGCATTCTGAGACGAGGTGACACGCTGAACACGGCTACCTTGACTATTGTAAAGCATCCCCAACAGCTCATCTATTCTCGAACAGTGTATTGACCACCCTGCAGGAACTCGAAGCTGAGATTGATGGTGTCATCTCCGTCCAGGCCACCCATTGGGACGGTGCTGTCAACAGGGGGCCGCACTTTGACCTGTATCCCGCAGGCAAGCCCGCCGTCAAGCCGCAGGTCTCCAGGGACGAGCAAGGCACCACTCTGAGCTCCGGCTCGCTCTCCGCCACTGTCCACCCCGGCGAGCACACCTTCAACATCGGCTTTCACGCTACAGATGGCTCCAAGCGCCTGACTTCCATGGCCAGCCGGAGTGTTGGCTTTGCCGTGAACCCGGCTCCGACCTCCGAGCTGGCAGTCGGCGACATGAGGGACTTCAAGCACTTCATCTTTACGCAGACCAGCCTGGCTGTCGGCGAGACCGTCCATGGCCTCGGCGAGAGGTTTGGGCCCTTCAACAAGCTCGGCCAGTCTGTCAAGCTGTGGAATGCCGACGGCGGCACCTCGAGCGACCAGGCCTACAAGAACGTCTCCTTCTGGCTCAGCTCCCGCGGCTATGGTGTCTTCATCGACAACCCCGGCAAGGTCGAGCTCGAGGTCGGCAGTGAACGTTGCAACCGCGTCCAGGCCAGCGTCCAGGGCCAGCGCCTCAAGTGGTACCTGATCTACGGCAAGAACCCCAAGGAGATCCTGTACAAGTACTCCATCCTCACCGGCAAGCCCGGCAAGGTCCCAAGCTGGAGCTTCGGCCTGTGGCTCAGCACCAGCTTCACTACCGACTACGACGAGGCCACCGTCAGCTCGTTCCTCGAGGGCATGCGCGACCGCAACACGCCCGTCGACGTTTTCCACTACGACTGCTTCTGGATGAAGGCCTTTACCTGGACCGACTTTGTCTTTGACTCTGAGAAGTTCCCGGACCCCAAGGGCTCCATCTCGCGCCTCAAGGCCGCGGGGCTCTGCAAGAAGGTCTGCGTCTGGATCAACCCCTACATCGCGCAGCACGGCGAGGCATTCCGCGTCGCTGCCGACAAGGGGTACCTCGTCAAGCGAAAGAACGGCGACGTCTTCCAGTGGGACATGTGGCAGGCGGGCATGGGCCTCGTCGACTTCACCAACCCGGAGGCCTGCGCCTGGTACGCCGAGTGCCTCGAGGGCCTCTTCGACCAGGGGGTCGACGCCATCAAGACCGACTTTGGCGAGCGCATCCCCAGCCGCGACGTCGTCTGGCACGACGCCGAGGCCGACCCGGAGAAGATGCACAACTACTACGCCTTCCTCTACAACAAGACCGTCTACGAGGCGCTGCAGCGGCGCTTCGGCGACGACCAGGCCGTCCTGTATGCCCGCGCGGGCTGCGCGGGCACCCAGCGCTTCCCCGTCACCTGGGGCGGCGACTGCGAGTCGACGCCCGAGGCCATGGCCGAGTCGGTGCGCGGCGGGCTGTCCCTCGGCCTCTCGGGCTTCGCCTACTGGTCCGTCGACATCGGCGGCTTCGAGGGCTCGCCGCCGCCCTGGATCTACAAGCGCTGGGTCGCCTTCGGCCTGCTGTGCTCGCACTCGCGCCTGCACGGCAGCCGCTCGTACCGCGTGCCGTGGACCATCGACGGCGACGACCGCTCCGAGGAGGGCTGCAGCCGCACGCTGGCGCGGTGGACCGCGCTCAAGAACCGGCTCATGCCGTACCTCTTCGCGCAGAGCGCCGAGGCCGCCGACCGGGGCCTGCCGCTGTCGCTGCGCGCCGTGTGCCTCGAGTTCCCCGAGGACCCGACGTCGTGGTACCTCGACCGGCAGTTCATGGTCGGCGACAGCCTGCTCGCGGCGCCCGTGTTCGACGAGGGCGGCGAGGTCGAGTTCTACCTGCCGCGCGGCAGGTGGACGTCGTTCTTCACGGGCGAGGTGCGCGCGGGCCCGGGCTGGTTCCGCGAGCGGCACGGCTTCGGCACGCTGCCGCTGTACGTGCGGGAGAACACGGTGCTGGTGCTGGGCAGGGAGGGCGCGAACAGCGGCGCCGTGTACGACTACGCGGCCGACGTCGAGGTGGCGCTGTACCAGGTCCGCGAGGGCGCCTCGGCGGCGCTGGTGGACGGGAACGGCAGGGCGCTGGGGCGGATCGAGGTCGGCGGGGACGGTAGGCTCAGGGGCACGGAGATCCTCAAGGGTCAGTGGAGCGTCAGTGAGAAGGGGAGGAAGGTCGACGCTGCTGCTGCCGGCAAGGGGATCGAGTTGCTGGAGTAGAGGTGGCTTCAAAAGGGTCGGACTGCGGCCTCTAGGTGACACTGCGTAGGCGGGTTTCTAGATATTTCCCCCCCCCCCTCAAAACAGATCAAAAAGGCAGCAACTGCAAAAAACGCCCTCTATGCTAGAAACGTGCTCTTCCCAATCTGCGTTGTGAAGTATTCCATGCTTCCAACGCCGGTGACTGTACATAACTGAAAATGTAAGGGCAAAATCGGTGCAGTATTTGGTGTAAGTTTAGCCCGAGAATCACCTATAGGTATGAAGTGTGCTTTTATCCTCCAAGTGATAGAGTTGCTCCGGCCCCCTTTACACCCTCCCGGGGACCAAAACACAAGTCGACCCCGACTCGCTCTCCAAGCTGCTTCCTCCTGACATTCCCAAGATCAGATCTCCTGCAAGACCTTGAAAAAGTGTGAACAGGCTAGATTTCTTCTACGGATCTCTAGATCCTCGTTCACAGAAAAGTCTTCCATCGTAGTGACACTTGAATGTAAAGTCGGGCTCCAGCGTGCTTCTCCACGGGTGCTCGACACATCGTGCTGGGTGTTTCGGGTATCGTAACGGTACGTGATAGGCACTTCCCCAGCGGGTCCTTCATGCTTCTCAAGGGCCTGCGGGAACCTGAGGAGTATCGCATGTTAGAAGAAGGCAAGTATCTTCGACTTTTCTACTGGACCCGCTGCTGCTCAACAAACTGCTCAAGAATTTCGCTCGGCTCAAGCAGTGAGAGGAGCTGACAGAGAGATCTCAAGTGCAACACGCACACGACCAGGTTCAGATGCGGAAGTATAGAGATACCGGAGGATGCGGAGGCTGGAGTGAGCGAGTATATTTCTTGTTCGAGCTCGTAATGGCAGTCTCTCGTCGCCGCTTTCCAGCGTGAAATCGCTCGTGCGCTGAATGGTCCGCTCCAGGTGCTGAAAAGCTGGATGCACGGCCGGTCTTGTACTCGCGAGAATCGAAATATGCATGCTTGGTGCTGCTCGGCATGCCAGATCTCCATGAGGTCAAGCAAGGGCATTGATCGTGCTGCTACTGCTGCTGTCTGGATGAGGGTGTCATGGCCGTTGATACTGAGGGCGGGAGAAGTCAGAGATATGAACTTCAGTCTATGCCACATCAGTTCGTTCGATAACCGAACGTCTCGGTAGGCGGCATTAAGGAAATCCTTTCCATCAATCATGTGGGAGATATGGAGGTTGGCAAGGTTCTGGCTCGACTTTGCAAGCGCCTCTGCTAATGCGGGATCGTGCTCCTTGATTATTCGGCCGTGGTAGTCGTGGGCGGAATTTTCAAAGAGGGATACTGCCCCCAGATTGGGCATATTTCCGAGTTCAGACAGTAGGAGTCGATGCTCTTCATCTCGTATCGCAAGTCCAGAACGTCCTTCAGTATCAACTCCACGCCAGGGCTCATATCTGAAGCCGTGAAGTCCCTGCAGGCTGTGAAGGATCGGCTTCAGAGCGTTGGAAACTGAATAGTGGCGATAGAATTGCCGGCGTATGATGAGCAAGCTGACGCAGACCACCTTTGGGAGGGTGCCGTTCAGATGTTTGGCATAAGAGGCGCGGAAGTCAAGTGACAACCCTCCGGGGCGTCCGAATACTCTTCTCAACTCGCCCCGCCCCAGCCAGGGACGCGGCTCCGTGCCTATCCAACAATGCTTCTCGTCGTAGATAGACACCTCTCGCCAGCTTATGAGATCTGGCCACTCTGGAGAATCGATCCAGGCTGAATCATAGCTTTGAGACTTCAACTCCTGGCAGAAATGTTCCACATCGCTAGGGGAGTGCACACTGAGGTCCAGGGCTACCCCGCGATGCCGGTAGCCCGTGTATATGGGCCATGTCGAAAGGACGGCGAAGAGACGAGCAATCGCATTGGTGAAGCAAGTATTGTTTCTCCTGATCTCCTTGGGCGACTCTTGTTTATGGCACTTGCGGCAGTTGTACTTTGGGAGCTCCACCCGCAACCATACCCATTCCACCCAGTACCTGCGTTCACCATGCACATAGTGCTCGAACAAAGGTATGTCGGATTGGTGTAGAACAAGGGTTCTGAAGTTCCGTTTCTCGAAGAAGGACTGCCAAGCCCGGCAGACAGTGGCGTAGGCCGATGCAGTGTGGTTTTGCAGGGCGCGCTCCGAGGGATCGAATCGTTCTTTCGACACCTTGAACGAAGTTCTTCGCAATATCTCGAAGATAATCACCCATACATCCCAGGGGAGATCGTTCCAAGAGCCGGCCATGATGCGATAAGGAGGATGAGCTTGGCCTACCACGTGGGATCTCGTCGAAAAGCATTTGTACTCCTTCCCACGAGAAGTTTCACTCCGGTTTGCGCAGATTAGTTTCATTGCAAGCCATTATATTGGTCGAAAGGGTAATCTTGCCACGTCTGCCCATCAACAAAAATTCCAACTCACGCCGTAGAATGGCTGAAACCAGCTTATACCAAACGTGGTCCTGCTGAGCACGGAAGAAATTGAGTGTCGTTTAAACCTCGCGTCCGTGGCCCAAGTGGCGAAACCCTGTGGTACCAGGGAAGTCATGGTATTGAATTGAGACAAGTCCGAATGTTGTTATGATCATGCAATTTTCATTGTTCTATATGGTGAAGTCCAGACCGGTTCGCTTTGACCTAGTATTTCCAGTTCGTAATCAATCTAACATGCTGTTCTTGATGGGTATATCGTCTAAATTGCCTCTTCCGAAATTTTGCTTTTAGAATTCATAGTCGCCTCGCACCGAGACCTTGGTGCCAAATTTCCAGACCTCTTCGATGACGAGGGGGGTACCGGACTCGTCATTGTCCGAGAGGATGACTAGGTCTGCATCGGCACCGGGGTCCAGCGAGCCCTTGATGCCTTGGAGGCCGAGCATTGCTGCCGGGGTGACGGTTACTGCTTTGAGGGCCGCTGAGGTGCTCGTTCCGGTCCACTTGATAAAGTTGTTGACACACTGGATCAGAGTGATAGTACTGCAAAACAACATTAGTTAGTACAGGAGAGAGAATTCCCTGTGGAGCTTGGTGTCTGTGGCTTACCTGCCAGCGATCGTTTCCGAGTTCTCAAGCAGGAGGACCGTTCCCTTCTTGACGAGATTGTTCTGCTCATCGCCGTTGGTCCAGGTGTAAGTGCCATCAGGCACACCAACCAGGTGCATGGCATCAGTCACGAGGATGAAGCCGTCTGGGTGGGCGTTGAAGGCGATCTTGATCGTGGTCGGATGTAGATGGATGCCATCGGAGATGATGCCAAAGTACGGGCGGGGCAGGCTCTCCGCGATACCCAGAACACCGAAAATGCCGGGATTGCGGTGGTGCAGAGGTCGCATCGCGTTAAACAGGTGCGTAATCATCGTAGCGCCCTGGCCAACGGCCGCCGAGGCCTCCTCATACGTCGCTTCCGAATGCCCGATGGAGTAAATGATGCCTCTTGACGTGAGTTCCGGGATCAGTTTCGTCATCTCTCCAACCTCGGGAGCGGCCGTGAGCATCTTCACCGGCAATGGCCCCTCGGCGGCACCGGGAGTGATGTTCTCCGCACCGTAGATCGTCTCCAGATCGTCCCAGCTATGCGCCTCCCGCATGATATTGGTATTGTGAACACCATGCTTCGTGCGACTCAGAAATGGTCCTTCAACGTGAGCACCTAGTGATTCGGCGCCGTCTTCGGCAATCCGCAAGTGTCCGGAAGGTCCGAGGAAAGGTAGGACCTGGTGTTCTGTGTCAGTGAAGCTGCATCACGGACTACGACACCCCAGGAGGCCTCTGCAAGTGACTTACACTGTGGTACAGCTCCTTTGTTTGGCTGGTCACAGTCGGTATGTAGGATGTTACTCCGGTCTGGACCAACCTTTTGTTTAGGTCTCTCAGCTTCTTGCCATATTGTGACATATCGTCAAATTGTGTCGAGAAATTGAAGCCGAACGCTCCATTGAGCTGGCATTCAATGAATCCAGGGGCGATAAGACGGCCGCCGAGGTCGATCGTCTCGTCCGGTAGAATCAACTCATCATAAAATGCTGTCTGGCTTTGGATGACCTTGCCAGTGACGGAGCTGATCCAGAGATCCTCTTCGACGACGTGATCGCCGCGAACCAGGCGGCAGTTGGTAAACTTGGTGATGCCATTCTTGGCTTTGGGCTGTGGGATGGCAGACGGCATGATTGCTGTCACGGCGGATGTGTTGTTGGGATATTGAGGTTTGCAGGTTTGATTTCGAGGACTGTTGTCCTTTCTTTCCACTTTTGAGGCTCCATGGGAGAGAGTGCCAAGGTAGAGAAATGGCCAGCAGGTGTAGCTTATACGTAACTTTTTGGCGATACCAGAGAACCTTACTACTGCCAGCCAGTGCTAGTCTGGTGCTTCTCCCATACAGTGGATCTGGCCTGGGCCTTGCAAAGTCAGTCACGGCATGGCAGCGGAGTGGCAGCTTAGTAGAGTGAGGTAACGAGCCCACAATGGTGATATCACTGGCCACAGGTGCCGGCCGCGATCTCCGGGTGGTCAGTGTACAGTATGGCACAGTGTAGCCGAAGCCCGAGAGCTGGCCGGTGGCTTGTCAACGACAAGTCCTCCGGAGCTGGGCCAGTGGGCTGTCCACATGCCCACCTGGTGCTGTCACATTCGTCAATTCTAGAAGCTGTCTGGGATGGATCGTGATAGAGAGAGGGTGTAGGTACCTTAGATAGGCCTATCCTGGTTGATGGTCCGCCGTAACCTTGCCCGATCTTCCGATCAATTCTGGAAATTCCATTTCCTCTTACTCCGTAGGTCCTGTTCAGCGCGCGCAGACCTCTGACAGAGCGCCACAGGGAACATACCATTGCCCTATCTGGAGACACACTTTTTTTTCTTCCTTGTTGGCATGTCACACATAAAGAGGACTTGAGATCTGGTGCTGTAGGATGTAACGTTGCCGCATTGAAGGCGCCGACGGGTGGGTGCGTGAGTGGCCAAGCCCGCTGAGCGAAAAGCTCCCGACAGTGGGTTTGAGCTTGCTCCGGACCCCAATTAGGCAATCGTTACAGGGCTTACCGCTACAGGACTAGCGCTCCTAGCTCGACTGTTCCCCGCCAGCACTGCATACCAGAACGAGGCCAATCAACCTTAATCGTCGTTTTGACCAATCAAGTACGGCCCTGCTGTTTTCCTCCCACATGTTCTCGTCTCCTTCCTCATCTAGCGACTCAAGCACATTCTTAGTCAGCCTGGGGTGCTTCAAGCAACCACCACAGGCGGCACCGCAGATCGCCTGCCGCTGCTCTGACATTCGATGGAATTGATTCACGTCTGCTGAGACCGGCTCAGTCAATTGATTGATCTTCGGCCCACATCGCCGGCCCGGGATCATCGCCAGCCTCGTGCCTTACTCCAGCCTAACGCTTTGAGCCACTCGCAGTACGTCTTTGGCTGTAGTGGCTGCTTGTCCATCATTGCCCTGGGAGAGAGGTACCAGCCACCCTTGTCCCCTTCCGCGAGCCTCACTCCTGTTGCTCTCGTATTCAATACTCCAGTACTGTGTCCCTAGCCGACCATTCCTCCCGTCGCCTCGGCTCTTTGAACTCCGTGCAAGGCATGCGTCTCTCTCATAGGCTGTATCCTGTGACGCCTACATTGGACGACTGCCTCGCATAGCACTTCTCTTAAGGTTCAGTCCTGTATCCTGTTCGCTATGGCGAAAACAGAAGCTGAGCTGGACCCACTATGGCATGACCTCAACTGGTACGTATCATGGAGCTTGTTGGTCCCATCGTGCCCGGAGGTAGTTCTACTGTGGGCGCAGCCGACCAAGGCCGGGTGCCGGGTGCCGGGTGCTGCACCGTCCCGGAGTGCAGATGCTGATGACTGTTTCAATGCAGGGCTGTTGGTCAGATGTTGATTATGGGATGGGATGGTCATGAAGTCACACCGCAGATCCGTAATTTGATCGAGGAACACCATCTTGGGTCAATACTATTGACGGCCAAGAACTTAAAGTGTAAGTTCCCCTCTCCTTGCCGGATACACTAGGTGCCTGGCGGAGCTCATCGACAATCCTCCCGTCGCTCTCTGCTGATCCCTGCCTTCAGCCGCCCACGAGACTGCGAGGCTAGTCCAGGAGCTGCAAACTATTGCCCATCAAGCTGGACATCCTCAGCCATTATTGATTGCAGTTGATCAGGAGAATGGCGGCGTCAACAGCCTATTTGACGAGGACTACATCTGCCAGTTCCCCAGTGCCATGGGGGTGGCTGCGGCTGGGAGTCCCGATCTCGCATACAGCATCGCCAAATCCACAGCTACCGAGATTGGCGCAGTCGGCGTCAATATGATCTTGGGTCCGGTGCTTGATGTCCTGACCAACGCTCGCTATCAACCTCTCGGTGTCCGAGCTACTGGCGATGATCCCCAGGAGGTTTCACAGTATAGTATCGCAGCCATCAACGGGTACAAGGATGCGGGACTAGCAACCTGTGGCAAGCATTTCCCCTCCTACGGAAACCTGGACTTCCTGGGCTCGAGCCTTGATGTGCCCATCGTCACGCAGACTCTCGAGGAGCTCAGCCTGAGTGCGCTTGTTCCCTTTAGGAACGCAATCAATACCGGCCGACTGGACGGCGTCTTCGTTGGTGGCGCCGGCATCACCAACCCCTCTATGAACGTCAATCATGCCTGTCTCTCAGATCAAGTAGTGGACGACCTTCTCAGAAACGAGCTCGGTTTCAAAGGTGTCGCCATCTCGGAATGCCTCGAGATGGAGGCCTTGAGCCACGAAATTGGCGTGAAAGGTGGCACAGTCATGGCCGTAGAGGCTGGCTGTGATCTTGTGCTTCTCTGCCGTGCCTACGATATTCAACTCGAAGCAATTGCTGGCTTGAAACTGGGTGTCGAGAACGGAATTATCCCAATGTCCAGACTGCACACATCGATCCAACGAATCCAACGCCTGAAGAACACATGCACTTCCTGGGCTAAGGCGCTCAACCCCCCAGACATTTCTCTTCTTTCTAAGATCCACCCCAGCCATCTCGCCCTTTCCAGAAAGGCATACGATGACTCAATCACTGTCATGAGGGACAAGGATAAGCTGCTTCCTCTATCCCGGTCTATGCACCAAGAGGAAGAACTCCTGCTGCTCACTCCTCTGGTGAAACCACTTCCCGCATCCACTGCGACCAAGTCACTGAATGAGCTGAAGAATGGAAAGGAACGCAACATCCCAACTCTCCATGACCAGTGGCAACACCGGGACAGAAATGCAATCATGAGTGGCGAGGGAGTATTCAGAGAACTTGGAAGGTCATTGGCACGCGCAAGGCACGGAAAACTCTTGCATACATCATACACGGCCAATGGAGTCAGACCCGGTAAGTATCTGCATCTTCTTCCATGCGTGACTCTGATGTGGGCACTGACCGCAATGCGAAGTGCACGAGAACCTGATAAATCGAGCTTCCTGTATTATCATTGTCACGGCCGACGCAAATCGGAATCTCTACCAAGCCGGGTTCACCAAACACGTGGCAATGATGTGCTCGATGATGCGGGCTAGCGGCCAGAAGAAATCGCTGGTTGTCGTGGCAGTCAGTTCTCCTTACGATTTCGCCATGGACAAATCCATTGGGACTTATGTCTGCACCTTTGATTTTACGGAGGAAGCGATGCATGCTCTCGTACGAGGTCTGTTCAGCGACACGCCGCCTCGCGGAACGCTCCCCGGCACACTGAGAAAGAGCAAGAAAGTGCTCAAGTCGAGGCAGCAATGGCTCGTGGAGAATTACCAGCGAGACCGAGACGCCAACCCTCTTGACAACCTCATTCATACCTTGTCGAGACCAAACGCATCTGCTCTGCAATTCCTAAGCTATACGCGAGCCGTCTCCTTTGAACTCTTCAACCCGAGTATTGAAGAGGCACACTTTGTGGTACGGAACAGCAGCACGCAGGCTCTGTATGGCTTCTGTGCGACATACTACGCCAAAGGCGTCGGCATCATCGGTGCCATCTTTGTGGATCCGGGGAAGCGCAACGTCTCCATCGGCAGATCTCTACACCGCCGCGCCATCCGCCATCTGACGCAGAAACGCGGCGTGAAGAAGATTCAACTAGGCACCGCGTTCCCTGGTGTGTTCCCAGGAATACCGGTGGATGATGGCACCAATGTCAAGCAATGGTTTGCGAACAGTGGTTGGGACATATCCTTCCCGAGACGGATCACAAATTTGGGCATTAGTAACCTGGCCTCGTGGACGCCGCCAGAAGGCCTCGCACGCCACATCGGGAGTGCAAGCATTAGTTTCGACCTCATCCATGGTCTCGATAACGCAGAGAGCGTCTTGAGCCATGTAGCGACTCACGCCGGCCCGGAAGCATTCGAGCTGTATCGGTTCGCTCTCCAGGAGACCAAGACTTGCGGCGTGGTTCGTGCCAAGAGCCAGGTCGACAGCCTTCTCGGCACTGTCATCATCTGCAGCCCTGGCAGCAACCTGTCCACCTACATCCCTGCACTGCAGCCGAGCTACCGGGACGAGCTTGTGGGGGGTATCATTGCACCCGTGGTGCCAACAACAGCCCAGGCGACCACAGTATTGCAGGGCCTGGCGCTTATGGGCGTGCGGCAGAACAAGGCGCACAAGTCGCAGCGGAGTGTTTTGAGTTGGGTGACAGACGAATCCTACGAGCCACTCCTTGCCATGCAGTTCGAGGTGCTGCATGCATATGAGGAGCTAACGAATTCCCCAGACAATGTAAGTCTGCCCTTGGGAGCCAACGGAACCCCCCTGTTCTCATATGTATTTCCTTGAACTAACCTTTTTCCACAAACACAGTGGGTTGATCCATGATTCGGCCTTTGGATTGTGGCATTTGGATACGTGCTTGGCGATACGGTGTCGGCTTTGTTTGATTTCCCTGATGTGATGCTGATAAGTACTTTATGGACCAAGCATGGTTGTAAGCCTAAGTCGTCGTCCTGCCTTTTTCAGTCTCAAATCCCAAGTCTATTTTTGTCAGGAGCGCGGATATTGGGCAATCTTGTTATCTTTTTTAGCTTTATCTTGCAGGTACTTTGTGGGTCCTCTGATTTGCCTGCCCGCCGATTAATCCAATCATCGACGGCCTCGCCAGCTGACATGACAGCGCTTGAAAACCGTCCCTGATTCATGAAGAGGTCCTGTTTGTTCAGATGGGCCAGGTACGCAAGTAATCATGGATGGATGTGCGACTAGGCCCGGGGCCAGTTAGTGCTTCTGCAGCGACATGGAAGAAGCCGCCTGCTAACTCCTTGTGGACATGGATGCGTCGAGGAAAGTGGCAGAAGCAAAAGAAAGCATCGATTGATGAGAAAATATCCGACCCATGTGAAGCAAGGGACCCCGCGAGCCCACAGCATGGCCTGCTCTTTTTAGCGGGCCCCAGGGTGTGCTTGGCGGTGGCCTCGGCATCACTAGGCATGGTGGGATCCCCTAAGGCCACCCTAACGAGCCACTAAGCCGCTAGACCGGGCGCGCTCTTGTCGGCGATATTACCCCAGCTTTTTGTGTCGAGAGGGCATTGCGCCGCCGTGCCGTCCGTGTCTTCGAGGTCGTTTCCACAGCTTGTCTTTGTCTTCCGTCACCCACGCTCACCACTTCTCGGCCACCCCCCCCTCCATAAGCACCCCCTCAGAAGAGACCCTGGCCCCCGGCCAATCGACGGACAGAAGGCCAAACGGGCAGACGGGTAGATTCACTGGACAGCCAATTATCGCTTTCTGGGTGGGATCCAGATTCCTTTTGCGTACAAGGGCCAGAAACGGTCGGTGCTGTTCGTTTCGCCGCCGACTATCCTCGCAATCTCTCCGCACGAGACCAGACCACACCACCACCGCACATCACACTACTACCCACTACATTCATACATGTGCCTGGCCTCTGAGCGTCTATTGCACTCCAGGGAGCGACTGATTCTGCAAAGAGAGTTTTCAACACTGCCTGTGAGGCATGCGCGACGACGACTGAGCGCATCCGCTGTTCAATTGCGACCGGGACAGCACACGATAGGAAACTGCACAGCGAGCTCTCATCTGACCCTTCGGGAGCCGAAAGCAACAAAGACCCGAACTGCTCAACGAGGGCGCAGGCGCAAGGCGAGGCGCACCCAAGGATGCGAAGATGGACGGCTTCAGCTCCATGCCAGCGCTGTCCAACGGCGGCAACACTGGCGATCCGCTGGTGCTGAATGTCAACCCCGGCGGCCAGTCGCTGGGCCTGGATGCCTTCGATCCAGATATGCCATTCGATGATGGCTTACTGTAAGGCCACTCCTGCTTCTGACCTACTTGACCACTTGTTGCGATTTCCGTGGCTCGTTCGTTCTCGTTCTGGGTGGCGGCGTAAAAGCGCACCGATGTGAGAGAGGCTGGCGCAAGCTCGCCCATATGCTGCCTCTCGAGCGCTTTGCGCCCATCGCCTATACACAAGATAATACTCATTTCGCAGGCAAGACTGTTGTGCTGACCCAACCTGCCAGAGACACTGTAAACAACGGGCTGCAAATACCTTTCACGCCTTCGTACGACTTCGACAACTTCTCTAACTTTGAGGATCCTTTCTCCTACTCTGCCCCGCGCCCATACGATGCCACTACCCATGTCAATGCCACCGGACTCGGTGTCCACACCTACCAGCACGAGTCTACGGAGATGTATGGCCATACCGCCGACTCACCACAGGAGCTCGACAACAAGCTCCTGGGCTTCTCCGCGCCAGTTCCATCAGGCAAGGCTCATCTGATCGATGGCGATACGGGCCAGCTCGTCACCGATCTGGAGATGGCTGCCGAACTCTTCGGCATGTTCTTCGTCGCGGAAGACGTGTATAATGCTGAACCAAATTCGAGTCGCCCACTCGAGCTGACATGCTACCGACGTAACCTCTGGCAATGCTCTGGCCAGCTGACGTTGCCCCGCCACATCACCCAACTTGTGGATGAGAATGGACGGCAAATGCCCATCGCCGAGCTAGCTGCCAGCATCACTGCAGTGGAAAGCATCGAGGGAAAGTCTACAGAGATTATTTCCATACCGTGGAAGAGTGCTGCGGCCGCAGCCGCGGCGGCGGCGGCGAACGGCGCGAGCAGTACTACGCAAAGTACCGAGGAGGCCGCCAAGGTCGCGAGTGCACCACCCAGAGTGACACTCGATTTGGCCGCTGCTGCCGAGGCCGAGGGTAACGACTCTGATGGGCAACGGGTGACTGTGCCCGTGAGCTGGAAGAGACTGCAGTTCAAGCATGCCACGGCCAACAACGGCCGGCGCAAGGGGCTGCAGCAGCATTACGTTGTCCAGATCAACCTGCTAGCCCGGTGTGCCGCCACCGGAGCCGAGTCACCATCGGCGGCCGAGTTTATCAAGATTGCCGAGATCCAATCCGGGCCCGTGATCGTGCGGGGCAGGAGTCCGCGGAACTTCGACAGCAGGAAGGACGTGCCTCTGACCGGCAACAGCATGGCGAACGCCGGCGGCATGGGCGAGAGGAAACCCGGGCGGAGCATGTCCAACGACACGCAGGGCTCGGCGATGGGCACGATGCAGAAGACGGATAGGACTGAGCTTGCGCAGAATCTCCAGAAGTATCATTCTCTGGGGAACTTACAGGTATGTAGTGCGATCCCAACATGTCCCGTGTCGATGCCCATTCTAGGCTTTTACCCTGACCATTATCGCAGCAAACCGGAATCGACTGGACAACAGCCCAGGCCTTTGGCACTCCGACTCTACCACAGCAGCAACACCCGCCCAAGAAGATGGCCTTGGCATCTCCGAGTCTCGCAAGGCCGCCCGTGCCTGCGTGGTCCTCACAAGACTCGATAATATCAAATACGACGCCGACCCCGACGCACAAGCAGTTGCACTCGACGCCTACCAAGGCCGGGCTCGTCCGTGGTGGGTCCTCGGGCAACGTAACAGCCGGCCCGACACCGACGCTGCCGATCAATCTGTCTCTCTCGGAAGACGAGCGGAGCCCCAATCGGTCCAACTCTGACACCATGTCTAGCCCGCAGCTCACGACCAAGATGGCTGCTGCCAGCGGACTGGCCGGCGAGGGCACTCGGGCCAGCCCCATTGAGGACGGCGAGCTGCTGTACGAGTACTTCCCGCTCAGTCTGGACGACTGGTTAGTGGTTTTCCCAGTACCGAATCGATTCGTTGTGAGAGGTGCACAGGAGACTGACACTGTAGGACGAAACAGGATGCCACCGGTCGACGCGATCTACCGACCCCATGTTGTACACCATACTGTCGTGCCGCCCGAGGTGCAGGCGCAACAGTCGCGGAACCGGACGAAGCGGTACTTCATGCCTGATTAGAAACAGGTCCTGTGATTTAGGTTGTAAGCCGTTTTGCAGCTCGGTCGGTTTTCATTCGTGCGCCAGTTTGCATAACAGCAACAGTAGCGAGCAAAAAGAGATACCAAACATGTATTGAGACTTCTATGACGGTTGAGCTTCGTCGAGAGCATCTATTTCCTTGTTTTTTTCTTTTTCTTTCTTGGAAAAGGGATCGCAGTACGTACATCAGCGTATGGAGTGGGCTCTGCAGACACCATGTACAACTACAGTGTTTTTCTTTTTACCAGCACTCGGCTACATACAGAATAGCACAATTATTGAAACCAGTACAGGCACTTGTTTGTTGTTATGGAGGAGTGCCATCACAAAGATGCCATCACATCTTTGTGCCGAAGACTATTGGGAGTTTGTTTGTAGTATGCGCGTGCGTGGGCTTATTTGATGCTCCGTTTCTCTATGTACTCTGCGATCCTAGTAGCCAACGACACTGATCCCAACGTTGAAGAGTAAAAGCAAGAACAGAGGAAGGAGAGGTCAGTCAGGGGTGCGAGAAAGCCCAGGATTCTCGCGCCCCTTTGGACCCTCTCCATGTATGCGTAAACGCTCCCATTTGGCTCGAGATGAAAAAGAAAGAGGCGAAGAAAAAGCCAGGTCTCATCAAGGAGAAGATTGGAGAAAAATCATCTCCCTCTGACCCTAGCAATGCTATGCAGGCAGCGTCCCCCCCAAAAAGCCGCGACGGCAGAAAGAGAAAAGAGAAAACAACAAGTCATGGAAGAAAGTACTAAAACTTTTCTCTTTGCTATGTACAAGAAAGGGCCGAAGAGGGGAGGAGAAAAGGCAAGGATACGAGGGAAGAATGTTTGTCATTAAGTGTCCTTGAGGGTTGTGGGAGGGAGGGAGGGTAGTAGGAGGTCGGTTGGGTAGGTATATATATATATGAGTGGTTTCCTTTCGTGGTGTGGTTCATGAGCCCGGTCTTTGTCCAGAGTCTTCCTTTTAATTGGCCTTGCCCTCCTCGAGGCAGGCCAGCGCCACCGCCGCGCCGAGCAGGGAGCTCTCGTGCGCGGGGATGAGCTCGACGGAGGCGGCGCCCGCCGCGTTGGGACCCGCGGCGGCGACGACGAGCTCGTCGACGTACCGCTGGCAGGCGGCCAGGTAGCCCGGGTACCGCTCGATGACGGAGCCGTTGAAGGCGACGACCGTGTGCAGGATGTCCAGCTCGGCCCGGGTCTCGGCCGCCGCGGCGAACGACGAAGGCGGCGCCTCGGCCGACGCAGAGGCCGAGGCAGAGACCAGGGACTCGAGGTACTCGGCCTCGGCCTCGGCCTTGAGCTCCCACAGGCCCGAGACGCAGGCGGCGACGATGGCGGCGGAGCGGCGGGAGATGAAGGAGGCCAGGGTGCGCAGGGCCGTCATGTCCAGGCGGGTCGGCGCGGCGGTCGACGGGTGGCGGGTGCGGAAGGTGTCCAGGGCGGTGTCTAGGGTTGAGGAAGTGTCCCTGTCGAGCGGGTTAGTGAGAGAGAGAGAGAGAGAGAAGAGGAAAGGGAGACATTGGCAAGGAGGAGGAGAAAGGTAGTCGACGTACTCTTCAATAATGGACAGGGTCTCGGTGTCTAGGGAGTATGGCGAGAGCAAGGATTCGGGCACCACGCCGCCAAAGATGCCAGTGGTCTCGATGGCCTCGACGAGGGCTAACCTGCAGATCTCGCCGAGGTAGTAGCCGCTGAGGAGGTGCTCCAGGGGCTGGAACTCGGGCTTGGGGTGGGCGGCCTTGAGGAGCTTGTCCCACCGGGTGAGCGGCAGGATGTCGTGGCCGAACATGCCCAGCTCGGTGTTGATGATGACGTGGCTGGCCTTGTCGAACCAGCTGGAGGGCCGCGTGCCAAACTTGGAGCGGTGGACGGTGCAGGTGGGGAGGTGCACGGCGATGTTGACGCCTGTGCCCAGGATGAGCCCGAACCGTGTCGTCGGGCTGACGTAGGACTGGGAGAGGAGGGCGGCTGTAGAATCGTTGACGATGGCGGCGAGTTCTACGTTCAGCTTCTGCTTCCGGCAGGCGAACTGGATCACCTCGCCCAGATCCTGGCCGAGAAGGCCGTTGGCAGCCAGGAAGCCCTTGCCCATGCCCTGAAGCAGACCGCCTTTTAGTGACGTTTGCCTGGAGGCGGTTGTTAGTGGTGATGATAATAAACAAGGATATGGTATCAGGAGATGGAAAAAAAACTTACTCGATAGGGAAACTCCAAGCCAGGCCCATGGGGATAGCCTTCTCGCTGTGGTCCGCCTGCAGGGACTCGGAGACGGTCTCGTGTATCCTGACGGCCATCCAGTCGAAAAAGGCCATGCCCTCGAGCTTCTTGATCTCGGGGGTGATCTTGAAGCTGCGCATCCGCACGATCTCGCTCTCCTGTCCCTTGAGCCCTCGCCCCCTCAACTCGACCAGCGCTACCCTCAGGGTTGACCCCCCGACATCGAGAGACAGATACTGGCCCTGCTCGTGCCCGGCCGGCAACTGGTGGTTGTAGGAGGGCAGCATGCATGAAGGGTTGTTCCAGAGCCTCTCTCGGAACTGGGCCTTGAACCGCCTGGAGAGCGTCTTGAGCTCGTCGGGTTCTATGGGTTGCAGGAGCAGCTCATCTGCCTCCTTGAGAAAGTCTTTTATGCTCCTCCGCGCGGTCCCGTCTACCTTGGCTGTGCGGTCTGTGGCGGCCTCGACAGCTGTGGGGTTGAACCAGAAGGCGAGGATGGCCTGGAGAAGGGACCTGCCCCGGAGGAGGCTCTTGAGAGCCGTCAGGATGGCGTTCCGTAGGGTTGTCATTGTAGATCTGATTGACGGCATGACATGGCAGTCGAAGGTGACACAAAGATGGAGGAGGGTGATGGGGGTTTATTTTAAGAAGGGCCCCGGGGCTGCTAAGAGGATTTTGATGGGATGACGGTGGATCGAGATGGGAGGCCAGTATCCATAACTCGTCTTCCCAGCACCACAATAGCAGATGGCGGAGAATACGGTCAGGTTATGGGGGAGTTGTGGTATGGTATGGCCTGGTCTGGTCCCGGTATGGGTATGGGTATGGGTATGGGAAAGGGAACCTCACACCTCCCCCCAACACGTAGTGTCTAGCCCGCGAGGCGCAGGGCAACGAGACAACAGCACTAAGATGAGCTGTCACCGGCAAGTCGGGAAGGGCAATGAAACCTGTGGACTGGGCGTCTATGGAGCGATGCAGTGTGTATGCGTAGAGCAGAAACGAAGAGCCTCTAGCGTCTCCGTCTCACCATCCCGGGCGTGAAGCGAGGCCAGGGACGTGTGGGGTGGGTTATGAAAATAGAGTACGTTTGAGTGCTTGTGTGCGTGATGTGTATGTGTGTGTGTGTGTGTGTGTGTGTGTGTGTGTTTTCAGACGTGTGTGCTGGAGCATAGACACATACACGCACAAGGGACAGAGCGAGAGACACAAACTCAGACACGCAGGTAGGCAGAGACAGTCGAAGGGTTCAAGGTAGCAGGGGAGGCGGAGACGGAAAGGGACAAGCGCAGAGAGATACGTTGTGCCCGTCCAAAAGAGGCTATGGACACGAATTATGCCGCCGCCAGGCCCGTCTGATAAACGAGAGCCGTAGAGGAGGTGGTGGTGGTGGCGGCGGAGGAGGAGGACAGCGCGGACGAGGGGATTGGGCCGAAACAAGATGGCACCCCGACGCCGTTGCTGCTGCTGGTAGCTCGTCGCTTCGCTAGACGGTTGAGCTCTTTGAGAGCAAGCAGCAAAGATTGACTGTCTGCGAGCGAAGCAACAGCTGGCAAGGAGGTAGGTAGCACGTATTCAGCCAAGGGCAGACCTCGGAGTAATTGAACAGGGAGCCAATGGCAATGCGCACAGGGCCATCAACACCAACAAACAGGGTAGAGATTGCGTGCGAGTGTAACAGAAGCCATAGAAGGAAAATGGCAAGAGTCGGATCGCAAAGAGGCCCAGAGGAAGTGTTAGTTCCCGAATCCAGTCCCGGTTGGCCGTGTAAGTGGTTGGTGCGTGTTCACTCTTCCTTGGCCCCCTTTTTTTTGCTACGGAGCCCTAGTTTTGCCTCGTGCGTGAGTGAGTGTGTGTGTGTGTATGCGTGCATAAAGATCCCAAGCTTTGAATCGGAGACCTACCTAGGTAGGTAGGAATTGGGGGTCGGGGTGGGATAGCAAGAATGGGGAATTGATTGTATGAGGTTGGTTGAGGCTGTAACGTTGCCACGGGAGGGCGCTCGCGTTGTTAGTCTCAGGGATTTCTGCGGGGCATCGCGTGGCGTGGGGAATCACGGATGGGAGTCCCAGGGCCTTGCAGGGGGGGCTGCAGGGTGGGTTCCAGGGCTCCAGGGCTGCCCAGGTGCCTTATCGATAACGGTGGGTGGCCCCTCTCCGTCTGTAACATCGCTAACTTGAGTGCTGTTGTCTCTGCCAAGCCGGCGCCATCAATCTCCAGCTCCCATCCACTCCAGGGGACCGGAAAGGTTGCACCCATCTCCACCCGTCTTGACGACATCCCAACTCTGCTCACGACATATCCCGATGCCGCCGCAGAATGCTTGCCTCTTGCGTGCTCGATTGCTTGCATGGGCAGACACATTGGCAGCACACTGGCACACTGGCAGCCTGGCCACCCTGCATCACGAATGGAATCGAATGCTCGTCCAGAGGAGGGGGAGAGCAGAAGTTCGTATTCGACACCCATGATCATTTGTCTTGAATGTCTCGGTCACCGTCTCGGACAAGGTAAAGGGAAGTAACAGCAGCACGCTTGGACGACCAGCGACCAGGTTCCGACGGATAACGAACGATGCTGAACACGCTGGATAGAGAGACCCTTCATTCTTCTAGAAGGCGGGAAGAAGCATGGCCAACGGGCGATGCTGAAATGTCCCGCATGGCATCAATATCATGCCGTCTGCAAGCACTCGTTGCATGGCACGGCCGTCGACGCGGCTAATATACTGATCGCCCAGCTGGAGGGAGGCGCGTCAAGTCCATCTCGGCAGATCTATATTTCCCATCGTCAACGAGTGAGCCTCACGGCATGTGCCTTCCCGTCACACACACACACTTGGAAATCGACATCCGGAGGCAAGGTATATATCTCAGGTATAATAACCCACGACCCCTCCCGATCGCCCATCTCGTGGTTGGTAGTCAATGTGTGCGGTTCGAACAAGGTTTGTATCGCACCGCACCGCAGCAGCTTGGTGTCCGGTGGGCTGAACAGCCAGCCAGCCAGCCTCCAGAGCGAGCTGACCCATATCCATAGCATACCTAGCATCAAGAGAAACCCACGCACTGCGACCCACGAACCGAGGCTTGTCACCACCCATCAACGGTGCGCGCGCCTCCAGCTCACCAGATTGTGGTGGCTCGTTATCTTAGCTCCGAGGGATACGTCACACCGAGCGCCTCTAGTGGCGGACAAGCTTCCATGCCCACGCTACTCTACACTCACACTCACGCACACTCACTTACTCACAACAACAAAAGCACCAGCCTCTTGTACACGACACCCCAGCACGACAACACACACAGCTTCATCTCACACAGATCCCTCGTCCACCCACTCCACTCTTTCCATCCGTCACCTGTCTCCCGGGACACACTGGGCCCAACTCGGCCTAGCCATCCCCCCCCAATCCCAGGTCCCATGCCCCGTTGCGAAGAAGCTTGCATGTCTCAGTGGAACGTTGAAGTGACTTCGATCATGAAGATCTCAGAGCCCTGTTGGCTAGGCCCTCTCTCAAAGTTCGCACTGTGTCCGAACCCTCCGGCCCCCCTTCCCCCATCCGGGCCATCCCATCCCCTCTCGTCCCCAAGGAACTCGCTCCGTCAGCTTTGAACGTTCCATCCAACGGCCTTTGGTCTTACTCCGACCTGTTTCTCCCCTTGGGTCCCATGGTTTGGTGCGCGCCCGCCGCAGTCTCCGCCGTACAGACTGTGGTCCAGTCATGAGACTGGCATGCTTTGACTTTGCATCATGACGGCCAGACCGGGGATACTCTCTCGCCCCAGCGGGCCGGAGGTCTGGACATCTGCCCCTCTCTGTGCGAACCTAGGAAGCATGTTCGCTCATAAGCTCTCGATGTGACTATTTCCACGCTGCGAACTTATCCTCCTTCCTCTTATTCTTGTAGGATAGCAATAAAACATTACTCCCAAACCAACTACAACACCACAGAACTGCCATCAGGCGCTCCTCCATACCTGAACCTGTGACTCGAAGCTCAAACATACCCAATTCTTAGCTTCTCCCTCCCTCCCTCCCGCTTCCACCCACAGTACTCACGCTTCAAAATGAGGCTTATCATCCGCGACGACTCGGAGCAGGCGAGCACCTACGTCGCCAACTACATCGTCGACAGAATCCGGCACTTCAACCCCTCGCCGCAACACCCCTTTGTCCTCGGCCTTCCCACCGGCTCCAGTCCCCTTGCCGTGTACAGGATATTAGTCGAGAAGTACAAGGCCGGCCAGGTGAGCTTTCTACCACTGCTTCGAGGCAAGAGATACAACAGCAGCAATCGACTAACACGAGGCCCCCCAACCAACCACAGATCTCGTTTGAAAATGTCGTCACTTTCAACATGGTAAGCTATCCGGAAAGCTGCTCGTCTTTTCAATTTGATTACCGAGTATCCCGTCGACTAAAAACCCCCGGAACCAGGACGAGTACATCGGCATCCCGCGCGACCACCCAGAGTCCTACCACACCTTCATGTGGAAGAACTTCTTCAGCCACGTCAACATCCACCCCAACAACGTCAACATCCTCGACGGCAACGCGCCCAACCTCGAGGCCGAGTGCGTCGACTACGAGGCCCGCATCAAGCGCGCGGGCGGCATCGACCTCTTCCTCGCCGGCATCGGCGAGGACGGCCACGTCGCCTTCAACGAGCCCGGCAGCAGCCTCGCCAGCCGCACGCGCGTCAAGACGCTCGCCTACGACACCATCGTCGCCAACTCGCGCTTCTTCGGCGGCGACCTGACCAAGGTGCCGCGCATGGCCCTGACCGTCGGCGTCCAGACCGTGCTCGAGGCCCGCGAGGTCGTCGTCGTCATCCTCGGCAGCCGCAAGGCCCTCGCCCTCCAGCGCTGCATCGAGCAAGGCGTCAACCACATGTGGACCCTGTCCAGCCTGCAGCTGCACCCGCACCCCATGATCGTCTGCGACGAGGACGCCACCCTCGAGCTGCAGGTCAAGACGGTCAAGTACTTCAAGTCGATCGAGAAGGTCGCCCGCGAGCAGGGGTTCGAGCAGATCCTGCCCTCCAAGGTCCGCACGGGGCCCAACCCGGCCCCGCCCTCCCTCGTGCCCGCCACCCCCGTCGACGACGACGACGACAGCCTCAGGTCGCCGACCATCCTGTCCCCGCAGCCCATGACCTCGCGCCTGCTGCGCGCCTCCCCGGCCACCGAGAACCCCGTGCGCTCCGTCTCCCCGGACCTCGTCCCGGACCGCATGGCCGACCGCGTCGTCAGCGCCGAGCGCAGCTTCGCCCGCCGCCTGACGCCCAACCCGGAGCAGCAGCAGCAGCAGCAGGCCCTGCGCCTGCAGACGAATGCCGTCGGCGCCTAAGCTCACTCAAGACGAACATTATTTTACACCGTCTTTTTCTCTTCGGGCCCGATGCTCAGTTTCAGTGGATTTTCTACGTCCTATCTTTCTCGAAGTGGCGTTTGTTTGGAATATCCCATTCACTTTTTGGTAACCTTTGCCTTGTTGATTTAACACACCATGATCGACTCATTGGTGTCTTTTTTTTCTCTTCTTTTTCTGGAAAAGAGGTTTCAAGATAAGGATGGTATTACCCCCTTGACGAGATGTAAGAACACTCGCAAGCATCAGATTGACTGCATTCGGAAAACATTAGACATACAAAAAATGACCAAATTTGATGACCACAAAAATTAAGCGTAAAACTGTTTCAGTCAGCTGGGGGGCATGGATTAAAAAAGTAACGTAACTTAGATACCCTATAGACCAGAGTTGAATATTTCAAGTCGTTTTTCCTTGTCGTGATGTGTGTTCTATTACTCGTGGTTGATGTCCCGTGAAGTTAAGATTGTTTGATTGGTCTTATTTTTTAAAATGAAGCTACAAGACAACAAAGTATAAGAAAAGGACAGTAGATGAAATGGGCCTCCAAGATGGCGCATTACAAGGGAATTTTTCTCCTCAGGACGCGAGGGCGGTTTTAATACAGACACAGACTCTGCTGCACGAGGGCAGTGCAGTGTTACAAGGGATAAAAAACGAAAGCTTCCAACCTCCACACCCCCCTTTATCTCTGGCACGTCACTGCTCCTCCGGCCCCATCCACCTCCTTCAATACCTCAGCACAACACCGCCGCTCTCCCGCTTCCTGCTCGACTCATCCAGCCAGTCCTTCTCGCCGTCCCCCTTGGACGACGACGAAGACCACATGCTCTGCCCCTGCATGCCAGCGCCGACTGCCAAGCCGAGCTCGGCCGGGTCCGCGCCGTTCTCGAGCGCCGCGATCTGGGCCCGGATCTCCGCGCGGCGCTGCTCCTTGCGCGACTTGGATCGCCTGTGGCCGGCCTCCTCCGCGTCTTCGTTGGACTGCGGCAGAAGAGACGCCGGGCGCGACTCAGTCTTGGGGCCGGGCGTCCACATCGGTCCCTCGACGGCCTGGGCAGCCTTGATATTGAGCTGCTCGGGTCGGGACCACAGCTGCGTCGTTTCCTGCTTGGGTTCGGGGATGGCGGCATCTCCGCGCATCGCCCGCTCGACAAAGAGCCTCTCCTGCTCCAAGGCCTCGATTTGCGCCATGATCATGGCCTGGTTGCTGTCGTCATTGGACACCTGCGGAGCCGGGGCGCTCAGAGAGATGGCCTCTTGGAGGGCAGACTCCCAGTCGGCATTGGTAGCCTGAGGCTTTTTGACGGTCTTGGGATAGCTGTCAGCGAGTGCCTGCTTCAGCGCGTCATCCCACTGCTCCTCAGATGCAGCCTGGCGGGTTTTGGGCTGCTTCTTCTGCGGCGGGTAGCTGGCGGCAACTGCAGCTTGGAGCTCGCCATCCCAGTCGGCTCGGAAAGCGACGCTGCGCCTGAACTGCTGTCGTAGCGGCACGTTTTCAACAGGCTGGGCCATCGGTGGCACTGGCACGGCAGAGAGACCAGCTTGCGCCTTCATCTTCTCCCACCAGGTTGGCTGTTTCACGCCAACGTTGGTGCTGGGAATGGTATCGTCAAGGACCACAGGTTCGGGCACAGGCTCTTTCTCCAGGATCCAGACCCGCTCAGTGGTCGCCGACGCAGGGGCGGCAGTCCAAAGGCTGCTGGACACGAACTTCTCCAGAGGCTTCTCCTCGATCGTTCGGGGCTTGCGATCCATCTCGAGTGCGGCGGGTTCTGCCTCCGTAGTACGGTTGTCTGGGTGAGTGGGCTCGACACGGAACAAGCCCTTGTTCTCTGTTGCAGGAGCTGCAGGGGCTACAGGAGGAGCCCATAGAGAAGTCCCAACAAATTTCCTTGACCTCCGCCTCTTCTGGATGCGGCCCTGGTCAACCCATGTGCCGGAGTAGCGCTTCGTTTCCGTGGTGGGCGGCACCGACCAGAGGTCAGCACTCTCGATCGTGGCAGGCTCGGCCTTGCGCGGCTTGGCGCGAGCCGTCTCCTGGACGAGGTCGTACTTTTGCCAGGTCCTCTCATCCGGCTGGGCGAGGCCCCGACTATGCTGTCCCCTCAACTTCATCTCTTTGCGGGCAGTCCACAGCGCCGAGTGTTGCACCGACTGTGTCGCGCTCCAGAGGGTGGTGCTCTCAATCATGGCGATGGAAGCGCGGCGCGGCTTAGCACGCACAGTTTCCTGCACGTCGTCATACTTCATCCATGTTGCCGCATCTGGGTTCGGAAGTCCTAATCCGTGACCACTCCTGCGCTTGACGTTCTTGCTGCCTGATGTCCAGAGCATGGTTGGCTTGGGCCGCACAGCAGTAGCAATGCCGTCCTCAATGCCAACGATGATCGACTCACGATGCTCATCGTCCTCGTTGTCTTCGTTCTCCTCATCGGATGGGACCTCGCTAATGTAGTCACCGATCGAGAAACGTTCAGACGAAGGTTCAGACGGGATCAAGCTGTCCCTGGAGGGAACACTGTCCGTCTTCAGGAGACTGGCGATCTCCCACAAGGTGGTCTCGTCGAAGTCATCGAAATCATCGCCGTCAGAACCATACTCGTCAGAGTCCCGCTTCTCATCATCGTAGTCATCAAAGAACGATGAAGAGTACTCAGCCGCCTCGAGTTGTTTGGACCTAGCCTCGAGTGCTGCATTTACGACTGCTGATCCACCGGAGCTCATCGTTCCCGGCATGGCCATGAACATCGCCGTGTTACGAGGCTGAATAGTGGCCGTGTCTGACTTTTCGCCCCACGGGAATTGGAAGATACCAAGCGTCCCTCGCTTGTCTGGGAGAGGCTCGGGGTTCTCTACGATGTCAGGAAGTAGAGTTACTCGCCTGGTCCGCCTAGGGGGCCGCTGGGTAAGGGGGCGAGGTGTCTTTTGCACGGTCTTCGATTGCTGTTCCGTGGTATGGGGAGGTGCTGTGGTCTGTGATGGTACAGGTGCACGAGCATATGGAGGCTGCCATAGGCCTGAGTGAGACTTGGTCTTCACAGTCTTGACAGAGAGTCGCCAGAGCTCTGAGCTTTGGATGGTCATGGATTCCTCTTGCTTTCGCACAGCAGGCCTGGAGGGCTCGGCCGCCATGGAGACTGTCACTGGAGACGGAGCGCTCTCAGTGTGGTCCTTGGATAGCTCCCATAGCATGGCGGTAGGCTGGGTAGCCTTCTGGCTTGATTGGGTCCATAGGGCTTTTGGCGCGGGAGCAACATCAGTCGCCTCAACGATTGCGTTAATACTCTTGGGTCTTGAAATCTCCTCCACATCGGACTCGTCAGACTCAGGCGGGGTAGGGCTGCCGAGCTGGGCCATGGAAAGCATGGTCCGAGTTCGATGAACCTGGAGCTCGTTCGCATTTTCCATGTACTCCATCTGCGCCTCAGCGATCCGTTGCTGCCAGACGCTGGCTCGTCCCTTGTCCATGGTATCAAGAAGATCGCCAGCATCCTCCGACTTATAGCTACCGCCACTGCGCATGCGCGAGCGGCGAGAAGCTCTTCTATCAGCGAGGGTCATGCGGACGCTAGAATCTCTTGACGGCTCCCTCGTGGTTACACTGACGAGAGACTCACGGCGTGATTCTGTAGTAGGAGAGGTTCTCATGGTGGAGGTGGAATCTCTCATGTTGTGATGCATCTGCTGCCACTGGCCTTCTTGCATGTCCATCTCGTTCTCCAGGTTCTGGAGCAGCGCAAATCGCTGCCCGGGACTATCAAACGAAGCCGGATCAGGCTGTTCAAATTGTTTCAGTTGATCCTGGATATACTTAATTGCATGCTCGGGCGATTCCAGAGGCGAGGGCTCAGCTGCCTTAGGAATGACGGGGTTCTTTGTTGAGGGTGGCCCAAGTTGAAGGGGCATCGGGGGCGGCATCTTTCTTGTTCGCATTGTCTCCTTCCTCTCAGAGAAGGTTGGCAGCTCATCGCCGATTCTGCGATGCCATCCCTTGGGCATGGGTTGCTCGAGTGTCCGCTTGGCACTCCCTGGGTCCTGATACACTGTGCTCGCGAGCTGAAACAAAGGTTCTTGTTTCTCTGCACTCTTGATGTAAGTTGAACGAGCGTTGAAGCGACTGGTCGGGATATTGATAGCGATAGGGGAATGCACTGAGCCCCAGTTGGAGCTAGCATCATCCTGAGTCCGGTTGGAGCTCGTTCGGTTTGTGCTTTCAGTCATGGCAGACTCCCTGACCGGCGGGATTATCGGAGATGAGGCACGCTTCGCGGTCTCATCGGCAAAGGGACGAGGTGGTCTCTCCGTAGTAGGAGCAACTTCGGGGAGCCAAGAGTTGCCGAGGTCGTCTGTCATGCTCTCACCGCGCTCCGTACCTGTACCACGGCTCATCGAAGGCTCGACAAGAGACATCTCGGCTTCCTCGAATAGACTCTCCGTCTTGATCGATGTCCTCGTTGTTCTATGCGTGGCTTTCGAGTCTCTCCGCTCGTTCTCGAAGTCCTCCGTTGTCGGTGACACGTCCATGAAATTCAGAGGGATTTTAGGCATCTCAGGGATGGATGATCGCCGCTTTGTTGTGCGATCACCACCACTGGACGGTCCTGAATAGAACAAGTTCATCTTTTCATCGAAAGTCATGCTCTTCGTATCGTTCGGGTGAGGTCTCTCGGAGTTGCCGAAGCCCTTGGGCGGTGGAGGTAGAGGAGGAAGCTGTGTCGGGCTACCAGGAGCAGATCGCAGGATCGACTTTCGGGAGATGATCGAACCGCCCGATCGTGACCGTCTATGTGATTGATTAGGTGACGGTTCGGCCGGGAATATAGCACGGTCTTTCTCTGGCTTCCGCGGGATCGGCCTGGGTCGATGTACTACTGAAGCAGAGCGATCCATTGAATTGTCGTTGTCGACTTCCTTGTTAGCCATTTTGGGATTGGCATTGTCGATGATGCTTTGCACAACTGAAGGATCGTCGTAGACTATGTTGTTCATGAACATCACGGTCTGTTGTCGCTGTTGCGTTGATTCCTTGGCTAGCGGCTTCACAGCCATAGCTCTTGGGTTGCCTGGAAGCCCATTCGTTGGTCGCCTTTGTAGAGCGGTCTTGACAGGCTCCGGAGGGGGCGTCTTTGGAGAAGGTGCCAGTCCACGGGAAGGACGGATGTCGACGCGCCGCGCAGCCTGAGCCTCTTTCTCCTCGACTGGCTCGGATTCTTCTACCCCTGTGCTCTCAGGTGGCTGGTACGGAACGACTGCCGGGGGTTTAGGAGAGGGAGTAGGCTGGGTGCCCTTGTTGCGCAGATCAGTCGGTACCTGTCGGGGAGAGCGGCGGCGAATTTCCTCAACCCCTGGTGAAAGTTGTGCAGAGCTGGTTGCTGCAACACTGGGCATAGGCTCAAGACTTGAAGGCAAACTGGGCTGTGACCCTATTGAGGCAACCTCCTTGCGTTTGAAACTCACTGCTCGCTTCACGGCCTCCGCTGGCGGCATGCTTGGTGGCTGAGGCGCTGGTCGCTTTGCAATCAAGGCGGATTCTCTCTGTAGGTCATTTGCCCGTCTTTCGCGTTCGTTTCGTGCAGCAGTCTCCAGGTCGATGGTCGGAATCTTGTTCAAGGGATTCTGGTTTCCGTTAGCCTGCAAGATAGGACTGGAGATGGAAAGGCCTCCATCGGTAGCAGGTCCGCGCTTCAAGTCGAAAAGGGATCGCTTCTGTCTCGCCTCGGGCTTTGTCTCGGTTCTTCGAGGCTCAACAGTATGACTATCCAAAGGACCTCTGATAGGAGGGAACAGTTGGCCCTGAACGGGCACCCCGCCCATACCGTTGAATCCGGTGATCGGCCGTGAGATCTTGGGAAGGCCACCGGGCCTGTCACTGGTCTGAGGCTGCACAAACGCCGTGATGGACAAGATCTCGCCACGCTTCAGATCTTCGTAGCGATTTGGAGGGTACTCGTCTGAGTCAGAGGTAGACAAAGAGCGGTCTGTGGTGAGATCCCGTCGCCTAGGCGATTCTGGTTGTCTTGAATGCTTCGTCCTCTCCAGGGTGATAGCCCCAGCGCAACCCGTGACGGCGACTTTTCCCTTGGTCAGCACCCAGTCTGCCAGGTCAAACAAAACAGTACACTTACATAGCAAACAGATGAGTCCAGCAGCGGGTACAGTGGTTCTGAAGGTGAGCTCCATTGTCTCCATACCAAGGAGCATGGTCACACTCGTCTACGATATGTTAGTCGGCCATCTCAGGGCAAATTGCATACGGAGACCTACCGCAGTCCATAGGGTCAATCCAACGAGGACAAGCAGTATCGCCTTTCCCCTGGCCGCGTCAGTGCTGGATTCTCTGATGTCCTTCAGCACTCCAGCAAAGAATGCCCTTGCTGCCAAAGTAGCAATGATGACCGCATCAAGAACGACCACCAGGATTGCCAACGGGAGAACTGAAGATATCGGGATGCAGACCGGCACGGTCTGCGGCCGGGAGAATCCAACAAACACTGCTCCCAACACGAATCGGATCCCAACCAGAATCTGCGGTCCCAGCTGGCCGATTCCCGATTTCGACCCGCCGTTTACCACCCATAACAAATACTGCTCGATCGAGAACCGCCCAAGCTGGTCGAAAAGGGTGGAAAAGATGATGCCGACCTGGCAAGAAGTGGTCGCAGCCGTTTCTATGAATATCGATATAAAGTCTGTTTGAGCCCACAGGGCAGCGCTGAGAAGGAATGTAATGAGGACCAGCCTCGGGCCATCACGTAGTATCGAGGAGCCATGACCCTTGACGTTGAGGAAAAGGGCAGCCGACGCAGAGTTGACAACAATGCCGCTACACAGAAATGAGTCTTTACCATCCCCGCATAGGACTATACGCGATCCAAGTCAAACTCACAATGCAAAAGCCGCGATCAGGGCCTGGGTAGCTCCTGGAATCGCCATTTCGGCGGCGCCGGGTGGCTGAGAATGAAGGCCGGCAAAGAATGGAAAGCCCAGTCAATGGGACAAAAATAGTATTAAATAATCAGAGGAAAGAATGAAGTCATCCCGAGCGTGTACCTAACACTTCATGATGCTCAGTTTGGTGGACAGTGACGCCTCGGATCGGACCAAGCCACTGTTTGGCCACTTGATGATGTGTGAAAGAGGAGAGAAAGGCATCACACAGAGAGGAGATGCTGGATAGGACAGACCAGCCAAGCTGGACCTACGAGCGTAACATGCATGGGTCTGTGACAAGCATCACATTTGGCCGAGGGCAGGCCATTCGTTGTCCACGGTCCACCGCTGGGCGGCGCGTGCTGGAGCTGAACAGCCCACACCTGTCACGACGGTGTGGATGGGGGTACCGCCTTTGCGCCTCTTGCCCTTGGGGCAGATTCCTCACCTAGTGAGCTGGTGGAACGAGGTCTCAAACAAGCTCGGGGCCAGACCTTGTAGGAGATCTCTAGATTTGTCGTTCATGCCGACCGGGACGGGGCAGGGGTGATTGGCCCAGATGCAAGGCTGACAAGGCCCAAGCCTATGGTGCGCAGCGTGGGCCCCTGTCAACGTCTGTTTCACTTGAAACCCGAGACGTTACATGAGGCGGCGAAGACTTTTAGCGGGCACACGAGTTTGACTTCCCAAAGGCGACAAGATCTTGCACCCGCCAGATGGGGTGTTGCCCTCTTAGGCAAAAAGGCAGGCTGGTGGTGAAAGAGGGAGCTTGTAACGCTGTTCCAAAAAGCCGCATAAGGCTTGCCTTCGGAGACTGTGTGAGGTGGTTGGTGGGTAAAGAGAGCCGTGCCGATGTCGTGAGAAGGAGCGAGCATCCGGCTTGCGAGTCTGTTTGAAGGGATGAAAGATGCCGATGAAAGCCAAGAGGAGCAGATGAGGTAACTACTTCGCAGCTTCGTAGAGAGGCCGGTGCTTGCGATGAGAGATCCGGTCCTACGTTGAGGTTGCTGACCATTCAGGAAGCCCGTGCTTTTCCAAGGTTCTCTGTGGTTGCTCGAGCACAAGCGAGGTGGGGAAAGTACATGCCAGGCAGGGATCAAGAATAGAAGCGACGTTCTCCAAGTACAAGTACTTGTACAGTCCTCACTGGCTGGTGAAAAGTACCAAGCAATTAACATACTTTAGGTAAGGTGGCACTGAACCAAATAAGACCAGGAGCATTAAGCTATCTCGGGATGGCCTGCAGAGAAGATTCCTGCCGCTGCTCATCGATGTCAAGCGGGCAGGGAGGGATGACAAAAGAGAGGGTGAGCAGGCGAGGTGGCTGTTGCCAAGCCGCACGTTTGCTGGGTTCGGACTCTGGCAATCTCCGTCAGGGGCTTGCTGGGGGCCTGAGCTCGAGCCTCAAAGCACACACCTCTGCACTGGCATGTTTGCTGCATCTCTGCGTTTCAACCTGCGTGATTGAAAAGACCATTGGGCATACAGTTGTGGCTGGCTGGCTTGGCGCTTGACAAGCAAACCAGATGGCAGCTGTCATCGGCTAAATCCAGCTCAAGAGTCATCACCTGAATGTCGTTTGCCCCAGGCAAGCAGCATGTATCCTGCCGAGCTACCTGCTTTGGGTGGATCGTGTCTACTTGCCTATTGTGTTAAAAGAGTCCCGGGAATCCCCCCTCCTACACAAGCCCGCCATCGGACTCGGTGGAGGGCCGTCGGCTCGATGCCGAAGCCGATATATGCTTGGACCCCGACCTTCACCACCACAACGCGGAGTGGTCGCTTCAGCAGCATAACACTGCAGGTCATGTTGAGAGATAAGGGATTTCCACGGAGGCTAGCGCATCACGACCTCTACGGCTGGTCAGGTACTCCGTAGGCTCACACGCGGCATCGCGAGGACTTACTACGAGCAGTTTAGCGTGCGCGTGAGGTGTATCTTGAGTAACCCCTCCTTCTACGAATTCCATGGCCTTGGCCTTCCCCATGGCATCGCGATAGCTGCGTAGAAGCAACCAGTCAGGAGCGCCGTATTTCGCCTTAGCTTTCCCAATGAGTCCAATGAGTCCAATGAGTCCCTACCTATCCCGCCGTTTACGCCAGAGCTACATCTGCTTCGCGCGTAGGCGTACAGGTGGCTGCCATCATTCTTCTCCTTCTCAATGAGTCACAGAGGCTTGTGGTTGGCGACAGCGCTGCATCGATATTCAGTATAAAGTGCTACAGGTGATCTTTGTGTGAATCGTGAAAGCTTGCTTGTAAGACTGTATCCTCTCTCTCTCGCTCTGTCTCTCTCGAAATACCTATCCGAAGGAACGAAAGACCCGAGTGCACAAGGCGCAAAAGATGCCTCGTTACGAATTGGAATATCCCAAAGAGCCCTTCAGCACGGTGAAGCGGCTGAACGCACAAGGTACGTTGATATGGGACAGGGCAAAATGCAACGTATAGTTATCGCATTGCGCCGTACTGTACTATGGTTGACCTTGATTTCCTCCCCCGTTAGCCAGCTACGCCCTGGAGACCATCCACCGAATCGTCAACACCTCGCCAATCCTCCATGTCTCGTTCCAAGCCCCGGGCTCCCCCTTCCCGGCCGTCCTGCCCATGCTAGGCCAAATGGGCTCCTACGCCCGGCCCTCCGCCGACGTGGGCGACGTGCTAGACCTCTACCTGCACGGCTACGTCTCCTCGCGCATCATGAACCTGTCGCGCGACTCCGCCGCCGCCGCCGCCACGGGCGACGAGCCAAAGGCCGTCGGCATGCCCATCACCGTGGCGGCCACGCACTTTGACGGGCTCGTGCTGGCCCTCTCGCCCAATGCCCACAGCTACAACTACCGCTCGGCGGTGCTCTTCGGGCACGCCGTCGTCGTGACCGACGTCGCGGAGCGCCTGTACGCCATGGAGCTCATCACCGACGCCGTGGTGCCGGACCGCTGGCGCAACACGCGCGTGCCGCCCAACAAGGCCGAGATGAGCAGCACCACCATCCTCAAGGTGAGCGTCTCGCACGGCAGCGCCAAGGTGCGCCAGGGCATGCCCCACGACGAGAGGTGCGACCTCGAGGACGAGGCCGTCATGGACGGCGTCTGGAACGGCGTCGTGCCGGCCTACACCGTCATGGGAGAGCCCATCCCGAGCCCGTACAACAGGGTCAAGGAGGTGCCCGCGTACCTGCAGGAGTGGATCAAGGATATCAACGAGTCCAGGCGCGAGATGGCGGTCGAGGAGATGACAAAGGAGCCTGAGCCCAAGGAGGCCAAGTAGATAGATGTGCTTCGTCAAGGCATTTGACTGGCCCCAATTGTTATATCTATTAATGGTACACACGACATATTTTGAGTAATGCAAACACATACAAAGAAAATTTTCTCTATCCTACCAACTCTCCCAAATCTTCGCAGGCAAGACGAAGCGCATCACTGACCAGTGCCCCAGAGCACTCTTCTCGTGGTGCTTGACCAGCTCTTGCGTGTCGTTACGCCTGATAATGGAAGCATTCTCGACGCCGATGAAATCTTCATCCAGAACTTCGTGCTTGGGCATCAGGTAAGCTTTCCTCGAATGGGTCTTCAGCATGTCGCCTTCAACGGGGTTCCGGAAGGTCAGCTTGCTTTGCTGCTTGGTGCAGAAAATGACCATGTTGGTGAAGTCCCTGCCCTCTTTCTCCACGGCGTCTTCATCCCTTGCATTCTCGCGGAAGACTCTGCACGACGGGAACACCTGCCGGATAGTTCGAATGACCATTGCCGGAGGAGGGAGTGTAAAATCGCCAGCGTAGTTCTATTTCCATTAGCCAAGAATATCAAGGAGAGAGGGCGTATATAGACCCTACAATTGCAACAACGCCATTGGGCTTCAAGAGCGCAGAAAGATTCTCAAAGAACTCGAGGGTGAACAGCGGTACGGGCTCTGCGCCGCCAGTGAAGACGTCGTGCACAACGTAGTCAAATCTGCGGCCATCCGTCTGATTGACCAGTCTGTCGGTGTATGATATAGCATCCTCGATGACAGGAGTGTGGTTAGCCGGCAAGCGGAAATATCTGGATGCAAAGTCGTAGACAACAGGATCGATCTCCACGACAGTAGTATCGATACCATGAGCAACTAAAGCTGCGGGTGTGGTTCCGATGCCAAGTCCACTATGGGAAGACATTAGCATCAAGGGTGACCAGGGTCAAAGGAAGACTGAACCTACATGACCAACGCCTTCGCGTCACTGTCTTTGACACGTTGAGGGACTTCGACGAGTCTCACGGCCTCCAACATGACGAACACTCCATATACCGGCTCCGCAACATCGCCATCTTTGAAATTGATCCACTCGCCGCCCAGGAGGCTATGATCGCATCGCATTACGCGAAACGCCTGGGCGTGGTTTTCGAGAACAGATATGTACCCCGTCAACGACTCCCGTCGATCCAGGACCGTCCACCCTTCGGACGCTATGCCGTTGTTCAATGCCTGCAGCGCCATTGGAGAGGCCACATGGGTATTGAAGACAGCAGTGTGCAGCAGGGCCGGGATGGCATAGAGGAGGAGCTTGGAAGGGGCCAAGAGCGCATAGCATGCTCCCAGGATCACTTCGAGGCCCATCCGGGTCTGGAATATATTCTTCCCCATGGAACTCGCAACATATTGGCCAGAATACTTCTCTGCCAGCAAGTAAAAGCCCCATGAGCCCAGCCCAGGCATGGCATCTCCAAGCCACTTGGGGAGGCGGCTGAAGTCGGCGCCCTCGAGAGAAGTCGCCGTGCAAGCGACCGAGATGACTATGAGAGGGAAGAGTGTCAACACCTCCGTCACCAGAGGTCCCCAACTGGCGCTCAGAACATCACTCAATTTGAAGAGATAAAACTGAACCATGGGGATGTAGAGGGCTATCACGGGAAGGAGGTAAAGGGGCTTGAGGGGCAAGTATCGGTTCATAATAAGGTTAGAAGACCATCCGGCAAAACAGGCCGTCATAACGACTTTGGAATGCCATATTGAAGACGGTATTGACCCATAGACTGGAGACAAGGCGAGCTGCGAAACATTCGCATAGGCTGCGATGAGGGTCAACAGGACGAGAGGCTTGACAAAGGGTGAGGTTTGTTCCTTGAAGGCTTTGAACCACGTCTCATCCTTGGCTTTGCTTGCCAGAGCCTTGAGCTCCTTTTCGAAATTCTCGGGAGTAAAGGACGAGTTGGGATCTATAGCCGGATGGAGTTTCTTTTTGGGCGGCATGACGGGCGTGGCGTGAGAGTGTAAGAGTCTGAGTCGGTGTCTATGTAGTTGATCTCCAGACAGTTGCTTGGAGAGGCACGAATGCAAAAGGGGGTCAGAGAAAGGAGAAACACGCTCAACGATGACAAAAAGACAGCAACAGCATATCAACAGCCTGCTGCTGAAAGCTGTGAAATAGATTTCTTCAGTCACTTTATGAGACTCGGTCGTGATGAGGGACAACTGTTCTCAATCTCCCCCCTCTGGCGAGCTGCGATTGGCTGGGTCTGCACCAGACATGCGACACTGGCGTCTTCTGTTTCGACGGGCCAGTGGCCCCTGTCAGGGGATTTGCACATGTTTAGCACGAGCTCTCCAGCATCTTATCAGGCCAGTGCAGCGCAGCCCTGAAGCCGGCGGAGCATGGCTGCCGTGCTTGCCAAGACGGTGCCCCGCAGCAGCTCCCCCAAGGACTCCACACTGACAGCTCAAAGCGTCCCCTCCAGCGGGAATTTTTTCGTCACTGGTCCGAAGCTCATAGAACCTTGGAAGTCAACAACCGTACAGCCCGCAAATCCTCAATTTCGCTCGTTTCTGATTTCCTCTCAATCTCTCTCTGGTTTTCAGTGTCGCCTGTCGAGCTGCCCATCGCCAAATATTCACCGCTGTTGTACATTTCACCATGGCCCCTGCATATGCACAGACCAAGCTGGTCGACTTTGACCAGAAGAGCTTGTTCAGTACGTACCAATAACTACCTTACCTAGGTAGAGTGGTTTACACGCACATGCAAGACATTCCCTAACCGTGGACACATCGAACAGTCTCTGCCTGCTCCATCGCCTTCAACCCCCTCTTCTGGAAGTAAGTGAGCGGCCGCTCTTCAATCTTACCCAACAGACTTCAATATGGTATCTAACACTTTATCTTTTACAGCATTGTTGCGAGACAAGGTCCGTGGCACATGTTGATTTCCGGGTGTGGAACAAATCCTAACGATCACATGCTTAGAATACCACAACAAGGTCCTGACCAAGCTGTTTGGCGGACGCTCCCAGACTGCCTGCTATGGCCTCGCTGCGACCATTTTCAGCATCGGTATCGTCCGTGATCTGCTCTACGAGAGGGCGCTGCGACACCAGCCCTCGCACCCGCTCCTCGATAGCGATCTCGTCACATACATCGGCTACGCCTTGCTCGCGTGCGGGAATATTCTGGTCATCTCGTCCACATGGGCTCTCGGTATAACTGGAACTTTCCTCGGTGACTACTTTGGCATCCTCATGGACGACATCGTGACGGGCTTCCCCTTCAACGTCACTGACGCGCCCATGTACTATGGCTCCACCATGAGCTTCCTCGGCTCCGCCCTCGTCTACAGCAAGCCTGCCGGCATTTTGCTGACTGGCTGGGTGCTGCTCGTGTACCTGGTCGCTCTGCGGTTCGAGAACCCTTTTACGGCTGAGATTTATGCCAAGAGGGAGCGCGAGAGGGCTGCTGGCAAGAAGGAGGGCAAGAAGCAGCGATAAATTATTAATTATCGATGCTGTAAAAGCATTGTCACGAGCCCTGCGCGCGTTTGTGCAGAGATCCTGGCACGAAGCAGCCCTCGAGGTGTCGAAAGCATCTGCACTGTGAGGCCGCATCCTGAGCTTGGGAACCAAGGGTGATTCAACAAGAGTTCTAGCAAGCTCATTGGTCGGGTCTCACGACCATGGGCTGCCAGGCCGGGTGGCGCTGGTTGCACATATGTATGGCGTACATACACTTCAAGTCATGGTCACGGTTGAGGAAGGGTCGCATTGGGTGGGCGTGCGCCATCTACTCTTATCCACATCATGGGCTTGTTTGACAGGGGGAGTCGATTGAGTGGTAGAAGTGAGGTCACCAGGCAGGTGGTGAATCACGGCCAAGAACCCGGATGGCATTCAACTGCCTGTTTTTCTTTTTTTCTTGAATAAAGGAAAAGCAAAAGAATACGAAAAGCTGACAACTGAAACTTCTTGACTTCTACGTTCCAACCGCTATACTTCCAGGTCCTCTGAACTTGTGAACTTGCATCTCCAGAAGGTCCTTTGCGATCTGATGAACAAGACTTGGATACCTTGATCCACGAGACGCGCGCAACCAGTAACACGAGCATTTCGACGATCACCCTCAGGTCCGGGGGTGGATTCCGCGGGCAGAAGAGAAAGGATCGTGGGTTCTAGACCAATCGCGCTAAAAACTGCAGGTGTGGGCTAGTTCGGCTCGAATCGCAACGAACCTTACGAGTCCAAAGAGAGAGGTAATGACGTTCCGTTGCCGGGTAAAACCGCGACAGACAGGTGACCCTCAAAAACTTACATAATATCGGAAGGCGCCCACGAGTCGAGTCTGACTCGTCTTGCGATCCATTTACGAGCATTTGCAATTTGGTTTTTGCATTTCTTTAGGCTCTTTGATGGCAGCTCTTTCTCTCATACGAGTTGATTGATCTGTTCAGGTTTCCCGGAGAGGGCACAGTCCGGGGTTCATTTTTCGACTCAGAAAGCGGATTCGGACACACGTCCGCGGGGTCAAGATGATTTGCGCTTCGAGAACCGAGGAACCGCCCAAGAGCGCTGCGTACAACCAGAGCCCGAACGCACTCTCGAATGATCTCACCACCAATCAAGACCTCAATGGCCTCGCAAATTCGAGGGAATTGAGACGGACTGATCCCCCACCGATAGAGAGTGCGGGACAGAGCTCCGATCCAGCCTCCGGCACTGGCCTCGACACCACCCCGGACCCGGAGAGTCTTGGCTCTGTGCTAGCCAATCGCCAGTCCCTCAATGGTCAGGCATTCAGCACACCCTTTGGCGCCTGTGATACAGCACCACCAGATCCTCCATCTGGCCCCGATGGCGATGGCAGCGACGGTGGTCGCCGGGTGCCCGCCAGCGTCTTCAGCAGAGTTAAGCACTCTGTGCTGACGTTTGGCAAATTTGTCGGGCCAGGGTTCATGATCGCCGTTGCGTATAGTAAGTCGGGCGATGCCAAGACCTTCCCGCAACCTGACCACAGTCACATTACTTACAACGCCTTTGATAGTCGATCCTGGCAATTACTCGACCGACATCGCCGCTGGAGCAACTTACCGCTTCCGCCTGCTTTTCATTGTCCTTTTGAGCAACCTTTTCGCTATTTTTCTTCAAAGTCTGTCCATCAAACTGGGCACTGTCAGCGGCCTCAACCTGGCCGAGGCTTGTCGTGCCTTTTTGCCAAGATGGCTCAATTACTTCTTGTATTTCTTGGCCGAGGGAGCTATCATAGCTACTGATATCGCAGAGGTGCTTAAACAAAACCCTTCCTGGTTCTTCTTGTCTTCTCGATGGCTAACCCGACTCTAGGTCATCGGTACGGCGATTGCCCTTAATCTTTTAATTCCCCAATTACCCCTTGTCGCCGGGTGCGCTATATCGATTGTCGATGTCATGATCATTCTGATCTTCTATCGGCCCTCCGGTTCTATGAGGGGGCTCCGTGCCTTCGAGGTCTTTGTCATGTTTCTTGTTCTGGCCGTGGTGGTTTGTTTCTGCATCGAGCTGTCCATCATCAAGGACACTTCCGTTGCCGACGTGTTTCAAGGGTACTTGCCCTCAAGGGCTATTGTGGAGCAACAGGGCCTTTATCAAGCGTGCGGAATTCTCGGCGCTACGGTCATGCCTCACAGCCTGTACCTTGGCTCTGGTATCGTGCAGTCTAGACTCCGCGACTACGATACCAAGCGCGGTCTCCTCCCGGTCCGCCCAAGCTCGGCGGCCTCTTCGCTTCACGATAGCGACGAGAAGGGGATGTACATCCCCTCCATGGCGGCGATTAAACATTCGCTAAAGTACTCGATTACCGAACTTGCCGTGTCTCTGTTTACCTTTGCACTGTTTGTCAACTCGGCCATTCTCATCGTGGCAGGGGCTTCCCTGTACCAGAATGCCGAAGCGCTGGACGCAGATATCTTTGGCATCCACGACTTGTTGTCGACCAGTCTGTCACCTGCAGCAGGGACAATCTTCGCCCTCGCCCTCCTGCTGTCCGGTATCTCGGCCGGGATTGTCTGCACAATAGCAGGCCAAATGGTGAGCGAGGGTGCACTGAATTGGACGCTGAAGCCTTGGCTGCGCCGACTCATCACCCGATCCATCAGCATTACGCCGTCCATCATCATTGCTGGAGCTGTGGGACGGAAAGGCCTGGATGCCGCTCTGAACGGAACTCAGGTGGCGCTAAGTATCGTTCTGCCGTTTGTCACAGCACCTCTGATATACTTCACGTGCCGCAACAAGTACATGACGGTCCTCCCTGGAAACGCAAGATTCCGAGGCTCGCCAGCCACAAGCGGAAGCGACTTGGAGGTTACTTCCCCCAGTGACGCGAGGCCGGTCCAGATGGGCAACTCGTGGCTGGTTGCGGGAATTGCTGTTGTGGTGTGGTTGATCATGGCGGCCATGAATGTTGCGAACTTGGTTCTCCTTGGCCAGGGCCATTCATCATAATAATCCTACAGGACAACGTGTTAGGAAGAAGGGTAAGTTTACAAAATAAGTTTATGATTGATGCTTCACGATCTAGAATGTATCTCCTCGCAGTTTTGTCATCCATGGGCGCTGAATAGCTTTCTCTTAGCTTTGCAAGGACAATTGTTTGTTTCCTAGACTGCTTGTCGCCAACCCAAACTCAGTGATGTGATGTTGTGACTGTCAGGGCTTGTGACTGCTATGATGCCAGTCACGAACCAGAGTTCGACTGCAGGTAACCGACACCGCAAGTTGAATGGCTCCGTGGCCCGAAGCTTCTGGGCTGCACTGGCCCTACTTAATTGACATCGTCATCCTGCTCCTTTCCCACCCACCAACCTTCTCACGTGCAATGAAGGCAGAAGTACCTCTCGACCATGGACATAGTGAGGGCCTTTTGAAAGGGAACCGTACTTTGAGGGAAACCTAACATGCGCCATTGCCAGGCTGTCTATATAAACCATTGCCAGGCTGTCTATATAAACTGCGCTTCTCCCAACAGAACCCATTCAGTCCTCTCTACTCTTCACCTTTTTGGTTTCCAAGCATTCACCTACGCTCTGGCAACTGACCTACCTTCGTTTTATCAACCTGGCTGCTTCGGACTGCGATTGCTCAAACAATCAATCAAGCCACACCGGCACAACCTTTCTTCATCAACGGAATCTATTTGTTGCCGTTGTCATTGACTCTGTTTGTCACATCAACAGTACGCAAAATCCTACTCTGGGCCCTCCACATTCATCGTTCCTCTAAACTGACATCGCTGTAGGCACATTTCGACGCCTCTCTCTGGCTTCCTGTGTCTGACACCACTATATCAACAGTCGACACAAGCGCCATCCTTCAAACAGCCAATCTCAAGCAAGCACAAGAACCTTGCTCAAGAGAACTCTCAAGATGGCAAACACTCTTGCCGAGCAACCGGCCGACAAGGGCTGCTCACGTGCGAGTTGTTGGGAGCCTCAGTCCCGGAGCGACGTGCAGAGAGAGCAAGAGCGGGACAAGGCGCGCGCGAAGGCGACGTCGGCCTTTTACGCGGGCATGAAGAGGTGCTCCAAGGGCACCGGGTTCGTCCTGCCGGACGGGCTGGGTGGGCCGCAGTTCCTGATCACGGACTGGGTCACGGGCGCGCCGCGGGCTCGCAGGGCAACGGACAACATGATTGCCAACATGGGCCGGGCGAAGCGGCGAAAGTACTTCCGCAAGCTCGGGATAGAGATTGAGGATCCCGGGTCCTCTGTGGAAGAGGGATCTGCGGAGGAGGATGGAGGGGAGGTGAAGGAAGGGACTGGGACGGGGGAGAAAGAGAAATAGACGGAGTAGGATGGGGGTGGAGATCGGCAGGGACGATCGTGTCGACGAATAGATCATGAGATCGGCATGGACGTCTGGGTGAAGGGCGAAGTGTTAGAGGCTTTGGATTCATGAACGGAGAAAACAGATCAAGGAATCTTGTTGGAGCAATTTGTATAGAGATACCCGGTGTAGCTGAGGTTGCACAAACACTTGATTGGCACAGCATTTCATAGCAACCCCCGTCGCAACATGTACGCTTGCACTCATCCGTGGCTTGGAACCAAGTATAAGAGTTTTCTCATGATATTGAAAGGCTTTGTTTTTCTTTTTCTTTTTTTGATTCTCCTGGCCACCTCGTCTACAGATCTCTGAAGCGTGCGCAATTCAGCGCCGTGGACTTTGTCAATAAGACTTACTCCGTACGTGCCCCGTGTGAACTGCTCACTTACTCATGGTGAGCGCTTGAAAGCAAAAAGTCCACTGTTCCAACTGCTATTTCTTATGTTGGCCACCTCTGAGTTCAAATAGTGGCTGCTGTGATGGGTGACCGAGGCAGGTAGCCGAGAGCTGTGTCACAACACCACCACCGACTGTAGAATCTTGACTGGACGGCTGGGATGGCTGGGATCTTGGCAAGATGAGACTCGATCCTACATATTTCAATATGGCAAGCAAAGTGACACCGTCTCCAGTCTTGACTCTATTGCATTAGATAACAAAATACGCCTGCCCTTGTTGCAAATAAAGGTTGCTGGTGTGTGTCTGCATTTCAAAAGGGGTGAGATAGCCTTGTGTATATGGTTCCAGCCATAGCGCAGTGCCAACAAACACGAAGATCAAGGGCTCCAAGATCAAATCTTGGTGGCCAAACAGTCCGGTCTGTGAGCGTCCTTGATTGGCGATGCAGGCCATCATTGATTGGAGGAGAAGGTAGATCACAGATGGGAGGAAAAAGCAATGAGCCGAAAGACGAGGTGTGCAGAAGATGAGGGGAGTCAAGAGGATGCTGGACCTCCCGGCACGATGGGAAGGTCAGTTCCCTTGGCTTTGGACAGGATGTAGTAACCTACCTAGTCAAACACTCTTTCATGCATCCCTTCATGGCTGCTTTGAAGGGCAAGGTTGTTAGAGCAAACAACCTGCAGTCTGTAAATTGAAGCTATCAATCGGATGTCGCAGTTCGGTAGATTGATGTTTGTACAAGGTTCTTCATGCCTCCAGGGCTGTCCCAACAACCAGGGGAGGAGGGGCAGGGATATGATCCAACCTTGGAAGGCTTCAGCGTGCAGATGCAGGTGCAGCTCTGGTGTTTGCACCCCGGATTAGGCCACTGGTGCCTTCCAACCTCAAGCGAACCCAAACAGCCCTCTCTATCTCTCTCTATCTCTCTCTATTTCTCTCCACCCCTCTCTCCATCTCTCTCCATCTCTCTCTCCGTCTCTCTCTATCCATTTCTCTCCATCTCTCTACATCGCTCTGGACTTGGACCCTCTCAGATCCTTCTTGATTTTCCCTACACACTCTCAAATTCATTCTCCAGCAACCTCGTCTTGCGCTGTTGTCGGGACGCAACAACCTCAGCGCATATCAACCGCATTGGGTCCTTCTCTTGGGCCTGTTGCGGCTTTCCACGGACGTGATTCCACCGGCTATCACTTCCTTGCCTCCATCCCACCAGGCTTGAGGCTTCTCTGTGCTTTCATTGCTTCCATCCTTGCTATGCCATAAGTGCCTGCTTCCCCTCTTCGAAGCCATAGTCTTGGATAGTTGTGCCTTTCCTTGCTTACCCACACCCATCGCTCCCAGTCAAATCTCTCGAGAGGCGACACACCAATATCACGGCCTTGACAGAGGTGCTTCTCTGCTTTCTCAGTCGGCGGCTTGACAAGCTACAGTCACTCATCTTGCACTATCAACGACGCCTGAGCTGACTCATTGCGACTTTTTCTGTCACTTTTTGGCTAGTCACCTCTTCCAGCAGACACCCAGCAAACATCCAACAAACATCCAACAAGCCCAACCCTGATAGATATCTCCTGGCGTGTTGGCACACTCACCAGTTAGTTCCTCGCCCCTTCTCATACACTCATCTCACCCACATCACAATACTCTATCGTGACATTTCCTAACATCGCCCATACAGACCAACTGTTCTGGAGCACTTTTGCCCTTTGGATAGGTTCTATTGAGCGAGGACATTCGTAAATAATGTCCGATAGTCAATCTCAGGGAGGCCCTGGTGGCGGTCAAGGTCAAGGCCAAGGCAGGAATGCGGCACCCAGTCAGGATCCTCAGGGCGGACCCAGTGGAGGCGACCAAGTCCGACCGTTATGGTCTCAGATTGCGAGTCGTCCTTCTCAAGCTCAAGGAGGTGGCCTCCAGGCATCACGGCATGCTGGAGGTGGTGCTTCTCAAGCCGGTCCCTCTCAAGGCGGCCAAGCCCGACAGTCGTATCCTCAGGCTGCAGATGGTCCTTCTCAAGGCGGTTTCCAAGGAGGCGAGTCATCTGGCCTCCAGTCATCACGACATTCTCAAGCTGGACGTGGTACCCCCCGTGGTGGCAACCGACGCGGCCGCGGAAATCCGCCCCGAAACAGCTCTGGCTGGGGACCCCGTGCCCAAAAGTGCGTTGCCAGACTGCCCTTTGATATCACCAAACATAATACTAACAAAAGGATTGTCTTAGTTCCTCTCGAGGTCCAGATATTACGAAGTTAGAGAACGACATTGTTACCTCTCTGAATAAGGATACCAAGGCCATGGCTACCCAGATGGGTCAGATGTCTCTTGGAGGATCTATTGCGGTCGATCACAGAAGACTCCCACAGCGTCCATCCTTTGGTACCCGGGGTGCAGCGGTTGTGATCCGAGCAAACTACTTTGACTTGCGACTCAACATTCCGCAAAAGCTGTACCAATGCAATCTCGAAGCCGGGTATGCTGACCAAACCGGCAAGGAAGTGAAGGGCAAGCTCCTCCAGAAGGTGATCAGTGCTGCTTTGGCAACTCTGCAGATCGAATGTCCTTTCGCTACAGAGTTCAAGAACCTGGTTATCTCTCTCGAGGAGTTTGAGGTTCCCTCAGACCGCATTGTCCGATGTCATTTGCCTCCTCTTGATCCTGACTCAACGGCGAGCCAGGGCCCTGAATTCATGGTCAGGGTTTCTCCCTTCCAGCAGCTGGATCCCCACGACCTCACTGAGTGGCTGCAGGACATGCGTGAGAACTCTGAGGGCTTCCCCAAATATCATGACATCATCAGTGCCATGGACATCATCATGGGGCACGCACTGCGGCAGTCAACGGACGTGGCCGCTGTCGGACGAAGTCGATTCTTTCCCCTTGTGCAGCACCAAGGGCCGAAGGAAGGCAGGCTGCTGTCCAATGGATCCAAACTTATAATGCGCGGCTTCTTTCAAAGTGTTCGCCCCGCCACCGGAAGGCTTTTGCTGAACGTGAATGTCACTCATGGCATCTTCCGCCCTTCGGGTCCACTATCTGCTCAACTCAAGGGCCTTGCATTGAACAAGATGAAAGGCTATGAAGCGAATACATACGACACTCGCCAAAAGTTGTCCCAATTCTCCAAGACGATATCCAAGGCCCGCGTGCTCTGCGACCTCTTCGACGTCCAAGGCAGGCCAAAGCGGGTTGAGAAGACGATCATCGGATTAGCCGTCAAGGGAGACGGCAACAAGAGAGAACCGACAAAACCCCCTCGGTTCGTACATCAATATGGAGGGCCGCATCGGGTTTCTTTCTACATGAGCGCGGACTCAAGCCAGGGCCTGAAGTTGAGCAGGGATGGATACATCAGTGTTGCTGATTATTTCATGCAACGATACCAGCTGGAGACAGACGCGTCCTTGCCTGTTGTGAACGTTGGAACGACGAGCAATCCTATCTATATTCCGGCCGAACGCTGCACTATTCTTGGTGGACAGTCTCTCCGAGGAACCCTCAGCGGCACAGACTCAGCTGAGATGATCAGGTTCGCATGCAGAGCACCTCAGCCGAACGAGAAATCTATCCTACAGGAGGGCCGTGCCCTTCTGAAGCTCGACGACAACCCTCTGCTAGATGCGTTCGGTGTGGAGATTGGCCCGAACCTGGTCACAGTTCAAGCGCGGGTTCTTCCTATCCCACAGATTGACATGGCGGGAGGAAGCCCGTTGACACCCAGCAATGCCTCCTGGAATTTCACAGGGCGCAAGGTTGCACAAGCGGGGAGAACAATCAACAAGGTGGTCTGGTTTCTTGTCAAGCGGAATGGGGATGTGCGCGAGTCTGAGCTCAACGGCCTCAAAGCTCAGATAAACGAGTGGCTCAAGTTCTGGCAGCAGAGAATGGGGATCGCCATCTCGACACAAGCCCAAAACACCGTAGCCGGGTATCCTCTCAGCGTCTACGACGGAAGCATCATGCAGGATGTTCACAATGGAATGGACCAGAAGCTGAAAGGCCTTGGTACTTTTTCCATGCCAGGACCCCTTGCAATTTTGATCGTTCCGGACAGGGATACTGAGCTATACCGGGCTATCAAGACTTTCGGCGATGTTAAGCTAGGGATACACACTCTGTGTGTCACGAAGCAAAAATTCGACAAGGGCAAGAGCGACCAATCAATCACAACCAACATCGGTCTCAAGGTCAACCTCAAGGTTGGGGGTATCAACCACAGGCTCAAGCATGACTTTGCAATGGTCAAAAACAAGTCTACCATGTTCGTTGGATACGATGTCATCCACCCAACCAATCTTCCCATGAATGCAAAGGGCCCGGGCACGGCAGACCTGAAAAGCCAGGTCGGCCTCGTCATCAGCTTGGACGCGGACCTTGCTCAATGGCCGGCTATAGCCTGGAACCAGGCTGGTGGCGTCGAGATGCTCGGTGACGCACTGGTGGACAAGTTTGCCAGCCGGTTGGATCTGTGGAGTCGGCACAATGGCAACAAGCTCCCTGAGAACATTGTCATATTCCGAGACGGTGTTTCTGAGAGCCAGTTCGAGCAGGTCATCGACAAGGAACTGCCTAGCATTCGCAAGGCGTATGCCAAAGAGGTCGCCCAGCGCGGACTGAAACCGGAGAAGACGGCGCGCATCTCGATCATCGTCTCTGTCAAGCGTCACCAGACACGCTTCTATCCAACAGGCGAGGTGACGGGGAAGAACACCAACATCAAACCCGCAACCGTTGTTGACCGTGGCGTCACGACGGCGCGCTACTGGGAGTTCTTCCTGACGGCCCACGCTGCCGTCCAGGGCACTGCGCGCCCTGCGCGGTACACGGTCATCTACGATGAGATTTTCAAGGCGGACCACGGCAACGGAGCGGCCAACTATGTGGAGAAGCTCACGCACGACATGTGCTACGCGTACAACCGCGCCACCAAGGCTGTGAGCATCTGCCCGCCGGCGTACTTTGCGGACCTGGTCTGCACGAGGGCCCGTCTCCATAACCAGGACCAGCTGGAGGCGGCCGCTGCTGGATCGGCGAGCGTTGATATCATGGTCAACAAGAGACTTGCAGACTCTATGTACTACATCTGAGCAGTGGCACACGCGAGCATGGCATCATTCTTCCTTTATCAACAAGGCCGCCAGTCGACAAGGCGTCCATTTTTTGGGAGCCCGTAGTGGAGAAGGCAGCATTACCGAGGAATAGAGAGGGTAGCAATACTGAGAAGAGAAGGGCCATCACGAGACAGGAGGGTTTTCTTTCTTTCTTTCTTTTTTTTTTTGGGACGAATATTGTTGCATATTCCCTAAGTGACAAGATACTATGGCGTATGGCGTTATCATCCATAGCCAAGGAGGTGACTAGCAAATAAACTCCCAATCAGACCTTAATATCAGAAGAGAGTGTGACTAGCAACTATTACTGTGTATCATGAGGCGGCGGCATATCCCACGCTCTCGTGCCGTGCTTGCGCTTCTTTGTAGCAGGATGGTCTCCCTGGCCAACGAATTTGAGAACCCAGTCCCTCACTTTCGCGGTCTTTTGCAGCTGGGGGTGGATCTTGGCGCGGCCCCTCCTTGCAGAGGCCAGATCGGCCGAGCTGTAGTGCCCTCCCACGTCGTCGTCGTCGTCGAGCCTCGTCCGGTACAGCAGGTGCACCTTGGTCAGACCCTTGCGCAGGCTGCTGCCGTAGACCTTGCCCCGGAAGACGTGCAGGGCCACGTTGTGCATCAGGACGACGTCCTGCGCGCGCAGGCCGGCCAGGGCGCTCGTCTCGCCGCCGACGCCCGCCGACGAGGAGGAGGCGGCCAGCCAGAAGGTGACGGCGAAGCCGGAGCGGGTCTCGTCGCCGACGAGGACCTCGACCAGGGACCGGGCGGAGCCCCAGCGGGTGCGGACGGCGCGCGGCGAGGCGATGGAGATGACGCCCACGATGAGGTTGGCCGTCACGGTCTGCGGGCTGATGCTGTCGAGGTAGCCTGCCGAGGGGATGTCCTCGAGGTCGCTGAGGTGCTGCTGGCCGCCGCCGCCGCGGTGGGGGGCCAGGGGCTCCCTGACTGGGGCGGAGGTGCTGCTGGCGTCGATGCTGGCGGTGCTGCGGAAGGAGGTGGAGGTGGAGGCGCTGATGAAGGAGGTGGTGCTCTCCTCGGAGCTCAGGCCGAGCTGGGACGAGGGGATGTCGTCGTGGGCGGCGAGGGAGTGCTCGTAGAACTGGGAGAGTACGGCGTCGGCGCTGCCGCCGGGGGCCTTGTCGGCGGGCTCGTGGGAGGCGCCGGTAGCCGAGACGGAGACGGCAGACGCCGTGGTCTCGGAGGAGGCAGCAGCCGGGGTGAAGAAGAAGTTGTTGCAGGTGGGGAAGCGGCCGACGGAGGCAAAGTCGTGCTGCTGGGAGAAGCCGGTGGGCACGCGGGTCCTCTCCAGCGGGATGGAGCGCCAGACGGCGTGGCGGAAGCTGGGGTCCGGGGTAGGGGTAGGGGCCGGAGCTAGTAGGCCGGCGAACTCGGCGATGGGGCCGGTGAAGGTGGAGAGCAGGTCCGGCGAGGCCCAGTCGAGAGAGGCGCTCTCAGGTGCGCCGGTGAGGATGACGACTTTTCCTGCCATGCATGTTCTATATAGAGTGGTGGATCTCTTATGGTTTTGGGTTTCTGTCTTTCCCGAGGGGAGGGGGGCAAAAGTGATGAAAGTGTAGATGCCAAGTCGAGTGCTTCAGGCAGTCCACCCATCCATCCGTCTTCACATGAAAGAAACGAAGGGCGTTCCTGTTCCTGGATGACGTGCGCTAGAGAGAGAAAGCTTACTTTAGTTAGTTGAAGGTACCTAAGCCAGTACTCTGTAAGCTCCCCACCAAAAAAAGGGTCAACTGTCAACACAGCTTTTTGAAGGTTCATGGCATTGAGTTCTCAACTTGTCCATGGATTCAGCATGCCCAAAGCAGACTCATCCTCACCCAACCCAGCGCCGTTCCAACAGGGCTCGGCCTCTCCAGAAGAGGAATCAAACATTGTGACGTCCTCGATGTCTCATGTGACGCATCACTCCCTCCCAATGGCCGCTATGATTTGATTGGCATGCCCCACCCTGTGAAATGGACTCGGTAGGACCTGGCGCACGGCATCTCCCGCGCCTAGAGAATTTCAGGAACACCACATGCGTCCATCCCCAACCTTCACCGTCTTTCACGCCCTGCTTCGCTCGGCCCACGCACTCTCTTGTGGCCATTGGAAATCAGTATTGAACTGCAAGATCTGGCTATCCATTCTTGGGTTGCTCTGTGTCTTGCTCGGCATAGCAGACTGTGGCTCTCTTGAGTCCTTCCGAGATTGCCTCTCCCCTCGCCACTCTCTGGCTCCCTAAATTCTAAATTGCGCCCTTCCAGAAGCGCAGTCAATGGCGGCGCCTTGGGACAAAGCTCCTCCCGAGGACCAATGGTTCGTCTTGGTCACCGGGGCCAATAGGTTTGTGTTTCCGCCTTCACATGCCCCTTCAATGGCTAATCGTTGTCTTTGCAGTGGTGTAGGTCTCGGCATCGGCCAGCGCCTGATCGATGATTTCCTCGCCCAGCGCTCCGCCTCCTCCCACCTGATCCTCATAATCACGACTCGAAGCTCCAGGAAATCACAAGAGACGGTCTATTCACTCAGGAAACATGCAAAGAGGACAGTCGAGTCATCCACGGTCCTCAGGTCAAGGATAGGCCCCTCGTACCGGCCCGCCGATGCGCTGCGGCGCATCCACATCCTCAGCATCCAGCTCGACCTCTGCACCCTACCCTCTGTGTACAAGGCTGCCGACCAGCTCATCAACGGAGCCCTGAGCAGCCCCAGCGACGACCCTGCGTTCGAGCCCCTCGACAGCGTACGGATACCACGGCTTGACTCGGCCATCTTCAACGCCGGCATGGGAGGCTGGACCGGCCTCAACTGGCTCCTGGTCTTCAAGTGCATCCTCACCACCGGCCTCATCCAGTCCTTCACGTACCCTACCTTCAAGGACTCCACCGGCGGCCTGCTCGTGGACCCTCTCGACGGCAAGCCGACCACCCTAGCCAAGGCCAAGTCCAGCGACCGCCTCATGGGCGAGGTCTTTTGCGCCAACGTCTTTGGCCACTACATCTTCGGCCACGAGCTCCTGCCTCTGCTGGGCCGCACCGCAGACAGCAAGCTGCCTCCCGGTCGCATCATCTGGGAGAGCAGCGTCGAGGCCTTCTCCTGGGACAACCACTCCCTCGACGACTTCCAGGGCCTGCGCACCATCGCCGCCTACGAGAGCACCAAGCGCCTCACCGACGTGCTCGCCCTGACCGCGGACCTCCCCGGCGTCCGCCCTTACTCGGCCCCTTACTTCCGCTGCTCCGACTCCGACTCTGGCAACAAGAACAAGAACAAGGACAAGAACGAGAAGATCGAGATCGCCGTGCCGCCGCGCCACTACCTCGCCCACCCGGGCGTCGTCGTCACCACCATGTTCCCGCTCAACGTCTTCCTCTTCTACGCCTACAAGCTGGCCATGTACATCGCCCGCTGGCTCGGCTCCCCCTGGCACACGGTGCGCGCCTACACGGGCGCCGCGGCCCCCGTCTGGCTCGCCCTGCAGCCGCAGCCCTTCCTCGACGCCGTGCGCGCCGAGAGGGCCAAGTGGGGGTCCGGGGCGTCGCGCTGGGCGGGGGCGAGCCTGGTCAAGAAGTCCGAGGTCGAAGGGTGGGGGTGGGAAGGCGCCGTCGTCGCCGAGGGGGCGCTCGAGCGCGACGACGGGGAGGAGGAGGAGGAGGAGGAGACGGGCCTGATGAGGAAGCGGGTCGGGCGCAAGAGCGGCGCGGCCGACACGACGCGGGAGAGGCTCGAGGAGTTTGAGGCGCTCGGCGCGCAGTGCTGGAGGGAGATGGAGCGCCTGCGCGGCGACTGGGAGGAGCGGCTCGGCGCGCATCGCGAGGGCTCTTGAGGGGCCCAGAGATGTGTGTGGGCCCGTTGTGGTGGTAATATGCATGCGCTTTACGCTCAGATATGAATTTCTCACACCTCCTTTGGACCTACCTATACAAGGGATTCAAGTACGACAGAATTAATCTCAAGGGGGGTATATATATAGACGACTCGAGAATGCTATGTAATAATGTATGACCTGTACCATAACTTCATCTGTCGCGCCATGCAGACAGACGCACACACACGCCGAGATATTTCCCAAAACATCAACACGAATCAATCGCTTTCGTCACAAATGCTATCCTGCTCATTCACATCCTTGCGAGTTTTTTTTCTCTCTCTCCCATTCCAGGAAACCAAGGATATCTCTCATCTCTACAGATCGATCCCAAACGAACGGGCCCCCCCCCCCCCCCCCCCCTATCAAATCATAGACAAATGTTCACATTCCCCCCCCCCAAATCATATAGTTTCTCACGACGCCTCGTCGCCGGCCACCGCCCCGCGGTGCCGCCGCATCATCTCGTCGGACCGGACCCGCCTGAGCCGGACGTGCTCGCGCCGGCCAAACAGGCCGAGGCACAGCGGCAGGGGCACGACGGCCAGCGCCACGGCGGCCGTGAAGACGAGCGCCCGCTTCATGTTGCCCGGCGGGCTCGCGGCGGGCCCGCCGTCCTTGAGCGCGTCCGAGATGAGGATGAAGCAGCCGCCCAGCAGCTGGCCGCCGCCCCAGCCGAGCGTCGACGTGACCTCGGGGCTGATGGGGTGCGTGACCTCGACGAGCATCTCGACGGCGACGGGCACGAGGGAGAAGGCCGAGGCGCCGAGGGCGGCGAGCACGACGTAGGGCCCCGCGAGCCCGCCCGAGGCCTTGGTCTCGGGCATCCACACAAAGGCGAGCAGGGAGAGGGCGATGACGGGCACGGCGACCTTGATGGCGACGAGGAAGCCCTTGGTGCGGTCGAGGATGGGCGAGGTGATGGCCGACGAGACGAGGCCGACGACGATGAGCATGGCGCCGCCGATGCCGGCCTCGTCGTCCGAGTAGCCGTAGGGCCCCATGATCTGGTTGAGCAGGCTCGAGACCGAGTTGAAGAAGCCGACGTAGACGGAGAAGGGGACGAAGATGAGCCAGAACTCGAGCGACGTCGACAGGATGCGCACCGACTCGCGCAGGCTGGTCTTGGGCGTCTCCGAGGACGGGGCCACCGGGGTCGGCGGCTCCTTGGGCACGAAGAAGGAGGGGATGGAGCAGACTGAGGACTGGACACGGGGGGGGGGGGAGGTGACGGAATGTTAGCAGGGCTCGCTCGTGCAAGTTATGCCCTCACGTTTATGTATCACCCCAAGGCGAGTAGATATTAACGTGCAACATTATGTGCAACGTGTATCAAGGACGGGACGGGACGGGACCACTTACTATGATGGACACATAGAGGACCATGTTGGGGATGTCCTTGGGCGTCGAAACCCACATGGGCACGATCAGCTGGCCGAGGGCGGCGCCAAAGGGGTTCGCCAGGCTGGTCAGCGCCGTGGCGGCCACGCGGCCGCGGTTGGTGAACCACAGGTCCGAGTAGCGCGTGGGCGCGCTTAGTACGAAGGGCTGCGCCAGGCCCGTCAGGATCTGGCCAAACATGACGACGCCAAAGTTGCCGCTGCCCGACGAGCGCACGCCGCCGTAGCGGATCCAGTTGCCCGCGAGGACGAGGACCGAGGCGGTGATGATGGAGATCTTGGGCCCCTCGTGCAGCACGTAGATGACCGCCGGCGTGATGAAGACGAAGGAGAAGAGGAAGGCCGTGCTGAGCCAGTTGATGTTGGTCTCGGTCGTGTTGAAGAATTCGGCCGACTGGGAGGAGACGGGCGAGAAGGTGAGCCACTAACGGGTGCAGGGAAAAAGACCATGTCAGCTATGCGTTTCGACAGAGCCTCGAGGGCGGGGAGAAGGAATAGGAGACGACACGGAGCTCAGCTACTTGGCTGACAGATACTGCACAAAATCACAACATGAATCTTCAAACACCACCCACCCTATCGCGCGCACACAGACACTCGAGGTATGTGGCGGGAATCACAGCATCACCAAACCCATGCCACGACCGTCCACCTCACAGGACGCGGCCTCCAAACGCAAAGCGCAAAGGTAAAAAAAGCAAGGACGGAGGTTCATCAAACATATACCGACACAGCCAACCCAAGCAAAGTCTCAAAAAAAGATCAACTCACATCCCAGCTGACAATGACGTTCAGCAGCGTCAGCTGAATCAGCCCGAACCACCGCCTCTTGTACACCTTGTAGAAGACGGCCGAGCTGCCGTCCGCCGCCACGGCCGTGACGTTGACGTTGGACGTCGCGCCGCGGCCGCCCCCGCGGCCCTTGCTGTGGCCGAAGAAGGGCCACTGCCGGTGCGAGCGGTCGGCCAGCTCGATCGCGTCCCCGTCGGCGCCGGCGCCCCCTTCCTGACCACCGCCTCGCCGGCCCTGCGCGGTGTCGCGCGAGGAGGGGCGGTCGGCGGCGGCGGGCTCCGCGGCCTCGTCCTTGAGCTCCTTCCAGTCCCGGCTGTTGGAGGACCCCATGTCGCGCGACGGGGTGCCGGCCGTCGTCGCCGGGGTGAGCTCGCTGTTGTCGATGCCCGAGTCGCGGCTGGCTCTGTCGTTGCGGGTGGTGGTGGTGGTGGTGTGATTCGGTTCTATCGTCTCTGTCGCGGTATGTGGTGGTGGTGGTGGTGGTGGTGGTTGTTGCGCCGGCGCTACGGGACCGCTCATGTTCTCCCTTTTGTGCCAAGTAACACAGGCTCCCGGGGAAGTCGTTGTCGGGCGAGGTGAGGGTATAAGAAAGAAACCCGAGCCGGGGCAGGAGCTCGAGTTTCACGTCGTCGATAAACCAGGTCCTCTCTCTCTCTCTCCGGCTTGATTTTCCCGGTTTGCGAAAAGAAGAGCGAGGCGGGCCAAAGGGGGTTGTCGCCTGCCCGTTAAAAACTGGGTATTCCCGCGGGCGTCCTGTCACTTCCCACGTTTACAATGGAGCGCTAGTCCTTGCTGTGCGGAAGGGGGTTGAAACTAAGAATAAGCAGTGCTGTCAATGCATTCATGCCAAGTGAGCTGAGAAGTCTATATCAACCTCGCCCACGTCTTATATGGTAGGTAGGTAGGTAGGTATGCAGAGAACGAGAGTCGCACAACCGTTCTCCAAGATAACATCGCGAAACCGGGGGGACCATCGTCAATCTATCTATCTACAAGTAGGAAGGCCGTTAGGGCGGGCACAAGATAAATGAGGGCGAGAACGGGCGCGCGCGGGATGCGGAGAAGCGAGCCAGCGAGTCAAACGAGCAACCTTGAACTCAATCCATGGCTTTCCTGGAGAACCGAGTCCACATGCGCCACCTGGTCTCGGTGTCTGTTGCCCCTTTGGGACCATAGAGCGGGCTTTTATCACGGCTGTTGGCTCCCGCACAACCAACGCCCTCGGGTTCAAGTTCCTACGCAAAGACACTCTTACACGACGACGTTGGACCATGCCGATGCCTTGATTCAGCATTTTGATTATCTGAGATCAGTTGCTTGCCTCTATAGACTTCGTAGACATTGAACACTGCTTCTCAATTCATGGCCCACCTCTCCGCTCCGAGACAGCAACTTTACCTCGTAGGCTTCACAAACTCACCTCCTACACTTCCTGCAATGCTGCGAGGGACAAACAACCTCAAACCCCAACAATAAAATCCCTCGGCCCAGGCGCTCTACATCGTACTTATCATGGAGAGCAACTCTACTAGTGACATGCCTCAAAAGCTGCAGCCGGGCCACAGCTCACCAGCGCCTGTGTGGTTACATGGTCGTTTTGGCTTCCCCGCACTTCAACAGAGATGTTCTTTGCCGAGCAACCATGTGATAATTGAACCGTTTCGCGTCCGTTCCCCTCTCACAGGCCCTCCCGCCGATAACTAAGGTAGCAAGTCGGGGTTCGAGGCATTTCAAGCGTTCTCCAAACCCCCATATCTTGTCCCAAAAAGGGCTACTTTCTTGCGTAATATCGGCTCACCAAGCTGGGGCCATTTCTGCCCAAGCCATCCTCGACGCTCCAATGAGGCACGATCCATCAAAGACATGGTCACCATATAGCTGAAAGAGAGCGTCCAGTGCTAATCGGAAAATGTCAAAATCAGATCTAATGATTTGAGATTATGCTACACGGGAACACAGGAGACTGCCATCCATTGTCAGGCAGTCCCACCCACTCCCACTCTCTCGGTTCTGTTGCACACAAGCAACCATTTGTACAGGTGACACTCCTCATAGGCGGCGCCAACTTTTCCAAAACTTCGTCGGTACTCGTCTCTCATTGGTCGGTCATGCCAACCTCAGCGGCGGATAGGCGTCCCATGAAAATCACAAGCCGCTGATCGGATCACGCGCTGTGGCGTCGCATGCACTGACGATACCTCGAGCTCAGAGGGTGAGCTTACTTGAGCTGCGACCACAGCCTGCCGGCGGCACACTGAGTGGCGCAGTGGGCGAGGTGGAAGACTGAAACCAAGATGACGGATTAGTCCCAGTTCACAAACAAAAGTTGCCGGATCTTTGGCAATATAGCTCGCTCTGGAGCCAAGGGTCTTTCCGAGAAAGACGCCAGGCAAAGAGTACCCAAGGGTCAAGTAAAGGGAAGAACATACACTCCTCGACACAGTCCTCGCTGCTCTCGCCCTCGCCGGCGCCCTGGACACGCTCGACGCACTCGTCGAAGTGGTGCTTGGCCGGGGCGCAAGTCTTGGAGTTTCTGCACTCTGTAGAACCGATGGTGTCAGTATTGTTCCGTCCGACGCAAACAGTAATTCACAACATCTTTCGTATATGTGTAGCGAATGCCAATCGTAGGCCTTCGGGCGGTATCGGGTTGTGCCGATGGATTTGAAGGAATTGGTGACCGTACCTTCTTCAAGAGTCTCCTTGGGGTCGACAATCTCCTCCTCATCATCCTCCTCCTCTTCCTCCTCCTCCTCCTCCTCGGCGGGCTCCTCGGCGGGCTCCTCCTCGTCCTTGGTCTCGGTCTCGGCCTATTTGCTTCCATGTCAGCCCACGTCTCCAATCGTAGACCACCAGGGAAAAGGAGTCGAGATCTCTCGATGCGGTCATGCCGGCTGCTGAGCAACTGCAGACAGAGGCAGTGGGATATCGCCCTCCCAGCTGTTCGTAGAAGGTGTACGCAGGGGCAGCTCTCACCTGAGGCTCCTCCTCCTGAGCCGGTGCCTCGGCCTCGGCGACGCTCCAAGGCGTTGCCGCCTCGACAAGCTCTGCAAAAGTGTCCCAGATACCCATTGCGATCAACCGGTGTGTGTCGGCGCGGCTCCAATGGCAAGGCTCTTAACTCGGGGTGGGCTGATGGATTTGGTGATAAAACCGCAGGGCAGGTTTTGGGAAGCTCGGGGAAAATCACGTACCTTAGCGAAAACAGATCGGTAACTCGAATTGAGCCATTTTGATTGGTCCGTCCCATCCTGGGCAGCGACCGGGTTGCGGTCACGTGATGGCGCACGCATCCGATGTCCCGAGGGCGACCGGGCCTACGAGACGAGACGAGACGAGACGAGACGAAACCTCAAATCGCAGGCGTGCCGGGAAGCGCAAAACTCTTTGTAAACACGTCCCAAAACATTCAATACAAGGCCCGCGGCTCAGTGCCAATCTTCCGCAGATGCCCAAGCATTTCATACGGCAAGGTGAGATTCATAGGAAAATCATGAGCGCAAAATAACCGCCCTCTTTGCGAAAGTGTCGCCAAAGCTAGTTATGCCGTAGACGGACGTATTTACAAGATTGAAACCACATAAAAATGAGGTGGTTTCTGGGTATCATGATTCATAAGAGTGTCGTAACTAGAAATCAGAAGGTCGACCCGGGCCTTTGCAGCTGCGTTACTCCCGATCTGCCTCCTCCCGCACATGATCTTCAAGCCGCATGTCAATGGCCTGGGCCTGGGCCTCCTCGTAGTCTGGTGGTGGCTCATCGGGTTGGGGTTGGTTCGATCGCCCTTGGCTCTGGCTAGAACCCGAAGGACCAGCGCCAGCGCCAGGGCCAGGGCCTGCTTGTGTCGTCTGCGGCGATGTTGCCCCCTGTGGCGGAGCGCCGCCACCTCCGCGAGGTTCATATTGGGGCAGAGGCTCATCTGTGGTTATTTGCTGGCCCGTCTCTTGTTGTAAATCTCGTGCGTGTTGAAGGCGCTCCTTCATGGTCTCAAACTTGGTCTGAAATGCGTCATGGCCTCCCTCTCTGAATGTCAACTTGATCTCGAGCCTGGGAATCTCGGGCGGAATTCCGCCGCGTGATACAGGCTTTACAATGCCATTCCAGGTCCAGGGCCCGAAGAACGTCGAGGTTACATGCGTGTCCTCGAAGTTCAGGATCGGAGCAGAGAATGACTTGAAAGCATCTGTGGGTCTTGCTGGCAGGTATATGAACTGTTCCCGAGTTTAGTCCATGAAAGATACCCACCAGAAGAAGGTAAAACAGCCCGGTGAGACTCACTCTGGAGTTGGTGATGTAGACTAATCCACTATCGCTCTTTGCGGAAAATGGAGGAGCATCCCTAAAGACCTTTGGGGTGGCCAACTCCAAGCCGATGCGAGACCGGACCTTGTAGAATATCTTCTCATGAGGGAGTTTGACGATCTCACCCTCACGGGATAACATCACCCAGCTATCGTTTTCGTTAGCATCATCCTCGATGACGGCCATCCGGGCCACGCGATATGCGTGCTGGTCGGGGTAGAAATCCATCACAGAGGCGCGCAGTGTGTTGACATGGCTCGTTGATGTACGCAGGTCCACAACCTAGAAGAAGCCTGATCCGCTTTGGAAAGGGAGCAGAGAGGGCAGCTCGTGGGGAGGGAGAGCGGGCACGAGCAGATGCAGCAGGGGAGCAGCAGGGCGGGCAAGGAGGCAAGCAAGGCGAACAACCAAAACAAGACGAGACATACTTTATCGACATCCTTAAATACCCTTGGAGGAGGGCAGGGTGGTCAGCTGCGGGTCAGTGAGTACTTGCGGCGGCAGAAGAGGCACCAGCAGAGAGTGCCGAGTAGGGGAGAGGGTAGCAGGTCGTCGAGCTACAGAGGAGCTAGGTGCTTGGGGGTTGGCCCGACGAGGTATCCTCCCGGCAAGCCCTGGACTAGTGTGCTTCAAGGAGGGCTGTTCCGAAAGGTTCGAGCAGCGGGCAGGAAATGGTGAGAAGCAGCCAGTGTGGGCCGGTGATATTATCGTCTGGGCAGAATGGGGATGGGGATGCGTCGACTCCTCTCCCTGTCTATCCGTCCGTAAGTATCCAAGAGGGCCAGGTAGGTAGGTAGGCGGTGGTAGGGTTCGATTCCCTACCTGCTTGTACTAGGCTCCGGGAAGGTGGAGAGATGGACGGGGGTGGGTTTGTCGAAGGGTGTTGAAGAGGAGATGAGGGTGGCCTGCGATTGGTATGTCCGGACAAGAGAGCTGCAAGGCCAAGCTTTGAGATCGCTCCTTTGCAAGCTGCCGGTGCTGTGCTGCGAGGCGTGAGTGGCGGGATGCTGTGGACCAGGCGTGCGAGGTAAGCGAGCTGGGTCGGCGGTAGGTAGAAGCAGTTGGGAGGGGCAATCCAGCCAGCCAGCCAGCCAGCCTACGAATCTCTGCTCAGTATCTGGCTGAGGTAGAGAGAGTACCTCTTAGGTCAGAGAGAAACGAGAGGAGGAGAGAGGGTTCGGTTGGCCGGGTTCGGTAATGCCGCTAGGCAAGGATGTGGTCCGAATCCAACGGAAGCTGGCGAAGGGTCACGTATCTCTGTTCCTCGAATATGATGTGTGTGAAGGAATGGATCGAGAGAGAGGGCAAAAGGCACACAGACAGAGAGAGAGAGCATGTGAGGTTGTATGCGGAGCAGGGTGGGCTGCCAGGCCAGGCCAAAGACAACGAAGCGAGAGCAACAAGTGAGTGACATTGGCATTGACAATGGCACGCTGATCATCCGTGGGCCACGGCCGCCCGGCGATGTGCGGGGATATTTGATGATGAATTGAGGTGGGTTTTTGGAGGGGCTGATAGGCCGTCGATGGATGATGGGTCCATCCAGGAGAAGAAGCGGCGGTCGTCTAAAAGGGTGGATTCGTCCAAGGTTCGGCCTTGTGTCGCGAGCTTTTCAGTGGGCTTCACCACTGCCTGGGCTGCTAGCTGCGGGCTAAACCCCCCTGGACGGGCGGCCACTCGCGAACTTGGGGGGCGGGAGGCGGAGCCAGAAAATGGCCCTAACAGTTGGGTCGACAGGGAACAGCTCCCTAACGGACAGGCGACAGGGGGTGGAAGAGTGCCCGCTGGGACCAATCGTTGGGCGTTCTTGGCTCCCGGGCGACAGCCAGGAAGGTCCCCTAAACAAGTGCCCGACTCCAAGGCCTTTTGGATGCGACCTTGCTTCCTTAACTTTCATCGATCGTGCAGTCCGGAGGGCAGAGAAGGCAAGGAACCCCTCGCCGTCCGCAAATGCAGCTGAGCAGATCCGGCAACGCTATCGTCGCCTCTAGTGCATTGGCTTTCCAGCCCGGTGGCTAGAGGTGTTCTGTCTCTTTCAGCTCCGATCGCCGGTCTCGCCCCAGCGAGAGTGGCAGCGGTGGCGACGGCGGGAATGGCCGTCAGGAGCCACAGCCAGGACGAGAGACGAGATAGGGGTTCGATTGATCAAGAGTGAGTGTTCCAAGGAACCTGGCTGGAACCATTCTAGATGCTGCAACCGAAGGCGGAATCACCGCAACGGCACATGCGGATAGGGTACCATCTGGTGCACATCCCCGGGCCAGAGTTGACTGCTTGCTGCCTTTCATGCTTCGTTGCCATCTTAGCTGCAGCCAGGCTGCAGCATCTCGTCCAGTCTAGCAGGAACTCTGCATGACTAGCACGGGTCCTCGTTCGAAAAGAGCCCCGTCTGGAGACATGTTGTCCACGGACGATTTGAGTGTCCGTGGGCCGTGCCGCCTCAAGTAGCAAGTCCCAAGTAGGTACCTATATTGATCATGTCCAAAAGGACCCTTCACCACCAGCGCGTATTCACACCACACATTGCCTCTTGCGGCTGCTCTTCCCTGTCTCTGAAGTACAAGGCACACCCTTTGGGAGAGGTTCACAATGTCTGCTTTGGAAAATATGAGTGGGTGAGTGTGCGCAGACACCGAGAGGTATGGCATATGTTTGTGGAGGCTTCTGTCTGTTGATGTTTTAATATGTGTGCGTGTGGGACATGCGTGCTCTCTCGCTTCTTTTCATCTGGAACCCTCAAGACCCTCTCGCACCCCACTCTGAAGCTTCTTGTCGTCCAGCATCAAGCAAGCAAGCACCAGCTTCCTCGTCCACAACCCTCCCGTACCGGTCTGCGATAGCACCTGTCAACCGACAAGGGGGAGGCGGGCGGCGGCGGTGGTGGCGACGGTGGCGGCGGCGGCCAGAGCATGAGGCACAGTGCCCTGACTCTGCCTCCATGCCGGGGTGCTAGACTGGAGGACAAGCAAGGAAAAGAGAGATGGAATAGGGACTGGCCATTGCCACGCCAGTCTCTCTGTCACACACACATATGTATGCCCGGTCCTTTCTTTTGGTCACCGCTGGCACATCACGTAAAGCTTACAGGAACATGACCATTTGTTGGCCTCGGCCATGCCCTCCGCGGCCTGTCAGCAGTCTTTCCCCCCCCAATGGATATGGTTTATTTTGCTTCTGCCCAGGACCAGGGGACCCCCGTCCCCCCATACAGACCACAGCAGGGTCGTACAGCAAGAGAACGTGAAGAAGAGGAACGCCACCGAGCAGGGAGCTTCCGGCACTCCCCAAGAAGGAAGAATAAAAAAAAAGATGACTTGTGTGCGGCAAATACTCCGCACCAACATGTCGGTTCTGTTCTCAGGTCGAGCCCGCGGTCAGCGTGCCGTAGCTCCCTCCACCGGTCGCTGGAAGGGGTCCGACAGAACCAGGGTCGGGCGGAGAATTGCTCGTCGCCGGTTCTAGGCTCTCTCCCTCCCGAGAACGCCGATATGGTGACCAGAAAGGGAATCGGCAAGCAAAAGAGAAGCCCATTGAGCAGCTGCCGGAGGCGAGTTGTGGCCGAATAGAAAAGGAAGAAACAAGCCACAACACGCGCCCCTTGCAGAAGCGTCGTTTCGTTGTTGTCTGCTTATTGCCACCCAGTTCTAGGTTTCAACTGTGCTCGATCGGTCGATTCGGAAGCACCTCTGAGTGATCTATCTTGGAGGTTGAGCCATCAAATACCCCTTCAACATGAAAGAGTGTCTGTCAGTGGCCCTTTTTCCTCCTGCAAATGATTGTGTCCGTCCCAACCAAGTGTATCGATTTGTCAACAATGGTGTCACTTTCCATAAACTGTGCTGTAACGTGTGCCTCAAATCTAATCACGCAGCCACCAGGGTTCCCAGCGGGTGAGCTTCCTTTTTTGACGTTTCTGGAATCGACGGCACTGGGGGGGGTTCTTGAGTCCAAGTGCCGCGGGTTCTTGACTTGGGCGAGAGGAGTTGGTGCAGAGTAACGCCATCCTTACAGTGGGAAGGCAAAGGACCAATGCTGTTCTATCCTCAGCATCTGTGGGCATTGACACATCATCAACACGCCTGCTTCATCTGCGAGACTTTGGAACCTTGATCCCTGGGCTATATATCACAGAAAAGGCGTTGCGGGTCTATTACGCCGGCTCAAGACTCTCGACGGCATCAACCCGGCCGGAAGTCTCTATGCTGTCCTTTTTTTTTACTTTTTTCTTCCTCGAGCAGCTAGGCAGCTTTGGCTGCTCTCAACATGATAATAAGCAAATATCCTGCGCGTCCTGCAGGTAGCCAGCGTTCATCAGTGGGGCCGGGCCGGCGGTCGTGACGCTGATTTGCAAGAAGACGAGGAGAATGTGAGGCCTCGCGGGCATATTACCTGGTCTGACAACACACCCTCACGTCAAGTCACCCACCGCAGCTAGCCACGGGCCCCCCCCCTTCATATCTGATGCAAGGACCTCCCTCTGTCCAGTGCAAAAGTGAAGATTGCCGACGTGCCCCAGACAACCCAGAGAGTACAAGATCCATGCAAGCGCTCCGCAGCATGTATAGCCTTGTGTACCTGGGCAAAGGGAAGCGAAGTATCTTCCATGTATTCCCCTTACGATGCCCTCGACCAGGCCTGGAACGCGGACAAGTGCTGCTTCGAAAATGCAGCTGCCAGCCAGTCTGCCTTGACGTCGGCAGTACCCGCTCGGCTTACAACCACCGCACGTAGTCACCGGAGCAAACCTCGGCCTTTTCCATGCAAATTCATCATTTCATTAAGCATGCCGTCATAACCAAACATAACAAGGAGAGAGTCCCCCAAAGAAACACCAGGTGATCCGATATGCCCGTCCCTAAAGACCCAAAGAGAAAAGAAGGAAAACCGAAGATGGAAGAAAGCCCGTTTCCCCGTATTATCAACAACAACAACAAGTGGGAAACTGTATGTCCACGAGAACAACAGCCCACAAAAAAGAACCCCATCCAACATCATGTCTGGGGGGACACAAAGAACATCAACTGACAGGCAGATCGTCTCCAGCAGGCCCGATGATCAACGCACCACCGCCCCCACTGCTCTGTCGACTGGCCCAGCACGTTTCCGTACGTGCGTATATGCTAGGACGCGTGGGTCGTCACAAAGAAGCAAGATATCTTGTCGAGATATCCATCCAACCCCGCTGAGAGCCGGGGGTCCCGCATGTGCCGACGCAACTGATCATCAGTCCATGCATCCACCCGCAGGCCCAGAACAGGGCCGGTCGACACTTGAGCACTCTAGGCTCACAGGCCAAAGTCCAGTTTGGGCATCTCCAACTTGGGCGCAGGAGCGATGTTCTTCTTGGGCGGGCTGCGCGACTCAGCTGGCGGGCCATACCGCACGTCCTGTACGTCCCATCCGTCCTCATGCGCAGCCGCCACCCAGGTCCGGAGGCCATCGTGCACGGCCCCGTAGAACTTCTCCTTGCAGAGACGGAGACTGCCGCCCAGGCAGCGCTCTATACCCGAGACGCGCAGTTGCTCCCGGAGCAAGTTCCTCGCATGGCGAGTGGGCGTGCACGCCAGAATTGCGTTCATGAGGTCGAGATGCGACGCCAGGTAGTTGGTTGCTTCCCATTCGACACCGCCGACATAGGGAGCCGCTGGCACCGGAGGGCGCTCCTGCGGAAAGTTCTGGGCCATGTATGCTAGATCCTCGGTGTTCCGAGACGCCGCCGAGTGCTCGATGGGCTGTCCACCCTTGGTCGCCTTGTCTGCCGGCAGCGCAATGACATTGAGATTGTGCAGGAAGATCCAGAAGACCTCCTTCGTAACACTGACAATCTCCTTGCTCCAGACGCGGTAGGGACGCTCACGCCGCATGTCCATGACGAAACTCACGGGGCGTTCTTCCTCCTTCGGTTCCGGATCCCGGAGGTAGCAGAGGACTGTCTGTGCTCGCGATACGCGGGCCTCGGGGGGTGCGCTCTGAATATAGGTGAACAGGACAGAAGTGATGATGTTCCGTGTCGTGAACTCGCTGGGGCCTTTCTTCTCCGGGTCGAAGATCATGTGGATTAGAGCAGGGAAGAGCGTTTCCTGTATGGAGTGGAGATACTGCAGAGCAAGCGCAGTTGTGCATAGCGCCTTGAGGCAGAGCAAGTTTTCGTGAAGGAGAGCATCTTCGTGTTCCTCTCTATTCCTTGGGGTTAGCAACACATCACGGTACCTGGCTCAGTGTTCAGGCCTAACATACCTCCACTCCACTTTCATGATACGATGCAGTAGATCGACTACTTCCTTCATGCCCCCTTGGCGTATGAACTCCTCAGTCCAAGTCACTGTCTCATTTCGCAACAGCAGTCGAAGCTTATGCAGCTTCCCCACCTCAACCAGCTCCGGCTTCTGGACCTTCCGAAGATACGCGACATAGTCCGTGGGGCTTTGGTGCAGCTTCACTTTGGAGAAGATACTGCTACTGCCGGAGGAAGTTGTCTCCATCGACGTTCGCTCCGGCGCGACGACGCTCTCGGCCGACTTGGAGCGAAAGTGCCGGCCTAGGGTACCTTCGGGCCGCTTTTTCGTGGGAGAGCTGGGGCCTTTGCTACCGCCCTTGGACAGAGTCAGACCCTTCACTCGGAATTGTTTCTTTGGTTTCTCCAGGTCCGAGGCGGTGGTGACACCTTCCATAGAAGAGTTGCTATCGTGACTGCGGGGCCGATCGAGCTGCTTAGCCTGGTTCTCGGCCCAGTCTTGTCTGATGAATTCCATCTTGATCGTGTTGTTGAGGTTTCTCATCTTGTATCTCTGGTGTTCTGGGATGTTTCGCCGATCCAGCATGGCCTCCAAGTGAGTATCGATTTCGTCCGGTGCGATCTTGGGCGGTGTTAACTCCGAAGCGCCATCCTGGGACCTTTTGCCGGGGCCGGAAAAGGCGGTCATGACACCAGGGCGGGCGTTCTTATCCCTCCGGCCCCAAGTCGAGGATAAGCCCGTCTTCTTGTGCTTTTTATCTTGCTCTTGCTTCAGCTGGCCCGTCGCACTGTTACCGTGATTGGAGAGGTATGCTGGTTGAAACGACTTGGGTCTCTGCTTCAAAGCCGGGGTGCCGTCGGAAGGCGTACTGGCAGATGAGAATCCGAAGCCCTTAGTTGCAAGGGGCGACGGTGCGGCGCCTTCGCTCGGCGAAGCGTCACTGCAGAACTGGACGTAGATGGGCGTCGGGGCAGAGCTGTCGTTCCCAATCGAGCTCGGCGGCGTCCTGTTCTCCTTGTCCCTCGACTCCCTGGTGGCCTCCTCCTCAGCGGCCAACTTGTGCAAGTTCTTGAGAGATTTAGGCCGAGACAGGAAGGTTGCCAAGTTCGTCGCCGACTTTGTCTTCTTAGGCTTGCCCAAGGCAGCATCCTTGGCCTTGGCGAGTTTGGCCGCTTCCTTTGCGGCCTGCGTCTTCAGCGACAAGGTGGGGAAGCCGCCTTTCTTTGGTGATCTGGGCCGTTCGTCGTGCTGCTGTTCATCCTTGCTTGACTTCTTTGGCGACCGGGGTGTTTGGTCCTGCTGGTTCTGCTGTAGCTCGCCGAGAGCCCGGCCGGGTCTCGAAAATCCTCGGAAGCCCATGTCTGATGGTGACTCTGTCACGCCGAGTCCGAGGTCCTGTTGGCCGTTCACTACCGCGGCAGGCACGGAGACAGAGGAGGGCAGTGCAGAGCCCTCGGAATTGTTTCGGCGGTGGATGAATGATCTGAGGACAGAAGACTTGGTTCGTTGGTGGTGAGGCCGTGGAGGCGGTGCTGTACCCGGCAGGTCTGCATTGCCAATGCTATCGATGGCAGCCATGGTTGCCCAGGAAGCACTCTGCAGCAATCGTGGTGGTGGTTGTTGTCTTGGTCCGCTGATCCCCAAAAGAACCCGAGGAATGTGGCAGACGAGGATCCTGGCTGTAAGGAATACAGTGCCTAGCAGATGAAGAATGGAATGATCAAACCATTGCAGCTCGTCAACGTACGTCTTGAAAAAAATGCCCTCGCAAAGAAGTGAACCAAAAGGGTGAAAAGAGCTGCCGGGATGGACGAGGTTGGAAAAAGAGAAGATCGGATGCAGCCGCGATTTGCAACGATGCGAAGAGCAAAGCGGACTGCTCAAACTTGGTTGACCCTGCGATTTCTGTACTTTGGTTTGCCAATGGGATGCGAGAAGTGGGTGTTTACACCCGCCTATCGATAAGGCCGTTGTCAGGGAGACGCGGGGTCTCGGCAGCCGTTTAGACCGCAATTTTGAGGCGTTGCCAAGCGCACCTTTCACCCCGCGCTTCACCGGGAGAACACTTGTACGGGGCGGAGTGGCATCGCGTAGACAAAGACCCCTGTCTGTCCTCTCAGCTGTACATGCTGTATCTTTACACCCCGATCAACATACAGGGTTGCTTCCTTGATTGCAACCGGCCTAGGCACGAGTAGGGACCGCGAGCAGAGCCGAATGTTACCATCCAACAGTCTGTCTCTTTGATCGAGCAAGCTTTCTAAAATGCAGTCTATCTAACTCTGCGCTTTACTCTGCTTTAGGCCCAGATGCATATAAAACGACCGTCCTAAATCCATGGGTTACGCCCACAAAAAGCCGTAAAAAATCAATTTATCGACCCCCTGTAACCAGCCCAACCCCCTTCAGGCAGTACTCTGACCTTGTATATTTCGTAACTTCGCCCGTAACCTGCCAAGACAATTTTATGCAAATTTTCTATGTACCTTTATCTAGAGGCCTTCTAGATTATTAAAAAGGGGATAAATGCTAAGAGGAAACTTATGTAACTGACGGTCTATATGACCTATTTAGAAATCCTGTTAGCTATAGAGTTATAGTAAAGCTGTAAATTTAAAGAATGATTCTAATGATAAAAATAAAGCTATTTATAAATTTTTATGATTATAACTATAGTATAAGGCTGGTAATAAGCTCTACTAAGTAATAGCTTCTAAAGACAACTAGCTTTATAATATTATTTAGAATGGCTTTATAACTACTCTTATAATAGATATATATATTATTATTAAATAGAGTAGAATTAGAGCTATTTAATAAGATATAGAAAGCCTAGATATCTATTATTAATAAGCTATAATTATAGTTTAAAAGTTTCTTATTAGTTCTAATAAGTAATTTAAGAACTACTTCTAATTAATAAAGCCATAATTTAACTAGCTTATTTACTAGCTGTAAGATAATACTCCTCTAGCTAGTAGGTGTTAATTAATAGTAGAAGGTAAGATACTTTACTTTCTTTAGATCTATATAAATAATAGCTCTTAGAGGGCTATAGCCTATTAATTCTATATCTATTAGTCTATAGTATTATAAACTATAGCTAAGATCTTATCCTACTTTATTAAGCTTTATCTAGCTTTTATTAAGCTAAAGGTAGATAAATAGATTAATCTAAATATTATAAGAAACTTTAAGATTAGGGCTTTTAGAGGATATATTAGGGCTATAGATAGGATATATATTCTAATATATATTCTACTTAAAGTATAATATGACTAGAGAGATTGAAAGAATAATATTAATTAAAATATACTAGCTACTGTCTATATAGATAGCTATTTTAGCTATATACTAGCTGGTATAAAGGGCTTAATAAATAATATCACTTTATTATTATAGGCTATAGGCAGAAAGCTTTAAGTATTAGCTAATAGGTATTATATAGCTAATATAGGCTTTAGTAGTTATTAGGGCTTTATAATACCCTTCTTAAATGTCTAGTACTATCTTAAGGACTAGTAGAATATAGCCAACCTACTCTTAATATAGAAGAAGCTATATAATCTCTAGTATGTCTATATTAGGATTGTTATTAAGTAGGCCTTTAGTATATTAAAGTATTAGTTTAAAATTATCTATAGTAATATATCTAAATATTTAATCTAAGTATAGATAGATATTATTTATATAGTAATAGCCCTCTATAACTTTATTAAGATAAGCTATAAAGCTAAGGATAAAGAGGAGGTAGTAGAGGCTTAAGATTAAGATCCTATAAAGCCCTAGATAACTATAATCACTAATAAGGAGCTATAAGAGATTAGATATATTATTATAATCTAATTATAGAGACAGTATTAGAAGAAGTTAGCTAGATATTAATAAGTAGACTAGAGGCCTATAAAGCTTCTTAATCCTAGCCCTATTTAATAACTTATAGATAGTAATTCTTCTCTACTATAGTATTCTAAATAACAGTCTAAGTTAGATCTCTAAGTTTCTCTATATAATGATTAATCTAATAAGCAGAATAGTAGCTAGAGAACCTCTTAATCAGGCTATTAATAGTAATAGAGATATTATTAGCACTAGATAGATATAAGGTAGCTATTATAATAATTATAAAGCTATTACTAAGAATAACTAGATTATAAGAGAAGATAGAAGGGGTTAGATTCTTATAGTATCTTTTATTAGAGATTTATCTAGAGAGAGGTATCTCTAATTTATTAGGATTTATCTATAAAAGCTTGATATTACTCTTATCTAATAATTTAGGGAAGATATCTAGATTAAAATCATAATATCTTTTAGTTACTACTCTAATCTATATATATAAGAGCCTTTATTAGGATAAGATTAATAGACTAGCTAATAAATTAGTATATAAGCTAACCTCTCTAGCATCTCTAATTAAAGCTCTAATAGTACTTTTACTATAGAAAACCTCTTAATATATATTTATATTATTAAGAGGTATAGTCTATAGCTATTTATAAGAATAAGTGATTATTAAATATTAAGTAATAAATACCTTCTAGATCTTATTACTAGCTATAGAGAGGCTAGTAGATTTATTATAGGATACCTTTAATTTAGCTATTAATACCTTCTAGATTCTAAAGCACTTCTTCTTATTATTATACTTATTCTAAACAGTTCAAGCTATAAGTAATCTCTCTAGAAATTTTACTTATATTTACTTATAGATTTAGTTCTAGACAGGCTCTAGGTTCTTTTTTTTTATTGAATTTAAGAGTCTATTATATCTAGCTTAAAGGAAATAATCTATAAAAGTAGTTGTTATCTTAAGTAGAAAATTGTCTAGCCTAAATCTAAAGGTAGCTAAGGATCTTAATTTTTAATAATTAGATTCCTAGGAAGATAAGATAGGAGTAATAATAGATATTATATTATAAATAGCTTTATTTAGAGTTGCTGATTTAGAGATAAGACTTTAAATAGATAGAAGAATAGAAGGAAAATCATCATTAAATTCAGTTAAATCAATATTTTTATATTTATTAGAATCTAAGAAATCTTAAAGTATAATTATTACTTAATTTAAAGACATAGTAATAGAGATATTATAAAGTAATAGTTATAAGAATCTATAGTATTATAGAAAAAGTAGTGATAATTATAAAATTTTTCATAGAATATATAGGGATGTTTATCAATATAATGATGGTGCTGGGAGACGACTGGTGGAGTAATTGACAGGCTAATTTATTAGGGGACTAGCTCTATTTTTAGTGGCTTGGCATCTACTTCGTGTTTTTATGCATCCCCCTTTGTACCGTGTAACCACTGATTTAGGACGGTCGTTTTATATGCATCTGGGCCTTAGGTAGTCTAAACACACACCAGTTGACCGATCATGCTCGTGGCTCTCCGTACCAAAGAAGGTGAGGGGGGGTATATCTAGAAGGGGTGTCTCTTCAGGTTGCGCGTTGCGCGTGTGTATGCCTTTTCTCTTTTCCCCTCTTACCAACTAATTAACCCCTTGGCTCTGTCAAAGCCGCCCCTTAGCTGCCTGGCCGGCTTGACCACCTTGCCCTGTAGAATGGTGTACTTGACCAAGTTCTCGCAGTCCTCGGGCGCGACCCTGGCAAGCCAGATACACTGACCAGCGCCGACATCCCCGTCCTCCTCCTCCTTCTCTGTGCCATTAGCAGCAGCAGCAGCAGCAGCGATCCCATTCTCCGTCGCCGCCTTCCGCTTGTGCGCGGTCGCGGGCGCCACCGCCTTCCCCGGCGCCAGGCGCGCCCTCTCGAGGCCGTCGAGCCCAAAGGCGTCGGGCCGGCGGTACACCATGACGTTGGCGCTGTACTTGTGCCCGCCGACGTGCGAGATGAAGTAGATGCCGACCCCGCCCGGCCGCTCGTCGTCGAGGTCGCGGTACAGGCCCAGCGGGCGCAGGTGCCGCTCGAGCTCCCTGCGCAGCAGCGGCGCCGACTGCCCGCAGCGCGCGTCGCGCGTCTTCTGCGAGCACAGCAGCACCAGCGCGCTGTGCGGGCACGGCCGGCTCGCGAGGCCCGCCGCCGCGATCACCGCCGCCGCGTCGCTGCCCGGAGGAGGGGCAGCGGATAGCTGGCGCGGCAGGGAGACGGGGTGCAGAGCCGAGGTGTTTGTGGGCCCCTTGTTGACGAACTCTGATATCAGCGTCGGCACGCTTTCCGGCGTGACGTTTTCTATGATCTGGAAGGCGGGCAGGAGGAGGACGGTGGTGGGTTTGGAGTAGTCGTTGGAGTGGTCGGGGGTAGGGATGTTGGATGCCGAGAGCATTAACCTCTGGTGTGCGAGTCGAGACCGACTTTGATCAGCGATTGCTTCTTCTTCAGAAAGGAAACGAGACTATATATAGCAAGAGATAGACTCACCCCGTTGCTCGGCTTCTCCGCCTTGCCCACGGCCTGCATCACGCTGCCCTTCTCGTCCTCCACGTCGCGCACCCAGTCCGACTTGCCCGTCGCGACCAGGACGTGCGTCTCCCAGCCCTTGACGTGACCGTACAGCACGTCCGACTCCTCGACCTTGAAGCCGCGCGGGTACTTGACGGTGCAGCTCTCGCAGTCGTGGCTGCAGTCGTCGCCGTCGACCTCGGGGACGGTCCGCGGGAAGATGTCGGCGACGGTGGCGTGCGCCATGTCGCCCTGCGGCGTCGCGCCCTGCCCGAGGGCCTTGCCGAACCACGATTTGAAACCCTCGGCCATCTTTTGCTTCAGTGGCATGTGCTGCTCCGGCAGAGGGGGAGCAGCCGCCGTTGCGGACGGTGGGCCCATGGCGGCGGGCACTTTATACCTACCAGCCAGCAGCGACCGGCGGCGCAGGATATTCTTCTAAAAAATAAAACGGGGCTTCTTGGCTTTGTCCTGCCCCCCAGCGCTAGGTAGCTACCTAGGTAGTTAAGTGGAGGTGACGACAGGACGAGACAAGCTACCCGGACATAAACTTGGAGAAAAGATACACCCGTCTCTTATTAGTGCGCCGCCAGCCCGTTCTGGTAGGTCCTTGATCACCGCAGCGCTGCTACAGTATCGAGGAAGGTCGTTCGTCTTTTCTGTCGTACATCTGCCGTAATCTCACGCAATACGGACCCGAACCTCGGAGTCCCGAGATTATCTGCAGGGCTTACTGAACTGGACTGGACTGGACTGAATTCCCCTCCCTCTGTCGCCTCGAGCTAGGAAGAGACTCGGAGATCGTCGCTCGGCGGTATGGAGTCAGGCCAAGAAGGTAATGTCGCAAGCGCCGCAAACCGTCGTGACAAGCCCAGTCGTCGGGTGTGGGCGCAGTTTGATTACAGAGTAGATCTCCAGGGTTCGCTCTTCAGCAGGGAGAGGGAAAAAGTTCAGAAGCAACAGGCGACAAACCCCTCGAACGTAATATGAGGGCCACGGGATGCTACCTCCGTCTTATACGCTTCTACGCCCGCAATAAGCCGCCATCTCCGTTCCGCACAATTGCAATTCACCGAACTCTGTCACTTGCCTCCCCGCGATCACTGCGTCTCCCCCGTCAGCCTCTATCTCTAGACTCTAGACCAACACACACCGACTAATGGGAAGCGAGGTCTTACCAAAACTCTCGGTGGAGATCTCCACAATCAAGAACAGGGTGGATATATCGAACTCGTATCACCGAGCCCGAATTACAGCAAAAAGTGACCATGCCTAGTGCCAAAGGATACGTGTCTGACAGGAGGAATATGGGATTGGAGAGTGTACGTCAAGGCTGGCGTAAGAGGGGATATGCTTCATGCGCGTGACGCTTATCCTACACCAATCATGCCTGCTATTATGTTCTCCTGTTTTCTGTTCTTGGTGTGCAGTGGGTGGTGCTGATCTGTTGGGTGGAAGGGCTACTGTTTCTAGGGCTGGCTTATCTGATCCAATTCCTCCTTGGCCTGATCCACCGCCAATCTGATAATACCGGAACTCCATTCCGCTTACAAAGAACATATCCCGGTTACACCCCTGCACCCAAGACATCTCGGTATCAAACAGGTACTCAGAAAGATCCATGGTGGACTTTGAGAAAAGGACTTGTCATTACACGATGGCAGTCGCGCCCACCACGAGAACACTAAACCTCGCTATATACAAAACGGATAGACAACACGGGCGTGCGTCCTAGGCATGCAACGCCACTTTCGACGCCCTCCCAATCAGTGTCCGGACCTGGTCCCCAAAAGACGGAACGAGAGAGAGAAAACAAAAGAGGAAGTAAACAAAAATTATAGAAAAGAATTACATTCTTCATTCGTCCTTCCTCCTCGCCTCGTCGTCGTACTCGTGCCCTCCTCCGTCCTCCTCCTCCTCGCTGTCCTCCTGCCCCAGCTGGATCCCCTTGGAGGCAGTGCGGCTCTTGCGCCGCCGCATCTCGCCCCGCTCCCGCATCGCCGCCCGGATCTTCTGGCTCGCCTCGTCGAACCCTTCCTTGGAGTCGAGCGTCGTGAAGGCGCTGACGGGGAACCCGCCCATGCCGAACCCGCCCCCGCTGCTGCTGCTGCGCGACCGCGACCGCGACGGCGGCCGCGTCGCGAACATGCCGATGCGCCCGATGTTGCTGAACGACTCGTTGCGCGGGATCGCCCGGCTCGACTGCGTCGTGCTCCTCCTAGCCAGCACCGGCGGGCTCTCCACGTCGAAGCTGCCGCTCGACACGTCGCTATCGCGCCTCCTGCGCGGCGGCGGCGACGACGGCCTGCCGTCGGGCTTGACGAGCCGCGTGTACTCAAAGTCCGGGAACATCTCCGGGCCGAGCGTGTTGATCAGATCGGTCACCTGTTCGCTCAGTTCGGCCCGCGTCTCTCGGAGCTTGTGGATGCTGTAGCTGGACGAAGGGTTGATGCACATGACCAACGGTCGCAGGGACTTGAAGATGTCCATCCCGACCTCGCCAAACCTGAGCGCCGCAAACGTGATGAGCGGGAACAGGATCCAGCCGGTGAGAAAGACGAGCCACCACGGCGCGTCGCTCGCCCAGGCCGGTACGTGTCCCCAGAGCCTGTCCGATCCGACCTTGTAGACAAAGAGGACGCAGTAAAAGTTGTAAAGAACGGGCGCAAAGGCCATAGATACCAGGAGCTTCCACGTCGCCATGACGTCTCGTCCCTGGATCTTGACGGATGACCCGGCAAGAGCCTCTCGCGCCTTCTTGATACTATAGAGCTTGGACACCACAAAAACGGGCGCGAACAGTATGAGACCAGGAAGGACGGCGACCGACAGGATCAGGAGTTTCGTAAGGCGGTAGAGGAACAGGAAAATGACCTTTGGCAGCGACATCTTGGCGTATTGGACCTGATGGTCGCGAAGGTTGAGATATCTGAGCTGTTTGTTGTACTCCTTGACCGCGACCTGGAGGCTCTTGAGGCGCTCGTCGTCCTTGTACTTCTCGTAGCCCATGGCGAGGCGCCGATTAAGCTCCACCACGACCGGCAGCGGTAGCTTCTTTCCCGTAGGGTTGTAGAGCCGCCGAGCAGCCTGTATCATCATCAAGGTGTCATAGTCCGGTGTTGAAACGGTGACGGCGGCGAGGGCGGGATGCACCATGTCCAAAACCTGGGCAATGGCATCGCGCCTGTTCCCGCTCTTGTACATCTCTACCAGCTCCGTGGGAATCTCAAAGGGCGCGCCAAACTCGACGACCGCCCGGGATCTGAACTTGTGCGCATGGAAATAGTTCATGCCAACCGGCACGATCTTGAGGCCACAGTCTGGCGCCTCGGCCAGAGTGCCCAGGGCCATGATGGCAACACCAGCCTTCAAGGGGAGGAGGCCGGTGCGATCGTGGCTACCTCCCTCGGGGAAGATACCAACACAGCCTCCGCCCTTGAGCCTGTTGAAGACAGCATGGTATACCTTGGTCTGATCAATGTGCGGCGCGAGCTTGAACTTGGTGCCCTCGTAGCCCTCTCTGCACCCCTTGACACTCTTGTCAGTGAGATGCCCGTTCTCGTCGATATCGGTTCGGCCTGTAAGCTGCTTCAACGGCGTCGCGCCCTTGAATGGCCGTTTCGTCCGCAGCTCTTCGGGGCCAATGATCTCGGCGATGTCGACAGACGAGCCGCTCTGCCCTTTGACGGATGGTAGGAACACCATGCCACCAAGCTCGGCCTCCTTTGTAAAGTTCGTTCCAACGCCGCGGATCAGCGTAGGGTCGTTGACCGGATCGGGCATGTAGATCACGCCCTTGGCCGGCTTCGCAGCATCCTGTGCTCTCCCGACGGGCACTGCACCGACCTGGCGAGATGCGTATCCGATAAAACCGTGGACAGACTTTTGGGCGATGAGAAGAGAGACTCGACGTTTTGCCTCGTTTCGAAGAGTTCTTGACAGAACGAGGGCATCGACAAACTATGCACAGCGTCAGTCGCAAGTACTTGTTTGTGCAAAGAGAAGTCGCCCGCGACCAATATGACCTACCTGGTTGGCGTGGGGAGCTGCAACAAAGAGGACCGGGCCGTGCCTCGGGACCTTCCACGAGCCTCGAGGATGCACTTCCCGGAAGAAGAGCTCCACGAGCACTGACATGGTCCACAGGAAGGTGTCATACTTCCACTCGCTCATCGGGTAGAGCTCCTTCTCCTGCTTCGCCGGCGCCTGTTCGGCTTTGCCGTTCGGCGTGGTGGTAGAAGCCATGGTGGGCAGCGGGATCTTCTGGAGCTCGGCTCTCTGGTGCTCTTTGCTGATAACGGTTCGAGCTGTTGAGGGAGTATGGCGTCGTAGTCTAGAGATGTGACGCGGAGAGCCCGGGGATCGCGGTTGCAGGAATCAGCAGATTCGCTCAGGTCGCCGTTCCCAATCGAGGGAGTGTCTCAAAGAGCGCGAGGAGGAATGCGTGGTCGCGGAATGTGAGGCAGAAGCTCGCTTCTCATTCAGGATGTAGGTACCGGCCGAGCGTGCGTGGGCGCGATAAGGTTTGGGCCGGGCGGGACAGTTGTTGCGGGTGTTCAGCAATCATGGGCAGACCATGATGATGTATATACCACGTCGTCAGAGCTTGGTCGCATGCAGGCTCTTCATGCACAACACCCCAGAAGGACTTGGAAGCGACGGGACTCTGGAGAAACTTGGCAGCAATTGAAATAGACGGGAATGATTGGCGCCCGCGGTTGCTGACGGCTGTGCCGTTGTTGGAGAGGCAAATGCAGCGCAGAAAATGGCGAGCATCAAAAAATTAGGCGAGGATGGGTGCAGATCTCCTGGATGGGTGGAGGTAGCAGGTACAGCACCCTCTTGGACCAGACTTACCTTACTCCGTACATACAGCTCTGACTTAATTTTCCCAGCTCCAGCACCAACTTACAAGCACGCCCGCTTAACCTCACCCACTGAAGCTCTCATTTTAAGCGAGTAAACGAGCGTGAGCCAAAGCACAGCGCACTAGAAGCTTCCCCGAAGCGGAGTCTAGTGGGATCCCTTTAGGCCGACCGAGCTGGCCCGGAGTGCGGGTGTGGGCGGTGCCTCACCAGGCTTCAGCGTAGGTCCGCTCGAAACATAAAGCCACTCTCCTCGAGGCTTCATTGTTGGATGTTGAAGTATAGGTAGGTACCGATAGTAATCCCCTGCCTGGCTATGGGGGTGAGCTGTTAGGCGTCCTCGAGCGGCTCGAGATATCCGTCCATGACAATGGTTCGTCAAAACCATCTCTCCCCAGTAAGCGGGCGAGCTCTAGCTGCCCCGCTACGCCACTATCGCCCGCCTAGAGAGCTGGAGCGATAAGAGATAGCGCCCGGGCGGGGTTGTTCACGGGGTCGATAAAAGCTTGGCTCGAGTGCTGACAGGCTTCCTTCTCGTCAGGCACTTCTGTGGGTGTTTCAGCGGTTCTCAACTGCAGGCTACTCGTCCCAACGGTTTGTCATCTGCGGTGATGTTGCAGCTCAACAACTGCAACGGCTCCCGACTGCCTATTTGGGATGTCTTACAGCCAACTTATCAAGTTGTCTTTCGAGCATCTTCATAGCAAACGCTGATATTAAGACCTACTTATAGAACAAAGCATGCATTGATGTCATGCCTGACGCTACGGAGCGGACGCTGGGTACCCGTTCGTGCAATGTAAATCGTGATCGAACTGCTACACTTCCCCTAACCCCTCCCCTTGCCCTTGCCTCTGGGCTTCCTCCTCTCCGGCAGACTCACACTGCCCTCCTCGAGCTCGCCCTGGGCAACCTTGCCCTCCTCCTCCATCTCCTTGAGCTTCTCCTGTCCGGATATAAACATGGTCAGGTCTCTGTTCATCTCCTTGAGCTCCTCGTTCTCCCGCGCGAGCTCCTCCACCTTGCCCTTCATCGTCTCGAGCTCCTTGTTGACGTGGCCCACGCGCTGCATGAGACCCTCCGACACCTTCTTCTCCTCCTGGACCGACTTCCCCAGGTTGCGCGCCAGCTCCGTAGATTTATCCGCTCGCTTGCGTTCCCGCTCCGCCTCCCGCTCGAGACCCGGCAGTGTGGTCTTGATGAGAGCATCGTGTTCAGTGCGTAGGGATCGAAGCTCAGCCAGAGCCTGCGCCGCTTGACTGGCCGCCGATTCAGCTGCTGCAGACGCCTTGGCTGCCTTGTCAGCAGCCTTGCTGACCATCTCTTCAAAATACACCCTCTGGCTTTCCAGCTGACTGGTGAGAAGGTGCGTATACTCCCTGCTCATGCTCTCCAGCTTCTCCCGGGGGACGACGTCTTCGTTGCCGTTTGGACCAGCACCGCTCCGAGTCCGGCCTGGTAGCTCGACAACCTTCCCGTCGCCCTTATCGCGAAGCAGCCTGTGTACCCATGTGTCTCCCGCGTAGTCCCAGACATGCTGTGTTTCCAGTTCTAAGCTGAAGGAGTGGGCTGTCTCTTTCCAGTGGTCTTTGGCATGCCCGCCCTTGTAACGGCCACATCCGACGTTCCCGCATATCAGACAGATCCACAGGTCATCTGCACAGTCGCAAACTGTACAGAGATTGGTAATGCCATGGCCGAACGGTTGGGAGTATGGGTTCGAGGGGTCGTATGGATCCGATGCAGACGGCGATTCTACCAGTGAAGGATTTGTTGCTCGGCAGACAGGGCAGCCAGAGCCCTTCCAGGTTTGAAGGCACGTGCAATGGAAGACGTGTTGGCAGATGATTGTCATCAGTCCCGCCGTGTCGTCCATCCGCTCCAGGCAGACAGGACAGGTGGGCAGCTCAGTGAGGTTCGGCGTGGGCGGAGGGAATGGCTTGAGCGTGTTGGATACCATGCCGCCAGCAGATGATGATCCCGAGAGAGTAGGGCGGGTTCGTCCGGGCGTCTCGACGGTGATGGATTTGATGTTGGTAACGTGGCAAATTTCGGCCTCCATGCTGTTGAAGACCTTGCCGTCGAATTCCGTGCGCCATTCTCTTGCTCTCTTCCCATCGCGAAACTTCATAAGCACCATGTAACGGTTCATGCGGCTGGTCATGATCATCCTGTAATGGCTGATGTCTCCTCGCCATTTTTCACCGACGAAACCTAGGAAGTCGCTGGGGGATAGATAGCTCGGCACTGCGGGGATGCAGAGTATCGTCCCATCCTCCCCGCCTTCCACAGTTTCTCCATCGCCATCGCTCACGTCTCCTTCAGAGACAAGGCCGTAGGCATCTCCATCGGTGTCTTCCCGGTACAGGTGCACAATACCCCAACCTAGTTCCGTGTTCTTCGACTCGAGTGGCAGAAACTTTGCTTTGGTAGCCTGGCCTGCTCCTCCTAGTGTTGGCCCGAGTGACACTGCTGGAGCTGGGTTCATATAATCAGCCATGACTGTCTCCGGCTGTTCTCCGCCCTCGTCGATCAGATCCAAGCTCTCGACGCTCAGCGGTCCGAAGCGCCAGTCTCTAGCCGCCTTCTTCGGCCCGAGACCTGCAGAAAACCCGGGAGCAGGAAAGCTCAGCGTGCGCTCTCGCCACTGCCGCTCAGAGAGGCGAACAATATTGGGCGCGTCTTCGTCTTCGTCAGGAGCAGCCGCGCGTGGAGCTCCGCAGTCAATCACGCTGGCCTGCCGTGTACCCCTTGTGTATCCAGAACCGGTCTCGACGGCTTTCTGCTTTCGTTTGGTGGACGCTAAGGCCGCGGTCTTTCGGGGATGGGAGGGAAGGTTGTCGAAGATTGTCTCGCCGTCTGCCGGCACCCAGATAGTATTGAGGTCCGCGCTGGGCGTCGAAGGGTTTGGCGACGCGTAGAGCTCTAGTTTGAGATGGTAATGATACGGCATCGCCTCAAATTCTCTCGGATGTTTGTCAACCCCGCCAGTACGCTGTCCGCGAGCAGAAACAAGACGACTTTTGGCAATGTCTGTGTCAAGGTGGAAGAAGCACCTCTATTCTTCGAGAAGACCTTTCTCCGCCCTCATAACGCATAATTAATGAGTAGCAAAAGAAGACTGGAGAAAGCCTAAGGTGCTTCTTTCCTCTTCTTTTCTATCATTACGAGGCGAAAGAAGGGTAAGAAAAATTCCAGAGAAAGAAAGAGTCGGAGACTTCGAGACCCCCACTACGTACCTAGGTAGTCATTCAAGTACCTTTATCTTATCTACAGTTGAGCCACCATCACATCATCCATGGATGTCTCAGCGCCATCAGGCTTACATGTTGGGTATGCCACTCAAATTTACAATCACATATCAAATGGACCATTGGTTTAGACCGTAAACGTGTCTATTGTCATTCAGGCATCAAATAAGTTGATGTCCATGCTAGCACCCAAGTACGTGAAATCCCATACTTCGGCGTCTGTCCGAAGTTCCCAGAAACGCCAAACCAGAACAAATCCAACCAGCCCACTACTGGCCACCACGGAGGCGCAGGACCAGGTGGAGCGTCGACTCCTTCTGGATGTTGTAGTCGCTCAGGGTCCGGCCGTCCTCAAGCTGCTTGCCAGCAAAGATGAGACGCTGCTGGTCTGGGGGAATACCCTCCTTATCCTGAATCTTCGACTTGACATTGTCGATCGTGTCAGAGGACTCGACCTCCAACGTGATCGTCTTGCCAGTCAACGTCTTGACAAAGATCTGCATGCCTCCACGAAGACGAAGGACGAGATGCAGCGTGGACTCCTTCTGGATGTTGTAGTCGGAGAGGGTACGGCCATCCTCGAGCTGCTTGCCGGCGAAAATCAGGCGCTGTTGGTCTGGAGGAATACCCTCCTTGTCCTGAATCTTCGACTTAACATTGTCGATGGTATCCGACGACTCCACCTCAAGGGTGATCGTCTTGCCAGTCAACGTCTTGACAAAGATCTGCATGCCTCCACGAAGACGAAGGACGAGATGCAGCGTGGACTCCTTCTGGATGTTGTAGTCGGAGAGGGTACGGCCATCCTCGAGCTGCTTGCCGGCGAAAATCAGGCGCTGTTGGTCTGGAGGAATACCCTCCTTGTCCTGAATCTTCGACTTAACATTGTCGATGGTATCCGACGACTCCACCTCAAGGGTGATGGTCTTGCCGGTCAGGGTCTTGACGAAGATTTGCATGCCGCCGCGAAGACGGAGGACGAGGTGCAGAGTAGACTCCTTCTGGATATTGTAGTCGGAGAGGGTGCGACCGTCCTCAAGCTGCTTGCCAGCAAAAATCAGGCGCTGTTGGTCTGGCGGGATGCCCTCCTTGTCCTGGATCTTGCTCTTGACGTTGTCAATGGTATCCGAGGACTCGACCTCGAGAGTGATGGTCTTGCCGGTGACTGCAAAGTAACGAGTTAGTAAATCGTACTATCGCCACTGGGGGAGGTTGGGCGGCAGAGGTGAAACTTACGAGTCTTGACGAAGATCTGCATTGTGATCGATTGCAGTAGTAGTGACGATTGGATGTATTGATGCTACTCGCTTGATGTTTGATGAGGTCGTGCGAGATGATGATGGGTATCGCAGGAATGGATTTTTGCAGAGATGGATGGAAGGGAAGAGGAGAAAGATGGGTGATGACGAGGGAAATGGGTGGGTGGTTTAAATATGAGAGTGGCCACCAAGGGGATGTTCGGAGACAGCGAAGGCGGCGGATTGCAAGCGAACGGTCAGTGAATGAGTAAGTGAGGGGGCGCAGCGGTGGTCAATGAGCCTGACAAATTATGTAGCAGGAGGCAGGCGGCAGTCCCCAGGCACTGGCTGGCAGCAGCAGGTAGGGCCCCGGGCAGTGATTCACAGGGGGGAACAGGCAGAGGTGGGCCCGAAGGCGACGAACCCGGAGGAAGGTGCTCGTAAAGCAAGGAATGGCCCTGCTGGCTAACAAGTAGTGGTACTTTGAATCTCACCTATTTATATTGTGAGACCCAGGTAGCTTCTACAAACTTCACCTGCCAACGCTGGGAATCTGCGGAGAAAGGCTAGCCCTTCCAGACCAGGACCCACTCTTATCGCCTGGCTCGATGACCTGGGCGCAAAAGGAAACAGCAGCATGATGATCATTGACCACGAACCAACAATCAAGGCAGGTGGGCAGGAACAAACCTTCCCCTCCAGTTGTCTGTCTGTCTGGGTGGCGTTTGGTGGTCTTCAAACAAAGCGCTGAGGCTCAAAGACTGGCGCGCATCAGTCACTTTTCCCCTGATGATCAGTTCATCGAATTCAAATAAGCCAACCCGATGGCTTGGGCTGAGGTGCCGACAGTAGGTGAACGGCCAGACCGGGCACTCCGTGGCTCTCCCGGGCACTCCCGCCCATCCCCTCCTGACTCGCAATCCACTGCATTCAATTTCTACTTGTAGTTACGCGTGTCGCGAAAACGGACGAGAAAATCTTATGATTTTCCGGCTGCAAGCTTCTCTGTCATTTATTTCTACCAATGCAGCATCTCGTCATCTCGGTTGGTGCAATTCACCATGACCTGTGACGGCACTGCCCGTTCCCCTCTCGATTATGCAGTCAAACTTGGCAATTCTCACTTGCGGGGTTTCGATACCGCCCGGTTCTTATCGCCCGTAAACCCCCATACTTCGCAAGCCAACTCCACCAGTCTGACGACGTCATTGGTAGCTTAACCCAGCCCGTCATTCTCGCTTGAATGAGAGAAACACGCTTTAGAGGCCGTCGACACATTTCTTATTCCACCACGTTTTTTTCTCACTCATGCGGGAGGTGGGTCTGCCGTGGACAGCACCGGCATCGCGAATGGCACTACGATGTTTCAAGACGGTTGAGTAACCGCGTGAGAGCCCAGTGTGGTGAGCATGAGCAGATTTGCACTGGATCATGTCTTGCATGCTGTATGGTGGGGGTCGCTAGATACACCTCGCTCTTGGAGGAGGAGCATCTTTTGCATCGCTAGGGACCCAATACGTAGCAGTGCATTGAATATCCAAGTTTGCAAACCTAGGTAGTATTGCTGCGCGACTGCAGGCGATTCGGCTGGCAGTAGATCTCGGGTGAAAGTCTGTCTTGCTTTTATTTCTTTTTGGATGCCTCTAGTCTAGGTACCGGGCCGACATGAAACGTCACATCTTCTCAAGGACCGTCCGTATCTGAGTATTTTCCTCCAAAGAGCAATTCCAAAACCTGCGCGCTGTCATATATGTAGGCTCTCTCGCCTTTCCCTTTCCCCAAAATACATGCAATGTTTTTCCAAACGCATTGATCGCGTTTCTTCATGAAATTTCCTCCCAGTGCCCATCTCTTTATGAGAATGGAAGCCCAGTCATACATTCATGCAGAGAAATCGTAATATGGTCGTGACTCGCTCCTGGCGCAAAGACATTACGTCGTTGAATTCAATGCGTTTCGTAGCAGTGACCTGGCCCGGGGTGGAGGGCCGAGAATCGGATCGAAGGTGCCAAGGTAATCGGACAGATGAAGTAATATGCTTGCTTGTGTTTCGTGCGGCATGTTGATGAAACGCCGTCGCTCAATGTTTCCGTGATCGACAAAAGAAATAACCGCCCGCGCATGCCTGTTGTGACAAGGCTGGGGTTTTTGATAATTCGAGAAACAGAAAGCAAGGAAGAAAAACAAGGGAATAAAAACATAGGAGCGAAATGGTATCATAATGCTCATTAACGCAATGGAGCAATGGAGGCCGGCAACTTAGTTGGCACGGATGACAAGCTTTGACAGAAACTTATTTGACAGAGAGTCAAAGTCGTAACGGTCAAACTTGGACTCCGGTCGGGTCCTCAAGTATGCTTCTGCAAAGGCTGTTAGTTCTGCAACGTCATCTTCAACAAATTGGTTCTTTTTCTACTCACCATGCTTGAGCACATGCTGCTTGACCTCTGTCATAGCCTCACATACTGCAGGGTTATTGTTGAGGAGCTGGCCATGTCTCCTGGTGTCCCACTCGGTGAAAGCAGGGAGCTTCTGAGAGATGGCGTGGAAGAGTCCGACAATGACGCCGACAGGCGTCGTCTCCATGTCAGAACAGAACTTGTTGACTGCAACAGGATCCGGGACTCTGTAGTGGCAATCGAATTGCATCTCCTCCCACACGACCAAGAGAATAGAGGCGAGCATGAAAATGGTCGGCCAGTTCTTCAATCGGTCACCGCTGTATACGCTCGAGTAAAGAGCGGACAGCTCCTCCAGAATGTCCTTCTGCAGCTCTCGCCACATATCGGCCAGGGCACACTTGATCTGGAAGTTGATCATGACGGGGGCCACGACCTTGCCATAATACTTGGAGTCTTCATCGTCGATCTGACCCTCTGCAATAGACTCGTCGCCCTGCTGCTCAACCATGGTGATGTGCATCGTGAGGTTGTAGGCGAGAACCAGCTTCAGAGCCTTGCGGATGACAGGCGACTTCTCCTTCATGTAATAACGGTAGGCAGTTGTAAGAATCTCCGTGATGAAAGGAGTGCCCTCGAAATGATCAGTGATGAATGTCTCGTAGAAGCCATCAATATGCTTGTCCAGATACTCGGAAAGAGCGTTCATGCTGATGCCCTCGTGGCCGACATCGAGACCCTCGGTGCGGATCTCAAAGTCGATTGGCTCCTGGTCAGTCAGAAACGACTCGACCCAGTCGACTTGGAAGCAGCTCGAGTCCGAAACGTACACCTCCCGGACCATGACAGGCAGGCAGAAGCCGTATCCATGGGTGATCCACATGAGAGTCTCCTTCTGAGCGAAGCCCTTGACGTTATAGACAGAGACGCCGCGGCTCATGTGACGCTCATAATCCGCCTTCCAGTCCTTCATGAAATAGCCAATATCCTTGATATCGATGCGAGTACACGGGACTTGCCACAGACGAGCGTGCGAAGGCTGGCATCCGGCACAGGGCTCACCCTTGTCACACGTCTTCTTGAGGAATTTGCAGCGGAGGCAAGCACGAAGCTTCCTGATTTCACTGGCCTGCTTTCGCTGTTCCGGCAGGAGGGGGCCACGACGCCGGCCAACCTTCTTCTCGCCAGTACCCTTGGAATCCTTGCCCGTCGAGGTCCTGCGCGTGACAGCCTTGGGAGGTTTTGAAATAGGGCTCTTGCGCGGGCCAGACAGCCTTCTGGCGGGCGGCGAGGTTGACGAGCTCGTTCCGATACCAGATCCGCTTGCCGGCGTGACTCGGCTTGAGGAGGCGGTGGCGGCAGCCGCCTTGATTGGCACAGGAGCAACTGCAGCCGTGGGGCTCACAGTATCCATGGTGGTATGCGGGTGGCTGTGGTTTTCTCCAAAGCAGTGGCGGTGACCGTGGGGATTTGAAGAGTCTGCGCAGGTGTCTGACTCGGGAGAGAATGGCGAGTAGGGGAAGGTCACTTCCTCGAAGCTTCCAATGTCAAGCGAATTGCACCCATCAGAGTGAGATGCGTCAGAGTGGCTTCGTAGGTGCAGGGTCTGCGAGGGGTTGAAAATTGCGGCATTGTGGGCATGTTGGTATGCGTCGTAGTTTACGTCCACAAGATTCCATCCGCTCTCACTGCCAGAGCCGAGCGACTGCACTTCCAAGTAGGTCCCCGTTGGCGAGTTGCTGCCGAGACTGCCGAGGCGGGGTAGCCCATCAGTTGGGAAAGTCATTGCGGCGGCATCAAGCCAATTCGGCATGCCCATATTCCAATGCATAGCCTGAGCGCTGTCGTCCACTGGGGCCATGGTGTTGAACGTCGGCTCCATTTGCAGACCCGTCTCGAGGGCCGCCGTAGTGGTTGGGAGGTAATCTAGCGGTGAAGGCTGGAGACCAGCAAATGTGAAGGGCACCAACGCCGAGTCGTGAAGGAACTGCAGCTCTTGAGCAGACGGGTTATGCTGTTGCTGTTGTTGTTGCTGCTGCTGCTGCTGTTGTAGGGTCCAGTCGGCAAGTAATGAGGCGGCATGTGGTTGGGACACTGCTTGGAAGGGAGACAACTGCTGTTGGTGAGGGCTCGAGGCGGCCGAGCTGTGAAGTCCCGCACTGTGATGGCTAGGAGACGGTGCCTGGGAGTCGTCCGAGGAGGCCGTCACAGAGGCGGCATTGGGAGACTGGGCCGTGGTGACGGCTCCCATTCCCGACATATCGAAACCCATGGGCCAGGTGACGGGCGGGCTCTGACGATTGGATTGCGGCATCGCGGTCGATGTTGTGGTTGGGATAGCACCAGTAGTCGCAGCAGCCGTCGTCGAGAAGGGATACGTTTCCCGCGGGTCGTATCCGAGTTCCAGCAAGAGGGCCTCGGCGCCAGCGGTGTTGAAGTCAAAGGTCATCTTGACAGAGAAAGGGAAAAGAGGGAAAGAGGGAAGCGTTCGAGGGGGATTGGTAGGCGAGTCGATAGTATTGTATCAGGTTGGTGAACGACACCGCTCTTTCGTCGGGATCCCAGGATGAGATCGGTGAGGTTCAGGACTGGGACATGGGCGATGTCGTGGGGAGGAAAGTGGGAGAGGTGGCGGAAGTCTGGGGGAGGAGGGCAGAGGAAGGTAGGTAGAGGACGAGAGAGACGCTGATGCGGCGTCCAACGTGAGAGGAGAGCGCGGGAGCACGCAGACCGCTAGGGCACACTGGCACGAGCGACTGTCAGACGGGACTGGGGAGCGGGAAGAGAGAGGCGAGAGGACGGAGAAGGAGGAGCAGCAGCAGGAGGAGGAGGAGGAGGAGGAGGCGTCGGCGGCGGCAACGACAAAACGGTAGGTAGCACCACCAGCATGAGTGGCAGGTGGGGGAGGAAGAGGAGCAGAGAGAGAGAGAGAGTCCCGGCACCCGCACCACTTTCGCAAGACTCGACAGGTCCGTTGAAGAGGCGGTGAGAGATGCAGCGTTGGCTTCCCAGCCCTGACCGGCTCGTGCATGAAGTCGGGCCAATCAAGGGGCGGGAGGACCCTCCCGGGCCTGCAAGAACGTGGAGCGGCCAGTGGACGGGCGGGGCCCACGAGGCCAATCAATGTGCGCTAACGCTTGACGGCTGCGCTGGCGTTCTTACGGAGCACTTAGTGCACATGTGCTACGATTGGTCTCTTGTCTCGGGGAGGGTTGACAGCAGAAATGGACGCTCTCACCACCGCTCGAAGGACACTTAAGCCACCTGGAGCCCAGCCGGGGGCGAGGGTACGATGCGCGAGGACGTTTCCTCAAGCTACCTTGGCTACAGCAGAGGTCGGCCTACTCAGCATGTACCTACTCACTCTAGATAAGCTAGCTGGATCCTTTTCCCTGATCCTCCCTAGATCGCCCATCGTTTTCCCCTCTTGTGCGCGTCCGCCCACTGGCCGGGCCACTGCGGGCCTGTCCAGTCTCAATCCTCGAATTCCTTCCTAGCCCGCCCCTCTTTCCCCGCCCGCGCCGCCGCCCGCCAGCCTCTTCGTCCCGCAACCGTCAATGGCTTGCGAGAAAAAGGCCAGCGTTATGAAGAAGCTTACAAGCAGAGGCTCTCTCTCACTTCACGCTTCCCGTCATCATCTAGCTGCTGCTTAGCTGAAAGAGGAACACGACCCATTCCTTGTCTCCCCCCTTCCCCCTCCCGGCGCTGCAACCACGGCATGCAATATGCAGACTTGATCACGAGTCCGTGGCTGTGAAACAGGCCTTTGTCTTGCTGTTCCCTGGACTAATTTACACACCCACACACACACACACATGTCATCATTCATCAATGGCTTGTGCAAGTGTGCGGAGAGAGAGAGAGAGAGAGAGAGATTGTAGGTCAACAAACCTAATTGCCGGTAAGATGTTTCTTGTCATCACCAATCGCGATTTGGCAGGCGAGCTTCCAACACAGTCTCACACAAAATCGATATCCATATGTCCTAGATGGTGGCAAGTGTTCAATATGGCAGAAGACACGCGTGAGATGCCTGCCATTCTGAGACAAGTGCCAACCACCCTGGACCTTCAGCAGACCCTGACACATTTTGTATCGTTGTCAAGGTTGTGGTCCTTGTTGATGATCTCTCGGCCGGGCATTGCAATGCTCCAGAGTCCGTCTTCCCGTTTCCGCCCGTGCGCAGATTCGATTGTGTGAAGTCAATCGAGTCCTGACATGGGTTTGCTTAGATATATGATTGGTGTGATATGGATCATATGGGTTGAAACCCCAGAATCGAGAGCGACAGGACTGTCATCCGTGCCATCAGATCCTCGCTTGGTGCAACCACACAAACCCAAGCCCGTCATCTTGCCCAAATTGTCTGACCAATCCGCCCGCCTCTTTCCGGCCGGTGATAGTGATTTTCACGAGCTGCTGGAGTGTTCACACCCGAGTCTGTGACTGGACGGTCCCCCACGAGTCGGATTCCACCGCCCCTACACGACGACAAGATGTGATGTGCAGATAGGTAGCATTCAAGATCAGACGGCTTTTCCCTTTCCCTTTGCCTGTGTGCCTCCTTTGGTTAATCTCCAGACTATTGGCTCTGAAAGGAGTAAGGCCTATCACACCATCGACAATATCGACAGGCGTCCTAGCCCAGTACTAGGCTAGACTTGACCGGTTTGTACAAGGAAAGGACAGGCGGCCCTCTGTCAGTGGCAACATGCTTGGGTTTGCAGTTCTGCATTGGTCTCCTTCGAGGTCCGTTGTCCATGTGGGCTACTTGCTTCCTAGTCGCTGGTCCATCACCGCCTGGCACGGCGTACGACACGAGCGACCCGTACCTATTTCTCGCTTGCATCCTGTTGCTATTCGGTCTGCCCCATGAAACCCACCGCATTCCACACTTGGGTGGCATCTCCTGCCGATTGGCCTGCGAGCTAGCACGGCGATGCAGGGCATCTTGTCGCGGATCGGCTACCGTTGCAGGATGCCGATGCCCCCCTGAGGCAAGCTAGGGTGCTCTTCTGGCCGGAGCGTGGACCCTGGCCAGCTTTTTCCAACGAAGCAATTCCGGGTTTTACCACGCTAACTCAAACATAACACGATAGCGCGCCTGCATGTGGCGGTGAGCACCGCAACGAGACGTGAAGCCCCAAGCGGATCAGCTAAGCTGAGTCTGGCTAGCCGTATCTCTCCGCCAGATCTTGGTGGCCGCGATCCAGGTCCTGGCGAGCAAGGATGTCGGACAAGGCGACTTGGCCAGACCCCGTTCACACACCCGGCTAATAATTGCCCGATACACCACCTGCTACAAGGACAATTCATCAAAGTAGGTACCTGGCGGGGACGTCGGGATTTCAGCGCTCGAATGTCGAACCCATCAGGCAACACGTTACAGCGTGGATGCAGCTCAGTTCGAGAGAGGTCTGGCAATCGCCAAGGGAAATGATTGGAGCACCGCACCAGCACACAGCACACGCTGACAAGGAGACGAAAGCCTCGCAAAATGTTTTCACAGCTAAGAAAGGGCCTCGGTCAGACTCACTGTGTCCTGGCTGTCATGTCGGAAGATTCATATCAGCAGTGCTCTCTCCTGTCAGGAGTGAAGCTCTTGAGGACTATTGACGTGCGAACGTGTGTCGCCTTCACGATGATGCGGTTTTGTCAACTCGTGTTGATTTGCAAACACAATTGATCTTCATCGTCCCTGAAGACCCATACCTTGTTTGACTCGTTTGACTCGTTTGACTGTGACATTACGCTCCTGTCCAGGCAGTTTGCGTGATAGCCTTGAGTATGATGCCTTCTGAGAGGCTGTGCAGAGAGATATCCGGCTGGGTATGGACAATTGGTCAGGCACCGGCGCACAGCAGGCTGTGTGAAGCGATCTTGAAGAAGGTCTGGTTTCGAAAGCCCAATTGATCACTCCGTTATCCCATGTTGGAAAACACAGGCGAGTTTACGCTCGCTTGAGTGTTCTCATCGGATTGATATTGAGGCGTTAGCAGACATATTTTCCAGGCTTGATGTGACAGGTCTGTGTGAGTCGCAAACACGAGAATTGTGCTCTGCATTGCGATAAAGTATCATCTCAGTATTTACACACGTGAAAAATAAGATGATATGTCTTTTTCTGATATAAGCGAGGCTCTGTTATGTCCTCCAAGGAGTTGCGAACATATGATGACAGTATGCGCATTTTTACGTGTGTGGTGTTTTTTAGCCGATAAAACTCCGAGCCCAACTGAAATGGGCGTTGATGGTGAGGAGCAAACAGCACCAATTTTACATCGAATGAGCCAACAACAATCACTGTTTGCACATTTGAGAGCTAAGTCAAGTCAAAGTTTGCTTGGCCGAGGAGAGGAACAATAGGAGTGAGGCAGGCGACCCGATTGTTGTCGAGCTTGCGCAGGCGCCTTTTCCGGAACCTCTCTTTTTCCTTTGTTCCCTGATATGACGGTACACACCAAACCATCAAGTCACCGTCACCGAGCTGTCTTTATAAGAAGAACCAAGCGGAAAATGGCTTCATCCCAGGCGAGCAAAGCGCCCGTAAACCCAGCGGATTCTGTTGACGAGGAATTCGTCGAGGACATGTCAAATTTCCGGATACACCTGAACCCAGCATCGATGATTCCAGACTTGTTCTCAACATACCCCCCTGTGAGGGATGAGCTTGATACCGATACCTCAGCGACGCAAGATGAGACTGTCGAGATCTGCCTCCCGTACATTTCTGGGCAAGATGCGGATGTCAAATACAATGACTACGGCGTGCCCAGTCTCGACCGCGAAGGACACGCCAGGTTCCTGCACCGCAACCTCGGGACACTCCCGGCGCCCTTCATCGCTGCCGATGCTAGTCGTCCGTGGTTCCTGTTCTGGTGTCTCAACGCGCTCACGTTGCTTGGCGAGGATGTCTCTGGCTATCGCGAGCGTCTGATTGAGACTGCGCTGTCCATGCAGAACGAGTCAGGTGGTTTCGGTGGCGGGCCGGGCCAGCTCTCCCACCTGGCGACCACCTATGCCGTGATACTGTCCCTCGCAATTGTCGGCGGCCAAGACTGCTACGAAGTCATTGATAGGAAGGCTCTCTGGAGATGGCTCTGCCTACTGAAACAGGCCGACGGCGGTTTCCGCATGTCGACAGACGGAGAGGAAGACATCAGGGGCGCGTACTGTGCGGTAGTCATCATCTCGCTTCTCGGCCTGCCCCTGGATCTCACCCGAGAATCGCCTGCATGGACGTCGGATGGGACTGCCACTCTGTTCACTGGCCTTGGGAAATGGGTTCGTCGATGTAAGTGAGCTTTGCTCGACTCTTCTTGTCTGTGTGCATGCATGTACTCCGCGGGGGCTACAGCTGACAAACCTGTGTCCAGGCCAAACGTTTGAGGGAGGCATATCGGGGCAGCCCGATGCGGAAGCTCACGGTGCATATGCATTCTGTGCACTCGGGTGCTTGTCTATATTGGACACGCCTAACCGGAGCTTTCCTCAGTAAGCAGCTCCTATTGATCCATGGCTGGACTGGCTGGTTACGTTGAGCTAATATGATCCCCTAGATATCTTGACGTTCCACGACTCATCGCTTGGCTGTCATCACGGCAGTATGCCCCGGAAGGTGGGTTTTCTGGTCGCACCAACAAGCTCGTAGATGGATGCTACAGCCACTGGGTCGGTGGGTGCTGGCCACTTCTTGAAGCGTGTGTGGGCGCTCAGGGGTCACCCGGCGCTGCTCTGTTTGAGAACGCTTCACAGAGTCTGTTCAGTCGCGAGGGCCTGATACGGTATATTCTCTCTTGCTGCCAGGACAGGACTAAGCGTGGTGGCTTGCGAGACAAGCCTGGGAAGTAGGTTGCTTCTGACCCCGTGCCTTTCACGTTCTATCTAACGGACTTGCAGGCCGTCGGACGCCTACCATTCTTGCTACGTTCTATCTGGCCTGAGCTCTGCGGAGCACAAGTGGGAGCTCCAATCGCCCAGCGCCCAGGAGCCGATGCAAGGCTCCGGCGGCCCCGTGTGGAGAGTCTCACCTTACCCATATGACGTGCAGATATTCGACGAAGCGGATCGCGTGGGTACCATTCATCCCGTCTACACCATACCGGAAGGAAAAGTCATCGAGATCCAGGAGTATTTTATGTCCAAGGAGGGGTTCTAGCTGGTACGCCCGGTGGTTATTCTCGTCGAGACAACAGGTCCGTCGATGGCTCGAAATCCGGCGGCCTCTTAGCACGAGCACCCACACCCCGACACGAGCCTTGGACAGATCGCACTCTCACACCTCTTGTGCAGTATTCTTGGCGCAGGCGGGTGGCGAGGAGAAGAAATGAGTAAGGACCCTGAATGGGGCAAGAGAGAAGAAGTCATGCTGCTTCATCGCGCCAACAGACAACTGCTTGCCAGCTCAGCGTCGCATCTTGGAACCGCGGGATTGGCAAGACCTGCATCCCGCCTAGACCTTTCTGATCTATCAGACAGATCAGTGCATACAGGATGCGACACCACGAGGCATGTACACGGGAAGACACGGCTAGACGGGCTCGCCCGGTTACAGTGTATCATTTTTGTAATTCCTTTGGGCAGGGAGTATTTGGGATCGATCGGTGTGGTTTCCATCAACTCGGGAAGCTCGAGGTCGGGGCTCAGAATTCGCTCTCGTTCGTTCGCACGTAGCCGAAGTCGTATGCACCTGCTATCTATCATGGAAACGTTTCTTTTCGTCTCGAGTGCAGTGTGCAGGCGTGCAGGCCCGTGTCGCGTGGAATCCAAGCCCGCTCGCTCGTGTATCGGGGGCCTCCCATGTGGCCCACCTCTACCTTCTCTGCTTGGGGCCTCGTATGTATGTCTCGGAGAATTCGTTCGTCTTCTATCCCCACGGTCTGACCGAGGACACGCCAGATGCGCGAAGAAACTCGGGCCCTTTCGTGGCGGCACGGGTAAGTCGCAGGCTGGCCGCCATAACGGGCCTCGCATGGAAAATCATGCCTCTCCTCGCGGTCCAGATGGCCGACGAGGAAAAGGACTTAAGTAACAAAGGGTGTGTGCTCCCGGGCTGGTGTGGCTAAGATGAATCGGGGAGAATCCACACCTGCTTGCAGGACACACACACACACACACACATACACACATGTACAAAGATACAATATACCACCATTGCGACAAGCTGCATTGGAAGGAAGAGTAAGCTGTGTGCGCCGAGGGGGGAGAGGGGGGGGTTGGGATGGACGCTCCATGACGGTCCTTGGCAGTGTCGTCCCCAAGTCACAGAGGGTCTTCCAGATGGAGGGTGTGATACCGTCGTGTCGGCCCCGGTGGCCTTGCCGGAACGGGTGACGTGCCACGCAGGATGACGTTGTCTGGTCTTTGGTATTGAACAGCAGTCTCATGCAATGGAGTTGAGGGGTGAGGGGCAGCCGGGTGAGACGAGAGGTATATTTTCAACTATCTTCACACTTGTGGATGATCTATCGGACGGGAAGTATGCCTCTTCCCCTCTCGGCCATGCAGGTAGCCATCATGAAGAGCTATCGTCAGTCACGAACACCTCTTTCCGCGGCTTTTCATACCAAGTACTTCGGACCAGTGCAGAGAGGCCGTGCCCACAAGCTGGCCATTCAAGGAAATTAAGGTTGTGAGACCCGATGTTCTTACCTCAAAAACCCAGCAACCTGGACGGATGAATTCCGGAGTGTGGTCGGGTGATGATGCAGCACGCCCGGCTGGCAACATTCGGGATAAATGCGGGCTAACGGCCTTGTGCTTCTGGACAAGACGGCGGTACCGCACCACAGAAAGAAGGAAGGGAAAGGGAAGTGGCGTGGGCTCTGTTCTCGACGACCACCCCGCGGCGTCTCAGGAGGATTGCTAGTGTGAATACCGTTCCAAGTCTGTGTTGTACTTGTAGCACGAGTTGAAGAGGCGTTAGCTCTGCAAGTCATTGTCTGAACGGTTCGGTCAGGCCTACTGCATCAAGGTGCATTGGTCTGGATTGTCCGTTCGAAAACTCATTCCCTTTCTGTTCTCTAGTATCAACGCAGTCTCTCCACTTGAGCGAGCCTAGCCCGAATGTGAGCTGAGCACCGTTCTGCGGAGTACTTGTAGGATCCTGACCAGCCATTGACCAGCAATTGCCAGCGAGGACAGTGCTCCGGGGGCCATTGAAGCTGTTGTCGGCCTGGATGTCGCGATACTAACACACCTCTATACGATGTCTGGTGGCACATGTTAGTCATGCCATCCAAGTACTTCGTACAAACTTGTACCGGACCAAGCTTGCAGGCTGAAAAGTCGATAATTATACCCTTGTCCAGAATTCACTTACCAACCCACGCCCCGCCCGCCCAGCCGTTGCTCCTTCCCTCTGCTGAACATACCTACATACACTACTTCCTGGACGTATCAGCCAAAGAAACATTCGACTCGCTGACTGGGCGAACGCGGATCATCGTCATCGTCATCATCCAGCAGCATCCAGCAGCAGCATCATCATCATCATCATCATCATCACCATCATCACCAGAAGCAGCATCAGCATCAGCAGCAACAATCCTCGTCGCAGGACACATCCCAGCCAACCCACTTTTGGCCAAGGGCACCACCGTCAGTCTCTCAATCTGCTCGGTCGACCCAATCCTCCTCATCCACCACCCCCTCTTCCATCCTCCACCGCAAGCGTGGGCCCTGGTCTGGTCGCTCTACTTTGGCTTCTGGTCGTTTCCTGGTTCCCAGGATCTCCCTCGTCCAGATCCGTGTGCCTACCTGCTACCGAGCTCTACCTGCGTATGACCCTGCCCTCGGGCGACACCTACATGCTGTTACATGCGACGCTTCTGCTTTTTAATATCAAGCAGAAGCATTGCCAACTCATCATTGCATGACTGTTGAAAGCCAGCCTTTGCCTAGCCTGCGTCGCCGCCCCCTCCCGCCAATGGCAATTCCTCCACCCAGGAGACGCCTGGCCATCCCTTGGGTCCAGATGCAACCAGGCACACGCGAGGGTTCCGCCGGCCCCAGGTCGCTGTCGCTGTTCATGCATCTCATTTCTCTTCACCGACTTCGTGTACCGATCCGGGGCCAGTCAATCATTCAGACTACAATCCCCTCGCATCGGTACTTCAACCCCCCCTCTTCGTCTTCGTCTTCTCAAGCGTGTCCCTCAAGTCAATGGATACAGTACGGAGCAGGTAGGCATTGGACTTACCCTCCTCTCCACTCACCCTTGGTGTCAAAGCGAGAGAGGGCTCTCACTCACTGCACTGACCCAGGACTTGTTTGTGTCGACTGACTCTGACTTCACTACTGTTGCGTCCTCTTTTGCACTATTTTAGCTATTTCCCCAAGAGATCAGCACCCGCGATTCTGATTTGCTGGCCACTACGTCGTCGTGCCGCCTGATCGTTTCCAAGATCACTCTTGGGCCGTTGACTATGGGCTAGCCGACCTCTCGTCTCTGCAGTGCAAAGGCTCTTGACGCTCACTTTTCCCTTCCTGGACGGGTCTCATCTTCCCGGGCGATTCGCCTGCGATCTCAAGAGGACCCACAAGTGTCGTTCTACTTGTACCTATCCTGCCAACATGGGTACATAGCAAGTCCAAAAGAGCTTGGTTATCTGTATCAAGTCGATTCTTCACGTCCAGTTCCTTGTCGTCTTACATCTTGCCGCTTGCCCCTCATTCTGGCCCCTCTCAGGACCCTGTTGCCGACAAGGGCGTGTACATGAGTGCATGTACTTGTGCTCCGAGGCTCGCTCCCAGCAGAGTCTAGCTGGGATGCATGGCAGGGTAGGCGCGGGGACTTGCATCTTTGATTTCGAGCAGGAATCGTCTTATTCCGTGGTAGACTCCAGGGATGGGTGCTGCCGTTCATGTACCAGGAGGATACTTTCTGTATGGTCTCTGCATTGTGCATTAGCGGACGACGACACACAAGTTAATCTCCCTTCTTTTTCCTTTTTTTCCTCTCCCCTTTCTAATCCACCCCCCTCTTCCCAGAAGCACTCATCCTGTGCCCTTCGGAGATTCCTTGTCTGTCACTGTCGTTCCTAATGGAACTACCAATGCAGTCAGTCGCACCTCCACCTCATGGCTAGGCGTGAACCAGGCACATCCCTCCCCGATTTCCCACTTGTCCTGCCGGGCCCATTGAGACGGCCGTCTCGTACATACACTCGAGTTGCGTCGTGCATAGGAGCAGCTTGGTTTGTCGACGGTTCCATTTGCCACCTCATCCTGCCTAGGACTTGCATGGTGACGGTCGTCCCTATTGACCCCGAGGCAAAGTACAGCCGTCGTACGTCCTGGCCTGCCCGTCGACCAGTCGAAACAATGGCAACGGGGCAACATGTTTAACCGCACGACCGCATCCCGCAGTACCGCGTCTGCTCCTTGATTCCACGTCCCAGACTCAACGCTAGTCGGGACTAAGTCGTCAAGAGATCTTCGCTAACGCGCAGATTGCAAACCCCCATCTACGCTTGGTGGAGTCTCCTAGTCTCAGCGGTTTTTATCAACTGGTAACGACGCACGCCAACGCATCAAAGACTGGGTCGCACCGAGAGAGCCGCATCTCGACATGCATCTGTTGAACCTTTTCCACTTTGATTTCCACCAGCTTGTTTTGCCGAAGTTCCTTGTTGTCTTCCGCCTGCTCTTCTAGATACCCCTGCCCCACACCCGGGGGGCCCAGTCTCTGCAATAAATCACACATGTCTCGCCGTTGATGGTTCAGAAATTCTGCACCAAAGCCTTGACTACGTAGCATAATCAGCCTCAACTTTAACACCCACCTTCGCCCCGACTTCACTCCTCCCTCGGTGGGACACACTCGATCCCTCATCTCTGCCTGACCGCAACTGTTGTTCACACCTGGCCTCCCCGAATCCCAGCCTAGGTTGGGCTCGAGTGCGTCTAACGGTTCCGGATCAGATCCCAACTTGTTTTTCTTAGCTTCTTCCTTTTCCAAGGCATAGCAAGGCGTTTCGTCTCTCTTCGGTTTCGTGCTTTACCAGGGGGCTTCCTGCCACACCACAGCGAGGCATACGACGTTCCTGGCCACCAGTAGAGACTGCTACACACACCATCTTGCCCATTGCTCAATCAATCTAGGCACAATGGGTGGTTTCTATATGCAGTATCTCGAAAGTAAGTTTTGGGTTTTTGTTTCCCTCCCTGACACGGGTTCTCCTGGGCACACAAATCCACATGATGCACTGTCACCTTGTTGCCGCCCCAGGTCTAGTTCGTGGTACCCAACGGCAGACATGAACCTCCCCTTGGGGTACAGCACCCAGGTGCCATTGACTCCCTCTTATGGCCTTTACGTGGCTCACGGGCAAACACCGTACCTGGAGCTGACCCTGCCCATGTGCCATGGGGTAGGGCTGGCAGAACAGGGGTCAGCCTCAAGTTAGGCTTTAATGCAGATCTGCTCAGTCCAGCTGGTTCGCATCTCTGCGAGGGACAACATGTCTGCCTACTCAAGACTCGCCGTTGCAACTCTCGAGGGCCAGTCGCTAACCAGTGCTACCCCATACAGGTCTGTGCAGGCGTCGAGGATGGCATGATCCAGCCTATGAGTGCTACCGCGAGCCCAGCGGGTACACTTGCCACGTGCTGGTGAACGGCCGCGAGTACCAGACCGATCTGGCCTATGCGTCGGATCTCTTGGCTCAGGAGAACGCGGCTATGCGCGCTTTTATGGTGTGCCGGAACTTCTCGGTGAATGGAGGCATGCTGGCCAGGAACGGGATCGTCCAAGGCCTTCCTGCAGACGAAACCAATCGCAAGCACCGCCGAGGCCGCCAGCATTCGTCCAGTCACAAGAGCAGTCACAGCCGCCGATCTGGTCATCACTCGAGCAGCAGCTCCACGGCTTCCTGTGACTAAGGCCTCATATTGTCTGGATTTTGCTCTTGCCCAGGGAGATTCTGCCAATCCCTTGTGACCGGCCCAAGCGAGGCAATGGCTTTCCGCCCGTTTTGGACAATTCCCCGGCCGAACTTTCGAGGACTTTGGCACTCTTTTTTTTTCCATTTTTTTTTCTTCTTTGATATACATTTGACTGCGGCTTCACAGCACACGAGTAGGGAAATACCCGACCAATGAGGAGCGAGGCTGGCGAGCAAGACGTTGCCAAAGAAGATGGCGACAGTGGGCGAATCGGAAAACGGGAATGGTTGGAAGAGGATGGAGCAGAAAAAGATTGCATCTCACGACACGACTTTACGATCTTACGACCTAGACCTTTGGCGATTTTTCTGCCACAGCAATGAATGATTTTTGGACGATTTTTCTTACGAACAAGCTCTTTCCATATTTCATCTCGACTACCTTTACCATATCTGGAGCCTTTTCATTTTATATTCCTGGTTTTGGACCCTTTTCAATGCGCGGCTCATAGCTCTTTGGTCTCTCCGAGCTGCCTGCCTACCTAATATCGAGGAGAACCACATCTGGATCTCGGGCTGGGTACTACAGAACCGGCCCTCGAGCTTTTCTTGCCCTCGCGGATGCAGACTTTGGGGCCTTGCGCTGGATACCAATGACCGGTCGGACCCAAGGCCCCTTCTTTTCTGGCCCGTCAGGATTCTTCGGAGAAGCGTCTCGGGATTTTCGTGGACTGGGTACCTCTTAAGACCATGAGGGCGCAGTTGCAACCCGGAGTCTTCTCTTCCAAGATGCCGTGATCAGGTGGAGGTCTGCTTTTTTTTCGCCTGGGCTGCAAAGGGCAGCCGATTCCCCATGCATTCCAAGGAGCTATGGGCTGGGGCTTTTTATTTCCGTCACCACGTTTCTCCTCTGTGGGGGAGACTCCGTTCGGATGTGACTGTGACTATATATCCAGGAAGACGGGAGGGAGGCTATCGTCGTTTTTCAAAAAGCTTTTAAAAACGCAGACAAGACGGTTTATACTGGGTGGGAGGTTTTTTGCTTTTTTTTTTTTACCCTTTTCGCACGTCATTTCTTCTCAACCGCTTTCTCTATTCTCTCTTTACTCTTTCCTGCGCTCCTTCATATGCTACTTCTCGACCGGAGGCTGTTTCGGACACTTTGCTTTGCGGAGATTTACGACACATTACGATTTGATGATTGGCTTTTTGACGACTTTCCTATATCTGGAGATAACTCGAGGAATGAACGATGATGATTATGACCTGCTACTGCTGATCAGACTAGACAGTGACAGTTCTTGTATCATGTGTGACTGGAGAAGTGGTGAAGCCCGACAGCGTCATTCTGAGTACTTATCGTCCCTGTGGTGGCAAGTAAGGCTTCGGGAGCGTATGGCGGACTGCCGTCGGGGACGGCGGTTCGAATTGCCTTGGCTTTCCCGTATTGCACCATGAGGCGAGGACTAAAAAAAGAAGCAAACCACGGACGCCGGGGTCTGATGCGGCCCAGAAACCGGGACCAGCCGATGGCTTTCATGTTTTTGATGGCTCCACTACTGCCGGGAGGATGTGTACATCATCATTGCCCACAAGTACCTTGTTAGATATCATATTATTCATGTGGGAGTGAGACATGTGTGTCTGTCTGTAACGGCAAAGTGCGGTAGGCTTCTGAGACATGGCTTGTGCAGCTAAGTTTTGGGGCGCTCGTTGTCGCCGGTGAAAGGAGCACGGTGTAGACATTCGACGTCGAGTCCCGGCAGGTGATTCGATGGTCGGCGAGGTTTACCAGTGCAGAGGGGACCACAGTCGAGATGAGCGTGGATCCCGATCCAATTTGACGACACAAGGGGTCGAGGCCGGGCAACAAGAGCACACAGCATCGGTTGGTGGTTGGTGCTGGGCCAGTCGGAGCGTGCACCAGAGGCGAAATGATGGGACGAGATGACAGATGGCGTGTCCTGGGCCGCTCTGGAACCAATTGGCATCTGACAGGGAGCACGATGTGGAATCGGCTGGTGGGACGGGGTGAACGAGAGAGAGACTGCAGACTCGATGCAACCCGCCCCCTGGAGAGCATTGAAATACCCCAAGTAATCAACATGCGCCCGCATGCAAGAGCAGCTCGTGTTCTCTACCGAGATGTCAGTTCATCAATCAAATCTCCAGCCACCCCGAGGCTTCCTGGGTGGAACAATAGCACACAGCCAGCACAAAGGTGAGAGAGAAACCCGGAACCTGCGCCCCCTAAGGAACGGACGTCCTCTTGCATTGGTTGCAGGGGTGCGCATTGTAAAAAAAAGGTGATCTCCTTTGAATAACATGTGGGCTCCCCGCTGACCTTGTCAAGAACCGGGGAAAGCAAACAGGGCAGATCTGATCACCAGCTAGGAGTCTAGCTTCTGTGCTCTAGGTACCTACTTGTAGACAAGCCAGACATAGCAACCATATGGATATATGTTCTGATGATTGACGGGTGATACTGGGGGGCCACCGCACAAACTTGGACAAAACCGGGACTTTATGTTGGAAATATGCACTTACAGGTAGAAGCAGAAGCTCGTGTTAGGGGGCACCTCCCTTGAGTGGCACCAGTGGAACCCCCCGAAGCCCGCCCCTTGTCCCCGTAGCGCTTCCCCTGTCTTAAGGTTGACTTCAGATCCCCCACCATCCACCATTGGGAAAAAGGCGCCAAGCTATGTACCAGGTTCGACCGTAATGGGTAATTACGAGGCTTTTGGGGGGAGGGGAAAAAAGGGCCTTTAAACTTCGCAACCTGTCCTCAGCTTCAGTCGCGCCCCCTTTGAAGAGTTTCTCTCTCTTCCTCCACATTCACACTTACCAAATCCCATTCTCGGCCTTTTGATCACTTTTGCGTCGCCTAAGGGACGATAATAATATACCACATTGCCTCTACTCTTTTAATTGTACACTGCTTCTCACTCTCTTTGAGGCGGTCTACTCTTCCCTTCTCGACACTCGTTCAAAATAGACAAGACGCCTTTTTTCTAGCTGCAGGTCTCCCTGCGCCCATTCACCACGCGCGCGAGCACACACACACACACACACACACACACACACCCCTACCTTTAACCGACTTGTCAAGATGAAGGGTATGATTATCTGCCAAGCCTGTGTGCATTTACAGGTTTCGCTGCTCTGCATACATCTAGTACAACATTAGCTGACATGCTCGTTCCCTCCAGCCCTCATTCTCGTCGGAGGCTTTGGCACCCGCCTGCGTCCTCTTGTATGCAACAATTTCCCCTCCCTGAACGAGCTGCGTGATCAGACGCGTTTCTAGCGCAATCGGCAGGCATTTTTCCAAAGGCACGACATATCATCCAGCTAACGAATTATGTCACCTCCAGACCTTGACTCTGCCCAAGCCCCTGGTCGAGTTCGGCAACAAGCGCATGATCCTGCACCAGATTGAGGCCCTGGCCGCCGCTGGTGTGACCGATGTCGTACTTGCTGTCAACTACCGGCCTGAGATTATGGAGAAGTACCTTGCAGAGGTCAGTCAACCTTCGCATCATTGCACACACCCACCCACGGCCGCGCGGGGAACCCTTGGGCTGGTTTCATCGAGTTGTCAAGACTGACTGGTAGGAAAATGTATAGTACGAGGAGCGATTCGGCATCAACATTACCTTCTCCATCGAGTCGGAACCCCTGGGCACCGCCGGCCCCCTGAAGCTGGCCGAGCAGACCCTGCTCAAGGACGACACCCCCTTCTTCGTCCTCAACTCGGATGTCACCTGCGAGTACCCCTTCAAGGAGCTCGCCGATTTCCACAAGGCCCATGGCGATGAGGGTACCATTGTCGTCACCAAGGTCGAGGAGCCCTCCAAGTACGGTGTCATCGTCCACAAGCCCAACCATCCCTCCCGAATCGACCGCTTCGTCGAGAAGCCTGTCGAGTTCGTCGGCAACCGTATCAATGCCGGCATCTACATCCTCAATACCTCCGTGCTGAAGCGCATCGACCTCCGCCCCACCTCGATCGAGCAGGAAACCTTCCCCGCCATGGTCCGAGACGGCCAGCTGCACTCGTTTGACCTCGAGGGCTTCTGGATGGACGTTGGTCAGCCCAAGGACTTCCTGACTGGCACATGCCTGTACCTCTCTTCCCTGACCAAGAAGGGCAACAAGTCCCTCGCCTCTCCCTCCGAGCCCTACGTCTATGGCGGCAATGTGCTCATTGATCCCTCCGCCAAGATCGGCAAGAACTGCAGAATAGGACCCAATGTCACCATCGGCCCCGACGTCGTTATCGGTGACGGTGTCCGCCTACAGCGATGCGTCATCCTCTCTGGCTCCAAGGTCAAGGACCACGCCTGGGTCAAGAGCACTATCGTCGGCTGGAACAGCACTGTCGGCAAATGGGCACGCCTCGAGAACGTGACCGTTCTCGGTGACGACGTCACCATTGGCGACGAGATCTACGTCAACGGTGGCAGCATTCTCCCCCACAAGAGCATCAAGGCCAACGTTGATGTTCCCGCCATTATCATGTAAACCAAGGTCAAAGAAATAACGACCTGTGGTATAGATCCCTTCTCTTGTTGCACGCTTTCCGCAACTATCACATGCAACCTTTTCTACACTCTTCTAATACCCCTCGCCAATACACACAACTCCTCCCTTCTTGTCTGGTGTCGTTGCGCGTCGTTTGGCGTATTCGATCTCGGCAAAGCTCACGCAGCGCATCTGCAGATGGGCTTCAAGGGCACTCTTTTCACCTTTTTTTCCTTTTCTGTCTGATTCGCCCTGACGCTTTTTCGAAAACTGATCTACGACATCCATTGTGTACTACTGGTTTCGCCACGAGTCCTGCCGACCCCCGATCGAGAAACGTGCCTTTCTGTCTGGTGTAGGGAAATAAAAGGGGCAAGGGGTCTCCGGACACGTTGAAACAAACATACGAAAAAATGGCAGGGCACGATTTGCATGAAGTCCTATGGAAAGGACCTCGGGTGTGGGGGGGATAAGATAAAAACAAATCCGGCATTTTCTGTTTTTGGTGGAGCATGCATGCATTGGTCGTCTCTGTCTTGGTGTGTCTTCGGACGTTCTGCTCTGCCGCCAGAGAGGAACGAGAGTTTATTGTGCTCTGTCGAGACGAGAGGCAGGCAGGCAGGCATGAGCATGAGCATGAAGGGGAGGAAAACACATTCTCCTTTGCTTGCAGGATGAAGATGTACATTACCGTTTACTTTTACTGCGTAGCATGCATGTATGATGCCGGCTGTGTCCAAAGAAACATCAAAAGCCAGGGCAGCAATCATTGCGTGCGCAAATTGTCTTGCAGGAATTCAATAAAAACCAAAAAAGTTCTCCAAACAAACTGATCCCGGAGACTCTGCGCACGAGGTGTCATGGCGGGCGGGTATTAATTCTTGTTTGTAAGGTATGGTATGCATAGGGGGTATTGATGTAACATGAGCATGAAAAACAGCAGCATGACGGCTTGTGTGTGCTCTGCTTCCTGCTTTTGCCCCAGTCTCTCTCATCCAACCACAAACACACACACACACACACAGTATCTCCATCCTAACCATCGATGTACAAATACACTCTACTCTGTTCGACTCGAAACTCTTCTGATCACCACCACATTATTACTACTAAACCCCTTTTCTTTCTTCACTCCCCGTCGTCCTTGACCCATCCCCTGCTCATGTCGACCGCCTGCTCCCACTTGCGCACCATGCGCGCAAACTTCTTGCGGTCGGCGCTGGGCCGGAAGACGGTGCGGCCCACGCGGTTGACCTCCTTGAGCTCGTCGAGCTCGTTCCAGACGCCCGTCGCGAGGCCCGCGGCGATGGCGGCGCCGAGGGCCGTCGTCTCGCGCATGGCGGGCCGGTCGACGGGGATGCCCGTCACGTCGGCCTGCGTCTGCATCGTCAGGTCCGAGTTAGAGAGCCCCCCGTCGACGGCGAGCGACTCGAGCTTGTGCTGCGAGTCCGACTCCATGGCGTCGAGGATGGCCTTTGTCTGGTAGCACGTCGCCTCGAGCGTGGCGCGCGCGATGTGGCCCTTTTGCGTGTGCTGGGTGATGCCGACTTTTTTTGCGGCGTTAGTCTCCTTGTTTGCCTGCTTGGAAGATGTCTGGAAGATAGTTCCGAGGGGAGAGTATACGTACAGAGTGTTCCCTTGGCATCGTCGATCCAGTACGGGGCAAAGAGGCCGCTAAATGCCGTGACAAAGACCACGCCGCCGTTGTCCTTGACGCTCTCGGCCAGCTCGGTGATCTTGGACGACGAGTCGACGAAGCCGAGGTTGTTCATGAGGAACTTGACGCCCGAGCCGGCCACCGCTATACTGCCCTCCAGGGCATAGACGGGCTTGCGGCCCTTGCCAAAGTCGTAGGCCACCGTCGCCAGGAGGCCCGCCTTGGAAATGACGGGCTCAGTGCCGACATTGTACAGCAGGAAACAGCCCGTGCCGTAGGTGTTCTTGGCTTGGCCGGGGCTGAAGCCGCACTGTCCTACCAGTGCGCTCGACTGGTCGCCCAAGCATCCCGCAATCCGGGTACCTTTCAGAGAACCACTGGCAATCCGACCAAAGACTTCTGCGTCTGACGAAGGCACGATCTTGGGAAGCGTGATTTTGCTGCGATCGATGTCGAAGAACTTGAGTAATGAATCGTCGTACTTGAGCGTGCGCAGGTTCATAAACATGGTCCGGCTGGCGTTGGTGCTGTCCGTCACGTGGATCTGCTTCTCAGCCTTTATGCCACCATTGAGCCTGAAGATGAGCCATGAGTCCACAGTGCCAAAAGCCAGCCTTCCTTCATCGTACGCCTGTTTGACAGGCTCCACGTTGTCTAGCAGCCATCGCAGCTTGACACTGCTGGGGTAAGTAGACAGAGGCAGGCCACAAAGGTTGAGCAGCTCGTTGGCGCCATCGCGGCCTTTGAGCTCGCGCACGAGGTCCTTTGTCCGCGTGTCTGGCCAGACTACGGCATTGTAGAGCGGCTCGCCGGTCTCACGGTCCCAGACGACGGTGGTCTCTCGTTGGTTCGTGATGCCGACAGAGCGGATGTCTTTGGCAGAGTAGCCCTTCTCTGCGAACTCATCCATAGCCTTCTCGATACATTCCTCTACAGAAGAAAGCAGCTCGAGAGGGTCGTGCTCGTGCCATCTACGGCTGTTGTTAGCAAAGCCGATTGGAATCGGGTGTGCGCGCCCGATAGCAAGGGGGACTTACCCTGACTCTGGATACAGGTTCTCAAACTCGATTTGATGGCCAGCAACGGGTTCGCCTTCGCCGTTGAAAATGATGAAGCGAGACGAGGTGGTTCCCTGATCTATGCTGCCAACGAACCAATGCCTGCGCTCCTGTTCCTCGGTAGTAGCGAGGCCGTTCGGTAGGTGCTCACCCTGGTGAGGGGTTGACACAGGCCCGTCAGGTTTGCTTTCGGCAGCATGTGCGCCCACGCCATTCACGCCGTTCTTAGTCGCGGGGAGGGTGCCGTCGTCGACGCGAGGCCTCTTAGCCTCGCGCCCTTCTGACGTTGTCTCCGCCATAGTCTCGGCTCTCATGGCCAAAGCTGGTTCTGAAGGGCGGAGAGAGGAGGAGGAGGAGGAGGAGGAGGAGGAGAAAGTGCGCGACCAGACGGAAGCGAGGCGGGAATGGTAATATATAATACAAGGGCCGGCCGAGTGATAGGTACCGTGGACGCGGGGTACACTGTGAGACGGCAGGCCCTGGCCCTAGCACGGATGGCTGGTAGGAGGTGCGAGGGGAGGAGGGTGCAGACGCGGGGATGCAGCAAATGCTGCAGCTGCGGCGGATGGCAAGGATGAGAACGAGGACGAGGAGAAGACGCGGGATGATCTGCAGGGCGGAACTGCGGAGTGGTTCCTGGGGCGTGGGGATGATGAGCAGAGCTGCCGTTTGGAGACTGTGGGGAAGGGCGAGCAAGACGGGCGAGAAGAAGAATGAGAAGAATGAGAAGAGAAGGACGAGGTGTTGTTGGAGGAGGAATGGGAGGAGGAGAAATAAGAGGAAATAGCAGCAGGACGCGGACGAGAAGGAGGACGCAGTCGACACAGCAAGCAGACAGGTCGGGAGATCGGCGACGGAGGTGCCATGGGCGCGGCCGCACGTTGGTGGGAGAGGGGGGGGATGGGAAGGTCCGGTGTATTGTTGCAACGGGAAGCCGCCCCTGGCTAAGGTCAATAGCACGGGCAGAAGAAGCTTGCAAGCTTGTGACAGCTGCAGCCGGAGGGTCTCTAGCTTTCTAGACGGGGTGCAGACAGGCCTGAGGTGTTGCAGGTGGTCGCTTCAGAGGGCTTTACAGGACGCGCCGCAGAGGAGGCATGCAAGCTCTACGTCACCTGAAAGGCTGTGCCAGAAGAGCTGCTGGGCAGTTGATCACAAGCAATCGTCGATGGATGATGTCGTGCTGAGGAGAGAACCACACATTCTGGTCCACACTGACGATTGGCGGAAGAATTACGGAAGATCCACAGGCGCAGCATGAACAAATGGTGAGCGAAGCCCATCCACTGCGACAATACTGACGGGAAATCCTGGGGTCTCCGCTCAAGGCCTAGAAGCTCCCTGGTGGAGTTGGAGAGGGATGCAGATGGGGGTCGGCTCATTTGGCCGAGTTCGGGCTGTGCTTTGCGTGGAGCTCGTTCTTCATGTGACGGCGCCAATTCGCCAATAAAAAACACCATCTAACTATCTCTCTTGTCCTCGATTCAGTTGGAGACACATTGTCCCATCGTCAAACCTTCCGTGATTCGAAGCAAAGCTCTTCTCGTCCCTGGTGCCGTCGTTCTATCTAGTCCCCTAACCCTCGACAGACATGGGTACAATCTCCGATCGCACCCTCCAGCCAGCATCTTTCGTCTTCGTCTCTCGCCTGTCGGCTCTAGCCCCGAGAGTGGCTCCGGTGGCCGACCTACAACGGGCTAGAACGCACCGTCTCGGAGTATATCTCGGCCATCGGCTGGCGGCTGTCCGAGAGAGGCACATTCTGTCCTACTTTAGATGACAGATGCACCAAGAACGGTCGGTGGTCGTGACTACTACAGCATTAAGAAACAAGAACTTCACACATCAGAGTCTTGAATTCAAATCAAGTTCCAATTTGTTCTATGCAGCAAATCCAAAAAAAAATTGACGCCCCCCTAGTCCAGTTTCTTTGCCCAAGTCCACTAGCACCACCACACAACTAAGCCTTCTTCGCCCTCCTCTCGCCGCCGCCCGGGATCGCAATGGGGTGGCACTCGGTGTTGTAGACAAACTTGTTGGTGTGGTCCGCCTTGACCTGCCAGTCCTCGTCCTCGGCCTGGATCAGGTACGCGTACTTCATGACCTCGGCGAACAGGAAGCTCTCCTGGAAGTCGGTGAAGCTGCCGCCGTGCGGCGCGTTGACGTCGCTGATGCTCGAGAAGCCGCTGCCGACCGACGTCGTCGCGTTGATGGCCACAAACGCCTCCCACGACCACTCCTGGTACTTGGGGTCCCCCGTCGCCCGGTACGCGTAGTAGTAGCTCTCGATGACCTCGGGCCGCAGCACGTACGCGCTCGAGTCGATCCAGAACCCGGCCTCGTCGTAGAAGGCCGCCTGCGCCGCCGGCGCCGGCTTGTTGTTGGGCGCCGACGGGTCCAGCCGGTTGTCCTGCCACCGGAACGACTCCGGCCCGATCTTGGTCTCGGTCGCCGCGTACGTCGCCCGGCACGCCGCCGTCAGCTCGAGTCCGAACTCGACGTACCGCGGCTCGTCCAGCGTCAGCCCGCCCAGGATGAAGTTGCCGCCGTCAAAGCATGCGACTTTTTTATTTGGTGCGCCGTGCTGTCAGCCAGAGATTCTCTCTACATGTCTTTTTGTTGTATGAAGATGGGATGTTGATACGAGGTTGTAAACTTACGATGCTGCGATACAAACATCAGGGTCTGGTTGTTGAACATGGCCAGGAAGGTCAGCTCTGGGCGCGTGGTCGGGTGCGACGCCAGGTGCTCGATGGACGAGTCGACAGCCAGAATCCAGCGGTCCTTGTAGTGCGCGAACCTCTCCGGGTCGTACAGATACATCTTGATCAGATACTCGTAGAAGCTGTCGTCACCACCGACCCAGCCGCCGTAGCCGTCCAGGAACTTTCCAGTGGCGATGTCGACATTCGTGCCGATCAGGCCGGGCCACGGCTCGCCCAGGGCCGGTTGGGGATTGAGGAGGTACTCCTCGGCCTTCTGAGACAGCTTGGCATACTCCGGGTTACCGGTCAGGTCGCTCAGCCTCGTCCACTCGAGGACGAGGGTCCCGATCGTGGCGATTCCGTTGCTTGTAGAGTTGTTGGTCCGGGGTGGGCCGAAGAAGAGCGTGTTGTCCGGGATGCCGCTGGGCGTGTCGAATCCCACCTTGAGGTTGTCAGCCAGTCGTGTCGCCTGCTCCAGAATGGAGTCGATCAGCTTCTGATCCTTGGAGAGGCCCTTTGCGGGACCTTTGATCAGATCGTAGGCTTGTGAGAGGGGTTGTTAGTCTTCGAAAGTCTTTTTACAATGCTTTCCCTATGAGGCTGCTCACCCGAGAGAAGACCGCCCAGGTAGCGGATGGTAGTCTCGAAGAGGGACACCTCGGTCGAGGTCTGGTCAAAGTTGATCTTGGGCACGTAGTCCAAGATCTGCTTGACGACCTCCTTGTTGCCCATGACAAGAGCCGTGGAGAACGCGTCGATCGCACTCGCGCCCCAGCCATTTCTATTGATATCCTCCAATTAGCTGTCCGGCCGCTAAATTTCACCATTTCACCCTTGAGGAGCTGCTTCGTACCTATCATCTTCGTATCCGTTTGTGACTGGCCTCAGGGAGTCGTGGGGGAAGGCATATTTATAATAGCCATCCCACCCCCTCTGGAAGGCCTCCTTGACAGCATCCGCCCTCTCGGCGTTGGGATGATAAGTCACCTTGCCGCCTCGGCGCAGGTTGACCTGTGCGATAGGGCTGGCCAGAGACAGGCCGGCGAGGCCGGCCACGACGATCTTGAGCATAGACGACCAGGTCATGGCTGTGCTATTCAGCGGACCTGTTGGGCAGAGAAATGCCCTGTATCTCAGCCAATGCAAATGGAATCTCTTTGAGAGGCAATGGCCCTGTATGCTGACAAGAATACAGCAAGATGATAGTCGGAAAGAAGATAGGACCGAGCAAGGGTGGAGATAAGAGGTGGCCGGACAGCCCGAGATTATATAGAGGAGCTGGTATAATAGGGCTGGTGACAGCAAAGCGGAAAACCTGGGAAAACTATATTGAGAAGGAAGTGGAACGGGGAGAAGAAAAAGTAAAAGGAGCGAATCAACTCAAGATCAAAAGGACCATGGAACCCCGGATCCTGGCTGCAATGTAACAAGCGTGATTGCTTGGTGCCTTAGCAGGCATGAGGCCAAACCGGGATCACGACATGAAAGTGCACATGCCTTTTCGAATGCAGCAATGGGTAGTCCAAATGGCTTAGGATCTACCTTGGTGCCCGCCCATCAAGGCTTGGCCGCGTTGTGTCCACCTGCCACGACGGCATTTCCATGCTAGCCTCTCTTGAGTAGCTCAAGATTCCTCGGCCGTGGTTCGGCCAGCTCAGACACTACCTGCCTATTGAAGCAGGTCTGTCAAAACTATGATGATGTTGCTCATGGGGCAGACCCTGTAATATGACCTCAACCACTTGATGGGGGGGATCGGCAGTCAGAGTAACCCTTGGGGCCAGGGGGGTGTGATGGAGGAATGGGAAGTGCGGAGAAAGCCGGTGAGCCCGTGCTTTACACTCCTCTATGGCCCTAGACCTTGAAAAGGTGCCTGACGATGTCGACGGTGAAGGTGGATATGCCTCTTTGCCGCGGGCGAGGTTTGAGAATGTTATTCTGTTTGCAGTCGACCGTGGAAGTGAGGAAGAGGAACGCGAACCTTGGGGCTCAGGTCGACCCAAAGGTCGGGCGGAATTAAGGATCCAGAAAAACGGGGAAAGAGTGGCACGTTTCTTCACCAAGGAGTGTAAGGTATATGAGGAAGGTTTATTGCATGTCTGCGTGATCACTTATATGTGCGGCACAGCGAGGGGTAGGTAGGCAAGGTAGGGCAGCAATGATGAGAGGCCACTTCGCACGAGCATCCCCATCGCTCCCCAATTTCGACCAGCATAGAAGAACGGTTGGGGGAACAGAGCAAGCCCAGGGATGTGGATATGTGGATCAACGGTTCGCCTGCGCATATTCCTTGCAGTGAAGCTCATATTGCAGAGTCGATAGGCGAATCTCATGGATAAAGTGGATGTTCACATACAAGATCAAGCGAGCGCCGAAGACTGCGCTTGGTGTGCCATCAATGCGGAGCTCCGACGGCCTGGCCCGGCTGATTTAGCCCTCGCACCCCCAGCTCCATGTACCGCGCGGGAAACCCCCATGATCACAGGGCTGTCCCTGCCAGGATCGGCTCTTTACGGCAGGCCGGAGAAGTCACACAATCCCGCGGCGCCTCGATGCTTGGCATCAGGAGGTTGTCCGTGTCGTCTGACAGCACCGACCGGGAAGAAGATACAGACCTGAGTCAACCGCGGTAGTATGCTTCAAAATTGAGCACTTTATCAGGGTGCGAATTGTGCTCTGCAACCGATTTCATCTTTCTCACATGGTTACGGTTCCTGTGCAACTAGTTAATGTTCGCGTGACACCCTAACCCCGCTGACGAGGTTTTGGGCCCCGGCATCATGCTTGTGAACGTCACACCTTGGCTTCGGAATGAGTTGAAAATTCTGCTTGCGCTGTGCCATCAGGGTCCGGATGAATCGCTCTTAGCGGATGGGAAGTTGAATCATCCGCTTTCTCTGAGTTTCGAGAGAGCCGCCGCAATCCCGTCGCTGAGCTGCTCCTCGGTTCGTTGGGCTGGTTCTTTCGCTGCTTCTCGTTCTCTTTTTTCCGTCTCAGCAGTGTTTATGGATGCCTCCATAGCAGCGGCGACCATGGCTTCTTCATCATCCTCATTGTCTGGATCCCAAATCTGGTACTGCCGCGCCTTCCGTGGCTGCTGACTCGACTCTCCGGATGGCGGCTCTTCACCGGTGCTGGCGGAGCTGGCCCTGCCGGCCATTTCGCGGAGGGGCACCCTCCCGATGGGTACAGCTCGATCAATTACCGAAGGGCCAGATCTGTCGAGGCTCGAAGACCCACGGTCGTCTCCGTCTCCCGACCTTGCAATCTTGCGCTTGGCTGCCTTCTTCACCCGGAAAGGCTCTTCAACAACCTTGCACCAGTTCTTGACTTTCCTCTCTCCCCAGCCACTAATGATAGCCACCTGCTCGGGGTCTGCGTTGATCGCATTCCGCAAGCTGCCAAAGCTGCTCACGAGCGCTATGGCGTCGGCCTTGTTCACGCTGCGAGGCACCGTCACAAACTCGACGAGCTTTTCGGCGTATGTCGTCGCCTGCTGCCCTCGTATAGCGGCGAAGTTTGCATGCTCGTACGACTTGTAGAGCTCGAGATAGCGAGCGGCCTCCGCGGCCGACCAGCACAGAATGATGGTGACGTTGTTGACGAGGGAAGTCTTGGCCAGCTCCCGCAGCGCGTCTTCGTGGTTGGAAATGTCGACCATGGTCAAGAGGACTCGCAGGTTATATCGTCCCTGCAAGTTCCTGATGCGTGTGTAGATGTACTCGGGATGAAGGCGATGATACTTCAAACTGCGAGTCGAAGACACAAGCGTCAGTTTGGCTCATGTATGGAATCTTGTCCGGAGAGAGGCATTCCCATACCTCAAGAACAGTGCGCATGTAGTCAATCCGAGGACGTAGTCAGCAGGGATGTCGCTGTATTCCCAGGGCAGAGACTTGAGGCACGCCAGGACCGGGTTGCCCTTCTGGCGCGGCGAGACCAAGATGGACGATCCGGAAGAGCGTCCTGGTAGCGCCTGGGGAGTAGGCTGGACGACCTTTGCACCAGATGCGTTCTCCGGGGGCGCTTTGTCGAGTCGCTGAGGTGTAGGTTGCTGGATCTTCTGGGGGGTTGGCTGCTGCACTCGAGAGCCGCTCTGCTGTGCAGGCCTGGACGAGGTTGCCGCTGATGCTGCCATGGCGGCAATCAGATCTGCATCGGCACCAAAGTCGTCGTCCATTTTCAATGATGATATCGGCGAAAATTACAGTCTCGGAGGGACATAGGTGGTCTTTACTGAAGACCAAACTCAGCTATCATCTACGAGGGTTGAAAACGCGACAGGGCCAGCATCGGACCCGTGTCGTGGTCATCACCAGTGCAGGGTTTAAAGAGCTGTTGCTGCCTTAGCGCGTGTTTTTCCCGACGCATGGCGGTGACAAAACTCCCCGCAAACGTCATCGCAGTGGGGCTGGCATGCTTCCATTCCAGGGTTTTCTTGTCTGCCACTTCGGTGTAAGTGGTGGAAGCAGGCAAATAGGTAGGCATTCTTGCTTGGAATGAGTTGATCTTAATTCAACATTATATTATAATATCATAATCCACGTTCTCATAATGCATGTCTGGAACAGAGCCCAGCCTACCCTGTCCCCTCGTCCTCTAAGCGTTCTCCGAGCAGAGCAAAGGCCTTCAACATCTGGAATCGTTGAACACCATTCTCCCCCCCCCCCTCAAAAAAAAGGGAGAAAAACCGATATACAAATGGAAAGGCATCATTATAAGATTTTTGTAACCAGAGGCAGTCCCGTTAATCCTCGGAAGGGGTTTCGTACTCGCTATCGGTGGACCTGTCGTCTCGCGCCATTGAGCCGTGAATCATGTAAAGGGTGCGTAGCCACATGTCGAACATCATCTCGATCGTTCTTCTTTCTGCCGGATTGTCGAATTTCTGGTGCAGCTGATCTCTCAGCCGCTCGTAAGCCTCGATCATCACCCATATTTGGAGTGCTGGAGTGTCAGAGCCCGGCTTGCTAAGCCGGCTACTCATCACCGACGCTAGCTCCTTGCTCAACAGATCAATGCAGATCTGGAGGCTCAGGCTGTCTGGCTGTGTTGCTGCATCGGAATCCCTGGCCGGCAAAGAATCGATGCTCATGGGCGACTGTGGCTCCGTTGAGAAAGAAACTGGCTTGAAGTAGACCGCCTCTTCGTCAAAGGCAACAAGAGTACCATCGTCAGAGGTGGGTGAGAGACCGCTTGTCGCCAGGCTGGAAGAACTCTCGTTGCTGAGCTCATCCGAGCTGTACCGCCGACTAAGCTCGTCTGAGCTGTACTGTCGTCTGAGTCCGACATGAAGAGTCTCGTCATGGCTTGGGGGCGGGGTTCCCGCCTGAGAATCCTTGAACATTGAGTTGCGTGATGCTAGCAAGGCTCTATACTGCTCAGCGAGCTCCTCAACGCTGATAGACTCCTCGGCTGGCTTTATCTCGACAGTCAAAGGCTTGCCCTCGAGTTGTCCGATAGAGTAGACTGGCGTCTTGGCTCGTCTCCTCATCGTCGAGGTAGTGCTTGTGGATACGGAATGGGGCACCGCCAACCTGCCCGGGGTGCATCGCGGTTTTTCATCCCCGACCTGCAGGTGCGAGAGTTCCGGGATAATATCAGGGATCTCCAGTTTGCGCCGCGAGAGTAAAGATGTGCTTATGGCGTGGGGTTTCCCGCCTGGCCGACGATAGTCAAGCCATTGAGGGCGGCTGTGATTGGGCGGTGCAGAGAGAGGTGCCTCTTCCTGGACGAAGACCTTTGGCGAAACATCGCATCTATTGTAGACAAGGTCGTCGGACACGGCAGACACGGGCCGTTCGGGCAGCTGGTTCCGCTGCCTGGAGACCTTTTGAAGCTTTCTCCTCAGCCTTGGACCATCGGGTTTCCCTGCTGGAGATGGCATTGCCAATGAGGATCTCCAGGATCTATCCATCATCTCTGAGTCGATCCGATTGCCAATTTAGGCGGCAGAAGGTGACGTTTAGGATAGAATAATACAAAGTGCAGGGGGGGCATAGAGAAATAAAGTTGGTGAAGGCTCGCCCTCACCTCATATAGTGGTACACTAAGTGGGCGGTTTGGGAAAAATGACGTTGGAAAAGCTGGTGTGGTGGGCTTATCTTTGCATCCTCTGATGTGAGCTCACATCAAGGATATTCTACCAATGCCAAAACAGGATTGCCACGATGTGATGAGGGTCCCCGTCCGGGCTCGGGTGGGCTGCCGGCACCAGATGTCATGCAGGCACTTATCCTGCAGGCCAAGCAGCCCTGCCACTTGGTTGGACCGTCGGTGCAGCCTGCAGCTCGTGTTCGATTAGCTCACCCCAAAAAACCAGACGAAGCGTCCTGTAGGAGGCGAGTACGAGGCGGAGGTTGGGTGCTTTTCAGCTCTACTGGCCGACCATTTCTTTTTTTTTTTTCTTTTCGCTTGCCTCTCTTGCAGGAACTGTCGGTGAGATGGGTCAGATCCCTCGTCGATCTCACCACTAACCCACATACTCTGTCTTGTGACAATGAACTGAACAAACGGGGTCGAGACTCAATTGTGCTCAATTACACAACATGTAACTATTGACAGACGTCTTCGATTTACTTTGTGGCTTGCAGCGAACGGCTGGGAAGCTGGGGCTCGATGGACTCAGGGGGGTTGGCGATCGTATTCAGCTTGCTAGGGGACGACCCGACCGTTGCATGGACCAGGGCCGGAACCCCTGTACGTGCATATGTACAGTGGTGGCAGGACAATGGTGGCAGGAGTCCAGCCTCCAGTCCAGAACACCCATCCAGTTAAGGATACGAGCATCATGAGAGGTCCAGCCCGGTTCTAGGGTTCCTGGACTGTCTTTATCCCAACCTTCCTCCTGCAGGGACAGTTGTACGTCCGTGCATGCTTGCAGATGCGAGGATGGAAGAATCTTCCAACGATCGAACGGGATAGCACGTACAGGCACGTTAACCGCCCGCTACATTAGCAATCAGTGACCAGAGGTGAGCTCTCTGAAAATCATGAGGCTTCCCAGGCCATATGCAAGTAAGTCTCTCGGCGCTAACGATCTCGACCTCGCCGAGGAAATGGTTAGAGAGAAGTCTTGCGATACAGTTGAAAGAATCACCAGAGTATGGAAGCATGCATTCTGACCAGGCTATGATTCAAGGTCCCCTGGAAACCCTCCCACCTTTCTGTACCTTTCATCTCTGTGGCTATCTGCCTACCTTACATGTATGTATGAAGTGAGGAGGAATGCGATGGGATTGGGCTTGGATACACCTTTCACAGAGGAGTTATCAAAGAAAGGCGACTATTCCAACTCAACTTGAAGTCTAAAGGAGGATGTACTTTGGTCGGAGTACTTTTGTTCTCTGGTGAACGGAGACGGATGGTGATCCCTGCAGCCCGTTGGAGGCGGATTCAACGGGGGACTTGATTGAGGAACACCCCACATGAGATCAGACCATGCTCCTACAGATTGCACGCCGAGCATGAACCTGCTTTCTCGCAGAAACAACAAGTTTGTTATTCCATCGAGGGCAACTTCCTCAAAGACATCGATAGACTCCTAGCCGCCTTTGCAACTCCCGAGATCAGGTCTGCATCATGGCTTCCAAGCAATTCTTCGACCCGCTCACCCTCCTCCGGGTCGCGCCGCTCGTGACGTCAACCTGCTCGCTATGGTACTGTGTCGACCAGGACCTCTTCCTCGGCCAATTCGTCAAACCTCACAACCGTGAGAAGGGCAAGGAGATCCTACCGGGATACTGGAAGACCTTTTTGTCGCCCGGACTCGCCGTCATCTTCGGGTTGTACGGCGCCTCCCTCGGCGCGGGAGTGGCCAATGCTCTCCGCGGCAGGCCCGCCGTGTCCCGCTTCTACGCTATCGGCGCCGCCTTCACCGCGGCCCACTTCCTCTTCGTGCCGCTCGTCATGCCAAAGATCCAGGGCATGGTTGATGACGAGCCCAAGGGACAGGCTTGCGAGCACCAGCAGGGCTGGCTCAAGGTGCACAGGATCCGCTCGCTCGTGGTGGACCTCCCAGGCTGGCTTTGCTTCCTGGCCGCGGCCCTCGAGTCTGTCAAGGCGATCTAGATGGACGGGATATAAGAGCGGCAGAGGAAATTCTCTACAATAAGAACCAAAACGGCGATACTGTTACAAGCATTCGGTCAACTCTTGTCTTCTAGATCTCGGTACGGGTTTGACACTTGGAGAAGATTAACAACTCCCTGAGCTCCGAGTTCGCATGTACATTCACGTCCTCATAAAGGCGTTCACATCACAGACCAACAAACAAAAGTACGCATAGCTAGTATTGAGAAGCCTCACGACGGGGCCAAATCAGAATCACTGATCCTTGATTGTCCCCTGTGGGAGAGCACATGCATGTGCAGCATGTAAGAATTTACCCGACGGAAAAACAGAGCGTGCCTCGCTGGCTGGACTGGGCAACCTCAAGCTTCAGCCAGTGCTCCCGTGGAACCCTCAATTATTTGGCAGGCACCGGAAGGGCGCTAAACCACCTCGATTCTAGAAGCCGCCTTCCTCTAGCTCGGGTAATTTCTCCATCAATCACAGGCCTCAAACCGGCCCCTCAATCTTTGGAGCCGCCCCTCCATCCTCCATTGACTACTTGTAGTCAGGGACATGTTTGGCGATGGGTCTTGTAAGTCGGCATTCCACAAGGGTGCCGGAGATCGGAAGGGACTAGTCCATGGCTGCTGCGTCTTACAAGAATTAAATACCACGTCTCTTGCCCCTCCCCGCTTCTCTCCATCTACAGACTTCCCCCTCTTGCGTTGCTGTTGCCCGTGTAGACCTGTAGTTTCGATTGTGAAGAAGCTCCAGATCCCACAAAATGCCCGAGATAACAATCACCGGCTGGACCACGAGGGATGTTCGGTTCCCGACCTCCCTCGACAAGACCGGGTCCGATGCCATGAATGCGGCGGGAGACTACTCTTCTGCCTACTGCATCCTCCAGACCGACTCCCAGTACACCGGTCATGGCATGGTGAGTTCCTGTGCCGTCGTCCTCGGATTGCCAAGTCCCGACCCAGGCATGCTGACCCTTGTCTTTGCGCCCAGACCTTCACCATCGGCCGCGGCAACGACATCGTCTGCGCGGCGATCAACCACGTCGCGGAGCGCATCAAGGGCCGCACCCTCTCCTCCCTCGTCGACAACTGGGGCCAGACGTGGCGCCACCTCGTCAACGACAGCCAGCTGCGCTGGATCGGCCCGGAGAAGGGCGTCATCCACCTCGCCCTCGGCGCCGTCGTCAACGCCATCTGGGACCTCTGGGCCAAGGTCCTGGGCAAGCCCGTCTGGCGCATCGTCGCCGACATGTCCCCGGAGGAGTTCGTCCGCTGCATTGACTTCCGCTACATCACCGACGCCGTCACGCCGGAGGAGGCCGTCGCCATGCTCAAGGAGTCCGAGGCCGGCAAGGCCCAGCGCGTCAGGGACGCCGAGAACAGCCGCGCCGTGCCCGCCTACACCACCAGCGCCGGCTGGCTCGGCTACGGCGAGGACAAGATGAAGGCCCTACTACAGGAGACCCTAAGCAAGGGCTACAGGCACTTCAAGCTCAAGGTCGGCAGCAGCGTCGAGCAGGACCGCCGCCGCCTGACCATCGCGCGCGACGTCATTGGCTACGACAAGGGCAACGTCCTGATGGTCGATGCCAACCAGGTCTGGTCCGTTCCCGAGGCCATCGAGTACATGACCAAGCTCAAGGAGTTCAAGCCGTGGTTCATCGAGGAGCCGACCTCGCCCGACGACATCCTCGGCCACAAGGCCGTCCGCGACGCGCTCAAGCCCTACGGCATCGGCGTCGCTACCGGAGAGATGTGCCAGAACCGCGTCATTTTCAAGCAGCTCCTCATGTCTGGCGCCATCGACGTGTGCCAGATCGATGCCTGCCGCATGGGTGGCGTGAACGAGGTCCTGGCTGTCTTGCTGATGGCCAAGAAGTACAACATTCCTATTGTCCCTCACTCTGGCGGAGTCGGCCTGCCGGAGTACACCCAGCACTTGAGCACCATCGACTATGTCGTCGTGAGTGGCAAGCTGTCAGTCCTCGAGTACGTCGACCACCTGCACGAGCACTTCCTCCATCCCTCTGTCATCAAGGATGGATACTACCAGACGCCGATGGAGGCCGGCTATAGTGTGGAGATGAAGCCGGACAGCATGGATAAGTTCACCTTCCCAGGTGAGCCCGGCGTCAGTTGGTGGAGGAGCGACGAGGCCAAGCCGATCCTCGAAGGCGAGAAGATCTAAGAGAAGCGAGCAAAAGAAAGGGGGTCAAGCACCAGGTTGCTTGTCCGCAGGGCAACGATGGCATCCTGTATAGCACAGCTCGAGACGATGCTGTCTATCCTTGTCTCCGCATAGGGACAGGCTCCGGACAAGGTCCGGATCGGGGGTCCGGCCACAAGACCCGGGGCCGCAGGGAAACGATGGCATCCTGTGTAGAGATCGAGTGTACGATCTTTCTACCCCATGCGTTGCGGAAGGGGGGTCCAGCCGCAAAAGAGCTGTTCCGCAGGGCAACGATGGCATCCTGTATGACCGAATAGAAAAGAGTCATCCCGTAGCTGCAGAGCATACCGAATCAACCATTATACAAGACTTTTTGAGCATTTGTTTTCCTTGAAAAGAATATCATATATTCAAGTGTCAAGGTAGGGTTCCTTCCGTATTTGAGCCTGCTCGCCACCTCGCCATGTCGATACATTTCTACATAGCTGCTATGACGGATCGAGTTCGTGACACGTCAACATTTGGACATCGCCCATTGAGGCAGAAAGAGGCGGATGATTTTGTACTGTCCTGTTGATTAAGTGGTGCCTTGCAACGGTACTGCCGCCACTTTGGTATTTGATATGAAGGCCAACCCGAGACCTCATCACGCATGACCTGCGGTAGCGACTTTCAATATCGAGTCCTCGAGGCCAGGGACGTGAACAAAGGTTATGCCTGCGTCCTGCAAGGCTATCCTCCCGGTATTCTCCGATACGAACTTCTCGGGTTCCATGACACCAACGTAGACGGTCTGGATCAGCCCTCTAAGACGTAAAATCCTTTGAACGCATGGGAGGTTGCCACTGAGTCGGTTGGAACAGGGCTCCATTGTGGTGTACAGCGCCATATGTTGAGGGAGAACCTCCGACAGACGTTCTTCGTCGACGCCGTGCTTCCGTGTCAGTTTGATGAAGCAGCATTGCTCGGCATGTGTGTTGCCTTCGAGCTCCAGTGTGTAACCCGTGGCCAGAACTTCGTTTTTCGTCGTGTCCACTAGAACTGCCCCGACCCGAAAGTTGGTGGGCTTGGGAGGAGACTGCTCAGCTAGGGAGAGAGCATAGCTCATGTATCCTTTGTGGTCGTCTGGCTGCAATTCCATCATGTATGTAGCAGGGCGACTTGTATAGGGTTGACGATGGCGCGGAGCTGAAGCTCACCAAGTGGTGGAAACTGGGTGCTTTTCAATGAGACAGGCCTACTATGTACCTCGGATGGGACCTATTGTTGCTGCTATCTTATCAGCTTCCCCGCCCTACGTCAGCCTGTACTTTTTGGAGCACAGGCCTAAAACCACCAATTTATATCAGACGCGTCAGGACGCGTTTCGGCAAACTCTTGCCTCTCACAACTCACAGAGGAGATCAAGATTCAAAATGGCGTCTTTTGAGGACGTTTCAGACAGCGAGACTCCTGTCATAGACCCGTACGAGGTCCTTGGCCTTGAACGTTCGGCTACCGCCGATGAGGTCAAATCCGCCTACCGGAAGGCGGCTCTGAAAAACCACCCAGGTAAGCCAGGTCTCGCAACATTGCAGGCGCAAAAGCTAATCAGGAAATGCGCGGGTAAGACAAGGTCGGCGAGGACAAGAAGGCCGAGGCGAACGAGAAATTCCAGGGTATTGCCTTCGCCTACGCCATCCTCTCCGATGCGAAACGTCGCAAGCGCTACGACACGACCGGATCCACGTCGGAGTCCATCGTCGACTCAGAGGGTTTCAGCTGGTCGGACTTCTACAGAGAGCAGTTTGAGGATGCAGTCTCTGCCGATGCGATCGAGAAATTTGCCAACAAATACAAGGGGTCCGACGAGGAGAAGGATGATATTCTCGTTGCCTACGAAGAGTCAGAGGGCGATATGGACAAGATCTACGAAACAGTCATGCTCAGTAACGTGCTCGAGGATGATGATCGCTTCCGCCGGATCATCGACGAGGCTATCGAGAGTGGCGACGTGCCCGCCTTCGACGCCTATGTGAAAGAGAGCAAGAAGTCGAAACAAGCCAGGATAAAGGCGGCGAGGAACGAGGGACAGGAGGCTGAGGAGTACGCCAAGGAGCTCGGAGTGCACGACAAGCTCTTCGGCAAGAAGGACGGCAAGGCAAAAGGCAAGGGAAAGAAGGACAATTCCGAGGACGCTCTCGCAGCGCTCATCAAGCGGCGGCAGGAGGACAGGGGAGCCAGCTTTCTTGACAGTTTGGCTGAGAAGTACGGAGCCAAGCCGAAGAAGAGTAAGAAGAGAACTGCTGGCGACGATGACGACGAGCCATCAGAGGAGGCATTCCAGGCAGCAGCAGCGAGGCTCAATAGCAGGAAAGGCACAGAGGCCAAATCCAAGAGATCGAAGCGGTGAAAGGACTTGATGGTCGCCATCAACACGGTATTGGCGTTTGGTCTAGGTTGGGTCTTTGGGCTATCATGGCTCTGTAGCTCGGTATCAATAATGATAAAGCACTTATATCCGGAAAATTGTATTGCTATGACATATGATCGACTTCATTCCTGTTGAAGCGATGACTCGTAATCACTTGGTGATTTTCCTGGAGGGTTTGGCAGTTCCCCAGGTAACCAGCTGTGGGGCTGCGTTGTCTGCACCAATCGATGGATCCAGCCTACCTAACCTAACTTTAAGTGCCTGAAAGCTCCCGAGGTCATTAACGCGCAAGAGGCGCGACAGGAAATCCTCCAAACTCTCATCCTCACCACCATGCGCCTCGCTTCAACACGCATATAGAGGATTGCTGAGCCCGTCACCGCTACCACTTGCTCCAAGGCGGCAGCGACTTGGTGTCGGGACCATGCCATGACAGATGCGTCTCCCCCAGCAATCTATCCGCAGTACTGCTTCCACCTCTCGCCTACCGTCAGCACATGGTGTCGACTGCAGGTCAAGGATATTCACGGGCTTCACAAACACCCGGGCTTCGAAGGTCTGCACCCCCCAAACAGGTTCACCAACGCTGCGACCGTCAATGCTAACTTTTGTGAGGTCAAAGGGCAGAATGTCTACTTTCATCTGAACCACCCAATAAAATGGGTGCGGATTGTAGGTGTTGTGGTGGCGGTGGAGTCGCCCGTCCCCGGCAAACGCATATACACAGTCGATGACAGCAGCGGCATGAACATCGAATGCGTTAGGAACGTTCCGGTTGAGGCTGAGCTAGCCGCCGCGACTGCCGCAAGTGCTGAGATGGCTGGCACACCCAAGGCTGACGCATTGGTGGACATCGACATAGGCCATGTCGTTGATTTGAAGGGCAGCCTCAGAGTCTTTCGGAATGGGATGCAGATCCAGATAGAACACATGGTCATCCTCCACACCACTGAGCAGGAGGTCAAATTTTGGACGAAACTGCACAACTTTCGGAAGGAGGTGCTGAGCAAACCATGGCACCTAGACAAGACCAAGATACGCAAGTGCCGCAAGGAAGCTGAAGGAAAGGAGCCGACCCGCGAGAAGAAGAGGGTGAGAAAAGGGCCATCTTCGCATGGGTCGACCACCGGGCCGCCTCAAAGAGAAGACAGGAAACTATCCAGGAATGCGGGGGTTTCTCGCTCAGGGAGTACTTCCAAGCGAAGTACGGATCTGGTACGCTCTGCAGGTAAATACGACGCCCTTGGCTTATGAAAGGATGGCAGCGTGTTAGCTTGGCTTTCTCCTCCTTGGGATCAGAGAAGCCTGTCTCTTTTGGTTGGCGTCTGAGACTCAATCGGATAGATACTACGGTTGTTGCTTAATATACGAAAGCAGCGTGGCGGGCGACTCATAGGCTAGGTATCTTTGGGTGGCCAGATGTACAAGATATGTATGTGTATAGGTATCAAATTCTCAAGCCCTCCTTCAGGGAGGACTTCGGCCCACCCGGACATATCTACGCTCTTCGCCAGACTAAAAGCGCCTTCTGCTGGGAGGCGCTGGGTTAGTCCCAGGCACTACCGAACTGCCGAAAGTGTCCACTGTGGCATACGAGGCGTGATTGAAAGGGATTCCTCGATTGTCAAGATTTGCAGCGTGGGAGACTTGATGAATACACTCCAATATCTACCGGATAACATGTTTGGTCAAGAGGAAAGCGAGTTGGGCCCATGGGCACTGCGCCTGCTAATTACGTGTGGTTCCATGCTGTTAGTGCCCAGTTTTCCACATTGGTAGGTAGTTCTGGGGACTTTGAAATGGAGTCCTGACGGATCGCAAAGGTTGCGCCCAAATCATACAAACTCACTTACCTCTTCCTGCATAGAACTTGCTCATCGCTACCTGTACTCGCATTCCTTCTCACCTTTTCAATTGACTCCTATACGTGAATATACGTTTCTTTCTATGTGGCTTCTCTTTTGCCTGTCTCGTCCCGTCGTATCCATGGGTCTCTCCCCTTACCGGCTCTAGTCATCCCTCATTTGGATCAACCACAGCCCAGGTCAGGCTAGAAACCAGCAGCATTCCAAGCCGGCCACTAACAGGTAGAACAATCCATTGTCCCCTCACCCGTCCCCTTGGACAACGCCGCATTCCATTGCTTTCCTCATCTGTTGCGCGGTAACGTCTTGCCCACGAGGCTTGAGCACGAGTGTTCCCTACTGGGTCTTGGACCAAAGCCGTCGCCTGGAAGTCCACGATGCATTCCAGTCGAGGTCCACCCGCTGTCGTTTCCCTGCCAAGGGGTTGCCATGCAGACGGTATATATGAGGAGAGAAATCTTGCTCTCCTGATACCATGACCGAGTTTTGTTCTTTTGGGTTCCCCGGCTGCGCCGTATAACCCTCCAAGAAACATACTCTCTCACACATCCTTACCATTTTTGGACCACCATCTTCATTTGATACCATTTCTTGATCCTGCTGCAAGATGAGGTCGAGCATCCTGCTGACCGTCTTGCAGGCGGCATCCTGTATAGCAGGAGCTGCAAACCACGAGCTATACCATCGGCTTCCAGGTCACGCCCCTGCGGGTCGGCATCTTGGAGGACGCCAACGGCGTGATATTGAGGTGATCCCAAGCGCAGACACCACCGGATATCTCGAGAATCATTTTTCAGACCCCACGTCTCCGGCAACACCGCGTGTGCTGGTTATCACGGGGGCAGGCGCAGCATCGGGCCATCTTCCTGTTGTGACTGCTGGCGGCGCCCTTAACTCCAGCGAGGAGTCCAGTGTGTCCAGTGTGCAGGCGAGCTTGACCTCCGTTGCCAACTTCACACCCTTAGTCCCCGTTGTGACAAAGGTTGTGGATGTGGGAACAGCACAAGTCCTGCCAAGCCCAACTTCCCAGCCGGACACTTCTGGAACTGTGCAGACAAGTCTTGTCAAGACGGGACAGAATACTCAGATCCCCCTGTTGACAAAGATCATCGCCAGCCCGTCAACCACAGTCGCCACATCATCTATTGCCACACCACGACTGAATCTCCCCAAGATGAACTTGATCTCGGCGGACATCTTTGCCGTACCTGTCGCGACTTCGGCGCCTGCCGGTGTCATAGGTCGACGGAGTGACCATCCCGTCCCACGCCTCGGGATCACAGGGACCGGCCCCTTGGAGACGAACAAGTTCTACGCTGCAGCCTTCCTCGGCGGCCAGACAAGCCCTATCTACCTCGTCCCGTACTCGGTTTCCTGGGCGAAGGGTCAAGGGTCATCGGGAAGCTGGGGAATGTCCATCTCGCACATTGACCCGAATCAGCGTGTTTACGGACCCGTCAGGACGAACAATGCCGTCGGCTATTACATCAACCCCGTTGGCATCCAGTCTGTTGTTCTCTCCGCTGCAGAACTTGGCTCCTCAACGGTACTCACCACCGACAGCCTGACGCAGTTCTCGGTCCGGGTCAGTCTTCGCCCCAGCGCCGGCGCAACACCCGCTGTCCAGTTTCCCCTCGTGATAGGATCAGGCTTTGTCACGGCCATCTACGCCGGTGCCCACCCCGTCATCAACACGGGAGTCTTTTTCAAGACTGTGACTGAAGTGGTCCAGGCTCCCAAGGCTGGCGTGGTCAAGTACAAGCTGTATCTCGAGGACGGCAAGACCTGGATTGTCTATGCGCGTCACACTAAGGGCAACCCGCTTGATCTCCAGGTCACGGGCAACAATGCTGCCAAAGCCAAGAGCGCGTTTTACGGCACGATCCAAATTGCCAAAGACCCTGGTGGGTTTGAGTCCACCTATGATAAGGCATCTGGCTGCTACACGATGGGCATTGCTCTCTCGGGAACCGCCCAATCTCTTAAGGGGACCTACACATTCAGTTTCCTCAAATCTGGGCTGGTGGCTAACACCCCGGCCCTTATGTGGGCTTTGCCGCATCATTTTCAGACAATGGATGCTGACACAAGGAGATCTTCTACCGGGTTGAAGCTCAACACACCGACCAAAGGTCAGGCTACCCTTATGTATGCTGACAGGTGGACAATGGTCGAATATCAAATGCCCATCAGCATGGCATTCAACCCTTGGTCGCCGGTTCAAGGCACACGGGTGGTCAGGTCGGCCTCGGTCCGGGCAGCGATCCGTGCTGTTGCTGTGTCGGAGATCTCGCAGGACATGGACGCCCAAGCAAACCAGCCTTCGATGTACTTTGCTGGAAAGGCACTGGCCAAATTTGCCTCGGTCTGTTTCACGGTCAATAATCTTGTCGGCGACAGAGCGCTGGCGCAGACCTGCCTTACCAAGCTCAAGGGCGCCTTCTCACGCTTTACGCAGAACAGACAGCAGTTCCCTCTCGTGTACGAGAGTGCGTGGAAGGGCGTCGTTTCTTCTGCGTCCTACACGACCGGAAACTCTGGCGAGGACTTTGGCAACACCTACTACAACGATCATCACTTCCACTACGGCTACCACGTCTTCACTGCTGCAGTCATTGGCTACCTAGATCCGTCTTGGATTCCCGCCAACAAGGACTGGGTGAACTCTCTTGTCCGAGACTACGCGAACCCCAGCACCAGAGATCAATGGTTCCCGGTGTCTCGCATGTTTGACTGGTACCATGGCCACAGTTGGGCCCACGGTCTCTTCGACGCCCTGGACGGAAAGGTATGGCCCCAACTCTGCAAATTACTGATTCACTCCGAAAGACCTAGGCAACAGACACTGACAAAAGCTGCATTCAGGACCAAGAGTCGAGCTCAGAGGACACCATGTCCATCTACGCGCTCAAGATGTGGGGTATGGTCTCTGGCGACGCCAACATGGCGGCGAGGGCCAACCTGCAACTGGCCGTCATGAGCCACTCGCTCGACGACTACTACCTGTACCAAAACACCAACAACATCCAGCCGTCCAACTTCATCGGCAACAAGGTGGCCGGCATCCTGTTTGAGAACAAGGTGGACCACACGACGTACTTTGGTACCAACATTGAGTACATCCAGGGCATCCACATGCTGCCTCTCCTGCCGCACACCCCCATGTGCCGCAAGCCGGTCTTTGTCAACCAGGAGTGGGACACGTTCTTTAGCAACGGGCGCGTCAACAGCATCGCCGGCGGCTGGAAGGGCATCCTCATGGGCAACCGCGGCACCACGAGCCCGGCGGAGGCGTACGCGTTCTTCAGCTCCCCCAGCTTTGATCAGTCGTGGCTGGACGGTGGAGCGAGCCGGACGTGGTATATGGGATACACTGCTGGTAAGTGAAAGGCTCCCTCGCCCGCGACGGATATTGGGTTCTCCCTTACTAACGTGGTCTGTGTCTCTCTCTAGCAATGGCGAATATGTGAAAGCAAAGATTGTTCTCTCTTCAGGAGTTGCTACTCCTTGGTTTCTCCATCCTGCATTCGTGTTTTGGTTTATCCGCAGTATTAGATCATCATTGGGAGGTTTCAAGAGTAATGTTTATGAAGGCAAATGTCGGGACGATGACGCCCTCTATTGTTTAATGAGCAATGGCATTGACGGACGGGCCTTGGTGAGGCCTCGCGGGCAAGGAGGAACGTTTATCATGAGCAAGCACGTCTTTTTGGTTTCGATCGGGAAGTTTATACAGCTAGAAGTGGGTGGAAGACTTTGTATCTAGTCAATGAGTCTCAAGACTCTGTTTGCAAAGCTGCAGACTTTCTTGTATAGGTAGATAGCATCAGCATGGGAAAGCATTGTCTACTCGATGGATATACCTGGACGCCAGAGCCTGGCTGCTAGATCTAACTTGAATGTTGTGTGTGTAATGATCCTTTTTTGAGGGCTACATCCTGAGTATCTGGGTGCTCTTAGGCCCTAATCTGTACAGAGGTCAGCTCTGATCTCTATATCAGGTACTGTATTTGGAAAAGATTCTCCTTCGTAACTCACAGAAAAGATCCCAGTCGAGGACCTTTTTCTTCCCTTCCGATTTTGTGTTTGGTATGGCCTTCCTTGTCACTCTTTTCTTCTACGGAGTACCCTCACTCCATCTGCACACAGCTAGCTTTGTATCATTGCTCCAGTCAGGTCTATCGAACCACCAGTTTTTTTGTGAAGGGCAAGGATGTGTAATTAATTACCCAAGTAGGTATCTAATAAGTGACACTCACAAGGAGGTATTCCTGGACAGAAACAGCTTAGCTCGGGATGAACAGTGCAATTCTTAGCGACGGTTAGCTAAGTAGGCCTAGTCGCCATGACTGGTCACAAGTAGGTAGGTAGCTCGGGTGCTCGGTTTCCCAGAAGTACTTGTGAGAATTGAGGCCGCCCAAAATGCCAAGCCAACAGAGCTCGAGCTCAGAAGCGAAGCAAGCCAGCTCTCACAGCCACTCTTGGCACACGGGCCAAGATCTGCATCCCTCCCTCCATGGGACCTCTGGCGGTATCAATCCCCCCCGGCTTGTCTCCATTCGACTACCGAAAGACAGGTGTGAGAAGTTTCTTTCATCTGCAAGTGCCACTGCTGCTCCTCACGATGATCCTGCGCGAGGCGAGCCAGTATCGCAGCGGGACGGATCGAAGGGGGGGTTGGCAAGACACCCGTCGAATTGCTCAGTCTTCCCAATCCCGAAGGACGTACGACGCGGGCCTACGTAACTACCAACCTTGTGCTCGGGGGCCTCGGCTATGGTTTACGTCATTCCTGTGGCGAGCGCTTGTTGGTGATGACAATGGCCCGGCCGGGCGGGAAGCTGCTTCTACAAGATGCAGCTCTTTGTGTTGATGCTCCAAGCAGATCTCTCGAGGCAGCTGTGCCCTCAATTCAAGCTTCTTGCAGGGACGGGCAAGGGGAGGAGGGGTCCAGACCAGACAGCCAAGCTTCTAAGGTTGTATCTAAGGTTCTAAGGTAGTCTGCAAGTTGAGCGAGAGCTCGAGATTGGTTTCTCGCCGAGACAAGTAGCGATAGGTGTGATTGGGCGCCAGGTGGTGGTGGTGGGGAGCGCTTGGGAGCTTGAGCGCCCTGGAGCTCCGTGCTGAAGGTGCAGGCTAGTTAGTTACAGCTTTTGAGTGGCCTGCAGTGTAACCCCACCGATCTACCATGGGTCCCAGGACTCCCAGGCACGTTTCCCACCCAACAACCCCACTGGAAAGTCGGTTCAAACAGGACCAAACACTGTCAAAACGGGGGGGCCCAAGGCCCCGGCCACTGTGGCCAGCAAGCCAAGTGTTGGCTAGCGGCACTCATTTCGAACGGATGATGCTGTTAGTGAGCTCTGCCATGGAATGAGGACCCATTGATGATGGATGATCGATAATTAGCCTTTTCTCTCTCTCCTCCTCTTGAGAACAGACACGACTCAAACGCAGCCCGGTTGTCTGCCTCGATACAGACAAGAAGCACTCGAGCTTGCCCTGCCCGCTTCCAAGACCTCCCCTACCGCCGCTTTAACTCCTTTCTCTCGTTCCGGGCCTTCTTGGCACAACATCTTGTCGCCCCCGTGTCGTGCAGTGTCGTGATATATCGCTATCACTGCCCCGTTGCCTTTTATTGCTCCAACGGACCACCATGGTGTGTAAGTAGAAAAGCTATCGTCTGGTTCAATCCCGCGTCCTCCGGCCTCACATCGTCCACCCTCGAGACATCCTCATTTCTTACACTGCTTGGGACTCGTTTGTTTCCATCCGTCTCCAAAGTTCATCTGGCGATCCTGATGGTTATTACTTGTCTGCACCTTTCTCATACCCTGTGGTCAACTTCTCTTGACCCGATGAGCACCAGCCATCCTTGAACTCTAAATCACTACTCCGCAATCTGAACCGCCTTTTCCCCATCGTTCATCCTGCGTGTGCAGATGGCGTATGCTCTTGTTTGACTTTGAGAGAGAGCATCAAGCTCCCCTCCAAACCGTCTCTCCGACCCCTGCACGTCACTGGCCCCCAACGCCGTTCCATCCTCGACGTCCAGCATACTCGTGCTGCTGCTGCTGCTGCTGCTGCTCTCCAGGGCTTATACGCTAACCTGTACTGCTATTCGCCGCACCGTCTCAGCCAATATCAACTTCCAGAAGCAGCTGCGCCGTATGACTTCCGGGTGGAAGAGCGGCCCCAACGGCCATGACCACGGCCGCGCCGGAGCCGGCTCCGAGGCCGTCGACGCCGTCGACGAGCGGTCACCCCTGATCAGCCTCAACAACCGCCCGGCGGAGAACAACCGCAGCCTGGCGCACCGCATCCTGCTCGACCGGCGCCGGACACCCGGCATGGACAGCGACAGGCGCTCCGTGCGGTGGCTGGCCCATACCTTTAATGTAGTCAAGGCTACGCTGCTGAGCAGTAAGTGTTTCCCTGCCACATAAGTGACCCTCCGAGAGGTAGAAGTCTAGGTGGGCCACAGGTCTCTAACACCAGAGTCGCAGGCCCCGTCAACATCCTTCTCTTCTTCGTCCCGCTAGGGATCGTTGCCGGCAATGTGGGATGGAGCCCTACCGCGGTCTTTACCCTCAACTTCTTCGCCATCATCCCGCTGGCGGCTGTGCTGTCGTACGCGACAGAGGAGATATCTATTCGGCTCGGCGAGACACTAGGCGGCCTGCTGAACGCCACGTTCGGCAACGCTGTCGAGCTGATCGTCTCCATCGTCGCTCTGAACCAGGGCCAGATCGAGGTCGTGCAGTCCTCCATGCTGGGCTCCATCTTGTCCAACTTGCTCCTCGTCATGGGCATGTGCTTCTTCCTCGGGGGCATCTTCAACATGCGGGACAGTGCCGGCAACGGGACCGAGCAGAGCTTTGCCTCCGCTACGGCGCAGACCACTTGCTCTCTCATGACTCTGTCCTCTGCTTCTCTGATCATCCCGACTACGGTAAGCCTTTTCATCCGCAACCGTTTGGCATGCCCGAGAGACTAACTCAGCTGGGGCTCTAGCTGTACGGCGTCCTCGGCTCGTCCAAGAAGAAGGACAGGGAGGAGTCCATCCTCCTGCTCTCGCGCGGCACCTCCATCATCCTGCTCATCCTCTACGTCATGTACCTGGTCTTCCAGCTGCGCACACACCAGAACCTCTTCACCGACGAGGAGGCCGTCGCGCACCGTAACGCCGCCTCGGGCATCCAGAACGGCGGCGGCGCCGACGCCGTGGCGGGCGGGGACGAGGACGCCGAGGACGACGAGGAGCACATGAGCCCCTGGTCGGCCGCCGCCGTGCTCGTCGTCGTGACCGTCATCATCGCCGTCTGCGCCGAGTACCTCGTCGACAGCATCGACGCCATCGTCGAGACGGGCCACATCTCCAAGAACTTCATCGGGCTCATCCTCATCCCCATCGTCGGCAACGCCGCCGAGCACGTCACGGCCTGCGTCGTCGCCGTCCGCAACAAGATGGACCTGGCCATGGGCGTCGCCATCGGCTCCAGCATCCAGATCGCCCTGCTCGTCACCCCCTTCCTCGTCATCCTCGGCTGGCTCGTCCTCGACCAGCCCATGACGCTGCACTTTGAGACTTTCGAGACGGTCGCCTTTGCCCTGAGCGTCCTCGTCGTCACCTACACGGTCCAGGACGGCAAGTCCAACTACCTCGAGGGTGCTATGGTGAGTTTCTATTTCCCTTTGGTCGCTTCGACTCCGGAGACAGAAGAGCTTTGTCGTTTTGAGAATCCAAATAAGCTGACCCAGAATGTACCTTTGAAGTTGTTCGGCCTCTACCTCATCATTGCCATCGCCTTCTACGCCGCTCCAAACGACGCTCTCGACAAGGCTTCCGAGTGGCTAGGCTCTAGCTAAGTGGTTCGAGTAATATCAACAGCAGAGAGGGACCTTGTGGTCAGGGCATCGATGCCCGTGTATTATAGGGACAAACATACGTTTTACCACAAGTAACCACGTCACGTTCTTGTGGCGGGAACATTTCAGGGACAAACGAACTGGGCCAAGGAGTAGGACAGATATCGGGAGCGGTAAAAAGATCGGGACAAGGGAGAACGGCTGGAAATCATTTCCGCGATTCATTATGTATCATCATCATCAACAACCACATCCATTGACGGTAGCGAGATAGGAATTCTTCTATGTAAAAGTATCTCATCCACCTGAGCCGCTAAATCCCTGTGAATACTATAGGGCTTTTGCGCATTACCACGCAGATATGGTGGGGTTCGGAATCTATGTACAACTGGTGGATTTCTAGACGGACACGCACATTATTAGATGCGTGGCTTCGCCATGGGCGCAATGATGCCCTGCTTGACAATGACCCGCGGCTTGATGGCGCTCTGGAACGTCTCCTTGGTCGACCACTCCGGTCCAAGCGGTAGGCGTAGCGAGCGCTCGTACTGGTGTCTGTTCTCAAACTCGTGGCCGAGTTGGGATGCCATATACTTTTCGCCCTATTCGGCGTGATATGTTCATGATCAGCTACAGAAGAACCTTGCTGGGGGGGGATGATAATGCATCATTGTTGCCAAGGAGAGGAGAAAACCCACCTTTCGTATACGCTTCTCGTTGATGATGACCTTTTCCAGCTTGGCATCCTTGCGGTCCGCCTTCTTGACGCCCTTGACGACGGTCTGGAAGCGCTTCTGATCTTTCTTGACGGCGCGCTTGCTCACGCCATCGCCGGCCCAGCTGCCCCTATAATAGAGAGGAATCATGTTAGTATTTACTCGGAACACACAAAGTAGTCACATCTGTAAACCGCGGCCAACGTACCATCCAGGAAGCGTGTTGTCGATAACCTTGTCGTCGTCCTCCTCCTCAACCTGCGCCTTCTCGCGCTCAAACTCGGCCTCGACATCGTCGCCGCCGAAAGCGCGCGCAACGAGGTCGGCGTCCCGAATCGCGAAGGGATGCGCCGCGGCCCCGATCTCCGAGTCGTCATCAGAAGTGTCCGAGTCCCTGTCGTTGGCAGCGGGTTTCGATGCAGGCTTGACGGCGGTCATGAGGTCTACAGTGTTCATGTCGAGTAGCTCTGAGCGCCCACCGCTCTGGTTCTTGGCCTTCTTCCGATCCTTCTTGGACTGCACGGGCTGGGACCAGGCGCCAGCACTGGCAGGTGCCGGAGGTTGAGCAAGACCAGAAGTGCGTCTGGTTGCCGCAGGGGCTGCCGAGGTCTCCTCATTTTGATCGTCGGCTGCTTTGGCACCAGGTGTTTTGGAGTTGCCCATGCCAAACGTCCGCCGACCAACTTCAGCCTCTTCAGGGTCTTCACCATCACTGTCTCCTGCATCAGAGCCTAGCTCTTTCACAAGTCGCGCGACCGCCTCGTCGTTGAGCTTCTTCTGGGCATTCTCCGCTCGTTGCATGAAGGCGAGTTTCATGATGTTCGAGTGAGGGCCGTCTTCTTGCGCCGCATCAGTCCTCTGCAGCTCCTGCAGCAGTTTTTGTCTGCTGTCTTCGTCGTCAGACTCGGACTCGGAGCTGGTGCCTGATGACTCGTCACCCCCGCCTCCGGAACGGCCTTCGACACGGCGTCGAAGTTCCTCGTCTCGCCGAGCCATATCCGTCAGGCCGGCACGGAACTCGTCATCCCAGGCAGCTCGACCGCTGTTCTTGGCCATCTTGGCCCACTTGCTCTCTTTATGCCTCGAGCCCATTCTCTCCATCGCTCGCCTTCTGTGCTGTGCTTCTCTCTCCTCTTCCGAATCGAGGCCATTGCCCTCCAGCTCCATCTGCTCTTGCATTGCAAGCTCATTTTTGGCTGCCTCCTTGCGGTGAACCCGGCGGTAGGCCTTACTCTTGATCTTCTTGATGCGCTTAGCTCTGGCCTGCTCACGAGACTGAAGTTCCCGCTCCCGGCGGCGCTGGTTCATGACCTCTCGCATCTCTGCTCGCGAGATCTGTGCTTGCTCCTCATCCTCATCCTCCTTTGCTTCCGGCTTAGGCTTTGACGACGGTCCAAGACCGCTTTCCTCCATGATTGACATGATCGTCTGCTCCAGCTCGTTGGACGCAGTCTTGTGAGTGATTGGTTGCAGCTCGCCATTGTCAAGCCCGGCATTGGGCAGTGTTTCGGGAAGCGGGAACATTAGGTGCTCGGCTCGCCTGTTATGCTTAACCGTATCTTGCCACCTGTCCAGGGTCGAGTTGGCCTTCTCTGACGCGGCAATCCGGAGCAAGCGATCTTGCTGACGTCTGGCGAGAGGGACATCTAGCTTCTTGGTGGAGCCAGGCTTCGTGGCTTTCTCTTCCTTTTTCATGAGCTTGAGAGACTTCCTGATATTGGGATCCTTGACACCGAAGAGCCCTAGGTCCTCCAGCCCAACTTTTGCCTTTTGCTGAGGCGCCGAATCCTCGTCCATATCCTCATCCTGACCTGCATAACCAGAGGCAATGTCACGGAGAGCATCGAACTTGGATATATCGTCATCGTCCTCGTCCTCATCATCTGCGTCCGTATCTGGGGACTCTGAAGAATCGTCTTCGTCGTCTGAGCCGGATCCCGAATCGTCACGAGACTCCTCGTCTTCGTCATCCTCCGAGAATTGGTCGAGGGCTTGTGCAAGGTCTATCGCATCTTCGCCCAAAGACTCGCCATCTGCCTCGTCGTCAGAGGCAGGCTGAGCATCTTTTGACGAACTGCCCCGGAATGTGAAGCCTTCGAACCTCTCTTCGTCCTCCTCATCGAACGCTTCGTCGCTGTCGATGTCTGAGTCTTCGTCCTCATCTACTCCCACGTGCCATTCGTTGCCGTCGCTGTCGCTCTCAATCTCCCCGTCCGACTCATTGTCGTCCTGTTTCCGCCTCTTTGTGCGGGATCTTCCTTGATCACCGTCATCCTCGTCCTCCCCGTCTTCATCATCATCGTCCCGTCTCCGCCTCTTGTTCTCAGGCTCCACATCGAGGTCGCGCAGCCGGAGACCCTTGGTGCTCTCGGGTACCTGCTTGGCAGCGATGGCGAAGGCATTGAGGGCGTGCTTTTTTGACTTTGTATAGGACTTCTTCGGTTTCTTCTTGTTGGCAGGACCAGCGGTCACTGACCTGCCGTGTGACTGACGTCCTGGCATTTCTGTTGGGTTGTGAGGCTGGCAAAGAAGAGTGCTTCTCTGCCCATTTGCTGCGCTCCAGAGTGTCGTATAAGGGCACAAAAGTAGCGTCGTATTTAGTAGGAACTTTTTCTTTTCTGCCGTGGTGTCGTGGTGGGACATAAGGCGGTGTGCGAAATTTCTTGAGAGCTGCAGCGGCAGACTAATGGTCCAAGGTGGCCCCACTATCGAGCCGGGGTCTGTCAATGGGCTTGAACTTCATCTTTCGACCAGCTGCACATGCGACACCTCCAATTGCCATTCCCTTTGTGACTTTCAGCGTCAATTCTCGCGGACCCCAGACAAGTCAGGCACCAAATAATTCCATCAGGGCCGCTTGTTGCCTCAGCTCAGCTCTAGTATCAATTACTCCTTGCGCCCATCGGACGCGCACCGACTGCAAGCCTTGCAAGATGCGGCCGACACAAATTCTCTGCCGGCACTACCGCAAGCTGCGGCTCACGACCAAAGATGTCAACAAGGGCTTCTACAAGGGCACAGGCACAGGGTCAATGGGTCGGCACACAAAGCACGGTGGATACGTGATTGAGTACCACAAAGTCAGGACATACGTCGTCCCGGAGGGTCTTGCAGACTTCAAGGTGAGGCGCAGTTTGCTGGATTCCCTGGCTTTGCCATATCCATGCTCCTCCCGCGGGGATAGAGACTAACTCGTATCTCCATCCTCGCAGCTCACGCCTTTTGTCACCCAACAAATGAGGCCGACCTATGGCTCTTACAAGGAGCAGGGCGACGACAAGGGTCCCAGAAGCCCGACGGCATACCTAGAACGATGGAAGGCGGAGAACGGATTTGACTAAAGAGATTCAGGCAAACAGCTTGCTTCCACCACCTACTTTGTATCAACAGAACGACCATGACCAGACCGCATAATCAGGAGACAAGAGACCGGCCCGACAAGGCCAGGGAGAACCAGCAGTAGGATCTTGCCATGAGACTGAGCTCCAAAAGCATGTATTGGTAGTATCGGTAGATGTACATATATCTGTAAAATGCATCATGAACAAACTTGCAGGGTATCCATCCCAGTTGCCTTTAACAAGTACTAAAGAGAAATAAACGAGAGCGCTATGAACTAGCTAGGTATATGTAACCATGAAACAAAAGAAGACATTCTATGGCGAAATGGCACAGAAAGATAGTTGCCATCTCCTCCCCTGTGGCTTGACCTGCCGTCAACAGGCCAAGACCGCGTTACTTTTCGGCCCCGTCTGCCTTGGTAGACTCGCCTGACTTCGTACTACCATTAACTGTTGGAAGATCCTCGACCGCTGTAACAAATGTTTCCATGCCAGGTCGCTCGAGGGGCGTAGTAGCAGTGCTGTCGACTTCCTTGGCCAGGGGCGAGGCCAAGTGAGTGCTGATGCCATCTGCCGAGCGCATTGTCGCCGGGCTCATGGGCCTCGAGTTGGGCAACTTGGACTGGTCCATCGTGGAGTCCAGTGTAAGCATACTAGCCGTTTCCGGTTCCTTATTGAGAGAAAAAGGCATGGCGATGCCGTTGAGGAACGGCCTCTTTCCAGAGACGCCCGTGTCGAGGGCTGAGTTGGGAGACAGCAATCCAGGCTTGGCCTCCCCATCCACAATGCCGTCCTGTCTCCGTGCTAGCAGGTCTGCTATGGAGGTATTCTCATCGACTTCGTCCTCGTGATCAGCCTGCAGCTCATCCTTGACTATCCGTCTCCTGGATCGGCTCCTGCTGGCTGCTGACAATGCTTCCGGTGGAGCCTGCTTCTCGATCTCATTGAACGGTCGGGAGCCACTGCCTTCGGCGGCTGTAGCTGTCTTGACCTCTGGCTGAGCATCGGCCTGCTGCTCTCTTGCAACTGTCTCCTCATCGTGCTTTGATCCCCATAGCGACCAGAGCGACAACCCCATGCTGCGAGTCTTCTTCTTCTCCGACAGATCGGCACCGATCCTGCGTCGTCCGGCAAGGGCACTAGGCGGCGGATACTCTCCCTCACCGAATGTTTCATAGCCAACTGCAAAATCTTTGAGACGACGCTTGTGCATCTTATCCTTGGTTCCCGAAAACTTTGAGTTGAAGTGCTGTTTTGTCTGGAGCCATTTCCCAACCGGGCCTTGTTTGGGCACGCCGATGAGTTCCCGATCAAGACAGCAACCAGGAAGTTCCGCGGGCGCGGCTAGAGGGAAGACATCTCCATGGCGCGTAACCTTTTGACGAATCATATGGTCCTTAAAGGGCGGCAAAGGATCGCCGGCCTTCCCTATCTGGGCAAACATACGCTCTTCCTTGACGTTTTCATCTTCCTTCTGCTCCCAGTTAGCGACACATTGAAAGCCACTTGCATCCTCAGACTCCCTTCTACATACCTTTGGGGCCTCGGGTTGTTCAGTGTCCGAGCCCGAGGTGGATATAACTGAGATCTGGTCGTCGTCGAGAATATCGATCCCGGTCTTCTGGGCCCGAGCGAGCGCCCACGCCCCAAACTGAGCGATTGAGCGGTACATGTACTTTGCGGGCCGAGTGAAACTTAGGGTCGGAGCCACATGGCAGAGATCGTCCCAAACTTGGAGCTGGACATCGGTGGGCTTGTATTCCTTGAGCAACGCCCGAGCTTTGTCGTCCAACAGATGTTCAGGTGGGAGGTATTTGGAAGGATTGGCACACTTGTGCGCAAGGTAGATTTGCTCATCGCGCAGCATTTCCCCTCCGCCGGTCATGATCAGAAGCGGCGGCAGCCCCCCAAGTGTCGGCTGCATCACAGGGCTGACAAGCGGATGGGCCAGAAGCTCGTTGGTTGTATACATCTTTGATCAGAAGCATGTCAGCAACTCGTGATACTCACGCGGGAAGTTGGCATACATACCTGGATTTGTTCCTTGACAATCACATCTTTGCCATTGATCGCAAGGACTAATGGCGTCGGCGCAGCAGCTTCATCGAGAAGCTCAGGGATGTCTTTCTTTTCTCCCGCATCTGGGCTATCGGCAGCAATCTTCTCGTCCTTGTTCGAAATCTTCTTGTCCTTGACCGCAATCTTCTTGAGTTCCTCCAGATCATCTTCGGTCGGTGGTGGCCATGCCCGAGAAGGCTTATGATGAAAGCCCGATGCCGGGATATAGTCGAAAGGAGACTCCTCGGCGACACTCGGAAAGGAGTGAGTGAGATCGACCCAAGGGCTGACGAGGATGGCGCCTGCAGGAAGTGGGATACCGCGATCTCGAAGGGTTACCAAAATCGACATGACCATTCCGCCTCCGGCAGAATCGCCAGCGAGAATGATGGTGCTCGGGTCTTGTACCGTGAGCAGGTGGAGGTATGCGGCAAGGCAGTCTTGAAGGCCACAGGGGAAGGGAAATTGGGGAGCAAGGCGGTAGCGAGGAGCAAAAACCCTCGCCTTGAGCTTTCGCGCGTGGCGCTGCATCTGGTATCGATGCTCATCAACACTGCCGAAGAAGTATGCTCCGCCGTGGACATACAGCATCACACGCTTTCCAGGGTCCTTGTTCTTCTTGCGCTCGTTGTAGTCAGCGCGCATCTCGATCCATTCCGCTTTCAGAGGGCTGTTGGGCTTCCTCCACTGCCACCACTTTCGGCCGCCAACCTGTCGTACTCCATCCGGACCCAGCTGTTCCTCGATAACTGCAGCGGCATGTGTGACTTGGTCCTCGGGAATCTTGACCTCCTCAACCTTGACCCATTGAGGATGTGGCACCCATTGCGAAGTGAAAGCCTGAAGCTCCTCGACGGTGTGATGCGACGCATGTATTAGGAATGATCGAATGAGATGGAGGCCCTCGTCATACGACAAATGAGCTGTGGGCTTTTGTTTGAGCGGCTTCCGATCAAGGTACTGTATCTCATGTCAGGAGCCGTTACGCATCATCTCTGCAGTGGGAGTAAATCCATGATAGAATGGGGACGGGAACTGCAAACCAGCCGAAGCTGTCGGCATTACATACGTGAGAAAACAACGTCGAGACGACGGCTGGCGTGACGGCCAGTCCTACACCGGCTGTGTTCATCGTGATTGCGCTCGGCTATGGCACGCATAAAGAAAGATCTAAGAGTCTAGCTTGGACTTTGATACGCAAGATAATTGTGGTTGAAAATGTTGAGAAGGTAGTGCAAAATGTCAACAAGGCTAGCTAGCATTCTGTCAAAGGCAGGCATGTAGACTGTGCCTGTGTCTTGGCTGCGACAGAGCTTCGTTCCCCTTGAAGGCGTGTGTGTCTAAGATTGCGGCGCCCCATCGTCAATTGAGCTGGGGGAGGCCAGTGATGTCATGGAGTCACCCCAGGGTCCAGCCATTGTCCAAAAGTAGTTAAGGGAATTTAGGGAACATGGAGTGGTGGGGCCTTTATTGACACCCAGCGCAAGTCGGACACTTCGGATCACCATTCAGCTCCCCCAGACGGGCCGGTGTTGCAGTGATCGACGTCAAAAGCAAGAAGCCTATGAGTTGCACAGGAAGCATTACGTAGAAGCTCTTTAAGATACATGTGCCTCAACCCGGAGACTGTGTTCTGCGGAAGGGTCCTTTAGGACTTTGCAGCCTTTTGTTCACCTCTGGAGAATCAGTGGTTATTACTGTTTGGCATCGGCTATTTCCATCATAATAACATTTATATTGAACATCGCCCATTATATGCTCTCCAAGAGACCCTTGACAGATACAGGAGGGGAGAGATGAAACACAGAAAGGAGTTGCAACAACTCGAAGATTCATGAACCGCCCTCTCGCTTAGCATATTCCTCCTCCATCTGTTCCTCGTACAGTCGATCAGCTTCGAGTTCAGCAGCTGTCTTGGGGCGAGTGATGCCTGCGCCAGTGTTGACCCCAGCACCCGTTGCTTGGGCAGTCTGAGCCACGGGCTCGGCCACAGGCTGACCTGCGCTGTTGTCGTTGGCGTTGTATGTTGGGATAGGCATGTTGAAGACGTAAGTTTGAAGGAAGTAAAGTTGCAGTAAAGAGAAGCCTTCAACAAGCTTAAGCACAGTCTGCACAGAGGACTTTTATACAGCCAGGCATGCCAAGCAACTACAATTGAGTGGCAAAACCACAGCCCGAGTTTTCGAGTTGCAGTGGTCATTGGCTGTAAACGCCTCCACTTAGTGCGCTGGCTCAGTGGCGCTTAGCACCATTCGGGAGGTTTCGGCGCTGGACCCTTTGGTGACTCAGCCCCTATCGAACCTAAGCAGTGGTTTTCTTCAAGAAGCAGTTGACTATTGACAATACCCCAGGTCTCTCAGACGTCTCTCAACCTGAGAGTTCAACAGTTGCAATTATCTCTCTTAACCAGGCAATGCATCCAAAGGAGATTATCTTGGCGAACAAATTCCACCTTAAACCAGTCTCTCCAATTTGCATAGTGACACCTTCTATTTCGATTTGTCACAACGGGCTCAACACATGCCCGAGCCGCGTGCGTAATTTACATGCTGAAATGGCCTCGTTGGGCTCTATAATTTGGCCTTCCTTGCCTCGTCCCTTGCCTCGTTGACCCAACCCATCCACTCGTCATCGATGAGTTGCTTCTCTCTTAAACTCTTCTTCCACCACGACTGGAGCTCCTCTTCCTCTGCACGCCACCGTTTCACCTCGGCCCCGATCCACGAAGCGGCAAACTCGGCACATTCCTTGGGCCGGTCCATTGCAACAAGATGTCCGACATCCTCCAAGACAGCCTCCTTGACTCTGCCTTCTTTCTCACCCCCACTCCCCCCGACGCCGGTACCAGTGAGTTCAAGCTTCTCTTTCCGTAGACTCGGGGTCGACATGGCACTAGTCCCGCCAAAGATGTATAGACAAGAGGGTCTGAGCTGTGGCAGTTGCATGGCCGTGTTTGGTGCTTCTGGTCGGTAGAACTTGCCACTGCCGAATTTCCAGATGTTCGAGTAAGTGATATCTGGGAGCTTGGACGAATCCATCTTTCTCTTTCCGTTTTCATCCACGGCCTGGTACAAAGGGCGTAGATATGTAAATACTTCCATGTGCTTGGTTGTCGTCAGAGTAGCTTTGCCTGCATCTTTTTCGTCGGGATAGAGAAGGGTGGGTGTGGTCCGGATACCATATTTGATCCAGGCATCAAGGACTCGGGGGTCCCACGACTGATAGAACTTTGACTTCTTGAAAGAATCCACAGCCTCTTGGTGGGAAGGCCAGAGGTCCCTTCGCTTCGCAGACAGTGACATTGGATCCATGCCGAATGACGGGCCCCGAGACGAGAAGTTCATCACAGGATCCATGAGAACGACCGCAGAGAGTAAACGAGGGTGCAGAAGCCCAAGGTGTGTGAGTGTGGTCGCGCCGAAAGAATGACCAACACCGACCAGAGGACGTGGCATCTCTGTCCGGAAGTGATTGATCATGTGTAACAGATCGCGGGAGTGATCAATCCATGAGGCTATAACATCTCAGTAAACACCACTTGAGGCCCGGAACGCAAAAGGGACAGGAGTCTTACGGTCGTTTCCGAGCTTGGATTCATTGATGATCCCGCTCTGTCCCTGGCATGCCACATCGGCTATCCAGATACTCCTTATCCTGAAACCATGCGTGGCGGATAACTTCAAAAGATCCTCCCACATTGGCTCATACAATTCCTTTTCGGTCGTCCGTGATCAGCCAGAGGGTCAGGATTGGGCCGAGTCGCTCGCAAACATACCTTGGGAAAGCCATTTGCATGTGCGCCAATGATGGTGACATCTCCAGGCTGAGGGTTTGGGTTATTCTTCGGAATGTACTGTTTGACTGCGAGATACAGGACCTCTTCTTGAGAATGCGCCGTAGCTCGAGGATATTCGCGAATATGTTGAGCCTCAACAACGTGCTCCCTGATCTCGAAGGAGGACGACATGTTGTAAGCACTCACAACCCGCTCCACAGTGAACTAGAGCCAATCAAACTTTCAAGGAGATAAGGACAGGGAAGGACCAGGGAACAATAATCAATTGATCGTGTATGTTTTCCTCGAGGCAATGGTCTTGGTTTTGACTTCTTGGAAACAAAAAGTATTGACACGGGAGAGATAGTTGCCAGCGCTGAGACAGTCAAGCTTGGCTGCCGAGGTATCCTCGCGTGTTGGCTGAGCCGATGCGGCAATTCGTGGAGCCATTCTGCTCACCCGGGGCTATCTATTTCCCCGGATTTCAAGCAGGGCTAATCAGCAGTGCACGATGAACATTGAACTATTTCTTTAATGGCATACAGCACCCCGAAACTACAATGAAAGAGGGCCGGAATTTGAGATAATCGAGGCGATCAAAGCACACCTTATGTTGATTTCTTTCCCCTACCCTAGGTACTCGATAAATGTAAATGCAATCAATTGACACTTGTGACGACGACAGGAGCACGGTGCTCTCAGGTAGCCACTGCGGGGGTTTGTAAAGTGTTTTGGCGCGCCGTCAGGTGACTCGCGTGGGCATTTCGCGCTGCCAATTTAGCGTGGTCCCGCCATTTAAGCACAAGCCAAAAAACGCGTCCGCGTACTTGGTGACCTGTTGAAGAGCTGACTTCCCTGTCAACAAATTCGCAGGGTTGCCTTATTTTCTGTTGCCCTCCCTCTTGTTCTTGCATAACGCATAACTTTCAACTTTGCTGGCATGCGAAACCAGGCACCCAATGCATAGAATCAGCTTTGAACAGAATCGACTTCAATTTCTGGATCAACCTTGCCTGCGCACCCGCCAACACCCTACCTGCGTTCCCTCCCGACTTCGTTTTTAACCCAACTAGGGTTCCGACTACTTGGAGGACTCTTTTGTTCGTCGGAGTTCAAGGATGGCGGCTGCTCCGGCTGGCGGCGATGGCGCCGATCTTCTCTTCAGTCTGTGCCTTATCGCCTTTGTCCCGAGCAGGTCTCTTCCTTCCAAGTCGATTGCAGAGGTATGTTCGTGTCGTGACGTAACTCTGGCGCAAAAGCTGATGTTTCTGTGTGCCAGCTCACGACGACTGTGAAGAAGTACGGCGCAGATGTGCTTGAGCCAGATGAGCATGGCCGCATTACTGTGTCCCAAGCCACACATATCATCTCAAATACGATCGATTTCGAAGAATACACCGAGGCAATGGCCATGATGGTGCCTGTTGTCACATCACACTGGATCACCAACTCTCTGAGCCGGAACAAGCAAGCTCAGATCCGACCTTTTTCCCCCGACCCGCGCATGATCTTCCATAATGTCAACCTCACATGTGCCGATATCCCCACTGTTGATAAAGAGGTCATCACTGGAGCCACACTTGCTTTGGGTGGCATGGAGTCTAAGGATCTATCCAGGCTAACCACGCATATTTGCGCCTTGTCAATAGATCATCCGAAATGCCAGCAAGCCGAGCTAAAGAAACTCAAGTGCAAGATCGTTCTGCCTCATTGGTTTGACGACTGCTTTAAGTTAGGCAAGAAGATTGACGAAAAACCGTACCTGCTCCCTGACCCAGAGATTCTCCGCGGCGAGTCAAAGGTAGATGTCGCAATCCCCCCTAGCGAACATCTCGAAGGGGCCACTACAGCACTGCCTGACGGGCCGCCATCCATGTTGCCTGGTACCAGGCAGAGACTGACTGTGTTTCGGAAGAAGAAAGTGTTGCTCTCCTGGGATCTCTCCATCAGCTCGAGGTTCCGCGATATTGTTACGGAGCTTGTCAAGAGCGGTGAAGGAGACATTGTTCGCGATGTTGATGAATGCGACATGTTCATTTGCCAGTATCGCGACGGCGAGCAGTACATCCGAGCAGCCCAACAGGGCAAGGACGTGGGCAATCTTGCATGGCTGTTCTATCTCATCACGCATGACGAGTGGTGCTCTCCACTACGTCGTCTGCTTCATTACCCCGTACCCAGAGATGGCATTCCGGGCTTCAAAGACATGAAAATCACCCTCTCCAACTATGGCGGAGAGGCCCGAATCTATCTCGAAAACCTGGTCACTGCTGCCGGAGCGACCTACACCAAGACGATGAAGTCAGATAATACGCATCTGATCACAGCAAGAGACAACAGCGAGAAGTGCCAGGCGGCGCGTGACTGGAATATCCACATGGTCAATCACCTCTGGATTGAGGAAAGCTATGCCAAATGCGAGGCTCAGACCTTGTCGAACCCGAAATACTCACACTTCCCCCCTCATACGCACCTTGGAGAGGTCATCGGTCAGATTTTCTTTGACGAGTCGAGACTGAGAAATCTATACTATCCTGGTGGAGACGACACGCTCGGCAACAAGGGCAAACGTAAGAGAAAGATCTTGGAGGCAGCGCAGGAGAACGCGTACTCGACCGGCCCGGCGGCAGGCATGGTCGTTGGCAGACAGGAGCACCAGGAAGTCGACGTCATGAGAGATGATGATGCCGAGTATGCGGACAAGACGATGAGCATTTTTGGAGTTCCCGCTCCTCCTCGCGACAAGCAGAACCTTGTCACTCCCGCCAAGGGCCGTCATGTCCGAAACGGCAAAGAGAATGATACCCCCACGGTTATGTCTAGTGGCAGTCGAAGTGCAAAGGACAAGGCCCTCTCTAAGCTCCACAATCTCGCTCCCGACATTGCGCTGTACGAAAAGGAGAAGAAACGATCAACCAAGGATGGCCATGCGCCTTGGGGTGGCAAACGTGCTGCGGACCAGTACGAAAAGGCGCAAGCCGCGGCGAAAAGCTCAAGCCCAGCGCTGCAGGGAGACGAGGAGGAAGAGGAGGAAGAGGAAGAGGATGTCGACGCTCAGCGTCCGAGCAAGAAACAGAAGACTGGGCTACCAGCAGTCGAGATGCGCGTGGTTCTCACTGGTTTCCAGCGGTGGGTTGGACACAGCGCCAAGGAGGAACACGAGAGGGTAAGTGATCGAGACACTCGTTGCCTTGACGGAACTGGGCTGACTCCAAGCAATAGAAAAAGCTTCGCAATATGGGCATCCAGATAGTCCAGGACAACCAGCCCTGCGACTATCTGGCAGCGCCTTTCATTGTTCGTACCATGAAGTTCTTGAAGGTCCTCGCAAGAGGGCCCGACGTCATCAGCTCTAAATTCATCGAAGCTGCTTTGGACTCAGGCAAGGTCCCCCCAATCAAGAAGTATCTCCTCAAGGACGAGGAGAATGAAGAAAAGTTCGACTTTGATCTCCAGAAGTCCATCGCCAGAGCAAGGGCCAACAAGGGACGCCTGTTGTGGAATGTACCGATATATTGCACGGCGGAGATCAAGAACGGTTACGAGAGCTACAAGGCGATCGCAGAGGCAAACAGTGCCATCTTCAAGTTGTATCGTGCCAGAAGTGGTACAACGATCAAGCCTACCACCGCCGAGGAGGACGGCGGTGCACCACCGGAACCAGTCTACCTGCTGAGCTGCCCATCACCCGCCGAGCGCCAGCTGTGGCCAAGGTTTGAGCAGATGGCGAGGCAGGGCAACATGGAGCCCCGAGTTGTTGCGCCAGACTGGCTGCTTGATGTTGCTATGAGACAGGAGATCACGTTTGACGAAAAGTATCTGTGCAAGAACTTCTGGTCTTGAGACATGGATGCATCATGGCAAAAGGGTTTTTGCACAGGCTTACAGGCGTTCAGGAGGTTCTTTGGACGATAGGCACCCGGCAGTGAGGTGCTCGGGAGGATGTTTGCTGTTTTACTATTTGGACGATCATGAGTTCGCGTTGTCTCAAGTTGATCATATCCATAATGCCCAATGTAAAACATAAATACAACAATGCTGCTGATCAAGGCCGCTCTTCCAAGAAAATCAATGTAAAGCATACCTCGTAACGAACATCGTGACCGTGTTGCCACTCCATAGTAACCTTCTATAACGCCGCTCTTACGCAGTCCAGAATCGCAACGCCATCAGCATGCCCCTCCTTGGCTTGGAGGTTTAGAAGAACTTAACACCCTGCGAGTCCCCGGAGCCAAAGATCTGCGCCTTCCCACGGTTCACCAGTATCTTAAGCGCTCTGTGCAACACGTCTCGGTCAAGGTCATGTAGTTCTGTAATGTTTCACGGGTCAGTAAGTCCCAAGATCTGGGAAGGGTCGAGAGAAAGAAGGATATAGAGGGGGGCCGGGATGGGAGGGACTCACCGGTGCCTCTCGTCCCCTCGCCCTCCGCAATCTCATAGAGCGTCAAGACGGCGCCCTTCTGTGCCGTGTCGTCCACCCAGTCCTCGATCATCGCAGCCCACTGCTCCGGCGTGTGCCACCAGATCCACGCCAGGTCCTTCTGCCCGCCGCCCGTCTCGTCGATCCACTCGGCCGCGCCGTGGCGGTGCATGTAGTCGACGACCTCGCGCGCGTCGTCGGGGAACAGCCGCCGCTTCACGCGCCGGTTGGCAAACAGCTCGACGGCCGGCTCGGCGATGTTATCACCGGCGCCACCGTCGGCGTTGGCGGCGGCGGCGGCCACGGTGGTGGCAGCTTCGGACGTGCCGCCGGCCCCCGTGGGATTGGGGAGGCCGGGCAGGGAGGCCGGGGCGGCGGCCGAGACGCGCAGCTTGAAGATGCGGTGGTGGGCGCAGTAGGACTGGACGAGGGCGGACCACTTGACGAACTGGGTGTGGCGGGTCGTCTTGTTGGGCTGGATGGTGAAGAAGGGCGGGAACGAGTACTCGCGCGGCCACTGGAAGGTGCTCGGGGCGGCGCTGCTCGCCGTGTCCGCGCCGGTCCGGCTATCGCTGGCCATTACAATGGAAGTGTGCCGCTGATGTTGTTTTTGTGTATTCTTGCTGAGATGAAGCAAGTGATGATGGATGCAAGTATGGATGTGGGGGGATGAAAGGCCTTGGCCTTTTTAAGCTGCGGATTGAGAATGCTTTGGTCTCCTAGCAGCACTGTTTGAGGTGAGAAGTAATGAGGCAGTATCGAGCCTTGAAGAAATTTGTACAGATAGTTGGATTATTCAACGTCCAGGCAGCCCTTTTAAGTTGAATATATCCGTATCTTGATATTCGTGGGTGTGAGTTGCTGGAGTTGTGAAGGTTTAGTGGGTCGTGACCTCCCGTACCAGTATTTACTTTGCGACTCCGATCTCGACCATGGTCGGAGATCCGTGGATCATAGGAAATCACCTCGGTGCTTTGCAGAGGTGGCACCTTGGATTAAGAATACCCCCGTTAAATATATGCTCTATTCAGAAGGCTCAACCGGTTATCCCATCCCATAGGCATGAAAACGTGGACGTCTTTGCGAGGGCTAGAGCAATCCCCGTTCCAAGAGCGATGAAAGCACATAAAGCGGTTGTTATGATTTGCGCATATACAATGTCTATCAATCCTCGTTCAATCATTAAAGACCCAAGTCCTTCAAGCATGAGAATATCGTCAAAAGCAAGTACGACCGCCCCCTGACATGTATGCTTCAAAGCTCCTCTCAACGCCCAGCAAGCTTCGCTCTGAACAAATGCATCTAAAACACAAAGTGGGAAAAAGTCGCGAGGGCAACTCTTCCTAAACATCCATAGCACGGGTATCATCTTTCAAGTCGTCGCTTCCCAGCTCCTTCTCCAGTTCATCGGCCACGAACCACTCGTAGTCCTCGAGGTTTTTCTGCACATGCATCTTGAACTTGACAACGTCATTCAGCATGCGCATGATCTCAGTGTGAAGCTCCTCACGGAGAGCGTTGGCCCGAAGCTCAAGCTGCTCGTATCTGCAGGCATCGAATTAGCAGGTTGTAGGAATGTTGGGCAGGTCATTGAACTTACTCGATGCTGGTGTTCATCTCGCGTTGCTCCATCAACTGGACGGACTCGGAGAGGCTTGTTCGCATCTTGGCTAGATCCTTCTCCATCTTCTCAATCTGGGCGTCCGAGGCCATTCGTTGTGCGGTTGTGACCTAGATAGTGTGCGTGTTAGTAAGACGGGGACGGAGTGAAAGGGAGACGAAGAGCGTCATACCTCTTTGGTCTTCTCATGCTCTTGTTCTGCCGCGCGTACACGGTGCTCGAGTGCCTCGACCTCATTACGCTTGTCCTCCATCGCCTCCTTAATATTGTCCAGGAGGTCGTGGTCTTTCATCATGTTCTCCATGGCAACGCTCCGTCTTTCCGAGATCTCCTTCCTAAGAGCGAGGAAGTTGTTCTTAACCTGTCCTCGAAGATCTAGATTCAGGATGTGTGCGGGTTGATAGCCGGTGATTGGATCAACCAGCAGCCGCTCGTTCTCCATGCTTCCAGCGCCGGCTGAGCCCTGCAGCTGTGAGGACGTGAAGCTCGGTCCATCATTGACAGTGACTTGCAGCTCAAAATTCCTTCCTTTGGCGTTGACAGCCGTGGACGGAATCAGCCCAATCTGGTACGCCACCGTGTTGTATCTGTCGACCAGTCGCTCGAGATCGTCAAGTTTTCGGCTGGCTTCGACCTCCTTGTCAGCAACCTTCTTCTTGACCTCTTCCAAGCGTTGCGCTGCTGCCTCGATTCCTTTCTGCAAGCGTTCTCGCTCAGAGGTCATGCGGTCGATATCCGCCATACTGATACCCTGATCGTCAACAGCTTGCTGGAGTCCTCGTCTCTCCTCTTCAGCTTCGTGTAACTCTTGGTACAGTTTGTCAAGCTCCTCTTGGAGCAGCTGGGCCCGGGTCTCGTATTTCTCCGACCGTTGCACCGCCAATTGGTTGTACTCTTCGAATTTGACCTTGTCTTCCTCCATGATCTTGAAGTGATGATCGAGTACAGCAGGATCCGGAGTCGACTTCTCCAGGTCTTCAATCTCTTTGAGCAGTCGCTGGTTCTCTGCCTCGAGGATGTCGAGTTCTTCCTGATAGCGGGAGTTGGATCGGTCGAAAGCCTTGGCCATGGACTCAACATGAGGCGCCAGGACCTTGCCTGCATCTTCGTCTGCAATGTCGTCATCCATTGCTAGCCAGTCCTTGTATGCTTGTCCAAGGAAGTCGAAGATGATATGATCAGCCGCCACATCGAGACCAGCCTCGACACAGACATCGTCGTATCGGTGGCAGGAGTAGCCCTCTAGCATCTGAGCAAGCTGCATCATCCAGTGAAGCAGGCCCAAGAAGGTGCTCCAATTCTGGCCACCAACAGCGGCAATCTGGCTCTTGGTGATGCTCTTCTCATACGGATACCTCAGCTGCTTCAGCAGTGGCGGGACCTCTTGGTCGATGTTCTTTTGGAAACGATAACTCGGGTCGATGCGGTGATACAGCCACTGGAACATGTAGTTGAAGTCCTTTTGTGTGGGCGATTTGATGAAGTTCTGCGACAAGACGTGCTTCATCTCCATCTCGAAGTTGTGCTGCGCCAGGTACTCGAGCAGCTCCTGTCCTATGCGAGCTTGGTACGATCTGTCCTTGAGCGGTCGTGGGTCGCGAGGAACTCCTGCTGCCTGGGGCGCCTGCTGGAAGAAGCTCTGATGTCCCACCATGGCTCCTCCCATGGACGGTCTCGCCTTATAGACGCTGCTCCGCCGCTCGCCGTCAGTCGATGCCCGACCAGGCAGGTTGCCTGGCGCATAGGATCGAAGCGCATTATTCTGGTGAGACGATCGTTTAACGGACGAGAGGCCAATGTCTGCCAAGTTGGTGCCCGAGGACGATCGCTGAAAAAGGGGCTGGCTGGGTCGCGACATGGCTAGAGACTGCCTGGACCCTGACATCGAGCGAGCATGGCCGGTTGAGTAGGGTGCCGCGTGGACAGAACTAGATCGCTTCATGGCAGAAGGGGGCTGCGGAATCGAAGAATTCATATTGATACCTCCGAGAGTCTGCGCGAAAGGTTCGTCAGTTCATCAGAAACGAGTCCAAGCAGTCCTCCGCACTGAGGCAGGGCATAGGGACCAAAAGCGCGTACCTCACGAGGGCGCCGGACGCTCCAAAGTCCGGTATCCTGCGACATTGCAGGTGATGTTTTTATAGTCGCGGCGGGTTTTTGCGCAACAGGCTACTCGGGCCTTTTATTGCGTTTGAGAATTTGATCGTGCGGGCAGTCGATTTGGTTATTGGATCGCGGATTTCGCAAGTCGCATTGGGCGGCGCAAGGACTGGGCATCGCAGAAGAGACCCGTTGCTGAGAAAGAAGGTAAACAGAGGGCGCTGCTCGACGTGATTGGCCAAGGGAAAACCAATCTAAACAATCCAAGCAACCCTTGTCTGCCAAGGCGACTTTATTGTCGTTCGCACGTGATTCGCTTCTCCCTCGGACAAATGGTCCGTGCACGCGAGGTCCAGTCGCGGTGCCTCGGCTCCAACCGGCCTCCTCCATTTTCCTGGGGTAAGGCGTAGAGGCTCTGATGCCATCAGTCGGCAATTCTGTCCATCCCTCTCTCTGCCTTTCAGTGCAACAGCATTTGTGTATCTCACCAAGAAGCACCAGCAAGACTGTGTCACACCCGGCCATGAGGTGAGAGCACATCGGCTCTTCACAGTCAATATGGTCATTCGCGAGGATCTCGTCGTCTCGGCGGTAAGTTGATCTTGATCCCGGGTCAAATTGATAACAACCTTTTGCACAAGTCGCTAACTCCTTTCCCAGGCTCAGTGTGAGTAGTGCTCTTTTCGTTATATTCAGATTGAGAATGAGATCGATAGTCTGACAGGCAACACAGTTCTCCAAGATCCCAGCGTCGCATCGTCACCCGTCGAGAATCGAATTGCCTTCCTCCAAGCCAAGAACTTGACCCAAGAAGAAGTCAGCGCAGCCATGGCTCGGGCATCTTCGGACTCGGGCGCCCCTCCTTCCTATCCGCCTGCACCCCCGGCATCATATCCTCGCGGACAGCAGCCGCCGTACTATGGCCAGTACCCGCCGTACGCGTGGCAGCCACCACCTCAAGAGCCCCCCAGAAGGGACTGGAGGGACTGGTTCATCGTTGCCACGGTCGCCGGTGGTGTAAGCTACGGCCTATACTCTCTTACCAAGGTACGCGCTCCATATTACTGAAAATTACCTTGATCACACGACTCACATGGCACAGCGCTATATCTACCCTCTCGTCGCTCCTCCAACCCCCGAGCGCCTCGAGCAGGACAAGAAGTCGATTGATGAGCAATTCGAGCGGGCTTTTGGACTGGTTGAGCAGCTAGCAAAGGACACCGAGGCGCTCAAGGCGGCCGAGAAGGACCGAACAGAACGCCTGGATGCCGCATTGGCAGATTTGGAGAGCACCCTGAGCGAGCTCAAGTCGGCCAACAGGCGTAGAGAGGATGACGCCAACCGAGTCAGGGACGATGTGCAGAGCCTGAAGAACTCCCTGCCCAGAGCCATGGACGCTCAAAAGGAGCAGACTGACAACAGGATGAAGGAGCTCAACACGGAGCTCAAGAGTCTGAAGACCTTGATCAGTCAGCGCATGGCACCTGCTGGCCCATCGTCCTCGGCTCCGGCCCCTGCCCCAACGACTGGCGGATATCTTCGTGCTTCAAGCGCCGTCCCTCCGACAGCCTCGTCCGACACATCAACCACCCCCGTCAACGGTACTGAGAGCTCAGAGCCAGCCACCAGTACACAAGAAGAGCCATCCAAGCCGCGTGACTACACCGGCTACGTCGCCAGTCTCGGCCGCAGCTCCCCTTTCAGCAGCGGCATGCCCATGTCGAAAGCTTCGATTCCCGATTGGCAGAAGCCAAAGGCTCCTCAGGCCTCTGTCTCAACCCCTGAAGCTGAGAGCAGCGCTGCCCAAGCCTCCGGCAGCAACTGATCGGACGTCAGGTTTATTCATATTATTACGCATAGGAGTTGGGAATTGAGCATTGTATATTATGGACGGCATGGGAAGACAAACAGCAAACATAGGGAGATTTTTTTGTGTTAATACAGCACCTGCACTCAAGGCAGGCGGATTTCCTATAGATTTACACTCGAAGTCGTTGACTCTCATGGTCCAAGTCATGGAAACTGTATTGTATTGGAGCCCAACTTGCATCCGTTCTCTCATTTTAACATGTGACGTATGGCACAAGGTCATTGTGAGAGATGTTGCTTTACCTCGATTTGCGTGTGAGAAGATGGATTCCCTGACGTACTAGTACACGCATTTTACCGTCAACATCTTTATTAGCCATTGAAGTGTTGAGGTCATCGCTGGGTGGCCAAAGTAAACGTTCTAAAAAATGCCGGGTCGTGTCTCGGCCTTTAGCCCCCACACAATTCTAATTGTGCCGAGGCACACTGAGAAATGGTTGTCCCTGAGCGATGCGCAGGCCTTTGACAGAATTCTTGAATGGATCTCAGGTCAACGTGGGCAACGTGGGTCCTGGTTCCAGTGAAGGATATGCTAGAGACATTTCTGGCATGGTCTCGGGGTGTTAATAGATGAGGGTGTGGTATGTAAATTGCAACAATCTGTACCCCAGATTTCGATATCTCCCTTTGACACTTGCGTTCATTTTAGATGGTTCCTACGCCGAATACTGCAAACCGTTACACATATCCCCCCTCCTACATACCTTGATCGCTACCTTTGTTATTATACTGGCCCACGAGCTACCATGTCTTCCGTCTCTGACGAGACAGCCAAGGCCGAGAGGTCCGGGTTCAAGACCTCCAACCTCAGCATGGCTCTTGAATTCCTGCCCAAGGTCCCCATGGTGTCTTACACGGCGCTGGTGCATACCTTGCGCCTTACGAAACAGTCGAAATATTGGGACCTCCGCACTGCCCTGACCGTCTCCGTTGTGCGGTCTTTTATGACGCCTTCCAAACCTCTGAGTATCTCCGCCACTCAGAAGCTGCTCAACAAGGACCCGGGCATCAAGGGCAGGATATGGGTGAGCAAGTACGCCTCTCCAGCGCCGCCAGAAACGGGCGTGCGAGAGGCGTTATTACGGGCCATCGAGGGGTTGCAAGTCCCGTCATCAACAAAGGTGGATGTTCGGCTTCCTGATCTTGTGGCCGTTGAAGCGGAGTGGACTGGCTACAGGGAGTATGCTACCCCCAAGTCGGTGCTGCCCGCAATCTCAGAGAAGGAGAAGTACATGGAGATGATGAAGGAATGCAAGAAGCCCACCACAGTGCTATACTTTCACGGCGGTGCATACTACCTCATGAGCCCGGCAACACACAGGCCGACGACCAAGAAAATCGCCAAGCTCACTGGAGGCCGTTGCTACTCAGTGGGCTATCGGCTGGCACCGCAGCATCCCTTCCCGGCGGCTCTCATGGATGCTCTGGTCGCGTATTTGACCTTGCTGTATCCTCCAACTGGCGCTTTCCACGAGGCTGTCAAGCCTGAACATATCGTGTTTGCAGGAGACAGGTAAGCCTCATGCCCATCATGCGTCCTGTGTGTCGCTCGTGAATAAAGCTAACATGGGGTTGGTTGACAGTGCTGGTGGAAATCTGAGCCTCGCCCTCTTGCAGACTCTTCTGGAGCTAAGGCGTCAAAACCTCAAAATTGCCTGGTTTGGGGAGGAGCGAGAAGTCCCTCTCCCTGCTGCGGTCGCCGTCAACTCGCCCTGGATGGACATGACGCACACCTCGCCATCCTGCTCTGCCAACGCAGACTACGACTACCTCCCGGCCTTGGCTCACGAAAACAGGGCCACCCCGCCGGCCTGTGACGCGTGGCCGGCGGTACCGCCGCGCAAGACGCTCTATGTGGACGATTCCATGGTCCTGCATCCTCTGGTCACCTTGCTCATGGCCCAGAGCTGGGAAGGATCACCCCCGGTGTGGATGTGTGGCGGGTGGGAGCTGCTGGCGGATGAGGGCAAATATGTGGCTGGCAAGATGCGTGATCAGGGGGTGACGGCGGTGTATGAGGAGTACGAGGCGATGCCCCACTGCTTTGCTCTTTTGTTCTCCCACCTCGCGGAATCTCGCCGGTGCTTTGAGAGTTGGACCGGCTTCGTGAAGCAGGCAGTCGAAGATCCTGCGGGCATCAAATCTAGGGCAACGACAGTGAAAGCCGTGACACTGGAGGAAGTCGATATGGGCCCAGGCGGGCTGGTCCCATACACGGAAGAGGAAATGAAGGAGAGACTTTACAAGTGGTGCGAGGAAAATACATCCTCGGAAGCGGTTGCGAAGCTGTAAGGCCGGCTGTCATCTCTTCCTATTTATTAGATACCCCTCTTGGCATGACGGGCTACATCATGAGAGTTGGAGTTTCCATGTCTTTATTTGAGGCGCACATATGTACCATGAACCAATTCCAATTGCATTAAGAATATAAACCATCCTAAAGGTACGTGAAGTGGAAAGCAAAGATGTGATTGGGAAAGGGTTGATCGGAATGGACAGTGAGACTTGAATAACACAACACTACAGACTAATATCCTCAATATGCAGTAACCAACAGTCTTCTAAGATCAGCTTCGAACCAGAACCTTTTTAATTGATGCTGTCCTAGGTATCTAGGCCTCCGGCAGATGTCGACAAGTACCGTCCCCCGGTTAAGCTCATGTGGGACCCCCGGACCCTGCCGGCCTTGGCTCTTAAAAGATTTAGTGCGGATGAGCCGACAAAACCACCAGTATCAACTACATCTCACTCTGCGCCGTTTTGAAGCCCAGCCTTCTGGTACACATACACAAAACCCGGGTTTTATAGCTTTGCCCGTCCATTCCTTTGGCTGCGAAGGGGCGTGTGCGTGGGAGAAAAGAGAGAGAGAAAGGGGCGGGCCCAAAACCCATCTACTTCAACGAACCCGAAGAAAAAAGAAAAGATGAACCGCCACCGCGCCGCCGTGTCCAAGATCGCCGCATCTGTGCGCGCCTTCTACGAGCGCGGCGAGCCCTACCGGGTCTACAAGGGCAGCTCCAACACGACGCGGCGGCTCGCGGCGGGGCCCGGCACGGGCGTCGACATCCGCGCGCTCGACAACGTGCTCTCGGTCGACGCCGCGCGGCGCACCGCCCTCGTCGAGCCCAACGTGCCCATGGACCGCCTCGTCGAGGCCACCCTGCCGCACGGCCTCGTCCCGCCCGTCGTCATGGAGTTCCCCGGCATCACGGCCGGCGGCGGGTTCGCGGGCACGGGCGGCGAGAGCAGCAGCTTCCGCCACGGCTACTTTGACGAGACGGTGCGGCGCGTCGAGATGGTGCTCGCCGACGGCGAGGTCGTCGAGGCCGAGAACCCCGCGCGGGCCGGCAGCGACAGCGCACACGCCGAGCTGTTCCGCGGCGCGGGCGGGGCCGTCGGCACGCTGGGCCTGACGACGCTGCTCGAGCTCGAGCTCGTCGAGGCCAAGAAGTACGTGCGCACGACGTACCGACGCACGCGCAGCGTCGCCGAGGCCATCGAGGCCGTCAAGACCGAGGTCGGCCGCGCCGGCAACGACTACGTCGACGGCATCCTCTTCTCCCGGGACCACGGCGCCGTCATCACGGGCCAGCTGACCGACGACAAGCCCGACGGCGTCGCGCCGCAGACCTTCTCGGGCGCCTGGGACCCCTGGTACTACATGCACGTGCAGTCCCGCACCGCCGGCGGTGGCGGCGGCAGCGATACCAACGACACCGTGACCGAGTACATCCCGCTGGCCGAGTACCTGTTCCGGTACGACCGCGGCGGGTTCTGGGTCGGCCGCGCCGCCTTCCGCTACTTCCAGCCCTGGGTGCCCTTCACCCGCCTCACGCGCTGGTTCCTCGACGACTTCCTGCACACGCGCATGCTCTACCGCGCCCTGCACGCCTCGGGCGAGGGCCGCATGATCGTGCAGGACCTGGCCCTGCCCTTCGCCACGGCCGAGCGCTTCGTCGACTACACGGCCCGCGAGCTGGGCATCTGGCCGCTGTGGCTGTGCCCGCTGCGGCGCCGCGACACGGGCCCGACCTTTCACCCCGTCACCCGGCGGGACACGGCGGACCCGTGCGACGAGACGCAGATGCTCAACATCGGCGTGTGGGGCGAGGGCCCCCGGCGGCAGGCCGAGTCGGTGGCCAAGAACAGGGCGCTCGAGGCCGAGCTGCGCGAGCTGGGCGGCATGAAGTGGCTGTACGCGCGGACGTACTACGACGAGGCCGAGTTCTGGGACGTGTACGGCGGCCGCGCCTGGTACGACGAGCTGCGCGCCAAGTACAGGGCCACCACGCTGCCGACCGTGTACGACAAGGTCAAGGTCAAGGAGGAGAAGGACCTGGGCCTGTGGGACAGGCTGAAGCTGAGACGGCCAATCGGCGGCCTGTACGGCATCTACAAGGGCATCCAGAGCAAGGACTACATGCTGCACAGAAACGCCACGTGGAAGTGGAAGGGGGAGCAGGAGCCAAAAGCTTGATGTGGCTTGTAATAGTTATTTTGTGTACTACTATTCCTTGTTATAGACATGAAAAGCCTTGCATATGTTGAGATAGATGGGTAGTTTAGTTAGGATAGATTTGTACATATATGTAACTGAACACTTGTATCACTCTCGGTGGCAAGGAATCTTTTCATCTCTCAGCGTAAGGTCCGAAGTCAATCTTCTCAAGTGATCCTACATGCCTAGTAATTGAAGGAGAAAGAAATCACTGAGAACCAGCAAGCTTTCCAAAATCATACGATTGACGCCACGCAAGTCATTTGATCAACGTTGTGCATCTATTATTATTCTAGGTAGCTGAGGTTTGGAGCATCTCTTATATACAGATGGTCTCAGCTTGCCCATCATCAAAGATTAGTCGAGAGGCTCCTGGTACGGAGGAGCTCTTGCTCGTCACATCATAATTCCATTCAGGCCAGACGCCGTTATTTTCTCATGCCGGTCGTCGTGTCATGTACCCGAGATTCGCTCTATCATCAGAACCCGAACCCTTTATCGTGTGTACTGTAAAGCAGTAAAACCCCCTTCTAGACCTCTATGCTGCGTTTAGGCCTTGACCGAGTAAGAGCGCTTGAACATGTCGTCGACCTGCTCGAGGTAGTAGGTGCCAGGAGTGATGGTAGACACATCGCCGACAGGGGTGAAGTTCTTCTGAAGGTGGGCCTTCTTGCGGAGCTCGCACATCTATGGAATGTTGTCAGTGGTTATTCATATAGGCGCATTGGGATCTTCCTTTCGGGCGCAACTCACATCGTCAAAGGTCTGGGGAGGAACAGCGCGGCGGGCAGCTAGCCTGTTGGGGAGGTCGAGGACCTTGCTCAGCTGCTCGGTGCTGCCGTTGACACGGAAGGAGCAGAAGCTGGCAGCCAGACCGGAGCCGTAGCTGAAAAGCGCGATGCGCTTGCCCTGAAGCGCAGCGCTGTCGACGTGGGCGATCAAGCTGGCGAGACCACCCCAGACGCTGGCGCAGTACATGTTACCGCACAGGGTGGCAACCTGGATGCCAGGGTTGACACGCTCCTGGAAGCGCTTCTTGGTCAGAGCCATGAAGGTCTTCTCAACGGTCTTGTCAGTCAGGGACTTCTTGTAGTCCATGTCGCGGAACTCAGGGGGGACATCGGCGAAGGCGGGGCTGTCGGGGTTGGCCAGGAAGTCGTGGTAGAGCAGACGGCCGTACGACTTGGCCACCAGCTTGCAGTTGGGAGAGTGGAAGGTCAGATAGTCGAAGCGGTCCAGAGGGGTCTTGCCGTCAGCGGCGGCGCCGTTGGCGTGGCCGTTGGCCTGACCCTTGGCGAGGAGGGCCTCGCGCTTACAGTAAGCGCGGTAAGCCGAGTCGAGAGCCTCGGTGTAGCAGGTGAGCGAGAAGTGGCCATCAACGTAGGGGTACTCGCTGGTGAAGTCGGGCTTGTAGAAGTCGTAGGCGTGCTGCATGTGGGTGCCACGGAGACCAGGCTCGGCAACGACGGGGGCATCCGGGCCAACCAGCATAGCAACAGCGCCGGCGCCACCAGTGGGACGAGCGTTGCCCTTGGCATAGAGGGCAATGTCGCCAGCAATGACAATGGCATCGCGGCCGTCCCAGGCAGACGACTCGATCCAGTTGACAGCGTTGAAGAAGGCGTTGGTGCCGCCGTAGCAAGCATTGATGGTGTCAACACCCTCGATGTTGGTGTTGTCGCCGAAGAGCTGCATAAGCACAGACTTGACCGACTTGGACTTGTCGAGGATGGTCTCGGTTCCGACCTCGAGACGTCCAATGGAGTTGGTGTCGATCTTGTACTTGTCGAGCAGGTTCTTGGTGGCGGTCAGGGCGAACGAGTAGATGTCTGTGAGGATTTGGGGCCGGGTTAGCTCACGCGCCTGTCGAAGCAGAGGAATTGCGCAGCAGGCAACGAGGGAAACACCAACCTTCACGGTCGTCGCAGAAGCTCATCTGGGTCTGGCCCAGACCAATGGTGTACTTGCCAGTGCTGGCACCGTCAAACTTCTCGAGCTCGGATTGCTCGACATACTGGATTGGCGGCCGGTGTTAGTTTTTGGTGGGGGAAAATGCGCGATCTCGGAGCAGCAGCAGCGAGGGGCCACCCTGCTCTCTCTGGACGGGGCAGAAGCGACACTGGACGTACCTGGCTGGGGAAGTAGATCTCAATGGCCTTGATGCCAATGTTCTGGGGACGGGAAGCCATTTTGGACAGAAAGTCGAGCAGTGTCTTGTGGGAAAAAACGCGTCTTCCTGTGGCGGATAGGGGATGTGTCTTTTGAGAGAAGGAGGAGTGGGAGGGTTGCCTGGGCGGCTGTAATAAAAGAACGGCGCAACTGTTAGCAGATCAGATTGGCAGATTAGCAGTTAGCTTCTTGTTTAGGTAGGTTAGTTGATGCCGCCGCCCACCGCCTAGGGGAGGTAATGGCAACTTCCACTTTCTGTCAGCTTTTTTTTTTTTTTTCTCTCTTGCCATGCAATGAAGAATTTGGTGGGGGAGGGCGACATGCAACCATGCAACATGAACCAACCGCACCGCCTTTCACCGCCGTTTTCCCAAGGTACCTATGCGGCGCTGTCTCTGCAGTGGCGGCCATGCTGTATGGCTTGAACCCTGACAGCTACCCCTCCAGACATGCATAATCAATGGGGAATATCGATCCAATGAGGTCTCTTACATGAATCTCTAGTCCTGAATCGACACTTCGTCGTCAGGTTCTTGTGAGAGGGCGTGAGGGGCTGTTGCTTGGTTTGTCACAGTGCGTTCAGTACTTTAGACAATAGACAATGCAATGACTGGGCGAGTGGGTTCGGATTGTCAAGTCGTGATGATGATGCCTCGTCGAGGGCGTCGACTTTATATGTCTTGCCGGCTGCAGCACTTGAGAACAAAGGCACAGGCGGCATCACATCACAACAGTCCAGGGAATAATAGGTCTGGGAGGGAGGTACTTGTAAGTTACCTGTGTGAGCGGGAATGGCATCGTCTAGAGCACCCTCGACTTCCCTACAGGGGGCAGTACTATGTCTGTCACTCGAGACCTCATTACCTATTGTTCCTTGTTATTGTTGTCAGGCTGCCGAGTTGTGACGTCTTGGCAGAATGTCGGGATAGCACAAGTCACCTCCGATTTCGTTTCTTGCTCCGCCCTTCTGTTGCGCCCTTTGGACCGATGCGAGGCAGGAAGCCTACTAGTTAGTTAGTTACCTCTACTGTACTGTTGACGAAAAGGCGATAGACTGCAGCATGTGCCTGGCCGTGGAACGGATTACGACGTTGCCGCGGTACTCCGTACGCATGGGCAAACCGCAGGGTCTGTCTAACTACAAGTAGTGCCTTCATGACCTGAGAGGGACGAGACGGGTCCCCCTGGTTAACTGCAGATACACTCTGAGCTACCGTTGTTGAGCGGCTGCTGTCCATGTGAGATGGTACGAGATGAGGTATTTCGGAATAGCATCAGATGCCTTTTTGTCTTGGCGGGACCAACCCCATCGTCTTGTCTCGACACCTTATCGTTGACCCGATCTTAGCCTTCAATTTCTTAATTTTTTTTATTTTTCGTTGGGATGAACCTTGCCCAGCTGTGCCTACGTATGATGAGCCAGGATTTGGGTCAGGGGGCGGGTTGTGCAGATTGTGCAGAATTCGAGTAGCCAGGGGTAAAAGTGGGTGTGAAAGGGTGAGGCGCTTTTCCCGTTGCAGTAAAGACATTCTCTAATCTGCGCGATCCCGGTGACTAGCCTTACCGAGTGCCAGTATGGATCAATGATGTACTTTGAAGCTTCTTGTCCAACTCTCGTCGCTCACCAGTACTTACGGATCTGGCACACCGTCTGACCGGTTTGGCAAAGTGGCCCGGTCAGACCAACTACAAGTACTCAGCCTCCTTTGACGTCGTCACTCACTACCCCAGACTGGAGTGATTGGTAAGGAGGTGGTTGGTGCGATTGAGCCGCGGAGTTTCATCCCAGCAACTTCATGGGAGGTCAGCAACTCGTAGGTTGGGCCAAACCTTCTTCAACCGCCAAGCAGGACCGAGAGCATCCCGATCACTTCCTGGATTTGGTCTAGCAGGTCTGCTCAGCCTCGTTCGCTGTCGTCAGTCAATCATTCTGACAGACGGAACCTGCCGCCATGTTTCACTCTTGGTCAGCCTGAACTGTGTCACCAGCCTTCCAGCGAGATCACATTTGCAAATGCTCAACGAGTAACTCCGGAGAGACTCGTCATCTCAACTCCAAAAGGTCGATTTTATGACGCAGAATCATCCGATATTCGATCGTGCCTGGATATGACAGAAGTTTTTGATTGTTTTGCTCAATGTAACCACAAGACGGAGGTCCGATGCAACCCCTTAATGTTAGAGTCCTAACGCCTAGCTATGCAATATCATGATGCAATGAAGAATCTCTTTGTTGGGAATGCCGATGCCTCACGATGGGGACCCATAGCCGGAATCAGCCCGTTTCTCTTCGTGCTCCTCCTCCCCAGCCTTGCCTTGGCTCTTCTTTTGCTTACCCTCCTCCACCGTCGCCTTATCCGATGTTCCAGACTCCGCTTCCGACTCGCCATCGGAAGAGGACGTGTCTGAGGGGTCAGACGAGGCTTCCTCCTTTTTCGCCTTGTTCTTCTTTTTGGCTTCCTTGCGAGCTTGCTTTTTGTTCTTCTTTTTTTCCTCATCTTTGCTCTTCTTGTCTGCCTCTTCCTTCTCCTTCATCTTCTTTTCTTCCTCCTTGCGCTTGTCCTCGGCCTCCCTGAGCTCCTTCTCTTTCTTCTCCTTACGCGTATCGACAACCCACTGCTCGGCACCAGCGATGGCAGCGTCGGGGATGCGTTTGTGCCGGAGGAGGAAGCCCTGGATCTCGGCCGGGCTGAACTCATGAGACGGGATCTTGGCGGCGAAGTCCTCGGCGAACTTGTTGACCCGCTCTGTGATCTCGTCGCGTTTCTTGGTTTCCGTCGCGGCCAGCTCTTTGATTGCCTCGGCGTCGGCAAAGTCCTTGGCCTCGGGCGACGGTGGTTCGTCAGCTTCGTGAGGAGCAAAGATGGCCCTGAAGATGGACGCAATCATGCCCTCGTCGGCACGGTCAAACTTGACAATCATGTCGACACGCCCCGGCCGGATGAGAGCCTTGTCGAGCTTCTCCAGGTGGTTGGTCGTCATGATCAAGACACGGCCTTCCTGACTGGCGACACCGTCCAGGATGTTGAGCAGACCGGACAGGGAGAGCCTCCCCAGGATGTCCGGCTTGGAAGGCTCCTGTCCACCTGAGGGCTTGTCATCGTCTTCATCGTCCGGTTCGAAATGCTCTCGAGTGTGCGTCAGTCCAGCGGTGTCAATGTCTTCGAGCAGGACAACGCAGCGGCGAGGGAGCTCGGCGAACAGGGAGGCGAGGCTCTCTTCGTTGGAGTTGATGGAGTTCAGGCTGACGATGTAGATCCTCATCTTGAAGAAGCCAGCCAGAGCCAGACTCAACGAAGATTTACCAGTACCAGGCGGGCCATGGAGCAGATACCCACGGCGGTAAGGGATACCGCGGTTTGAATACCACCGCCTGGTGGCCGGGTCGAGATAGTCGGTGACATCATCGATGAGGTCCTTCTTCACCTGCTCGTTCAGAATGACTGTCGAGAATGGTCGACTGGCCCGAGCCATGCAGCGCTGCCAGGTCGGCTCCGAGCTGCCCACCCTGCTCGCACCCCGGTAAATCAGAGTCTTCTTTTCGTCTCGCTTCATATAGATGGTGCGAGCCTCGAGAAGAAGCTCCTTCAGTACACTGGGGTTGCGCCCAAAACAAGACAGCGAGATCTCCTCGCGCTCGCTGGCAAGCAGGTTGCCGTTTTGCTCGCGGTTCTGGGTGCGGCGGAAGATCAGAAGCCGACCCTTGTACCAGAAGTAGTGGCTCCCGAAGGTAGGGGTGTAGGAGAGTGCCTTCTTCTTGTCCTTCCTCTCCTCGTGGGTCACTTCGTCGCCATCGCCCTCCTCGTCCTCCTCGTCGTCATCATAACGACAGAGAAACCAGGACCGGGAGTTGATGTTGGTGTTAACTACGAAGCGCCGCGCGCTTCGGGCAAACTTCTGAGAAGCCACCCAGCCCATGAGCATATTGTAGATCTCATCGTCGCACCTAATGTCGACCGTGGACATGAAATGCGACTCGAGCTCATTGCGGAAGGTCTCGCTGAGGTATCGCCAAGCAAAGGTAAGACCGCCCATGAGAAGTACAAGGGGGATGTAGATGTTGAGGTCGATGTGGAAATATCGCTGGAGAGGCTCCGACAGGACTGAAAGCCCGGGAAAAAGGAAGTCCAGGAGCTGTATCTGGGGAGGGCGTACGGGCCCTGTCACGGGCGTGCCGGTGCCTCCTGGAGGGAAACACGATGACTCCATCGTCGCCACGTCGTGAGCACGGGTCTTGGTATATGCAGTCCGAGATACCAGTGGGACACCGGTTGGAAGGAAGCTTGCGTGCAGCACGAGGCACTTCACCGTTCTCCTCTACGGAGGGGTTTGATGAACTTAAAGTTTTGGTGACGACAAAATGGAATATCGTCGTTATGGAATGGAAGAATGACTGAAGGAGAAGCAAACCTTACCTTATATATACCAATGCCTTATAGACATCTCACAAGGCAGCAATGCACAAGCGGCAAGGACAAACCAAACCAAGCCAAACCGAGCCAGGCTCGAAAGTGCTTTACGATCAACATCCAGGCACCCACGGCACCCAAGGGCCCGATAACCACACCCGCGGTAAGGTCGCACAGCGTAAGGGGAATCGATGATATTCGTATCGGCAGTGCCGCTCAGAGAATTAGTCACTCCGTGAAAGTCAAAACCCACCCGTGCTGCGGAGGAGGCCGCCACAGAAGCGCCGGCCTAACAAGCCCGCAGGCATCAGCATCCACCTCCCCACCACCAGCGAGACCCCTCCAGACCAATTCCTTCATCCTTGCCCTTCTGGGTGGCCGGCTTTACTCCGTACAAATGTCGAATAAAATGTGCAGCCACATTGCATCGGGCCTTCGAGGCTCAGCCTGCGGCTGGGTCCGGGTCGCATAGATCATTCGCTGTGTGTCGAGGCTCCAACTTGATGCACTGATGAGCCAACGGCCCGAAACAATCTGGTGAGGCCTCACCCCACACCGGCACTTTGAACAGCTGCATAGTTGATGAGCAGGAGACCAAGACAAACACCCAGGATGGTGACAAACAGTCTTCATTTGCTCCCAAGGCTTCCGGAGGCACTGTCAATGCCAAACTTGCTCCTCATCGAATCATTGGAGGCCATAGCGGTGCGTCATTAGTTGACTAGTATCAGCAGGCCTTACAGGCCTAATGTCAACGGCGAGCAGAATAGGGAATGGTCAGTGCCGGGTCGGAGCGGACCATGGATTCTTTAACTGGGGGAACCATCAGCTCAGCCACTTTTACGATATGTCACCACTGCGGCCGGGAAGGGTGTGGCCGATGACTCTTTCAAGTGATATCACCTTCTCTGTAGACCACCAACACATACCGATGCTTCGTCCTTTCGATCGCCCGTTGGATTGGGTATGTGTCGGATCTGCATCTCGTCGTCTGGCTTCGACAATGTGCATCATAAGCGTGAACAAACCTGAGAATTGGCTCGATCAAGTCATGATAACAAAAACCTAGTCTTCTGGGATGGAGAGCATTGCACAAGACAACATGTCCAAAGTCTAAAAGCACTCAGATAGAACATTCAATTCTCATGATTGCTACGTCGTTATAATCATCATCATACCGAATTTTTTTGAATCTCGCTTCGGCCCGCAAACGAGAACATTAACAATGGCTGGCCTCAGCTTTGCACAGGTGGTAGAGGCATGCTTGTTGTACACGAACAAGGTGAAAACGCAAGAAAAACAGACCAAAAACCACGAAAACTCATACCAAGAGCAAAAGAAGCCGCGCGCCCCGTGTTGCTCCATCCAAAAAGGAAAACGCCTTGATGATCATTATCAACCATATATCCAAATACAAGACATGAGACGGAATTTTGTCGCAAACCCCCAGAGAAAGAAAAGGCTGAAAGGGCCTGGATATTCGAGGCCATGGACGTAAGCCCTTTTTCTTATTTATTTGATGACAAAAAAGTCCGGGGTGCCACCAGCCTCTTGTGGTGGGGGAGGAGGAGGCGGAGGAGGCATACCGCCAAAGCCGGGATGCATCTGGGGTCCGAAGCCCGGAGGTGGTCCCTGTGGGGGGAATTGGTGGTGGCCGGGGAAATGCTGTGGAGGCGGCATGAATTGCGGGACCTCATTGTCGTAGTCGGGCTCGCTCTCCCCGTCCGAGTCTGAGCTGCTGTACATGGAAGCCTCCTCGTCCGGATCCCGCCTGCTCCTGGGCTTGGAGAAGGACTCCCGGGATGAGGAGCGATGCCTGCGGTGCTTGCTCTTGCTCTTCCTGGACTTGCTGCTGTACTGGGACTCGTTGTCCTCGTACTCAAAGGCCTCATAGTAGGCGTAGCCGGCGTAGTCCACAAAGTACCAGGCAATCTTCTTGTGCCCGGTGCTGTCTTCCATCTCGTCCTTCCTGAGATGGCTGTGACGCATAGGGTTGCCTCCAGCAAGGTAGATGAGCGCCTTGTTGGCGAGGCTCTTCCTCTTGCCGGGCATGTGGCAGTTGGTCGACGCGGTCACATTGGACCGCAGCGAAGACCTGCCCGAGTAGACCGATGCAGTATCAGACTTGCCCATGGTGGCGGTTGATGTGGAGTATGGAATTACAATAGAGAAAGACAATAGGGGGAAGATGGAGTGGTCGACGGTGAGAGCAGGGCGGACTGGACGATCCGCAGCAAGCCGACACCGAGTATGTCAACACTGACGGGGATGGCCTTGCGGGATCAGACTCAAGAGCCTGGACCTCGGTGAGGTTGAGGCTGGAGAGTATGTGGGTGAGAGTGGTGAAGGTGGCGAGAGTCTGTCAAGAAGGGTGAGAAGGATGAAGAGAAAGACAGGATCAGGGAGCTTAGTAGAGCAGCATGGGGCGTTGCCGGACTATATGTGTTTGAGGCGAGATCATCTCTAGACTTGCCCTAGCAGGGCAAAAGGCGACCTTGCCGAGACTCACCATCTGCCTCCTCGTGCCGCTGCAGGTGGGCAACAACAACGAGTGACGAGGCAAGTGAGGCTACCGGGGCACATGTCATAAATTGTCTTGTACCCCCCAGAGGCAGCAGCAAGCAGGAAGAAGCAAATAAACCTAACAACCAAGAAGGATCAACAAGTCCCTCCCACCCTCCTCCGTACGTACAAGTAGGCACGCACCCTAGCACAGACACCATGTCCCGGGGGAGATCCGGAGCAGGGGAGGCTCTTTCTACAGGGTGGGGAGGAAAAGCCCTTGGAAGCTGAATGGATTGGCCGAGCGAAACGCTCATCGTTGCAGAGGCGTGCAGGTGCTGGGCGCACGCGGGCGCACGCGGGCGCACCTCAAGCCGGCCTACCAGGTGCTCATGCAGGCCACCATCATCTCTCTGAACCTGTCACACACTTGGGAAGCCACTCGCCCTGTTCGAAGGGCTGGCTATGCTGATCGCTGCAACTGGCCACATCTTTTGGACGCGCCCGAGCAGGCCAGGTAGCTGGCTTGGCGGCTCGACCTGTCTCTGTCGTGGGATCTTGTTGGAGAGATCTCGGTGAGGAAGGCGACAATTTGGCCCATCCGTACATGCCCAAGGTCGTCAGGTCCGGCCAGCGAAGGACACGAGATGGTTGGGTTGAACAGTGACAAAGGAGGCTTGGATTTGTCTCGGCTAACGACTGTGCTCTGCTCAGGCACTCAATCAAGTACGAGAGAGTGTGTCTCTACCGAGTACCACAGCGGCCCATCGTCGAACGCCGCGGCCCATGACCAATGCTGAATGCCGGCCAAGTCACGAAGCTTACGCCCGGAGAGGCGTTCAAGACAAAACCTGCGCGAAGGATATCCAATGGTATGACGATGACACCCCGCTAGAAAACGGGGCTGTAGTGCAGACCGAGTGTCGAATGAGACGCAGGCAAGACCATGCGAGACTGCAGGGGATCTGTCGAAAGGAGGGGCAGCAAGCCCCGCGAGTGTGACGACAACGCAGATCCAATGGTTTTTCTTTTTCTCCTTGCCCTCTCCTGTTCTCGGACTTCATGCAGCCGTTGGCATCATCGTGAGGCATGGTCTCGCAAAGCTGGGAAGGGTGGCTGCAGGGCTAGCATCTGCAGTCACGCCAGGTTTGGTTGGATAGGAAAAAAGGAAAGAGGAAGTGATTTGCGGGCGGCGTCAAGATCAGACCAGATGATGGTGACGATGTCCGAGCTTCTGTCGGTGAGACTCTAGCTCATGCCGGCGACCGAAGAAGGACGAGAAACACGGCTCGGCGGTGTTTTGAGTTGTCTGAGCAGTCCCATCGTTCATGACTTGCATCAACAGTGGGTTGCCTCCAGGACGACAGAGCTGCTTGAGGACCAGTCCCTTCGTCTTGGTAACGCATCCTGTCCATGTAGGCATTCTGAAGACGTAGGTCGGAGAGAATCCTGCATACAAACCTGGTCCTGGAGGTTCGATAATAGACACATGCGGGTTCGAGTAGCTCGACTGCCGAATGGGTTACGACGAAGGATTGGCTGGAATTATTCCGCGATTTTAAGATATGCAGGTGAAAGACCAAGGTCATCTACGAGTGCTGTTGTGCTCCCTCGCCATGATGCTTCGTGAAACCCGTGTCGTGGCGTCTGTCTTAAAACCCTCATTCCGAAAACGAGTTGAGCAAGCTGCATTGGAAAACTCTACATTGCATTGCAGGCCACGTCTTACCCAACGTTACTCAGCGTAGCCTGGACATAGACCAGCCTCTGGAGACTGAATCATTTCCCAGGGTCTCACGACATTCGCTTCCTGTTTCCCAAGACGAACGCCCATAATGCACGCCGTGAGACATACCACTGCATGTGTAGCGATTCACAAAACGGTAGTTTCTTCTGTCCCTGCCCGGATAGATTGTCATGTAACAGGGCATTGTTTGAGAGATTGCCTAGATATATATGACTGACAGGACCCTGTCGTGAACGAGTTGAACCGAGATGATCAACCTCAACTCCGCAACCTTTGGCATCAGCGCAGTGTATTCCACGGTCGTACTAACCATACGTCTACTCAACGACTTCAGTGCACAAATCACCTTGCAGCGGCTGCAACGGGACCAGTATAGTGGTGTGCAGTCGTGCTGATACTTTTGTTGTCGACGCAAAAACCAGGGGTTGTTCAATCTCTGAGAACATTGCAGCCCTCTGTGGGACAAGATGAGGCCGAGGGGGTAGGAGCGGTATGCCCAACCGCACAAACCTATCCGGGGCGATCAAAGGATAGTAGCATTGGGATAGTTACCCCAGATCTGAACGCGATGTGTGCAAGGGTGATTGTCACGGTACGAGCCGAACGTTTGAGGGTACTTATCCGAGCGCATCCAATAATGTTCTCTCTGGAAGGATGTCGCCCTGAAAAAGGCAGTCGGCCTTGCATCACCAACAAGCAAGGAGCGTGACTTGGAGTCCTGAGGATCTCGCCATGCGAGTGACCTTTGACGTGCTCCGGTGCGAAGAGCTTATTGGAGAAACTGCAAGATGTTGCCATTGGGATAAAGGGGGCTGTCTGCCACAGGCTCCAAGCCAGGACCCCCGAACCCCACGGTGAGGAGGCGGGATCAAGACGTCCGACGTCAAGCACCAGAGGCTCATAACTATAGATGAGATGAGAGCGTGTCAGATGAAGTTGAGGGGAAGCAGTGACTGGTAATGAGCAAGATTGTTGAATATCGACATAGAGGTCGTGGTCCACTAAATCAATCAATACCTCCTAGTCTTCAGGACACCAAAAGGTGGCTTTTTCGTACCGAAGTGGCACCTACCAGGATTCTATCAAATGAGATGCTGCGAAATGCTCAGAGTGGCAAAATAATAACTTCAAAGTACAGGAGTTTCTCAGCCCTGTTGATGGTCTATTCAATGATCTAGGTTTATCACCAATGAGGCCTACAGTCGCTGGGGTTAGCCAGGGATTTATCAGGGCTTGGTCAGGGTTAGGTGATCGGTGTTGATCCTTTTGTAGATACCTGTATTTTGAAAGGTACGAAAAAGCCGCCTTTTGGCAGTTAAGGGGATATGCAACACGCATGGCCCCCCGCCCCCCCCCGGCCATCTGTGCCCGTATCTGCAAGTATTTCTTTTGCAAAGTCTATGAACGTGCTGTTCCTCCGGCAAACGACATCGACCTGATGGCACAGACTGTAGTGGCCCACTGTTATGCCTGCAAGACGGCGGACTGCTGTAACCTTCATCCACCATGCCATCCCGAACTCTAGCACATCGGCGCGCCTACACTCCCTTGACTCCCACTCGAGACACTTGGAGACCCTGTCGTCCTGTCAGACCGAAGGAAGGCCACTCTTCTCATCCCGCACACACGCCTGCCGTAGTTCCCACCGCCGCTCGATCTGTCCCAGCAGGCCGTCGTGTGCACCACGCGGTTCCTCTTGCCCGCCAGTCACGGTTCATCCTAGTCGTTCGCATCCAGGTCGTCGTGTCTTCTCCATACCACGATCGTGGCGATGTCGCCAATCAAGAGTGCTGCCAAGCGCTGCTTCTTAAGCGCTTCTCGAATGCATCTCCTAATTCGGGGTTGGCCGTCGTCTCATAGCTAGCATCAAGGGAACCAATACCAGCCCTGTCCAGAAGCTACCAGCATGCGATTGGGATTGGTCTGCTCAGCTATAATCATAGCACCAATCCATTGAGAAATCAAGCCGGTCTAGTCAGCGGCGCGGCGATCATACTGAACTGGCCTCCGGTGCCAGCCCAAGTCAGCCTCCTTCCCGAGACTGCTTTGCCGATGATCTCCTTGGCCTCGTCTAAGGATTCGATTTCACCAAGCCCAAGCTGGCCCTGAGGCCCAAAACCAGCGCTAAAGGCCGTGCCCTCTGCATTGACAAAGATCGTGTTCTCTGTGCCGCAGCTGACAAAGGCAGCATACCCGATATCAGGGACCAAAGTTGGACGGAGGCAGATCCGAGGACGACCATTTTCGTCTCGGCGTATCAAGGTTGGATCGTCGAATTGTTGATCGCTGAACTTGACCCCAAGTTGTCCAGCATCCAGGCGTCCCCAAACGAGAAACTCGCCCTTGACCGTGATAGCTACAGAATGGTGCGCACCGCCATCTATGGCTGCGATGCGCCTTCCGTGAAGGCTGCTGGCCTTCATGGGGTGAGGAAGGATACTGGGACCACCATCTTCTGCCAGCAGCTCCTTGCAACCGCTCTGGCCGTAACTGTTCAAGCCCCACTTTGATTAAAACAAGGAGAGTCAGCCGTGCTCGCATGATGAAATGGATGGGCAGGAAAGGAAGAGATGATATAAGAAGAGAGAAGACTCAGGTTCACTTACCGACCAGACCACGCCTCGGGTGTCAACTGCAAAGGAATGATAAGGGCCTGACGCGATATATCGAGCACCTCTGGGGCAAGCCTCAACGCGACGAGGTACCAAGGGGTCCTTCCTGTGGCGCCCGAAGCCGGACCGTTCTGCTCGTCCCAGCTGCTTCTGCTCGTCGACCCCCCAAGCCCAGACACCTCCGCGTTTGTCGAGAGCGATGGCATGGTTGGCTCCGCATTTGATCTGTCGTACGTCCTTAAGGCCCGGAACGAGAACGGGGACAGGCTGGATTTCGATTATCTTCCTTGTCTCATCGTCGGTGTAACCAAAGCTCTTATCGCCTCTGGGGTTCACAAAAGTACCCCATCCGTATACAAGTCCTGTGTCGGTGACGACGAAACTGCAGCTGTCCCCGGCAGCGACCTGGACGAAGCGGGTCTTTGGAGGGAAGTGGCCGGACAAGATCTCGGCAGGAGAGGATTCGCGGGGGTTTAAATCGTCGGCTTCTTCCGACTGATCATCGGATTCGTCCGCATCCACGTCGCGGACTCCGCCGTCCCAGCTTGTCTCTCGACCGAGAGCCCCGTTATCATTGACGCCCCAGGATAAAATCTTATTGTCCACGGTCAAGGCGAGAGAGTGCATCCCGCCGCAGTCGAGCTGGACAACATGGAATGCCGTCTTGGCGTCAGGGTCGAGGGAGGAGATAAGTCGGGGACGCCTGACCTCGGTCGCCTTGGGTCCCAAGCCAAGTTCCCCCATCTCATGAGACCCAAAGCCCATGACGGCGAGAATTGGGGCGGGCCTCTGGCTGGACTTAGGAGGTCGCGGAGTATTCTCAGGCCCTGCAGAGCTGACCTTGTTTGATATCTTCGGTCGGCGAGTGGCTGGAGGAGCGGAGTGCCCGTCTGTCCTCGCGCGGGAGGCTCGAGAAGCCTCTCTCTCCTCGTCCCCAATACTATCAGCCTTTCGCTTAACACCACGAGAGGCAGATGCCACCATTGTGACCGTTGTCGCGATGCGACCCGATCCCACGCTCGGCTCGCCTAGGTACCCGAGTTAGCAACAATTAAAAAATAAAAAATAAAATAAAAAGGGTGCCCCAATGTGCTCCTCTGTTCTTGGCTAAAGAATGATCGACGCCCATGGACGACTTTACCTTTGCGACCGTTTCTCTTGCGAGGTTTCTGAGCCCGGGCCATGACCAAGGCTTTGGTGTTGAAGTCCGGTACAAGTGTTTACCGTATGCAGTGGTTCTTTGTTGAATTTCTTGAGATTTTGTGGTGATGCAGCTTCTGTATTCTTTGAGTGATGGCTTTATCCCCTTCTTATCTTATAATAACCAGAAAATGATTAAGATTGCACTCTGCTTTGTTCGATTCTTTGTGTTAGGTCTGAATGGTTGACGGATTGGTCCTCATTCACCTAAGTAAACATGACAGGCTAGGTGGGACTGGAGTGATGTGATGTTAGGTACCTATGTAGGTGGGTGAGTAAGACAGAGCCCCACAAGTTGGACCACCCCCCCCCCCCGGGCCACCTTTTCCCACCAAAATCAGCAATTTTTGAGTGATACTATCTAAATATAGAAAAATACTATAAATAAAAATAAAGTATTTTTATATAGCCCTTTTATAAGGCTTTTAAATAAAAATATAGAATAGAGTATATCTATTAATAGAAGTCTAGTATAGTTAAAGAAAAAGTCCTTAACAGTTTTACTAAGAAACTATATATAAATTAGTTAAGGATTTAATTTTAAATAAGCTTATTAAGAAAAGTTATTAAAAATATTTTAAAAAATCTTTTTATCTTATTATAATAGTTATTATAGAATAAAAGTTTTAAATTATATATAATTAATTAATTAAAGCTTTATATTTAATTTTTCTTTTATATTTATTAATAAATTATAACTTTTTAAAAATCTTATTAATATAAAGTAGATATAAATAATTTAATAATTAATTTTATAAATAACTTATATAATTAGATAAAAAGATTTTTAAAAAGATTTTTATTATTTTTTCTTAATATAATATTTTAAAGAAAGACTCTTAACACTTTTATATATAATTTCCTAGTAAAACTGTTAAGAATAAAAATCACTTTTATCTTAGAGACTTTAGCCTCTATATAATAATTATATTTCTTTTATTAGTTCTCTTAGAAAGTATAAAGAATATGCTATTTAATGATATTATTTTTAAGTTAGTAGTATTTTTCTATAATTAGATAATAACTTCTGAATAATGACGTTTTTGGTGGTCCAGAGGTGGCCCGGGGGGGGGGGTGGTCCAACTTGTGGGGCTCTGTCTTACCGTCAACCATTCTTGATCCCCCTTGACCATGCATGTAGCCTTCACGGTAGAGGCCTTAGTTCACTAATAGCAGCCCGTTCAGGATCCTCTCGCTAGGCACCAAAAAACCCCTACGTCCCAATAACGACCAGATATATCACTGTTAGTGCACAATCCAGTGAATGAGGGTGGCACGGATCCCATTTTACAAACGCGCGAGCCCTGTGAGCAGTGAGGGCTAACACAACTCTCTGTACCTCGAGGCTGCGTTGCAGGCAGTCCCTCTAGTTGTTTCTTTTCAATAGTGCCATGGATTTAGCTGATATCTTGCGTGACCAAAACTGAAGCCACGGATTCAGGTACCGTGAGTCCTAATTTCAAACCATCTACCACCAAAGGCGACCACTTTGAGCCTTTCAACCACGTATTCAAGCCGGCCTATCTACCAAAGGCCCTACCGGGGTCGTTTGAAGCTATTTACATTGTGCCTCTTGGCAAGGCCCTGCGACAGCCTGCGGTGGGCAAGATCAGAAAGGAGAGGATGGGTTCGAGGTCTCGGGGAACGTGTAGAACTGATCCGTTCGGACGAGTTGACTCACCGGCCACTGGAGTGCATCTGAACCATGGTTGAGAGGTCAAAAAGTCCGGGACTGATTCCGGGCCTCGGACCCACATCGGAGACGGGTAATCAGCAACAGTCGGCTTGAGGGCATTGCGATCGGGGGAGTGGTTGATCAATCCACGAAGACAATTGGGTCCTTATCACTGGGAACCGTCATAGTGTCTCTTTGCCGGCATATTTAATCGCTCCTCGATGCTGTCGGAGTCCGGCTGTCCACTCTCATATATCTCAAGCACAAACTCTGCTATGCTAGGAAACTTCCCCTGCATTCCTGCCCTGTCCCAAGAGTTGACCACAAACTCGGGCATCTTAGGAAGCGTACTACGTACGAGGCGGTTACATAGCTTTGCGTACTTAAAGGGAAGACGACTGTAGGCAACACAAACACACGGTTTCGTTTTCCACCTTTGGCTGAGCTTATGCCATTTCTCGAGCTCCGGCACATTATCGGGTTTCTCGGGAGAATAGACCAGTATCACGCCTTTGCACTCCTTAACGGCCTCATGTTGTGTGCTTTCGTATGAATTGAGCCCGCTCACGTCGAGAGACTTGGAGGCACCTGCTTCCATGGTCAATAGGCTCAAACATATGGACGAATGTGCGATGCAGTAGATATTGCGATGTTCATATGAACAGTGGGTGGTCTCGCTTGATTCGGCAACGTGCCGCCAGTGCATAGCGGCAACTATTATTGAATCAACCTTGATGGTCGAAGGTCCTTCAGGCACGCCACTTGAGACGCTAGGACCGAGTGATTCACCTGCTGGTGATACCTAGGTAGGTGGGCGCATTGCCTCCCATTGTGAAAGGAGGAGGTCGCTACCTCATGGCTGGCGTGGCCAGCAGAGGTTGCAACTGTTGGTGTGGCTGCCAACCTACAGATCGACTTTTCTCGGGAAGTGTAGCTGAGCAGAGCAGAAGAAGCAATGGGTTTCAACATTCATCCTCGAAGGTCGAGCATGCAGTTGGTTGTTCTTACTCAGTCCAGTGGCACGGACCTCTGGCGCGCAACGGTGGCCAGGACCAAGCTAGAGAGGATGGCGGATCCCTGGACAGGATCGCCAGTGAACTGTCACCAATGTGGTTTACCGCATATTAGGGGGAAAATAAGCAGCGCAGGGCATGGAGTCGGTGCTGATTCCTGAAGCATGCCTACACACGTGCGCGCGCACAATACCGGAGAGGTAATTCCAGGCCATACATCATCCACCAGTCACTCAGTTAGGCGAGCAGCCAGTCAATCCAACAGCCCGGTCTGTCGAGAGAGACAGACGAGCACCCTAGGGTATCTCGTCGTCGCCCAGTTTGACGAAAACAGAGAGACGAGACGGACAGCAGCAACAGCAACAGACAGAAGGATGGAAAACGGGTGTTAATAAATGAACGACGCAGGTAGATGAGAGGCACAATTCAAACACAGTGTGCCGTAGAGTGGCAGGAGAAACAGCAACAGGGTTCAGGTGACACTGCTCCATCGAGCTTAATCAATCTGACCATTTTTGCCGGGCTTCCAAGGTTCTTGTGTGTCTCGCAAGTGCGCGACGAGTCCCATCTCGGCCACTGCGAGCCACTGCGAGCCAGTGCCCAGCCCGGCATCAATCACCAATCTTGCAAGGTTGCTTTTTGCCAGGTTCTCGTCCCCACCTATTTTGGGAAAAAGGCCGGACAGCCATTCTTAGTCAAGCGGCGATCCACTCGAGGCCCGCCCCCCGGACTGGCCAATCGGGCGGGCTGCTCGCCCCTCTGGGCCAGCCTCCGAAACTCCAAAGCTGGGTCTAGTTCCTGAATTGGTTTCTAATGTGGGTTACATGCGCGAGATGGGCCATGGCAAGTGCGCTTTCTCGCTGGTCTCTCGCCGGTCCCTCGATGTCCAGCACCCACATTTTCGCCGTTCGTTCTCTCACCCACACCCAACACCCACACACACACACACCACGCTCTCGCACGCTCTCATGCTCTCATGCTCTCACGCTCTCTGTTCTGGTCTCTGTCACGTCCGTCTCTTGGCTCCGTCTCCGTCCGTGTCCTGTGCACCACCACACACTGGCGGCCCTCTTTTTCTTGCTTTTTTGCCTATGTCCGGCGGGGATCAACTGACATCCATTGGGCCAAATTTCGATGCTAGCAGGGAGGTGTGATCGCCAACGCTCTCCTCCCTTTCGAAACCTGCACTCTCCGCCTCCGCTGCTGACCTGTCCGCATTTCACTCAACACCAATACCAACACCAACACCACCATCACCATCACAGTCGCGCGATAAACATCAGCAGAACCATGCGCCGCAGCTGAAAACCCAATCCTATCGACGCGTGCAGGAAACGCTGGACAAGACACAGGCGATTCTCATCGACCCAAAGCCGATGACCCTCGGCGCTCAGCGTCGCCCGTCGACGGACTGAGGCTGCTGCTTCCAGACTGTCCGACAGGTCGAATCACACTCGTCACACATACAGAAATCCATCCCGTCACGCATTGCCGGCAATGGATCCGACAAACAACAAGGCGTCGGATTTTGAAAGGAGGGCGTCGAGGAGGGTATCAGCACGATTGTCCTTGAGTGCAGGCGACCATCGATTTGCCGAAGAGGAGGAAAATGATGCGGTTCTCGGTTTGGGTATCGCGGATGGATTCCGGCCGGTCTCGATCGACCGCCACCAAACGCCGACTCCTGAGCGGGCTTCCACTTCATCGGGATCATCGGGATCGGGATCTGGTGAGCCCTCGACGCCTCCGCGGTCCCTTACATCCATTCGGCCTTCCAGCATAGCCAAACCTCCACAACATCAGGACCCTTTCGCTCTGCGTCACGACGGAGGCATGGGTCAGGTCCAGGAAACGCCTTTGTCACGTCATTCCAGCACCACTACTTCAACAGATGCGACGATTGTACGGGAAGAGAGCCCCTATGAAGGCCCCTCGGGGCCTTCCTTCCCCTATCAGATGTACCCTCAAAATGTCCGGGTTGCGAGGACCTTGAGCGTCACCACGGCTTCGACTGCTGTGCAATCCGAGTCATCCTATCAGGGCCCTCGAGGTCCCAGTCACCCGTATGGGATCTACCACCAGAACACCATCACCCCACCGAGCGCACCACCGCCCACAAACATTCCGGTTGGGTTTCCGGGCATGAGAGACAATTATCAACGTCGTCTTGGCCCTGATGGGGAGGATGCAGCTGACCTCATTGGACCTGACGGACATACGGAACAGCTTCCGCCTTACACACGATACCCAGATGAAGCTTATACCAGGAAAGCAGGAGCTGCCGCGGACGTCCCCCCAGCTCCCGCTACAGTCCTCCCAATCCCTGGTGCTGGCGGCATCGGTCTCGCCGCAAGGAACCCCGAGTTCGATGAGCTTGATACACCGCGGTCTCGCCTTTCCTCCCGGAGTTTTACATCTGATATCAGCCATCACGAGATCAATACCGCGGCCGACGTTGTAAATGAGAAGCGGAGCTCGCGCCGGAGCTACCAGCAGTATGCCAAACGGAGGATCGGGGGGATTGTGCCATGCTGGGCCGTGTGCCTAGTTGTATCTGGACTTGTCTTGATGGGTATCATCCTCGGTGCTGTCGTTGGCTCTTTCCTTGTCAAACACAACAACAACAACACGGTGAATAGGCCACCACCACCGGCTCGTCTGTAAGTTTTCATCTTGAATTGCTTAGCCTGGACCGCTCAGGTGAGCTAAATTTCGATACTGATTGACAGCAGAACTCCGAATCCGGTCGTAACGTCTGTCACAATCACGGTGGACGCAACACCCATACCGACACCGAGTGACATACCCCCTCTACCACTTGGAACATACGTCCTACCTCTCATCACAAACAAGACTCCTAATTCCTGCTTCAAGGATCCGTCCCAATCGCAGGCATGGAGTTGCAACATTGCTTTACCTTTCTCATCACCATTGACGATCACCATTGACCCTTCACCTCCCTCCAGTAACTCACAATACATTATGAGCATATCCGCCAACGAGTCTAATCTTATCAGTAATGGCCTTCTTCCCTACGGCACCCAGCCACCGTTGATCCGGGAGCGAGTACATCTGGAACTGGTAAACGACACCATGGAACCATCCCGCGGACCGGCATGGTTCGAGCTCATCCACTACAACAAGACGGTAGTCATGAAGGAGTCGTTCCTGGGCCCTCTCGCCTCCTCGACCAGTCCCTCATCATCCGCCGCGACTGCGCATTCAGAACGTCGGCGCTTCAAAACGCCTTCGTTTGAAGATTTCCATAGGAAAAGCGTCGCACAGCCTGGGGAGAAGCCGTGGGTGTGTACCTGGCCAGACACGGTGCTCGAGGTTTTCATATTCCCAAACCAGAATACTAGTCTGTCGAGACTCGATCTCGGTTCGTCCTCATCCACTACATCAACCACCGCGCCTGGAGGATATCCTACTGCCAAACCAGATGGGTACTATTCGGCCAAGGGGTTTCCGGCTCCGGGCGCGGCTCCAACCCCAACGACACCCGCCGATGCGGCAGTGACAACGCCTCCATCGCCCCCCGCTCCACCATATCCTCGTTTTGTGAAGGTGGAGGAGCGCCATATGGACTACGCACCCCAAGCTGAGTGTGTCCAATTCGAGGTGCCAGCCGACGGAAGTCGTCCACGCCCATACAAGAACCCAGCCACGGGCAAAATCGTCAAGATCGAAATCGAGGACACGTACGAGAGGCATGATATTGCACTGCATCGCCTCGCACCCGGTGCCATCTCCAATAATCTTGTTGGACGGGACAGTGTGCAGCTCAGCGACTGCGGTTGCTTGTGGTATGTCACCTGAAGAGAGCAAGGAGCAGCTATATCGCAACGAGCGTTGTAGTATTACGCGGTTACCCGCATGACATTTTCATTTTTGGATTTCAGCATTGTACATGAGCATGGGCGTTCTTTTTGAAAAATGGGAAATTTTGGCGTTTGATATCCGAACAGTGCATCGGCATGCGCTGTAACGAACAAATGGGTTTGGAGTTGATGAGCACTGCATACTGCTAGACCAACCTTCTCTTTGTGTTTGGGGTGTATCTCGCAACGGCCTCCATATAGGAAATAGCTGCTTTTTGAAACTGGAGGACACTTGCCAGGATGATATATGGCCGTGGCTATCCTGATTACGTAGCGACATGGAGATGGACATAGGTAGTGACAAAAGACATGGTCAACTTGAAAGACAGGCTTGGTATTTCCTCGTGATGTTCCAGGTGCTGGTGAAGCTCAGTCAATGTCTTGCCTAGACTGCCAATATAACAGCGCTTCTCAATAAGGGAGGGGTATCAATTCGTCAGGTCTCATTATCCTTGCGTGTTAGATCAAAGCTCTGCACCATGCTTGCGTTTGTTGCCTTCGTCCTCTTTCCTAGGGGTCAACAGATCCTCTCGGAGTCCGTCTAGGAAACTGTCCGCCATCTGCTTGGCCCGCCGTTCGCCCTTCTCCTTTCTCCTAGCCTCAATCTCTCGTCGTCGCGCCTCGATCTCGGCCCGCCTTGCCTCGAGCTTCTCCTCCCTCTCCTTGCGCACCTGCTCTGTCCGCGCCCGCTCCTCGGCCAGGTTCTTCATCTCCTGCTGCCGCCGCTCCTCGTCCTTGCTGAAGGCGTAGAACCCGACGCCCTTGGTCCGTATCTCCTTGTCGGCCTCGTAGTGCGTCGCGGGGGGCGGCGTCGCGCTCCGGTCGCGCTTGGCCGCCAGCTCCTCCATCTTCGCGGCGTCGGCCGTCTCGAAGGCGCCCGTCTGCACGGCGTCGCCGAAGATGAGGGCCTCGGGCGCGCGGGGCCGCGCGCTCATGCGCTCCAGGTCGGCGAGGGACTGCTCCCCGCGCTGCAGGCGGCGCTCCATGCGCAGCTTGTCCGCCGCCGTGCCCGTGCGCACCCGCCCGAACTCGTCCGTGTACTCGATGATCTCGCGGTCGTTGTTGTCCTCGTCCTCGTCCTCGTCGTCGGAGCCCGAGGAGCTCGAGACGAGGCCGCCGTCGTCGTCGCCGTCCTTGTTACCGCCGGGGTGCCGCTCGGCCCACTTGCGGTCGAAGTCGACGAGGGGCGCGGCCTCGCCCTCGCGCGAGGGGACGTAGTCGCCGCGCTTCATGGCGGCGTAGAGCCGCGCCTTCTCCTCCATCTTGCGCCGGGCGCGCGCGCGCTCGGCCTTGTCGTCCTCGGTGCCGACCGGGCTGCGGAGGCGGATGCGGCGCGGGTCCCGGCGGCTCGCATCTGCGTCTGCGTCTGCGTCTGCGTTGTCGTCGGTCGCTGGCGAGGCGCGGGCGCCGGCTCGGCGCTTGATCTTGATGTCGCTGAAGATGTCCTTGGACTTGGACGGGCGGGCGCGCCCGACCGAGGAAGCTGCCGGTGCTGTGGACGTGGCGGAGGAGGAGGACCCGGCGCCGGGCTTGCTCATGAGGGAGGTGAGCTGGGAGGCGAAGTCGAGGGAGCTTGATATTGCCATCTCCTTCTTTTGTTTCTTTGGCGGCCTTTGGCCGTAGAGATGATCGTCCTTTCCCATTGTTGGCAGATCGGTTCGACGGTGTGGTTGAGCCTGGCCTTGGCGAGCTTCTCTGTGTGGCCCGCTCAGGAGCTGTAAAGTGTTCCAGGCATCAAATGTTTCCTTGCTGGAAATCCGAGTGTTCTTGTGATATCACATCGGAGGGTGGAATCTAACATTTGGTACAGACTACCTAGGGAATGGAGTGCTGTAGTCTGTCCCATAATTACGCGTACCAAAGGTGGGAGGGCCTGTAAGGGGCAGGTGCCACCTGTAGGCCTGATGGACATAAAAAGGGCCAAAGTCTTAGCTTGAGTGTCTTCTCCACTACACATCAATTAAGCATCACTACCAGTCTCTCTTTTCAGGCCAAACCAACAGCCTGTTAGGTAACCATGACGCTGAAACATGGGCACCAAACCAGCTGTAGGAAGGAGATCGACAGGGCAGTCGAGGCCCCTGCTCGTCAGCCCCAGGCTGGCTGTGGAGGCGCGAGCCATGCATTCAATTCCTGGGCTGGCGTCAGCTGCATGCAATTAATTTACTTTATCTCGTTATCTTTTCCTCGGCGACACAAGCAAGCATGCCACTCCCTCAGCGCTGTGCTCATATCACCACAAACGGGAGCCTCGGCCATCGTTCCATCCCTGATCTCGTGTTCGCATTCCTTTCTTGAAAAAACAACCTCCCATGTCTCGTCAGATGCTGCATGGCAAACTCCTGCGGATGTCTTTAATATCATGATCCCCCCTTTTCTCGGATGCTTCACAAATAATCAACGCCTCGCTGCTACTTGAAGCTGTCCCGTAAAACACATACGACCTGGCCCAACTCCAGCTGTTTCCGTTGCGCCGCTTTAATGAACCAAACTACACAGAAAGATGGCACTCCCTTCAGTCCATACTAGCTCTTGGATCTCGGATCTGGGTTGGCACAGCCTCTTCCCCGATACATCGATGACTCTGGTTCACGTCATCTCTGGGATCTTTGTGAGCCTCCCGATGCTTCCTTCACGGGTCGAGTGTTACTGATCTGGACTGCAGATTGCTCTCGGGGTCGCGTTCATCCTTCCGCTCGCATCGCTCTTCGTCTTCGATGTATGCTTATGGATATGGCGGTTGTCCTCGCTTGGAGTATATCTTGTGCGCCACCCGAACGAGACGCATGCGCCTGCCAACCGTACAGCCCAGCATGGAAATACAAGCACGACTCTAGAGGCGCCAGATTCCTCGGTCGAACCTTCACTGGCCGAGAAACACCAGTGACACTACGACCCGGAACATGGAACATGATTATTAATTCTATCAAGAATGTATATTTTCAGTCCATGCGCCAAACTTTGCTCGAAACACTTTTGCGATTCTATCCCGTTTTTGGCTGGCATTCTCTCACAGATTGTCATCTATGAGATCTGGGACAAGACCCTCAGAAGGTCTGCGGTGACGCCCATAGCAGTGACCTCGCCACCGGCACCTGCGCCCTGGACAATGAGAGGGCTGTTGCCGTACCGCTTCGTGTAGAAGCTAATGATGTTGTCGCTGCCCTTGAGTGCGGCGATGGGGTGGGACAGGTCAAACTTTTCCAGTCCGACCTTGACTGACTTGGTGGCCATGTCGATGCTGCCGACGAATCGGACAACCTTGCCCTCCCTCTGAGCCTCGGCCTTGACCTGCTCCATCTGCGAGTCGAATTCGGGGAGTCTCTCCAAGAATTCGTCGCCACTTGCAACAGACTCGAGCTCTTTGGGAATCAGGCTCTGGACGGGGAAGGAAGTCGGCGACTCAACTGCCAGACCAGAAAGACGGGCCAGAATAGTCAGCTTCCTTGCCACATCCAAGCCGTTCAGGTCATCTCTGGGATCAGGCTCGGTATATCCCAGCTCCTTGGCCTTCTTGACCTCGGCCGACCATTGGCCGCCGGAGCCGGTGGTAGGAGCGAAGGAGTTGAAGAGGAACGACATGGTGCCGCTGAAGACACCCTCGATCTTGGTTACCTCATCGCCAGTCTCGACAAGATCCTTCAGGGTGCAGATGACGGGCAGCCCGGCACCGACAGAAGATTCGTGATAGACCTTAGCCCCAGAGCTCTGGGCAGCAGCGAAGATATCCTGCCAGAGCTTGTTCGATCCAGAAAAGGCCTTCTTGTTCGGGGTCACAATGCTGATGCCACGGCTCAGGATCAGTGGGTATGCATCGGCAATATCTTGAGAGCTGGTGTTGTCGACAAGCACTACCTTCGAGGGCGCAGCTGCCAGGTAGTTCACAACGTCGGGGAGGGAGGGAGGGGCTGTCGATGAGGCTGAGAGGCTAGAGATGGCATTGTCGATACTGATCTCGGAATAGTCGTTGTTAAAGAGCGCCTTCTTGCTTGTCGAGATGTAGCAGAGGCTGAGCTTTGTCGAAGGCCGTCGCACAGCCAGTTTCGCAAGCTGGCCGAGGAAGCACTTCCCAACGCCTCCAGCGCCTGTATGCCATCATCTGGGTTAGTGAATAATTCAATGGTCTCTGCCGCTGCGGATTGCATTACCAATGATGGCGATAAACACTTGATTCTTGGCGGCCATTGGTTCGGTAGTCGTGCTTGTCAAGATGTCTTCGCTGAGAGCTTCGATTCAAGACCTGATGTAGTGTTCACGAGCAAGACCTGTGACTGTTGTTTATGGTGGGGTTAGAAATGTTCCTGCAAACGGCTTTCCCAGCAATTGAGCCACCGATAGCGGGGCAGATTTGCTGCAATGCGGGTACCTACCGGCTTGCACCAGTGCGTCCAGGGACCAGGCCTTTTGAATTATTTCTGGGTTTGAAAATTTTAGTGGGCCCCGGACTTCTCAGACCTCGAAGAGAATCATCACTGGCATCGAGCTCACACTTTGCAGCCTCATTGGACCTTATAGCTCTGAGCAACTGTACTTCCTCATTCTCCATCTCAAATACTCGGGTTCAACGACGAAGAGGATAATTCTGAGGCATAATAGTTCAGAATGACGGGCGAGCCCAACAAGCGCCAAAAGCGCATGGAATATCGCAACCAGAAACGGGAGGATGGAACCGCCGAGCTTCCCAGAAAGAAGTTCTACAGGCAACGAGCTCATGCGAACCCGTTTTCCGACCATCAGTTGACCTAGTGAGTTGCCCACCGTCAATTTTCTGTCTTCAGGAACACGCGGCTGACACATTAGCAGTCCAACAAGTCCTGACAAGATGGACTGGTCACCATTCTATCCAGCTTATCAGGTTACTTTAGAAGGAGAGGACGCCATGGTATTAAAAGGCACCCAGGACGCACCGTCACCGCGTCGGATCTCAAAAGATGTCGAAGTCGCAGACATTGGGTGTGGTTTTGGTGGACTTCTGGTCGCCCTTGCACCGGCGTTACCCGAGTCTCTCATTCTGGGTAAGGCTCCTTGCGTCTTCGTTTGGTCTCATGCCGTCGGCTGTTGACAAGCTATAGGTCTCGAAATAAGGACTCAAGTGACCGAATATGTTCACGAGCGCATTAGGGCTCTGAGATCGCAGGATGCTTCTGGCCAGGCGTACCAGAACATTGCCTGTCTGCGTGCGAACACGATGAAGTTTTTACCCAACTTCTTCCGCAAGGGCCAGCTGAGCAAGATCTTCATCTGCTTCCCTGACCCCCACTTCAAGGCTCGGAAACACAAGGCTCGCATTGTCTCCACGACACTGAATTCCGAGTATGCATACGTGATGAAGCCTGGCGGCATCGTGTACACCATCACAGACGTCAAGGACCTGCATGAGTGGATGGTGTCACATTTCGAGGCACATCCGTCGTTTGAGCGAGTGAGCGAAGAGGACCAGGACAAAGACGAATGCACGAGACTTATGAGATTCGAGACGGAGGAGAGCAAGAAGGTGGAAAGGCATAAAGGCAACAAGTATGTGGCCTTGTTCAGGAGGCTCCAGGACCCGATATAGGCGAAAGGACGAGATACATGACTGGGAGAAACGCAGGGAGGAGTTGGGTGTGTTGTGATTACAGATATGATATCCAGTCTATGCAGCCTGAACACAATGCGTGTCTGTATGGAAATGCCAGAAGGCTGCTTGAAAGAAGATGAGAGCGAAGCAAACCACTCGTCCCCTTGCCATGATTAATCAAGAGAGAATAATTGCTTGTGTCCGGTATTTGCTAGAGGATGAGCTCTTTCCTTGGCTACCTAGATACCTTACTTGGTTTGTTGAGGGTTTGTCTCGGGGACACAAAGGCCCTGAGATTACATGAAGTCGAATAAAGTCGAGTAAAGTCGAGATAGTGAAGTGGTTCCCAAGCTTCTCCTTGAGTACATGCCTGTACAAGTGCAATGATGGCTTTGTTAAGGTTGCCCCACACCCTGCATTGTTGGCAAGCTCTTTGGTGTCATTTGTGTCATAGCACAGCGCAGCCCCCTGTAAGCTTGCCTGCTGTAGATGATAGACGATAAGGAAATTACGTCCTTTCCACAACAGACACACACACACTCAATAATGAAGCGAAGGGAGAGAGCGCCCGCGGAATCCAGAGTATGGCCCTCAAGGGAAGAGATGTGATCTTTGCTGGGATCGCAGGTTTCATCGCTTGGGGTTATGGCACGCACTGGGTGCCAGGTCTGCGCTTCGCAGGATACGCCCTTGTGACAGGTGTTCTGGTAACATTGCTGGCTCTGCTGTCTCTCACGCTGCTCTCCTCCCGCGGCTCGTTCTATCGACAATATCGCAGGTCTGCCTTGCCAGCCAGAGTCGCCTTTCTCGGCCATGATGCCTGGACCAAGGAAGTCGCGGCGCTTCAAGCGCGTCAACAGTACAAGAAACAACCGCTGTATGCCAGCTCACCCCGCGTCTCTCGAGCTCTTGACGACCTCCTCGAACTCATACTCCGCGACTTTGTCCGATCCTGGTACTCGAACATAAGCAAGAACCCGGCATTCACAGATGAGGTGGACCGGGCAATACGGATCGCCTTGGTCAACATTCGCGACCGACTGCTCGAGATCGATCTGGCCGAAGTTCTGACAACACGCCTTGTACCTATCCTGACTGCGCACTTTCGAGACTTCTACGACGCAGAGCGCTCGGTGCGTGGAAGAAAGCTCAACCGATCTGTGACCGAGTCCGAAGAGTTGGACTTGGCCATAGCGTCGAAATACAAAGACGGGAAGCTGCACCCTGCCGCGAGCCTGGCGTACTCTGATCTGAAGATGGTGCAGCAGGACTATCTGCGCCAGACTCTATCAAAGGTATTGCCGCATGTTCTCCCACCCAAGCTTTTAGCGAGCCGGCCTGTAGCTGTCATCGTACGCGAGCTGGTCGCGTGTGCGGTTCTGTTCCCGGTGCTACAGATATTGTCGGAGCCAGATACGTGGAACCAAGTCATGGAGAACTATGGCCGAAGCATGCTACAAGACAGATCGACCGTCAGAAAACTCCGTGCAGCTTTGGACCAGCATGCTCCAGCACCGAAGTCCGGGAAGCCCTCGGCCTTCCCCCGCCTGTCCTCGACTGACAGCGAGAAGAGGTTTGAGAGATTCATTCGGTCCATCCGGAAACTCAACAATCTGTCCGACGCAAGAAGATTTCGCAGTGAGGTGGCCAGTCAGTTGAAGCGCGACTCCCAGCAGCAGGACGTAGATCAGGTATATCTGCGTCGTCTAGAGATGGGAAAGCGCCTCCTGGATCAGAAGGTGCAGTATCTTGCTGCTGGCGGTGACCGTCATGCTATTATGCCGACCCCTACCCCCACAACCCCTACAGTATCACGACTGGAGAATGCTCCTCTTGAAGACCTTCTTCGCGACTCCTCTGGTCTCTCTTACTTCATGGAGTACATGGACCGGCAGAAGCTCCTCTCGCTGGTGCAGTTCTGGCTCGTTGTTGACGGCTTCCGTGATCCCCTTGAGAACGATGGGCTAGATGATGGAGGTTTGCCTTCAACTCTACCACCTTGGACCGACTCAGACCGCCTCGACCTCGCTCAGATCGACCAAGCCTACTTGTCCAGGGCCGAACTTAAGGTGCCAGCATCATCGAAAAAGGCAGTACGAGATTTCCTTGACGCTGGCAAAACTGCATCGCCACAGCAATACTTCCTGGCCCGGCGGGCAATTCTGAGGGCGCAGGCTGCTGTTCTCGATGAGATGCGTCTGAAGTACTATCAAAGCTTCAAGAAGTCCGATCTGTTTTACAAGTGTCTTGCCGCCGAAGAGGCTTCCAAGAATCTTCATCCCACCACTGCTCCTGAGCCGGTGGCACACCCACCATTAAGCAGGTCATCTCAATCATATACTGTGAAGCCAAACCCCGTCACAAGACTCGCGCCGAGATTACATGAAGCGGGACCTTCTAATAGGAGAGCTGGGTCCGCAACTGATCTGAGGTCGATGAACGGACTCAGCCCAGGGGGCGATCCTCTCACGAGGCCGAGACGGTCTTTTGATGAAAGCGCAGCAGCACCCTTGTTTGACGATGACGATTTCGAGAACGAGCCTTTGGCGGACTCGGTTCAGAGTCTAGATCAAGAGCCCGAACCACCTGTACCGGACACCCACGTTGTTCAGGCAGTGGAAAAAGCGCTAAACAACATCATGGAGGATAGTCGGCCTCCAACATCAGAGGATCTGCGTACCTCTCTCTTCGCCACCACTGAAGATGGCAGATCTAGCCTATTTTCAGGGGAGGATAATGACTCGACTAAGGGCTTGCCAGACCCCAGCCGCTCTGCCCACCCGTTGAATGAAGGTGAGAAGCCAAGTTTGTCTTCTCTTGGTCTCGTCAGCGCCGCTTCACGGATTGGTGTCTTTGTGGACGACGATCTCTTCGGAGACGAAGATAGACACCTCTCAGACGAGCGCGAGGATGAGGAGGAGTTGAAGCCGGATGATATTGAAGATGAGGTGCATGAAGCTGCACCCGGCGATCTGGGCCTCGCGGAGGCAATCACGGCCCTCACCAACGACATCGACCGCTTGGTCGCACAAGAAGCCGTCGTCGACTCCCTTCTCAGAAAGGCCGAGCTGACCAACAATACGGCAGAGCTCAGGATATTGCGCAAGTCCAAGGCAAGCTTGCAGAGAGAAATCCGGCGCAAAGAGCTACAGCGGCAACAGTACGTCGTGCAAGAAAGCGACAACAGTCTCTATGGACGCTCTACTATCAGGATCACATCGATCCAGGTCGGTCGCGAGGATGATGGTAGGGAGTTTGCTCTCTATGTGATTGAAGTTCAGAGAAATGCTGGCGAGAAGATGCCTGCTGCCGCCTGGGTAGTTTCCCGTCGATACAGCGAGTTTCTCGACCTGCACCAAAAGCTTCGCTCCCGCTACCCTTCGGTACGAGACTTGGATTTCCCTCGCCGTCGCATGATGATGAAGCTTCAGAGCGAGTTTCTGAGCAAGCGAAGGGCCGCGTTGGAGAAATATCTCCGCGCGCTGCTGCTCCTGCCCGAGGTCTGCCGGAGCCGAGACCTGAGGGCGTTTCTGTCACAGAGCGTGATCGCCGAAGGCCAAGATCTTCTTGACCATCAAGATAAGAAAGACGTCATTAGCAGGCTATATGATTCTGTAACAGACGGTATGGAAGACATCCTGGGCAGCATCCCGGTGTTGGACCAGCTATCTGTTGCAGGGCAGAATCTCATCGCTGCCGCCACGAGCCAGCTCAGCACTATGCCCATCACCGTCGCAGAAGATAACGGCATTTCGGCGGCGGAGGCGGAAGCCGAGCTGAATGCGTTCGAGGACAAGGAACTGGAGCCTTTTGTGAAGCCTATTTGCGATATCTTTCTGGAGGTGTTCGAGCTCAACAGAGGAAACAACTGGTTACGTGGTCGGGCTGTGGTGGTGGTGCTACACCAGCTGCTCGGTGGCACGATTGAGCGTAAATTGCGAGACAATCTCAAGGTCCTCGCTCAAGACGACGCGCTCATGCGGTATATTGGGCTCTTGCAAGACAGCATGTGGCCCGGAGGACAGCTGCAAAGAAACAAAGCGCCTCGCACGGCGGCGCAGAAGTCGAGGACGAGGACCGAAGCAAGTCTCATGCTGGCCACTCTGATCCCCGACCTCGCTGGCAGCGTCGTGGGCCGCCTGAACGCCCAAGCCGCAAGCCGGCGTGTCTTTGCGACATTCAACAACTCAAGACTGAAGTGAGTATCAAGTGTCTTGCCCTACAATCCCCACATGGCCCTGGTCTTGTTGCACCCTGCTAACATTCTGTCTCCACATACAGTGCCCATCTTGTGTTCACCTTCTTGGACGAGATTATCGATATTCTCTTTAATGAAAGCTTGGTATGAGACCATTTTGTCTGATCCGCATAGCAAGGCGTTGGGAGTGCTTGGTCATTGTGCACAAGTGTGGTTTGCTGTTGATGAAGTCGGGTTAGACCGTTACGACATAGGTTGCAGATAGACTCTCCAATAACAGCTGAAAGGATCTGCGGTTGGTGCAGCCTCCTCGTTCACCCGGTGTGCTGGTGAATACGGATACGGAGTTGGTTGCCCTGAAAGCGAGGCTCTCGGATCGGCGACACACCGAAGCCCTCAACTTGCCTAGACTGGCGGCACGTGCTCCGGTTAAGAACTTGGAAAGTTGGAACAGAGGCTTGGGGTCAGCAAACAGTTGAGCCTGGAGGGTATGATAGGCAGTTTGTTCAGAGGTTCCAAGAGAATATGAGCACATAAAGAATAGTTTAGTGATGTGTAGATCCAGATGATGACCACCTGCCAGCCACCCAGCCTCCGCGCTCCCGGGCTGCTGCTCTGGGAGAGCAAAGACATGGATCCATCAGGGATCATGGCCGACCCCCCTGAAGAAAAGGAACGTCAGCAGCTTTGGAGAAGAGCTTGGGGGCCACGGTACCTAGGCCCGCCCCTCTTTCCCTTCCGTGCGGGTGTGACAGTTTCGCTCCACTTGGTGTGCCGGGCGAATTAGCTGCAGCCGCGTACCGCTTAAACTCCTAGCATTGGCGCCAGGTACTCTGCTAGTTTCGGCGGTCTGCTTGCTGGTCTTGTGCCACCTGAAAAGACTCGACCTCGCCGAGCTCGAGACCAGGGGGGTACCTGAGGCAAGTGCACAGGCGCAAGTTAGGTACCTGGCTACCCGGACTGACTTGGAGAGAAGGTTTTAAGCTGTGGAAGCTCAGAGCTCCATCCCCCCCAGAAGCTGAAAAAGCGGGCTGGCTTGCAGTGTGACCGGTGCTGGTCCTGTTTCCCGCCTCCACCGATGGTGTTAGGTTGTGTGGCCCATCACATAAGCTGGGCATAACATCACATTCCTTCCTTTTCCCACCTCCACCTCCAACTTACACACACACCAGACACCGCCGCCCTTCTATCCATCGCGGCCCAACCAAACCTCGAGTCCCCCATAACTCATCTCATTTTCACCTGGACCGCACCCTTCCTCCTGGTCGCCCTTCATCCCAAGATTGCTCTCGGCCACTTTTGGATTCTCCGGAGAGGCTCTCGAACTTTTCACGGTTTGTCCACCTTTCAATTCCTGATCCGAGGCGACCATCCGAGGAGACACTTTCCGGACTGGCCTTTCTTTCACCGCAGCCTTGCGCCTCGATGGGCCTACCGCCCTGACCTTCCAAGTCAACCATTCCCGCCTCACCTCCAGGATCCCCCCGTAACCTTCCTTGAACCTGACCTGATCACACCGTACTAGCTGCCGCCATCATGACCGAGGTCTCCTCGACTCGCCTTTACCTAGGCAACCTTCCTCGAAACGGTGAGCCGTCCATCCTGGTCCAGCGATAGGGTTTCTTTGGTTACATCAGTGCTGGCACTCGACTGGTCCTCCTCGAGCTCTGAAAACATGGCTAACCCCCGCCGAAGCCACCAAGGCCGACATTGATGCCCACTTCAGCAAGCATGGCACCGGCAAGATTGTCGAGATCAAGCTGATGAACGGCTTTGGTTTCATCGAATACGAGGATGCGCTCGATGCCCGAGATGTTGTCCCTGGTAAGTAGGATCAATTTATTCAAATTGCGCCTCAGCGCGCTGCACCTCTGTCCTGCCTTTACCACGCCGCTCTTCTCACAGCTCAGAAACTAACACAATCTCTCTGCCGACAGCTTTCCGTACGTGATCACTGTCCCAACGAGTTGGCGGACCCTCTCCGTCATCCCCGCGACGCCTCCACTGACTACCTTCACAAAGATGGATCGACCTTTATGGGTGAGCGACTTACCGTCCAGTTTGCCCGAGGTTCTCGCAACAGGGAGCCCGGAGGCCCTGGAAACAATGAGCGCACCGCGCCACGGCCACGACGCACACCGCACCGCATGCAAATCTCTGGTTTGCCCACGGACACCAGCTGGCAGGTCTGTGCTCCTTTCCGTTCCCTCCTCCCAGGATGATGGATCTTCTTTCTCTGGCGAACTTTTTTTTTCTATTCCCGAGGTTCGATGGGTCTTCCTACACTTTACAGCAGCTGTCCGATCCCTTGGCAATATGGATGGAGGTGGAAACACCCGTCACTGCTGGCCTGTTGCGCTCGGACCATGGAAGAGACAATGAACCGGCCAAGGAGAGTCCAGTGGGATACAGGTCTACTAACGGTGTGGCTCAACAACGATATCCCGGCTTCGGGCTCGGGGACCTGTTTTGCAACGATTCTCAACTTTCCTGGACACCAACTTACATGGGATTCGGATATAGGACCTCAAGGATTTCGCCCGCGGATCCGGTCTCGATGTGGTGTACTCCGAGACTGGTCGCAACGGCAATGGTGAAGGGTGAGCAGCTCCTCTCTATCGCTTGCTGGGGGTGGCGCTGACGGAAGAATAAGCTTCGTCGAGTTTGAAACCGCTGCAGACCTAACCACGGCCGTTGAGAAACTCGACGGTCGCGAGTTCAAAGACAAGGTCGTGACCTGTGTGGCCAATGTAAGATGCCCCTGCAACCAGCATGCTGGGCCAAGGTGGCCGGCAACATGACATACTCACCCTTTGCAGACCCAGCCCGATATCCCTCGTGACAGCCGTGGAAGGTCCCGTTCGCCCCCTGGCCGTCGGCCGTACCCTCCTCGTGATGAATACGACAGGCGCGGTCCTCCACCCCGGGGTTACAGCCCCAGGCGAGATGGCTACCGTGATGGCTACCGCGAGAGAAGCCCTCGACGGGAGTATTACGATGATCGCGGCCCTCGTTATGGATCGCCTCCACGCCGTGGGCCCATGGATGACTATCCGCCGCCTCGCGGGCGTTACGAGGACCCGTACCGGCGCGACTACCCCCCTCCTGACCCCTATGCCGCCCCTCGGCCCTATGACCGCCCTCCTCCCCGCGACTTCCCACCCCGCGACGCGGCTTACCCACGTGAAGGCGGGTACCCCCCACGGGCCGAGTACGATCGCGGTGGTCGCTACTGGTAAATCTATCTGTCCTCTGTGGTTGCGCCGTCCTTGACCCCATGACTTAGATCTGCGGATCGACCAACTCGACTCGGTTTCACACAGTACTCAAAGGGGGCCTATCTGACAGACATGATGGTTGCAATTTGGGGGATGGTAGGTTTGGCTGACACAGGGGCGCCCGGCGTGGGGTGCGACGTCGGACCGTTTTGATTGATATGGCTTGGGGACACAAAATGATCGTATATTCCTTTTCCTTTTATTTTCCTGTTTCTTTCTGGGGATACCCGAAAAGCGCTCTTGCTCAATCGCGACGACCGTTGGTCGTTACTTTGTCACATAGTGTTTCAACAGAGGCGCGTCCCAGTTTGTTTGTGCGCGCGGGTGAGGTAGTTGAGCTGACGGCCGAAATGTGTCACGATAATGGAACAACTCTATTCTCAACATCACGTCTTGGGGGGCATGCTATTGTACTCACTCAAGGATCCATGTATGCTCTTTGCTTGGGTTTTATTGCACTGGGACAAACAAGCTACCTGCAGCCACTAGTATTACAGACGACTCTGGCCTCACGGCGACTTGTACTGGTAGTTGTACTGCTTCTTGGCGTCCTCGACCAGCTTGCGGGTCGCCTCGTCCTTGTCGATGGCCTCCTTGTCCCCCTCGGCGATCTTTTGCTCGATGGCCGCGTTGGAGAAGGCGCTGGCGACGGGGATCTCGAGGCCCCTCTTCGTCGCGGGCCGGGACGTGCAGCGCCGGAACCAGGCCTCGACGTTGGGGAACCGCGCGCGGTCGATGCCCGCCGCCCGGGGCCCGTTGGCCCAGCCGAGGATGGCCATGTCGGCGATGCTGTACTTGCCCCTGCCGGCACCCGCGACGTAGTCCCGGCCGCCCGAGAGGCGGGCGTCGAGGATGCCGTAGAGGCGCTCTGCCTCGCCGACGTAGCGCTGGATGCCGTAGGAGATCTTTTCGGGCGCGAAGCGGACGAAGATGCCGGCCTGGCCTTGCCTTTGTGTTGGTGTCAGTATATTTTTCTTTTTTTTTCTTTCTCGCTTTCTGTTTCTCGGCTGGCTGGTTGGGCCTCCCTGGGGAAGAATGATGCATGGGGGGGCAGGGGCAGGGGCAGGAACTTACATGGGCCCCAGGCCGCCGTGCTGCCAGGCCATCCACTGCTCGGCGACCGAGTAGTCGTCGCTGTCGTAGGGGAAGGAGAAGCGGTGCTCCGGGTCGTAGTGCTTGGTCAGGTAGTGCAGGATGGCGAGCCCCTCGAAGACGGGGAAGCCGCCGCGGTCGTGGTCGACGACGGCCGGGATGCGCCCGTTGGGGCTGACGGCCGTGAACCAGGCCTGCTTCTGCGTGCCCTTTGTGATGTTGACCGACTGCCAGGTGTAGTCGAGGCCGTAGGCCTCCTTGAGCTCCTCGAGCAGGACCGAGGCCTTGTAGCCGTTGGGCGTGGAGAAGGTCAGGAGCTCGATGCCCTTGGTGGCGATGAGGCCGGTCGGTTCTCCCTCTGCCATGGCGTTTACGGTGGTGTTGGTACTTGTGCTGGTGGTGGTGTTGGTGGTGTTGGTGGTGTTGTTGCTGTTGTTGGTCGCAGAGCTTTGTTGCCGTGTGATCGGGGCTATGACGGAGCTGAGTGGAGGCACGGGGGGACGAGCCGGGGAGTCGGCCGAGGAGTAGCGGGGAGTTAGGGGAGCCAACGGCTTGGGGGTATGAAAGGTACGGGATCCAATGGGTCGCTGAAAGCGGGACTGAGGAATCTCGAAGCGTGAAGATGAAGCAGAACGACGAGGGAGCTCGAGCGATCTGCCCAGAAGAGCATCGGAGCTACTTATACTACTAAGTGGGAGGCGACGCAAGTTCATCACACAAAGCAGGCTGCCACACGACCGGGTATGTCCTACCCCAAGTACCTGTCCACGAGGACCGCGGCTGCAGATGGTAGATATTAAGATGCGCGCTCGCCGTCATTGTTCATTGGCACGAGTCGACGCCATCTCCCTTGACCGGCCCCAGGCTAGTATCTCCGGAAAAGCCATGAGACATTTGGTGGACGGCGTACGCTAGATTTATAAGCAACCTCCTCATCGATCCGTGCATAGAGTGAGTGAGGCCTTGGTAACACACACACACACTCTCTCTCTCTCCTAAGTTGCCTGCTTTATAATCCTCGAACCGCTTTCATATGGGCCAAGTGACGTTGAGTGAGTGTTGCCAACAGTTCGGGTTCGGCGCAACCCAGTCGCAGGAAGCCCGACGGCTCCGCAACCTTACTTTATTGCTTATTTTGGACTTAGTAACTCAAACCGGATGATCTCATCTTGATCGCACTCGTTTCCATCCCGAGTGTCCAATCGTTGGCGCCATTGTTCTCGAAAGGTATTTTTGTGTAGAGCCATTATGTCTTTTTGTATCGTTTGAACCAGGTACGCCCACGAACGCAGTTGTCAACCTCGCGTCGTGAGAACATGCAATATCAAATACACCGGTCCGGCCTCGCCCGCCCTTACCCGAGCCGAACCCGCTTCCACATTCGCAAGCAGTCCTGCAAATCCGTAGATAACGTGCCCTCGAGAGCCGTCGACGTGTCGTTGATCACGGCCACGAGCAGCGTTGCCAGCGCAAACGGAACCGTTTCGTCTTGCAGCGCGCGAAAGTCTGCCTTCTTCATGCCGCCGATCTCCGCCCAGCCCTTCCACAGGCCCAGCAATCGACATATGGACGTAGTGAACTGCCCGTCCAGGACCATGCGATGAAGAAGCTCGCCGACGGCATCTTTGACCGTCAGGCCTTCCGGCACTTCGGCCCTGCCCTGCAGCCAGGACAGGCTGTGTCGAGCGACCATCTTCGCGTCCCACTTCGGGCTGTTGAGCGCTTCTGTCTGCCGCACTTCGCGCCTCTGATTTGTAAGGCGTGTCTGATCGCGCACTTGTCATAGTGTTAGTAGTCGGTTCGGCTGTGGCCCGCAGGCCATCAGTGCAAGCAAGGTGTGCTGTGGGAGTGTGAAACTCACTCTCTTGTAAGCGATCCTCATTCTCCCTGCGCATCCGCTCCATCGAGGCGTGCGCGCGTTCAGCAGGCGTCATCCGAGCTTCTGCCGCGACGGCGGCTTGTGTCGCCCTGCTCCGACGAGCAAACCTGTCCAGGTTGGCCCCATGGTCGTCGTATTTCGTAGCCCACTGCGGCGTGTCGGCCTCGTCCACGATCCCCAGCAGCACAAGGACGCCGCACGGCACGGTTTCCTTCCTGGCAAAGGTCAGGAGATCGTCGGGGATCTTGTAGTTCCACAGGATGGTCTGGCTGGTGGTGCCAAAGGCCGTGATGGCGCTGGCGAACCACACGCCCTGCATCTCGCCCCTGCGGATCTTCAGGTGCTCGACGTAGAGGCTGTCTAGCTGGGGGGTGCTCTGGAGGTCATCGTCTTGCGCGAGGGCAGTGACCAGGCCTTCGACAGAAACGTGGCAGGTGATGGGCCTCTTGGCTATGGCCTGCCCTTCTTGCTCGACAGAACCGATTGACTTCTTCGCAATGCTGGCCCCATCACCGTTGGCCGATTCGTTCTCGGGTGTGCTGACGACGGGGTTCGAGCTCTCCGCGACTTCCTCGGCTTTCCTATCAAGCGGCGGCGGCAGTCTGACCCAGTATGGTGGGAGGTTGGAGTGGTCTCTCGTCGTCCAGTTGGAGGACCACGACACTGCCAAAGACAAGTTTCCGTCCGAGTCATCCAGCGGCGCGACCGTAAGAGCCTTCTCGCGCCCATCGGGCGAGGTCATCAAGGCGGTGCCGAGGGGTGTCCACAGACCCGTGGAGCGCAGCAGCTTCCAGCCTTGAGGCTGGGGGACGGCTCCGAGATCCAGCAGGTATGAAATCAGCTCGTCAAATGCCACGTCGACCTGGGGCTGCCGCAGCTGGTCGGCATACTCTACCCTCTGCGTCTTGATACCGATGACATTGGTCCTCCAGTTGAAGGTGGTCCACGAGCCGCCGGGGATGGAGCTCGGGCTGCGCGAGAGCGACCAGTACTCGGACTGGTGCTGGAACCGATCCCACGGGGTGACGGCGTACCGCGGCAGCTCAATCTCTATGACCCTGTTGACGATGTCGCTTCTGGTGAGCGCCGTCAGCCGGCTGTGCCGTAGTATGCGCTTGATCTTGGAGACATTGACGAGGGTGAGGAAGGTGTTGTATAGGATTGGCAAGACACCGAGCACGGCCAGAGGCACACCAATGTACGTGATGATATCGGTGGGGGATCTGCCATCGTCGCCTCCGCCGCCGCTGGACATGGTCGCTGCTGGTGTGATGGCAAGCTTATCAATGTGCAGACAGGGGGCGTTGTGCCCAGCAAGCAAGCACCAGCACAGCAGGATCACCACCGCGTCTGCTGATCACAGGCGCGCAAGTGTTGTTTATGTCGCATACTACCACCACAAACCAGCAGACAGATCCTTCATCTCTACATACAGAAAGGGGACTAAAAAAACCACTCCTGACAGCCTCTGGACCGTTGTGACGAGGCGTGGCCCAGGGTGCTCGTGCTGCACACTAACGGCAGCCATCGTGACAAGCTAATGCAGCCCCCAAATTCAGCTGGGCGGCATGGGAGAGAGGGCGTCCCGGGCCTTCCTTAGCCAAGAGCACCGGCCATTTAGGGAGTAGTTCTAGCTGCAGCCATCTGCCGAGGAATGGAATGGAAACAAAACGTCACGAAGGTCTGCTTTGGTGGGGAGAAACATTGCCCACCAGGATAGGTATGAATCAATCGTGGCTACTTCGTACGTAGCTGCTTCTAGGTCGCCTTCTTCCATGTCGCACACTGGTCATCACGCCGCTCGTTTCGCGGCAGGGGCATGGCCGTTGTCTGCTGTGAGACCGACCTCGGGAGGCTAGGTAACTAGGTAAAGTAGGTGTACGGAGTACGGAGTAGGCATGTGCGGACTAACATTACGAGTGATTACCTACAAGTACTTGTACTTTGGGTACGAAGTAACGTTTGGACGCCTCAGAGCGGATCCCCGGTAGATCACTGCCTAGTAGCGATGCTGTCCGGAGTGTGGCCAGGATGGATTCGAATGTAATTGAAACAGAGTGAGGAGTTATGAAGTAGGTACAAGATGCGGCGGATGCTTCCTGTTCTGTTGCCAACTCCAACACTGCCCAAATTTGGGGTAAAATCAATCCAGCAATGCGGGATGCAAGATGCAACGCAGCCTCCTGCTGCAAGGGCCAGCCTGGGATCTGTTCTCGTCTTGCTGGGCTGTTGATTGATGGTTTCTGTTTCGAGGTCGTCTGCCAAGGCATCTGCGGCTCAGCCCTCCCTCTGCACCGCCTGGCAGGCAGTCTCTTCTTTTATTATTAGCGCTCCTTCAGAAACAAATGCGAGGCCCAGCCCAGAATCAAGGCACCACAAAACCGGTCCACTCTTTTCGTCTTACGAAGCTCTCCCCGTCTCCATCTCGCATTCTCGCCCTCGTGCGCGTGCATTCTTCGCTTTCCGTCCTTCCCTTCATCTTCCCGCCGACCTTCGTTTGCAGTGCGGGTGCGACGGCAATTCGCTTCGTATATATCTTTTTGTTCTTCTGCGCCGTTTCCTGCCCCTCGCCTACCTCTGCCTCTGCCGCTCCCGTGCTTGCTTCTTCCTACAGCGCTTCGATTCGTAGAACCATGATTCGTTAGTCCAAATAATGTCGATGCTCTCCCCAGATTCCTGGAGAGGCACCTTGCTCAGCCTGCTCCTCTCCTACCTCCTCCCACATGTCGCTCTCGCCCAATTCCCGAGCCCGCATGGCGCCAACCTCACTCGCATCGTCTCGCCCTTGAACTCCAATATCACAGTCACGTTCAAGGAGCCCAAAGGCGCATGTAAGACCGCCTTCGACAGCCAGAAGCAGTACACAGGCTGGGTCAACGTCCCGGGCAGATATGACACCAATTTGTTCTTCTGGTTCGTCGCCGCCCGACAGCCTACGTCACTCCTCACCATCTGGCTCAATGGCGGCCCCGGGTCGAGTTCAATGGTTGGCCTGTTCACCGAGACTGGGCCTTGCGAGGTGGTAGAGCTGGGCAAGGACCGGCTGGGGACTGCGGCGAGGGAATGGGGCTGGGACCGCGCTTCCAACATGCTCTTCATCGATCAGGTAGGTCAAGCTCACACCGGTCCGTGCCAGTCACTCCAGTTCACTGACAACCTGTGTCTCGTCATAGCCCAACCAAGTCGGCTTTTCGTACGACGTGTCCACAAACGGGACCCTCAACCTGCTCAGCCAGGAGATTTCCATCCCGCCCAAGTCGACCGCAGACTACTCGCCCCTGGTACTCAACGGCACGTTTAGCTCACAAAATGTGAGCTCGACAGCAAACACCACAGAGCTTGCTGCAAAGGCCATATACCACATGATGCAGGGCTTCCTGACGACATTTCCGCAGTACAACCCCCCTAATAGCTCAACTCTCGGGGTGAATCTCTTTGCCGAGAGCTATGGTGGAAAGTATGGGCCGATCTTTGCGGATGTCTGGGAGTCTGAGAATCTGAAGAGATCCAACGGTTCGGCCTTCGCAAGATCGACCGTAGATATTCACCTGACCTCGCTTGGCATCGTCAATGGGTGCGTTGACGACCTCATCCAGGGACCGTCCTATGCGTCCATGATGATCAACAACACATACGGGGCCCGCCTCGTCCAGCCGCTCCAGGCGAAACTCGCCAACGCGAGCTTCTATCAGCCCGACGGCTGTTCAGACCTCATACACCAATGCCGCGATACCGCAGCCGTCCACGACCCCAACAACCAGGGCGACGTGGAGAGCGTCAACAGCATCTGCGCGCGCGCGCAAAAGACGTGCACCGCCCAGCTGCTCGACCCCTACGGCAACTCGGGCAAGAGCTACTACGACATCGCCGCCAACGTGCCCGACTCGTTCCCGCGCGGCTTCTACGCAGAGTACCTCAACACGGCCGGCGTGCAGCTCGCCATCGGCGCCCCGATCAACTACACCGACACGAGCGACGAGGTCAACACGGCCTTCGCCCAGACGGGCGACTACGAGCGCTACCCGACGCTCGTGCCCAAGATTGCGCGCCTGCTGCGCTCGGGCGTCCGCGTCGGCCTCATGTACGGCGACCGCGACTTCATCTGCAACTGGATCGGCGGCGAGGCCGTCTCCTTTGCCATCGCCGACGCCGCCGGCGCGCCCTACAGCTCGGCCTTCAACGCCGCCGGGTACGCCCCCATCATCGTCAACGACAGCTACATCGGCGGCGCCGTCCGCCAGTTCGGCAACCTCTCCTTCAGCCGCGTCTACCAGGCCGGCCACCTCGTGCCCGCCTACCAGCCCGAGACGGCCTTCCAGATCTTTGCCCGCATCGTCATGGGCACCAGCGTCTCGACCGGCGACCGCATCAGCCTCGACGCGTACAACACGACCGGCTCCGCCAACGCCACGAGCAGCTTCAAGCTGCCCGACAGCCCGTCCCCGACGTGCTACGTCCGCCAGCTGGCTACCGCCTGCGCCGCCAACCAGGTCAGCAGCCTGCGCGCCGGCCAGGGCACCATCATCAACGGCGTGTGGTACGCGGCGTCGAGCGACTGGCCGGGCGCGACCTCGACCAGCACGGCCGGCTCGCCTTCAACGACAGCATCGACCCCAACACTGACCGGACTATTCACGGCGACGTCCACGCCCAAAAATGGCGCGGGGACCTCGAGGCTGGAGATGAAAAGTCTTATCCTCGCCTGCGTAATCGCATTGGGACTGGAATTCGCACGCTACTTTTAGAAAAGCAACGGTGCAATGTACATTTGGATATATAGACCTTACGGCCTCGGCGCACAAAAGATACCCATAATAGTAATTGACATTTGATAAATATTATCTACTTCCATGTTTTGAACCTGTTCAAACTTTACATTTGTGGGATTCTTGCTTCACAGATATACTTGTCGGTTGGGGTGGCGCAGCTACGATTGGCTTACCTATTGTGATGCACGACGTGATGCACGACGTGCGTTACGGTAGACTGTTCTGGATGCAACTGTTAGCTCTTGGTCTGGTCCGTGATGCGTTCCAAGAAAAATAAAGTAAGGTTGCATTGCTTGTGTCAGGGTAAGTGCCTTGTCAAAGGCGATATCATCAAAGCATAATAGCTATGTTGACCGTCGTGAAAATTTGGATCATCATGATAAAAGCAACAAGACCGAGGATATGGCAAAGGAAATGGAATGATGGCTTACCATGTGGTTCAAGCTGTGGAGGACAACGGTACGCATAAGCCAGAACTTCTGAAGGGTTGGTCAGCAATCCAATTCTGGCAAGAATACGAAATGCCCAGCGATCAACCAAGGACGAGTTCAGACACGACGTTATCATCTGCGCTGTGAAGCTCTGACATATGCTTGTCATTATTTAAAGTCAGATCATCCCGAGATGTGCCGTTGGTTGACGCTGCTGGGCAAGAGGGCGATGGTGCGGGAGGGGATCACTAACACCATGGGCACTTGCGCAAGTGCAGTGAGACAGTCTCTGAGTGTATGTTAGCGATGTATCAAGGCCAGCATACGTAGAAGGAAGAGGTTGTGGAGGAAGTTCAGGAAATGCATGAATGGTAGTAATGTTGTTGTCTGCATCGGAAACCCGAATAAGACTCGTCATCTAGATTCATCACGAAATAAAAGGCGTGCATGAGTGAACAAGAGAGCTTACCATTCAGTCAAGTCAGTCCAACACTGGATGGGTTGGCGCTGATGGGCGCCTCAGTCTCGAGTCTCTTCACCTGTGATTCGCCATCTTTGTGTCAGCCACTGCACGGCGATGGCAATGACAGATACGAATAGTGACGGTCGAGATCAGTGGACGAGGTTTTCTAGGCCTGTCGCAGAATGGCATGTCTGCTCATCTATGATTCGGAGCCCAGTGCCGCTTCATCATGCAAATATTGTCGAGTCGGAATGGAAATAGAGTGTGGCATTACCTTGATTCGTCCTATGTGCCTTGTCAGCGTCTTAAATCATTCCAAGATTGTCAACAGCAAAAGAAAGTGTAGAAGTCAATCAGAAACAGCCAGTTGTTTTCGTCAATGAGATTCCTCTCAGCCGGTAATTCCAACTTGCCGAAGCAAAGTAAAATGTTCATCACGAAAAGATATGAGGACAGTGGTTGGCAAGAAAGGACTAACCTGATGATGGTAGACGCACGCGTACGTACGTGAGTATCAATGTACCTCGATGATGATCACAGTGAGAAGCTGCAGTTGGACCAAAGTCAGCACAAAAGGCTCCGAACATGGTCGAGGTAGCATCAAGGTGAGATATCGTCGAGTAGTTCAGACTGACGTGACAAATGCAGTTTCATTCCAATGAGGTCAAAGACTCTAGTTTGCGGTTTTGTGGGTTGTCATCAGGTTGGAGAGGACGGGAGAAGAAAACAGTATCGAACTTACCAGTCGGGGGGCGCGGTCTGGAATATTTGTCCAGACCGATTCCTCCAAGTTGAGAGATGCAGAAGAAAATTCTGGGAGCATTTGAAAAAAAATAAGAAATCGAGTTTGTAGCTTGAGCGAGCTCCATCAATTGTGGGCCCTTTCCAGGTGGAAAATCCCCCTCTCCGCTAAATGAGCGCCCCACCCATGTCACGGGATCTCGTGTGCCGCTCGCACCCCGAGCAGAGAAATTGATGCGCGTCAGCACGCCGCGCATCCAGTAAACGTCACCAGCCTTGAACAGCAGACTCGTGGAACGACCCTTCTTACTAGCCTTGTAATCGTCTGCCTGTGTTAATTCGATCCGAGCGATCGCTATCCATCAGTATGCCCGAGATAGCTGAAGGTCAGTCGGGACGCCCGAACAAGGTCTGGTGGTGGCACTTGATGAATGGCTGATCTTACTATCCCAACGGCATAGTGGCTCGTATTGTGCATTTTTTGCGAGCTCACCTAGTCGGCAAGCAAATCAAAAAGGTCACCGCTGTCGAAGATGCCAATGTGTACGGCAAGGTTGGCACTCGTGGCCCCGAATTCGAAAAGGCCTTGGCAGGCAGGAAGGTTGTGTCTGCTGGAAACCAAGGCAAATACTTCTGGTAAGGAGAATGCTAGCATACGCTTAACACATCGCTAACCATACTATGTAGGCTGGTCTTGGACAAGCCGCCTCATCCAGTGATGCATTTTGGCATGACTGGTAAGTACAATGTATCGAATATCACCAAAAGTTTCGTTAACTGAGCAATGCCCAGGATGGATTCATATCAAAGGCGTGCGAACCGCGTACACCAACTATTACAACAAGATGAAGCCCGGAGAGGAAGACCAGTGGCCTCCCAAATACTGGAAGTTCCAACTGGAGACCGACAGTGATCCCAAGGTCGAGGTCGCGTTCGTCGACCCTCGACGCTTTGGTCGCATCCGTCTTGTCGATTGCCCAGGAAAGGACATTCGGCAAGCATCTCCCCTGGTTGAGAATGGGCCCGATCCTGTTGTTGATCAGGATCTTTTCACCTACCAGTATCTCCTCGACAAGATGCGCAGCCGGCATGTCCCTGTGAAGGCCCTCCTTCTTGATCAGGCGATGATCAGTGGCATCGGGAACTGGGTCGGGGACGAGGTCTTGTACCATGCCAAGCTACATCCCGAGCAATACTGCGATGAATTCAGTGATTCTCAGATAAAAACGCTTCACGGCAGCATATGTCACGTTTGTCGCATTGCCTGCGACAAACTGGGAGACTCTGACCAGTTCCCCGAAGAATGGTTGTTCAACCATCGTTGGGGCAAGGGCAAAAAGGATGCTGCAAGTGCACTTCCAAACGGAGAGAAGCTTGCGTTCCTTACCGTTGGCGGTCGCACTAGCTGCTACGCTCCGAACGTGCAGAAGAAAACTGGCCATGTGGCCCCTGGGATCAAGGAGGAACCCATCACTTCCACCAAGCAAGACGACAAGAAACCCGCCAAGACAAAGGCGCCCAAGAACGACACCAAGATCGAACCTCCGTCGAAGAAGCGACGGAAGGGGGATGCGACCCCAGTCAAAATGGAGGAGGCTGAGCAAGATGTGAAGAAAACAAAACCGAAAGCAAACAAGTCGCAGGAAGGCAGTGGCGCTACCAACAGGCGACGCTCAGCAAGACTTTCCGCCGTTTAGGATATTCTCACTACGAAGCATCCCATGGTTTTCTCTGGATGACATCTCAACGTTTTCTTTCGGAAGAATTGCGCCTTTGTAGTTGCAGCATCTACAGAAAGGTCGCATATCTCCCGGCAAAAGATACCCACCAACCCTCACTCGCTTCGGAGCCCAAAACTCTCTGAAGATCCAGATAATGACCGAGGCAATTTTGTGCCGGGAAAATGTTGTATGATGAACGGGTGTCTTGGCTGGGTCGAAAATTGTGTTGTTTGGACAGACGTGTGACATTTCATTAATTGCCTAAAGTCGGCATATCGTCATATAAGTCAAACGGGCAGTCTTAGCCGGCGAACCCTCCTTCATGCGCGTCGTCCCGGCTTTCAAAGACGGACATTCAAGTTTCTCCACCATTCTGCGCCTTTCCCCTCATAATGTGCCTTGAATGCCCTTCTGCTTGAATTGGGCATTGGTCACTCCCGACCCAGGAGCACGGTGAACCGGCGCCCTCGCTTTGCCGTTGACCTTGGCAGTCACACCTTAGCAAAGAAGATAGCCAAACAGAAGACGGTCTTGTATTGAATTTGTCAAATAAGCTCTTTTTTATATATGTTGAATCTGTAGTCCTGGGATCTTGTACTACGTAGCCAAGATCTGCTTTTCCCTAAAACCCGATGTCTCCTCACGAGCCCCAAAGCTTGGGTTGGGGACCTTCTCCAAATTGAGGCTCTTGGGCCACACATCATGTGCCTCTCCAGCACACCACGATGTCTCATGAGAATACTCTCCTTTGCTACTGTTTCCCTCTGGCCATCAGAGACGCTCTTCCTCTCAGTTCTCTAGGCTGAACCTTTTAGCCGGACTGTCCGGAGCTGTTCTACGTGCCGGCCACACGGAGAGTGGAACCTGCTTCTCGTTACTCATCTCAGAGGTAGGTTGCATAGTGTGTTGATAGTACTTGAGCCGTCTTACAACCACACATCGCGCTCGCTAGATCCACTTCTGTACCGCGATCCCCCATGCCACTAGGGACCAGTATCTCCGATGAGCCGTGCTCAAAGCGAAGAGTTGCGTGTGCAGTAATGACGATCCGGTCGACAGTCCCCAAACCGCTTGAGGCATCCACTGGCATCCAGAAGACCTGTCGCTATCCGTGAGCATTCAGCCGTTCTATGGCAGCGGGTGATCGACGAGCTTGACGATCTCGAGGACTGACGCGGCCCGATTAGATGATGTACCAATTTCCATGAGTGGCCTATGTCTGTCCAATTGGCAACTTAGCTGTTGTCCTTTTGCTTCGGCGTTCAAGGACTGTACAGGGGAGGTATCGAGACTGAATCACGGCCAATGTCCACACCCAGTCCATAGTCAGGCCTGGCCCCTTGTTTCTTCTCGAGGGTCCTCCATGCAGTGAGTGACCGTCCATATGAAGCCCACATAATTCCGCTGGGGAAAACGGGAGCAAGATGCTGGAGGTGCGTGGAGAGAAGCTTTTCGGCACGGCTATGTCTTCACAAGCCGATGGATGGCCATCTAAGTTCATTAATTCATGAACTGTAGGAGTGCACTGCCTGACGGCGATGGAAGTATATCGTCGGACTTCGGGCCCATATTACCGTGAGTCGACAGCACAATTCGCTGATTCTTTTCCTCCGAAGTGACCTCTTTGAGTAAGAAGAGAGACTCTTCTTGTGCGTATGGATGAGACTATATAAGATAACGACGCTCCTACCTACCAGTCTCATGATACCACACCAACAAGTCATTCTTTTTGCTCTATCAACACTCCGGTCACTCATCACGATGTACACCAGCCTTGCCGCCTTCTCCACCTTCCTGGCCCTTGTGGCTGGACAACAGGTGGGTAAGGAGAAGACCGAGACGCATCCCAAGATGACTTGGCAGAAGTGCACTGCTCCTGGCTCCTGCACGACTGTCAATGGAGAAGTCACCATCGACGCCAACTGGCGCTGGGTCCACGACAAGGGCGGTTACACCAACTGCTACACCGGCAACGAGTGGAACAGCACCATCTGCAAGGACGCCAAGTCGTGTGCTTCCAATTGCGCTCTGGAGGGTTCGTAAAGCAACCCTCCCCGTCAAGAAAACTCAAAGCACTAATAATTGACACAGGAGCTGACTACAAGGCCACCTATGGTGCCTCCACCAGCGGCAATGCTCTGTCTCTGACCTTTGTCACCAAGGGCGAGTCTGGTGAGTTTAAGGAAACCCCTATCATCTAATTTCCAGTCTTCGTGGAGGCTAATGAAGACAAACACAAGCTACCAACATTGGCTCCCGTCTTTATTTGATGGCCAGCGCGACCAAGTACCAAATGTTTACCCTACTGGGCAACGAATTCACCTTTGACGTGGATGTGTCCAAGCTGGGTTGCGGTCTCAACGGCGCACTGTACTTCGTCTCCATGGACGAGGACGGCGGCATGGGCAAATACTCGGCCAACAAGGCTGGCGCGAAGTATGGCACTGGCTACTGTGATGCTCAGTGCCCTCGTGACCTCAAGTTCATCAACGGCGAGGTGAGTCGAGCTGCTTCGGGAGTTGCCGAAGATAAGGGTAGAAGATTAACAAACTCGAACAGGCCAACTCTGCTCAATGGACCCCGTCGTCCAATGACCAGAACGCCGGTGTCGGTGGCTACGGCTCTTGCTGCACTGAGATGGATATCTGGTAATTCACCTATTTGAGGATTACGAACGCACAAATCAGCTAATACGATGCTTCACAGGGAGGCCAACTCCATCTCAACCGCCTACACCCCTCACCCTTGCACCACCATCGACCAGCACCGCTGCTCGGGCGACTCATGTGGCGGCACTTACTCCGAGGCCGACCGCTACGGCGGCACCTGCGACCCCGACGGGTGCGACTTCAACTCGTACCGCCAGGGCGTCAAGGACTTCTACGGGCCCGGCATGACCGTCGACACCAAGAAGAAGTTCACCGTCGTGACGCAGTTCATCAAGGGCTCGGGCGGCAGCCTCGAGTCCATCCGCCGCTTCTACGTCCAGGGCGGCAAGGTGATCCCCAACTCCGAGTCCACCATCGAGGGCACCTCGGGCAACGAGATCAACGCCGAGTTCTGCAAGGCGCAGAAGAAGGCCTTCAACGACGGCGACCACTTCAACGAGAAGGGCGGCATGGAGCAGTTCAGCAAGGCCATCGCCAAGCCCATGGTCCTGGTCATGTCTCTCTGGGACGATGTAAGTAGAAACCCCGTCTCGCCCTCCTTGATCCCGACGGATAGGCACAATCGTCCGGACAAGAGAAGAGAAAACAACGATGGCTAACACATATGCTTCAGCACTACGCCAATATGCTCTGGCTCGACTCCACCTACCCCACCGATGCCTCTGCCGATGAGCCCGGCAAGGGCCGTGGCTCTTGCGAGACTAGCTCGGGCGTGCCTAGTGACATTGAGGGCAAGCAAGCCAGTGACTCCGTCACCTACTGTAAGTTGAATTCTGAAAGAAATTAACCAGACCTTTGACGAGACGCAACGACTAACTGGACGTGCTCACTATCTAGCCAACATCAAGTTTGGTCCCATCAACTCTACCTTTGCCTCCGGATCGTAGGGCAGCGGAGAGATGAGACGCAAGTCAGCAGGGTCGTTCACCTAGGTGAAGGGCTGGCAAAAGCATTATCCTACATCTGCATTTCTATCGAAGGCCCCCATCATTTTGGCATGCATTCAGATTCATATCATGTGCATAATAGAAGTAGCTATGAACTAGATTCTTCTCCAGATGCGATTCCCTGCGGGATGCTCCGCCAGGGGGTCGATGCCCTGTCAAGATGTTGTTTGCTTCGTACTAGTCGTTTCACGATCTATGTGGAACTCTCCGATTTAGAGTTGGCTATCGGAAGTGTCCCTCGCCGTGTCTCAAGTGAGAAGCAGGGCTGATCACGATCGAAGATTAGGGGGCATCGACATGCCACTACCCCCTAGCGTCTCCCATCAAAACGTGCCTTAGCACGGCGTCGGCTCCGAGCTAGGTGCCTGAGGGATCTCGAAACCGAGTCTACCACGTCATTCGCTATGCTTATGTATATTAGTAAAAGCCATGCCATCTACAGTGTGCGGAGCTTTATGTCCTATAATGACGGAGCAAGTACGTACGGGTCGTGATGCGGGATGGTTCGATGGCGCGTTGAGTTGACAGCTTCCGAGACAGAGGTCGATATTTTGTGTATGGGATACGTGAATAATCTTCATCATTTCGTGCGATCAACGCTTCAGCTATCTGAGATGCAAAAACTAGAAAGGGGTATCATCTATGCCTGAAAGCAGATACTAGGTCGTGGTATCATATGCGAGCCAGAATGCTCATGCCATCTAAAAATGCAGCGCCGTACCCAGTAATGATATATGCAACAAGTAAACACGCTCCTGACAACATCAAAGTGCAGAATCGAGAAGAAAACCTTCGAGCGAGGGAGGAGATGATCTCCCAGAGACAGAAATCTTCCAGAGACTTTCTAGTCTCTGGCACACTGAAGTCCCACCGAATAGTTGAAGTCGGCACTGTCCCAGCGAACCGGAATCATGGTGAGGATGTTCACAAAGGGCGTGCCGTTCTTCCTGAAATTGGGAACCTCGAGCTGCAACTCGACGTTCCTGTCGACGCTCTTGCGCATGCGTCGCAGCAGGTCGCGGTTGATATATCTTCTCGACGAGCCAGGGGCGACATTGCCGCCAGGGGCTTGCAGGAAGCGACAGTTGCGGCCGAGCACTTCGTTATGAGAATAGCCCGTAAGCTCATAGAAGGGCTCTGAGGCATAGACGATCGGTTGATCCGGTTGCTGCAGATCGCAGAGGATGAGGGCACACGACGAGTCGATAGCCCCAACATGGACAAGAGGGTTTGGGCGAGTCGCAATACGAATCTGCGAGAGCGTCAGTCATCGTATTAGCGTGTTATTGGTGTTGTTGGTGGTTATTCAAGACAAATCGGGCATCGCGGAGAGATCATGATCGTTCCTCAAGAGAAGAAGAAAAGGGATTACTCACGAGGATGCTCATCATGTCGAATCCGCTTGGCGCGTACAGCCCGGGATAGATGATGGAGTCAAAAGTGGTCGATTGGGCTCGCATCGTTGCTCTTTGTTGCTCTATGGCGCCGCTCTCACCAGGATAGTTGTACTGGTAACAATTATTTATGAGCAATCTTGACAACCATCTCCAGAGATGGTGCCGCTCTGCAGAGCCAGCAGCACCTTTGAGCAACTTACCTGCAGCGCACATGCTTCCCACGAGTTCATTGTGACAGCCGGAGTCTTCGAAGCGGGCATGTTGGAGAAGGCAAGACTGCCACTTTGTTGATACCGAAACCTCTGCAGGTCATCGTTTCGCTCTGGGGGCCAGCATGCCATCTTATTCATAATGGATCAAGAGGATTTGCTCGAGGTCGAGAGGTGCAGGTGCTACCACATTGGTCTATGCAGCAGATGTTGCATGAATCACAAGAGATGCAGGACAGCTGTACAGAGATACTGAAGTTGCCCGTATAATGTAGGCCAGTCAAGTAACGAGATCGAGATCTCTACTGAGTAGCATATCCGGACTTCCACCAGAAGGAGCTCCTTGGGGCGGACATGCCAACAGAAGCATGTAAACGCGGGAACAGGGGGGTTGAAGTGTCAGATCGATGCAAGGCAAAGCCAGCCATCGACTGTGGGCATATGCAAATGGGATCAGCAGCTGGGGATTGCTCGGCCGGCAGAGCAGGAACCCAGGGCCAAGTCATGTTTCCAAGCGTTTTGATTGTGGGGTGGCGTGCTAGGTTGACAGCCGATAGGGACGGGAAGTTTGTTTTTAGTCCAGATCGCAGGACCGTCATGTACGAGTGGTGATCGGGAGGATCTCTAAGGACCCGGGCCATCGGGCGATGGCAGGCGGTGCCCCAGTTGGCTGATGGCATAGCTTGGTCAGAGTGCAGTAAGTCACCTCATGCCCAAGTAGATCCTTAACAGCCGCCATCAGGCTCTTGTGCGTAGCATTCCGCAAAGTCAGACTCGATCGAGCGGCTGTGTTGTTAGCGCGGCTACTGCACAGGTACCTAGCGCGTCTGCCTGTCTCTGATGTGGCCGAGTCGATAGGCGGCGATCCCGGCGATGGTGCGCCTTCGGTCGCGATCTGCATGAATCGGGACGGCCGTTTCGCTCCGGAAACGCACATTTTCCTGCGAGCAACACGAACACACAACACCGCCGTCTGCCTAACACTAGTTGACCGTGTCAAGGTAAGACGTGTACAGTCTCGCTTAAGGCCACTCCTGACTGTAACGGCATTCATGCAATGATCGTTTCCAGGATGCAGCTTGGGCATGGAGTAGCTCAGCGCTTGGACTGCGAAGCCATCCTCAGATACTTTCAGTTTGCAGACAGTTCGTCAGTAACCAGGCAATCGAATGCACTGGCTGATCGCTTTGTTCGGGGGGGAATCGAACCTCACCGCCAGTCGTGCCGCGTATCAAAGATGTACAGGGTGAGAAATTGCTTGTTCCTGGCTGATGTTCGCAGCAGCGAGACGCAGCTCCATCCACCGACTAGGTCCTGCAAGTAGGCTGCTTTCCTCAGCAGGCGACGGTGCCCCGTCACCTGTGTACTGTCACAACAATGCCGTTGCCCGCAAGGGCGGCAACCGTCGCTCAGAGGTAGGAAGAGAGACTGTTACCCCAGGGCTTTCCGTGTGTCATCTGCCATTGAGAGACATGAAATTCTGGACGCTCAGGTGTTCAGTAAAGACAGCTGCGTCGAGTCAGATCGAGCCAAAATACAACTGCCAGAACGGCTCGTTAACTGGTCCTCAATATGTCGAGAACGCCAAGGTGCCTATCTTGTATTGCTGCAAGATCCGGTGATATCGATCGAAAGAAGCGTGTGCGGTAGGTGAGGTAGGCGGCTTTGAGTGAGGGTGGGTGGTACAAGGCGAGAGACGTGGTACATGCGAAGTACCTACAGCAATGGCAGTATCGGGTAATAAGAGCCAGTAGCGTAAGGGTATCATCCCACCCTCCTGTCTTCCCCTCCAAAACTCCCTGTCGCAGCGCCGCCACTTAACGCGTTTTGGCGTCTGTAAACGCGACTTCTCGGACTTCACCTCATCTCACCTCCCAACGAATCCGACAGGCAATCAACGACGCTGACCGACGTCTTGTAATCTCCAAGGGTGCATCAACCGACTTCGTTTCCAACTGCGACGACGGTTTACGTGTTGGACTGGCCGCCTCTGGCCCGTGGCTCACTATACTCATCTGCAGTCCGGGCTCGCCTCGAGATCACACATCATGTCCGGCCGGCGCCGACTCATCTCGAGCTCAAAGCGCGCCGGTGGCTCTTCAGCTCCTGCTACCCAGGCATCCGGGGCCTTGGGAGGATTGCCGCCGTACGAACCGCCATCCTGTGCTCTGGACGAAAACGCGAAGCGTGCGCTCGCCGAGATCTCCACCAATCGCGACCTTACGAGAAAGTACGAGTCGCACCTGAAACAATCTGCATCACTATTGCGCGACAGCGTTGGCGGCATCAACGACCGGCTTTACGAGAGGCGGGAGGAGGTGCAAGCTCTTGCTGCGCGCCGTCTAGAGAAACAGCAGGATACCAAGTCCCATCAAGAGGAAAGGGCTGAGCAGGCCGCGGTCAAGTTGGAGGCCGAAGTTCCCGATCTGACCAAAGAGATCGAGTCTGCCGTCCGGGAGATCATCGACCACCGCTGCGAGCTCGATGACGAGAATGCGGCAATCTCGTCGATGCTTGATCACATCCGATCGGTCCAGCCTCTGCAAGAAAACCAGGAGTCGAGACGTACTCGCCGAGCGGCAGCCGCAGAAGATGCTGTAGATGGCGACGATGTTACAATGCATGAGGCCCAAGAAGACGTGCCACTTCTAAGCGCTGCGGACCTACTACGAACGGCCAAGAAGACCAAAGTTGCCGAGTACAATAAACTGAGTGCTTACGAGAAGTACAGTCTGAACAACGACTACATCGCCTTCAAAAAGACGTGGCATGATGCCGAAAACCCAGACAACGACGTCCCTCTCCCAGATGCTTCTGCCTGGTTTGACCGGCAAGGACGGCCAGTCATATCTGCCCAGGCCGATCAGGATGGAAGCCTCTCCGCCAATGAGGAAGATGAAGACCTGGTAGTGGCACGCGAAGTCATCAGCTTCCAGTGCCCCCTGTCTCTGGTCACCATGACTGAGCCGTATAGCAACGACAAATGTAAACATACATTTGAGAAGTCGGCTATCCTCGAGTTTCTGCGCAGTGGCCCTCAGCAGTGCCCTCAAACCGGATGTGCTACGGTAAGCAGCTTTCCTATCTTTTCTGCCTCTCCACGCACTGGCAATCGACAAGGCTAACAAGCAGCTTCCTTTGCACGCCTAGACACTCCACACACAGGATATGTACTTGGACAAGGTTATGCTCCGCAAGATCAAACGCACACAACAAGCCGCCCGGAGAGGCATCGGAGATACCTCGGACATTGAGCCTGAGGAAGATGACGGCGATGCTAGTATGGTCGCTGGCGAGGCTCGTGATATCAAAAAAGAACGTGTCATCCGGAATAGAAGGCGGGTTGCAGAAGACGTGGAGGAAGACTAGCGAAGCACAGAGCAATCGGCATCTGGTCTTGAGTCCATAGATGATACCCCAGAAACACGAGTCTAGAATTCGTGATAAATTTACTTCGGCAATATCTTCTGACTCGCAAGCTCAAGATACGTGAATGCATTCATCGTTCGCCAAAGCCCATGGTGCCACAGCCAGTCTCGTACGTACATAAGATAGGTAAATATTCCCTAGGAAGATCATTTCGAGCCGGCTCGGGGTGAAAAGTATATATGTGCATCCTGCCGAATTTCATCACAGTTTTTCTAAGGCTTCTCGTCCTTGTACAGTCCAACCAGCACCCCATTGGCGCTCGCAACGCTGACCCGAATCCTGGGTTGGTATGGCCTGGGATCCCGACTCTCGATCCGAGTAAACTCTTGCATCAGGCGGACGATGGTGTAACTCGCCTCGATCAAGGCAAACTGTTGGCCAGGGCAGACACGAGGACCCGCGCTAAAGGGCAGGAAGTACCACCCGGGCCGCAGATCCTCTCCCCAGCGCTCCGGGCGGAACTCGTCGGCGTCGGGGCCGTACACGTTCTTGTCGCGGAACATGGCGAACAGGTATATGATGATGAACGCGCCCTTGGGCACAAAGCAGGGTGCGCGGCCATCCGGGCCACCGCCGCGTGGCATCGTCGCGTCCTTGTTCGCCCAGCGGGCATTGCTTGGCACGATGGCGTAGAAGCGAAGAGCTGGTGAAGGGGACGCAAGGCCCGGTCAGTAATGACTCGAGGTGAACGGGCGCGCTTGGTGTTTGGCGGGTCAAGACTCACTCTCGTTGAGCACATATTTGAGGTAACGCATGCTCTTCAGGTCCTCATAGGACGGTTTTCGGCCGCCGAGCTCCGCCACCTCCTTCTGCAACTTGGCCCATATGTCGGGATGGCGAGCCAGGGCAAAGAAGGCGTGGGACAGCAGCAGAGCTGTCGTATCGCGAGCAGCTATCAGCACGCTCGCGACCTGCCGCCGTGTCTCCTCCTGGTCACCCTTCGTCACTCGTAGTAGCTCATCAGCTAATATGTATCCCTTGCTGTCGCCAGACTGGTCCTTCTCCAGCTCGATCTTGGCCGCCTGCTTGGCTACGATCTGCGTGATGTAATCTCGGCTCGCGAGCGCGGCATCGACGAACTTCCTCTCCTCTCTGAAGAAGAGCTTGCGGACCACGGGCGGCGTGCGCATGCGGACCATGAGCTGGTCGCCGCAGTAGTCGACGGCGCGCGCGAACGCCGCCTTGTCGGCGGCCTCGGCGGCCGTCAGGCTCTCGGTCGTGCCGACGCCGAGCAGGAAGTCCATGGCGCTGTCGAGCGTCATGTCGAGGAACAGGGCCTGGAGGTCGACGGTGTGGCCGTCGCGCGGGATGCGCCGGACGAGGGCCGCGACGTGCGTCTCGACCTTGTCCAGCTGGCTGATCTCGGCGCGCGAGAGCGCCGGCCGGACCATGGCGCGCCCGGCCTGCCACTCGTGGCCGTCCGAGACGAAGATGCCGCCGTCGGCGAAGGGGGCCCACCCGCCGGGGCCCATGCGGTTCGAGACGCCGTAGTCGGTGACGTTGGTCAGGATGCTGCGCGCGTTGTCCACGTCGACGGTGTTGAGCGTCGTCCGGCCGAGCACGACGGTCTGGTACGTCGGGCCCGACACCCGCAGGTTCTCGGTCAACAGGGCGAACAGCCTCCCGGCCTTGACCTCCCTGATGGTCAACGCGGCGAACTTCAGGCCAAACAGGCCCATGGGTCTGTCCAAGTTTCGCGCATGCTGGGCACCTGTCTGGCGCTTGAAGTGCAAGATCTGGAGCCGTCGCACAAGTACACGGGCAAGAATGAGGATGACCAGGGCACACAGGCCCCAAGCCCCTAGATGCAGTTGAGGCACAAACATTGCGTCGAAGATTTTGATGTTTCCTACCGCATTTGGCCCGTGAAAACAGGCATTGCTTTCGTTTGTGCGAATATCAATACATATACGGGTTTGTTTGAAAGGCGTTGAATTGGTGGGTAATGGAGGGGCGTGAGAATACGGAAGGGTCGGCGTTTCGATCCAAGCCAGGATGATAGGATGGTGAACAACCTAGGTAAACATACCAAGAGACTTTGGACTGCCCGTTTTGTCTTCCACTGCAACAGAGAAATGGTTTCGCATGGGATGTCAAGGGGATTCAGATGTGATGCGTGAAGCTAAAATCTGACGAGATCTAATAGGCTTTTGGCCTTTGGCTCTTGCCTTCAAGCGAGGGATACTGATGTCCGACCGCAGTGAGTGAACTTTGTATCCAAGTTGGGGTAGATTGTTCGAGAATTGCCGGGCAATAGCCATTTATTCCAAGCAAAGGTATGGGTAGGCCAAAAATAAAACGCTGTTAGACCGGTCAATAGCGATCAGTGAAGTCATACCATCATCAAGTCGCTAGGTAGGAAATGGTGGCACTCGGGATCTTGACGGATTGGGCCTCCGGCTGATGGTAGGATGGATCTAGAATACAAGCACTTGGCGGTGCAGCATATTGCCATTACAACTACCTAGAGATTAAAGTATGTGTATACGAGAAGAGTCGGGTATCAAAACGCTGTGATCAGGGCAAAGAAGCCCCTGAATTATCCAGTACGCCGGGGAAAACATTGCAGCTTCGCTCTTTCGGCATCTTGCAGAACTTGCAGCTTGCTCGGATAGCGACAGCGGCGGACGCGCACAATAATGCAGAATTGTCCATCATGTTGTATTGGTCGATCGACGCCAAATCATAAACGCAGCGGCCGCAGCGCATGTAGTGGCTCCGAGTGCTAGATAGAGGCTCGTCCTGTCAGGGGGCGGCTCTTCGCTTTTCGGAAACGCTGTGCTCGGATTCGTGGCTGCCTCGGCGAGCGAGACAAATAGTTCGCTGATGCTATTCCAGGTAACGCTGACATGGAGCGGTGTGCTCATGTTGAGACTGGAGGTGTATGCATCTGGCTGCAATTCCGACCGTTGCGTTGTCTTGTCTTTGTCAGCTTTCTGGGCGGTATAGATGGCTGGCAACTCATCGAGCTGCGGATAGCGATTTCGCAGCTCGACAATGTGTGAGAATGAATCTGGGTCAGACGAGTCATATGTGTAGCATATCAGATCACAGGCATCCAGTTTGGCCTGGTTCTCTAAAATGGCAGGTTCCAGCTCGCCCAGCTCCTCCAGGATCAAGTAGCACTGCTTTCCGCCCTGTAATTCGACACTGTTGACCGCCCTTCGAGGTTTGATGGTCGGATGGTAGGTTCCATCGAACGGACGGCTCAAGAAAGCATCAAGCAATGAAGATTTGCCGGCTCCAGACGCCCCAAGGATATAACAGAGCACGACGTTCCGCTCGACACGCCCCGGTCTTCGTCGCCGCTTTCGGGGCTTGGTGATCTTTAACGCAGCGGTGGGATCCTTGGCACTCGGCGCTTCGAACCCAAGGTAAGCAAGGTACTCGAGCGTTGTCTTGGGCTCAACGAAAGTCGTCATGCTCCATTGCGCCAGCCAACCCTGGAGCGTGATGTGGCCTGCGTCATTACGCACGGTACATGAGGGGAAAGATGTCTCAACCCAAGATGCAGGAAGGCCGGGTGTAGGCGCGAATAGAGCCGTCAATTCTTCGTCATTCAGACCACCGTCATTGTCCTTGTCAAACAATAGGAACAAGTCGACAAAGAATCTGTAGCCGGCAGGGCTCAATTCCGCCGAGGCGTATTGCGGGACTTCGAACTTGGGGTGAAGGAAGCTGTCTTCGAGGCTCAAGCTGTCGGTGTAGTGAAAGTGCCGTAGGATTACCCAGATCGTCTCATGCCGACCCTTCTCCGCATAGAACTTGTTGAGTTGCAAAAAGCCATGCATGTCAATGCCCGCACTGATGTCAGAGCCAGGGGCGGCTTTGCTGATAGTCAACTTGATGTTCTCGAGGTCATCTTGCGCGAGCGCCTTGTCGAAGCATTTGAGCTGAAAGTCGAGCATCTCCTCGTCGTTAAGATAGCCATCTTGGTCCTTGTCGCACAGGTAGAATATCCTCTTCAGCGCGGCGACACAGGCTGGTTTGAGCTGTCCCTCCTTGTAGTCAAATAGTGGCGCAATGGGGTGTGTCACGGCTTTCTGGCAGAGGAAGAAGACCTCGTTGACGTTGTAGTGCTGGCGCGCACTCGTGCGTATGCAAGAATCAATCTCCCTGAACTCTTGCATCACTGGTAGCATCTCCTCCTCCACCACCTGAGACGTCTTGCCATCGCCCAGCAAGTCGGACTTGTTGGCACAGAGCACCACGGGGACGTTAACACCGAGGGAGCGGAAGTAGGGCATCCAGAACAGAGCGACGCGCTCATAGCTGTAGTGGTCCGAGTAAACGAGAAGTATGACGTTGCATTTTCGAATCTCTTTGCGAAGAGTCGTGCGATCTTGGGGTCGAGCAGACGTATCGACGATGGTCGTAGTTACGTTCTCGGGGGTTCCAATATTGGGTGGGATGTTGATCTGGGGCAAGACCGGCTGGATCTTGTTCGAGTAGAAGACATCTTTGACCAGGGATACGATCAAACTGGACTTTCCGGTGCTTTCATCGCCGCATACACAGATGCGCACTGTTGTCCAAGAATCAGCCCACTGATGAATGTCTTGAGGTGGAGGGAGCGGGTATGGTCGCACCTTGTGCCATTTTGATGGAAAGTTAGCCCGGTCAGTTGAGGTATGGCATTTCTAAAAAAGAAGGATCACGGCGCGAGAAGGCGTGATGTGAAACAAAGCTGGGGAGACAATGACGACCTTTGCCGCGCTTCCCGCGACGAGAGGATAGCTGAAGAATGCAGCCTTGGTATGCGTGGTATGTGTGGTGATGCCCTACGAAGGACAACAATAGCGGATCCTTGCAGGCCACTGAGCTTAGCTCGTCGAGGGAGCTTCCTTATCGGGCTTATCCGCTGCACTGGCCCTTGGCTAGCCTGGATGATTGGTAGGCAATGGCGGAACACTGAACAACCAACAACCACTATCATCCATAGGCCATAGGTAGGAGACTTTAATATCGATCTCCAAGGAGAGGAAGCACAGTCCTTCAGCTAGATTACTATTGTCTTGTCTCCAACAAGTTTTACCACCATTTACACACTATCTAGAACCAAAGGCATACCCACTGCGGGACATGTCTTGGAACGGTTGAAGTTATAAGGGCCATTCCGACAAAATGTGCTCACATAAAAGAAATGTCCAAAGACAGAGTAAAGCATTCGTTGTATACACCACGGTCATCTGCCAGAAAAAGAGCACACAGCTATGTCAATCCCATTCTTCAGCTCAAAGGAAATCCTATCAAAATGTGTGGATACTTCTTTCTGAAGGGCCACAGCCCTCGAGTGCAATCAGACATAGGTCCATACGTACCTAGGTACCTACTATGCTCGAGTTCATGTATTGCAATGCGGAAGTTCAGGTATAACTTCCCCAATGAACTCTAGGTGTCACATGTCGAGAGGCCATAGTCGCCAGCTACAGTACTTTGAGCAGGCCAATTGAAGAACTGCTTCAAAACTGTCCAAGATTGCGATCGAATGTCTGGTGGGTGGGACAAGCAGCCCGTCAAGCCGGAGAAACCAAGACACAGCAGGGCCCGGGGCTGGTGCGTCAAATTCCACGCATGGCCAACCTGGGCCACGGGCCCGTTTACCCCACACTCCCAACAAGCACATTGAGCCCAGGTTTTAACTCTGTCAGGTCTGGCGTGCGGGGCACAAGAGGTGATCAGCCATGCACCTCCATGTGCTTCCAAACCCCTGCTGCGGTCGCTTGCTCCTCTCCCGGCTCAGAACCCATTGGCCACTTATTCGTCCACTTCAATTCCTCACCTCATCACCAACCTCCAAACGTCCCCTCACTGTGCCTTGGTGCTATCGGCCTGTACATGTCATTGTCTGCGCCACAGGCTTGCTCTCGCATCCTGTTTGTCGGTCGTCTACTCGGTCCTGTTCAACTAAAAGTCCTCAAAGCGCGCGCTTGATTCCCCTCCTCCTGGTCTTGCGCAAATACACGCACGCACGCCTCTTGAGAACACACGACCAGATCTGTCTCCTTGCCCGGCTCATTAGCCATGTTGTAAGAAAGAAGCTCCATTAGTGAAGGTTTAGGAACTTCTTTCTAACTTTTGTGATTCTCTTAACAGTGTTCTTCCACCTCCGCCTCGGTACCCGACACAGGCTGCCTACAATGCGGCTCTTGCGGGTGGGCACATTGCCCCCATGATCGAGACCAACAACATCCTGTCGCATCCTACAGGCCCAGAATACCAGTTTCTGGTCGGTGAAGGTGCGAAGACGAATTCCTTGCCCACCAGCGCCCTTTTGAAGTCGAGGATCTCCTGCTGACCCGTGTTCAAACTCCCCCAGGTCTTTACGTTCTGAAGGAGGACCTACATCTGGCGACTCCCCCACCTCACCCCTCCGAAGCCCCTATCGTCAATCCAAATCCTCTCGCAACCACACCGCAGCCAGCTAGTGCCGGTACAAAGGTATCTCTTCTTTCATTCGAAGGCCGGCCGACCTCATCTACACCGAACAAGCCCTTCGGGCTGGCCCTTCGCCCTGGCTACGCGCAGGGAACCATCCCAGAACATCCACACGAGAGCGACACCGAGGCTCGTTTGAGCAGTGTCGATGGCCGGACCAGTGCAAGCGATGCCTTCCTAGGAAGCGCTCCGGCCTTCGGCGAAGGCAACGCTCACTTGTCTCCAGTCAACGCCAAGGATGCTGGCAAGAAGAGGAAACCGAAGAACAACATGACCAAGAGCAATTCTTCCTTCATATCACGAGTCATCGTCCACGAAAACCTCTCCAAGAGACTGCAGGACCGCCCTGCAGATGGACTTTTCGCCTTTGCCAACATCAACCGTGCTTTCCAGTGGCTAGATCTCTCATCCGAGAAAAAGGTATGCATAAATGGCGGAAACACTGCAAGCATATGGAGGTCAAGGCTAATTCTTTGGTGAAGGCGGATTATCTGACCAAGATCCTGTTCACGAAAGCACACTGCCTTTGTCACGATGTCAACAAAGTGACCAAATCACTCCAGCATATCGACGTGATCATGGGGTTCTCCACGGGAGAGATCATTTGGTGGGAGCCTGTCTCGCAGAGATATACGAGGTTGAATAAGAATGTGCGTTGTACTACTCTTGCTGTACGGCATATATGCTAATATCCGGCAGGGGGCTATCAATGGAACGCCCGTCTCAGAGATCCGATGGATACCAGGCTCAGAGAACCTGTTCCTAGCTGCTCACATGGATGGATCCCTGGTAGTGTATGACAAGGAGAAAGAAGACGCCATGTTCACGCCGGGCGAGGAAGAGGCAGCGCAGGAGAACGGGGAAGCCGAGCCTGCGAACGGTGTAAAGAACGGGGTCAAAAACGGAATCAACCACACTACACAGATTCAGGTCCATAAATCGGTCACCTCGAAGAACCAGAAGACGAACCCTGTGGCTTTCTGGAAACTCTCAAACCAGCGTATCAACGCCTTTGCTTTCTCACCAGACAACCGCCATCTGGCCGTCGTGTCAGAGGACGGCACTCTGAGGATCATCGATTACCTGAAAGAAGAGTATGATCACCATTTTGTGTCTGTCTAGAGAAGGCTTACTGACAGCAACGATAGGCTTCTCGAGTTGTTTTACTCCTACTATGGTGGGCTCATTTGCGTCTGCTGGTCTCCAGACGGCAAATATGTTCTCACTGGCGGGCAAGATGATCTCATTTCCATCTGGTGTCCCAGCGAGTCGGCCCTCATCGCAAGATGTCAAGGTCACCACTCCTGGGTCACATCAGTCGCGTTTGACCCCTGGCGATGTGATGACAAGATCTACCGCTTCGGCAGTGTAGGAGAGGACTGCAGGTTGTGTTTGTGGGATTTCAGTGTTGGCATGCTTCACAGACCAAAAGCAGTAGCGGTAGGTCGATACAAAGAGAGTGAATCTTTGCAGACATGCTTCGGGCTAACGATTTCGAACGTGCAGGCTTCAATCCGGCACCGAGGCTCGATGGGTCCGCCGATACAACGAACAGAGACCCAAACGAGCCGCTTGCGCTCCGATTCCAACATTTCTACACAGGCTGATGATGAAGAAGACGATGAGGAGAAGATCTTGCCTCACCCAGTCGAACCCCGAGCACGGACAGCGACATTGCCTCCAGTCTGTGTAAGTGCTCCAGAATCCTCGAGACATGTTATCTGTGATGCTGACGTTGGGGCGAAGTCTCAAAACCTCGACAAGGACCCCCTTTGCTGGCTTGAGTTCACTCAAGATGCTATCATCACAAGCTGCAAATCAGGTGTGTACTATTTCTCCGCTTCATCTCCATATCGGTTACCGTCGTGCAATATACTGACCGGCCTACAGGCCATCTTCGAACTTGGAACAGGCCAACAGACCATGTTGGTCAGCCATAGTGGAGCAAGATCGTTGGATCTAGTGTCTTGGTCATGACCTCGCAGAAGGTGTCCAGTTCTCTATCTCTTGGGGCTGTTGGTATCTGAAGCGGGATTTGCTTTGTCAATACTTTCCACGCCAACATGGACCTTGGGATCATAGTCTCACAAGGTCCACTATTGGAATATTTCGCCTCGTGCGTTTGCTTATGAGCGTCTATGGTCCGGTAAGGAGTAAGGAGTTGCCAGATGCTCGGGCAATGCCGCTACTACTCTGTACAGTGCCATGAGTTTCAACCTCTGCTCGGCGACACTGCGATTAGAACGGGCCAGTCCGAAGCTAAAACGAGATCCACGTTGCAAGCCTTGGCTAGCCAGCTGGTCCATCCTACGAACTATGTACGCAGGCCCACGCCTACTTGCAGGGAGGCAAATAGCGATAAGGGCTGGCGTAGACTGGATCCTACCAACTGCGGCGGGTCTCTTGGACGCAGCAAGGAGGGGCCAAGGGGCGAGCTTGCAAATGGAGCCTTGTATCGTTGAGCCTCAATGTTTTCCTTCATGCGTGGTTTTTAATGTGGTCCTTGTTGATGGAGACCTGCTCCGTACATGCACATGGAACATGGATGCACGTACTTGTATATAACGCACCGTGTGCCAGCGGGTAATGAAGACATAGGTAGCAAAACCTGCGTGCCCAAGATATAACGCACATCATGCCCACTTATATGCCTTCACTTGCTGCTGTGAAACAGGTCGTGATGCAGATTTGATTATAGCGACATTGCCTGGGACCATGCATCCGTTCTTGATACTACTCGGACCTGCAGGAGAGAGCCTCCTTGAAACGGGACAACTAACGCGTTGCGTGGACGAGCCGACGGAGACATTTGTAAATCTGTGACGAAACACGCGTACCTAGTGGCGATGATGGGTGGGTTGCCGAGTGGGCGTCTGAATAGTTGACGGAAGTTCATCAGGAGCTACCTCGATCTTAACAATCAATATCCTTGTCACATCCTTGCCCTGGAACCCGGAAGGGCTATCCCACTACCTAAATCCGATGGGCTTGATGGGTAGACAAGTACTTCTGTTAGCAGTCTGTCAACTAATCTGACCCTCACTTGGTTGCACAAGGCGGCCGTGGGTAAGGTAAGATACTTTGGATTCCACAAGAACGAAAACCCTTATCAGACCCATTTATGGAAAAAGCCAAGCATCCATGCCGGGGACCGTGGGCACAATAGGTAGGACAGCCGGAGTAGTACCGCGGTGCATTCCTTGGGAATCTCTGCCTTCCGATCTGCGCCGTAGTGCCGTCGAAGCCCAGTTGACGTTATCAGAGCCTTACTGCATCTAGTAACGACCTTGAGGCACTAACAAGGAAATTATGAGGCAGGCACCATTTTTGATCTGCATACCTATCTCGAATCCTGCTTGCGTACCGGGTCCTAGTGAGCTGATAGCCAACTGGGTATCAAATTCACACAGGCTCTCCCAAGCAGAATGTTTCATGTACTTGCGCCGAACATGATGTGTGCCAGTCCCCGAGATTGGCAAAGGGCAGAGTATTGCAGGCGACATGATTCAAGACGGTTCTCGGTAATTACATACAATGACACAAGATGCGAGATACAGTCGTCCGGGCGGCTGCTGGCGCTGTCGTAAGGGGCGGTGAGTCGCCGAGTCAAGCCCGGGTGGGCTCGACTTTTCTCCTGCCGTTGACCGATTTCCGGACCGAGCTAAAATGGAGACGACCACATTGAGCGGAACGAACCTGAACCCTGTTTGTTGGCGCGTTTCTCTCTCGACTCGGTAAGTGAGGGAATATCTTATTGCCCTCAGAAATGATAGGTAGAGCTGGTGCGTGTGCACCACCAGTCTGCACCAGAGTTCCTCTCGGATTCAATCGAGTGCCCTTGACTCCTCGGGGAGTTGATGAACATGTGGTTTTTGAGTCGGGGGACGATGAACCGAGAGCCGGTTGGCCAGAGGGCCGGGGAGCAGTTCCCTATCGTGGCCCATTCTTCCTGTTTCAAGGCTCTTCAAGGCTTCAGGTGGTGGTGGTGGGTCTAACATGACCCTGCACGTCAAAAGACGGCGCGCATCTTTATTTGACAGTGCCGTCCATTCCTGGCCAGCAACTGTCCCGTAGCGCATCAGGGCGTTGTTCTTGGCTCCATTGGCCCTCCCTGTGAGTGACCACGCGCTTCCGCGAGGTTGCTCCCGCTGCCACTGCCTTGCGGCGAGCGATCAGCCCATGAGTGCGGAGGGGAGAGGAGAACCATCTGATGGCGGAGTCTACCCTCGGCAGGCGAGGCGCGGGGGAAAGAGATGCGAAAAGACCCTGGATCTCACCAATGCCACATTGCCAAGCTGACGAAGCAGATGGCCTGACTGTCCACATGCACTGCTGCGTCCGTCTTTGCCTAGGTAGCTCTCGGAAGACCTAGACTGGCTGGTGTGTTCCTGCCGATAGGGCTTGCTTGGGGAGATAACATCTGATATCAATGCACAAGGGAGGGCCACTGGTTTACAAGTACAGGTTGTCCAGGCGCTACGCAGGTGGAAACATCAATTCGGGCCACCAAGGTCCACAGTGGGACCTTGGCCTAGTACCGGTATCTGAAAACATGTACCCGGCCAAGGACCATGCGCGGCATCTCCCAGTCTAATTGGAGGGCGGGTACATTGGCGTGACAAGGAGAGAAGAGGGTGGGCACCGGTGGGCTTGAGACGATCCAAAAAAGATCATCACGAAACAGAAGAGAGATAAGAAAGTCGCGTAAAACACAAATCCTGTCGTATGTAGTGGAGAAGGGATGCTGATATTTCACAATAAATAGACATAGCTACCTATCTTCACTAATTTCAACAAGAAGCGCATTTTCACCGCCCCCCTCCTTGGGGCTGAGTGAGTGCTGACATGCGGATGAGGTGCTATGCTGGGAGGATTTGGTCCGTTTCCTCCTGCAGTAGTATCAATTGGAATAAGAACGGGCAGGACCAAGCACATAATTATTGATGTTCCTGACACACTGGACCCAGGCAAGGCAACGTGCTCGGCGGGACCTCGCAGGCAAACGGCAGCCGTGCCGACCGTCGAGTCGCCGGTGCCGGCAGAGGCGTGTGAGGCGTGTTGACCACTAATTGAATGCAATACCCATGGAAGGAAAAGAAGCATCGATGGAAGGGTCACACAGACCACCGCCCTACCAGATCTGAAGGTCTGTCTCGGTACGACACGGTATGGCAGTCACATGTAACTACAAGTACCAGCTTTCGGCGCAGATGGCGGCAGAGCGTGGCAGGGATGGCCTCTGTTGGAAGATGAACGGCCGCGGTTATTCATCGGCGCAGGCACGGGCACCAAGCATCAGAAGAGGCTCCATCGGAGCCCCAGCAAAACCGGTGCTAAACCCGGGAGGTGGTGTGCGTCAAGGTTACGAAAAGGCTGTCGAAAAGCTGCAATGCATGTAACTACGTCGACGTGACATGGAGCGCACGAGTTGCAGCGGCCGTTACTTGGCTGTACTTTCGTGCATCCCGTTCACTAACGGGCAGCCCACTTTTAGACTTTTTTCTTCTCAGTCAGGACATTAGTCGAAGCCCCCCATCGCGTTATCCCACCTGCATCTTACGGTCAATTATTAGTACAAGTACTCCGTACACACTGACTGGGCCTGGGCCGCTATCGCACGACTCAAGCTGATACCGCGAGTAGCCAAATCTCCGCCAATCGCTGCACCCATTCCATGATCCTAGGCCAGCAAGGAAAACGCTGGCTCTGGCCGGCGGATGTGCGGCGCGACACTAGGTACTTTTCATCCTTTGCTGGTCCCGCCCACCTGATAAGTAGAGTAGGACTGGTAGGGCAGGAAGAGGGTAATGGCAGAGTGGTGGTGGTCGGCGGCTCAGGACAAGGTGATCCTGTTCTGACATGAGAATCCATTTTTTGCATGTGGCCTGGTTCAGTGAGCCAAGTTCCCTTGTCGCCGTCCCTGGCTTGTCGAGGTACCTACCACCTACCTGCATCGTCGCCTCTGACCTCGTCACCCGTGGGCCCGTCCCCGAGTCCCCTTGGCGCCGCCGCATTGAGGTGTCTCCCACGCCGTGCTGCCTGTCGTATTTGGAGACTACTTGAGTCGGATCGGTGCCCTCCTCTTCCCCTCGTAGACTTCCCCTTACCACCTTTTCGCCTTTTCGGAGCCTCTTCGCCTCGTCCTCGACGGACAACCGCAAATCGAGAAAGTCCCATGGCTTTCAACTACACCGAACACGCCTGACATAGGTTTTGTAACCGAAACTCGACCCCGGAGTGCTCACGGCTGCCTCACGCCGTTTGGGCTCGCTCCGACCCAAAAACGAACCTCACCCGCGCAAACCCATTGTGTTCTGCGTGCCCGCTGCAGACACGAAACCATCCAACCCTGTTTCCGCAGTGCTTCCAGCGAGGCTCACTGCAACTTTCCAACAGTCGACGGGTCGACTGACTTCATCCTCTAACTCGAATACCACCATCCACCTACCAGCGGCCCAACTCGCCTGCCATGCCTTCCTTTAACCCTTTCACCTCAGTAACAGGCCGCCATGCCTTTACCCTCTTCGATATCCGGTGAGTCTCCCTCCCCAGTCGAGACCTTTGCCTCTCCGATCTAACACAAATCTAGCCTTGAGAGTGACTTTATCGTCTTCCGCGGCAACGAGCATGAGTCCTCCGGGCAGATGCTCCAGGGCGTCGTCGCGGTCTGTGTACCCGGGCCAACCAAGATCGAGGACATCCACCTTCGGTTAACAGGCACACAACATCTCTCGTGAGTATTGCAGTCACACGTTGGCGGCGTGGGAGCGCAGCACGGCCAGGCAACTAATCGCTTGCCTTACCAGATGGATCGACTCCAAGATTACGCCGACAGGCATCTCAAATTCCAAGGTCGACAAGTCGACGGTCATCTACCAGCACAGGTGGCCCTCTTTTATGGGCACGCCTGGTAAGAGCATGATTCTGGAGAAGGGCAACTACGAATTTCCATTCGAGGTCCTCCTTCCTGGCGACACCGCCGAGAGTGTCGAAGGCATGTCTGAAGGGAGCATCGTCTACCGCCTCAAAGCCACGATCGCGCGCGGCAAGCTGGCCTACGACATGCACGCCTACAAGCACATTCGCGTTGTGCGGACGCTCGAGTCGTCGGCGCTCGAGTTCCTGCACGCCATGAGCGTCGAAAACATCTGGCCCAACAAGGTCGAGTATTCCATCATTGTGCCGCAAAAGGCCATTGTCTTTGGCAGTGCCGTTCCGCTCGAGACGAGATTCAGCCCTTTGCTCAAGGGCTTGGAAATCGGCGATATCACGATCAAGCTGCTGGAGATCCACGAGATATTCTTGCAAGGCAACCACGGGCACCATCTCAAGGAGCACAAGAAGGAGAGGGAGGTTGCCTCGTGGACCTTGTCGGTCACCAGGGAGGAGCATTGGCACGACATGATTGAGGATACCGGTCAAGAAGGCTGGATGTTGAACACGCAGTTGGACCTGCCGCGGAAGCTGGGCAAGTGCATGCAGGATGCCAATGTTCACGGCATCAAGATCCGGCACAAGCTCAAGATGGTTGTATCTCTGAAGAACCCCGACGGCCACATCTCTGAGGTAAGGCTTCCTCCCTTCCGAGACGACTAGAAACCGTTGTCACTCATACTGATCCTGCGATAGCTCCGAGCTACGCTACCTATAACCATCTTCATCTCGCCCAATATCCCTCTCGATGAGGAAGGAAACCTTCGAGGGCCCGCACAACAGGCTTCCGCAGACCCCGGACAGGCAAACTCAATAGCGCCGCCAGGATATGGGGAGCATGTTCTTGATCAATTGTACGACGAGGTGGAGATCGCCGGTCTGCAGACCCCCGGCGTGCAGTCTGGCGTGAGCAGTCCTTTCTACGGCCAGTCGCGCAGCGGATCGTCAGAGAACCTCGCGGCGATGCTGAATAGCAACAGCATCCCAGTGCCGCCGGCAGCGCTGTCGTCCAGGCTAGAAGGCGTATCGCAGAGCGTCGGCGGCAATTCTCTGCACTCCAACACTTCTATATCTGGCTCCGGCTTTAACACGCCCTCTGCCCAACATGTGCACGGCATTGAGAGTGCCAGCACCTCGCCAGCCCAGTCGGCCCCGCTGTCGCGGCACAACAGCGGAGAAGAAGGTTCCGGGCAGGCCACGCCCGAGCACCTCGACTACCCGGAGATGTCGGTGCTGTGCAAGGTCCCCAGCTACGCGACGGCCATCAAGACCACGAGAGTGACACCGCTTGCCGTCTCGGAGCGCGTCCGACTGCCAGACTACCAGACGGTGATAAGTGCCCCTACGACCCCGACGGCGGCCAGCGCCAGCCTGGCCGACCCGTTGACGCTCATCCTGGAGGCATCCAACGAGGACCATCACGATGCGTCGGCGCAGGGCCCACAGCGCCCTGCTTCCCTGCCGAGACGGCAGACATCTCCGCTGACCATGCTCGGCCACCATCTTTCGCACGGCGACGCCGATGAGCGGCAACGCCTTCACCTACTGCGGGCTCGGGAGCGAGTGGCTTAGTACGACGCTATCTCCCACAGGTGCCGCCGGGTCTACCGAACGGTAGTACCTATCAGGACACCCATGATGCCATCCGTTGTGGTTTCCATCAAGACGAACCAAATTCTCACCGACCACGGTAGATGCTGAAAGCTCCGAATACTTGGACAACACGCATGAGAATTGCAGCAATGGCCGTTGTGCTCGCACAAGCGTATATCCGGCCGGATGGAACGATTTATGACCGCTTTTTTTTTATACAACAGAATACCTCAAGAACCTCAAGAAGACATAGAATTTGTTTGGCGTTCAGCACGCACTCAGAGGTCGGGCGAATACGGCGGATTGCACATCTCTTTAATGAAAGGAACAACAGGGCTTTACTTTGCATTTGATATACCCAAGTCGACTAGAGACAGGCATTTCTGTAATACAACATCATACGAATAGGAACTGGGTTTCCCTAGCTGGATGTCACGGGATGAATGTGAATAACATGAATGATATGAATGATAAGACAGAGCAAGTATGATAGTTTGGGGAGTGGTGGTGTGGCATCCAGAAGCACAGTCATCCCACCCATCAAACCGCACCATACCTACCACACACACCACGCCACCCTATCGCCTGTGCGCCTGTTCTCTTAATCTCTTTTTTCCCCTCTAGCTAGGGCGCGCCTCGTCTCTTCAGGGACCACCGCTTGACGTCATCCTTGACGCCAAAGCTTGCTGGAGAGCACTGCGCTAAAGCAAACAGCGCTGGCCGAACGGCAGCCATTGCATTTCACGGCATCGGTTGCATGAGGCCAGGTGATGATATTCATGACGATATAGACTTTGGGACCGGTCTCGACCACATGTCGCAAGCAAGCTTTTAACTGTTCCGTGTTTTGCTGTGCGACCGTTAGCGTCTCCGGATGTCCCCCCCTCTCCCTGTGAAGAAGAGCACAGATGGATGCGACCGTGGCTCCCTTCAGCAAGCTCCCTTCAGCTTGGCATGGATCAATCAGTCTGGTGTTCTCTTTGGGAGAGACTTGGGAGAGGCCAATGGAGCAACTCCACCACCCCTCCATCTACTTGTATCAGCCGAGGGACTAAGACTCGCTCACACACCTGGCTGCTGTAACTACTTGTTGATCGTCACAAGGATGGAAAACGCTTCATCTCATTTACCCATTCCTCCCTGAGGCCGCCTCCAAAGCTGCACCCTGCACCACCCTCCTCCCTGCTCCCTGTCCAGCTGCTGCCAACCCCACTCCATTCCCTGTTGGGCGGTCAACGTCACCGTCTCTCGTCCCATTAGTCTGGGCGGCGCGCAGTTTTTAATTGCATCGTGCTCGCTCGTAGTATAGTTGTTTTACTTCTACAAGTAGAGACAGACATCATATAAGACTTAGTGCCCGCGACCCTCGTTTCCCAAGGTTCCCTTGTCCCCCCCCCCCCACAGACCCTATAACCCCCCCGATCACTTTGATTTATCGACGGGACTCCCCCATCTCAGCAGAGACGAGGAGAATGGCTACCACGTCCCCGACAGAACTGCCCTCGAGGCACCCAACAGACATGAGCGCTCTCAGCGAGGATGCGATCCCAGATGCCGACCCCAGCAGCGTGAGTTGCCGGCCCGCAGTTCGGTTGTGTCGCGATGCGCGCAAATCGTGCAAGCTTTGCTGACTGACGGTTCCCTACAGACCGCAGGCCTCCTTGCGGAGCGCCTACAGGCGTGGAAGCATGCCGTCGGCTACATGGAGGAGTACATGGGCGCCGTGGAAAAGATCCACAAGGAGCAGGCAAAGGAGTACGAGAAGGTCCTCAAGGTACGAGAGCATCAGCCTACACGTGCGCGCGTGCGCGCGCGCCTTGTTGCGACGAGATGAAAAGCTCGGAATGCTGAGAGACATGGCCCTCTAGACTATCTCGAAGCCCCTGCGCGAAGGGCACCACTTCGACCAGAGCCTAGGCGGCATCGCCGGCTTCTTCGAGAACATGCGGTCCAACACGCAGGCGCTCATCAACACGAACATCGAGACGGAGAAGAACATCAAGGGCTCTGTCCTGCCCATCCTCGAACGCCTGCACAAGGAGATCAAGCACAAGGCCAAGGAGCTGGCCCACGGCGCGCAAAAGGGCGCCAAGGAGGTGGACAAGGCCCGCAACACGACCCAGAAGCATATCGAGCTCCTCGGGCAGCAGACGGCCTCGTTCGAGTCGACGGGCGGCAAGATGGCGCCCCACGACGACCCTTACGTCGTCCACAAGGGCGTCATCAACCGCCTCCACAAGCAGATCATGGAGGAGAACAACCACCGCAACGACCTGATCGCCGTGCAGAACAACTTTGAGACGTTCGAGGCCCACGTCGTCGAGGTGCTCCAGCAGGCGATGGAGGCCTTCAACCAGTTCGCCGGCGGCCAGGCGGAGCGCGTCCGCGCGCTCTACAGCGACATGCTGGGCTGCGTGCAGCGCATCCCGCCCGACTTCGAGTGGAAGGGCTTCGCCAGCCGGCGGGCGGACATCCTGGTCAACCCCAGCGACCCGCCGCGCACGGTCGACGCGGTCCAGTTCCCCAACATGAACCACCAGAGCACCAAGCCGCTGATCGAGGGCAGCCTGGAGCGCAAGAGCCGCAACAAGCTCAGCTGGGGCTACTCGACGGGCTACTACGTCGTCACGCCGTCCAGGTTCCTGCACGGGTTCAAGGACTCGGACGTGCTGCGCGGCGACCCCACGCCGGAGCTGTCCATCTACCTGCCCGACGCGACGGTCGGCAGCCCCAACGGCGACAAGTTCACGGTCAAGGGCAAGGACCGCAGCAAGTCGATCAGCAGCAAGCTCGTCGGCGGCTCGGAGCTCTCGTTCAAGGCGCACACCATGGCCGACGCCGACCGCTGGTTCGCCGTCATCAGGGAGGTCGCCGGCGCCAACGGGCCCGCGCGCGTCGAGGAGACGCCGGCCTCGCCGCTCGCCACCACCTCTGCCGAGGCCGACGCGCTCAAGACCGAGGGCGGCATCGTCGCCACTCCGCCGGCCGAGCACCACAAGGAGCAGGAGGCTGGCATCACTGGGGGCCACGCCGTGACGAGCCCGACGGAGATGTCGCCCGTGGCGGCCACGACCAAGGGCGAGCAGGAGCTTGCCGCTTCGACTGCCGAGAAGAAGACGACTCAGCCGGCTGCTTAGATGACTTTGCAGAAGGAGGAGGGAGGGATCCAGGCTACGGCGCGGGGTAGGTCAGTTTCGGTGAGAGAAAGGGAGACCATCAGGCTGGGGCCTTTTTGCCCGTGTTTGGCTCAAACTCTGTGTTAGGACTGAGGCGAGGTGCATGCAGCCTGCACCCGCAGAAAAGATTGTGTGTGTCCTGGTACGTGAACGTACGTTCACCACAGCCGCGCTTTGGAAATCGAGAGTGCTCCCCCATTAGCACGAGATGTCCTGACAGAGCCAAGTTTGCCCTCACACAGAAGCAGTTATTAGCCAGTATTTCTTGTTAATTAATCAATTTTCTCCCCCAGGCTCAGTGTGCCCTGCTCGCTGGCGGCTCCAAGTATGTAAGACCACAACAGTCGGCCTCTTCCATGGCAATGATGACAACAAGGGCTGTGATACCACCTTCTCCCGCTTGCTTCACCCGCTCACCGGGCCGAGCTGGATGCTTCCCGACGACTAGTCGCATCCGCTTATAATTGGCCAATGGATGATGCCGATCAATAATGAGGCTCCCCGTCCCGAGAGCTTGTTCCCGGTCATCTCTGGGCCGGATGTGCTGAGAACTACACACGTGTCCTGCCGTTGGCCTGGGAAATTGTTCTTTTTCCACCTCGCCGGGGCGAGTCGTCCACGGGATGCGTGGCAGGTCACAGATTTGCTGCCAGCCAGCCAACGGGGCAATTTCATGCGACCTGAACCAATAGGCCCTCTCTCGTGCAGGGGGGAGTGCTACATGTCATCCATCTCACCAGGCGAGACAGGTCGAGCTATGGCAGGGCGCACCTGCAGCAAACCTCGTCCTGCAGCAGCCGCCCGCTTCCAGTCAGCCTCAAGTAAGGCAACTTTACCCCTCCTTGGACAGAACCAACCATGATTTTGACCAACCGGCTCTCTATATGCATGTGCAAAGCACCGTCTGGGCCTGTAGGAACGAATCGTTTCTCGTACAATTGATTCGACAAGCATGTGTCGCCCTGCGTGTACCGTTTGCAGTCCATGTTCCAATGTTCCACGCCAGGGAAAAAAGGGGGGAGAGCGGGCCTCGCCAGACGTGCTTTGGTGAAGATTTGAACACGTCAAAGGAGGAGGGAGGGTTGAGCTAACCCCAGTAAGCCGTTGAGCTGTGTGATTCAGTCCAGCGATAACTTTTCTTTTCTTTTTCTTTTCCTTTGTCCTGCCAGCCACTGGCTGATACTGGTTCGTCACTTGCTGCAAGACGCTTGCTGAACAGGTGCCATCTCAGGTGACGACGGGACAGCAGAGCGCAAGCTACAGCCTCATCATGAGCTGCCATCTTCCGTCACCTCTGGCTCCAATCCTTACATCACCTATTCCCATCACCGCCCTGGCTCAACACTTGATCCGATGGGAGTTTGCAGTCTCCAAAGCCATGTTGTTGGGAGAAGCATCCAGACCAATCACCCGTCTCAGCCTTGTTTTTGATCGTCTGTAAGCACCATCGTCAGTGTTGCGATCACTCTGGGTGGCTGCTTGCGGCTGTAGCATGCAATATCAAGACTCTGTCTGGAGAGGAGCATGTGGTATGCAGTCCTCACCAGACGTCCATCCGTCTCTCCCTTTGGCTTCGTACGTTGTATCCGCTTCAGCTATGCCCTGGCCGACATGATGGGCACAAGAGAGCCGCTTTGCGTAAAGTTTCTCTGCGCGACTTTGCATCGCATCTTCGCATATAAGTTGGGCGACCTCTCTCCTACTCTGGGGGCTGAATCTTCCTTCTCCTCCCCCTTCTTCCTGGCAGCAACCCATGACATTCCTCTTTCCATTCTCTCCACACCCTCTATAGCTTCTGCCCAGCTTCGGCGTCACCCCTTAACGGCAAGGAAAACCAACAAGCTGAGGACTTCGACCCAAGTGTCTCGAAGAACGGGCGTGCAGCCATGACCAAGAAGTGGGACAAGCACCGAGATGTGATTGTGAGGCTGTACAAGGAACAGAACCTTCCTCTGCACGAAGTGAGGAAGATCCTGGAAGACAAGCACCAGTTCAAGGCCTCGTGCGTGCTCCTCATCCTCTTCTCCCTGACCTCTGTCCTTCCTCACAGCCTGGAGACGAGATGAGATGCTCATACTTCAGTGGGAGGGCGGGATTGCAGGATTCGAGCCTTTCGAACCAGACTCGACAAGTGGGGGATCTCCAAGTACAACTGCCAAAGACGGGCCAGCGCGTCGTCCAACAACTGGGCGGTGCAGTCGCCCGGCGGCGGAGAAGCGAGCCAGCCGACTTCTCCCACTGTCCTGTACGGGTACAACCCGATATACCCGAACCGCCCTGGGTATCACCAGGAGGCGTCTGGCCCCGTGGACAACTGCCCTCCAGAACTGTGAGATGCCTCCGCTACGATGAGCTGCTCCTCTACTCGTCGAACAAGTACTAATGCAACGGCCGTCTCCCTGCCCCCGTGTTCAGGCATGAAAGACAAGGTCACAGGCCGTCGTTCGGTGCGCCCGGTGCAGGCCAAGCTGATATGTATCAAGGATACCACCACCCGGGGTACCTGGAGACTGGACACCAGGTGAATTACTTTGCTGACACTATGGCGTCCCCCGGCCAGCCGCTGCCCAATGCCTATGGGGACCACAGGCAAGTGTCGATGCCATTGCCTACGCACGAACGAACTCCAGGGGCTGACTCCCATGGTGATAGAATTCCTCTCAAGTACGAGGGTGCTACCTGGCCGTCTTAGGTCTTTCTTCACTATACGTTTTTCTGTCTGTCCAATTCCTCGGTTTCCTTCCCCCCCCCCCCCCCCCCCCCCCCCCCTTTACCCTCCCGGGAATACGTTGTGTGTCACTACCCCGTTCGTTTCGTCTTACTCATGTAATGAGCAAACTGTGTACGAGCCTTGGTTCATGAGACCCCCTTTTTTTTCTTCTTGTCTTTCCTTGATCAACCTTATGGGATGTTCTTTCACCAGGTGTTATGAGAATTGGACGATGCTAGTTGGAGCCCAGACCAAAAGATGTCTTCTATCTCTATGGATATGGTAGTAAAATCCTCGTAGACCACTTTCACTCGCTCAACCAAATACACATGGCGTTTTCTGATCTCGCCCGCTTGATAACGCAAAATGGTGTTGGACCTCCAAAGGTTTACTTCCTTCGCCCTCTTGCAAAAGATACAAGTACACGGCCTACACACTTTCTATAGATGGCTCCAGCCAACGACTTATCATACAATAATGTACAGCTCGATGAACCTTGGAGACTCTCACTATTTCTAATGTACAAGCAATACATGCATATACTCTCCCCCTTTTTGGGGCATGTTCCGACTCGGCCCTCACGAGGATAACAGACATTCAGGCCCGACAATCAATCCTTCCTCACGGCGAAGAAGTAATTGCCCACCTTCTCGCTGCCGCCGACGACCTTCCAGCCCAGGCCCGGCACGTAGACGACGCCCATGCAGCGCGGGCTGTTCCACCCCGGCTTCGCAAAGTGGGCCCGCAGCTCGTCGTCGTTGATGTACTGGCGCCAGTCGTGCGTGCCCTTGGGCACCATGCGCAGGACGTCCTCGGCCAGGAAGTTGGTCGTGAACCAGCTCACCCAGGTGCGCGCGATGGTGCTCATGACGAGCCAGCCGCCGGGCCTCACGAAGGCGCCGCAGCGCTCGAGGAAGGCGGCCGGGTCCGTGACGTGCTCGACGACCTCGAAGAGGGAGACGACGTCGTAGGACTGCTGCTGCTGCTGCTGCGCGGCGGGCAGCGACTCGACCGAGGCGTGCAGGTAGGTCAGCTTCGGGGCCGCGAGGGCCGGGTCGCGGCGGGCGTGGCGGCGGGCGACGGCGAGGACCTCGGGCGAGGGGTCGATGGCGGTGACGGAGGCGGCGGACGGCATGCGGGCGGCGCTCTCGGCGAAGATGCCGCCGCCGCAGCCGATGTCGAGGTAGCGCAGCTTGGCGCCCGCGGGCAGGGGGTCGGGCTGGGAGGCGTGGCAGTCGCGGATGAAGTCGTGGCGCAGCGGGTTCATGAGGTGCAGGACGCGGGAGGAGCCGTAGGGGTCCCACCAGGTCGCGGCGAGGGTGTTGAAGTGGTTGATCTGGTCCGGGTTTACTGACGAGGAGGAGGAAGAGGAGGAGGAGGAGGAGGAGAAGGAGGAGGAGGTGCTATCTGCTGCCGCTGGTCCAGCTGCCGGTGCCGAGCGGCGGGATGGCGTGGTGGTGATCCATCGCGCTTGTTGAGTGCGTCGAGCTCTGCACGATGACGACCTGAGCAGCCGAGGTGTTTGGCGTACGGCCCTGGCGGCGGCGGCTGACCATGGTGATGACATCTTCTGAGAGAGGTGGGCTCTCAATTCCCAACACAGAGCTTCACCTGGTGCAGTCGGAAGGGTTCCCTTTTTGCACATGCAGATCCGTTCTCCCCAGTTCCGACGTAGGTACAGCTTAGGTGCGCCACATGCAAGCTCCCGGAATTTCTTTTAGCGTCTCGGCCCTACCATGGGGGGCGCCCAGGGTGCCACAGAACAGCCCTGGCCTAGACTCATTCGGTGCCCGCGCGGGTTCGCTTGTACAAGTAGTTACTTGGAGGAGGGCGGATGTGCACCCCCGCCGACGGAAGCATGGAAGCATTTGGGCCTTCTAGGAATGACTCCGATCAGTCGTGCGGTAGCACCCAGCGATGCAATCCTGGCGATCGGGGCGGGTGTTTGTCAGCCTCTGTCATCGACTCATCGGGAAGTTCGCCCAAGGTCGGCGGGTTGGACCATGGATTATGTAACTCGGGATTGCTGGACTACTTGTACATGGAGATATCTCAATCCTTGATGAATGAGGAATAAGTAACTTGTTCATTCTTCTACGACTGGTCGAATAGTATTTCTGTATTTGTGAGGCTAGTCGACAGCCTGAACGAGCCCGTTCTTTCACTAACTAATCACAAGCCAGGAATTACTGTGTTAAAATCACGACCGAGTCAAGTCAGAAATCAGGACCCCCCCCCCTCTGGCATCAGAACACCAAAAACCTCACCATTGAACTCGAAAATCACGATTGCACTCCTTCTCGGGTCTCCGAATCCCCAGTCTACGGTTCAATTGGCTCAATTGCCTCTACAGGGCGTCAAGTCCGGAAAGCATATTGTTGCCGACAGAGTATCTCCGAGGGTGGCACATCCGTTAGGGACTTTCACTGGTGCTGCTACCTCGCTGCGCTTCGCTAAGCCGAGCCCACGGGGTCCGGAATCGCACGACCCTGAACTTTTTATGCCGAGGGACCGCCGCATCACGCTCGCAGCGCCGCCACAACCACACACACGGACTACCCGCACTTCAAGATGCCCTCATCAACGATCGAGGCGTCCAAGTTCGACTCGATTCCCGACGCCGTCGAGGCCTTTCGTACGCCTGCCCCTTGCCCTCCCTCCCTCCGCCTTTTGCGCCCCCTCGGAGAAGTGTGACTAACCGCATCATGCGTCTCGCACGTGCTTGCAGGCAACAATGAGTTTGTCGTCGTGCTCGACGACCCGGGCCGCGAGAACGAGGCCGACCTGATCATCGCCGCCGAGGGCTGCACCGCCGAGCAGATGGCCTTCATGGTGCGCTACACCTCGGGCCTCATCTGCGCCCCGATCCCCGCCGCGCGCACCGCCGAGCTCGAGCTGCCGCAGATGGTCGCCGCCAACGAGGACCCGCGCTCGACGGCCTACACCATCTCCGTCGACTCGGCCGACCCGTCCGTCACGACCGGGATCGGCGCCCACGACCGCGCCCTCGCCGTCCGCGCCCTCGCCGACCCGGCCGCCACCCCGGCCAGCTTCCGCCGCCCGGGCCACATCTTCCCCCTGCGCGCCGCGCCGGGCGGCGTCCGCCAGCGCCGCGGCCACACCGAGGCCGCGATAGACCTGTGCCTGCTGGCCGGCAAGAGGCCCGCCGCCGCCATCTCCGAGCTCGTCGACGACGGCGGCGAGGTCGCGGGCCGCGCGGTGCGCACCGCGCCCGGCATGATGCGCGGGGAGCAGTGCGTCGCCTTTGCGCGCAAGTGGGGGCTCAAGGTCTGCACCATCGAGGACATGGTGACGTACCTGGAGAAGACGCAGGGCAAGCTCGAGGCCACCAACGGGTCGTCATGAGGGAGGGCAGGGGTGCTGTTGGGGCAAGGCAGAGGAGAGAGAAGTTTGATTGTGCGGCGGAGTGCAGATTTTGGGCAATGACAAGATGTGTCTTTGGATACGGGCCGCAAGGCTACATCTCAACTAACCACTATCATATCGGTATATATAAAAAAGAGGAAGACTATGGCGGGCGTACTCTTGACTTCAGCATTCTTGGTATACTGGAATACAACGCATATCTGACTTTGTGGTCCATCTCTTGCGGGGTATGTTTGTGCTTGAGGTGCTCCGATTGTAGGATCAATACTTACCTAGCTGCCCTGATCTGACATTGAAGTTCCCCTCCACCCTGCTCCAAATGTTCTTCTTGTCTTCAATGGTCCAGTTACGAACTCAGGCTCCTGAACATCTGGGGTTTCCCCGGCATCTGGCAGTGATGGTGGCGGCGGGACATCCGCCTTATCTTATCGTGGGGACCCCGCAACCCAAGCAGAAAAAAAAAAGTTGCAGTATCACCACTAATAAGACTTCGTCCAGGCGGCACTTTGAAAGAGGCGCTCTGAAATAAACGAAATCGCACGCACCTCGAAAGTCCTTCAGACTCTGCAGATATGGCCTCAAGTACAGCCGGCGCAAGTGCGCCCTCACCAGGTACGAACCATCTTTTACAGCTCACCTCCCCCCCCCAAAAGTCCCACCCCAAGGCGGACCACTAACCGCTCTGCGCGGCACAGACACCTGCCAGAACAACTTCGAGCAGGGCATCGCCCTGTCCCTGCACCTCTGGCCCGTCCTCACCTTCGCCGTCGAGAACAGCCTGGGCGGCAGCGACGCCGCGGGCAAGCGCGATTGGTTCGCCGGCTGCGTCTCGGAGCTCTTCCCGGCCATCGGCTCCGCCATGGCAACCAGCACCACCACCACCCCGCAGCAGCAGAGGCAGGCCCACGAGGACCTGCTCTGCGACGTCGAGTCGCGCCTGCTGCAGGTCATGGACGACGAGTTCGAGACGGTCGTCGACGACGGCAGCGCCTACGACGTCGCCGAGCAGATCCTCGTCCTGTGGCGCGAGTGCTCCCGCGGCGTCTTCAAGGAGGTCGAGGCGCTGCGCCAGCGGTGGGAGGGCAAGAAGGGCGCCAAGGTGACGGGCCTGTTCAAAGAGGCACAAGGGGGCGACCAGGACACGGACTGGGACACCGAGGACGACGACGAGGACGACGACGATGAAGAGGGCAGCAGCGACGTGGACATGGACGGGGCGCCGGCGCTGGTCTCGGCGCCCAAGGAGAAAGCGCCGCCAGAGGTCGACGAGGACGGGTTCATGAAGGTCACGCGGAAGAAGAGGTGAGCGTCCAAGAAGAGGAGCTTATATTCAAGATATGCCTCGAGATGTCATCGAGAACATGGGCTATCTACGGAGCACTCGGCGAGTTGTATCGTGTCTGGAAGGACTATGTGCTCGGGGGAAATCGAAAAGTCAAAGGACCCAACCGGAATCAACGCCTGCCAAAATTCCATCCAAGTATTGAAAGAACATCTCGGCGGGATCGTTCTCCTCTACTCCCAGTCTTCCTCGTCACTCTCGTCGTCCTTGCGCGCCTCCTTGGGGCTGCTGGGAGCCTGGCTCGGCACGCCAGATGTCGCACCAACCACGTCGTAGCTCGCCTCACTGTCAGCTTGTGACTTCTCATCGTTGGATTTGCGGGGCTCGGACGGCTTCAGAAGAGTTTGGGCGCGAGGAGGGTGGATAGTCGTGGAAGACTCGGTCGAGGCGGGACGGTCAGGCTTGGTCGGCTTGCTGGGGCCGGCCTCGTCATCGGAATCCTCATCCCAGCCGATTTCCTCCTCTGCAGATGCGGCTACAAAAGAGTCAGAGTCAGTCTCACATACGTGCTGATAGATCGACATATCAAATAGAGTTACCAACCTTTGAGGAGATCTCGTCGTCGAGCCTCCGCTGTTTCAATGCCGTGTCGGAGGAAGTAGTATCGCTTCCAGAAATCCGCGTAGGGGATTGTGTCGGGCACCAGCTTCTCCATGGTCGTCCTTAGCTCAGGATACTTGGACAAATCACCCGAAATGTCAGTCGTCTTCTTGTCGAGGTCGAAATCCTTGGTCCAGTTGGTGAACTCTTCACTCGAGGGGTCCTTTGCGAAACTCTCAGTATTCGTGTGGATGACGTGCAGTTGGGCATCGAAGCGCGACGTATGAATGACACGCTTGCCGGATGCATCTTTGCTCTCGAATAGCACCGTGCTGCTGCCCTGCTCCTGTGCTCCTGAGGGCGGTGCAATCTTGATGGCGTCACGCAGAAAGTCACGGACGTTGGAGCCAAACTTGAGCAGCGCTTCGTCGGCGGCATCCTCAGCTTTCTGGATGTCCTTGAGTCGCTTGGCAGCCTCGACCTTGAGCCTCGACAGGACGGTCTCCGACTCCTTGATAGCCTCGTCCGTCGTCATTTCCTTATTCGCAGTGGGCGTCGTCTCAGATTGATCCTTGCTGCTCTCCCCTACGGCCGACTGTTCTGCGGCAGACGTGTTCAATGACATGCCCCTAGTCCGGTTGACAAGGGAGGCCCGGAGGTCCGAGATGCCTTTGGAGGCATCTTGTCCCAGAGCTGTCACTTCCTGGGATGCTTCTCGATACACGGACTCGCCCTGTGCACGTCCATGTCAGCGCGGGTAGTAGAAAGGGGCACGGCTACTGTTGATGCTGATCACGACCTACCTGCTTGACGACGGTGCCAAAGAAGCCTCCAATCTTGGCCCCCCAGGGGCTGGAAGAGAAAGCACTGTAAGCAGCTTGGAACTCGGCATTCAGACTCTGCTGTGCCTCTGGCTGCTTGCCAGATGACTCTCCCTCCCGGTCCTTGGGGAGAGTCTCTTCCACGATGTGGTCGTAGGCAAAGTCCATGTTGCGTGACTCGCCACGCTAGCCTTGGAGCAGCTGGGCGCCTCTGTTCAACGTGTTTTGGGTGTGTTCGCGAGAATGACGACGTCGCCTCTCGGGCAATCGCGATTGACCCTTTTGCAGAAGCTGTGTGTCTGTGTTGCTTGCGACGCCGTGCGGTAGCTGTCGGGTCGTGCAAAGGCGGAATCGAATAGACGTGCACGAGTCGAAGACGGGCAATGTTGCGATGGAGAGCACGGGCTACGATTACGTCGGTGGAGAGAGCATGGCTTGCATGTCCAGATGGTTTGCTGAGACCCTGGGCACGGGCGCCAAGGCTACTTCGTTAGTGGTACAGACCGCCTGATGGCCCCTGGCCGTGAGCAGCCAATGGTCTGCGCCCAAGATATTGCGGGGAACTGGATATCAACTACGACGTACGCCTACCTAACTTCTTGTACGTACGAAGTACACCCCATATTTGTAGGCTGGGAGCTTTCACGGCTCAAACATATGGCCATTCAATATTGATTCGAAGGGAAAGGGAATTGAAATACTGCCGTCTGCCTTGTACTTGTCTTTGGTTTTCTGGCTCGCTCTCCTTTTTCCTTACAGGGCCCAGTTCAGATTGCGTATGGAGACTCAATCATCGTTGGTGCTGCTAGCAATCTGGAGTGGGACTTTGGCTGGTAGGTAGGGCTGGAGGGCCAACCTTTGTGCATTTCAACGTCTTTCGGGAGAACTTGCCGTGTCTTCCATCGACCTCAGTCGTTTGTGAAGAAGATAAAAGCTTGATACCTGGCAAATTCAAAGATTACGGGGTTGGATTGAGGATTGGCCTACAGTGAAGTGGCCGGCTGTGAGTTCTTGTAACCTCCGACGGAAACCGCGGTCATCGAGCTCGGGGACATCACTAAAACCGTTGCATATCGATGCGGTCCCTTGCCTGGCAAGTGGAATGGCTCCATCCATGCGGGATGATGCAAACGATTTACTCGGTCCTTGGTTTGCTTTCTTAGCCCGACGCCATCTTTGCACATCCAAGAAACGAAGACATATTGACACAGGAGGCTCGTGTCCACTCCATCAAGTAGACATCGATTCAGACACGGATCCAGTCCCCGTAGAGAAATGCAGGGACCAAAACCGCATCGGATGTTGGAACAGGGGTCACGAATAGTGCTTCGTTATCTGGTAAGGCCCGCAAGGGGAATCGAAAGAGTCACACCGGGTTGCGGGATGGATGGCCATGCCGGACAGGACGACGCGGCAGTCTGGTCATCTGAGGAGACCACCAGGCAGGAAGAGGTCCATGAGGTCTGACGACAACTGTTCGACCATGTACTTCGTAGCATGTGTGGCTCGTCTCTGTGGGTAAGGATAGATAAGCCTGCCATCAGATATGTATGTACCCCCAACGGTATCGGTAGGTGCCGTGGGCTTTGACCAGTCGGCCGTGGAGCCGGTAGTCCTCGGTGCTAGGCCCGGAGGTACCTTTTTCACGCAGAGCAAGCACAGGGCTGGTGGATCAGCCGGGCTTTGGGCTTGCTAGCGGGCTTTGGCTCAGTGCTAATTTTTCTGTCTCTTGCAGGTTTGCGATGCTGACAAATTAATAATCGACTTTCTTCTAGAGAGAACCCCTCCTTTCTGTCCCCCCCCCTCCCAAATCACCATGCCATCATTCCACCGGGACCAGCTCCTCCCATGGTAGCCCAGATCCCCATCCCCAGTATTTCCGCCTCAACGTCCCTAGACGAACTACCTCGCTGCACTTCGCATCCTTCCTGCTTTGACCCCTTCCTGGTTAGACGAGTCTCTGTCTATCCTGTTCTTGCGTGTTGTGAAATCTAAATTATCGAAATAATACCATACTTTGCTGCTTGTCCTGAGCCGCGAGACAGGCTTCCATCGCCGGCATCGCATCGCATCTGGACGGGGCTTGGTACTGTAGAAGAGAGATCGCCGTCTCCACTCCCTCTCCCTCCCCCCGTTTGTCTTACGCCCTTTTCGCTGCTGGAACAGAATCTAGAGCGGATTCGGGCTGACAGGTCTGTCTTGTCTCTTAAAACACCGACGAGGAGGGACGGTGGCCCCGTTTCTTTGGTCTGAGTCAGGCAGCAAAGGACACCCTCTAAGGCCACAACATTTCTCCAACCCCCCAAACCTACTTGCCACCTTCAACCCATACCATATCCTTCCTGTTAGCCCTGGCATCCTTGGAAACTGCGTCAAACCACATCTTTCCATTGCACGCCAGCACTGCGAGACATTCGTCTTCTCGACCTGTGCCTTTAATCAATACTTTGCTGGCATTGAGCCTCTCGAGGGCTTCGCTCGGAAGCAGCACCTCGGAGACAACCCGTCTTACATCCGAACTCCCTTGCTTTGTCATTCTTCGCTCGACAAGGCCACCTCGCGACTGTTCACACATCAGGCCCAGGAGCGTCGAGGCTTGCCAGTCGTCCCCGCGAGGCGCCGTACCATAGTCCTCATCTTCACATTTCAATTCAATCGTATCAAATATAACACTGCGCGGCTCGTCGATCCGTCATCATGACCAGCACAATCACCCCTCTCCACGACCTGGTCCTCACCCCGCAGCAGCAAGATCTGCTCTTCGCTGCCCTGAACTCCAACCGAGTGGCTGGTGCTGGATCCGCGACCACAGATCCCTCGGCTCTCACGTCGTCAGACCCTCTGAAGCAGACGAATCCGCACGGTGGTCTCAATGATAGCTCCTTCCTGGACTACGACTACTCGTTTGACGGAGCCGACTCCAGTTTTGATTTTTCCTTTGACAACGGAGCCCAGTCCAATGGCGTAGAGGAGCTGCCTGCCACTGGGGCCTCCTCCTCCGACGGCTCTCCGGCTGCTGACGACACTCCCGACAAGAGAAGTCACCCTGATGACGAGGACGATGAGGTGAACGAACCCAAGAGGCGGGAAGGATCGGACAAGGTCCCCAAGAAACCCGGACGCAAGCCGCTTACTTCAGAGCCAAGTTCGGTAAGTCTCAGGCCATCTAATCGATACTCGAGTGTTGCCCTCTACTAACACTCTTCGGCATTGCAGAAACGCAAGGCGCAGAACAGAGCAGCGCAGCGAGCCTTCAGGGAACGGAAGGAGAAACATCTCAAGGACCTGGAGACCAAGGTGGCTGAGCTGGAAAAGGCATCGGAAGCAACCACCACCGAGAACAGCGCGCTTCGTGCTCAAGTCGAGAAGATGACTGTCGAGCTGAACGAGTACAAGAAGAGGCTGTCCCTAATGTCGGCCCCACGGTCGGCTTTGTCCGCAACCACCGCCAAGCGCAATACATTTGGCAATCCCATGATGAACAACTTGGCGGACGTCAACTTTCAGTTCGAGTTTCCCAAGTTTGGGCAGCTACCGGGTCCCTCCACGGGCGCTAGCGTAAACGGCGGTGCTGCTTCCGCCAAGTCAGCAACCAGGCAGAACTCAGCCAACAGTGCCACCAGCCCCCAGACAAAGTCATCGTCGAACAAACCAAGCCCCAGCGACTCCAACTACAGCAGTGGGCTAGACTCTCAGACCAGGGACGACCTTGCCAAGTTCTCTGGCATCTTCAGCCCGCCACTGACAAACCAAAACATCGCCAGTGTCTCTGACACCAGCAGCCACAAGAACTCCCTTTTCAGCCTGGCCGGTGCCTCAACGAGCTCGCCTTCAGCATCTTCCAACTCTAACGGAGGGCCGAGCTCATCATGCGGCACCTCCCCCGAGCCTTTCACTCAGTCACCTATGGGCTTCAAGCCAGTAGACACACTCACAACTATTGGCGAGGAGCAGTCGACAGGCTTCAATCCAACCTCAGGTAAGCGAGAAGACTCGCCGGATATGGCCCGAGGCCAGTTTTCACGATTCTCACATGCTGACATCGGTACCGACAGATGCGGGCCACTTTGCCAACATTGACTCAAATGATATCAGCTGGCTTGCCTCCCAAAATAATTTCCAATTTGATCCGCAGCTCTTTGGCAATTACCGTGAGCCTCAAGACAGCCTGATCACCACCACGGGCTTTGACGACAGCTTCTTCAACGATGCTTTTGACATGGATTTCCTGACGCCGTACAACGTTGCACCAAGTCCAGTGGCGCCTGCACCTAAGACAGACTTGATTGCGCAGATCGATGCAGCCAAGAACTCGGATAACGATGTTGTTGCTGACCCCGAAGTCCTCATGAATTGCACAAAGATATGGTACGTACCTGGCTGCAACTTTATAGACCTTTTTTTCTTTCTTTCTTTTTTTTCAATTTTACTGACTTCGACCTCAGGGAGAGACTGCAAGGATGCCCGAAGGTCCAGACCGGCGATTTCGATCTCGACGCACTCTGCTCGGACCTGCAGAAGAAGGCCAAGTGTACCGGAAATGGAGCTGTCATCGGCGAGAAGGACTTCAACCACGTCATGAAGAAGTACCTCTGCCCAGAAGAAGCCGAAAAGCAGCGTGAATTAGCAGCACAGGGGAACACTACCTCGTGATGCAGTGGTCCAGACAGGCGATTTGTCTTTTGATACAGACCTGCTGCGCTTCAATGTACACTTTACGGCCTCTTTTATCGTCCTTGTGGGTTCACTCTAAAGGTCGTGAGCGACGAGATCTCGCCACGGCCATGGTGTTTTATGGGTGCTGGTTGGTTACGCCGGTCGGCCTGGGTGGTGGCATACCACAACACAAATAGGGACACTGCTCCCCGTCCATCAAAGATATTGGGACTCGGCGTTTAATGACGAGAGGAAAACATTGGAGATACATCTACTCTCAGTCTCATTTTTTCTGATTTGGTTAAGCTACAATTCGGTGCTATCTGCAATTCGTTTTGGTCAATGTGATGAGCAATGGTTGGTTTCACGGAAATGGTCAGAACTCGCTCTACGGTCTTTTTTGCAGCAGGTCCCTGTATGTTTAACTGTACTTGTTGGCTAACGGAATCAAAATGATGTCAAATTCTAAACTTGTGTCACCAGAGTGCTGATCTGCAGTGTCTGTCTGTCTGGGACATGCATGAACCACAAGTTACACAAGATGACCGACATGGGAAAAAGAAGTCGTTTCATATTCAACTGAATGCGCTTGTTAAATGAAAGCCATATAGATTTGGAATTGGGATTACTGATACGGTGTCTCGTCGTGTCTGGTTCCCCGTGGTATCTGATGCAAGTATTGCCAAAAAAACAAACAAACAAACAAAAAACAAGAATGTGTGTGTATACATGATCCCCGGTGGTTCAAGCAGGGGATGTCATGCAAGCCTCCCCCTATCACCCTTATATGTCTTTCTATTATAGTGAGCGGTGAAAAACGAGCCTGCTGGCGAGCTATGTGTGTTGTGTTGCCTGGCATCTGACGATGCCCTTCCGCATCTTTCCCCGTCTTCGTTCTGAACCGCTCTTCAGTGCGGAATTGCGCCCAGATCGTTCCCCCTCCCCACCCCGGCCGTGATGCATAGCAGGCCTCTCTCTCAATGAGGCTACTCGGCTCGGTGGCCATGTCTGTGCCGGTGCAGGTTCACTCGGGCAGGTCGCAATGTCCCTGGTCCTTTTCCAAGTACCATGGGGCCCATTTGCGAACGCAAGGGCCCCCCTTGTTAAAGACACTCCACAACGGGGTTGGCAGAGGGTTGGGCTCAAGAAGTATATATGTGCCCCAAACGCTCTGTGGGACGGCTTGTCCACGAGGCGGGATAGCAGCAGCTCTCTCTCTCTTCTCTCTCTCTCTCTCACCCACAAACGACAGACATGCATCGAGCTGGTCTAGCCAATGACCTGCCTCGCGCCTTCCTTTCCGAGAACGCCACGCTCCTTAGGCTTGGGGCTGTTGCCGCGGCCCTTCTTCCGGCTCAGGAACCCAAACACGCCGCCGGACGACGAGTCTTGTTTGTTGCCGTCGTTGGCGACACCCGCTGCGTCGGTCGGGAGCGTAGCGTCCTGGCGCGCCAGGTCAGACCAGCTGCCGCCGCCGTCGAGCGTGACCTGCATCCCTCCCGTCGGGCTCTCCACGACGATACCGCTCACAGCGCCGACCCTGCCGATCCTCGTACCGCCGTCTGCGTTGCCGGCCAGATTGTTCGTATATGAGCTCGGATATGGCGGCAGTGGCGGCGGTCGACCCGGTGGGTGGCGCCTGGCATGACTGCTTGATGGTCTCGCTTTGGCCGACTTTGGGCTGCCATCCTGCGACGAGCCCGCCGGCTGGAGGCCTGGTTGTGCTACGCCGTTCACTGCCGGCATCACCGGCGTCGCTTCGTCGGTCGTCAGGGCCTGTGGCGGACCTCCCTCTTGCGGCATGCTTGCTTGCTGCTCTGCCTGCTCCGTCATCCTGTAAAGGGCGTCCAGGGTCAGCGAAAAACTCAACAAGAGAAAGTAAGTGCAGTGACATACTTCTTGTACGCAGCCACCGTATAGTCAAAAGGCTGGAAGTCCCGTTCTATCATGCGATAGAGCTCGTCTTCTCTGATCTCCTTGTCCGTCGCATCGTCCTTCAACCGCTCGCGTGGCTTCTGCCTCCGCGCCCTCGCTTCCAAGGGTGCCTCTTCCAGCAGCAACTCTTCAAGATCATAGGTGGCGTCGAAGTTCGTCTTGTCTGCTGAAGGCACAAAGACTGGCTCGATCTGCTTTCTTTCCAGGGCCACGAAGTCGATAGCCTGGAAGAAGTCGTGCTTGATGAAACTCTCCCAAGTGTGGCCCAGACGTTTATCGGGGTTGGGATCCAAAGCATCTTTGATGGCGTAGAGGCACAGCAGTGAGACTGCAGGCGATGTCACAGGATACTTGGGGTTCGCAAGCTGGACGACCTGGCTCAGCGTCGACTCGGAATTGCCTTCAAATGGCCGCTATGACATGGTTAGAACATGAAGGCGTGACGCGAACTGCAGGACAAGGTGCCTGCTGCGAGCAAAGGGCGGGGTTATGATATTGACGGAGAGACACTTACCTTGTTGTAGATGCATTCGTAAAAAGTCACTCCCAGCGACCACCAGTCCGCACGAACATCATATCCTCGTCCGGCATACACCTCTGGTGCAAGGTAGGCCAGTGTACCTGACTTGCTGGTAAGAGACTTACCGGGGACCACATCGGAGGCAACGTTCTGAGCGAATCGTTAGCGATAGTCTTTCTCTCGAGGAGACGAAACAACCTACAAAGTCCGTCAAATGAACGTGACCGTCCGCATCGAGTAGAACGTTGTCGGGCTTCACGTCCCGATGGATGATGCCTTGTCCGTGGATGTACTTCAGAGCACAGCCCAACTCGGCAATCCAGAACCTCACAGCTTCTTCCGTGAACGTTTTCCTAGAAATATGGAATCGCAAGTCACCGCCGCTCATGAGATCCACTACCAGGTACCTGCAGCAACAGATTAGCGCAATCTCCTTAGGAAAGAAGGCTCCTCAGAAGGGAGTCGTCAGGCAACGACGTACATATACTCTATGTCCTGGAAGCTGTAGCGCAAGTTGCAAATGAAAGGGTGGTTGACATGTTCGAGCATACGACGTTCTCGGATGATATTCCGCACACTTTCGGACCGTACAACTAGAGCAGAGAGCAAGATGTCAGCCGTTTGTACGACCTAGCTGGGGTAATCAGGACCCGATGCATACCTTCATCTTTCCTGATATATTTCAAGGCGAATGACAAGCCGGTGTCCTTCCTTTCGACGATGCGCACCTTGCCAAATGCGCCACGGCCGACGACTCGCAAAAGACGGAAGTGATTCAGGTTTACTAGCATCGAACAGTCAGCCAAAGTCGTGCTACGTATCACCTGTGGTTCTCGGACCAAGGGCCAAGACGGGCCAGTTGCTCATTGGGGCCATACCTTCGCCGTCCAGGTCAACGGGCTTTCCCTGGCTGTTTCCCATGGTGAAGCCGTTCCACAAACACCTTGCAAGGGGACAGGCCGCTCGGGTGTATCAAGGTCCTCCGTTGTTCAATCGAGCCCGGTGGTCATCAAGACGAACAGCACATCCTTTGCTCCCGATCAGCAAGGGCGGCCGTCGCAACCTCAAGGTGGGGTGGCGGGAGGATGGGATTGGAGGCAGCAAGCGGCCATGCACCGCGTCCTGCCCAAAATCTCGAGATGATGTCGAATGCTGCGGGCAGCAGGCGCTCTTGCGTGTGGTCGGTGTAGCGCGAGAGAAGGGGGGTGGAGAGCTAGGTGAGGTGGCGGGCAGGCAGGCAATGCGTGGTCGAGCGTTTCCCGTTGTTGGCTAACGATGACGGAACCGAAAGTTTAAAGCAACGGGTTGGTCTATCGGGTTCAGAAGGGCACCACAGCAGGGCACGCAGCGGAGGTTCGACTGCGAAGAATGTCGAGAAGGAGTGGGGGAAAAGATCAAAGGATGACGAGAAAGGTAAGTTTCTGGATACCGGCTGGCAGCTTGCTGTCAAGCGTGTGTGTGAACGGGGGTTAGTCACGGGGTTGTGAGAAGGCTCGGGGCGTGAGTGAAGAGGGTAATGATTGCCAACTTGACCAGGGGATGGCAGCCCTTCTGGGAATAGGGAAGACAAGTCAAGGACCAGGACCAGGGGTCTTTTTCACAAGCCGGTCTTGGAGAGAAGGGGGGGTGGGAGAGTTCAACCCCAGTCTGAGTTCCCGAGAGACCTGAGACCTGAAGGAGGACAAGCCGGCCACGAGCAGTGATGGGTGGGTGCGTGGTCGGCGTGCGTGCGGTAAAGTACCTATCTATGCCTCGCTCGGTGCTAGTCTAGACCTGCTAGACCTCACTGGCACACTGGGCCAGCCCTTTGGGTGGTTCTCAAATGCTCTTGGATCGCTGTGGTTCTGTACTTGTAGTTTTGGTGGAAACAAGTGGGGAGGATTCAAGCACTGGCAGGGCCGTCCTTGCAGTTTTGGGGGGTGCTGCCTGTAGTTACGAAGTATGGGACTGCAGGTTTGGGGAAAATGTTCCTCGCTTGTCTGCTTGGCCGTTGGAGATCAATGGATAGGTGCATGCTGCGTAGGTAAGTTAAAGTCAGCTTGCTAACAACGGCTAGCTAGTCATTGCAGGAGACCTCTCCCAAGGTTCGCATCACCAATGTCCAACAAAGACAAGCTGCCAAGAGATCTCTACGGAGTACACAGGTGGTGGCAGAAGGAGGGGGAAGAGGGGGATTGAGTGGCTGGTGTACCTACTCCGTAACTGCTTGTACGTACTTATCTGTTGGTAGCAGAGTGTGGGCGAAACGTGGTGGATGCAGCGAGCTAACGACCTCTGGCTAAGCGGCCGACAGGGGGGTCAGGTATTTGTCCGCGGGCTATTGACCGCTGCTGACGTCTACTGGCTCCAGCGCTCTTTCCAGCCGCTCAGGTGGTTTCGCAGCGGGCAGGCTAGGTGGTCGAGCTGCTCCACGGCCACATGGCTCGGGATGCGAGGGCGGCTTGCCACGCGCATGTGGGATGGTCCTGCGGTCGTGGCTGCAGTAGCTCGCCTGGTTTGGTATTCTCTGTTTGTCTTCTTCCCTCTAGGTAGGTGTCTTTGTAGGATCTACTTCCTTGCTTCTTCCGAAGGTGCTTGTCGCTGGCGTGAGAAGCCAGCCGTCAGATTAAAAACGGGACAGGGAAAAAGCAAAGTCAGCCAGCCTACGGAGTAGTCGTCCGGATCCGGCTGCGACTGACTGAGCATGCCAGTGCTGCTAGGGACAGCGCGGAGCCGGTCATCTTCCAGGGCTGCTCGCTGGCGCTAGAAGCTTTTAGAGCGGTTTCGCCAGTAATTAAACTGCTTACGCCGCAGAATCCACTCCCTAGAGATTGCGTACGTAAGGTAGGTATCTTTTGGAAACGAGCACTTGTCCCTTCAAGTCTCAGCAGAGTTGAGAGCCCCTTTCCATCATCTCCCCCAGACGGGCCGTCTCAGCACGGGACAGACAGGGTGGTGATACCAGATTCCTAACGTTTCTCAATGACACCCTACGCTGGAGATTTGCCAGGTTCGTTTAGGTAATATCCGTTCCCCACCCCTATTTATACGAAGAAAGCCTGTGCTCCTGTACCAGTACGCATTTGAACTTTGGCTTCTGGGTGTCGATCAAGATGCCACCCGCTGGCACTTGTGACTTTACTTGTGACTTTGATAAGGCTATTGGCGAGCTCGCGGCCATCGAGATCTAGTCCTCCTCCATTCCAAACCTGTGGCAAAGGATCGTATTTGTCGAACTACACAAGTCCATACCTTAGGTTAGAGTCGTCGGCATGGCAGAGCCGGCCTCTGTTCGGGGCGGCCGTGGTGGGGAACGGAAGACCCTTGACAGGTTGGGACCAGCGTCGACCCATCCTCCCGTCATTCGCTGGAACCGCAAATGAAATTCCCAGATTCGCGAGATCCAGGATGGGCACAGGTGTCGTCACTCCACTTCTTCGTGCATTTCTGCGACATCGCTAAACTCGTTTCAGTCTCAATAGCTGCCGGTGGTATGGCGTACAGAAGATGACACTTGCTGCCAAGAAGAGACTGGCTATTGGATCTACAAGTACTTGTGTTGGAAGCTGAGAGTGGAATAGGTGCCCGCTCCATCATCTGAAAACGGACCTTTGCCTCATCGATGGATGCTCAGAGTACGCTTCAAGCCACAAAGCCTACAAGGCCAGCTAGGCGCTCCCGTACGAAGCTTTCTATTCCCCATCTGGTATGCACAACAGCCCAAATTATTCGCTGCCAGGCACGCCCGTGATATCTGATATCCCACCCGTCTTTGGCCACTCGCCAGTGACACCTTCCCGGTTGAGACCCAGCGGTGCACCCTTCTCTAATGATGAGTGGGGGTGTGCGGTGGCAAAGTATTTCGAAACAGAAACGGCAGTTGAGATTTCTAGAAAAGCATCTGCGACAGTCCCAGGCAAAATCAACTACCGAGCCATCAAGGCCTAGGCCATCGCTGGACATCCATCCTCCATCCTCAGCTCCAGGGCTGTTTGCTGCCGATCTCTAGATCAGCAGTGATCAGCGAACATTTGAGTCCCGGGAAATTCGCAATGTGGAGGGACATGCATGCTCCGGATCAGCAAACATCGGGCCCTTGCTGTCCCCCCCATGCCGTGTGATTCGCAATGTCGTACAAGCTGCTGCCAGGCACACCACCAACCAGGCTGGGTTTGGCTAACGGCTCTGGCGGCTCCCGGAAACAAGGGCATTTTGGGTTGCATGCAGGGCCAGAAAGTCAATTCTGCAGCATAGGGGCGCGTCCAGGATCCTCTGCGGACTACCTAGGTAGCTCTCCCCGAAAGCGTCACAGATTGCCATTTGCTCAACTGGAGCTCCGATGATTGGCGATCTGAGGTCTAGGTACTGCAGCCCTGTTTTCCAAGCGATACCAACAAAAATGAAATTTGTGGAAGCTCTTGCCAGAAAAGATTGAAAGCCATCAGTACGAATGGCAGTCCTGATAAGTCATTCGTCGGGTAGGGTCCGGAGACGGTCGCTGCTGATACACTGATGTCTGATAACATGGCGAGTACGGATGCGTGTGCACACAAAGACATGTTCAACAGCATGGCCACAAAACCCAAGCCCTGATCATATTACTCTTGCAATTCGCACATGAGCCTGGGAAGCTGAAGCTCCCTATTTACTATGATTTTTTACATCTCATGCACATGCACAACGTGTGAAGACGTCAAGGCAGTCAAGTCGATCGCTATGGTCATAGCTCCCGTTGAGCTCGTGACGTCACTTGCACGTCGAAGGTTCAATTTGATCTCCGAAACCCAATGCCCATGTCATCGATCTCAATGCTATAGACTTCACACACGTTAATTCTGCTCTAATTGATATTCTCCCGCTCTTGTGTTAAAAGTAGGACGCAAGGATCACCTGCATGTCATAGGCCAAGACAGGTTCGCTCAGAACAACAAAAGTCACAAATGGCATCGCTACGAACCATCATCACCGGCCCTTCTCGGTGCCCTCTCCAGCGCCGCTCCGTGCCCGCCCTCTGCGCCGCCGGAGCTCGCCCTTTTCACGGCGCTGCAGCTCGGTGCCTACCTTACAAGGACGACCAGGACCGCGAGTCGCTCAAACCGCGAGCCCAAGACAGCTCAAAGAGCTCCAGCGACGACGATGCTGCTGCGCACTCGGACGCCGCGTTTAACCCAGACAAGACCAGCCCGGAGGCGGCGAAGAAGTCGGCCAAGCAGGCGTCGAATGGAGATCCATTGGAAGCCAGCGGCGCGAACCAGGACATCTCCAAACCAAAAGAGGCCAAAAAGGAAGTGCAGGGCGGATCGAAGCAAGACAAGAAGAAGAGGAGCGGTGGCGGGAGCCCCGAGTAATATGCGAGGGCAGCATGGCATGGCACTGGGAGGCTGGAAGCATCAAGTACACATAGGCGTTGTGTCTAGTTAACATTTGGTTTCAATTTGCTGAAGAGTCCAACTCACTCTTCATGCACATCATCAACTCATGCATTGCGGACTCGCTGGTGTCGGCCATAGACCTTGTATCACGGCTACACGCCTTTCCAACCCAGTTTCGAAAGTCCCTCTGAAAGTCTCATAAACCATGAATGCAATATCCTGTTCGCATGCTATGCAGTCCCCGTCCATGTCTTCCTGTTTGTCTCTTAAAACGCCAAAACCCGCTCCCCGAGCGACCGACGGGAAGAGCGCCCCCCCCCTCCCCTTTTTACTCACGCATACATCCCACCGTCGTCCTCTTCCTCATCGTCGTCCTGCGGCACCGCAACCTCCTTCTTCTTAGTCAGGTCCTTGCGGCACAGCGGGCACGTCCCCTTGCTCTGCAGCCAGGGCGCCACGCACTCGAGGTCGAACCGGTGGCTCGCGTGGCACGGCAGCTCGACGACGAGGCAGTACCGGTCGTCGAGGTACCGCTCCGCGCAGATGGGGCACGCGTCCTCGGCGCCCAGGCGCCCGCGGGCCACGCGCTCGAGCGAGTCGAGGTACTCCTGCGAGACGCCGGGGACCTCGCGCGGCGGGCGCGCGATGTCGTCCTCGAGCGACTCGGCCATGGCGCGCAGCAGGTCGCGGTTGGCGTCGTCGGGCGCGTCGGCCAGCAGCGTCGCGACCTGGTCCTGCACGAGGCGGAAGAGCGCCGCCATGTCGACGGGGTTGGCCGTCGCGTGCGGGTTGTTGTGTTGCTGCTGCTGCTGCTGGTGCTGCTGCAGGGCCGCCTCGATGGGGTCGGTCGCTGAGGGGGAGGAGGCGGGGTTGGAGGAGGATATGCTGTGGAGGTGGGAGTTGAAGGTGGACATGTCGACCTGGCGCTTCCGGCGCGGCGCGCTCGAAGCCTTGATGTTGTGCTCGACTTTAGATATCGCAAGATACGGTGTTAGTCGTCTTGAGCTTGTCTTGTCTTGTCTTGCATTGCTCGCTGCATTGCGGGGGAGGGGTTTCACTGAGCTGGCTGGTGTTGTACTTACCCTCGTAAGGGGTCGACATAGTGCAGACTGGCTTGCAATGTTTCGGAAAAGAAATGAACAATTCGAGTTCTTGTCGAGGCTAGAATGCGAGGATATAGCAAGATTGACCGACTGCAAGAGCTTGGTTGCAGGCAGAAAAGATTATTGCGTCTGCAACACACCATCAGAGACCTCTGAGTTGAAGGTCCACACACTCTACCTTACTTACCTTAATGTTAGTGCTAGCTTCGTACGCTTGTCACTGCCTGGCGCAGCGAATTCATTACGACCGCCGACAGCTGGGAGGGTGCTGCGGAGAAGCTCCAGTGGGTCTCGCGGCCTGTATGCGGACTTGGGGTCTGCTGGAGCAAGGGACTTTGACTGCCGCCGGTGGAACTCATGCATTAACGCCGCCCGGAGCTTCACAAAGCCGGGTCTGGCTTGCAACTGTTAAGACGATATCCATCTTGCGACCAGTTCCGGCGGTATGGGCGCTATAACACTATCTCAGAACGGGGAAGGGCAATTGCATGATGTGATGGCAAATGTGGGCAGGCTCTCTCGGTCAAATACCTCAGAGGAGTACTTATATCTCAGAAAGGTTGTCTCAATCTACATGCCTCAACTTGAATCAGGTGCGATTCAACTTCTGGCATAAATAGCCTTCTGGTTCCTCTCTACACACTATCCTCTCCTCATACCACTCTTCAACTCCCCATTGAAGCTTCGATAAGATTGTTCGTTAACTTGCGTGCGGCCCAACACTTCCCTACGAATAACGCTTGCCTCCCTGTTAGCAAACAAAAGTGTGACCACGTTGAGCGGATACCCAGACACAGCATCATGACCACAGCAGCCGTGTTCGGATGCACCGGCCTCGTCGGCGGGCACATCCTGGCCACCGTCCTGGCCCACGACGCCTTCGCGTCGGTGTACACCATCTCGCGCCGCCAGCCCAAGGCCGGCGAGTCCTCGCCCAAGCTCCACGCCACCGTCGAGGCCGACAGCGCCAAGTGGGCGTCCGAGCTGTCCGCCCTCTCGCCCTTCCCGAGCACCGTCTTCTCCGGTCTGGGCACCACGCGCGCCGACGCCGGCGGCATCGCCAACCAGTGGAAGATCGACCACGACCTCAACGTCGAGGTCGCCGAGGCGGCCAAGGCCGGCGGCGCCAAGACCTTCGTCTTCATCTCCTCGGCCGGCACCAGGGGCCTGCTCAGCGGCTCCGTCCCGTACTCCAAGATGAAGGTCGGCGTCGAGGACAAGGTCAAGGAGCTCGGCTTCGACCAGGCCATCATCGTGCGCCCGGGCCTCATCCTGGGCGACCGGGAGAAGTCCAAGCCCGGGGGCTGGTTCTTCAACAGCCTGGCTCACGGCCTCGGCAGCATCGCCAGGGTCCTCCAGGACTCGTGGGCCGTGGAGGGCGAGTACATCGCCAAGGCTGCGGTCCATGCCGCGCTGCTGGCCGATCAAGGCAAGGCCCCGAGCAAGTACTGGGTTCTGGAGCAGAAGGACATTATCAGGCTGGGCAGAGACGAGTGGAAGGCCTGAGTAAGTTGAGCAGCCGGCCGTGTTGGGTCCATTCTTGTGAAGATCGAGGCGACGATCCGGCGTTTGTAGGATATCACGGTGGCATTTGAGTTGCATGTACATATACCCTGTTGGATTTCACTGGAGATTTTGGATTCCATCTAAGCGGAATCATAGTCAATCTACGCGGACCCATCCCAAAGCGTGGTCCTTCCATGTCAGCATCTTACACAAAGATCGCGGATAAGACGTGCATGAATGGAGACTGCTTTACAAGTCGAGAGGGTTGAGCTTCTGTGTGGGCGCATGGATTTGATGTTGCTGACAGAGCATCAATGATTCAAGGAAGATTTGACACTTTCTTCCCGAAGAAACCCACAGAAGATTCCGCACACACGACAGAACGCTCCCGGCGCACCATTATCGGCCCCACAACCCCTCCATCCAGTCACAGGCACGATAGCCTACCACAGAGACCATTGCGATTGATTCACAACCCGTTTCTTGATTGAGGTAGTTGGGCATGAATGTCACGACTAGCCTTACATACAATACAAGTACTCTCTCACTCATTAGATCGTAGAACACTAGACAACTCGCTTTTCCTGCTTCTGGTAGACCTAGTAAGTCCTCTCGCATTGGCTTGTCTCTTCCAACTCATCTCACCAAAGACCAGGCTCACACAACGGCAGCTGCCTCGTCCCCAACACACCCAGATCAGCTCAAGACACTCACATCCTCCAACACCATGGAGACAACCCGGCCCCTGATAGTAGGTCCCGAAGCCGGGCCAGAGCCGCCGTACCCTCTTCAGATGGAAGGCGACGTCATATCAGGATTCGGCCGCGGGTCAAAAGAGGTGAGCTCACTTGTCGTCCCCTACCTACCTCGGCCAAGTCCCACCCACCCGAGGCCTCAACTTGCATATGCTCGGGCAAAAAGAAAAAAGAGGAAGGGCACATGCAGCAAACAATCACAACGACTTGAAACCAGACTGACTGACACATGTCCAAACCCCTCGTTCTCCAACAAAACAGCTCGGCATCCCCACCGCAAACCTCCCCGTAGACTCGTCCGTCACGCCCTGGATCTCGGACGCCGCCTCGGGCGTCTACTTCGGCTGGGCGAGCCTGCACCTGCCCACCACCACCACCACCACCACCTCCTCCTCCTCCTCCTCGTCAGAGGGCGACCGGCGCTTCTCCCTGTACCCGATGGTCATGTCCATCGGCTACAACCCGTTCTACAAGAACACGGTGCGCTCAGCCGAGGTCCACGTCCTGCACAAGTTCGACGCCGACTTCTACGGCGCCCGCATGCGCCTGCTGATCCTCGGCTTCATCCGCGAGGAGAAGGACTACGAGGGCCTCGACGCCCTCATCAAGGACATCAACGTCGACTGCGACGTGGCGCGCAAGAGCCTCGACAGGGACGCCTGGACGCCCAGGGAGCTCGGGGCCAAGAAGGGCACCCTGGACGGCTCCTGGCTCGTGCGGGATCACCCCTGAGCAAGCAAGCTGGCCCCGGACGGGACTTGCGTCTTTGACAGGGCAGAGAGTGGGTTGGAGAGGCGCTCTTAGATGTGAATGGCGTATCTACTTGGAGCTCGGTGTTTACCAGTGATACACACACACACACACACACATACACTATTTAGACTCCTGGGATGGGGTGGGACAGGAACGATCCGAAATGAAATGAATAAATTCCTCTTTTTGGTCCGTCGACTCAAGCATGAATCTCATGTGGATGCAGTGTCAAATAATACTTGCCTCAGAGCGTTTCCATTTCAAGTGATAGACATCCGAAGCGTGTGCGAATTCGAGGAAGAAAAACCACCATGTTGTAGCCCAAACTCCCTTAAACCATATGAATATCCAAGACCTCCTCCCAATGCAATGTTGCCCCGAGATTCCGCATCTTAAAAATTCCAACCCAAAGAATACAGAACTAGACCGCGAGCTGGTGCGGTTCTTGGTTCGGGTAGTAGCAAGGTAAGAACTGGGGCAAGCGTCAGTACAGAGTTCCGCAACTTTCTTGTCGTATCATCCACGAGGTCACCGAGACTTACATTCATTACAATCATCATGGGTATATCAAAGGTGTCCCTCCGTATATGCCAGCAGTAGGTGCATTCCAGCTTGCCTCCGCGGGCAATCTTGGAAATGCCGTGCTCGCCATCTATCCTTGCAACTCTATTGCTCAATATGCCGGCCCGTATTTTTTGAGGCGACTCGTCAACACCATTGTCGCCGGGAGTAGTGCCAAGCAACTCTTGGGTACGGTACTTGAGCAGTCGACACTTGCGACGCACTGATCCTCGACTGTCACCAAAGGCGAGCTGCGCGTAATCTTCGTAGAACTCCACGACGCTTTCATCATCCATCAGCTCGGCAATAAACAGAGGCTGTGGCTTTCCTTCACTGGCTTTGATGGTCTCGGCATTGAGGCTCTTCAGTCTAGGGGTAGAAAGGCCAGCACGGCCAGACCCATCGTTGCTGACCGTGCCCGAGGTGAAGCCGGTGTTGACGTTCAGGTTCGGCTCCTTGCCCAACAGCACCTCCTTGGACCACCCCGTCAGAGCAGTGAATTCCTTGTTGACGGCTGCGATTTCGCCTGTTCGCCTGCACACTATGGCAGGGCTGGATGACTGCAGCATAAAGTCTTCGTATTCAAAGAGGCTGCGCTGGAAGCATTTCTCCATGAATACCAGGTCTTGGCTGTCCAGTGTTTTCGTACACGAGATGAAGGACGGGCGAATGCTGGATAGTGACTTGGCAATACGCAAGGTGTTGGCTTGCGAAAAGCGCGACTGAATCGAAGCGATGAGCCTGTGGAAGCCATTCACGTATCTGTAAGGCTCCGTGACCTTGTCGTAGATGGCTGAGGCATCCCGTCTCCGCTTGCCAAGGACGGCCTGAGGACCAATCTTTGTGCTGGTGACTGCCTTGGACTTTGTCGCACGAGGAGGGCCGGCTATCGATTTGGATGCGCCTGGAGTCCCAAAAGCAGTCGTTGGGGAGCCCTCGTACCCGAGATTGGTTGGTTGAGGGCTATTGTTCTCAGTGCTAGGGCTCTGGAGGCTTGTTGGACCTGCTGCAATGGCGTAAGCGTGAGGAAGCCCGTGCTGAAGGTTTCCTTGCGAGTATGGCCCGTTTGACGATTGGTCCAGACCGAGGAAGTCGTTAAGCATACCCGTATCATACACTTGTTGGTTGAGCCCGTTACCAAAAACATTAGCAGAATTGAAGCCCACATCTCCGACAGACGCCTGAGATATCGAAGGATCTCGAGGTGGCGTTTCCCCCGTGTTCCCGGACATATGTTGGAGCATGCTAAACTCCATAGCAGCATATTGACTTCCAAAGTTCAGGCCGTCGAGGTTGAAGTTGAAGAACGCCGGGTTACTGGGGTCCCAGGCGGGCGTAAAGTTGGACAGATCGCTTGCCGCCTGTGGTAATGAGATAGATCCCATCTGTGAGGTACTGGGGGCCCCGAACGACGGCGACACCGGCGACTGCTGCCCGGCAAATGGCATGTCCGGTAGTGTGGTCATGGGTGTTTGTGTCGAGGAAAAGACGGGAAACGCCGAAGACGTGTTGCCCTGTGAGAAGTAGGTGCCTACAGTAGACGAAGCCTCTGAGCCAGAATTCGATGGATGCCGGTGTCCATTAGGCCGGGTTGGGGTCGGTGTCGGATTGTAGTTTGGGCCCAGCACCGGGCGCAGGGCTTCAGGAGGCGCATCATGAAGATACTTGGCCTTCTTCCTGACGCCGTCTTGACAAGCGTCGGCGAGACCACGTTTGATGCATCTCTGACAAGGGCGTTCATCGCCTGGTGGTTAAGTTTAGCAGTCTATTATGATCAAGGATGCGGGGATATTCATATCCCAAACATGAAGGGGGGGTCATGCACATACCACAGGTCAAATGAGCTCTCTGGCAAGCAAAGCAGGCTCTCCGAGCCTTTTTCCTACGTGGCCGGAGAGGGTCTTTGGGGTCATACTTCTTCTTGACCTCTTCGGTGCCATCTGCACCTTCTGTCTTCAAATCACCCATTGTGTCGTCGTCGTCTTTGTGAATTGTGCCGTTCTCGTCGTACTCGTTCTCGTTCTCAGACATGGCATCTGAGACCTCGCCCATATTTGCGTCTATATCGCCCGGCATATTGTCTTAGTCTTATACAACATCCACGACCGGGGGTGAGCAAGAGAGCAAGACAGCTTTGCAAGCCAACTCGAGAGCTGCGCAACCACACCAAACTACCCTGGCAAGCAAAAGGTGCAACCAGGGGGGAGGGAGGGGGGCCCAGGTTGTCCGGGATGGTCCAGAAGAGGCGACTGCAGAAGAGCAGGCCGCCGTGCAGGCCAAATGCGGATGCGCAATATGCTGGGAGGAACTCTAACTGTGTGGAGTATCGTCCTGGGGGGAGGGGTGTTGCCGTCAGCCGGTCAGGACCGGATCAGCCAAGAATAGTTGCAGGGTAATGACGACGATAGGCGTGCAGGACACAATATTGGGAATGAGTACCTGTGCGCTTCCGGATGTCGAGATGCTGATCTTCAGGATATGGATGGGGGCAGGCAGGACTGGACTGGCGGCAGCCCGTCGTGCAGAGAGGAGAAGGGGAATGCGATTCACACAGTTTCGAGCCCGACTAGCGCTCTCGTATTCTTCAACGACAGATAGCTTCACAGTCCCCTTCGGGCCTCGCCAATGGGGTCAGGCCCGGTCGAGGGAGGGCTTGTTCTGTGCGACGTCGAGAGTCGCAGGGTGAAGTGTGAATTGAGGACCGGCCGTACCATGTACTAGGCGGTGTGGCAGGCCTCATGGGATCCTGACGGTGTCAGGTAGGGCAGCTAATTCCAGGTCGCAACTTCGAGGGGCCGGGACGAGGTGTGACTGTCGATGATAGGAGGACGCCCTTCTGCAGTCACCCGTCAGTTTATGCTTGTTCCACACCTTGAGCCGCCAAACCAGCACCTTGTATTCGGCGACCAAAAGCAGATGCGCAGCGATCTGAGGTGGCCGAGCAAGCACGCACGCGCGCACGAGACCGTGTTGCAAGCTGAGCTGGACCAGGGCGAGTGAGGTGAGTGGAGCGTCTCGGCACCTCCTCCTCGTGGTCTGGAGCACAGAAGCAGGCTTCTTCTCCCGTCACTCTGCCTCCGGCGGCTCGTCGACCCGTCCGCGATGTGATATTCAATGCAGCGACCGAGCTGTCAAGAGAGAGCGGAGCGGCGATTGGTCGTGGATCGAAACAAAAGCTCGCGCTGCCGTGCGTGCAAAGAGGCAGGGTGGGGCGACGACGTTTTTGCTTTTTTGCGGTCATATATCGGGACACCAGGTAAGCTCTGCAAGACGGATAGCCATTGTAATAGGCAATCTTAGAGTGGACAGACGGGAGCGAGACTAGGGAGGCCTTGTGTCGAAGTGCGCCACCAATTGGATTTGCGGGCAGGACGTGGTTGAGTCTCCTGCAGAAAGCGGAGAGAAGGGAGGAGGGTGTGTGTATGTGTGGAGAGAGGATGGATGACTGGACCTTTGGTGTTGACCGGGCTGAAGGAGGAGCGTGGAGGAGACCACTTCGGATTGCCGCTAAGGAAAGACTGGATGATCGAGACTCCAGTGGTCAGTCAACTTGCTGGAGGCGGCAAAGAGGTACCGACCGGGTTGGGCAGAGCGGGTGTGCACCTGGTTTATTAGGGGACTTTTTCGGGGGGGGGCAGCAGAGCCAAGCACAGCACCTGAAAATCCAATCCAGGGTACTGCACTCCACTGCCCAGCACGGCCGTGCGGGGCTTTTGAACGCTCTTCCCCCCCACTATTCCCTGCCTGCTGCTTGTGTTGGAGTAGCAACACACACGATGATTTGCTCATTTCATCAAGCTTCTGGGGCTTTGAATACATCTTACATGAGTGTATCCAATACATCCCGTATCTACCCGGAAAGTTGAGCCGATGCCCAAGGATGAAGCCCACACCAAGTACTTGGGACTTTGTCATGCCAACCCTTTTTGATGATCTTCAATGATGCCGGCGGTGATCACCTCACGGAACACCGCCTCATTCATCTGCGTACCCCTAAGTAGGTACAGTAGTGTGCATATCTACCTTACTTTACCTCAGGTAGTAATGCAAAGGCGGTTCATGGGTTAGCCCGTCGTTGCAGTGGATGGCTTGGACCGTTGTCGACCATCTTTTGTAAAGGGCTGCAGCCCCAAACCTTGGTTTGAAGATGAGGCGCAACTTTTAATAAATCATTTCCTCCTTGGAATCTCACCTAGTCTCGGAGTCGTGAGGCATCCCTTGTGTGTCTTGCAAAGAAGGTACTGTCGCCTCAAGCCAGCGGGCTTGTCCGATGAACAGGATTCCCCAATACAACGATACAACAGGTGGTGTCTGGGCGGCCAGCACCATTTGTAATAATGCTCCCCAACCAGAGAAAGCCGAAGAGACCAGCCAGATGTGGGTGGCTAGCACCAGCCAATAGGCCACAGGATCACACGGCATCCCGTAGACTCCATGGGCGTGCATTCCGGACCTGCTTGATTACGCAGGCCTGCTTGGGGACGAGAGGAAGATAGTAGGACTGCATGGGTCACAGGGAGGGGGACGGAGATCTCTGTTTCTGAGGGCGTCCAGCCGGCTTCACTCCGTGGCAAATTTCCTTCAGCTCGAATGAGATCAAGATCCTGGAGAGATCGCAAAATCGACGTGTCAGAAATCCAGGGAAAAGGCACTCAATTGATCCTGGGTCCGCTGCTGGTGGCTGGCTGGCTGTCGTCTCCCGTTCACGAACGGTTGCATCTGTACTGTGTCTCTCCTGGAAGATCACACTCCCAACGACACCATCATTCAGTCATCTTCAACGATCAGGATTGCGTCAGATCGGCCCTCTCCGGTCAGCTGGCACAGAAGATCCAGACGTGATTCAACTATCGGTTGGTGATAGAGCCGAATGGGGTTCCTTGTTTTATTCTGCGCTAGGTCCAGCCACGGCAACACAGCGTCGGGCTCTACTGTTCAACATGCTCGCAAAAACACCAGAGGTACGACCTCACGACACGATGTCGAACCTCGTATGCACCCATGCCTCCTCTATCGACCCTGCCTGACCGAGTCGTAGCCTTAGATACGTTCTACTGACGGTATGGCGACCGGTGGGCACGAGAGCCGACAGATCGAACCGCCTGATACGGCCTTGTGCAGTAGGAGTACGCACCTTCCCCGTGGAGTGCGGTTTCACGCATGAAGCTCTCCTTCCTGCATGGATGAGGGGTTCAAGCTTTCGTCGCAAAGCGGCTGTGAGCTCGTATCCTTTTCCCATACTTGAAAAAGATGAACGGGAACGGCAGCATGGCCACAGCCAGGAACGCCAAGAGAGACGTGGCCCATTGGTATCCAAGTTTCTCATACATCTGAAGACCGAACAGTGGAAATGCAGCTGTCCTCATCAATTAGCATCGCAATTGTCGTGGTATCAGGGGGGCTCCTCATCTCTCTGTCACCGGTCTCTCGAACAAGCAGGTAGACATGCACAGAGAGCTGGATGTCTGAGATGTGCATTTGCGTACTTACCCGCAAAGATGCAGCGCACGAAGGCATTGGCCGCCAGCGCACTGGCTGCATAGAGCTGGTAGGTGTCGACCTAGTAGGCTCGAGTCAATCTCGGATTCAGACCAATCCACGGCCAAAGCCTTGGAAGGCTAATCTCTGCAGTGTCCTGTTTCGGCCACAGCACAGCTGCCCGCCGTCGGTGGGACAGCATGGCAGGAAGGGGGAAGTACAACTTACAAAGAAAGTGAAGATGCCGCTGAAGGCGAGGATCGTCCTGCAAAGGATCAGTCAACATTTCGGTGCCCCAAACGGCTGTCTGCATGGGGCGGCTGCAGCTACCACCCCAACGCATGCACAGAAACCCAAAATGCAATGTCGTGGGGGCGACGCAAATGAACGCAGTCAATTATTGTGTGATCAACGCCGCATAACCAGGCGATCTTGCTTCAGGGGGGATGGGATTGGGCTGGCAGATTGAACCCAGGACATCATGCGATTTTGCGGTCTGCAAGGGGCGGCAGAGGACCGGGTGCACCTGCCCTCGTGTCCAACTAGCAATCTGAACCAGCGGCAAGCCCAGCTATAGCTCCACCAGGCCGCATATCTTGGGGCCATCTGGCGGGCCCAGCCTGGCCTGGTGGCTTGAGGCAGTCACTTGAAAGCACTCGCAGGGCAGAGAGAGAGCAAATCTCTCGGAGAGGTGATCCAAAGGACCACAACAAGAGACGACATGCAAACGAGGCCAGAGATGAAGGTAGAAAGGGGGGGTTGGATGATCTACTTACCCAGCAGCAAATATGCCTGCTCCAATGATGGGAAGGATCCAGTGAACACTGGCATATGTTGTCCAGCCGAACCAGAAGAGCCCGATAGGGACGAGAAGGGCTCCGAACATGACGGATGGTAGACGGTACTCTGGCTCGGTCGCACCCTTGACCCCCGTCTCCTGCTCTCTCTTCTCGATAAGCCGCTGACGGATACGATTCCAAAGAGGGAACGTAAGGGTAGCAAGCATCATGCCCACGAGCAATCCCAGGAAGGTCAGCCCGATTTGCCACAGGTTGAACCCATGGTTCGACTGGAAGACCAAGGGGAAGGCTCCGAAGAACAGGTAAAGAATACCGAGGAGGACGGCTGAGTACACGTCGAGGCACACGCATATCGGCTCCCAAATGAGAAGTTGGAATGGCCGCAATGTTGCGAGGCCGACTGTCCTGGCGATAGACTTGTGCGATTTCTCAATGGGGGCCTTCCACCGGTCGTCGCCCGTATCGTGCCTCAGCTTTCTAGCCTTGTTGCGCAACAGCACGGGGTCTAGTCATTTTCACACGCATCAGTAGGTGTCTTCGTTGTGAACCACAGAGATCTCTTCCAAGTGATCGTAGACTGAGAGAACATGAAATGAATCTGGATGGCGACTTACGATACGTCTCTGGCACAAAAAAGAACAGCCCCAAGAAAAGTAGGAACCCCCATATGATGAGAATGTAGTGCGTCCACCGCCAGTTGACATGATAATTGACGAAGCCGCCAATCAAGGGGCCCATCGAAGGTCCCGCGAAGGGAGCCATGGTGAAGACAGACATCGCTGCTTGCATCTCGTGTGGGTTAAAGAGATCGCCAACTGTGCCGCCAGCAACGGACAAGAACGCGCTTCCTGTAAACCCCTGGAAGAAGCGCGCAATGAGCATAGTTTCGATGTTCTGAGCCACCGCGGACGGGATCAGCCATATGACAAACAACGCGAACGAGACGAGATAAATTGGCCGTCGCCCAAAGAACTCGCTGAGCGGACTCCACATGGGGCCGAAGGCGATGCCTAGGACGAAGGTCGACAGACCCAGCGTGGCGACAATTCTCGAGCTACCGAACTCGGCATTCATTTGCGTGTAGGTTGCCGTGTAAATAGAACTCGCGTTTGTACTACAGGCCATCGGTCAGCTCGGTGCCGTCTCCGGCTATTGTACCACCTCCGATGGTTCGGACCTCCGAATCCGACCGGAGGGCTTGGCAGACTTACACGGCAAAGCATCCAAAAGAGGTAATAAATACAATGAACCACTTCCGCGCCTTTGTCATGCTTCGAGGGTTCATCGGGTCGTTGTCGCCATCATCCCATCCCACCTCGTAGGGGTCCTTGGGTGGCGTGCCGTTTGCTGTGGGTATCATGGCCGGCTCCGGTTCCTGAGCCTCAATGTCTGTCGTATCGGCCGGAAAGGACACCTCCCTCCTCAAGGTAGAGGAGGAAAGTTGTGATTGAGAATCGTCCTTTTCACCATACATTTTGTTCATTTCGCTTGACGGCACTGAGCCGGAGGGAGCCGCGCTCTTCTCAATGTCTGATTCGGCCATGTCGAGAGCTGTGGTGCTTTGCGAAGTTGGTCTCTGTCCTTCGACCCGGGGCAATGGAAAGAAGAGAGCAGTCGACCAGCCTCTTATACGCGCGATGGAACTCTTCGCGGAGCTCCCGGCGGCATGTTCATCGAGTCACAGTCACAGTCCTTGGACAAATCCGAAAGAAAACAGACGCCCTGGCCATTATCTCCGACCGTGAACCCATCCAAAACAACCAAAGGCAAAGATACGGATAAGTGCACTGGGGCTCCATTACCTCACTGTCCCCACAAGCCCATTATTCAGCGGGCTTTTTGCGCCCGGGATATCATCATCCCTCCTAAATAGCGACCAAGCGTCGCATCGAGGCGTGACAGCTGCACCTGGAAACGTTGATCAGGCCAATGAGCGGCCCGAATTTGGCGGCCGACGGCGGGAGTGGAGCAGGCCGCCGTCACTTTGTCAGTACCTAGGTAGGGAATAAGTCGGTCTTAAGTCTCCTAGCTTGATGCTAAATGTGTGAATGAATGCGCGAGGAGCCGAGACTAAGGGTCGCACGTCATGTCAAAGATCATGTAATCAGTGTTCTAAAGCTTCGTCCACTCTAGTCCCACTGATGAGCAAACGCATTGGTAAGTTCTTACGTGTAGTTGTCTCGACATCAAGTGTATTTGCAAGATGACAAAACAGCAGTGCTAGCATCCGTAGATTCGGCGTTGAACGAGAGGAACTCTCTCAAAAGCGCCGGAGTGAGCAATGGCTTTGGAGTGACTGATTATCTGCTCATAGCAGCTTTATTCTCTATATACTGTCATTAAAGGCATTGCCAACCCCAGTCGTCTTCTCGTACATGCTTTCGTCGTGTCTTTGGAAGTTCCCTGTACATTGAAATTCACAAACTCCATTGGCCATGCATATGTATGTACCCTATGCACCTCGAGATCCTGTCATCCAACCCCTGCCCCCATCTCGCCCGTCAGTACGTCTCTGGCAAATCCCCAAAGTCCGGAATCTGGCTCAGATCGCAATTGAAATCCCTCTCCCAGGCCTTCGTAGGCAAGATGCCAGCCGCCATGCCTTGCTTGTAGGACCACTGCGCCGAGCCGCCGGTGCTAGACTCCGTGTCCCATGTCCAGTAGAACCAGCCCCAGCCCTTCTCGAAGGAGTACATCTGCGCCTCGGCAAACATCTTGAGGAACTTCTTGTACGAATTGCCGTACCGGCTGGCGTCGCCGTTGGCCTGGTCACACGAACACTGCGAGTTCTTGGTCGGGCAGCGCGGCGTCAATACGTTCAGGCTGGGGTCCCCAATGTCGTACGTTCCGGTCCAGCGATTGCCCTGTCCCACGTTGGTGAGCATGGGCCGGCAGTCCGTGTCTGCCTGGGACCACTCCGCCACCAAGGTAGGCCCGAAGCCCGTGGCTGTGTTCATGCTCTGCTCGGTTTGCTGCGTCCAGCCAGAGCACGCGTACTTGATCTTGTCGGCGTGCGTGTATACGATCTGATTCGTGTTGAAAATGACATACTGGTGTACGTCGAGCGCCAGGTTGTTGTTGTTGGGCTGACCTTTCCACTTGCCAAGCCCCATGAAGCCGTCGCCAAAAACGACAATGGCATCCTTGATACCATTCTTCCGAACCATGCTAGCAACATCTTGAGTCCAGCTCATGACTTCCGACACAGGCAAGAAGGTCATTCGCGGCTCATTGGCCAAGCCATAGTGGGTGATGATGTTCTTGTAACGGTCCTGCGCGAAGAACTGGGAGAGGCGGTCATGAATCTCGACCGACCTCTTCACGTTCAGCGCACCATCGGTCCCGTTCATCCACCCGATGGCGCCCTGTTTGCCGCTGTGATTCCAGCCATTTTGACTGCCCGGAAGGCCGTGCAGATCCAGGTTAATGCGCAGCCCGTATTTCCTCGCCCATTCGATGCCTCGAAGGAGATACCTCCAAGAAGTCCTGAACAGATACGGATCTCCTTCATACACTTCCACGGCCCAGTACGAATAGGGGATGCGGACGTGATCGAGTCCAGCATTCGCTATGTCGGCGAACGTCTTCTCGGTGACAAAAGTCGCATAATGCTGTTCAAGCTTATCGGCGCATTGATCACCGAGATGTTTACACAGGGTCCACTCGTCAATGATGCCGAGCTTCAAGTCGTAGTTGAATAATGAAGGCGTGATGAACGGTTCCAGTGATAGCCAGCCCCCAACATTCACACCCCGGGCTGGAGTGGTGGCGTACGAACCCCACGGCTTGTTGATAGGGGGCACGCGGCTGTTGGGAGCCTTGGAGTCGTCCCATTGTGTAAAGAGACCCATAACCGGAAGATTGCCGACGAGCTGATCGGTATAGGTGAGATTGAAGCCTGTCGTATCTTTCCACTTGAACGGATTCAGCCAGGCGGGAGCATCCGCGGGAATACTGCTCGGTGACACCTTTCCGATATCAGAGCTACCGGAGTTGGAACTGGAATCATTGGACTTCTTTTGACTGACGACAACGGCGACGATGATGATAACCAGTAAAACGACGCTCACCACCCCGATGATTATCCCTAATTCTAGTCAGCCTGTTGCCCATAGGTCAGTTGAGTGCAGGAACATGTTAGCTTACATAGCCGTTTGTTCTTCCACCTGCTTGGTGGCGTCTCATAGATGCCCTCTTTTTCGAGGCTATCCCAACTTGCGCCGCCGCCGCGGATGCCTCGAAGTTCCCGTCCCCTCCCTTCTTCGACCATTGCTCCGCTCACCACTCTCCTCTTCTTACTCTTGTGATGTCTCCTGGGCTTCTCGACTACTACCCTCTCGACCTCGCGGTAGTCATCGCGGGATACTTTTGTCCGTCTGGCGTCTCTCCTCCGGTCTCGGTCTCGGTCTCTGTCGCGTTCTGCGTCCTGAGTGCGTCGTCGCTCCCTTTCTCTCTGCCTCTCCCTGTCGCGGTCCCGGTCTCTGGGCCGAGAAGCAGACGGCCGCGCATTCTGTGCGTTCAGCTGAGCAAGAGCATCAGCCGAGAGTGTGTGCGCGCTGCCGCCCGATTTCGCCCCCTCCGAGGATGATGCAGCTCTCCGGGCCGTTGAACTGCGTTTCCGATGCTGGTGTTTTCTGGTTCCTGACTCCCGATGCCGCTGCGACGGCCGAGCACTCTCCCGCGGCGCCATGGGGATCCTGATGAAATAGGCGCTATCATGCAACGATGAAGAATGGAATGTGCAATGTCTCACTTGATTTCCAGACTAGATACGTCACGATAGCCACGACATCCTCATGCAAATGTCCCACTGTATTTCCCTGTTTGTCGAGATTTGGTTGTTGACGGGGCAACAATCTAATCGCCGATCGCTGGTGCGCCTCGCACGCTAGCTGACCCCAGATTCTTGATGGCCGGCTGGATGCGGCGTTGGGCTTATCACACCGCGGGGAGCCGGTGGAAGCCGACCGGCCGGCTTTACGACTTCGTCCCTCACAAACCTCACCTTCCTTTTCTCTCTTCTCCGTTCGTGTCTGTCTTTCCCCGTCACGCATCGAAAGTGCCGCAAAGATATATCGAGATCCAACGTCTTTTACGTGCCGAAATGAGTGCGTCAAGTGGTAGACTCAACTCGGTAGGCCGCATGGCCAAGACGGCGCTGGCGCCCTCCAGACCTTCTTGCGCGGCGCCTCTTCGATGCCTCCTTCCTGCTCTCAAGGTTCCAGCGAGACGATACTCGACGCATCCGCCAAATGCCAAGTTGAATCTGCCGGTCGACTACTCCGAGATGCCTCTTCTGGCTCACACCAGCAAGACAGCGCTAAGCAACCCAGAGCTTCCGCCAGAGGTGCAGAATGGGACGGCCAAGAAGATGAACCTCTACCAGGCTGTCAATGACGCGCTCTCGACCGCATTGGCAGAAGACGAAAACGTCCTTCTTTTTGGAGAAGATGTCGCGTTCGGTGGCGTCTTTAGATGTTCAATGAAGCTCGCTGAGAACTTTGGCGGCGACAGGGTATTCAACACTCCGTTGACAGAACAGGGAATCCTAGGGTTTGCAGTCGGGCTGGCAGCCGAGGGTATGAGGCCAGTGGCAGAGATCCAGTTCGCCGACTATGTGTTCCCAGCATTTGATCAAATAGTCAATGAGGCGGCCAAGTTCCGGTACAGAGAAGGCACCAATGGCAGGCATGTGGGCGGCTTGACCGTCAGAATGCCGTGCGGAGCTGTTGGACACGGCGCGCTCTACCACACGCAATCTCCGGAAGCCTTGTTCTCACACACACCAGGTCTACGAGTGGTAATGCCACGGTCTCCACTCCAGGCCAAGGGCCTTCTTCTCGCCGCAATTCGAAGCAACGACCCGGTCATTTTCATGGAACCTAAGATCTTGTATAGAGCGGCAGTGGAACAAGTACCGACTGCAGCATACACCTTGCCTCTATCAAAGGCAGAAGTGCTCAAGGAAGGGAAAGACTTGACCGTCATCACCTATGGCCAGCCAGTATATACTTGCATGGACGCAATTCGCAAGGCTGAAGAGGCTTTTGGCGGATCAATCGAACTTATTGATCTGCGGACGGTCTATCCTTGGGACAAGGAGACCGTGTTCAAGAGTGTGCAAAAGACCGGGAGGTGTGTGGTGGTCCACGAGGCCCAGTTCAACGGCGGTATCGGTGCAGAGGTAGCTGCGTCCATACAGGGCGACCATGAGACATTTATCCGGCTCGAGGCGCCCGTCCAAAGGGTAACCGGGTGGGATATCCCAACGCCGCTCGCCTATGAGCAGTTCAACATACCTACCATTGCGAGTAAGTCAACATTCACCACGAGTATTTTCTAAGGGAAGACTACTAACCTCCAAAAGGGATATTTGACAACATAAAAAAAGTGATGAATTACTGAAATGTAGACAAGCTGGAACGACAGGGAGGGAAACGGCTAGTGCAATCGACTCAATAGACTTCCTACGTAATAGCCTTCATAACTCGATATATATCCATGTATATAGAGGGTCAAATGAAAGAATAGATATTGAAAATTGCTCCGGATGGGCCCTGACCACTTATACCTAGGAAATGTATAACAGTCATAATAGTAGCGATCTTGCGTGCTTTGAGGTTGATGTCGAGTGTGGTGTTTCGTTGAATATTGAAAAGCACTTTGGCAGAGTTCCGGTTTCCACCTGGTGTGTTTCAAGGTCGAGGCGCGGCCCGCCAGCAGCTGGCGTGTGCTCCCCCTCCACCTCCAGGCCCCTTTGAGCGACTTGTTTTCAGGTGCAAGTTGAGAGCGCACTAGGAGCTGCTTGCTAGCGAGTCCCTGCTAAAAGTTGTGCTGTTCGATCATCCCGCGGCCCATAAAAAGCTCTGGAAAGAGACTAGCAGGGGGAGGGTAAATAGTAAATACAGTGGAGCCATCGGACCTCAAACCCAGCACAAAACCCCGCAAGGTGGCATAAGAAGAGTCATACCCTTGGTATCACCAAACCCGCCAAAACATCCCACGCTTGGATGGAGGACAAACCAAGTGTCTCCCAACCGTCCCCAGCATCGTCCGAGCCACCGCTTTCATCATCACAGACACGCCCCAGTCAGGAGTTTCTCTTCAGCCCCCGGCCCGCGACACAAGCCCCCAGCGACTCTAACCTGGATCCTGCGTTGAATCACACGCCATGCCGCCCAGATCAGAGGTCACATATTTTGGTGCAGGACCAGGCCCACTGCCCACCGACGTTCTCGAGGACGCTGCCCAGGCCTTGCTCAACTTCAACGACACGGGCCTAGGGCTTGCCGAGCACTCTCACCGCTCTGCCCTAGCCACGAAGATTATTAACGATGCGAAAGCCGACCTATCATCCTTCCTTGATATCCCAGATAACTATGAGATCATCTTTTTACAGGGCGGTGGCTCTGGAGAGTTCTCTGCCATGGCTTATAACTTTGCTGGCGCCTGGGTTGCTCGCAAACACAAGGAGCTGGGCTCAAATGATAGCTCTATCCAGGAGCTCAAGTCAGCTGTTCAGGACTTAAGGATGGACTATATCATCACCGGCGGCTGGTCACAAAAGGCAGCGGCTGAAGCTGAGCGACTCTTTGGCCCTGAGCATGTGCATATTGCAGCTGACAGTCGCAAGACGAACAACGGCAAATTTGGCACGATTCCTGACGAGACTACCTGGGATCTATCTCGTGATAGTGCTATGGTATACCTATGCGACAACGAAACGGTCCATGGTGTTGAGTTTCCGCGATTCCCGAAATGTCTTGAGCCACGGCCTGATGGGGGGCCGATTGTTGTTGCTGATATGAGCTCGAATATTCTATCCAGAAGGATTCCTATTCAGAATTACGCGGCTATTTTCTTCGGCGCTCAGAAGAATCTAGGGTGTGCTGGGATCACTGTTGCCGTGATTAAAAAGGACTTCCTACCGCAGCCGTCTGCAACTTTGATGAGACAACTGGGGCTACCGATACCGCCTCGCATCTTCGAGTTTGAGACAATTGCCAAGAACAACAGCCTCTATAACACACTGAGCATCTTTGAGTAAGTGCCCTCTTCCAAGCAAAGCATTCTGAAGCTGATCAAGAGATCTATAGTGTGTACATTGCAGGCCAGGTTCTCAGAAGACTATTGCTCCAGCACCCTGATAAGGTCCGAGGGCAGGAGGCTGCATCTGAGCAGAAGGCTCAACTTATCTACAAAACCCTCGAAGAGTATCCTGGTGTCTATCATGTCATTCCCGACAAGTCAGTGCGATCACGAATGAACATCTGCTTCAACATCACAGGGGGCGATGCTGCCGAGGAAGAGTTCCTGAAACAGGGTATTGCCTGTGGGCTCACTGGACTAAAGGGTCACCGTGATCTGCGAGGAATCCGAGTAAGCAATTACAACTCGGTTACTTCCGAAGGCATGGCGAAACTGGCCAACTTCATCGGCACTTTTGCTGCGTCTCACGGGGGAAAATGAGAGGTCCGTGGCGTGAGTTGGCTACACGATAGGAGGTCACCTTAAGACCATAACCAGGCGCTTACTCAATTGAGGCGGCGCTGTGAATCAAAAGCTATCCTTGAACTTATTTGCTCTTCACAAGCTGATTGACCTCTCTGATATCATATACACCTGGGGGTTTGGCTGGTATCTGGCCTGGTATGGGCATAGGGCAGTCACCCAGATGCTCCAATCATGAAAGGCTAGCCGCTGGCAAACGTCGTAACGTCGTGGTCGCGGACGGCTCGTTGTGCACAGGACATCTCTACAGTTTACACGAGCAACTGAACAACGGCGGTGCCAACATCGTCAAGAGCGCTCACCAGGAGTAACAGTAGAGGTCAAGTCAGTCTTCATGAGGGCCACCCTTTGCTTTCGGCCCTAATTTGGTCACCATCTGTGACATCTTTTGCGGCTGATGAGGTACATGCATCCTCGGCACTCGGAAAGGAGTCGGCGGTCTCGTGAGGGCCAGCGCACCGCCGTGATGGTCAAAAAATGACGTGTCGATAAAGCTTCTTGGGCGGCGAGGCATACGTCGCTGGCGACATGCTAAAACTGAAGAGAAGTGTACCTGGTAAATAAGGTCACGTGATTGAGAATGTCCAATCAGGAACCGGGACCATCGACCCCAAACACATGGAATAGCAACCTGCTGCCGATCTGGCAGAGCCGCATTCGACCTCGTCCTTCTTGCAAACTTGACCCTGATAGAAAGAGGCATTTTTGAGGATTGGAAAGCCATGCCGAACGCAGTGCAGATTGTGTCATCCTTTGTGGAGGGCGCTCCTCCCGGCGAGGTAAGTTGGAAAGCTCCGCGTCTCCCCCGCTCCCTTAGCTGACAACCTACTGCTGTAGCTTGCAGATGTTGTCGCAGGTCAATATACTCCCACACGCCCTCATCGGTTTCTAAACACCGGTCTAACATTCGATCGATAGACATCAAGAGCCTGAACAGTGGCCTTGTCTCCGAGCTCGGTCCCGCCTTCAAGAAGTACAACGAGGAACAGTTCACGACGGTGAAGCTTCCCGGAGCCAGCCAGCACGTCATTGTTAGTTCGCACAGCGCCCTTGGAGGCGACCGCTATTACGATACCGAAGGCTCAACAAGCTTCGCCTTCAACCATGAGACGCAAAAGGCCAGCGCGGTCGAGAGCCATGTGCTGTCCGGCCCACAGGCCGAACTTGCGTAAGTCGCCAGCACCGAACAGCGCTGGGCTGAAAGAGTTGACTGTAGACTTTCTGACATTGGTGTGTTTTGCAGCAAATACACATTGAAGAGCTTGGCTCCTTACGTCAAGGAGCATTTTTCTAATGCTGCCTACGGTGCCTACCCTATCGAGAACGACGAGAGGCTCGCGATCATCATTGTTGCCAACAAATACAGTCCAAACAACTTTTGGTGGGAACTTCCCCCGCCTGATGATGCTCAGCATGAGCATTGACAGCCTGCTAATGTTCTGCTGCTAGGAATGGTCGTTGGCGCTCGCTATACATCTTCAATCCGAGCTCGGGAAGCTTCGAGGGTTCTATCAAGGTCGACGTGCACTACTATGAAGATGGCAACGTTCGTCTCCTGACAGAGAAGCCCGTAACGGCTTCCATCAGCTCGGGTACGGGGGCCGGCATCGTAAAGGAGATTGCAGCGGCGGAGAAGAGATACCAGGAGGAGCTGAACAAAGGGTTCACCAACCTCAGTGAAGGAGCTTTCAAGGGGCTAAGGAGGCAGCTGCCAGTCACGCGTCAAAAGATCGAGTGGGATAAGGTAGCAAGCTACCGACTCGGCCAAGATATCGGTGGCGGCAGCTCAAGGCGATGATGGGGTTAGCGGTGTGATGATGTCTGAAATCCTTTAAGCACAAAGAAATGCCCGCTGTGGGCATGGTTTGCAGCACAGGGTAGAGAACGGCAAGACAGGCGGATAGATGCCGCCGAGATATCCAGGTCAATGTGCCGGCCCTTGTGTGAAGGCGAGAGACAGGTCGTGAAGTTCAGCGCTACAGTAATACCCAAATTCTATGATCAGCCTGGAACGTCTGTGTTGCGACGTGTCTCCCGGGAATACGCATCCCATAAGATGGGTCTCCTGTTCGATTGTGGTGCATATCGAATTGTAAGGTCTACGGAGTAGTGTGAGGTGAGAGGCATGTTTGAGCTGGGAGACAGGAACACTGGTGTGGGCGAGTCCCGTTCGCTTCCACCGCGGAAGCGTGACCGGGATAACGTTAATTTTACTCCGCCCAAGGCGAGACGCTAGCGGTGGATAAGATATTCCCGGATGAAGCCACTTCGTGAGGTCGCTGGTGTGATGTTCTTCTTCCCCAGAGGTGCGGTTCCGCCAACACCAGCCAATCGGCTCCTGAAGGGAACCCGAGTCACCGAGGTACCAATCTGAGCGTTCACACAGATGGGTAGAGATGAGGGGTCTTCCAAGGGCTGTCTGCACATTGACTGACGGATATGTACCTAGCAATGATCTAATCAGTGGTGCAAAGAGGCGGTGGTCGGCACTAACGAGGGACTAATAAATGGAGTTGTTGACACGCAACTGAGGTTGCAATCCATGGCATCCATGGATAAGGGATACCTTGTGCTTCCACGGGCTTCCGAAAGCTGTCGGGTCAGCTTAGCGGGAAGTGCTTTGGTATTGCTATCTGAGTACCTACCTGGCAACATGTAGGTAGACGTATAGGCGCCTGACCCGGGTGGTTGCATCAATATTCCATTGCTGTCTCTTGCGCCACGGAGATACCAGCACTCGATATTCCGTCCCGGGGCTGTACAAGTAGAGATCCGGGCTGGAAGCCTCAATTACTGGGCTATGCATGGACAGATGAATGTCATAGCTGGCATCCTTCCTGTGATACTAAACCAATGGCGAAGGATGGATTGCGTTCTGAAGACTTCTGGAAGGACATAACTCGGTATCGTCGACCCCAATGTACTCCGCAAGAGTGCTATCTTGATTCGGAAGCCGACCTTTGCAATCCGGCGGGCCAGCTTTGATGTTCTTGTCGTGGGTGGTTCAAAGTTGGCCGCTAAATTCAACAGGGTGGAGGGAAAAAACAGGGGCTGGAGGGGATCCACAGGCCAGCCAATCCCCGTAGCTCTAATTGCTCCTTACCACTGATCACCGCCAACAAAAAACTGCCGGGGGCCTCCTTAACAGAAACTCCTCCTCTTTTCACGTGTGGTGCAGTCTATTCTTTCTTCCCGATCTACCACTCCCGATCCGAAGCTGTCATTCCTTCGTGCGCACACGTCCTTCTGCGATACATCAGCCTCGTGCCTCATCAATTGTCCGTTATCGTCGCATTTCCTGCCCCGGAGAGGACAACTATACCGCAAAGATGTCGAAGCAGTTCACCTATCAGGATGTTGCCGAGCACAACACCAAGAACGACATGTACGTCGTCGTTCACGACAAGATCTACGACGTAACCAAGTTCGTCGACGAGCATCCGTATGTCTCACGACTTTTCCTCCTGCCCTCGCATTATGATATGCTAATACCGCATCTTCCCGTAGCGGTGGTGAGGAAGTCCTGTTGGATGTTGCCGGCCAGGATGCGACCGAGGCTTTCGAGGATGTCGGTCACAGTGACGAGGCACGAGAGACGCTTGCCCAGCTGGAGATCGGTGCCCTGAAGCGCCAGGTAGGAAGACCGCGACATCTGGATGCTTGCAGCGTACTGATGTTATTCTATACAGGAGGGCGACCCGGTCCCTAACGCTGGCATCCCCGGTGCTGTCTCTCCCCAGGCTCAGACTGGCGCCGCGACTGGCCTTGGAGTCGGCCTTTATGCCATCATCATTCTCGGCGGCGCTCTCGCCTACGGTGCCTACCAATACATGCAGCAGTAATATACCCCATACTATCCTCCTCGCCGCCGAGTAACAAAAAGCCTGACCAGCTCTGTGCAGACAAGCCGCTGCCGGTGGTAGCGCCCAGCAGTAGAGGATACTGTTTCCGAGACGAAGACATTCTATAAACTAGACCATTTCGCGAGCGGACTGTCACCTTCTCACCGGGGCCGGACATGCTCATCCATGCCGGCAGGAGGTAGCATGGTATGGCGATTGCGAATGCGAACACTTCGAGATTGAGGCGTTCTGTTCGGGGATTACGATCATGACAGCTGAAAAGAGCTTGCGGGTATTTAGCGGCGTTGACAATATACAAGACTTATAATTTTGATACTTTGGTACTGCGTATCTACTATATCGCTGGAGGCTGGCTGATGTTTAACTACTGTACCTGATCCCACGGCCTTTCCAGTCGTTTCCTTCGTTCATGATAACTATGTGTGTCTGCCCAAAAGTGAATGGGTGCTCTCCGGCCAAATCAGTCATGCCGAGGTTCGCAATGAGTGGTTCAGATGGGACTTATGCCCCAACAATGTCCGACACGGTGCCTCCAAACAGTGTGCGAATCCAATGGGAAGCCGTCGGTCGGTCGGAACAACAGCGGCGGTCGTTCTTGAGATTTAGGGAATACGTGTCAAGCCAGAATCGCGAATGAAAACAATTTGTTAGCTCGACCGAACCTTTGCCATCCAACAAGTCCTGCTCACTTTGAAATCCTGTCAGCGCGCCTGTTGAGTCTTTGGCTGACACCCACCACTACTTGACACCACAGGCACCTTATCAGCTGCGGTCAACCCCACCACGTGACCTCATTTCCATTTCCTGACCTCAAAGCTTCTCCCAACTCGCTTCAAAGCATTTTCTATCCTCTCTCTTCGTGACCAACGCATTTCCCCCAGATCTCGTCCAGCTAGTTGCCGCCCGCCATGTCGAGCTACCTCGAACGTCAGCGGGATGCCTTCTCTGGGGGTTTGGCCGCCATGGCGGCCAAGATGCCCGCCAAACGAGCTGCGCCCACAGCACCCGCGTCTCCGTCTCCGTCGGTCGCATCGACCACCTCCGTTGTCCCGACCGCTGGCGGCACGCCGACGAAGAAGGTCAAGCGCGACGCCGGCGCCGCCATCTACTCCCAGCCCGAGAACACGGGCGTCGGCACCGACATCAGCACCAAGATCGTCTATGCCGTCGAGTACCTGAAGAACAACGGCAAGCCGCTCGCCCTCGAGACCGTCTTCAGCCACCTCAACGTCAACCGGGAGGCCGAGTCGGTGCAGAGGGAGGTCGTCAGCCGCCTGCGGAACCACCCCCGCATCACGTGGAAGCCCGACCCGAACCTCAGCGAGCAGGCGTGGAACTCGGGCACCTACGAGCACAAGCCCGTCATCCCGAGCGTCAAGGACAAGACGTCCCTCCTCAACTACCTGCAGAAGCTGACCGACGCGCGCGGCGTGACGGTCAAGGATCTCAAGGACGGCTGGCCGACGTGCGAGGATGCGTTGACGGAGCTGGAGAAGGAGCACAAGATCCTCGTTGTTCGGACCAAGAAGGACAACCACCCCAAGATGGTCTGGCTGGACGACGCGTCGCTGCACCACGGTGTCGACGATGAGTTTCGTGCCCTGTGGGGCAAGGTCAATGTCCCGTCCATCGACGACATTGTGCACAAGTTGAGCGCGGTCGGACAGAAGCCGACGAGCGAGGACCCACGGCTCAAGGTTGTGGACGCACCAAAGGAGAAGAAGCAGAAGAAGCGCATCCAGCGGAGACCCGGAAAGACGACCAACGCCCACATGAACCACCTCCTGAAGGACTTCAGCCACATGAAGCGATAAGCCGTCTTCTCTGGCCTCCCGCCTCTTTCTCTTGTACTACTTACTTATTATATGGCATGCGGAACGGAGTTTGATTCTTGAAAGGGCGCCGAGGGAAAACGGCTGAACTTTTTTTTTTTCCTCACTGAGACGAAATGATATACAAAGATACCCCCAAATAGAAATGCCAAAATACAGGACTTATCAACTCCCAAGGCTACATCCTACTCGTCTTCAACTGAGCTTTTATTGCCTTGTCAAACAACCTCGCAAACACCTCCTTGCCCTGCATACCTCCCACCCGCCACCGTCCCTGCACGACAAACGTAGGTACCGTGCTGATTTCGTCATCTTCCCGCGCCGCCCGCGCCTCCTCGTCCACCCCGGCGTCCTGCTCCCGCAGACATCTCCTGACCTCGTCTCCACCGAGATTTAGCCCCGCCGCCGCTCTGGCGAGAAACGCCGGGTCGGCAACGTCTTGCCCCTCCTCGAACACGCCGCGGAAGATCTCGTCCAGCAGCCGGCCCTGGACATCGCTGCCGCGGCCGCGCGCGAGCCGGAGCAGGCGGTGCGAGGCGCGCGAGCTGCCCAGCCGGCCGGCCCAGGACCAGCGGGTGCCGTACGGCGCCGCGGCGGCCCCGAGGCGCCGGAGCAGCTGCGCCCTGTCCTCCGGCGTGCGGCGGGAGAGGTAGACCGCCTCCTTGCTGGGGGACTGCTGGCCTGTGTTTTTTTTTTTTTGTTTTGTAAGAAAAGAAGTCTTGATTTAGGTTAGGGCGTGTTCGGATCCTATGCATACCTGGTCTCTCCGGCTTGGCGGACAGATAGAACGGCTTGTATACGATGTCGAACTCGACGTCCGGGTTGTTCTGGGCCTTGTAGCTCCGCACCGCCTCGTCGAGGCTCTTCTTGCCGATGTAGCACCACGGACACACGGTGTCTACGTACACTTCGATGCCGATGCGGCGGTCCCTGGCCATCTTGGATTATAGTGGTAATTGCTCTCTGCCACTCTGCGACTGTATGCGACGGGTTTGATGATCGTCCTTCATGAACTGGTGGAGCAAAGCTGTTCTAAATGCCGACAAGGCACACGGAGCGGAGAGCCCCGGTGGTCATGGCGTTCCATGTCTCCACTTTCCCCGGATTTCATTGCCCGATGTATCCGTCCACATGGTAATCGGCGAGATTAAGTTTCGCACCAGGTACAATACACTTGTCAATATTGGCGATCGGGAGCATTGTTCAAGACCGCATCTCAATTTAGATCCGGCCGAGTCGATTCTCTGCGAAATGCACAGTGATTTGGTATCTTTCAGTTGACAGAACAAAACCGCAAGGGGAAAAAAAAAGGAAATTTTCAGGACAACCAACTTGGTCTCCCAATGATCTATCTAATACAAAGTCCATGCCTGCCCTGGATGCCGACCTCGTGCCATAAAATAATGATATAGGTTGAATAACCCCCTAGAAATCCCAACCCATACCATTCATGCTCTACTGCACGCGTGTGCAGATACGTGCAGATACGTGCCTATAGCAGGCAAGATTCTGCTTGCCGAGGACCAGTCTAATAAGAACCCTGATTGTACAAAGGAAAGGTGAGATGGTGGAGAAGAGAGGGTATTTCGCCCAGACGTATGGGTGCATTAAGATTGCTCTTTAGCGGTCCTGACCGCCTGATTATCCCGAAGTTGCGTTCTCTCGGAGACGTCGTTGCAATTAGGTAGAATCGGACTTGTGTGGGGTATGTGTAAGAAAAAGGAGCCCAAGGGCGAAGTGGACCAACAGTAATGATTACTGCGTCGTGGCCCAGAGCTCGCTCTGTCGAGGTTTCGAGTCGTAGGACGAGGCGGAACCTGGCTCAGCACTGCCAGTTGCGCGACCACCAGGAGCGTTTTGGTAGAAGAGTTGACCCAGTCCATTTGCAGGATAGGTCGAGTCCGGGTCGGGGTAGACGTAGGCGTTCGCACTCTGCGAGGGCGATGCAACATGGGAGGGGGATTGCCATCCGACGCTTCCCATATGCGGACTACCGCCAGCGCTTCCGGGACCCTGAGACGGCTCGATACTAGGCTCCAGCGTCGAAGGAGGGTTGTATCCAGTAGGGTGCGATGTGGGCCGGATGTTGTTGTATCCAGAAGAGACAGTCGATGCAGGGCTTGCCGCATGGACATCACCTCGGAGATGCGAGGGAAGAGAGGTATTCGGCAGATACTGATGCTGTAAGCTGCTGATACCGGCCAGGTCCGCAGAAGGCGACATTGAGAGCGGTCGTTGGGCCGGGGATGGAGTGGACAAGGGAGATCCCTGAGCGGAAGCTTGCTCGCCGTCAGATCGCGGTCGAGCCAACGCACTTCTCGCGACAGCGGCGTTGCTTGCTCCACGAGCGAGAGCCTCGGCCGTGCTTCTAGCAGCGTCCTCGACTGAACCTGTGTGGTGGTTCTGATGTCTCGTGAGAGTGGTACGACGAGTGAAGGTCTTTTGACAATCGGCGTAAGGGCATTTGTAGGGCCGCACACCCAGGTGGATGCGACGGTGCCTGGCTAAAGAGCTAGAATCGCTGAAATGCTATGTTGCAGACCGCGTTAGCAATGTGCTGCACCACAGCCTGTCAGAGGTGGGTGACATACCTTTCCACATCGCTCGCACTGATGCGGCTTCTCGCCCGTGTGCACTCGCTGGTGAACCGTCAAAGCAGAACGCTGGATGAACTGCTTGCCACAGCCGGGAAAGTCACAGACGTGAGGTCGGTCGCCCGTGTGAATTCGCTCTGTAGATAGTCAGTACGGACTGGTTCTCGTTCGCATTCTGCTTCAGATCGGCAGCTTACCGTGTCTTGCCAAGTCACTGCGCCGTGCGAAACGCTTTCCACAGGTTGAGCACGGGAACGCCTTCAACACTTCCTCAGGCAGATTCCTAGGTGCTTGGACAGGAACTCCGGGGGTACCAACTGACGGCGGTAGAATCGGAGGGACAATGCTCTGCGGCAAGCTTGGCAGGATCATGCCGGGCTGAGCCAGATTGGGATCGGGCATGTGGATAGGGGTGTGCATCGTGGATGGCGATCCATAGGGCCGAGTGTTGTCGATGCCGTTCATGGGTGTGGCCGAGAATCGTGAGTGCTCTGAACCGTGCGGAGAATCGGCCCTGTCGAGAGGGATCTGTGGAAGTGGCTGCAGAGGCTGGAGTGGCTGGAGTGGCTGGAGAGGCTGAAGAGGCTGGAGCTCCTGCTTAGGCATCTCGGGTGCTTCTTGTGATTGATGAGGCGCTGCTACGCCGCCTTTCTGGTTCAACATGTTCCCAATTCCCATAACCTCGCCAGGTCCTGGAGATGTCATAGTGCGACGAGAGGATTCGGTTGAGTTCAAGAGGGGGGAGGAGACCTCAAAGATAGTAGGCGGTTGATCCTCGCGTCACAGCGCAAAAAAAGAAAAGTGAAGGCACTGATCTGGAATTTGTCAGTGGTGAATGAAAGCAAAGTGACTTTGGGGGGAAACTGTGGGAGTGATGTGAATCCGTTGTAAGGTGTGACAACCTTATCTGATCAAGTCCAATTCACCTTGCCCATTTCGGCGAGGGCGTTGGTCTCAACCAGGAGGGAGGTGAATGTGAAGGTGAGATCAAGGCAGAGTGAATGTGAAAGTGAAAGATTTTCCCCCTCACGTACCGTGTTTGCTTGGCTTTACACCAGAGAGCGCCTTGAGAAGACTGAAACAATATTGAATCTCGACGCGACTCGGTGGAGACAAAGGATAATGTTGATATCCGCGAACCTCAACGGCCAAAGAGCTCGGGATGGCTTCGCAAGCGGCGATGCTGTCACACTATGCGCCGACGATGTGGGAGCTCGTGGTTCTCGAGGGGACGTATGCGACGTGGATGTGATGCCTCTAAACGGAAACAGGGTATGTTAGTCGAGGCTTGAGAAGAGAAGAAAGAGGTCTCGCATCATGGCAGGGTCTGCAAAAGGAGATATGTTGATGGCAGAAGCGTGCTGGAAATGTCGATGCGAGCGAGGGTCGTGATCGCGGGGACCAGGGACGGGCAGTTCAGTACCAAATACGGCGAGCATGCGGCCAAGGCCTAACCTCGGTGAGGTGACACGGAGAGGTCGCACACAGCAGGCTCTACGAGCCTCTTTTCAAAGGGTTGGGCGCCTGGCCTCGACGGTCATGAATGCACTCTGGAGCCCGAGAGATGCATCAGGGTGTGCGCAAGTTGATGTTTGGGTGCAGGTGGTGGTGGTGGTGTCTGGGGTGAGGGCGCAGAAATGGACCCGGCACCCAAAAGTCGAGGTAGAGGGTAGCGGTGGAAGGGGGAGAAAAAAAAAGTGTCAGACACGCAAACAGCACTGCGGTGTTGCGGTGGTAGACCAGACCGTCCAGGCGCGAAAAAAAAAGAAAAAGGTACCCGGGGTACAAAGGTACAAGTACTTTGCCTCTCTCGGCAAATGCCCCAGACCACACTAATGGAGCAGAGCCGGGCTGGGGGCCAATTTGACAGGTCAAGTCAACGTGCGCAGTGACGCTTTTTTGCTTCCTCAGACATCCAGGGGATGAAAGGGACCCCGAGAGGCAGAGAGAAGAGCCCAACAAATGAAGAAGCGCGATGATGGCAAGGATGGAAGCCCAGATGCCCTACGAAGTAGATTCGTGGAATACCGACCAAGGAAAAAAAGCCCACTTACCAGCGAAGATGGGGATGCTGACTGGTCTCCCGTTGATCTCTTGCCCAGAAGAAGCAAGATTAGTCAAGTAAAGAAGCCTGACCGACACGACAGGCAACGAAAAAGGCGGCGGCGTGTGTGTACGCGGTGCTGAGCAGTGTGTCCAGCGCGTGCTCTGAAATCAAAGGCCAAGGGATAAAGACGATTAAAATGTGTGTATGTGGGCAAAACAGTCGAGTGACAGGAAGGTCGTTTGCTGTAAGCCAGCCAGTAGAGACACGGACTGGAGCGGATGCACAGACGGGATGGAAGAACAAGAAGAAACGAAAGAGCTGAGGATGACGCCGTGCGCCGTGCGAGAGGTCAATGGCCGTGCTTTTGAATGGATGGCCCCCCCCCGAGATCCAAGGCCAGCATCCATCCACGGATCGCTCTTCATTTTATTACGGAGCAAGTCTCATCGCACGCCTCGTTCTCCAGCAGTCCTCTTTGAAACTAGCAATGCCAAATCAAACCAGCAGATGGGAATATAATTAACAACGACTAAGAGGATACCTAGTCCAGGCTTGCAGGGTTCATGGGCCCACCCGAGGTTGAAACGGACGGTGTGAGCAGGGGGGTCTGGGCTGAGGTGGACGGGGGTCTGACAGGTCCTGTGGTCCATTGTGTGGTCCGCTGTGCTAACGCCTATGCCAATGCTACATTACATAGGTAGGTACGAGTACTCCGTAGACTTGACTTTTGCCAGCCATGGGTGGACGGACGGGCCACCCGCATTCCCATTGTACGGTACCCGTGTTGAATATCCATGAATGTAGTCTCTCTCGGTATCAACCTCATGGATCTCTTGCTGCACAAAGCACTCGTCGCAGAGACAGAACCTAGGTCGCCATCATCAAAGGCTCCTCGACGTGCTCATACGCTTGGGGACTCAACGCGCCAGCTGCTCGGCTCTTGAGATGATGGGCAGCATGTCTGCCACTTCCCACACTCCTGGCCATCCATGAAGAAGTACCTACCTACCTACATGACTGCCAAGTTTGTTACTTTGCATGCACCTCCAGGAGAGGTGGTGTTGAGAGATCTGCCAGGAACGGGATGTAATTGGCTCCACCCAGAAGCGGTCGTCGTAGTGGTGGTGTGGCATTCTGGTCAAAGCTCATGGGAGATGGGCCTCTTCCCCAAATCCGCCAACACTCTCAAAGGCGTGGCATTGATCGGGGCATCAACGGTTCTGAGTCCAACCCCGAGCCGGTAATTGCTCCCAAAGGTAGATCACAACCCAGTCCGTCGTATTTGCAACTCTCGCTCCCGGTCTGCCCTTCTCGAGACTAAAGCAGACCAGTTTTCTAGAATGGTGACACTGCATACAGCCTACCGTTTTATGATTTCAACCATCGTTGGGGATACGCGTCTCTTCATCCCGGGATACAATCCTCCGCCTGACCAGAGTTGTGTGGAGTCAAGAAAAGAGACACCGTACACCTTCTTGAGAAGGCCCATTCACGATCCATATGAGGACAGGACAGGGGGAGTGTATCGGGAACTAGTCATCGTGTTGGCCGGCAGGCTGCATTCTCATACTTCAAGGTTGAGATGGACCAGGGTGTCGACGTCAATAGACGTTTTCTCGAAGGACATTGTCCCACCCTGGTTGCTAGAGTGCCCTGACCACCAACTGTTCCTCAGCCCTGGAGCAGTAGTACCTTCTTTTAGGTAGGGTACGTATACCTACCTACCTAACCTACGTAGGTCCGTGCTGTTGCCGGCAAGACAACAAGGGCTACGGGGTAGTTTGTCCATCGAAGTACTTAGAGTGAAGATTGAAATCCAGGACGGATTCAGTCGTTCTTCCATGTTTCAACCTGTCAGGGCCCCCCCTCCCCACCATTGAATCGTTCGAGCGGAATTATTGCCGACTTTTGTTGCGACTGGTGATAGGGGGAAACCTCGGAGCAACCTTGAACTCAAATTGAACACAGCCATCTCGAGGTTGGCTGGCTGGCTGCATGCCCCTTGAACGGGATGATCCATCCTCTGATGTCAGGCCTGGTGCTGACGGGCCACACTCCATCAGGTGCCGGGAAACAAACATCCTGACGCAGTCACTCACTGCCAAGGGGAAAAGGGGCACGACCCTCACGGCCCTCGCCGTTATCATCCAGTCTTTTGTTCATTCGCCAAGATCGGCCGAAGGGGGTGGAGGATGCACGCCTGGTGCATGGGGAGTTGCAGCGCAAACAGTGCCTGGAACCAGAAAAGGTGATCTGCATGCGCGAGCAAGGATTGGGGTGGTGCGCTGTGGTAGGACAATATGTCCCGTGAGCTAGTAGCCCTTCCGAGAATCCTTCTGGAAGTCTTCTAGAAAAGCGTCAAGTCGCCCTAGCGCAGCGCGCAGAGCCGGTTAATCTCGTACGCGCAGACGTCGACGGATGTGCCCCTTGCCTGGCTGCATCGGCTGCTGGCCTCCTACCTAGTCTGCACAAAATGACGACCTGCACACCTCTTCGTATCAGAAGCACGTCTGCCAAGGACCGCGCCCTTGGTCTCTGACAACTCACTTCCTAGGTAACTGGGTAATGACATAAAAAAAGCCCAGAGGGCATGACGGTTCAGCAGAGGATAAGTGGAAGCATGGGCCGCCTAGCAGGGGTGGGATGGGGAATTTGGAAATGAAGCATTGACCAATTTGGACAAACCACTGGCGCTTGCTCGGCCAAATTTCACACAGAGCGACCTCAATCTCAGCTTGGCTGGCACTGCAGTGCTGGCACTGCTGGCCCGACCGCCCCCAAAGCACCCCAAGCACACCCCCGGCAACCCTTGGTCCGTGTGATGCAGCTCCTGGCCCCTCCTCAATACCCTACCTAGGCAGATCGCTCTTTAGCCAGCATTCTCTCGCAGTCTAGTCCCTGTCAGAACACATGGGATCCCCAGACACCCCGGCCCTCCAAGCACCCAAGTGGGCGCGGAAGCTTCCACGAGACCTTCTACGCCTCCCGCAATGCTTTCATCAAGCCTCCGGCCCCTTCCAAGACAGCCCTAGCTTGTCATCTCCCCAGCTCGTTTCAGCACAATCTGATGCTTAGCCCCCCCGTCTGTCGAGAAATTGCACAAGGCACCGTGTTATCCGTGCATCCCGGCAAACAATGGTACCTCCACTGTGGAGGAACGCAGTCGCTGGCATTGAGTGCTGCACCACAATGGGGTTTCAGATTCGAGCAGTAGAGACTCTGTACAGCCAATACGGGCTCATATCTTCAACAGCTCTGTGAACTCCCAAGGCGCTAGGGGGTCCCATGCAGAGTCGAAGCCACCTCACTCACCTTGGACTTCAGCTTTGGCAATAGCCAACTCGGCTCTCTTCCCTGCTGGCCCCTACCTGCTTCACTCGACTCCACGAACAGCTCACATCGAACTTGGCGATACGCTCCCACGACATGACCATTGTTGCACAGCCATCTCTGCATGCATAGAACACGTGTGGAGTGGACCTCGTACCTGCAACAGCACGAGTAACACAGCAGAGCTGCAGTGGTGCGCTCAGCCAGGCTGCTTCGGCACCCCCATCAAGTCACGGACGCAGAGCAAAAGCCAGCGAGCAAAAACAACCCAGACAAAGGCAACTACAAGTACATCCCTGAGTGCTGGACGACAGGCACTGAGACACACTGAACAGGGGACTCGGGGAAAAGTGATCAGGGGCCGGGCCACCCTTGTCCCTTCTGGAAGCCTACTCCATACGGCCAGGTTCCATCTGTTTCATGTGGGTACATCCATATGAACTTCGAGACCAGCTTGCGTTAGCTGCCTTCTGGAAATATTCCAAAAAGATTAGCGACAGGGCCCATCTTTCTGACAACCCTCGAGCTCGGATATCACCGTAGGCCTACTTCCGTATTAGCCTCTCGCCTGGCTTGCTGGTGCCGGGTTCCCGCTCGAACTACTGTAATTACGATTCTTCAGGATTGTCATCTGTTTTCTATGTACAAAGTACAAAGTAGCTGGAGCGCAGCGCGACCTTCAGGATCCTTGGTGAAGCCGTGCTTTCGTCACTTCCCGGTAGGTAGTGCCTTGACTTGCGTGAGGCCAAACAGCTGGATCCGTGCTGTCATACTCCTGTTCTTACCTGCACAAGATACAGGAAAGGATGACGTGCGAGCAAGTTTGAATACGATCTTGTGTCACCCCTTAGGCAAGTCTGAGTCAAATATCTTCCAAGTGAGAATGCCTAGCAACTTTGAACCCTCTTATCTCGGGCCTGCTGCTGGCCCCCTAATACCAAAATGTCTTTGAGCTAGACCCTTTTCTTCTCATGGAAGGAAGTGACCTTAGGGCTGCAATGTATGTCTGCTTCACAACTACAGAGCAGTTCTGCTCTCGCAAGGCTACCGTCTAAATGTAATATGTGATCTTTTGGTTCTGATTGCTAGGTACGCGAGGCCTCCCCCCCAGCCCCAACTTACGACTACGCAGGAGCCGCAATTCGGCAAAGGACGTGAGGCCCTTGCAGTCTCAATGCACGGCCCCACAAGGCTTGAGCATGAGTTAAAGCGGCGCTATTGTCCAGATCTGGACAAAAATGACTTTCAATGTAGCTTCAAACCTGGTACGTGCTGGGAGTCGGGAGACCGACGATGGTAGCATGACTGAACTACCTCCAGCGCGCTTGCAGATGTTTCGGCTCTTGTATGTCTCCAGGACTGGATGCATAGCCACCTGCTGGACCTTGTCTTGTATGCTTGGATATGTATATTGTTTGTTATAGGGATATCTGTAAAGATACATCCCCCGCCATCTACCTCGACGTGGTGCCTAGGAGTTCGAGATGCTTATATTGGTTCAACTTTCTCAAGATCAAGTACGTCAGTCCCCATAGCCTGAGAATGTGAAGAAAATCGTCCAGGGTATTGTATTCATAGGCGCAACTTGATGAGGCTCCAGTGCCGAGTCGAGTGCTACATGTCTGTACAGGTACCGGGAATGCGCCCGCTGATTTGCATGACTATATACAAGCATCTCCGTTAGAGCCAAGAGCTACCAAACCAGCTTGAGAAAGGTCGCCAGGCCATCCGAGTCATTATCATACTTATTGTCTCCTAGTCCTCGTCTTCTTGGGCGGCAGCTGGATATCTTCTTCCTCCTCATCATGGCCCTTCTTAAGGTCCTCGGTCAGGCCCCACTCCTCTTTGTCATACCAGTCCTCGCCGTCAGACATGTCCTCATTAGGACCACAGTGTGCCTCGGCCTTGGCCCACCGTAGCACCGTCTTGCGCAATCGGTCTGCTCTGAGGAGACCTTCGTACAGATTCTTGGCACCCCGTGCAACTTCCTCCTGTTTTTGAACCCAGAGCTGAACCAGCCGCCGCACATCTTCGGCTTCTTGCTCTGGAAGACCGGCATCTCGCTCGGGATGTGCTGATCGTGGGGCTAGGAAAAGGGGGTGGATTGAGACGGCCTCGGATGCTCCTGGGGAGAGCGACCCGGCGGGTACGTCGCCGGCAGTATCTCCGCTGACGACCTCCGATTTGCCCGAATCATTCTTGACTGCAGCATCGTCGCTAGTCATGGTGACATCGGGATCTTCCGCACCCTCGTGGTCTCCTCCATTCAGCGATTCCTTCTTCTCGGAACCGTTGTCTGTCTTCTTATTGTCGGCATCAGCGGCGGAATCTTCATTGTGACCTTGAGCGTCTGTCTTGGCCTCCTTTGACTGATCATCTGAGTTACCAGCGTCCACCATGCTTGTGTCCCCTTCGGCATTGGGCTTATTTTCGCTTTCAACAGTTGGCGTTAGCTCCGACTGCTTGGTCTTTTCAGGCATCTCTGTTGAGCCGCCTGCATGGCTGGTTCCATTGACGCCGGATCCTTGCGGTAACGGTGCCTCGACATTTGATGTACCATTGATCAGCACCGAAGGCGGATTCGACGCATTTTCGTCCTCGAAATAGCTGATGTCATTAGGCGTCTCCAGTGCCTCGCACGGTATCCAAGTATGGTCGCCACAGAGTCTTGTAAGTAATGGCCGAACTTTCCACAGAGCAGCATTTTCACGGTGCATCCAGTTCCGGGCCTGGATGCAGAGTTCGTCCAAAGCTTCGGAAGTAAAGACCCTGGACATGGTGGGGTGTGTGGGTAGGTCGGTGACTGCGGTTAATGGAGCAAGAATGTCTGAATCGTGTCAGTGCTACTCAATGAGCGCAGGACGGTGGTGAACGCACTCTCTAGACGTATGCTGGCATACGGGTTGAGTTCAGCGACAGAGGCCATGACCTCTCGGACATGTTCCTCGTCATCGCCACTCTCCAACTCATAGCCATCGTCGTCGATAAGGGGAGGATTTCGCTCGAGGATTGCGCGCTGGTAGCCGGAGTGGTCGACAATCTACCCATGCATTAGAGCCTATCCATCCCTCTGATTGTACTTTAGACACCGCCTAATAGCCAGCATACCTCTCTCATATCAGACGCGCCCGAAGGAGCATTCAATTGTCCTTCACGAACTAGTCTGGCCTTCTTCTTGAGCTTGTTCCCGCGATTGGTGGGCTGGTCGATTGAGGAGTCCGAATCGGATTCTGCACAGTAGAAGTCAGTAATTGACGGCGTCGCGGCCATGGATAGGAAGGAATTCACCATAAGCCTTTCGCTTAACTGCCTTCTTGAGAGCCAGGAAGGTGTCCGTGAACAAGACTTGGTCTTTAGTAGTCGCCATGATGCGACTGATCCACGAAGGGGTTTCGCGACGAGATAATCAGTGTGGAATGAAGGGTTGCGCCGGCAGTCGTCGCAGTGAAAAGCGGTCCGGCACCGCACAGGAGGTAGTGCCAATGTGTTGTAGTGGATAGCCACGAGGCAGAGTCAGCTGGGTATTAGGCTTCCAGATAATACGTGGTCTGCGTGGAGGAAAAGTTGCGATGGTGTGTGGTGTTTGAATGACCGAGGAAACGGAATCAGCAAGGCTGTCGCTACTTTCTTGGGCGCGTGTTGGATGTCGCTGATCCGTGCACCAATATCCATTGGCTGGGCTAGGCGGTGAGGTCAGTTAGCGGTGGCAGAATATGGTTACCGACTTCCAAGGTTGTCAGGCTGTGGTCCCACCAAAGTGTCCCAGCGGATACCCCACTGTTAGCCTAGCTGCCAGGCCCCTAGGTACAGTCGGACTACCTGTGATTACCCAGAGCTTCCAAACCAAGCTATCAGCACTGAGCCTGCCACCCCTCGGCAAGGCTCATATCGAAGAAGCATACCATACAGAAGTTTGACCTGTGGCTGCTCGCTGTAATTTCCCTGGCCAAAGATGCTACATTGGACAACTGCAGGTTGAGGTAGTGTTCGGCCAGTTCTCGCTTGTGGTTCTGCTGAACTTCGCAAGCCCATTCTCGAGAATCGCCGATTGGAACTTTATACTGTGAGTCTCGAGCTTGCTGCCTCGTCGCAATAGTAAAAGCTGATCGTGGTATAGACTCCAGGTCTTGCCGTCTCTAGATAGGATAGACACCCTTCGCAACGATGGATGATTACCCGAAAGGGAGTCTGGACCACAATGTCCCTCTCTTAATGACGCTTGGCTTGCCGTCAAGCGAACCTGGCGAAGACCCGTTGCCACTCGACCTGAGGGAGCAGGCGACACTCCTTAGATCCGAAATTCCAGTCTTAGAAGGCAAGCAGGCTGAGGCGCTCTCGAAGTACATTCAGGAAAGCGACGGGAGCAGGGGTCCATGGAATGGAAGCGACAACTCCAGGAGCCACAAGTTCCGAATACGGCTTGCTGGAAGGGTATGATTTGGCCTCTATTTCTCGTGTAGCTGACCATTGCTGACTGTAATGGGGTGCCAGACATTTCTATTACCTCCTCGCCGCTCGAGATTGCCAGAGAACTTTGATCCTCCTCCGACGCCAGTGCCCCTTCACTCGCCATTCTCGCCCCTGAGTCCCTCGTGCGATCTGTATCCGGATGGGATGATCAACCATAAATGGTTACAAAAACACCAAGAGCTGGTACCCAGTGTTGTGGCATGCTTTTATAGCTTGACAGCAGACCAGACCCTTGCCACTCTGCATGACAACAGGATCAAGGCCGATATAAACGGCCTCAGGAATGCGATTGCCCAGTCTGGCTACAAGTGCAAGCTTTCTGTCATCTTCCTCGCTGAGGAGACGACACAGTCGCTTGAAGGTGTCTACGAACGTCTAGATAACATTCGAAGAGGATGTGCCCTAGACACCAAGGCTTTCTTCTTCATTCCGCCTCAAGACGACCTGGAACGCGCAGCAGACAATGCTCTCTCCACAATCTATACGCAAGCTATCGAGTATTATCGCGATCTTGGTCGGCATGCGAGAAAGAAGCGCGGTCGAGGCTATGCGCCCCAGCCCGCTGTCCCCCCCACTTCAGGAACATCCCAGACATTGTCGCTCGCGGGGTGGAACGTTCGGTACGATTTCAAGTCTGGCGTCTTTGCGGAATTCCGCCAAGAAATGGACGCTGCCTCAAAGTCCTTTGAGCAAGCTTACGAGATCTTGATGGGGACCGAGGTTCTAGACATCGTGCCTAGCTGGAGTCCCAGGTGGAATGAGGCGAGACTGCTGGCAGATATACTGGCCGTTCGCATCCTGCGCTGTCTCTTCTGGAACGGGCAATATAGTGTGGCGGTAAGGCGGTGGCGTTCCCATCGAGACAGGATAGCAGATTTCGTGGATGGCCGGGGTCGGGGGACAAACAACTACGGCTGGGAAGCATGGGAGTCTCGATGGGCGCTCGTGATGGTGGACTTGATAACGAAGACCGACGTGCTGGAGCTCTACCAGGATGAGACCACTCTCTTTCTTGAGCCAGAGAAATCCCTTGTTGGGGAACGTCTCTACCCGTGGGAACACTTGCATCATCCGGGTTATTGGTATCGGATCGCTGCCAAACATCTTTCCATCCGGCGAGCAATGGCGCAGAGGATACCAGAGGACGACCGCCGACCGCCCGAGATGTCTCCAGCCTCGAAAGTTGCGCACAGGGCCTTCACATATGAGAACTTCATGTGTCCAGACCCGCATGAGGAGTTTCCTCTAGTGGGCAATGGAGTTGACCATTCCAAGATGATCGTAGACGTCTTGTTGAAAGCTCGAGCACAGTTTGAAACTCATAAGCAGTTTCGACTTGCTGCTGAAATAACGATCGAATGCGCTAGGGAGTTTGCGGCAGCGAGAGAATGGCAAAAGGTGTTTGCCCTGCTACATCCTCTCTGGGAAACCACGACATTTAGATCAGAGGACTGGCTCAACATCTTTGAAGACCTGAGCTGGATGCTCCGCACAGCTGCTGCTGAGACCAATCGCGGAGATGTCGTCGCAGCTATTGATTGGGAGCTCATGAACAAAAAGTTCACACGGCGACAGGATTGGCACTACGACATTGCCAAATCCCTCGATGGAATCTCCACACAAAACACCCAACCCCTGATCAAGGTCAATGACAGCCTGATCGATCCATTCCTCTCAACTTCCTTCGCATTCAAAAACGACCAGGGCAACGCAGGACATGTATGCCAGGCACAGCTCAGCATTGTCTCCAATGCATTCCCGGACTCTGCGTCTTTGAGTCTCAAGCACATCCGCCTCGCGTTCAACGGAGGAATAAGACCTGTCTTGATTGAACATGATGCATCCACTGCAGGAACGGAGGCGTCTATACAGCGTACAGTGGTCTCTGCTGTGGCACTACAAGAAGGGTTGACAGCCGAAGAGGTCTCTGATGCAGGCCCGGTGCCTTATCTGAGAGGGACGGGTGATCTGACCATTCAGCCAGGTCAGACCCGCGTCTTCCAACTGGCTCTTCACTTGAGAGAACCCGGGGATGCTCGGGCTGTATCTGCAGAACTTGTCTTTCAATGCGCGAACTTCACGCTGGAGCAGATGGTCAAGTTTCCAGAGGACGAGCCAGGCGGCTTTTGGTTCCATTCAGCAACATCTCGAAGACATATTTCAAGATCTCATCCAACCTCCATACACGTTGCACCACGGCCACCCAAGCTAGAGATTAACTCATCCAACTTCCTCACTCAGTATTACACAAATGAGGCTGTCGATCTCCAGTTTGAGATCGTTAATGCGGAAGACGCCGAAGCTAGCGTCAAGATCGATGCCGCTTTGACTGGCGAAACTCCACAAGGATTCAAACTAATTTTGAATGATGATGACGGCGAGACGGCCCCAGCTGGTGAGACTGAAGCTAAGATCAGTTCGCTGTCGTTGGGCAACATTCCAAGCAAGTTGTCCTCGAAAGGGGCGATCAGGATTGATCCGACAACCCTCTCCACGAGCTACGAGTTGACCATCAAAGCACTCTACCACCTTGTATCGGACCCTGAGACCCCTATTGTTCAGACGGCCGTCTTCAAGTTGAATTTCGTTAATCCGTTCGAGGCAAACTACGACCTGATGCCCAAGCTTCACCCTGAATCATGGCCGAGCATTTTCGATTCCGAAGGGATCCATGATCTCTCAGATGACGGTGAAGCTTATGCTAAAGCTCGAGGTCTTGCGCAGATGTGGTCCTTGATCACGCGCTATGCCTCGTTCGCGGCAGAAGACTTGATGGTCATGGATATTGATATTTCGATCGCTCCGACAAAGGGCGTTCGCACCCAGACCAAGAAACGGGCTGTCCTCCCCGACGGAGGGCTGCAAGTGAAGCCCAAGACCATCGAGGAGGCCCACTTCGATATCGAGGCACAGAAGCTCTCTCTGGATGACCGGGATCCCGCAAGCCTCGATGTCACTCTTCTCATTAGGTGGAAGCGTTTGACCAGTGAGACTGTCAATACGACCAGCCTCCCTGTTCCTAGGCTCAGCATCTTTGGAATTGAGCCCAGGGTGCTCGCGTCGGTCTCTTATCCAGAGGGAGGTGACTCTCTAGTGAAGCTCGATATCTGCATCGAGAATGCATCGAACCACTTTTTGACATTCGGCCTGGCCATGGAGCCATCGGACGAGTTTGCATTCTCGGGAGCGAAGCAGACCACGCTGAACGTATTGCCGGTGTCGAGGAGAGATATAACGTACAGGCTTCTGCCCCTCGTCCACGGCACTTGGGTCAAGCCCGGGTTGGTGGTGCGGGACAAGTATTTCCAGAAAGTGCTGCGGGTTATCCCTACGGAAGGGATGAAGCTGGACAAGGATGGGTTCATGATTTGGATCCCTCCTCTAGACGACGAGTTCGAGGAGCCTAGCACGGACGAGTCGTGATATCCTACGATAGACAAGATAGAGACCAAGATAGAACAACACTCATGACAAGAATCAATCATTCATCGGCTGACCACAATAGTATGTGCACGGAACGACACAAAGGCTTTGACCAAGTTTTGCAAATCATCTCATTTTGCAGGGTATCTCGTTGTGGCGCCGATACATGGGCAGCGTCCAGCATCTTAAATACATTACGTATAGTACAGCGACTCAGACTTTATAGAAGCAGAAGCCAACGTAGAAGCTGGCGGCCTCCATCTCCTCGGGTGACACCAACAACGTTCCGTCCCGGTCCCTCACCTTCATGCGCTCGCTGAGCGGACCAAGAACCTCGTCATCCTTCTCCGACTCGTAGATCTCCTTGAAAGTCTTATGGTACTGAAGCTCGAGGTTGTAATCCTCCGCCAAAGCACGAAATGCGTGCCACGGGACAACGTACTCGGGGACTTCCTCGACGGCTTCGTTCAAGAAGAAGTTGTACTTCCAGCCGTATGGCGGGCGGAAGACGCCGTCATCGGGTGTCTCGCCCGGGAATCTCACGCGGTAGATCGAGTTTCCCCATGACGCGGTAGGTTCCGCTTCGCCCTCCTCGACCTCGCCATCCTCGGCAGACGGGTCATTCTCCTTGCCAGTCTTCTCCGCCTCTGCTGCCTTCTTCTCCCTCTCCTCGTTAAATTCGCGCACTTTTTGACCAATGACATCAGAGTTGGGAATGCAACCGATGAAACGGCCACCCTTCTTGAGAGCGCTGGCCACGTTCTGCAGCATGATGCGCGCCTTCTGTTCCGACTCGAAAGCATAGTGCATGCAGAACATCATGCTCACGACGTCGAATCCATTCCGCTTGAGCGGGTTGCTATCAAAGCCAACCTCGGAGACAATGTTGACGTCGGCAATGCTCGACGAGTAACAGTCCTTGACGTGGAAGCGAGCATCGAAAACCCGTGGAGGGGGTCTCCGATGATGGCCGCCGCGGCCGCCCCTTCCACCACCGCCTCGGCCCATCTGGAGGTAACGTTCTCGAGCCTGCGCGATGCTCACATCGGCGGGATCCAAGCCCACGTAGAGCTGTACTTTCTGCGGCGCCTGCTGCCACTTGCCCAGATCTCCTCCCTTCCCACAGCCGATATCCAGGACCAGGAGCTCGTTGGCCGAGCTGCGGTCGCGATGGCCCAGTGCGAATTCCTCGTCAGGCGAGAACTTTTGAATGATGCAGCTCTTGATCCAGTTGTTGAACGACCTCAGGCCCTTGATTGTGCTGTCCGTCGTTCTCCACTCGCGGCCACGCTCTGGGACGGCATTGTAGTGCGACCTGACGACATCGTTGATCTCGGCGCGGCGCTCCCGGTCGGCTTGCTCCTGCGCCTGCCTCTCCCTCTCTATGGCGCGCTGCCTAATCGCCTCGCGCTCGGCATCCGTGATGCGGGCACGCTGTCCGGGTCGCTTGGGCTTGCGCACTTGCTGGTCGCCGCCAACGGGGGATCTGGAGCGCTGACGCTTCTTGGCCCGCTCCAGCTGTTTGGCATCGAATGCCTGGGGCTGCTCTTCCATGGCAGCAAGGAAGGAGAGAACGCCTGGATGGTGTGTGAGGGGAATGAGAGTGAGGGCGAGAAACTATTTGTGGTTGTTGATCAGGCGACGTGTGTGCTGGGTTATCAAACGATAAGCGATTGTGCCTTGGCGTGAGGAAATACTGACCCTCCTTATGCCGAGGGAATTAAGGCAAGACTGAGAGTCGCAAAGACAAGAAGTGAATTTTTGGTAGCAGATTCAGCAGCGCCTGCGAGATCTTCCAAAAGAAGGCCGACAGGCTCGTTTGTGCTGTGTGTAGTGCTGATCGTGGAAGGCAAAGCAGATGGATAGGTGGTAGTGGGCTGTGGCCTTTGGAGGATCCCCCTTGGAAAGGGATCTGTGACTTGACGCGCGACAAAGTCTGAAGAAAGAAAAGGCTTACATAAGGGACCTAAACTAGGTAAGGTACCTATATTATGCGCTGCTTTGAGGCGTCAAATGGGCTTTGGATTTGGGAGGTGACGCGCGAGCCTTGCCGCCTTGAAAGTTACAGTGGAGCTCTTCTACTGCTTTCCAGTCCTGGAGGTGCTGTGTGCCTGGACCACTCAGCTGTGGCACCTCACCTATCGATGCTTCCAATTGTCTTCCTAGTGAGCTCGTGCACCACATCATCATCTCAACCTCTTCCCCATCATCCAGCCCTCATCCTTTCTTGATTGCCCTCACCATCTCCTGAACAGCGGCGTTTCCCAGCCTCACAGACCGCCCACGAGCATTTCAACCCGGACAGAGCGCTCGTGCTCGCACAAACTGACCAGCTTGGTTGGTCAGTGATCGTATCCCACTCGAGCTTCCCCGTCTCACCAGCTGCATTTCGCAATGGGTTCCGACCCGCAATATGCGAAATGGCCTCTGCTGCCGCTGTCTCAGCACGTCTTCACCCTGACCAACCCTTACGCGACCAAGCCTGCGCAACAAGCAGCCGTCACCGCCCTCCAGGATGCCATCAACGAGCACAAGATGGCTCCTCTCTACAGGTACCTCGCACATCCTCTCGATGGCGTCCTGAACGCCGTAGGCGAGGGTGGCGCGAGCGCGCCCGGCAAGCCGCTCAGTAGGAAGTCAAGTACCGTGGGCATGATCGCTGCCAAGAACCCGACCGCGAGCATCGCTCTGCCCTGGGACGAAGGCCTGTACCAACAACTCAAAGCCGACAATGACAAGGAGCTCGAGGAGTTCCAGAAGGAGGAAGACGAGGCCGTTGAGAAGGCTGGCGACACTGAGATTCTTGCTGCAAGGGGCAAGAGGGCAGAGTTCTACGCCAGAGTTGGCGATAAGGTGCGTTTGTGGCTTGGGTGGTTTCGCTTGCCCCAAGCTGTATTGTCTCGACCTGATTGCTGACAGTTCTTCTTTCAACGCAATAGGACAAGTCGATAACCTCATACGAAGCTCTGCTGGAGAAGACGGGCATCCTCGGCACCAAGATCGACCTGACACTTGCCATCATCCGCATGGGACTCTTCTTCGGCGACAAGATGCTGGTCAAGAAGCACCTCGAGCGTGCCAAGACCCTCGTCGAGTCTGGCGGTGACTGGGATCGGAGAAACAGGCTCAAGGCATACGAGGGCCTCTACCTGCTGACCGTGCGCTCCTACAACCTGGCCGCCCCTCTGCTCCTCGACAGCCTGTCAACGTTCACCAGCTATGAGCTGTGCACCTACACGAACCTCGTCGTCTACTCTGTCCTGGCCGGCTCCGTCAGCCTCAAGCGGGTCGACTTCAAGTCCAAGGTCGTCGATGCCCCCGAGATCAAAGCCATCCTTGGCGACGGCGAAGACAAGCTCCTCGCGCTCTCGGGCGCCCTCTCTGCGGGCCCTGGCGCCGACGCCGACGCCGCCGCGGACAACAAGACGGCGCCCCAGGCCGCCAAGACGGCCGTCGTCAACCTGACGACCCTGGGCTCGAGCGTCGACCAGCCCGAGGCCGAGATGGCCGTCGACTTCTCGCCCCTGGCCCAGCTCGTCTCGAGCCTCTACAGCGGCAACTACAAGCTCTTCTTCCAGGCGCTCGCCCTCGTCGAGGAGCAGTTCCTGACGCAGGACCGGTACCTGCACGAGCACAAGAACTGGTTCATCCGCGAGATGCGCCTGCGCGCCTACCAGCAGCTCCTGCAGAGCTACCGCGTCGTCGGCCTCGAGAGCATGGCCAACGACTTTGGCGTCACGGTGGACTTTTTGGACCGGTAAGACGCAGACCCACCGCCCTTTTTCTAAAGCCAACCGACCTGAGATGCTAACATCTTCTTCCTCCTTTCCAGTGATCTGGCCAAGTTCATCGCCGGCGGCCGCATCCCCTGCACGATCGACCGCGTCTCGGGCAAGGGCGTCATCGAGACCAACCGTCCCGACGACAAGAACAAGCAGTACCAGGATGTCGTACGGCAGGGCGATCAGCTCATCACGAAGCTGCAGAAGTACGGCCAGGCTGTGCGCCTGAGAGGAAGCGAGAGGGCCTAGACATTATTACATGCTTTGTGCTGGCAGGGGTCCGGGAGTTTCTCTTTAGAGGGGCGCAAGAGCAAAATGGAAGAGGCTGTGCTAATACTGTATGATACCTACCTTAGAGGAATCAAAGTCATGAACACTGGGAATCGCAAATGAGGCGAGATCAATATATGGGGTGTGCAAAGTGGAGTTCTTTATAAATGTGATCCTCCCTTTCCATCATGCGTTATATGCTAGACGCGGGAAACAATCCTTTCTAATACAGGTGTTACCCCCTTTGTATGCTACTCAACAAAGACAGCGCGACTAAGCTCTCAAGTACAAAGCGCACTTGTTGCGAATCTGAACAAACCACCCACTTTATCATCCCCCTTTTGCCTTTGCCCACTCTGGGCCACACTACCGGTACTGGTCCATAAACTCCTTGTGGAACTTGACCATGCTGCCCACCCACTCGGTGCCCGGGGCGAGGAAGGTCGTCCGGAAGTGCTGCGTGCCGTCCTTCTGGCCGAAGCCGCTGCCCGGCACGACGCAGACGCCCGTGGCCTCGAGCAGGCGCATCGAGTAGAACTCGTCGGGCCGGCGGCCCTCCTTGCGCGCCTCCTCGACGGCCCGGGGCGGCACCGTGATGGTCGGGAACAGGTACATGCTGCCCTGGGGCCGGTCGCACTCGACCCCTTCCATCTGCGCAAAGGCCTCGTGCAGGGCGGTCGCGCGCTTCTGCAGGCCCTCGTAGATGCCCGTGTACTCCTCGTTGTAGAGCTCGAAGCTCGGCTCGCCCTCGCGCGGCGGGTTGCACATGAGCTCGACGAGGCACTGGCCGATGACGGGGGCGCACAGGGTGATGGAGACGAACTTGTAGATCTCGGCCTGGACCTTGTCGTCGAAGCCCACGAGCTCAAAGTAGCCGCCGCGGTGGCCGCACTCGCCCACCATGCCCTTGGAGATGGAGTGCAGCGACGCGAGCTCGACGCTGTCGTACTTGCCCGGGTTCTCCTTTTGCATCTGCCGCAGGGCGGCCTTGAACGAGTGGAAGCGGCCGACGAAGACGTTGGTCTGGTAGACCTCGTCGGCCATGATGACGAGGCGCTCCTCGCGGGCAAACTCGATGACGGAGCGCACGTCTTCCTCGGACAGCGACGCGCCGGTCGGGTTGCCGGGGTTGATGATGACTATGGCACGGACGTCGGTGCCCTTGGCCTTGGCGTCCTCGCAGGCCTTCTTGATCGAGGTGAGATCCGTGCCCCAGTGGTGGTGCTCCTCCAGATAGTAAGGCACGGGCGTGGCGTTCAAGATGGAGAGTGATGCGGTGTAGAGGGGGTACTGAGGGATGGGGATCAGAATGCCGGTCTCTGGGCCTGCGCAGATGATGTGCAGAAGAGTGTTGACGCCAGAGGAGGCGCCTCCAGAGAGGTAGATGTCGGCCTCGTTTGCGGGGAAGCCATCTCGCCCTGGCTGCTTGTTAGTTTTGATGTACGAGAGCACTGGCCAAGTGGGAGACAGGAGACATACTCTCGAGGAATTCAGCGATCCGCTGCCTGATCGCCGGCGCACCGTTGCTGGCGCTGTATGCGCCTACAGAGCCGACTGCCTTGAGCAGCCACTTTGCTCGCTCAATGACATCGGGCTTGTATTCCATGTGCTTGACCAGCACATCCTCGTGGTCTAGGAGCTTGGGGTTCTCGAGAATGCTGAGTACTTGGCGGAAGAAGGTGATGGGCTTCTGGTCGAGCTGCTGGGGGTTGCCAATGTTGGCAGAGATGACCTCCTTGAAGGGCAGGTCGGTGTCGCCGCGTGCGAGCTTGGCGCGGTACTCCTCCGACTTGACGGCGAGCTCGCCCCTCACGGCGTACTGGGCCGCCTTGACGTGAGGGTTGATGTTGTCATAGTTGAGCCTCCGTGACGACGTGGACGACATGTTTCTCTGGCGAGGTAGCACCTGTCTGCGGTCGCTGTAGAGTACTTGACGGGAGGGTGAAGAAGTTTCGAATCGCGGCGGGGCTCGCTGCGCAAATGCACGAGACGTAGACAGAGACTGCGGGGCGCCTGTGGAGTTGAGGAAGACAAAGTTTGTTAGAAGGGTCTCCGAAAACCGAGCACTAGAGCCGGAAGCTTGATTTTGTATTGTGGGGGGAGACGGAGGTGAGTCGTGAAAATCAAGAAGTCAACAGGAAGTGAATGACACGCCACTTGGATGTGCATGTGAAGGCAGCAGGATATCGAATCACAGCGTGAGTTGGAGTGAATCCTGCGAGCAAGGATAAGGAACAAGGGCGAGGAAGGCTGCAGGGCGCAACATAAGGTATGCAAGCATCATGAGTCCTTGTGGTGAATCAGAGTATGGGGGGCGGTAGTGAGTCGTCCGATGCCGGGGGAAGCCGCCGCCCGAGTCGAATGAGTCAATTAACACTTCGAGTCTCGGCTCCTCACCGACCACCTTCGGTAGAACCCGACCGGCACGCGCGCATAGCATAGCATGGCATGATCCACCTGCATTGCCTGTGTCCAAACACGCCGCGCGCCATTTGCCCACAGGCGTGGGTTTGCCCGGCCAAAAACGGCATGGCGAGCCGAGTTCTGGACAGGCGAATGATATCGTGTACGTAAAGCCAAGTGTGGGTGAGTGAGTGGTTTGCTGTCTGCCCAAGGTGGTGGCATCAAAGACTCGCAGGTTTACATGTATATGCAACGCCACTATCCTCCATGAGGTGCATGCTGGCTGGAGACAAGAGAGGAAGAGCCAAGGGGATTGCGGCGAAGGCGGATAGATCCAGGGGTGCTTGCAAATAGGAATGACGAGGGGTTTGTTGCAAGCCTGCATTGATGCGCGCAACACATAAGAAGATGGGGGAAGCTTTACCTGAGAGACATCTTACACCCCGTGCTTGCCCCAGCCTGGCAGGCCTGATGCTTCGAATGGTTCCAAGAGCGACCACGGCGCTGACGATCTGAAGCGGCCCTCCGGCCACTCCGCCGAGAGAGGCCATTGATCTCGACACTTGTTGGCACCGAGTGAATGCCAATGCGCGTTTGCGTGTCGGGTCGAGCCAAAGTCGGGAGGAATCGAAGAGGGTGCCCAGTCGAATCGCCAGAGGTTCTTCAGGGGAAATCCCGGATTACACTCGTTTCATCCTGACTGGGCCATGGTAGTAAACTTTTGTAAAGTCGGTGAGCGGAGCTCCCTATCAGCTTCCTTCGGATAGAATCCGTTGAGGCTGGGGCAAGTCAAGGGCTGGTTGCAAGAAAGCGGGAGCGCGAGGGCGGGAGGTGCTCTGTACTTGGTAAGCTCGTCAAACGGGCGCGCTAATCTGTCGTATGTGTGAGATTTGATTAATACCCAAAGAAAAGCCCCAGAAGCTGGAGGAGAGATTAGAGATTGATCCAGAGACGCAGCCCTGGAGACAATATGAGCACGTGTGCCACCCGACCGCGTGTATTCCCTCCAGCAAGATCATCGCTTAGGGTCTTGTGCCATCATTGCAATGGCATTCTGTCAAGGATCAAGCTGAGGGCTAGCCTTTTGATCAGTGAGAGCACAGCACTGAGAGGGTTGGACTGGAGTCCCCAAGTCGCGATAGTTGATAAGGCAGTGCGATAATACTCTAGTCTCCCCGCCCGCACCTGATTGGTCCGCCCTGAACCGCTCTCCACGCCCCCGAAGCCAGCCAAGATCTGACCACTGGGAAAATAATTGAACGGCCGACAACGACAAGGAAGCTCTCCAGCAAGCCCAAGTCCGCCTGCTGCTTCTGCGCAACACAACCTCAAGATGGCCAAGAAGGGTAAGCATGCTGCCGTTTGACTGCTCTTTTGAACGAATAGAAGGAAACCTGACTGCCGCCCAGCGAAATCGCGCCTGATCCCCGTGCGCCTCATCTCCATGGCCATGACTGGCTTCTTCTACACTTTCACTCGACCGCGCACGTCTACGCCCATGAGCATGTTGAAATACGATCCAGTCGGTATGTCGGAGATCCTTCGCATATTCTCTCCCACCCTGTCCAAACCCTGACCCTTTCACTAGTTCGCCGCAAGGTCCTCTTCCTCGAACAGAAACGAAAAGGCAAATAGGCCATGGCCACCACGAGAGACCCCAGCAGCGTGCGCTTCACGGCCGGCGAATACGGGGATGGTGTTCGTTAGGGCCGGCTGACCACCGGGCAAACCTGCCGCAGAGCATTGGTCAGAAAAATCGAGATCCGGCCCTTTGTACGATGGTTCACTTTCATGCATCCGAGGCGTTTGGGAAATCATTGGGATCACCACGTCACCGCTTTTATTAGCAAGATCACGGCCGCAAGGACGTATTGTACATGTAATAGTAGAGCGATTTGCGACGTGTCGACAAAATACCAACCGGGAAGCTCAGAAGCATCCTGATTTAAAGCGCCAGTGAGCAATCTTTCTTGCGGTCGCCAAGAACTCCGCACCGGCGGCCAGCCCTTTACTGCCTATTCTTCTGTCGGACCCCTGGTGCACACGCAGACGAGTCTGTGTCGTGCCTCATTTGACGTCTTCCTAGCTCCGCTGGGCAGTCCCGTCCGTGCTAGCTTCTTTCTGTCGGAATATGAATGGTCCCTTGAGAGACCTGGGTTTTCCATTCCTCTTGCCTGCATGGAGCTTCGCCGCCTCGCAGATTGGCTCTTCAGGGCTCGATTTGCGCCGCTTCGATGATGTTCTGCTTCCACTGCCTGGGTCTCCTTCACCAGCGCTGGCAATGCGTTTGCGTGATTCATCCGCAAAGGCTGACAGAGACTGCTTGGTGTTACTGTCCTTTTTTGCCTCCCCATGAGTACACCTTCCAGCATCAACAGGCTGGGGGCCGGCTCCCATGACCGGTCGATTATATTGCCCGCGACTGAACACAGACTTCTCAGAATTCAGAACTGTCTTTTTCACAAGATCTGGAAGCGGAGGTATCCCTTTGTCGCTTGTGTTCGAGTCTTGGATGGGGGTTGGCTTCATAATCGATCTTGGCTGGAATCCGCTGCGCCTGCGATCTTTCTCTTGCTCGATTGACAAAGGCTCCCGGATCGACTCGTCATCTGGCGGGCTGCGGAGCAAGACTCGTCTCTTTCGTGCTCTCGTTCTCTCATAAGAGACCGGCTGTTGAGATAGGGTTTGGGAAAGGGATCCGCGGTCTGGCAAAGATTCACCAGCTTCGGGCTTGGGGGACAGAGAAACACTTCTCAAATCGGACGAACTCGTTCCCAAATCTCCGCCTTTTGGCTGACTCTGTATTGCATGACCCTGGGATGAAGCCTCGGCTGTTCTCTTGTCATGGTCAATCTTGGCGAGGCTCGCGTCCTGAATCGACAACTGTGAGAAGAGTGCAGAAAGAACCTGGCGTATGGGTACGGATCCGGCACTCTCGCCACTGGTTCGCAGCACTTCAGAGCTGTTATCACTCAAGCCTTGACTCTCCACTTTGAGTCCTTGCAGAAGGTCGGGATGGTCATGGAGCCACCGCAAGAGGTTGTTGGCAAGCGTCGACAGTTCTTTTCGCCGAGTGTGAACAACTTGGCTTGCCTGCTTCTCCCTTGCTTTCCTCTCTGTAAGTTGCATTTGGAGATCCTGGATTTCAGCTAAGTGTTCAGTGCTGGCCGACTCCAACTTTTTTTCCGCGGCAAGTCGTCCTTGCTCGCTTTTGATGTGCTGTTGACGAAGGCTCGCCGTTTCTGTCTCGAAATTTTCTTGCTGGCGACGGCGATCATCTTCAATGCCACTCTGAAGTTGACTCTCGGCGTTCATCCGGAATGTGTCAAGCTTTTGGGTAAGGTCATGAACCTCTTGGCCAAGCTCCTGTGTCTTAGTCGAGTGCAAGTCATCTCTTTCCTGCATTTCCTTCTTCAATGATGCAATTGTCTGCTCTTTGTCCAGAACGTTCTTCTTGAGGTTTTCAAATTCGCTTTCCAGGTCATGGAGTCGGCCCAGAGCCAGTCGGTCATCTTGCAATTCCTTTTTCAGGTCATTCACGTTCGTCTGGAGCGCCGAGTTTATTCCCTCAAGCCTTGAAGTATTGTTTGCCGCATCAGTTAGTGATTCCGTCAAATTCTGGCACTCCATTTCCTTCTCTTGCACCAACGTGCTGAGGAATGCATTCTCTTCTCTCTTCTCGATGAGTTGCTCATTCCACAAACTTTCGCGGTCTTCCAGATGTCGCCATACTGTTTCCGCTTGTGATCTAAGTTCGAGTGACATCTGAGAGATCAAGCCTTCGGTGCTTTTCTGGGCATCAATTGTGGGAGTGATTTCAGAGATAAGCCTTGATTGGCATTAGACTCAAATGCCTTGTATGCTACATGAGGGTGGATCGTAGTAACTCACTTCGATGATATCTCGCCGTGTAGGCGTTCGATGTTGGACAAGATCTCGGCCTGGCAAGGGATTTCGTGGGTGATGGTATCCAGACGTCCCATGATTCGTTCAGCACTCATAAGCGTGTCAGTAGCGATCAAGCCAATCGAAAAGAGATACTCACCTCCTCCCCTGGGTTGCGGTACATTCATCTGTTGCAGTTTTGACGTCGTCACTGATATTAACTAGCTTCTTTAGAATGTCTGTCGACTGCAGAGCCAGGCTCTGGAGACAAGTGTCGACATGCTGGCGTGCTTCTGCTTGCCGAAGGAGGCTCTCAGACAGTTGTTTTTCCTGAGTCAATTGAACATCTCGGTGTCTGATTTTCTCTTCGAGATCTTCAATTCGGCGGCTTTCTGTTATTAGGGATTAGTCAGTGCTCTCAATCTCTTGACGGCCTCAGACTTACGCTCTTCCGCCTGCTTCCTGCTCTCGTTGATGGCGGCTTTGACACTTCCCATCAGGCGGATGCGTGCGGCCTCAGACGTTTTGTTGATATCTTCCCTTCGAAGCTCTTGGGCATGCTTCTCGGATCGAATTTCAGCCAGGGTCTGCTGACATGCTGCTCTTGACTTCCTGAACAACTCATGCCGCTCCTTCATCGCGGCATTTAGATGTCCCTTGTGAATGCGAAGTTTTTCCTCAAGCTGCTGCAGCCGAGATTTGGAGCTCTCGAGTGTTGCCACTTGGTTGCTCAGCCTCTTTTTCTCCCCCTGTAAGCTTTTGATCTCAGAATCCTGAGCAGTAACAAGTGAGTCTCGCTCTTTGATCTCGGAAGCCTGGAGTTTGATCTTGTCATAGAGTCTCGCAATCTTGGCCTCGATTTCGTCCCGCTTCTTCTGACCCTCCTGAAAGATGTGGTTGTAACTTCCCAGGAACTCCTCTGCAAATATTCTTAGGTCTGCGGCGGTGTAGATGTCTGCACTGATCGGCATACGATCTGAAGAGGGAGTGTGCGCCGTAATTTGAGACAAGGGTAGAGGTCGGTTTGGCGTTCTTCGCTTGGAAATATTTGACACATGAGAGCTGGATCGCACCGTAGAGGGCCTGGTGTGGGTATGGAAACGTCCGACAGAATGTGGAGATGCTTTCTTAACCTTGCCATGACCTCCCGTACGATTCTTCGAGGGCAGGTCCTTGACGGTAAAGGAGAGGTCGCTGACTGGACTTGAAGCTGAATGAGTCTGTCTTGGTGAATTAGGTACAGTGAGATCTCCGTGGAGCAAGCCCTCTTTTGCTTCATCAGACACTGTGCCCTTTGTTGTCTTCCCCCCTGACCCTGGGGATGTCTGAGAAGGACGCTGCTGAATTGAAGACCCAGACTGCTTGTCTGGGCCATCGCCCACGGCCACAGAAAGACATGCGGCAGTCTCAGCCGGGACACCATCAAGTGTTGAGTTTCTATCCGTGTGTTGGTCCGCTGCCTGGCTTACGACTGGGACGGAATCGACCACTAGGCCTGGACTGAGCACCGGGAGCTGCGTATCAAAGTCTTCCGTTGTGCCAACCACCTGGTTCTCAATCAGTTTTCGAGATGAGTATAGCGGTTGCGGCTTGCTTTTGAAACCCGACACAGTCGTATATGACGGGTTCAGTCTCAATGGAGGGCCGAAGGTGAAGGCACTTGCGATAACTGGACTGTCTAGGAGTTCATCTGGACGTTTGAAAAACGCCTCTCGAGAGGAGCGAGCAGCCTTTAATGGGGAGGCATTCGACGCCTCACGTTCAGTGACACTGACGCCATGGTCTTGAACAAAGACCTCTATGCCTTCTGGTGTCTGGGGATGCCCCTGGCTGAGGGCGACGGGCTCTACCCAACGGGGCTTGCCTGGGTCATTCGATTTGGTGTTGCTCGCCATGCTGCTTCTTCGCTGCTACCATAGCACGAGAACAGGATATGGCTGTTCAAGTCCAAGCAGGTCATGCAATCTTTGGAGGAGTGTAGAGATAGCAAAGCAGTGTAGGTCAACTGGTAGTACCTGAATCCCACCTGGATAATGATGGACGCGCAACCAAACAAGCAGGTGCCCGGGTAGGACCTGTGGTGGCGATGGGCATTCATGTTTCTGAGGAAGGTGCTACGAGTCTGGAAGGAACATATCTTGAACTAGCTGTTAAGAGGCAGTGAGGCAAGGGCGTTTGGAGCAAATGCTCCTCCCCTCTTTGTCAACAAGAAGTCTTGATTTTTGGCTAGAACAGTTAACGGCTGCTGTCCTTCACAGATTTCAGAATCATATATGTGCCTTGGATTGAGGATGCCGTGCACGGTTCACGAAAATACAGCGGAAGAATAGATACAGCATTGGAAGATAAATTTATCCTTTTGTGGGAAGACTTCAGTCAGTCAGCGTGGTCATTGAGATGTTGGCCGGGGAATGAGCAAAGTGGTTGAGGCAGGGAGGCCAAAATCGTCTGAAACAAGACGGTTGAAACAATACTCTGAGTTGGTATCCATCCAAGGCTGCTCGAATCGGCAGATCAACTCGGGAGTAGTATTTTTGGTGCTGCGACGTTGACCACGATAAACCGTTTCTTTGAGATAGAGGGATGGATGACGGCGCCTGGTGAAAATCGGAGTCGTTTGGCACCCCATTATGTGACCACAACCGCCGGCCGGAACCCCTGCAGCAACGTCGCTCATTGGCTCATCATGCAACCCTGCAGCACAGCATCTCCCGTCCCAGGAACGCGCCCGACAAACTCGGCGCTTCGAGATACAGGGGCACACCAATCAGAGTCGTCGCACCGGGCTTGGGCACTTGACAGCATGCACACGAGTGTCGCATATTCACACTTGTTGACCCAATGACGGGCCCGACTGTAAACGTCCTGTGGCGGGGACCATGCCTCGATATGCTCTACTTGACTCTGGGCGAGTGCCGATGCAGGTGCAGGGATCACCGCCATGCGCATTCTGTCACACGTCGCGGGGCCTGAGCTGGGCTTGGATGTGCATGCAGACCACAACGACTGGCACAACGGCACTTCAAGCTTGATAGGGCGCTTTCGAACGACTGGGTCTCTCCACCTAGGGAAATTTGCCTATATACCTTAAGGTCTGCTCCAAAGGTCGACGTTTTTCGACCGAGGGACTTTGACTCCTTTCCATATTGTCTGGAACAATCTTGTGCAGGAGCAGTGCCCAATCTCCCAAGTACATAGCTTTCATACCTCGCCTTTCCCGAACATCAGCTAGAAGAAGACGAGAAGACACCAACACCATGGCCACATCAACTGGGACCTTTGCGCTCGCCACCGAAGCACCATACACGGGACCAGATGGGCCCGGCGGTGTCTCCAGTGACGGAGGCAATGCCGCCGGTGCATCGGGATCAAGCCCCGGTGCGGTTGAGATTTCGCGGGGCGCCATGGCTGCTATCATCGTGGTGGTATGTGTGGTTGGGATCATCGGCAGTAAGTCGGAGCACAATGATCCGGACATGCGACCGAAAAGCTAATAACTACGCCAGTCTCAACATCGATTCTCTTCTATGTTGCCAAGAAGAGAGAGTGGAAGGTCCGAGAGACCCTGCGCAGGTCTGCACGGAAGGTCGTCACCGCACTTACGCCACGTCGCTCCGAGTTCCCACGCTCAGTCAAGGAGTCTGGGTCAGGCAAATCCCGTCGACATGTGCGGCTTGATGATGTGCCACCGACTCCACGACTGAAGCCTGAAGACCTGGAGAAAGGTCTGCAACAAGCAGACAAGAAGCGCGGTAGATTCGCACGGAAGTGATTGAGCGGCCGCCAAGGGCAGTTTCTCGCGGGAAAGTGGACGGGATGACTGTATGACCTAATAGCTTTTATCGAGACTGAGCCTGAGGATGGTGTCTGGAATACACTGCAGGGCGTAACGAGGGTATCATGTTCTATTAGTTTCTGTAAAACAATTGTCCACCTATTGCTCATAACCTGCGGAAGGTGTTGGAGCTGGCACTTCTGCGGCCGTCTCTGTGTTTCGTTGGCTGGGCGTCAGGTTTGCTTTCTGCCGCCTTCTTGGACGTAGGAACAAAAGTGACTTGCTTCTCGCCAACCACATCGCCGGACCGATTCTTGCTGATCCGTCCTGATTTTTGTGCGCGTGACCCAAGTGCTGTATCCCGCGTGTGGCGCGCCCGGTTTTGCGAGGATGATGAGACGACCATGTTGAGTTCATCGCCTTGACTCCTGATCGGTACCTCACCATCACTTCCACTGCCATCATCAGAGTCGCCTTGATAACGGCTCGGCAAGGTTGGATCAGCGCTCGCCCCCGCCTCCTGATTCTCCACCTGTGTACTGGGGTTCAAGGCTCTGAACTCGTGACTGTTCTCATCCACCATGAACTCCTCATCCTCGAAAAGTGCACCGAAACGCTGGTCCCCAAGAAGACCAGCCTCGGTGTCCACCGTCTCTCTCCGCTCTTGCTTCTTGAGGAGTTTGTCCACCAGTTTCTGGTTGACCTTGACCTTCTTATTGCCCCGGATACGGCTAGCACGTTCTTTCTCGACCTTCTCCTTGACTCTCTTCATACGTTCTTCTTCCCACACGTAAGGGTTTGCAATCAGGCGAGCTTGCTCATAAAGCTTGGATGCCACGAAATAACCGTGCATGTATGGACGCAACAGGTTGGTCTTCCCAATAAGGTGAGCCAAGCTGAGCGACTTGAGCTCGGGTATGGTCAAGAACTTGTAGTTGTCGTACGTCTCCGTTCTGACCTCTTCGGCCATCTCCTCGACCATGTTGTCAAGGAACGAGCACCATCGTGGGGCACTTCCAAGCTGCGGGATGAAGAAGGCATGTTGAGCTTTGCCTTCATTTGCCGTGAGAAGCATGCCGGTCTTGGGAATCCAGGCAACATGGTTAAGATCTACCACGGGCTCGACTGAGGTCCAGAGGTCGCCCGAGTCGGAATCCCAGATCTTGATCACCCTCTTGTCTGCCGAAAGTATTTTCTTCTCGTGGGAAGCCGTCTCGAGGTGAATGAGGTTCTTGATGGCGAAACCAAAACCATTGTCTTTTGACAAGTAAGGCACCGGCCGTCGTAGATCATAAAGGTGGACCATTCCCGTACTTGAGCCTGTAGCTAGGCTCAAGCCCGAAGAGCTGAAGTCGAGGGCTGTGATCTCACCGTCATGGCCTTGGAGAGTGGCAACCTTGGATCTCGTCCGGGGGTCCCAGAATTCCACAGTGCCCAATGACGTCCCGAAACTGCAAAGACCGTGTGTGCCCTCGGCGATCGCTCCGACATTCACACTGCCAACCCCGATGCTGCCCTGAAGGCCCCGTTCTAAGCCTTCGTCATTACCGACATCAACCTGGTATGATCGCATGAAACGTCCGACCTCAAGGTTCAAACGGAAGACTTCGCCAAAGCCGTCTGCGTCCAGCCCAGTGGAAGGGATCAAGACCTCCGTCGACTGTCGGTCATATACCAAATCTCTACCGAATCGGGGTCTACCAGAGTCAGCGATGGCAAGAATAACCGTGAGATGCACAAGACACTTACATTCGAACCTCATAGTGGCAGCCACCTGGGGTGTGCAGTTCCAGTTTCCGGTCTTCCTGTAGGTGGATCGATTTGCTATAGTCTGTGGACAGTATCTGGAACGTATGATTGAGGGAGGTGGTATGTCGCGCGAAGGAGAGCGATAACTGCGGAAGATGGTGTACATGGATTTGCGGTTTGTATGTCCCCGTGCTCATGATCCACTCGCCATCTTCGCTGACGCGCACGCATGTGCTGGCCTCTTCGAATTCAAAGTCCTGGAGGAGTTCCACGCGATTCGCAAACTCTGGGTCGTTCTTGAGACTTCGCTTCCTTCGCCGGGCAAGCCAGTCTGGCAGTTGTCTGGAGGTAGACTCTCCGGAGATTGTGTAGACAGGGACAGACCCTGGATTGGTGAGCTTCATTGCGGCAGCAAAGAAAGTTGCTTTGTCGCAAAAAGGTTGTCTTGGGTCAGGATGAATGGCTTGTCGCACAGCTCGACACTTGAATCTATGGGTGGCCACTCGAGAATTTTTTGGCAATCCGCCTTCTACCTACCTATCTTATCGATAACAATTTAGTGTGGGACTTACTGGCCACCGCCCTCGACATCGGAGATCTCGCTGAGGCACCGCCTGAACCAAGTGTGATTGGCCCGGACGTTGGCTACCTGCCCAGCGCCCGCAGTGCCAAGCCCGCTGAACAATCAGAGGTTAGATCCCTGGCCGATGGGACCCTTGCCATGCCTAGCCGGCTCGGAACCCTCCAGATCCCATCCATGGATCCTGTTGCGACAATACCATCAGGGCCATACTCTTGACTACGGCGCATATCCTCGGAACGTTGGTGCACGTTGCCGCATTCGACAACGTTGGAATAATTGCCCTTGTGCCGGTCCGGCTCCTCATCGCTTTGGTCTAGAGCTGACCTGGCGTTCGCGAATTGCTCCCCGTCCTGGCCAACCTGGGACTGCTGAGATGGAGCCGTCCTTCAGCTCGCAGAACAACCATCCCACACAATCCTCGCCCCCCATTGATCGCACAGCGTCGCCGGCACGGAACGCGAGGTGATATCCACACAGGCCTCCTCTTATCAGTTCCTATATGCCAAAGGCTCCGACTCGAATCGCTTGCGAGGGAAGCGTGGCTCGATCGTCACCCACTGACCACACATACTATAGTCTGGAGCAGGCGACTTAAGCGCATTCAACCCAAGGTCCGGGGGGAGGGAGCTACGACATGGATGCCACTGAATGTGATACAAACTGTTTTCTCATTGTAAGTCTAAATTTCGCCATGGCCGGCTCGTTCTGCCCCGCTGACCGTTTCGATCTCCCAGAACAACATCTCTACTGTTTCCTATCACGTATACGAACCGGCCACCCCACAAGCAACCACATATTCTTCCAAGGCTTTTGAGATCGAATCACTCCTCCGAAACGATGGCAGACTTGTCTATGTTGACCCTGTTCGACGGGTGCTTTGGTGTTTCCAGCTCATTGCTAAGGATGGCAGCACGATTGGTACCGCAACAAAGCCTGGAGCAACGCTCGAAGTTTCGGGCTTCAAGCTAAAGCTCATTGAAGATGGCTCGCTTGACCCGGCGAATCTCTCCAAGGGCAAAGTAACAGGAGCGAATGCTATCAACACGCCAAACAGTTCCTCACCCAGTGTCACTGCTCCGGAGCCAGTGTCATCCACGGCCCAAGGATTAGGAGCAACCCCTTCGCAGTCGTCATTGGGTGGAGGGTCCGAGGTCGATCAGAAAACCTCGACGTCGTCAAACGCGCTTTCGGATGTCAAGGGCCAGAGTGTTCCATCTGCAAAAGAAGTCTATAAGTGTTTTGTCTCAGCAGTGCTCTCAAGTTTGACCTCAGCGTTCTGTTGTCAAACAGGGGCAGTCATGCTCAGCCCTGGATCACTCCTGTTGCCTAAACGTTTGACATCAAGCGAGGATGAACCCGAGGCTACCTGCCCTTCAGTTTCTATTATGGCGACGTTTCGAATCTATATGACGACTACAGGATCACTTGTGATTAGTCTGCTCCACACTCTTGTCAGCGGGCTCGAGTGCGCCAGTCGTTCACTGCCTACAAGTACAATTCATATGAGTACTCCTGTCCTAGCCGCGCCACTTGGTACTTTTGCCTCCTTCCATGCCCTTGAACAGGACATGCTTTCATTGGACATCAACTCGATACACTCGCCAGATACTCAAATCGTACGGCGAAGGCCTGAAATCCAAGATCGTCAGTCTCAGTGGTGCGAGAGGTTCGCCAAGATCCTTCAGGCTCGAGGTCTATCCTCAACGTTGCTTGATGGGGCAACTTGGCTACACCTCCGCCGACAAAGTCGTCACAGGAAGGTTGATGGAAAGCAAACGCCGATCGAAAACCCCTCCAGCACTATTCTCTGGCCTTCCACGCTGTGCTTCTGGAGGGCTTGCTCAAGCCCAGGCCTCGGTCGTAGTACCGCAAACTCAGAGCAGCAGTCGGGCTTCGATCCCTTGCTTGGGGCGAGAAAATGGTTCACTCGAAACGGAGAACGGGCCGAGGTGCTGGCCCAGAGGACTCGGGATCGGGAAAGCCTGTCCTCGCGGCAGGTGGACGCTGAGCACCCCTCTAATCAGCCCAACGGTCATTCTCCATTAGCACTGCGGCGCGCAAGCAATACGGGGCCTCTACCTGGCGCAGCCGGGTCTATGTATCCTACACCCCCTGATGGCATCCAAAACCCTGTTGGAGTAACGCCATCCTTCGATGGGAATGTCTCCAGTCCCGGTAATGCTCCTGCTACAGCAGCTGTGGCCGATCCCGATATCACCATGGGACAAGCTGGCAATACTGCTGATAGCTTTGGCGAGGGATGGGATGGACCAAAACGGGAGAGGCATAGTACCTCATTTATGGACGACCCTGACAACATGTTCGACGACATTGGCACGGACATGTTTGCCGACAATGATATCACGGATGCCGATTTTAATTTTTTCGATGAGCAGCCTGAGGTCACAGGCCTCGACTTCCCAATGCCCGATATCCCACCTGGCCCAGAGCAGGTTCAGAACATTGATCATAGTGTAGAGCCAATCTTGCGAACGTCTCGCCCTGTCGCCGAACCTGCTTTAAACCCACCCGCGGACACTCCGAAATTTGCCAAACCGGAATTGAAGCATGCCCGAAGCAGTCTACAAGATGATCTCCAAGCCAGAGCCAATCTGAACGAGGAGCCGACCGTTCCACCAACAGTCGGAGTGAAGCGGCAACCGAGTCCATTCACTCCTGACAGTGTGTTCAAACGCATCCGGGCTGCGATGGATAGCCCCCTTAACAATGCGGCAAACACAAACCACGGCGGTCGTCGAAGAAGTGTCTTTGATAGTGTAGACTTCAACTCGTTCCTGACTCTCAACAACAAGAAATATGAAGAGAATGGGCGATTTGAGTGTCATTGGGAGAAACCAACGCCGTCCAGCGCCGATCCTTCAGCGGACATTCCAACAACTGCCTATCTACGCCGCCATGGGGGTGTTCAAAGCTATCTGAAAATCCCTCCCTCCACACTTGGTGCGGTGGTTGGCAGAGGAGGAGGTGATGAACAGGGAGCCGTGTCCAAGTTTGCTGATTCCGACGCCGACGATGATAGTATCGTTTCAGAACTCGATGATGCTAGCCACAGTATTCATGACGTTCCTTCCCCATCGAAGTCGTCTGTCGCAAGGAAACGGATCGACGACGACGCCAGCTCTTTAGCTGCCTCTTTCAAGGAGCTCGAGGCCGTATCTGCTTCACCGCAAGCCGCTGATATTTCTCGGTTCCTAAGCAATGACCCTACCGACCTCCAGCTTTCTAAATACTTCGCTGAGCCAGATCTTCCACCAATCCAATATTCATTCTCGGACGACGAATATATAACAATTGCTCAGATCCTCACGGAGCAAGTTGTCAGCGGCACGTTGAAGACCAGGGACCCAGTACCTGGCCAACTGGACCTGCAGAATGCTCGGAGGGCTGTGGCTAATTGTGCACGATCATCGCTGCAGACCGTTCGTTCAACATTTCCATCTTCCCTCGCCAGCGCGCTCGAAATCGCCTTCAGATCTCTTGTTGAAGTCCAGGATTTACCAACTCTGCCGCAACCCACCCGGCTGCAGCCCCGAAATCCAGCAGGCGCTGAACAAACCAGGCCAAGTGTGTTCCAGATCCCATCACCCCATATCGAGATCAGGCGGCATGAGACAAAACTCTCACTCGTGCCTTCTTCGATTACTTTCTGGGAAGTGCTGGGTCTTGGACCATCTCCGGGAAGCAAGGACATCCGCTCGTCATGCGTGTTTCCCCAGGGCGAGGGAATGTCCGATAGTGTGACCTCGTTCCTTGACCAGAAGCGAATCGTCTACGAAGCCCTTAAACTTGGATCATTCGACCGGCTTGCGGACTCGGCCGGCATTACTGGTGGTCTTGTTCCGTTCGAAACTGAGCCACCAGTCTCTTCGCCGAATTCAGCTGGCGGAAAAGATGCGCCTCCCATGATGGAACGGATGAGCCACTTGTGCCAAGCACTTGCTAGTCAATCCGTCAGCAACAAGAACTTTCTCGTCTACTTTCTCTACTCTGCGGAAGATCCACGTTCCATGGTCGAATGTTGCGCTGCCTTCCATCATTTATTCGAGCTGTATAAGAAGAAGCTCGCGGACAAAAAGACAAATTCGACGAACGATCTAGTCATGCAGCTAGTGCCTCTGGACTTGATCGCATCACCACAATCGCCCGTTGTCCTCAAGCATGGCGACTACATCAAGTTGTCCCTCGAGACTTATGACCGATGCACGCTCTTTGACGGCACGATGCCGGCACCTGCAATCTGCCTGGAGCAGCTTCCGCCCCGCATGATCGATTTCAAGCTGACAATGACGCCATCGGCAAACCTGCTCCACGAGAACTCTTGCATCCATATCGCATACGCTCAGAGCGTCGATGGAAGGTGGATCACAGCGGCGTGGACCGACAACAGAGGGAGCAAGCAGATGACTGCGTCATACTGCCTTGGCAGGAAAGGCAGGCCTCTTGCTACGCCGATGGCTGATGTTGCGCACGAGATCTGGGACACGACGCATGATTTAATTTCAATGTGGAAGGTTCACTGGAGGGTCATCATCACAAAGTGCGCGCCGATGGAGAGGGAGGAGATTGACTACTGGGTCGATCTTGCAAAAGCTGAGACTAAAGCGTCTATCACCCTCACAATCCTGACGGTGGACACGGACCCGTCACTACAACTGCTGCCGCCAGCGGTCAAGATGCCGGTGTCGGCGTCGTCTGTGTTCTATACCACACCAGTGTCGACCCCTCAGGCCTCGATAGTGTCTCCCGAACAAAGCGGCAACCCGCCAACCCCTTCAATGGCGGCTGCGACCTCTGGCGTCACAGCAACCACGCCCGGCACGGGCGATGCCGCCACCGAGAACGACGGCGACACTACCTTGGTTGACGTGACCGACAGCACGTGGGGTGCCGTGCTGTCTCATAAACTCCAAAACACCTCTGCGCCCGGCGAGATCAACCCAGCCCTCATCAGCGGATATCTCATCAAGCGTGGAGGCACCCGGCCGGAGGACCCTCCGGTGGTCATGGAGGTCAACGTCGTGCACGCCGAGCACAACCCGAGACTGTACGAGACCTTGCTTAGGGAGATGTTGCTGTACTTCAGGGGGCTCGGAACGTTGGCGAGAGCTCGAAATATTGTGGACTCGCGGACAGATATCCGGCCTTGGCACATCGCTGCGGCGGAGAAGGCGGTCCGGCTTTTGTCGCAATTGATGTAGTTAGGGCAGTACTACGCTTCGCCTCGAGCACTTTCTAATCTCGCGAGGTTGGTGTGGTGCATGGGGCGTCGGGGGTCCGGGTTGAGTTTTTATAGCAAGCGCTTTTTCCTTTCTTCTTCTTTTGAATTTCTGGGCCAAAAGTGTGTTAGGATACCCGAAGCATATCTACGGCGTTGAGCGGTCATGGTTAGAAGCGCGCGATTAGCAGATCCAACGGGCACGAAGTTGATCGCTTTCTATATTCCAAACTCCTACATAGAGATTTCTATAAACCCGTATCACAGCAGACCGTGGCTTTTGCTACTGTCTACCCCTGCTACTAGTGCTATCCAGTTAACTCACTGTGTAAGTGAAGAAAGACTCTGCAGCCTTCACAACCAGCTATCCATCCTCTGAGGTGGAAAGAAATCTACTGCTTCAGGAAACCGGGAAAGAGGTATTGAACGCTCCTCAGCGCCTCAGGGTTACGGCCCTCGGGTTTCGTCATGAACGACACAGCACCCACGCTGGCGCCTTCCCAATGCTTAGCGAGGACCATGTCACTGTTGTCATGTTTCGATAGCTCATCGAGAACGGCGCCGATGAGCCGCTTGGCATTCTGGCTGTTGGCAGCCATATACTTCATGACCATGGCGACGTCAACATCCTCGGTACTATGCCAGCAGTCGTAGTCGGTCGCCATGCAGATCATCTGGTAGGCCATCTCGGCCTCGCGGGCAAGCTTCGCCTCTGGCAAGACCGACATGTTGATAACGGTACCGCCCCAAGAACGATACATGTTGGACTCGGCCCGAGTGGAGAATTGAGGTCCCTCTGGAGGAAGTGGTCAGAACACGGCACCAGGAGATGGGGCCAGAAGGCTAGAGACTTACCCATGCAGATGAGGGTACCCTTCTCGTGCAGGATCACACCGTCGCCCTCCATCGCCTCGGCGCATTGCTTGACGACTTGCGCAATCTTGGCATCAAACGGATCCGCGAAGCCCACGTGGCCCACGAGTCCGCCCTCGAAGAAGGTGAAAGGGCGGACTCCCTTGGTGCGGTCGATGACCTGGTCCGGGACGACAAAGTCCATGGGCTTGACCTCCTCCTGGAGGGAGCCCACGGCGCTGAAGGCGATGACGGTACGGACGCCGATGTGGCGGAGAGCAGCAATGCTAGCGCGTGACGGCACCTCGTGGGGCGCATACTGGTGGTGGATGCCATGGCGGGCGAGGAAAGCGATGGGCACCCCGTTGTGCTCTACGATCTGGATCGGGGAGGCAGGGTAGCCCCAGGGGGTCTTGGGATTGAGGGTGGCGATGGGGTCAAACCCCTCAATCTTGGAGAGACCAGTACCGCCAATGACGGCGATGTGTACCGGTCCTGTACTCGAGTAGATACACGTGTTAGAGAAAGGGTTTCCATCAGGACGAACTTTGGGAATATAATCAAGGAGCAGGGAGGCCACCTACGGTCAAAGGTATCTGGAACAGAGCCCATCTTCTCTACGCCTGTCCTGGGAGTGAACTTGAGTATACAAAGGCCTACGACTTGGGCAGCCAAAGGAATGAATGGCCCGACGGGATATGCAGAAATATAAGAGTGAGATATTTATACAAGAGGTGTCACGTAGAGAGGAAAACGCAGATACATAAGCAAATGAAGCACCCCGCTACTCGTCCATCCTACCGCAGCCCTCCAAGATCTGCAATAAGTCCGGCCAAAAAAAAATTACCCCGCTATGGCGATGTCGTTGCATCTCGGAGGCCCACTTAGGCGGTGTCTAAAGAAATGCAGGCACGGACACCAGTGAAAGGACCACATGCCGTGGCGGTGCTTACCTCCAGCTATTTTCCTTTTTTTCCTGCTTAGTCGCCTCCATCTTGTCTCAAAGGCGGTGGGAGATATCCAAGCTCAATTTTCCCAAACCTACCAGCAGCAATCATCTCGCCATAACCATCCGGTCTCATCCTACGGCATTTTTATGTGACAAGGTCTTATTGCCTGATAAAAGGCTTAAAGACATCGTTCATTAGCTGAACTGTGGGCATACCCGCCCCAAAGATTTTCATAAGGCAACGCCTCGCCTTTCTTCTACGGTCCATCCGGAGCAGAGACATACTTCAAGATGGCGCCGGTAGCGACGGGGGCTTTGCCCCCTGTTGACCGGATCAGCGCTCCATCGTCCAAGCAGACAGTCGAGGAAGTCTGCTTCTCGGCTGCCTTGATATGCTTGGAAGGCCACTACAGCGATTCGCCCCCGATCTCCGGACCTCTCACTCATGCAAAAGTCACCAACATGGTGACGCGAACATTGGAGAAGACGCACACCTTGAAGGAAGTCCGGTTCGTGCTTTCCAAGCACCATAGCTATATGGATATATGATAGGCAGGTGCTGACCCGAGCATACAGAGAAGCATTATCGAGAAATGTCGAGATCTGGGTGTACCTCACCAAGATCTTCGCGTCCGCAGTGCCGTATCTGACCACTCGCTGCATCGGGCCGTTATCCAGCCTCAACGACCCCAATGCCCGAGTATCAGGTCCTGAGAGCACTGCCTTGATCCTGAAGAATTATGCCAGTCTCAAGGAAGATCTGCAGATGCTCAACAAGCTCATGCATATCGCCCGCAACCTGCTCGTGACCCAGGAGCCCGAGGTGCCGCAGGACATCTGCGCAGCTGTCAGTTTTGACCAGATGGTGTACCAGACCATCATCTTGTGCATCAACATGGCGAATAAGGGAATTGGTCCAGAAAAGTTGGACGACAGCACGAGGGCAAAGCTGAAAGAAATCGACGACCTCTGTAAGTCAAATCAATGAAGAGAGCAGTCTCGCTACCATACTTACACGTCCTTCTAGACAAGAAACTTCTTGTGACCGCTCTGCAACAGGCACACAACTGGACTGCCAAGAATGACCGGAACAAGATGTCATTTTGGCACGATGTGCTCTTTGATGATGAACATACCCAGGACGAGCAAGACGGTCTAGGGGATGGCTCAGGTTTCCGGTTCGACATCGCTAAGGTCGAAGTTCTCAATTGGCTGGAGCGCAACTCGAATGTCTGCGAAAAGGCCAAGGCTCTCCTTGTCGAATACGCCCAGACGCACGCAAACAAGCCGCCCGGAATCCCGGCCGCTATCTCACCCCTCTGTGGCACATGGATGCCCGACGTCAACCCGAGAGCGGACGACCCAAATGATACCGAGCCTGCAACATCGGTCTGGCAACCCGAGGAGACCGATAAGTTCCAACAGGACAAGCTCTACGGCCGCGTCTCCCACGAAGTCGACGCATGGTGGGAACGAGCTCGAGATCAGAACTTTGACGGCTGGAATGTTTCCATGCCCTCGATTGAGTTTGCACAGTCCAGGCAAGAAGCATATCTGGGCATGATAGAACACCGATACGCGCACACGTATCGATCGATGGACGACGACCACATGGTCGATCATTGCGAACACGACCATGAGCACGAACATGACCACCATCATGACCACCATCATCATTGCCACCACCACCACCATCACGACCATGACCATGACCATGACCATGACCATGACCACGACCATGACCATGATCACCACCACCATCACCACCATCATCATCACGACGACGATCTCCTTCCCGAAGGCGCTGATGGGGACTCGCGGCACGTCGTTCAGGAATACGTTGATGACATGATCGAAGATGATGATATCGATGACGACGAGTCGTACGGCGAGGGCCCAATGGCAGGCGTACTGACAGAGTTGCCCAACGTGCTCGACCCGAAGCAAATAGAAGCCTTGCACATGATTGTCAAGTCTTGTATCATGGACACTGTTGGGGTTGGTCTGACACGTTATGGAGAGAATCTGCAAAAGACAAGGTGTCATATGTTCCTGGCTACTGACTGTGGAAAGAGTTTGTTTCGAGAGATGCTCGTTTACATTGCGGTTTGGGACAAGGATGAGCAATCGCTGATCTTCGAGATAACCTCGCAGATTGTCGAGGCCATCCATCACAACGCGCTACTTCCCTACGCATGGAACTCATTACGGGTGACCAAGGACGTCATCTCGCCATCCCAGGCTGTGCTCCTTCGCGTCATCAGTCACATGTTCCGCAAGAAATTTGTTTCTGCTCTAGACCAAGAAATCAGCGACGATGACCTTGACATCAAGCTCGTGCACTACCTTTTCAGCTGGTTCCGGAGTCGTACTGTGCCGGAGTGCTTGGGCTACCTCAGTCTGCAAGCCGAGGTTCTGACTGGCATCACGGACCCAGCCGACTTCTTCGTGGACGGATGGGATCTCGAGCGTGCAAGAGACGGTCTGGCCCAGTTCCTCGAGTTCATCAATACCGCGGCGGATATCGACGCCATACGGAAGAAGATCATTGAGTGGGAGGCTGTGTATGAGTTGATCACTCTGCTGAAAGCACTGGAGGAGAGTATCCCGAAGAAGCCTTTGGTGGAGGCCCCGGCACCCCGCAACAATGAGTCTTCGACAAATGGACAGATAGTCGAACGGCCTTATGCTCAAAACGGCAATGCCGACCAGCCTCCTCCTCCACCGCCACCGCCGTCCCAGCCTGGAGAACCTCCCCATAACTTTGCTTGGTCCGGCATCAAGATTCAGATCCTGGGCCTACTCGCGACCTTGCTCCAGCCGCCGAGAGGCGAGCGTGGACCCGGGAATTCGCAGGTGCAGGACCAGATCATGCGCCAAAATGGCCTTGTACCTCTGCTCAACTGCTGTGCCTATGACGACAACAACAGATACGCTCGCGAGAGGGTGCAGGTCTGTCTCAAGTACATCATGGACGGCTCGATAGCCGCCAACAACTTTCTCCGGGACCTCGTCCGGAAGGCTCCCCAGCCTGGCCAGATGGCTCCGCCGCCCGCGCGACCAAAGGCGGGACTGCCCTCTTCTACGGGCAGTGACCCCGCGGCTCCGACCACAACGAGCCTGAGGGTGGACGGCATCGGCGGCGAGATCAAGGTCCAGGTTCGATCTCCCTCTGCCCCCGGCAGGGCCACGTCGGCTACGCTAGGGACGACGGCCTTGGGCCCTGTACCGCCTCCTGCGTCGGCACAGCCTGTGAGTACGGCGGCGGCGGCGGCGGCGACGGCGAGTGGCTCCGCTACTACCACGGGCGCTGGAAGCACAACCACGACCCGGCCTGCGCTTCCTTACCCGCCGCCTTTGCAAGGGCCGATCCCGCCAATCACGAACCCGCCCCGCAACCGTTCGGAAGAGTTGCTGAGCGACATCATCACGCTTGCCAACGAGGCGGCGCGGTTAGCCCTTGCGCACGATGGGGACGAGACTGAAGATGACTTTATGTGAGCAAGTAGAGGAGAGAGCACGTGTACATATAGCATCAGCACGGGAAGAGGTAGTTCGAGGGGTTTCTGCATGGTTTTACGTGAACCCCTTAAGTGCATAGCGATGGAGTTTTAGTTTCAAGAGCATTAGGGTATTACAGTTTCGACTTCTGATGATGAGAAGAATGAGCGAAGAAGTTAAAAAAGATGATAAAACTACCGAACCGATCAGTGACCTGCGATCAGGACAACAATGATCTGGTCAGCGCTGACTTGTTGATTTTGGCCGAGACGAGGAATAGGAACTCGTCTGCAGGCATGTAACGTTTTGTAGATACACAAATCAAAAGGACAATGACGCAAAGAATTGCCCGAGTTGTGTCAATTAGAATAATACTCATTTTATTCTGTGTGCAAATAAAGACTATTGAAGTTCGGGGGAACCCCCTTTTTCCTCTACCTGCCCCAGCTGCCCAGTGCCGAGAGGAACAGGGGCAGCAGATCTGCCTTTGCTACAACTTTTTTGAACTCCTTTTTCTTCTTCCCACCTTCACTTAGCATACAACACGACTACAGAACCCCATATGTATGGCTGGCTGGCTGGCTGGTTGGTTTTACCCCCATTTATCGGGCTCCATCTCCCGCTGCTCGGCCGAGGAGGCGCCGCGGCGATGCGATCCGGGCCCACGAGCGGGAGGAGGAGGAGAGGGCCGCTGCGTGCGCGAAACCTAGTCGCGAGCGGCGCTGCCCTTGACGCCCTCGCGCACGGCCGCCAGGATCAGGCCCTTGGCCTTCTCGACGCCGTCCTTGGAGCCGATGACCTCGATGGCCTCGTCGTTGTTGCGCGGCACGGTGACCTTGCAGCCGCTCTGCTTGCGGATCGACTCGACCTTCTTGCCGCCCTGGCCGATGACGTAGCGGTAGGTGCGCGGGTCGCTCAGGACCAGGTAGCCGACCGTGTCGTTCCGGCGGGCCTGCTCCAGCGCGCCCTCGAGGGCCTTCTTGGCCTTCTCGACGTTCTCGGGCGAGCCGCGCAGGACCCAGGGGATGTCGCCGTCCTCGCCCGAGCCCAGGTCCGCGAGCTGCCACGAGTGCGCGTCGGCGGTGGCCTCGGCGTCGTCGGTGATGAGCGGCAGCGCACCGCCATTGGCCGCGCCCGAGGACGGCGCGGGGCGAGCGGGCACGCTCTGACCTGCGTGGTCGACAGTGACCTGGTGGTCGCCCTTGAGTCTGCGGAAGAACTGCCCGTTGTTCGAGATGGCGTGGTGAAGTTTGCGGGGCACTTGGACTGTCTCGCCCTGCTGCTCCCTGACCACCGACTGGATGCGAGCCTTGGCCTTCTCGACATCGCCAGGCTGGCCAGTGATCTTGACGCCGGTCTGGCCGCTACCCTGACGGGGGATGTCGATCGAGACGTGGAAGTCCGACTCCATCTGCTTCTTCACATCACCGCCCCGGCCGATGAGAGACCGGTGCTTGTCGGTGGCAACATCGATCACCTCCGTGACCTGGTTCTCGCGCTGGGCCACGAAGGCCTCGATCTGAGCGATGATGTCGTCGACAATGTTCTTGCGGCCCTCGACCTTGATGGTGTTGCCATCTGAGTCCTGCTTGGGGAATTGGATGGTGCGAGCAAACTCTTTGCGATCGTCGGATCCGCCAGCTTTGAGAACCATATCTCGAACACCAGCACCTAAGATGTATCAGCAACACGAAACTTGCGCCAACATGTAAATGGTTGCAACTTACCTCCGGCGCCAATCAGGGTTCGGTGATGCTTCCTGTCGACATCAATGGTGCGGGTAATAGTGTCATCGAAGATAGCCTTCTTCTCCTCAAGGACCTGCTTCGCAGCAGCGACTTGGTCCCTTGTTCCCTTGATTTGGATATCGACCATAGTATCAGGAGAGTCACGGCCGTTGGGGATGTCGATCTTGGCACCCGTCTGCTGTCGGACAGCCTCCATAGCAGAACCGCCTTGCCCGATCAGCATGGGCAGTTGCTTTTGCTGCAAGGCAACGGTGGCCGTGAAAGAGTTGTCCTGGAGATACTGGAACAGAGTCAGGAGCTCATCCCGAGCTTCGTCGGCGCCCTTCTTGGGGCCGCGAATGATGACCTCGTTTGGAGCTTGCTGGCGACGGGGCTTGCCAGCATCACTGGCAGCATCGGCATTAGACTCGTCGTCCTTGGTGCTCCTTGCTGAGCGCGGGAAGAAGATGTGGACCTTGTATCGGTCTTGGAGACGGTTGATCTGGCTACCTTGGGCGCCGATGAGCTCCCTGTGGAACCTAGGATCGATGTTTAGGACGTGGGTCGCCTCGTCTGCAAGCTGGCGTCCCATGGCAAGGATGTGTGCCTTCGCGGCGTCGGCCTTGGCTTGTGGGCCCTTGAGCTCAACCTTTCCATCCTGAACGTTGATGTCAACGTCAAACTTCTCACGGAGCTCGCGAATGTTGCTGCCTCCCTTGCCAATCAGATGATTGGCGAACTGTTGGGGAAAGTCGAAAGCGGTGATCAAGCCTCGCTCCTTCTCGTCTTCCTTCTCCTGCTCCATAAAGGCGTTGATCTTCTTGACAAGGCTTTCAACTGCAGACGCCGGACCACGAACTGTGACGTCGACACCCTTGCTGCTGACCTTGGCAGCGGGCTGGCCGGCAGGCAGCCGTTCTTGCTCGCGCTTGATGAATCTTCTCAGCCTATCGTGGAACTTGACTGGCACTTGGATGGTGGTAGAGGTCAGCTGGTCTTGATGGTTGAGGAACTCCATGATGGCGTTTCGGGCGTCGCGCAGGCCTTGCTCGAACGATTGGACATCCGCGGGGTTAGGCGCAGCCGTCGGCACCTCGTACCGCGACTCAGCCGAGAATGGGCCCTCATAGACGAGCAGCAGAGGAGCGTCGGCCTCTGATGCCTCGGGGAAGACGAGCTGAACACCATAGTTCTGGCGGATACTCGAGTTCATGTTGTCCCTGAGATGGTTGTGGTAGAAATGATCCACAGGGATCGTGGCCATCCTCGAAGGGGGGTGTCCGGAGACAATGCCCTTGATTTCGGTCTGAGCTCGGATAGCGTTCTTGCCCTCTCGGGAGTAGAGCTCCCAAGCCAGAGCACCATCCTCGTTTGTAGGCGTGTTGATAAACGTGTTGTACTCCTTTTCTAGCCGCTTAATCACCTCTCGCTGTCTCAGGTAGCGCGTGACGTTGCGGGCATGTGCAGATGCTCCGCCTGGTGCCTGGCGATGGAAACGTGAGATATCAAAATTGGAGAGCTGCATGTTCATCGCCAAGTCCATGACGCGCTCCAGGCCGGTTTGAACCCGATCCGCGGGACCGATGACTGTGACCATGTCGTCTTCCTGGTCGGTGGGAATCACAATCGTGCAGCCAGTGTCGTTGAAGAAGTCTTCGACCGAGACGCCTCGGTCGCCAATAATGAATTGTTGGCGTCCAGAAGGAATAGACAGCTGCTGAAGCTCCAGATTCCTCCGCAGCTCCTCCACGCGACGTTCAATCTCGGCTCGCGCAGCCTGTGCAGCAGCACGTTCACCACTAAGCTCAATGGGCGCGCTATTGGGAGCGGGAGCGAAGACTGGGCGTTGGCCCTCTGGCGGAGCTTCACGGGGTTGCGACGACCAGGCTTGATGAGATGGGACAGTAACCTGAACACCCCTGTCCTTCAGATCACGAAGGAAGTTGTCTCGCGGGTTGGCGAGGAAGGGGTAGAACTCGGCAGGAATGTCCCGGAGTTTCGTGGCGACATTCGCAGACCGCTGATTAACAAGTTTGTTGATCTCTTCGCAGGCAGTGGCTGCGGAGAGAGCGTTGCCTTCGACAGTCACGTCGATCGTGCTGTCGTCATCCTCGTCTGTAGGGTAGGGGAGGCCCTCTTCGTCTTTAGGGAGCTGGACCCTGGCTCCACTCAGTTCTTGGATCCTCTTGATGTTGGCTCCCCTGGTACCAATAAGGTGTGACCGGACTGATCGAGGGATGGGGACTCGGACGGTCTGCTTAGTGCCGATCTGCTGCGCAAGGTCTCTGAGAGCTTGTTGGGCCACTTCAGAGGGACCTGTGGCCTCGAACTTGTACCGACCGTTGGCGGATGGGCTGAAGCTGATCTTGGCGCGGGACTTGCGGTTAATGTCCTTGATGATGTCGGGCATCGGGCGTCTCAGCTTGTCACGGGGCAGAATATGTTGAGAATCAAGAAGCATGGTCTCGACGTTGCGACCCGGGATTGAGAGGGCGGGCGGGCCGTGCAGCGAGGGGCCGGTAGGCGTGGCCTTGCCCGAGGCCGGGGCCGAGGTCGGGACAGAGGCCGGAGTCGAGGCGCGCGAGGTGCCATTGGTCGGAGCCGCACCGTTGGAGCTACCGAGCTTGTTCCAGCCCTGGCTGACGACCTTGGGCGGGGGAGGAGCCTTGCCGCCAAGGCCTGGAAAGAGCTCCTGTGAATTTGTGTCGATGACCGTCGCCGACGGCTGCGCCTTTTGCTTTCCAGCAGCCTTGGCAGACATGTTGGCGGCCCAGGGAGCAGCAGCACTCTCGTTAGTTGCCTGGGCGGGGACGTCGTGTTTCAAATCTTCATCCGGGACCTCCTCGACAAATGCATGGTGATCGGCATGCTTCTGGAGTAGCTTCTGAGCAGCCGAGGGTTGGTCGAGACCCGGGGTAGGGTTGGTGGACGAGCTTGTAGCCATCGTTATACCGTTGAATCCGTGTAGATTGAGCCGTAGAAAATCAGTCGCAGATCAAAGCAGGGTGGCCCTTGGAGGAACTGCAAGAGACATGGAGAGTCAGTAAATTGATTCACTCCATAGAGGTCCAAGACACAACTGAGAGAGCCCTCTCTTTGGGTAGTGCTTGGTAGTAGTATCTGGAGCACACTCACAGTAGATAGGGACTTGGAGGCAATTATAGAAGGAGAGATGGAAGAGGTAGTGACGGAGCGTATCTCAATTGGGATTGACGAGATAGAGCTTCGTTTTACCACGGTTGGACCACCTTGAGGGTTGACTTTGGTCTGCGTTATCAAATACCAAGGAGAGGGAGGCAAAGAGCTGTCCGCTTAACACATGGTGAGCAGAGACGGGTAGATGGTGAAATTGGACCTTTCAGGGGAGCAGGAGGCTGCGGGATTGCCCTTTGGCCAGCTGCGACGTCGAGGGGATGGGGAGTTGGGGATTTGAGGTTGTGCGAGACAAGGTAGCTTCCACGTAGTACTAAGACCACGCAGTAGGGGGAAAGGTGGAGGATCACTCAAATGGGATGATGTGGGAGTTTGGAGAGGTGGAGTGGGTTCGATTCGGTTCGAGGCAGCAGGGGGGGTTTTGAGGTCGACATGAACACTGACAGCGCAGGTATTCCGCGGACCGTTGTACTGGAGAACTTCCGTATCGTGCGCGTGGCTCGCAACTACGGTGCGGTGATTAAAGGTCGCCAAAAGGTTCTCGATTGCTCTAGAACAAGGTCCCTGATTTGTCCACTCGGCATTGGCCTAACAAATTCTGGGAAAAGAGCTCGAGATAAACGCGGCTTATCGTCAGAACACTCACTGTACAAGTAATTGAGGACTCGATGAGCCGTCGTCCCGTGTGGTTTGTATTCCCTAATCCTGTCATACTGCAGCGCATGGCTGAGAACTCGGGCTCGAGCATGGCTGGCTGATCGACCATGTTTGTCGACCTACTTGTAGTTGGTACCTACTTTGCCATGGGAACTCGTCGCGAACCAAACCCCTCCATCTACCTAACCTTCTCACCCATTGTATTAGAGCCTCATCTCCGGCTTTACTCGACATCGGTCATACAATCGCCGTACCTAGACCTGCTTGCAACATGCTTAGGATCGCCTCAGTGCTATTGTAAAATAAACAGACAAAAGTTCAACTAATCAACACTTGGTATACTTGAGAACCCGATCTTTACAGAGCTGACAACCTGTTGTCAAGCTTCAGCCCTTTTCATCAGGACTATTTTCTTTTCCAATTGAGCACGATTTCATTGTTTACTTTAGGGCCCAACGTACCGTGGTTATGTAGAGGGAGCAAGCCACTAATTGCAGAAACCAGCTCGAGTTGACTCAGGACACGCAGGTTGAATCAAGATAGATATATTGGTGATCTTGGGACGTGTTGCACACCCGAGGAGCAAAAGCCATACACATTAAACCAAGCCCGGCTGTACTCTCGCTCAACAACCTCATCCACATAAACAGCGCTCCGGTGGCCTTTCCAATTCCATATCACCCCTCCTTACGACTCGGGACTGGACTCTGAGCATCTGCAGCGTACAATGGAGTTATGGGGATTCGGTATGTGGAAGACAGAGCTGGACCATCCATTTTGCCCACCCATGTCTCCCAGTCGAGAACCTCGCAGGATTCCCACAAGTCCTTACCCTGTGCCACTTGCAAACGAGAGACAAGACTTGTTTGTGCGAGCGTCCTTTCGACGTTATGTTCGACGAAGGTACTGAGATATGGACCCCAGCACCCACCAGCAATGGCGATTCGGCAAGTGACGGCAAGGATCCCAATGATATGCAAGTCTCTGCTGTTCCCCGCGATGAACAGTTCTGCTGAACACTACAAGTACGTATGTGGTGCATGCGGCGCATTCCATGGCCCGCCCACCACGGGGTTAATAATAGAGAACGTGCCGGGGGGTGGACAGGACCTGGGTCTGCTGGAATGGAGTGACATCAACAAGGAGGAGGCATGGCACCCAGCTTACTCCGTACGATGGCAAACTTCCGAAGCAATGCAATCGTTCACCAACCCCAGGAGCGGAAGAGTTCAAACCGGCCACCACCACCCCACGGCGGGCGGCAAAAGACGAGGTCGATCTTACACGGCATGCACACCTCCTGCTCGAATCGCGTTGCTGCACCCCGCGTCTACTTTGGCATCGCGAAACAGGCCACAAGAGCAACGGCCTCTGCTAGCAGGTGCAACGGCGTCGCGGCCAGGCCTCAGCACACCGGGCCTCATTGGATGGGGGGCCGCGGCTAGATGCAATGCGACATCGATGAGATGCCCTCGTCTCTGCACGCAGATAAGTCAAGCAGAGATGAAGACGGGCTTGTGAAGAACACAGACTGAGTGATACCGGCACCCCCTCTTCTCCCTCTTCTCCACCCTCGCCGCGAGCAAGAGCGAAGCCACGAGCGTGCTGTGTTTTCCCTCGCTGCGATTTGTACAGTACCTACCTAGGTAGTTACCGACGAAGAGCTGCCCCGAGCTCAATGTGTTGTCTGGCGCTTTAATTTGGCAGCGGAGCAGTGTCGAAAGCCCCGTCCTGCTAATCCCACCGATCAAGCAACTATCACCGCCGGCGCCCACCAACGGTGGATATCTGCCCATCTGCCCCACCGCCATCGAATCTTCCAATTGGTGCCGCGCGATCAGTACCGAGCAGCCTGCCAATCAACGCCTGGGCTTTTTTGGGCCGGATGGTGTAACAAAATGCAAGACCCTGGTGCCCACTCAGGAGGCAGAGGCGGTGGCCGCTGGGACTGGAAGGGTTTCAATTGCCCACCAAGCCCACCAGACGGGGGCTTCACCACTCGCTGGAAGTGCGGCCAACGACGCTGCTAAGGGATTCTAGGGCCCCCTCTCGCCAATTCTTCACCAGAAGCCGAGATGGTGTGGTGTGCAAGTGGAGGGGAAAGGAAAGAAGAGAGAGCGACTGGAAGAGACTGTGGTACTGTGGGCGCAACCGCGGCGTGGCTGATTTGTGATTGCAAGGGTTCAAATCATCCTGGCACATTGGCCCGGGCCGGTGACGTTATCACTGGCACCTTGGTCACCCTGTTTTCATCAGCTGGGAGAGGAAGAAGAAGAAAAGGGTCTTTTTTCCCGTATATCCCCAGGCTGTGCCAGGATCCGGGTGGGCTATTTTGAGGGCATCAAAGCAAAGACAAACACGAGTTTGCTTTTTCCCACCGCAGCGACGCCGACTGTACCGACTGCTTCAGTGGCTCTGGGGCTCAGAGACCAAAACGGGCCTGCGCTAATGAATTGACTGTTGCGCTGGAGAATACAAGTAGAATCAACCAATTGGCCGCTCCCGACGTCCACGGCTATGGCCACATATCCTTCTTTCAGAACGGTGCTGTAACACACACCCGGGAAGGGTAGAGCGTCAAGCCTCCCGTCTTTCCGTGCAAATACGAAGTCCAGACACCAGATAGAAGGGTCTCCCAGGAGAGGAGACGGAGGAGGCGAAGGAGGGACAGGTCAGCCACGGAGGAGGGTCAAGAAGCCTGCCATTGTCATCGTCATCGTCGTCACCATCCTGACCTCCATTCTCAATCTTCGGGCGTTGACACTTATATTATGGTGGGTGGCCTTGGGGGGACACCCAGCACGCCGAAAGATGCTGCAACATAAGCGTCAATGTTGGTGCGGACCTCTTTTTTCGCAAGGCCGTTTTTCTTCTTTTTTTTTTCGGTACACACCCCTCACCTCACCACCCGCTCAGATGACAGTGTGAGGAGAGGTGGAGATGGGATTGGGTACCCACGAAGCAAGCAGAGAAGAGCCAGAAACAAGTTCTGAGGGGAGTCGGGTGGGATCAAGAACAGGGCCAATGCCTGCCATTGCGCCGCAGCAGCCAGCAGCAGCAGTGAGGCTCGACAAGCAAGAGTGTTGCCAGCAGAAAAGAGAAGAGATAGTCAGGGAGGTACCCTACTTGTAGTGAAGCAGGTATGGATATACATAGCACAGGACGAATGGCACACCACCAGCTTTGCCTTGTTTGACGCGAAAGCCACAGAGAGGTGAGAAGAGGCTGATCGAGACACACAAACCGGTGCTACTGTTTACCGTTTTGATTGATCCTCGCGCTCTCCAGCAATCATCCTCTCTCCTTTCTCTCGCCCACTCCCAAATAACAACCACAGAGAGTAGAGCAAGACAAGACAGCACAAGACAAGCCCAGGGCAGGGACAGGACCTACTCCGTAGGTACAGCTTGAGGGCGTTGTCGTTGTTTGTGTGCTGTTTTCTCCTCGCACGCATTTCTCTCCATCCACGCCCCTCTTCCCACCTCGGCGCTTCACGTCCAAGAAGTAGGTGCTTTAGGTACCTACCCTTTTTTCCAAGCGTGGGCAAAAAGCAAGCCACCACCACGAGCACCACCAACAAACGCTCAAGAGCAGAGAAAACCTCCCCCCCTCTCCACGCCGTGCGTGCCCACACCCCGAAAAAAAAAGCCCACACGCCCGCCAGACTACTACTAGCACACCAGTCCAGTCCGTTCCAAGAGTGAGACTGGCACGCACCCATTCTTCCCAATACCGGACCACCACTATTACTACTCCTTTGTCTCCTCTTTGTCCCGGAGTCTAAAGGTCGTTAGATCATGGACGGGCAGAGCCTGGATAATTCCTCCAACGGCCTCTCCCACCGTAAACGTCTAACCAAGAAACCTCCGTCGTCGCATCACCACAACTCTGCCCTCAGTGTCGATGGTCGAATTGACGCCCAACACCCTCTGCTGAGCAAGACCAGCTCGACGAGCCTGCGGCGAGCCCCAAGCGCTCCACCCGCCCGTTCTCCCACCTTCAACGCGTCAAGCAGCTCGTCGCCGCGGCATCTGCCCTCGTCCTCAACGGCTTCTCGATCGAACCATCCCTCTCCCGTCCTGCCTGGCAGCGAGTTCATTGGCGCCAGCCCGCACCCGAGCCACCACCACCAGCAGCACCAGTACCAACACCAGCAACAACCGGTGCACAACGTCCACCAGTACCAGTCGCAGCCCGCCACCGTCGCCCGGAAAAATACAAATCGCAACTCGGACCCCCACTTCCACGGCCATCTGAGGTCTCAGCCGTCCGAAGATTTCGTCGGCGCTCCCTTTGACGGTGCGGCCATCATCAACCGTATCGAGGCGATCAAGTCACCGACCCAGCCGGCCTTCCCAGCTCACCCAGCGCGGCCCGCGCCCTCAGCCCCTTCGCACATGACCCCGGATCAGCGCATCATGGGTCCGCCTCTTCGCCAATCTGCCAGCTTCTCGGCGGCGGATAACATCGCCAGCGAGAAGAGCCAGGTCAGCAAGATCTCAGAGACGCAGATTGCTGCCTCCAAGAGGTATTCCGACGAGAGCAAGGATGCCAAGCTGCCTGGAGTGTTGAGGAAGAAGTCTGGTTTCTCGGGTTTCATGACGAGCTTGGTCGGTTCACCCCGCAAACCGTTGATTTCGGCGCCCGAAAACCCTGTACACGTCACCCATGTTGGGTACGACAGCAACACCGGCCAGTTCACGGTAAGTCTCGCATCGTTCAGCAGCCCCCCTCCATTCCACGGAGAAGCACACAAACACCCAAGAGAGTGTGACACCGAATGGCTTTACACCCTGTCGCAGTCCAGTCATAATGTACCTTCTGACATCTTCCAATAGGGACTACCCAAAGAATGGCAACGGTTGATCAACGAGAGCGGTATCACAGAGAAGGAGCGGAGAGAAAACCCGGAAACGCTGGTCAATGTCATCAATTTCTACAAGGAAACGCAAGAAAGGCCACATGAGGAGCAGAACCTCGAAAAGTTTCACGATGCCCGGCCAGGACTCACGAGCAACCCCTCTTCCTCGTCCAATATGGCGTCACCCAGCATGCTCCCTCCTGGCTACATGGCCATGTCTCCCATGATCAGCCCGCCGGCGAGCCCCAGATTTCCCCAAGTGAATCATGAAGGCAGCTTTGAGAACCCTCGATCACCGCCTCCCGTGCCCAGAGGACCAGGCCCGCTGCCGGCCAAGGATATATCCTTGATCCCAACTCGGCCTGCACCGCGACCGCCAGTCAGTTTGCCCACCAGGACTGCGCCGCAAGGACCACCTAGCGCGCCCTTCACGGCAATGGACTCGGGCATCGGCATGTCTTCACAGCAGAATGAGGACTTGCCTTCGGTAGCCTACAACCCCTCGCAGCCGAAGGACAATGCTGCGATGCTACCAGAGGAACATCGCAACAGGTCGAGGTCCAATTCTCGTGCAACCGCTCCCTACTCGCCGCAACCCCCACAGCCCTCTCCCGCTGTCCAGGCTGCATACCAGCAACAGCTTATGCAGCAGCAACAGGAACAAGCCATGGCTCAGGCCCAGGCGGCCATGTCCGGCCAGCTGGGGCGCGCTCCTAGCAAGAGACAGCCTCCTACTCAGCAGCCGACCCCGCCGCAGTCGCAGCATCAGTTCCCCACTGGTGCCTCAGCCAACGGCGCCTCTCGTCCGCCGCAAGCTGCCCAGGCTGCGGTCCCGGCAGCCGTCCCGCGTCCACGACAGCGCGCGCGACAAAGCACCAACCTAGATGTGGTGGCAGCTTTGAAGCGAATCTGCTCGGAAGGCGACCCGCACAACATCTACCGGAACTTCTCCAAGATCGGCCAGGGCGCCTCTGGCGGGGTTTTCACGGGCTATGAGAAGGGCACCAACCGGCTGGTGGCGATCAAGCAGATGAATCTGGAGCAGCAGCCCAAGAAAGACCTGATTATCAACGAGATCCTCGTCATGAAGGACAGCTCACACCCCAATATTGTCAACTTCATTGACAGCTACCTCTGCAATGGAGAACTGTGGGTGGTCATGGAGTTCATGGAGGGAGGCAGTCTGACCGACGTGGTGACGTTCAACATCATGACGGAAGGTCAGATTGCCTCGGTATGCCGAGAGACGTTGAAAGGCTTGCAACACCTTCACTCTAAGGGAGTGATTCATCGGGATATCAAGTCGGACAACATCCTCCTCTCCCAAGAGGGCAATATCAAGCTCAGTAGGTTCCTCCTCTTCAATTCTTGTCAAAGGCAACGTCATTAACCACCTTTACTACAGCTGATTTCGGTTTCTGTGCAACAATCAATGAGGCTCAGAACAAGCGGACGACCATGGTCGGCACCCCGTACTGGATGGCCCCGGAGGTGGTCACGAGGAAGGAGTACGGCCGCAAGGTCGACATCTGGTCGCTGGGTATCATGGCGATCGAGATGATCGAGGGCGAGCCCCCATACCTGACTGAGTCTCCCTTGCGTGCGCTCTGGCTCATCGCTACCAACGGTACGCCGACGATCAAGGAGCCTGAGAACCTGTCCAAGGTGTTCAAAGACTTCCTCTGGTTTGCGCTCAAGGTAGATCCGGAGAAGCGGGCTAGTGCACATGATCTCTTGAGGGTAAGCTTGCGATTCAACAACCATTCTTTTTTTCCAGGACCAAAAGCTAATTCGGGGATTCACAGCACGATTTCATGAAGTCATGTGTCGATCTATCGCAGCTGGCGCCTCTTGTCAGGGCCGCAAGAGAGGCAAGGGCACAAGAAAAGGCCCGGAAAGGACAGTGAACGACTTGAGACATCAAAGGGCTTGATTTGATCCGGCACCGGTTCAATGGCTTGCTCGATACCCCTGATGGCTCAGAAACTCGGTACACCCCCAGCATATGACACCCTCTCGACTGCACATCCAACAACTTGAACGCGTTGCACATAATCCTTATACCTTAAAAGCATATTGCCTGGATTGATGTTCTTCCTTCCATCACTTCTCACTTTTTTTCATCGCTTGCGCAGCGCCAGCCATCAACAAAAAGCCTTGAAACATCTACGTTTTGCATGGCAAAAGACAGACTTTGGTTTTCTGTCTTTTTTTTTTTGCCAACGATATCCTTCTTGAAGAGCACGCTCTAGACGAGTGCGCCCTCAGCAAAGGCTCCATGGAATCTTTGCACGACGATCTTGCATTGGCGACAAAAGACATTTTGGGATGATATTTTTGTTTTGTTTTGTACTCCCCCTTCCTGTAGAGAAGCAGCGGGGGCATCAGTTTCAACTCGGGATGGAGGGGGGGGGACACTGATGTATGAATGAGCATTGGGCGAAGCTTTTGAATGCAGAAATCATGCAAAAGTTTCTGGAAGGGAAGGGAATGGGATGGAATGTATGGGAACCCCTTTTTCTGATCTCTCTTCTTCTTTTTTATATGGAAGTGAGCGAGGCAAGTCGGAGCAGTAGCGACAGGTCTCTCTCTCTCCCTTACTTTGCTGGACAAGAACTTCTTCTGTTTAGACCGAACGACCGTGATGTATAGGCTCACCCTTTCTGGGGGGGTGGGGAGCAAAGGGTGTCTAGGGCCATGGGCCTTTTGAAGAGCGAAATAGAGAAAATCGTCTTCTCGACATCTCATAAGTTCCTATTCCTATTCCTGGTGATGTAGTGTCTCATTGATGGAGACCCCTGACACATGTTGCACACCTAGCATCTTGATTTGCTGTTTGTGTGTGTATGATCCTGGACTTCTTCAAGTCTCCTTTAGTAGATGGTGATACTAGGTATGTAGTAGATCTCCTACCGCCGAGGACGTCATTTACAAAGGCAGGGCAGGCACTACTCACGGACTGCGTGACCCAGAGTTGGAGGGACTGCATCTTACTTCAACTTTGGATGAATAACAGGGTTGGGTGGGTGCTCTCAGATAGATATGCTACCCTGATGATCGAGGGCAAAGTAGCATACCTCAACGTGTGAATTACCGTGAAGCACGAAGTTAAGCGATCCCCATATCAGTCAGTCTTACGTACTTGTTATGAGATTAAAGGTAAAGGCAGAGGCAACTCGGATGGATTTGTCTCGGGCTGTATCTTGTACTTCCGACCTTTCTCTTTCCCGGCCTCAAGGGACAACCAGGGCCGGCTTCTCAGCCACCTGATGATCTCCGCCCTTTCCCTTTAGCAAAGCACGCTTTTCTGACTCTATATTGGTCCTCGACTGACTGAATGGCTGACTGACTGACCTTTCCATCGAACACATGCATGAGTACTTGTTTCTGTACCTAGGTATGTAAGCAATCCCTCACCCGGGAAGCCACTTAGAGTCATAGTGCTTCTAGAAGGTCTCCCAACAGTGGGCTGATCGGATCTGTAGTTCCTGTGCCAGTTCGTTCCTAAATGGGGCAAGGGTTTATCATCCGCAAAATGATCCGAAGGGATCAACAAGTGCCTTTACGTCAGTGGGTACAAATGATCATCCTGTTCATCACAAAGATGCACATCCTTTCCGGAGGGAACCTTGCACACAAAGAACTCCGATTGCGGGAGGAGGCCCTAGAACACAGAACCCCCCAAGTTGTTCACACAAAGTCACCGGGAGGCAAAGCAGTACGAGGCCAGCGTAATGTGATTTATCAGCAGGGCAAACCCGAGCCGCTGCGAGAGTGTCAATTCTGGATTGTTTTTCTTCCCATGTCTACCCAGTCTTTCTCTATACCGGAGAACCCTCATGACTGTCAAGCCATGTGTAGTCGTATGAAAAGTTTGAGAGAAAGACAAAAACCAACCAGGCTCGATACCATACCGGAGCCGAGAAAAAAACCGTGGAATCAGATCTAATCGCTCCGAAAGTCCCCTGGACAAGAACACGCTAGAAAAGAAAAAAGAGAGAACAGAAAAAATGAAAAAGGAAGTCGTGAGGCTTGCGGCGCCATCCCCTTGTGTCTCCCCCATTACAATCAGTCATAGCCGCAAGATGCACCGTGGAACCAATTGTAGACAAATATCCCTGATCTCCTTGTCCGAAATATCTGGGTATCAAATCAAAAGTTCGCGTCCTCAGGAAGGTGTGATTGCAAACGAGATGCAATTGGCTTGCTGTCAAAATGAAACTTCCACTCTAGTAGAGAGTGTAGCCACCGTCGATGATGACGTTGGAGCCAGTCATGAAGCCGCTGGCGTCGGAGGCGAGGAAGACGCAAAGGCCGTTGAGGTCGTCGACGGCACCGAGGCGAGCCTGGGGAGTCAGGCTCTTCCAGATCTTCTTCTGGGCGTCGAGGGCGGGAACGCGGTTCAGGGCAGTGTCCATGTACCCGGGGGAGATGCAGTTGACACGGATGTCGTACTTGGCCCACTCGGCAGCGAGGGACTTGCCGAACTGGATGACACCAGCCTTGGAGGCGTTGTAGCAGGACTGCTCCTGAGGGTAGTTGACGATGCTGCCAGACATCGAAGCGACCAGGATGATGGAGCCAGGCTTGCCAGCGGCCATCATGGCGCGGCCGACAGCCTGAGACATGAGGAAGGATCCGGTAAGGTTGATGTCGATGAGGCGGCGGAACATGGCCGGGTCGTAGGTCTCGGCCTTGATGTTGGAATCGGCAATACCAGCCGAGTTGACCAGGACGTCAGGGGCGCCATAGAGATCGACGACGGACTGGACAGCAGCGTTGATAGCGTTGCCGTCACGGACATCGACCTTGAAGAAAGAGACGGCGAGACCAGACTTCTCGTGAAGCTCCTGGGCAGCCTCGTCACCAAGCTCCTGGTTGGCATCGAAGAGAACGATGGCCTTGGCGCCGGCCTCAGCGCAGGCACGAGCCATGTGGTTACCCAGACCACGAGCACCACTAGAGGTAGTTTTGTTAGCCTGGCTTGGTTCATTCTGAAGTGAGGCAATAGTGAAGAAAATGAAAATAAAAAAAACCTACCCAGTGACGATGATGACCTTGCCCATGACGGACATCTTCTGCATGGTGGGGGGCATCTTCTGGTAGACCTTCTCGTCCAGGGGGGAGATGCTGTCCTCTTCGGCCTCAACGTGCTCCACGGGGGCGGTGCTGGAGGGGACGTTCTTGACCGGGATGCTGAAATGGTCAGAGTTTGCGGATGCAACGCCTTTCGAGTCCGGGGTGTAGACCGACACGGGAACTTCGGCCTCCTTGATGACCTCCGACTTCTTAAATCGAGAGGCGGTCGCAGACATGGCACGGTACTGGAATGGAGCCGCAGCGCGGACGACGGGAGGCTTGGGGAAAGCCAGGCGCGCAGAGGCGCGGGCGACAGAGCGAGCGGTGAACATTTTCGGTTCCTTGGGAAAGAGAAGATGTGCTTGCGTGAGTGTGATGAAGACGCTGAAGATGGCGAGACTGGAGCAGGGCCTTTGTGCGAGTCGTCCTTTTTATAGGAAGGGACACAAATGAGTCGTTGCGTGAACAAGTCCTAAGTAGGATGTGGTCGAGAAGTTGGGTTGATCCTGAGGTGGTTGATTGTTCAAATGGAAAAGAGATTTTTCTTTTCTCAAGCGACAATGTCCGAAAGGGGAAATTGTGGTGTGAAAGTGAATTGAGAGCTGGTGGTTGGGTCAAGTTGGGTTCAGGGTACGTGAATGGTACCTGGGCTCCTCAATAGCGACCACAAAACTGCGTGAATGAATGATCAACCTGACAGGTCCCGAGTCAAACCGCCAGGCTGTTGCGACTTATATAGAGTCTAGGAGGGAGAGGGAGGGAGCGCGGGAAGGGTTTTGGTGTTTTTTTTTTCTCCTTGGGAGGTGGGGATGCCGGATTTCGGACGGGGGCGAGTGATGAGCAGAGAAAACTGGAGGTGTGGCGAGTCTCGACCGGAGTCTGCGTGCCTGTCTCGCCTGTGTATGCGGAAACCAGGGTTGAACAGAAAAAAGATGTGCTCAGTGGGTTCAGGGTCTTCTGGGCTCCACGACGGCTAGCGGGCTGTAGTGGATGGGGCTGGGCTGCCGATCTCTCTTGTAACCTGCGCGCTGGTAATGCGTTGCTGACAGCTTTCGGACGTGGGCGATGCGAGGGGTGGAGGCTCTGGTCTCTCAAGAGAAGTGTGGGTGGACTGTAACGCGCGCGCACACACGGATTTAGCATGGGATCGATCAAGAGACGGAGAGAATAAAAAGGACAAAAAAGTGATGAAAAATTTAAGCTTTTAGTCTGGCCACGTCTTTGCCATCCCTCCGCCCCTCTGCCAAATAAAAGGAAACATGGTAATTTGTGAACCTCTCTCCACACACCACCTGGTTTGCTTTTGCTGCAGGTTGTCTTGCATTGGGAGGGGGGGTATTGAAGCTATTCATGACAGTGTGCATTTGTGGGTGTATGAACAGCTGGGCCAGGCAAATGATGATGGGAAACAAACATCATGACTGGTACGCTGGGTGTGATGTGGGGGAAGGAACACTTGGCCCTTGCCAGATAAAAAGGAATCAGGTAATTGCTGCAACGCTTGACACACGTACCTTTGCTATCAAAGATCAAGCCTCTGCTCTGCGCTGTGCGGTGTTGACAGGCGGATGGAACGGGGAGAGGAGCGGTGAAAATCGGCTGCTGCTGCTCCTGGCTGGCTGGACCTGAATAATGTGATGGAGGCAGGGAGGTGGGAATGCTCCGCTGTGTGGCACACGCTTGTCGTTAGCTACCGGGTTCGTCACACCGTAGTCTTGTTCTTGCGTCGGCTCTGTTTCCTTACTTAGGCGATATGTCCCTTGCAAAGTTGGGCAAAGCTCTCGCTATGGTGTTTTCTCGGGATGGACGCAAGTCACAGCACACACGCTTGGCGGGCCTTTGTGTGGGTGTGGGTGTGGGAGGGTCAATAAATCGGGGACGAGTCTTTTGTTTCCAAGGCTGGGAGCGAAGACACGAGGAATGCTTCGTAACAGAGGTTCCTTGTTGGCAATTGGCCGGACTTGTGATCTTGTGACAGACTCGAGGAGGGCCGGGGTCGTCGGCTGGCTTCTTACTTCCGCTTATGGACGGTTCAAGCTTGGGGAGGTGCAAAGATGCAGAATTGATTCGAAATCAACGGAGAGGTCGAGAATGAGGACGCAGAGGAGCAGTTGTGCCCTCCTCGGATGGAGAGCAGGCCTGGCCAGCTTTATACCTACTCTCCTGTCTACTTGGCCATGTCCGGTCGCCGGTGGCTGACCGGGAAGCTTGGCTCTCTGGAAGGGACTTCGACATGGGATCCCTTGAATCCCTGGCCGACTGACCTTGTTGACCTACAACATGCCGTCCCCAATCTTTGCCAATGTGGACAGGCTCGAACGGGGTGAAAATTCCCAATTGGGGGGGCGAGGTTCAGCCTGTGCCTCGAGCGTCCGCCTTGATGCGTCTACCCCGATGTCGAGTGATGGAGACTTCCGGGGGTGCATCCTGTTGCTCGATAACCAAGCGGTCAGCTTACGACGTGCGCGAATGCGCACAGGAGATCGAGCATGACCTGCCTCATTGCCTGCCCGTCATGTATCTACGTCCTTACATGCATATATATATACACCTTAGGCGCATCCATAGTTATCGGATTGCAAGGTATCCATGGCTGATGGATCTTTCAGCGACCAGACAAAAAACTTGAATCGCGTGCTCCGCTCCCTGCAGCCGCACAGCCTACTCCGTACTTGATGCATTGGTGTGCGTGTGCCAACTGCCAACCTACCTGCACCGCACACCGAGTGGTGGAGAGCCTGGCACACACGACCCTCAACGACACATCGTGGGTTGGTGTTCTGCCAATTTTAGCCCAGGAACGCGCAAACCTCCTTTTCATCGACAGGCGTTTAGCCCATCCCATCCTCCCAGCCCATCACACTCTGAAATGAGCCACCCAGCTTCGGGCCCTAGCACGCCTAGGTAAATAGTTTCTTGATAGGCTACCCCAGAGCGCCAGGTCTCCCCCCCTCTTGGCCTCGTGTGTCTCCTGCAGCACACCAATGGCTGCCAGCAGCGGCTGCTAGGCAAATATTGGTGAGGGAATGATGGTGGTGCGCCGTATCGACTTCCCGTACTAGCTTCCAGTAACCACTGCCACCTATCTACTTACCTACCAAGACCTGCTAGACCTACTTGTACAGGCTGAACCCTGGACGAGGAAGTGGAGGGGCCAGCATAACGGAGATTTGCTACCCGATTATCGAATTCTGGGCCAAATTGGCTTCTGGCCCTAGCGAATGCCGGGTCTGTGCCCATGCTAGGAGCGTTGGAACGGGGACCCGGGAGCAAGGGTGCCACACTTCCTAGGTCCAAACCGACCCCCGCGGGCCCTGGTAGCGCTGCAGTTTGGGGGAGCCGGCGCCCCAGGTGGGCCGACGATGCTGCATGAAGTGTGCAGCAATGGTGCCTTGGGTGCATCGGCATGCGCCGGCAGCTGCGCTGTGGCCCAGGAACGAGTGGAACGAATTTCTCGAGCGCGTGGAACACTGGGTGGTCAGAACCTGTCGAAATGCACCCCAGCTGCCCCCTCCCCCCGGTCCAACGCTTTGAATGCTATTGCCAACCTGGAAATTACGAGAGCGGTGAGAAGCTACTGGCTGATGCCAAAGACAGCACCCATGGCATCTCTCCACACGAACGCTTCGCAAACCGTTCTACATACTGCAAGTTGCGGGGAACGAGAAGAGGGTGTGCCAGAGCAAGCTCTCACCCAGGCTACTGCCTGCCACGACAACCTTGAGCCTTTGTCTCTGAGAGTCTGGGCGCCCATCATGAGATTCTCAACGGCCAGGGCTGGCCACAGAACTGCACTTCGTGTTGTGTGGTACAGACCGTACAGAGTTGTGCTCTTCCGCTTCATTGTGGCTGTTGGGGTGACACGACTCACCACTCGTCTCTCCCCCACGGACAATCGACGAGCAGGGGAGAGTGGTCAGGCGCTCAATGCAAGATTGCCAGTCTCCAATTTTCTGTTGCGAATTGGGTCTCGAGATGCGCTGGCTGGCGCGCAAGGCCTCGTCCAGCATCTCTTACCCAGCGCGGAATGCCTGAGCTGGACCTTCTAAATCCATTCGAGTTAGTTGGGAATTCCAACGGGGGGACAAAAGGCTGAGCTGTCAAGGGCTTCCGAGATGACCGATGGAGATAGCTCGATCCCAAACGAGATTTGGAGAGGGACCATCCATTTCGGCGGTACCCAAAAAAACGAGTCATCTGATGGTAAAAAAAGAAAATGGTCATCTGTGACAAACCCCACGCTCCCGTGCTGCAGCCCAAGGATTGTTTGATACACAGACGCGGGATGCATAGCTGCACGCACCCACCACCACGACATGAACCCGGTCGTTTTGCGAAGCGATCACCACAGCAAGGGTGGGTAACTAAGGTCCAGCCCTGATGCGCCTCCGGTTGCGGACTGCGAAAGGATGTACGCGTGCGTCGAGGAGGGTTGTAGTAGGCCATGCATCATGTTATCCGTGTGCTGTCTCTGTATCCGTGGGTTTCACAGTCTGTTCGTCGGGACCGGGTCTGTGCCTGCAGCAAGCAAAAGATTGGCGGTGAGCATTGCGGACGTTTCCATTTGTCAAAAAGCGGGTTGACATGGTTGCATCTCGATCACACAATCGTTGCTTCTTTGCTTCTTCCGTCGTAGCCTCTGGGATGCACAGGTTGTCCGTGAGCTGCGGTGCAACTCGTCTTGAAACGCACACAACGAAAATTCGGTTGAGGAGACGCGGCATGCGGACAGCCTTCCCCGGATTACCTGTACGGAGTACGCAACAAATTTGCATCATCAGATGACTCTGCCTGCAGCTGCAAAAGCGACTAGGTCTTGGCTTGGTTCAAAGCCCCCCTCCCCTCCCCCCGGACCGACCCAACAAAGGAAGGAAGAAGCCATCGTTAGTTTCGACGGGGGGAGAAAACGCCAGGTGCTGAGAGCTTGCACAACTCCGGTACTTCGAGAATGGAGGCCACATCAACCAAAGTAGCACCCATTGACGCCAGGCACCGGGATCCCCCACCCGCCATTAGTGGGATGCGTTAGCACATTCCAGGGGGGCTAGGGTAGCTTCTAGGACGGAATACTGGAGAGCTCCCTCCCCCCTCCCCCCCCTTTTTCAGTGGACCTAGCAGGGGAGAGCTCTTGTGCCATTTCTGGATGGATTGATTCGATAACTTGCTACCGAAGTAATCACACTTTTGGTCACGAAGAGAGAAGAAGCAAGAGAGGGTGGTGGCCTGCCACTGGCTTGCTTGCTCTCGAACCCGGCGAACCAAGACAAGGCCAGACTCTGATGGGCACTGGTCGGGAAAGGGCACATGTCCTCTCCTCTCCTCTCCTCTGATACGGAGTTGCGGGTAGAGCCCGAACCCTGGTGTTCCAAGTCCCCAACTCGTCCACGCCCGCCTGGCCAACCGGATGGTGTGCATTTCCCTATCAAAAGAGTCGAAAGGATTGTTGGGCAGCCGAATTCACCTTGCATTGCTCCACTGGCTGGGCAGAGAAAAGCACGGTGAACTGTGCACCGTACTACCCAAGGTACCTCTTCGTAGCATCCTTTTCTGTGTTCGTCGTTCCGTCCTACCCCAAATTCAGTGGATCGACGCTCACCTCGGATGTCTGTGCTGTCTTGGCTGATAAGAAAAAAACACGGCATTTTGTGGTTCTGGTGCAGAAAAAATCAGATTTCGAGACCACATTCTGGCTGCGACTCCACAGTCGCTGTCGATCGAGAACGTCTAGACCGCCACACTACCGCAGAAACGATCCCAGTTGCGCAAACGCACTCCTCTCTCCACACCACCTTGAGACAACTCCAATGCCACCCACCATTGTGCCACCTGTTTGCAAAACACCAAGACGACAATCCTTCCTCCCAACCATGCATCGGGATGATCCCTCCCTTGTACCAACGGCGCGATACGAACATCCCTCTCCCATCCCGGGCCTCCCGCAAGCGCCGGCTCAGGTACAGATGTCCACACACACACACACACACACACACACACACACCAGACCTGCTGGGGCCTCACTTCCGCCGTTTGATGGGGGCCGAGTCAAAACTCCGACTCCCAATGCAGGCTACACTGCATTATCACCCGGTCCATTGACAATACCATTCTCGTCATATCATGCTTGCGCGTTCTTTATGCACCCCGTGGATCCTGTCTGGTCGGATATCTTGACCTTCTCGGGGGATTGAACGCCACCACGGATGCAATGCTGATCGCTATGCTTGGTAGAGATAGAGATCATGAAGACGAGTGTCTTTCTTCCCAAAGTCCCGAGTCTTTCGTATCCAATGTGCAAGAAACAACCTTTGACTTTTGGTCTTGGGTGGGGGGGGCCGGTCTGTCTGTAGCAGCTCATCCTCGACTGCAAAAGTGAATGGGAAGGTTCCAGTTCCTCTTGATCTTTTCCCTCGTTACCTTGCAGCTGGTGTTCTGCGTTGGCAAACCAGTATGTCGAGGTAGACATCTCACCACCCGTGCAGCCTCAGCCCTACTAGAGCGTACAAGCGGGATCTCACGATAGCATCTAACTCCTCCCGCTTTCGCCACCCCCAGAATCGGTTCTGTCAGATCTACCGGCTCCCTGGGGCGCCATCGTCGGGCACACCCCATGGCAACTACCGGGACCATGCAAGAAGCCCAGCTAAAAAAGAAGACGAAAGCACTGCTTGAACGACGGCTGGTCCCGAGGCGCTGGGCCTGGTAAAGTCTAGGGAGGCTCCACGATGGCGGGAGTTCTCGGGTCTGGACTCCTTTGGATCGTCGTCCCGTCGTCCCAACACGGGGCACCGGGGGAGGGTGGCTCTCCTTGGGCTGCCGAGAAAAAAAGCTGCAGGCTGATAAGGTGTGGCGAAATGTTCTAGAACAATTCGATGTGACAATCGCTGTTTTTTTTTCTCTCTCTCTCTCCTGATAATGTTCTCCGGAGTAGGTAGCTTGTCGAAAAATAAACTGAAATTCGCCTCCCCAATAAAGCAGTAATTCTGTCTGGCTGTACTGACGTCTGTAAGCATGCTGCTGCAAGACCAAAGCCGATCCACCCGCTGTCAAGAAATAAAAAAATCCCCTCCTAAATACCCCTTTGCTCCCCATGGCCCGCCAGCCTGCGCAAAAACAAACAAAACGCCCTCGACCGGGTATTAGCTTTTTATGTTATACATTCATAAGCAACATCTCACGCCTCCCATTCCCGGGGACCCCAAGGTAATAGAGTCCCGCGTCCGTAGCGTCATAGCCCACTGCCAACCCCCCTCCCCCCCCCCTTCAAACCGAGAGCCACAGCCCCCATATAGGGGCCTAGTCGTCCCTGATCAGCTGGAACAGCGACGCGATGTACGACCCAAAGGCCTTGTTCTCCGTCATGATCTCGTACAGCCGCGGCAGCAGCGGCCGGAACAGCCGCTCGTTCCAGCCGCCGCCCTCGCCGCCCATCTCGTGCTTCTTGAGCAGCTCCTCCTCCGACTCGGTCTTGACCACGTTGCGCGCGATGTTGCGCAGGACGAGGACCGCGCTCAGCGGTATGCCCGCCGCCTGCGGCGCCGCGTTGGGGTTCCGCTCGTCGCGCGTCGTCAGCGTCTCCTCGTACGTCAGCGTCATCGTCTTGGCCGGCACGACGTAGGAGCGGCGCTGCCGCTTGTGGGAGCTGCTGCTCGTGGCGCCGGGCGTGGCGTCCCCCCCGCCGTTGGCCGCGGCGCTGCTGGAGCTGCTGGCCTTCTGCTGCGCGGCCACGATGTGCCCCTTGATGTGCGACATCAGGTCTGCAAGGTGCATGTGCGTGCGCTTCGAGTACTTGCGGCACTCGGCCCACCTGCAGCTGTACTCTTGCTCCTTGTTGGGGTACTTGCCGTCCTCACCGCGCGTCTCTCCCAGGTGGCGCGTGATGATGTGCTCGTACATGGTTTCCGCGTTAGCGACCAGGTAGCCGCACCGGCGGTTGGGAGGAGCCCCCGGCTGCGTGATCTTCCATTGGCATCGAAGGTACTCGCGACCCTCCGGGCTGACAGGACGGAGACGGGCCCGAATCCCCTTGATGATGAATTTCTGGACCTCGCCACGTTCGGTCTGCTCCCGCTGGATCTGAGCGCCCGCGGAATGATACACGTGTGTGACGTTGCGGATGAATTCTGCTGCCCCCAGCATCGATCTATTGCTCTGCTGGACGGCTTGAAGGAACGCGGACTGGTATGCTTGCCAGATTGCTATCTGTGTGATGGATGCGTCCGGGTCTTCTTCAAAGAAACACCGGAGCCAGGTGTAGCATCGCTCCGGCTCATCCAAAGCGACAAGGCGGCCCAAGAGATCGTGGGGAACGGGGACGACTTCCTCGGTTGGAGGAAGCTTCTTCTCGTGCTCGAGAATCTGTTCCTTGTGCACCCTCTTTGCACCATGCGATAGCAAGCGCACTAGGTGTGCGACGAGATTCTCCGGGATCACGGCCTTGAGGAGCGTTTCAACATTCGTGACGACGGCAGTGTACTGGTACAGGAAATCAAGACAAGCGTCGATCAGCTCGTCATCATTGAGGAGAAGCCAATTCATGACGTTTTGAAGCGCTTCGGGGGGCACGTTGCCAAGCTTGTTTGGCTCGTTGGTGTAAATCGAAATCCGACCAATCGCACGTAAAGCCGTGAGGATGGTTCCCCTATCTGTCGAGTCCAGCTGGGACAGCAAGGTTCGGTAGAGCGGGTCCTCGGCGTCGAGGACAAGGTAAGGTGTCAGTTGCTCTGCGATATCGAGTGCGCAGTGCTTTAGTTCGACAACGGACTCGTTGTTTGGTAGGTGCAGAACAATGCATATCAAGTCCCTGAGCGGTGGGTACTCGGCCATGCAGTACGCATTCTCCGGTAGTGTGACCATGTTCCTGATGGTGAGTGCAGCTTCGGTGATGAGTATAAGCTGGTCGCTCAGGCTTTCCGACTGTATGCTGTCCTGGGCTGGTTTCGGTCTGAGCCGTCCAATACGATCAAGGATATCGGCAGTTCCATTGACCCCTTCGAGCTCCCCGACGTCCAGACCTTCTGAATCAGGATCATACGAAATAGTCCATTCGACATCGTAAAACAGACTGCCGACTTGCAGGACCTTCTCGGTAAGGCCTTCGGCAAGGCCAGGAAACGAGTCAAACTTGTACTTGTCCCCTCTTTCGTATGATATCTTGACAAGATGGTTCAAAGCGAAAGCTTCCTCGGCTGGAATTCCGGATCGGAGAGATCCCAGACAGCGAACGTAAATGTTGGGACCTTCGTAGCCGGGGACTGAATAGGATAAGATTGTTAGCAAGGGCCAATGCCGTGAGATTAGCACGTGTACTCACTTCCTGGAGGAGGCGGGGCTTTGTTAACACCCTGCGGAGCTCCATGACCGGCGGCCTGTAGCCTCAAGAGACGCTGCCGGCGGGCGAATTCGACGGGATTGTTTCCAGGGGTATCTACAGGACGTAGCGGGATCGCAATGGGACCGCGAGGTTCGTAGCCCTGAACCGTCGCGGAATAATTATCGGATCCAGGAGGGTTCCACATGTAGGACGACCCACGCTGATGCATCTGCTGCTGTGTTTGCATTGACTGAGGGTGGGCTTGACCCGGCGTATGTGCGTGTTGAGACTGCGCATGAGGTTGATGCATGCCGGCCGGCGTCCCAGTGTTCGCATGCGCATGTTGAGCGGAGCTGTGTCGAGTCTGCCGCGAGGGTCCTGTATCCGGCTGGAATATCACCCGCTGCGGAGGAGCTTCTCGAAGGCCGCGCGAGGCCCGTCCTGACGTGGGAGTCTCGTCGGGTCTTCGTTCCCTCACTGGCGTGCCATCGTCGCCAGATCGGTCAGATGGATCTGCGCCCAGTGATCCTCCAGGCCGCCCGAGTCTATGGCCATAATTTTCCAAAGTGCGGGTGAGGAGGCTGCCGCCCTTGGCAGAGACATGCTCGAGAATCTCTGGCGGGGGCGGTTCTTTGTTGTGTATGGTCGTGATTTCGTATGCGGCAAGGTTCTTGTAAAAGATTGATTTCAAGGTATATGCCGCAGAGGCCTCGTTGTTCGAATACAGTCCAAGCAAGTTGACCATGTTGCGCCAGGCCAGCTTCTCGTCGCTGACCATATCGTAGCCTCCATGCTCGTTGACGACCTTGAAGAGCTTGAGAAGATCGACGTGCGTATGGCCTACCTTCGGCTCAGGATCAAACATCGTACCACGCTTCTCATGGTAGGCGGTCAACTTGGCGATGAATTCTTCGTACTCGGGCGTGCGGTCGATGGTATGCTCGGGTTGAGGCGCCATCTTGGCGAAGGCAGCCGCTCCAATGGAGCAGTCGTTCCTCCGGGTAGGGTGCTAGTATGATGATTTGAAAATAAGATCCCGATAGCGCAAGTCGAGAGTGAATTGATGAAGGCTGATGATGCCGTTGCGGGTGGGCGTCTGGAGGGTCGTAACGCGCGCGATGTTCGCTTGCTGGTCGCGACGCCAGGAATTTCCGATCGCAGTGGGACGCATTGGCCACGTCCAAAACTTAGCGTGGTGTGGCTGGAGAGCACGTCCTCGCGAGAATGGACAATGTGTGGCGCCGAGTCTCCACATCAAGGAAACTTCCCCCCATTGTAGGTCAACCAGAAACGGTGCGCCTGCTTTCTTTGAGATACGACACAGCAACTAAACGTAAGGTACTAGGTACCTAATGTATGCAGGTGGTCCTTCCTGCCTCAGCTAAGTAAGTAGACTCGATAACAAATACATAGGTAACAAATACAATAGTAGTTGATTTCATTTCAAATTAGGTAGGAGCCATCGGACGTAGCGAGTAGCTGCCCCATACCTGTTTTCCTCAAGCAGGTGCTTCGTTCAGAAAGATCTCCTACTGTGATCACAGGCTTCCCCCTCTTCATCCCATCGTTAGTACATTCCTTGATTCTATTTCTGCCTTGATAATGTGAGAAGCGCCAAAGATACTCATTTGAATCCAATCTTGACATGCCTTCTTTCTTGCGCCGTTCTGCGACCGGAATGTTTCTGTTGCGATGGACCAACGTCACCCTGAATTAAGATATCACTCATTTCCATTGAGAAATGTCCTGATCAATGGAAGACAGCAGCATTTCGAGCCTGGCAAAGAGCTCAACCTGGTCTTTAGAGAGGAGAGAGAAGTATCCCAAGGCTCGTGGGTCAACAGCCCATCCCTTGGTCATAGGAGCCTTCTCATTCTCCAACTTGGCTCGCATGCTCTGGTAAGTCTTCAATTGCATCCCAGTCTGTCGTCGTATCGCAAGTAACATGTCCCCAAGGAACGCCTCGATCTCACACAGTTCGTTGGGGACTTGGCAGTATGGTACGACATCAGCTATTCGCCAGATAGGTTGGCCGTTCAATTCGCACACCAGGGGGTACACTCTGCAGATTCTGGTCCAAATTCTGAGACCTGCCAATATATGGTACGTCTTTCATTTTTGACTCGTTCATATTCACAAGCTTATCTTCCCTCAGGGGAAAAAAGTACGAATAATCTGTGTTTTCTTTGAAGATTTTCGTGAATATCTTCAAACGACGCAAATTCTCACGGAGACAAAATTGAGATATCGTATCATAACCTCAGCCATTGCTCGAGCGTCTCGAAGCCAGAGCCAGGTTCTCCCACGAACATTTCAGCCAATCACTACAGACCGGGCAAGCCCAGCACTGAGCACCGCATCACAGCCACTTCCCCGACGACAATCTTCATTCTCACCCTATATCGAAAGCGATTACCCCAGCTTGTCAAACTCAAAGGATACAGCGTCTCCTCAATCTCAACAAGGGCCATATGCGACCGACTCCATTCACTTGAGGTCAGATGGGCTGGGGACGAGCCAGGCTTGGACGCAATTGATGTTGCCCCCATCACAGCCAGCCCGTCAACTGCCTCCTGTGGCTGGATCCAGCCACTGGATAACATCAAGTTATTCAGACCGGGGTGAATTGGGTCGCCCGGTGGCGACTCATGATCATTCGTCGCAGGATACGCCTTACCAACCCAGAGAAAGCCAAACAGATCCTGCTCACTTGCCTCAGCCTCGTTCTCTGGATGAGTTGAGGAGTGACTATCCACCTCGTCGGGTACTGCCGTTTGGAAAACAGAAGGGTTCTGGCAGCGGATCGGATGATCAGACCTACAATGACCAAAGCCGGGACCCTCAAGCAATGACATACATGAACCGAAGCAAGTCATCTCTTATTCCGCCTTTGAACCAAGGGTGCCAGGAGAAAGCCGCCCATACAGAAGGAGCTACGTCTATGGAAAACGCATCAAAATCAGCAGAAGATGATCGTTCCAGTACCATCAGGGCTTCCAGCTCTCCCTCAAAAAGGGGTGGATCAGCAAAAAGGCCGCGGGGTAGAGAGGCCGACTGTCAGACTGCTGAGATATCATCAACGAAGCGACGGGTGAAAAACTCAAGGAGCCAAATCGACAGCCAGTCCAGAACCTGTGGCACGAGTGTACTACCGGGATCAGGAGGGACAACTATCTCTCAGGACGATCGTCGCCATGGAGCCTATGCTTCCCTCCAGCCACCCCCTGCGAATACTCGGGATGACATCTCACCAATCATTTCAGGACTGGCAAAGGATGCAGCTATTCAAACCGAGTCTCTGGATATAAGTTTCCTGACAATGGCGCTGGAGATGTTCAAGTTGGTAGAAGCCTTTGATCAGAGATGGGATGAACTACTAGAACGTGGGTTTCATGATTTAGAAGTTGAACAGGATGGCAGAGATGTGGTAGATCTTGCTGTCCCCGCTGCAAAATGGTGGGTGGAGTTGAGAGAAGCCTGCCAGCAACTATTGATGGACAGTGATTGTACCTATAATTCCACAAATACTTGAGAGATCAAATCTGCTATCAAGTCTTTAGGTTGCAAACTTCTGGTCAAAGCTATGTCTCAAAAGTGCAAGCTTACTGACTGTGGAGATGAACACCAGGATAGTGATAAAGGTACTTGTTTTTCATTCATTGACTAGTAGACTAGGTGCGTTTTCAGGCCTCTCAAAATCACAGCAGCTGCACAGGAGGCACTCATTCCACCAGTTCCTGCGATACCAGGGATTGCCACCAAGCTCAAGGACAACCCCAGCCGCCAAGATGGCCGCTTACCGACCCTCAGTGTATTTGTAGTACTTGAACGCGATGCTCGGCTTTGCAAAGTTGACAGTCCTCTTCTCCCAGGCTGAGTTTGCCCGTCGCACCCTCTTTTGCTCCTGCTTTGTCATGGCCTTGCCCACACGATCAGTCACACCGGCGGTGATCCGGTTCTCACCGGCAGGTACGACCGCGCGGTGATCGCGGCCAAAGTTCCGGCCGGCAATCTGCCTCTGGCTGTTTGCCGCCGGGTCCTCGCCGTTCTCAATGGCGAGCTGCTGGCGCTGAGCACGCTCCTGGTCGGTCGGGTAGTCGCGCAGGTTCTGGCGGAAGTAACGGTTGAAGGCTCTGTGGCCGACCGACCTGCCGGAGGGCAGATGCAGCTCGAACTCGTCGTAGAAGGCGGTGTGGGCGTGCTTGTGGGCATGGGAGTGCCAGCCGTCCTTCTGATGGTGAGAGCGCGGGTCCGTCTTGGAGTGATGCGGATGCTTGTTGAGACGCTCGTACTGGTGGTATGAAGTGCCCGCTGGGACGGCAGTCAGATCGTCGGAATCGAGAGACGATGCTGAACTGTCCGTCTCCCATCCGTCGTCCTCAGCCATGAGTTCATCGCCATCCTCGCCAAAAATTGTAGTCGGCCTCTTCATGCCCAGCTTGGCGCCACCATTGCGCTCATCCTCATCCATTGATTCGTCTTCATCTTCATCCTCCGATGAATCTGAATATGTGCTTCTGAAGTCATAGAACTCTCCAATTTCGAGCTGCTCCGCCTCTGTGGTGTAGGGGATCTTGCAATGACCCTTGTCGCGCATGTGGGTTTGGATTGCGAAAACATCTCCTTTGTACTTGCCACAGTAGAGGCACTCGAACTCTTCACGAACACGCTCTTGAAGCGCACCAATCAAGCCGTCAAGGTCCACAAGGTACTGCTTCTCCGGAATGAACATGCCATGAAACCGCTCCATGTGGGCAGCGTTCAGGAGAACGGTGGGTGACTGGTAGTTGCAAAAGAGACACGCTTTGATTGACGGTGCCGGGACAGAAGCCTTGGATGGAGTGGGTGTGGAGCCCGATTGCTCGCTGGCGTTCAAAGCTCTCTCTTCAATATCCATCTCTTCGCTGGATGGATGGGGGTTGGCTGGCCGCTTGAGCGGCGAGGTGTTATTGAGGTTGGCCTTCTTCATGCCCTCGATGACCTGCGAGAATTCCTCCTCGGCGTCAGCGTCGACTTCCGAGAATCCGTTGCGCTGGGGTTCTCCCAGAGAGAAGGTCGAGCTGACGACAGAGCTAGCGTCATCGTGGTGCGAGGTATCCGGCTTGCGCTGTGCGGCTGCTTCCTTGGCCCTGTGCTTCTGGCCACTGAGGTGGTTCTGATACGAGTTCTCACTATAATAGGTTCGCTGGCAGATGTTGCAAAGCTTCTCATAGCGGGCCTTGTCTGCTTGTGCAGAGGTAGCAGCCTTGGCCTGGAGGACCTTTTCGTTGAACACATCAGAGGAGATTGGGGGGAGAGACGCAACACGACGCTTGAGGTTGTATCGGTGCCAGTCCTGTCGCATGTGTCCCTTCTGTAGCTCGCTGTTTCGGAAGGCCACTTGGCAAGTGTTGCACGTGTAAGGGTGCGAGTCGACCTTGCCCGAGTCTGCCGGAGCAGCTCTACTGCTCGAGATTGTTGCCATGGTGTCGATGAGATGGTTTGCACAACTGTGAGAAAAGGGTGTGTGGAATGTCGGATGAAGTTGTGAGAAGAAGGTGAGACGAGCCTGAGCCTTCGAGTGCTGGCAAAGGGAAGTGCTCTAAAATAGGCAGAGAAGAGGCAGCTGGCTCTTGTGAAATCTGGGTTTGCGCAAAGAACTGGCTCGGTTGAACCTTGGTTGGGTCTAATATATTGCCTCGGATTTGCTCGCGGCTCCACCGGAATATATGGCTCGAGTTCTTGTAAGAAGAACCAAGGACAGGGCGGCCAGTCGCAACAGATTCTTCGTAACTCGACTTTCTGGCTACCGACCGAATGACCGTTCTCGTGGTAGAAGGCGTTGCTGGTGGCGTCTGGATGGGAAATTTTTGGTGGGCTCTCTTTTATGGTGGGGGTTTTGTAAAGTGGGAGAACGTCAGACCAAGGCGCTAAAATATCTGCTTATCAATGATATGTATGACTCTTATCGGTGGGCTCAGAATCGCCCAACTGCTGGCAGCTGTAGTCGACCAGCACGTCGACTACCTCTACCTAGGTACAAGTAGTATTCTTACTCAGTCTCGAAGGGGGGGAAATGAATATGCCATAAGGGACAAAGTAATAATTCGATTTAGGAGGTAAAGGTAAGGAGCGCTTTGAATTCCTAGACACGCAGAAAATTCGTGTATTGCTCGAGAACCTTCCAAGCAAGCATACTGTAATTGACGAAGATCGAAAGCCTCTTGGTCAGTCAGGTACTTGTAACTAACGACATGTAGCGCGGCATGACAAAGGTGCGTGCGGCGACTCGAGGCGGCCCAGTCCAGGACCAGTCAGACACGAGCAACCTGGAAGGCACATTTTGATCCCTGCTCGGCCGATCCGCCCCCGTCCCTGTCGCTCAGGCTAAGCTTGGTTTAGGGAAGGCCTCACGGTGATGCATCACCAACGGCTCTCCTCCGTCTGCCAGCCCTTTTGCGATTGCCAGGCAATCATAATTACTCGAAAACATCGACCCCCCTTTGCAATGACACGGCTCCTGCTGCTTCGCGACGTCCCCGACATCTGCTGAGCCCGACAATAGAGAGCCTGAGCTGGCATATCCTCCAGTCGGCCCAGTTGCGCGATCTCGGTCTCTGTCGCCGTGGGCTTTCCCGCCGTCCACGATGACGCGAGATGCGGACCTGGTCGCTGGTCTGTGGGAGGTGGCGCCATTTGCACGTCTACCTACGGATGCCCCAGCCGAGCTGAGAGACCTGATCGAAGAGATCGACAATCCAAAGAGGGTTTACGCCGTACACAGGGCCAGCCGGCGCCATGACTTTCAGTTACTTGTTCAGAGGCATGTCCACTTCCCTTCCCAGTTCATCGCGCGCACCACACTGACAACTTGTATGATTTGTCTTGCAGATACATCGTGCAGCTCCGAGATGGTTGCGGTGACGAGGACTGCTGGACGGCCACATGCTTTACTTGCCGAAAGAGAATCGTTGGGAGGGCTCCTATCCGAAGGTACAATACCACGAGTGCGAGAACCCTAGCAGTCTATCTCGCTAGCCAAGACAACCCTGAGGCTGGCCTCTGCCCGGCGCTCAGCCTGCCACGGTCCGCCCCAGCTGCTCTCGACTCTCTGATGTTCTCATCGAAGCACCACGGATATGCGCAGGAAGACAAGAGGCCGCGTGTCTTTGAGGGACAGAATGGACACGCCAAGACCAACGCAAACAAGTCATCGACTGGAAGAGTGAGGGTCAAATCCTCAGGTTCCCCGCGCGGGCGGAGCCAGCAAGGTGCTTCACCGAACCGCCATCCGCCTGCTACGGCCACGGTGTCTACCAATAGCGGTTCTTTCGCATCCATCCCCCCAGACCTCGCCATTACGGAGAAGAACGTCAGCAAGGACTACCGCTCTTTTGCTGCCAACATGTTTGGGACTGTTGCATTCAAGATGCTAGAGTGGTTGACACCCAATGCAGTGGAAGAGATGACTGAAAGGGCCCGCAAGCTCTACGGTGAAGGACCGGAAGGTTCTCAATCGACTTCGCCTCAGACTAGGATAAGAGACACCGACGGCGCCTCCGGTACTATTCCTTCATCCTCGAGGGATAGCAACAAGACGTCAGATCCCAAGCCGAACGGGCATCCGCCGAGAGCTGGTTCTGATGGACCAGCCTTAGCCACAGCACTCCGAGACACTAGTGATGATGGGTTTGAGACTGATCTCGCGACCCCTCACTCGTCCCGTCCCGATGAACCCCGTCGTAGATCAAGCACTCGACTCCGCGGTCTAGCATCAGCTACCTCGCACAGAAAAATTTCTGTCGATGCGTTTTCTCCAGATGCGGCGCCTGATGAAATGGTGCCTCCCGTACGATCTCCAAGATTACCGTCTATATCGGCCGACAAATCTGCTAAAGGCCCAAGACTGTCCTCGACAATTGCGAGGCCTATCTCGCAGTTATCTAACGCTGGGTTCTTCGACACTGTTTCGCTGGAGAAGATGCCGCCTCCCAAGGCCGTAGATATCAAGCCCATCACGGGACTGACACAGTCGGATGTCTGTAGTGATAGTTCGGCCCGCTCCAGTTCTGCAGCGTCTCCAGTTTCCGCCCCTACGCCTGATACTCAGTCAATCCCATCCTTTGACCCGGAGCTGGAGTCGACGTACAAATGCCTCCTACCACAGTCGCTTTCCGTCCTCAACGCCGAAGTCGTCGATTTCATATGCGATGTTCTTCAGGATGACGACACTTCCGAACGACATCTTCTCGAACCCCAAAAGGTGACTAGATTTCACAGCAGGCCCTCGAATCAGACAAGGGCGTTGCGAAGGAGGCAGGATTTCCACCCGCCCTCATCCTCAGCCGGATTGAAGCGAGAGTGGCAGCTGTTTGTTCAACAAAGCTTGTTCTACATCCTGGCGGACCCATACTCGCTCATACACTCCTTTACAAAGAACGGGCAACTATACGACTCACAAACCTTGTGGTACTGCATGCTTCGGTTGACCAGAGTCGCACCAAGTCTGGTATTCCACAGCTTGTGGATGGCGGCAGCAAGACTCTTCGCCCCGCCAAAGGCTGCCCAGTCTTTGCGTTCGCCACCAGCCAAGCTCTTCCCCAGGCAGGATGGCGTTCTTTCTAACGCGGAAGCTGGGGTAGTGATGTCTATCTGCCTCCACGCCTTGGTCGCCGCTGCACCTTTGGTTGACGATGCCAGGCAGCTGTACGACATGTCTCGCATTCGAGCCCACGGGTTGTCCCTAGCGGGCAGCGGTGCCATCGCTAGACAACCAACAGAACTATGCTTGCAATATGATGATGCATTCTCGAACGATCTTGCCATACGTCTGGCGCGGAGAATCTTTGCAGCGATACCTACTCGAAGATATTTTGACGAAATTATCGAGTACGGCTCTGATTATGACCATGACAATTACGAAGAACACGACGTCTTGAGTCCTTTATTTGCACAGCTGGACTTTCTGAACATGGACGCACTGTATGTCTTGGAGTTCACCTTTTCAGACCGGACACTCCATGAGACTCGAGTGCCGACGCTCCTCCTCGACTGGGCTAGAGCAGTTCTGCTACATGACTGGGATGGAAATCCCGAGATGCCAGGGGCCGGCCCCGTTGGCGGCGCTCTTGCCTTGATCGAGGCTATGTGTATGTACACAGCTCCCTCCTCCGTCGGTCAATCGCGGCTAACCCTTTGCGAAGACAAGCGACGCCAGGCACTTTTGCTGGGAGACAGCCAATTCCGTTCCGAGTATTTTGCGGAACGGCTCGACGAAGTGGAAATGCCCGTTGCGTGGCTCTCGTTTACTTCAACGAGACAAAGAGTGCATATCCTGGACTTTCCCTACATTTTCAACCCGTCCACCCTAGTCTCATATTTCCGATCTATCAACTTTTCGAGGATGAGCAGATCGTTCGAGGAGTCCAGCTCACTCCAAAGTCGAATGGGCGCTATCATTTCACCAGGAAGTCTCATTATCAATCCACATCATAAGAGCGTGCTCCAAGACTTGTTGAAAACAGCGTCTGCTAAGTATCTTATTCTGGATATTGGGCGCAAGACCGTGTTGAGAGATACCTTTGACCAGCTTTGGCGACGTGAAGAGCGAGAATTTCTGCGCCCTCTCAAAGTTCATCTTGGCGAGGATGCTGGCGAGGAAGGATTCGATTCGGGTGGAGTGCAGCAGGAATTCTTCAGACTCGCCATTGCCGAAGCTCTCAATCCCGATTATGGAGCTTTCACTGTGGATGAGCGGACACGGATGACCTGGTTTCGTCCTGCGTCAACTGAGGCCGATTGGAAGTTTGAGCTCATCGGAATGCTTGTCTCGCTGGCGGTCTACAATGGGCTCACTCTACCCGTGACATTTCCCAAAGCCTTGTACCGCAAACTTCTCCAGGAGCCCGTCACCGAGCTGCACCATATTGCAGACGGTTGGCCTGATCTGGCGAGCGGCTTGACTACATTGCTCGAATGGGACGAGAAGGATGGTGCCGTCGAGGATATCTTTGCCCGCACATACGAGTTCTCTGTTGAGTTGTTTGACCAGCCCATTTCTAGAGAGATGAACGACTCAGACACTTGGCCTCAGTTCCCCAAGACAGCGGCCGAAGCTGCGAAGGCGGCAGCGCTGTATGCGGACAACCCTTCTGACGCCCCGCTCGTCACGCACGAGAACCGCAACGCCTACGTCACCGACTACATCCGCTACTTGACCGACGTCTCCGTCCGGCCGCAGTACGAGGCGTTTGCGCGCGGGTTCCACACCTGCCTCCACCCCAAGTCGCTCACCTTGCTCACCTCCAGCCTGCTGCAGTCTGTCGTCGAGGGCGTGCAGGACATCGACATTGCGGAGCTGCGGCGGCACGCGCGCTACGTCGGCTGGGACGCGAGCCACCGCGCCGTCCGCGACTTCTGGTCCATCGTCAAGCGCTACGACGACCGCATGAAGCGCCGCCTGCTCGAGTTCGTCACGGCCTCGGACCGCGTCCCCGTCGGCGGCATGAAGAACCTGCAGTTCGTCGTGCAGCGCAACGGCGCCGAGGAGGACGAGGGCGGGCACCTCCCGACCGCCTATACGTGTTACGGGACGCTGCTACTGCCCGAGTACAAGAGCAAGGACATCCTGAGGGAGAGGCTGGCGATGGCGCTGGAGAACGCGCAGGGGTTCGGATTTGCTTGAGGGAGAAACCGAACTACCAACATGGCAACTTTTTCTTTTCCGGGCATACATGGCATGCATATATACCTAATAGCGTTTTTGAAGAATTGGCATGGTTTGTCATTTTAGAGCAGGCGGGAATGCCCCTGAGTGTGCTTTACACACAGTTCTTTTCTTCCATGTATATTTGACGGCCAAAATTCAGCGGAGCGAGTTTTCCTTACCTGGACATGAAATACTAGGCATATATTTGAGCAAATCGAGTCTCCTGTTCAAGCTCAAGGTCTGCTTATGTGACATTACCACCACTGGACTCCTACCAAGATCATTCCGCACGGACAAGGCTACGTTTCATAGATTTGAAGGACTCGTTGGTATTTTCCTGCGCCTGGAAAGACTCTAGATGTACAATACAGTAGTTTCCCCCCTCAGGTCTATCCTTTTTTTGTTTTTGCCATCTAGAAGTCCTCGTCCCCTGAGCCGCTCACAATAACGTTGTTGACCTTGAGCACCATCCTGCAAAGCTGCGTGGCCAGCATGAGCTGCTGCTTCTTGCCGATGAGGGGGTCGATGACAAAGGCGTCCTTCATGTCGTTGGAGCCGCGGCCCATGCAGTCCACGCCGAGCCTGCCCCTCTCCTCGGGCGTCTTGACCTGCTGGCTCTTGACCTCGGCGAGGGTGGCGATGGGGTTCAGGCCGCTGTTCTCGGCCAGCGCCATGGGCACCGAGTCGAGGGCCTCGGCGAAGGCGCGCATCGCGTACTGCTCCAGGCCGGGCGACTTGACGGCCGCGTCCTCGACGGCGAGGCTGCAGGCAATCTCGGCGGCACCGCCGCCGTACACGACGCGGTTGTCGCGCACCAGGTTGCGGACGACGCAGAGGGCGTCGTGGAGCGAGCGCTTGGCCTCGTCGATAAGCTGGAATCGGGTGTTAGTCGACGAGGAAAATCACATGTGCCAGTACTTAGACGGATTTCGAACTTACCATCTTGTTGCTGCCGCGCACAAAGACAGTCACTGCCCGGGTGTTTGCGCACTCCTCGATGACAAGCATCTTTTCTCTCGTCGTACCGAAGGTCATCTCCCGCACGATACCCGCAGTACCCAGCTTCTCTGGCTTCAAGTCCTCGAACCGCGGTACTATCCTACCGTTGGTAGCGATAGCAATCAGCTCGATCTCCGGGCCGCCGACCCACCGAACAGCGGGCAGCTTGTTCTGCAGCAGCAGGTGGTTGGCCTCGTCATCGAAACCCCACTGGCAGATGGCCAGGTTCGCGCCGGTGTCCTTGATCTGCTCGATCATCTCGATGAACTTCTCCCTCTCGTAGTTCTGCAGCTTCTTGAACTCCTCGACCGAGGTGATATCTAGTCTGTGCTTGGTCTTGGGCTTTGGCGGCTCGAAAGCACAGGTCAGGATGGCGATCTTGGCGTCCCGGACTTCTGAAGGCATCTGAGGGTGTGAGAAGTCCTTGTCGATGATGACACCGTTCACGAGAATGGTATCCTCGAGCGAGCCGCCGACCTTGCCATCGACCTTGATGAGCTCAAAGTCGACATCCTTGCGCTGCAGATCCGCTACGGACAGAACAGCATCGACGGCGATCTTGGCAAACTGGTCGTGAGCCTTGGAAACGATCTTGCTTCCTAGACTGGTGCGCGCAACCTTCATCAGGTTTTTGGTATCTGTCCTGCTGAACTCGATGACATCCGAGATCCGGTCGAGCTCGGCAACAGCGATGTCGCATGCCTGGTCGTAACCATCGGCAATTCGGATGGGATGAATTCCCTTGTCGATCAGCTCAGCAGCTTGCTCCAGGAGAGCGCCAGCCAGAACGACGACACCAGTGGTTCCGTCACCGATCTCGTCATCTTGCGACTTTGACAGCTCTACCAGGAGTTTGGCGACATGGTTCGAGATCTCCATCTGCTGCAGGATGGTCGCTCCATCGTTCGTTATCGTGATATCGCCGTCGGGGGAGATGAGGATCTTGTCGAGGCCGCGGGGGCCTAGGGAGGACTTGACAATGTTTGCGACCGTCCGGGCGGCGAGAATGTGTGACTTGACGGCCTCGTTGCCGTACTGGCGCTTCTTCTTTCCCTGACTAGATGGATTTGTAAGTTTGCGGGCGACAGCGGCAAAGGCACAACAAGGCAGGCTTACTCCCTGACGACAATGAAAGGCCGACCTTGGTCATCCTTCATCACCGCCGCTGTTACATGGGTTAGCAACGGTCGCATGCCCTGGATCCGACTGGAATCGCAGCTCACCGTTGGAAAGATCCAGATCTAGGCACACATGTTAGCAGGGAACACAATGTTTAGGAGCTGGGGAAGACGTACTCATCGCCATGCTGAATATCTGGAACTATGGCAAACTGAGAATAGATGTCCGAAAAGTTGAAAGGCGATCCACGAGACGCAACGTGGAGGATAGCTGGACACCTGTTGCTGAGTTTGGAAGCTATTAGAGGTTGTCACTAATCCACCGCGCTCTGTACCCTTTTCTTCAAAATGTAAAAATGCTAGAGCTTGGATTAGGCTCCACTGGCTCAATCAATCAGTCAATCAATCCACAGAGTCGCGCCTGGCCGCCGGGGAGCGGTGAAACCAAAGACCGCTATCACTATCGATAGCGCCTGGACAGGGGGGGTCAACTCTGGTCAGTGATGTACCCCTCCAAGCCAATCCACGGGTCTGGTGGGCTCAAGACTACAGGCAACCCCACCATGTTCTAACGTTGTCGTCCATGATGTGTCATTAAAGCTCGAGCACTTCATTTCACTTTTCTCTTTCGCGAAGCTACTTGAATAGCGTGGTTGGAACCAGCCCTTCTGGAGGTTTCTGACTTTATGAAATCTTCACCGACGGGTCAGCACTCTTTTCCTCCTAGACAACCATCAAACACAGCGACCTGTTACGTCATTCTTGCGTTGGACAGCTCGCCCATGGCGCAAAGATGTCGCGCCATCGCGCATATCAGAATTATGATTACCAGAATGATCTCGACGAGTATGAAGGAGGTTATTCAGACGAGGATGAAGGGGAGCAGCTCAGCCCTGAAGATCAAGCTCAGATGAACGAGGCCACGACAGAGGTCCAACGGGCACTGGGGAATGAGGCGAGCAAGGTCACAGTTAAGCAGATACAGGAGGCGCTATGGCATTACTACTACGACGTGGACAAGTCGGTCACATATCTACTCAGCAAATACATCGCTCCACCGCCAGCAAAGCCTGCCAAGCCCAAGGGACCGAAGCCAGAGAGCGCAGGTAAGCATCTTTTTCTCCTTGATCGTGCCCAGCAGCCAAGTGGCCGTCTTTTGTTCCGCCGAAGCAGACCAGCGAGCATCATTGGCATCCCGGAGGACTCCGAATCTCTACCCGAAAAGGTCAGGCCCACCTCGTTGACAATGTCCGAAGGAGCCTGTCACCGCGGACTAGAGTCCAACCGCATGTCTTTTGCCGCCTTCTTTAGCGACATGCCGTGGCTCAATATCCCCAAGGATAGAGAGGCAGTCTTGACCGCTCCGAGCCGGCCTCGTGGCGGCTTGTTGGGTGGTGGCACGGAACCCAAAGTTTCCAAACTTCAAGCGCTGGCAGCCGCGCGGAAAAAGAAGGCCGGCGAGAAGAAGTCGGAAGAAAAGGTGCTAGGCACTCAAGAAAAGATGGAAAAGCTTTCCATACAAGAAATTGGGTCAAGCTCGACGCAACACCAAGATTTCAAACATCACCCGGAAAAGACATCGGCTAGCAGGCCCTTACGAGGCGAAAACACCAGACCAGCCTTTGGGGGTCTAGCAAAGCGGCGCAAGCTCGCCCAGGATCAAGACCTCGAGTCTGGTCCCCCTTCTAGCCATGTATCGCAATGCACGCCTCCAGTTGACCTTCAACAAATGTCGCCAACCATGGACGCCGACGTTCCTTCCTACGCAAAGCCCTTGGAAGATGCTGAGCCGCTTCAGGCAGCTCCATCCGCGTTTGCAATGACTCTCACCGGATCTGCTTCAGCTAAACAAAGACGCTCGCCCTCTCAGCAGTTCTTCCTCCCTCCCTATATGGCCTACCACCCTGATTTGGCATCTGCATTCTCCGGGCCTTCCCCTGATGATGTGGTGTTGAATGCGCAAGCGAAAGGTTCGCTTTCGGGACAGGCAAGAAAGTAAAGCCAGATCACTGTACTGACCAACACGATAGCCGGCAAGCCAAAAACTGCCCCTGTGAAGAAGAAGGGTGGCGGTGACGATAAAGTTGACAGCGCCACGAACGGTGTCAAGACCCTCAAAGTTGACGATACGCCTCTTCCTAAGAGCAAGAACCTCAATGTTCTTCAGGAGTTTGAGAAGAAGAAGAGTAAAAAGACCGCCAGTTTCGTTGTGGTCGGTCACGTCGATGCTGGTAAAAGCACGCTGATGGGCCGTTTGCTTCTTGATTTGAAAGTTGTCGACCAAAGGACGATCGACAAGTACAGGAAGGAAGCAGAAAGCCTCGGAAAGTCGTCTTTCGCTCTGGCATGGGTTTTAGACCAGGGCACCGAAGAACGGTCTCGAGGTGTTACGATTGATATCGCCACCAACCGTTTCGAAACCGAGACCACATCATTTACGATACTTGACGCTCCGGGTCATCGCGACTTCATTCCGAATATGATTGCCGGTGCAAGTCAAGCAGACTTTGCGATATTGGTGATCGATGCGAGCACCGGCGCCTTCGAATCAGGTCTCAAGGGCCAAACACGAGAGCACTCGCTGCTCATCCGGAGTATGGGTGTATCACGGGTCATCGTTGCCGTGAACAAGCTCGATACGGTCAGGTGGTCACAAGAGAGGTTTGACGAGATCTCTCACCAAGTATCCGGTTTCCTTTCTGCGACAGGATTTCAAACCAAGAACATCAGTTTCGTCCCCCTCTCAGGTCTCCACGGCGACAATATTGTAAAGCGATCAGACGATCCTGCAATATCGTGGTACAAAGGTCCGACTCTGATTGAGGAATTGGAGAATTCAGAGCCAATGGCTCGCGCCCTACACAAACCACTTCGTATGACGGTGTCCGAAGTCTATAAGACCGCGCTCAGCCCATTGACCATCTCAGGGCGCGTGGATGCTGGATCTCTCCAGAATGGAGATGCCCTCTTGGTCCAGCCTTCTGGAGAGAAAGCCTACGTCAAGGCGCTTGAGCTCGACATGGAGCCCGTGGACTGGGCTGTTGCTGGCCAGAACGTCGTCATTCACCTCTCCAACATCGATCCTATCCATGTTCGGGTGGGAGACATCATTTGTGACCCGAACAATCCTGTGAGCTGCATCGACACGTTCACCATGAAAGCCCTTGCATTCGATATCTTGATGCCGATGCAGGTGGACGTTCACCGGGGTCGGTTGCATACCGGTGGTCAAATACAGGAGATCACTGCAATCTTGAACAAAACAACAGGGGCAGTCATCAAAAAGAAGCCGAAGATTGTCAAGCCAGCCAATGTTGCAAGGATTGTTGTCAAGATGGCGTCCAAAGTGCCATTAGAACCTGGACAGAGGGTCGTCCTTCGCAGTTCTGGGGAGACAGTCGCTGCTGGCTTGTTGGAGTAGATGAGCCAAGACGGGTAGACACAATAAAACTGGATTGCAACCAGCAATAACATTCGAGCGAGTATAGTGGCATATTTTGAAGGGGACAGACCTTTGCCTCATGAGCACTACGTGGAAACCACGTGTGTACAAGTACCTCACCTCTGCGGGGAGAGCTTTGAGGAAAAGGCATGAAACCTGATGTTCTTAGTCCTGTCTACGGAACCCGGATTCAGTTCATTGAAAGAAATCAGAGGGTGCTATATCTTTCCCTCTGCCGGAGTCCTAAGCCCGCGGACAAGGCAGCATCATAGAATTTGGAAGCTCCAGAACTCGGCTCTCTTGTCTGAGATGATTCTCATAGATGGGCTATTACTTGTACAATACTAGTCGGACAATTAAAAATAGTGACTGTGACTGGCTGCGCCGAGTTGAGTCGTAGGATTAGTGTTTTGTCCCCCACCCAGGAGCCTAGGGACCCCGTTTTACCCCTGCAAAAGAGGCTGGAAAGGACCTTGGAGGTCTACCGCCCCGCTGGTGCCGCTTTGCGCGGAAGCTGCTAGAATTGGTGGCATTTTTTCCCGCCTGGCGGCGTGAAGAGGCCACTGTGGCAGATTCTCCAGCTAGTCTAACTAAGGTACCTACCTAGGTAGCTCAGACACGGAGCCTGTTGGAGAAGAATTCAAGATACAAGTAGAAAGAGGTTCCGTCACGGAGCCACTGTGGCGGATGAGAGCCCATCTGACTCATACAAGTAGATATTTCAAGATGAATGATATCTGTTCTACTTGTACTTGTATGGAAGAAGGCATCGAGTGGCGGTTAGGCCTTGGCTGCTAAACAGGTATCTCGGGAGGGACTTGGCTCAAGAGGAAAGCAACCATCTTCGAAGGCATTTAGATCAAAGCGTTGAAGCAACAGGGGCAAATGCATGCATCGAACTGCTGCTGTATAAAGAAATCAAGCCTGAAATTTGCTGAACCATCAAAAAGAGCAGCAGCATTGCACAGATAAGTGCTATTTGAGCATCATGCAGCTGCTTGGTTGGACAAAGAAGGAACTTGACGGTGAGAATGAGTGATGGTTTCGATGGTTTTCCATCTCAAGTCTCCTTGGAGAAGGTGGTTCCATGTACCGATACAAATGGAGCCTCCTCACCGCTGTGTAGGGTCGGCGTGAATCGCCCTTTGGTGGTCCTGGGGTGAGGTCTTGATACCTAAGGGTGGGCTAAGTGGGCGTGGTGGGCAACTACCGCCAGGTACTTGTACAGGGGCTCCTACAGCGGATGGTCAGAGAGGGACAGGGCGCCAACAGGCAGCACGGGCCCAATAGCAAACCATCTGCAACCCTTTGGCCTCACCTAAAGACCCCTGTCACGTGTGGGTAGTGGCCACCCAAACCCCTGGCTTATGTGTGCAATCTGTCCTTTCGCCAATTTGACACCTCGACTTTTTTGGAGCAAGTCGATGCTGGAGCTAGCTGTTCTTTTTGGCTGTGACCACATATAAGAGAAAACATCACTTGAAATTCTCTCTTCTTGTCGCACCCACCCCCCATTCTACTTCTTCAGTTTGCAAATTCCACAGCTCAGTGTGGTCTTGTCTTGAACGGAAGGACATCGCGGTCATCTCTTTTGTGCGACCTCGCTTCCTCGACTTTCTCTTTTCCTTTCTCCCCTCCAACCTTTCCGAGAGAGCTTCCTGCTAGCAGAGAGCGCCATCTCACAGAGCTTCCACCATGGCGTCGAGAACGCAAACCAACTGGACCATCGGTCTCGGGCTTGTCCTCTGGATTTGCCTGCTCTTCTCCCCCTTGGCCTTCACCTCGGCCAAGGCTGACGAGGTTGACAACTACGGAACTGTCATCGGTATTGTAAGTTGCGCCAACCCCTCCATCCACCTCACCGACCTGGCTTGCGCTTTTCAGGAGCTAACACTGTCTTCGTCAGGATCTGGGAACCACATACAGCTGTGTCGGTGTGATGCAGAAGGGCAAGGTCGAGATTCTTGTCAACGACCAAGGTACATCCCTGCTGCCGAGATCGCTTTTGTTTTCGCTGGCTTTGAGCTCACATTTTCTCTCTCCGTACAGGAAACCGTATTACCCCGTCATACGTGGCCTTTACCGAGGAGGAGCGGTTAGTCGGTGACGCCGCAAAGAACCAGGCCGCCTCGAACCCCCACAACACGATCTTTGATATCAAGTAAGTATTTTGGTTCGGTCACTTTCGTGTCACTGTGCCTCTGCTAATGCATGTGACCTAGGCGAATCATCGGCCGGAAGTTCTCCGACAAGGATGTTCAGACCGATATGAAGCACTTCCCCTACAAGGTTGTCAACAAGGATGGCAAGCCCGTGGTTTCCGTCGCCGTCAACGGCCAGGACAAGCAGTTCACTCCCGAGGAGGTCTCTGCCATGGTCCTGGGCAAGATGAAGGAGGTTGCCGAGAGCTACCTCGGAAAGAAGGTTACCCACGCCGTCGTTACCGTCCCCGCCTACTTCAACGACAACCAGCGCCAGGCCACCAAGGATGCTGGTGTTATCGCTGGCCTCAATGTTCTCCGCATTGTCAACGAGCCCACCGCCGCAGCTATTGCGTACGGTCTCGACAAGACCGGCAAGGAGCAGACTATCCTCGTTTTCGACCTGGGTGGTGGTACCTTCGATGTGTCGCTGCTCTCTATCGACCAGGGTGTCTTCGAGGTCTTGGCTACCGCTGGTGACACCCATCTCGGTGGTGAGGATTTCGACCAGCGCATCATCAACCACTTTGCCAAGCAGTACAACAAGAAGAACGGCGTCGATATCACCAAGGACGCCAAGGCCATGGGCAAGCTTAAGCGTGAGGCCGAGAAGGCCAAGCGAACCCTCTCTTCTCAGATGTCCACCCGTATCGAGATTGAGGCCTTCTTTGAGGGCAACGACTTCTCCGAGACCCTGACCCGCGCCAAGTTCGAGGAGCTGAACATGGACCTGTTCAAGAAGACCATCAAGCCTGTTGAGCAGGTTATCAAGGACGCTAAGCTGACCAAGGCCGATGTTGATGACATTGTTCTGGTCGGTGGTTCCACCCGTATTCCCAAGGTCCAGTCCCTCATCGAGGAGTACTTTGGTGGTAAGAAGGCCAGCAAGGGTATCAACCCTGATGAGGCTGTTGCCTTCGGTGCCGCTGTTCAGGCTGGTGTCCTTTCCGGCGAGGAGGGTACTGAGGAGATCGTTCTCATGGATGTGAACCCGCTCACTCTCGGTATCGAGACCACCGGCGGTGTCATGACCAAGCTTATCCCCCGTAACACTCCTATCCCTACCCGCAAGAGCCAGATCTTCTCCACCGCTGCCGACAACCAGCCCGTGGTTCTGATCCAGGTCTTCGAGGGTGAGCGTTCCTTGACCAAGGACAACAACCTGCTTGGCAAGTTCGAGCTTACCGGCATCCCCCCTGCGCCTCGCGGTGTTCCCCAGATTGAGGTCAGCTTCGAGCTTGACGCCAACGGAATTCTCAAGGTCTCTGCTCACGACAAGGGCACTGGCAAGGAGGAGTCCATCACCATCACCAACGACAAGGGTCGCCTGACCCAGGACGAGATTGACCGCATGGTTGCCGAGGCTGAGAAGTATGCCGAGGAGGATAAGGCCACTCGTGAGCGTATTGAGGCCCGAAACGGCCTTGAGAACTACGCTTTCAGCCTTAAGAACCAGGTCAACGATGAGGATGGCCTTGGTGGCAAGATCGACGAGGAGGACAAGGAGACCGTAAGTTGACACATGCAGTCTCTTTCTCATATTGCCGGTTATCCAATACTGACCTTAAACCAGATTCTCGATGCCGTTAAGGAGGCCACCGAGTGGCTTGACGAGAACGCCGCCACTGCCACCACTGAGGACTTCGAGGAGGCCAAGGAGAAGCTCTCGAACGTCGCTTACCCGATCACGAGCAAGCTGTACTCTGGAGGTGCTGGTGGCGCTGGTGGCGAGGGCGCGGATGAGCCCCCGAGCCATGACGAGTTGTAATACCATAGATTCCCCGTTGTTTTTTTATTAGCCGCGAAAAGAAAGTAAAATCTTTTTTCTTGAATCACCCAGTCCGATTCTGGACTTTGATCGGTGTTGCGTATGAAATTTCAATGGCAGGCGCAAGGATCAAGCATCGGGAGTCGCAGGGGCTTTGACATACATGGCCTTCTCGTCTGATTCCATGGCATCGGCGCTAGAGTACATCCAGTCAATTCAAAAGCATTATGATACCTGAAGTCGAGACTTTGATTGTCCTGGTTTGTTTTATGCTAAAAATCGTCCTAGTTCACACGGCTCATCAGAGTCCGGTACCACCTTGTTGTGCACCTCCCTTCATCTCGCACATGCGCAGGGCTAATTACTCTCGTCTCATAGCGGCATGGAGGCGTTGGCGGCGGGGATGCAGTTGCCGAGAAAGGTGCTCGTCATGGAGGACGTCGAGTTGACGACGCCCGTCCTGCCGAGCTCGCTCGTGCCGCAGCGGAGGCCGAGCACGAAGGCGCGAGACATGACGTCGGCGAGGTAAGGAGACGTGTGCGTGTGGTCCTGCGGGAAGTTGTCGTTGACGGCCTGCCGGCCCATGTTCTTCATGGCCTGGGCGGCGTAGGCGCCGTGCGGGACGTAGTACACGCCCCTCGCGGTGCCGCCGGCCTGCGACGCGGCGAGCCACGAGTAGTAGGTGAAGCGGTCCGTCCCGGACCAGGAGAAGGACCCGGACTCCCAGGGGTTGTTGGGCGTGGCGGACGAGATGACGACCTTGGCGCCCGCGGCGAGGAACTGCGCCGTCGCGGCCTTGAGGTAGGTCGGGAAGGTCTGGACGATTTCTGTCTTGCCGCTGCGGAGGAGGAAGGGAGATTGTGTATTTTAGCCGCTGAGTTTGGTTTTTCTGCATAACTCTGTGGTGAGCAAGGGGGGAGGAGGGGGGAATAAGCACTCACTCATACGCCGTCGTGCACGTCTGGCTGCCCTCGCCGAAGCAGTCGGTGCGCCCGTTGTCCCGGCCGGGGCTCAGGGACCCGCCGTCGTTGTGCCCGAACTCGACGACGACCCAGTCGCCGGGCCGCACGGCCTTGGCCACGGCGTCGAACCGGCCCTCGCGCGTGAAGCTGCGCGCCGAGCGGCCCGACACGGCGGCGTTGTTGACCCGGAAGGCCGAGGGGGAGAGGCTGTACTGCAGGTACTCGCCCCACCCTTGGATCTTGCCCGACGGGCTCTGGTGCGCCATGGTGCTGTCGCCGCAGAGGTGGACCGTCGCCGGGGCGGCGGAGGCCAGGGGCTGTAGAGTGGCCGCGAGGGCGGCGAGGAGGGATTGGCGGCGCATGGGGTCTGCTTCGGTGGTTTGGGAGAAGCGTCGGAGGGTAAGTATTACGGGTTCAGGGCAAGGGTGAAATCTAGGCGGCAAAGTGGGAGGTGTATATGTATGTATAACAAGAGGTTGCAAGATCTAATAGAAACCTTTCTTTCTACTTATATCATAACGTCGTGGCGGCACTACGAAGGGGGGCCCTTATACCGGATATATTGCCCTTCCATATGCAGGCTCGCGATAGCCGGGGATGTGGGAGCCGCCACAGTCCGGGGCGCTCTGCACCGAGAGCGAGTGCAGACAATGAGGGGAGAGGCACGCGGATAAATAAGGACAGTTGAGTAGATGTTACATAAGGACCACCTCGAGACTTGAGAAAAGAAAGTCCACCTATTGCATCTGGAAACCGTTCACATCCTGATTTTCTAATCTCACATTAGCAGAGTATGCAGGTTGATGTTCATGAAGTCCGTATTGTAAGTACAAGCAATCGCATGCATGTGGTGTGAATAAAAGGCTATGACTAACGCATACAGGAATGTAATACCACTGGAATCACTCTCTTCCTCTTCCCTGCCCTTTCCGAATGTGTCTCTCAACCAGTCCAAGGTGCAGGGCCCGGGTTCTTATAAGAAGTAGGAATGGGCCAGTTGATGTTGATCAGAATGCCTGGGTCCTGTGCACTGTATGCACCAGGCAGAGCAACTAGAGGACCAGGAGTGCCACTGCCACCTCCGCTGACATTGATCTGGGCACAGGAAATATAGAACTGAGCACCTCCAACACTCTGGGCAACGTGCAGCCCGATATGCTCGATACGGAAGAGGTATTGCCCGTTCGGAAGGGACTTGGGGAGCGTGACCGAAGGAGTCTTCATGCCTACGAATCGATACTTGTTAGCTGACAGACTGACAGGCGAGACAAGAAAGAAAAAGGCGCCACGTACCATTACTTGTCCAAGTGAGCTGCTGGCCGAACTTCGGCTGCTCATGCCAGATCTTGAACCAGACGTTTCCGTCCCCGTCAAAGCTAGAGAAGCTCTGTCCATCCGGGACCCTGGCGAGCCAGAACGACAGCGGCCCGGGGTGGTAGATGTTTGGGTTGGCGTTGAAGCCGATGGTCGAGCCCGCCGTCACGTTGTAAGTCTCGCTGGGCTTGCCGGGGCTGAGCTCATAGCACCGGATGTCCTTGGACTTCACGTCAGTCACTGGCCCGTTGTTCTGCCAGTTGATGGTCTTCCGAACGTCGAGCCAGGTCCCTGTGGCCTTGCCATCGGCATACAGCGAGTCAAAGGTATCTATTGTTTCTGTTAATACCGGTCGTCTCGGGAGCATGTTGGCACGCTACGGCTCACAGTGGGCATTGACTGCTGTTGCGGCCAGCAAGAGAGATGTTATCAGCTGCATGTCTGGGACTGAGAAGAGTCTTGGACGGGAGAACGATTTTGAAAAGAGCGGCCAAGTTGGTCAGTCGGTCACGACTTTGAAGTGCAATGAGACTGCTAGAGATTCATCGTGAGTGCCAAGACATGAGCAGAACTGTCTTGGACTTTTATATCCATCACACCCAAGCCATTGCTGGCGAGTCAACATCAAAACTTGCGCACACCTCTTTGTGTCAGCATCGACAGATGAGTCCTCATGACAGAAGGCCAAGGAACTAGCCACTTGGAAGGCGCCCGTATATTGCAAGCAATCTATTCGACATGGACAAGCCTACCGAATTTGGTGCTTTGGGAGTGGCAGGCATAAGTTCCAACCCCGCTGGCGTGTACCGCAGCTTGAGAAAGCGTTTCTCACAGTGTCACCTCTAACACATCAACACTTCGTCTGTGCTTTGTGACTTACCCCCGTTTGCCTTCGTCACTCGTTCCCATCTGCACTAGCACGGGAGAGCGGCAGGCCAGATCTGGGGTCTGGGGGTTGTGCCGTTGCAACGGCAGTCGAACCGAGTAATCTGGCTAAATGCAAAGGTGCAGCAGCGCAGGCTTCATTTCCGGGCTTTGCGATTCTTGGCGTGGGTGCTCCTCGGAATGATTGCATCACTCTGTTGAGAACGATATCATGAAGGAAGTTCATTTCCAAGCGGCAGAGCACGATACTTGCGCACTTATTCGTCTGATCGTTATCAGAGACGCAGAAACAAGCTCTCGCTGGCAAGCTCTCAGAGCTGCCCGCAGATCGTCGGTTTCAAACAGATCAACGGAAGGTGACTGGCCGTGTCGGATGTAATGCGACTGGGGCCGTCCAAGCTTTCATCTAACCCGTAGCCAACCGTGGCATAGCAAGTACGCTTGCCACCATGGAGGAGCCGCAAGGGTTGCATTGGCTCGACGTGCGCGGAGCATGCTGGTTCAGGTCTGGGCACTGAGAGAGAGAGTACCGAAATAGAATGATATACACAGGTCAGAGTAGCTAGTTGAACAAAGTCGGAGTGTACGGACCGGAGGGTTCGACCAAAGCGACGGAGTAGAGTAGCAGTCGGTTGGTGGAGGCTTGATGGCGACGGGCCAGTTTCCGGGTTGGAGAGATCTTGGCAGATCGACTTTGGGTGCTCGCTCCTGATGGGGCAACCACATCACCCGAACCTAGATGCACGAGCTACGGATGGATCAATGCCTCTTCGATGCCCAATTCTGTAGAATGTGTTGCCCAAACATCACTCCTCCTGGCCCACTAGGTTATGTGGCTCTTACACGGACTGACCCTTAGTATGGCTCAGACGGAATTTGGCTTGTGCCGCCATGCTTCTTTTTCTCTGGCTTTGCCTCATGGTATGAAGCTATTCTGAAACCAAGCGGTGAGTGGTCATGGATGTTCCTAGGCGGCATTGATTATTCAGGACACTTCTAGACCTAAAAGTTTGCCTGCTAAGTTGAGGGTTGTCCTTCAAGCTTGATGAGCCCTATAGTGGCCGGCTGTACTCCGAAGAGCAGTCCACGTGAAGAGGGCCTCTACATCTCAGACGAGATGAGTGCATGGGATATCCTACTGAAAGAAGCGGTTCAGATTCAAACGAAGTCAAACTAGCGCTTAGAAAAGGGATGTAAAAGATTTCTACCACTAGGAACAGCCTCCGAAGACTTGGACATCTAGTTGATCCCATTATTTCCCGTGCAATACATTGAAATTAGTCAGAACCCATCTTGAAGCAAATCCACCCCAACACTCCATTTGGACCTTGGATCATAGGGTTGTGAAAAGATGGCAATCATAGCAACCCCTATTCGAAAGCCTGATATGTATATCTCTGAAGCATCTTCGTTGCCTTGCCCACAGAAGTCGTGTCAGGCAATTGTGTTGGTCAATCCTCACGGGAATACCCAACATTTGCCAGCATATCCCTAAAAGTCCGTCTTAGTATTGAGTTTCATCAGTGGAAATTGCAACATACAGATGGTACTCTCTCTGAAGAGTCGCCTCGAAGCCATCCTCATCATAGTCATCATAGTCGCTATCGTCGTCCTCAATGCCGCTGTCACTGTCACTGGCGTTGGTGTTGGCGTTGGCGTTGTCGTTGTCGCAAGCTGTCATCTCTGCCCAACAACGCATACCGTCATCCTCATTGACACAGCCCATTGTTGACGGTGGTGTTGGCTCCCAAGAGTGATTGACTGAAGGACCCATGCATGGTCCACTCGAGATGAGTCCATTGGGCAAAGAAGACCATCCATTGATTGTACCATCAGAGGCACTTGATCCCAGAGCACTGGTTGTAGCAGTAGTTCGATCTAGCAGCTGTACCAAATCCTGTTCCTCAGACGGATCGAGCGCAAAAAGTTCATCTTCGGGATGCAGGGAGCGGTTACGAAAACCGGGAGCCGGTTCCATGGCCTCCAAAGCGTCGTGTGTGGCACAATTCTGCATTGATCTGGCGTCGTTCTCCATCGGCATGATGATGTCTGAGAAATTCAGCTGAAGCATGGCTGCCTCAGTCATGCCCACGTCGTCTTCAAACACCATTTCTTCGGCATGGCCGGTATCTTGGAGACTTCCGTATGTTACAAGATTTTCGATGCTTGGTGTGCGGCCAACTTTGTTTCCACAGATGGTCGAAGAAGAGCGGATTTCCTCCTCACACACATCAAAGATTTGTGTCCATTCCTCCTCTTCAGCGTCAATCTGTTGAAGGTCTGGGACATGGGATGGGATGCAGTGAGATTTGGGAGGAACAGATGACGAAGCTTGGAACGTCGAGGCCTCGGTCTCCGAATCTACTGCCTGAGTGAAGTTGTTCGCCAATTGGCTGTAAAGGAGGGAGGGATGACCGGGTTTGTCGCATCGTCTTCGCTTCTGGGAGTTGAGTTCGTCGTCTATTGCGAGTGCTCGCTTCTGGGAGGAACAAGGAGTAGGAACGGGCACCTCTCCAACCGTATGGGAATGACAGTTGGCTGGCATGTTGAAGTGTATATATGCGTAATATGAGGGAGAGAGGGCGTGATGGGCCAGGAGGGGTGAAGAGACAGCCTCACAGATCGAAGATCAGGAGTTCCAAGAGCTTTAAGTATCAGACTCCAGGGCCTGACGAGAGCTCAAAATTGAAAGTCTGGTTGTGTTTGTACCAAATGCTGTATGGAGATGATTGTCGGCGCCTAGATTAAATCTTGAGAAGGCGTTGCCTAGAGACAGAGGAAGTCGCTTCCGTCGTTCTGGTGAGTAGGTCCATTTTTCAGGAAGTCACAGATTGAAACCTTCTTTCGGTGACATACACCTGCACATCTGGGAGTCTCTGCTGTTCCTTCTACAGGACCAGTTGGCTCTCTCGCTCCTGCCCAAACAGTGAAAAGGGTTCTAGGTTGCTAACGCGCGAGCAGAATCGCAATGAACTTGGGTGGGAGCGAGAGAGCTCCCAGGCACCTACCTATCTCTTACCTCTTGCCCATGATTGATGTCGCCTACCGTCATGCGAAGCGCAAATCTGCTCACCTCCTCCGCCCTCTGTGAAAGTGATCGGCATCTATCGTGCCATGTCGTGTCGTGACTGTTGTCCGGATACATGCATATCATTGCTCACCTTATCGCAATGCAGCGATAAGCATGTGACGCGGGCCAAGACCCAGCAACCCCACGTAGCATAACTAGCCCCTCCGACCGCATGCTGCCGGCATCATCTCCGACATGGGTGGCTGGATGAGCTCCCTGAACGCGCGACTCAAACATACAACTCGATAGAGACTCAGATACCCTGAAAAAGGACAGGTGTACACGACCAAGAACATATGCGGCCAGGTTCAGCCCAGCTCAGAACGAGAACTTGCAGGTCTTGCGGAGCAAACATCAGCCATCATCACGCCTGGCGCATTGCTCCAGTGACCCACCTGTAACCGCATTCATCAGTCAGGCACAATGTTCTCTCAGGTAAGGACTCGGCCTGTTGTCGGTTGCCTATGTTATGGAAAGGCCATGACGGTTGGGAATATCGCACTCGTTGTGCTGCATGTGTGGTGAACAGTTTACTGACATTACCTGTTTCGTCTTCACAGAAGAAGCCATACTCGGCAGTCACTGTGACCATCGAGCGCCTCACTAGTGAGGCTTATGAGGAAGATGATCTTAGTGGGATCCCAGACCTCGTTGAGGTGATCAAGCTCCAGGACGCGACAGGAGCCACTGAAGCTGCCCGGGCCATTCGGAAGAAGCTGAAATACGGCAGCGTTCATCGCCAACTGCGTGCGCTGACACTTCTCGACGGCCTTATTCAAAATGCCGGCCCTCGCTTTCAGCGCACATTCGCGGACGAGACCCTCCTAGAGAGACTGCGTGTGTGTGGCACATCTGACCTGTCGGATCCCGAGGTCCGAAAGAAATGCTCAGAGCTATTTCGGAGCTGGGCGACTGATTACAAGAACACGCCTGGCCTGGAGAGGATTGCCAAACTGTACAAAGTATGCAAACTCCGTTGGGCGATCGACAGTCTAGCATACTGACCCATCCAGGAACTCCCTCGCCGTAAACAAGTCGTTACTCAAGAACGGTCAAAGGTGATCCGGGAGACGGAGAATCCATTTGGAGAAGAGGAGGAGGAAGCTGCCAGAGCGATGGCAGGCCCCTCGTCCTCCAGGGCGTCACCGCCTTCAACGCAGACTACCGGTCGAATTGAGTCCTTCAGCTATCTGGGCTCGTCCAAAGACAAGAAGAAGAAGGACAAGGACAGGAAGGGCAGGAAGGGCAAACCATTCGACCTCGAGGCAGAGAAAGAGGCGATGAAAACGACTGTCGCGGATGCCTCCATGGCTGCTACTGGGCTCCTCAATGCGCTGCAGAGCATTAACCGTGAACAGGAGCGCATCTCGGAGAACCAGCTCGTTCTTGATCGATTCGAGGCCTGCAAGTCACTCCGGAGGAGAGTCTTGCGCTATGTAAGCCTCTGGTATCGACATGGTGCCCAGCTCATATTGACCAAGTTTTAGATCTATCATGTCGAGTCTGAGCAGTGGCTCGGCGGCCTTCTGCACGCCAACGACGAGCTTGTCACTGCTCTCATGACTTTTGAGCAGCTTGATCGGTCCATCGACGCGGACTCTGACTCTGATGATGACCTTGCGGAGCAAGCTCATCTCTACAGAAGTAAGAAGATTTGGACACGAAATACCGACGAACCGAACTAATGCTTCACTAGTGATCACGGAGAAGGCCAAGGAAGGAGCATCGCCCACCAACCCCGTGCCGGAAATGGGTGGCTTGAGCATGGAACCCAATCCACCGCTGCCGACTAGGCCGGCCGCACCCCCTAGGCCAATGGGCGCAAAGCCAACCTCGTCCAGGCCGCCACCACGACCGCAGCCCGATGATTCGGATGCGGATAGCTATGAGGATGAGGACGAGAATGACCCATTCGCGGACCGGAATGCGGTTGTTACCCCGAAGGTGGAGCGGGGAGAGCCTCAGTGGTAGGAGGTTGGATGCTGTTGATCACACTCGGGTGACCGATTTACGCAACTGGTGTCAGGATCTGTTTGCAGCCCAGCGCAGTTAGAATGTTTGCCATGTCTTATACCTCTTAGCGGCTGTAGCTGAAGTACGATATGAATGAAACCGTGATTCATTTTACCTAGTCGCAACGACCAATAACAATACAAGAGAAAACGCAACTGGGACGACTGGGAAAGGCAGCCACATAGCTGTTATTGAATTACTACATGCAACATTAATCACTAGGGGAAGGCCGTAGGCTCGAATTCTCACTTCATCTCCGACCACGTGTGGTCAGTCCTCAGCACCATTGACGGATTAGGCCTTGCTCTCCTCTTTCAGTGGCTCCACAGGCTTGTCCTCGGGTGAGAAGTTGAGAGAGACACTGTTGACGCAGTGACGCTCATCGGTGGGTGTAGGGAAGCCCTCTCCCTTGAAGACGTGGCCGAGATGGCCGCCACAGTTGGAGCAGACAATCTCGGTCCTCGCCATGCCCCAGGCCCGGTCCTCGTGGCGGGTGATGGCGCCGGGGATGCTGTCAAAGTAGGCCGGCCAACCGCACCCGGAAGAGAATTTGTGGGTGGCCTTGTACAAGGGGGCGTTGCAGCCGGCGCAGGTGTATACTCCGGTCTCCGGGTAGTGCTTGTCGAACTTGCCGGTGCCCGGTCTCTCCGTGCCCTTTTCTCTCAGGATACGGAATTGTTCTACCACGGGGGGTTAGTCTTCTTTTCTTACCACTCACAGGGCCGGCGGGTGTGTTGTTGCTCACCGGGCGACAGGACGGCTCTCCACTCGTCTTCGGTTCTCTTGTCTGGATACGACATCTTGTTCTGGGCAGAGGTTGAGCTGAAGAGGCTGCCGATCAGTGGTATCGAGGGCATAGACCTGAGCACGGCCCGCTGCGGTGCAGAATGCAGGAGAGGCTGCTGGTGTTGCGCAGCTGTGCGGGTAGCACGAGTGAGAAACGACAGGGTATGAAAGGCACGGAAGATGGAGGTGAGCTGTGCGAAGCGCATGGGCGATGAACTTGTGTGAGTGTGAAGCTAGGAAGTCTGGGAAAGGGTCGGCAGGACGAAGTATGAAATACTCTTATGAGGTCTGGAAGATATTGTTTCAATGGGATTTGACAAATACTCAAGATGCTCCGCCGCAAAACGAAGGCATATCTGGTCATCAACTGTAATTCAAATACTTGCCCTCGACTTCAGCTTTCGGCTTCATGACATGCACCGAGTTAAGAATGGGGGCGAACAAATAGCGCTAATGCGAAGCCATGGGCGTCATAGTTGAATGATTACTCTATCATTTAGGCCAGGAGGAGGGGGCGCAAGCTAAGGCTGTCCATCCTCTGTAGAAGAGAAGATGGTAGAAACGAGTGCGCCCAATCAGAACAGCTGGCAAGGAGGCAAATGGCAGTTGGCATTCTGTCCATAATAGAGCCGTAGTTAGTGCGTCTCAGGTGCAGTTCAATGCCCCCTCGATGACAGGATGGCGCTTGAAATTATTGGGTCCCTCCTTTATCGGTACCTAACCGCCAATCTAACACGTCTGGCTGGCTTCTTGGATCTTTGGATTTCCGACTTCAGGCAGTCAAGTGCCAAAGAGCCATTCGCATGCCCCTCGCCGCACGCGACCTCTGATACCTCGCCTTTGCTGCGCCTGCAACTTCTTCTCGTCGTCCCAAACCGCCACTATCCAAAGCCATTGCGCATCCCGACAATTTAGAATCTGTCAGAGCGGTCCCACACCCTTGGAAGCTGCCCGAAAGATGTCCAGGAGACCGCCGAACCCAGCTGCTGAGCGCGCAGCCCAGAACCAGCAGACGATCAAGAGCCTGCTCAAGCTGGAGGCCAATAAAGTCTGCGCCGATTGCAAGAGGAACAAACGTGAGCCCCCACCGACTCCTGAGGTATCCCTCAAGCCTATCACCGCTACTCGATTCTGACCAGCTACTACAGATCCGCGATGGGCCAGCTGGAACCTGGGCGTCTTTATCTGCATCCGCTGCTCGGGCATCCATCGTGGCATGGGCACGCACATTAGCCGAGTCAAGTCTGTCGATCTGGATTCGTGGACCGACGAACAATTGCAGAGCATCCTGAGCTGGGGCAATGCGCGCGCGAACAAGTATTGGGAAGCCAAGCTGGCGCCAGGCCATGTTCCCTCCGAGGCCAAGATTGAGAATTTCATTCGCACAAAGTACGAGCTCAAGCGGTGGACCATGGACGGCCCCATCCCCGATCCTGCTACTCTAGATGCCGAGGGCGACGATGATGTCCCGCTCAGCATCGTCAAGGAGAAGCAGAACATCGAGCGCAAGGAGTCTATCAGGAAACAATCGGTGGGAAAGTCGGCAGCGCCTCAGCAGGCTGATTTGATCGGCGGCATTGGAGGAGATCCCATCCCCCAGCGAGCCAGTACTGCTGGCCCGCCGCCGACCAGCAAAGTACCGCCCAAAGCCGAACCGGCACCTCCCAAGGCCACAAGCACAAAGGACTCGCTCCTCGGCCTCGACTTCCTGGGCACAGAAACTGCCGCACCTCCACGCCCCGCCAGCACCACTGGAACATCTGGATCGGCAGGTCAGTCTCGGCCAGACCTGAAGCAGTCTATTCTGTCGCTCTATGCCACCGCACCTCGCCCCCAAGCCCAAGCTCAACCGCAACAGAGCTCCCACGCACCCTCTGGGTCTTTCAGCGGCATGCAGTCCCCAGCAGCCCCTCAGCAGCCGAGCGCGGGCCTTACAGATGCATTCAGCGGCCTGAGCTTCTCGAGCTCCTCCGGCCCCAAGAGCCCACAGAGTTCCGCTTTCGCCGGCTTGGGCAACTTTTCGAGTAGTCGCCCGGCCCCTCAATCCAACAACTCTGCCTTCTCCAACCTGAGTGGTGGAAGCTTCTTTGACTCCAAGCCAGCGGCCCCGGTGGCGTCTCAGCAGCCGAAGCCGACCTCTCCCAACTACAGTGCATTCTCGTCTCCCACTCTCTCGGCGGCGCCTCCCAAACCCGCAGCCGCTCCAGCCCCAGCTTCTGCAGCTCTCGGAGACTTGTTCGACTTCTCTTCCCCGGCCCAGCCTGCGGCAGCCCCTGCGCCTGCAATACCTAATCCCATGCCATCGGCGTCCGCAACTTCAGTTTTCAACCTCTCTGCAAGCCAGCCCAAATCTCCGGTGGCGACGTCACCACCTGCCGCCCAAGCCGCGAACCCCATGGCTTCGCTGGCTCAATCTTCGGCTGCTTGGGGTGGTTCTGACGTCTGGGGCGGCAATGCATGGAGCACCCCTGACACGACGGCCGCTGCCCCCAGCAAGAGCCCAGAGGCAACCAAGGCTACGCCTGCTAGCGATTTCAACTGGGGCAGCAGCACGGGCAACTCGTTTGCCAACCAGAGCGTCGTGCCCGGTGCATCTGGCGGCCTGACCACCGCGCCCAAAGTAACTGCGGATGAGGAGTTTGGGGGATGGGCAAGCAGTACTGGAAGCAGCAGCAAGCCAGCGGCGAGCTTTGGCGGCAACAATGAAGATCTGTTTGGTAATGTGTGGCAATGAAGCAAACGATGATGAAAGGGTTGTCGATGGATTTAGGTTTGCGCCGTCATCCACAAAAGTATGGTACTGGCGTTACCCATAGACGACTTCATAGCGACCCCTGATTGTTGCAAATGATTTTACATGCAGAAACATTTGTCTATCCCGATATTGACGCGATATATTGATACAATCTTCCATTTGACTAGCCTGAACGCCGTTGCTATGCTGAAAATTAGGGTATTTGTTACTTGTTCATCTTTGTGATGCACCCAAGGCATCTCTGGTTTTCGATCTTCTTTCTCTCCCCTGCAAGACAGCGCTTCAGAACATCAACTTCCACACATAGTACAGCACCAAGAAGACGGCGACGAGGATGCCAGCCAGTTTCAGCACGGCGACCTTGTTCCCCGACGCCGCCATCCTCGTGAGCCGGCCGGCCGAGCCCTTGATCTGCGTACCCATCGAGGAGAAGGTGTCGTTCTAAAGCAAGCGCAATTCTGTGTCAGCAAAAATTCTCCCCGCCTGGGAACACTTGAGGCGATGTATAAAAAAGGAGAGGGCTGTGGCGTTTTTTGCGCGCGATTACGTACCGTGGAGTCGATGACGTCTTGGGCGCGCGCGTTGTCGTAGATGTCGATGGTGACACCGCGCAGGGCCGACACCTTGGCCGACAGCTCGTCGAGGCGGGCGTTGTTCTGCCGCTCGCGCTCGTAGGCTTCGGACATTGCTGCGGCTGCGGTGGTACCTGTCCGTGTCTTTGCGTCTGTGGTGATGATGTGGCCGATAGGGCGCAGGGTCCAGGAGTGTGCGCAGTCCGAACGGGGCGATGGGACACCGTTTCAGGTACTTTGGGGGAGCGCCTCCGAGGGTTTCGACAAGGAGCGCCCCGACGGAGGGGAGCGGAGGTTCGGATATCGCGGCGCGGTATGCTGCGGCTGGTTATCGCAGAGATTTGTGCGAAGAAAGTGCGGAGGGGAGGATTGGGGGTGCGTTGCGCGGGATCGTGGGCTGTCGAGACTGGACGCTCGGTAGAGACGGGAACGGATGGATTTCAAAAGGGGACCTCGTGATGCGTCGTCATGGCGGGCGCTGCCGGTTTTCTTTTGGCAATGATTAGGGATTAGGGGAAGGTTTGTCTGGTGGCTGGCGGGCTAAGCTGCACCGCCACGCATGAATCAGGGGGTGCCTCCAGGCCTCCTAGCCAGCGCTGTCGGACTTGTTGCGCCCCCTGTGACGAAATGCTGAGTGGACAGCGGGGTCCTGGTTGGGCGAGATGGGGGCCAGTTTCCCCGCAGAATCGTTTGATGGATTCGCTTTGGAAGACAGTCAGCAGAGCAGTCCTGGGCAGCGCGCGCTATGCTGTGCCGTGTCCCATCTTAGAAATTTTGATTTTATTACTTTGGTAAGGTGATTGTGGTGATCCTCATAGCCCAGCACGCCCAGCCTCGTGGCGACCGACGCGCGGCAGCTTTCTTGTGTTTGCTCTGTGCTGTGTGATACTTCTTGTTTCTCATGCGGCACTGCGTCTTTCTCCTCCTCCTTATTCTGCCATATTCGAACAAAGCGTTTTGGCTCTAGGTGCCAATACCTACACTAGACCAGCCTGTTTTATCACCTTTGCCTTGCTCGCTCCCACTTCGCCCTCGAAACTTTTGGGTCGGTGACGGGCGGCCTAATCATAAGCTCGAACTCCACCAGCCATCATATCGGCTTAACCCCACATCATTCCCCCAGTGAGCTTTGGATCGCAACCACATCATCCGCACAACATTACCTCGCAAAAGAGTGCGCCAATCCAGCACCCTCTCTTCTCCGGTACATCCTGCTGCTCTTCTGTCGCTACAGAACCTGTGAAATCCAGCAGCCATGGGTATCAACAACCCTCTCCCGTCGTCTATGGCGTGTAAGTCCTGTCCCGAGCTGTCTCGCTCGCCTGCCTGCCTAGGCTCCCGGCTGTCCCGCGAGCCACCTCGTACGCATGATCGCTGACTTGGAACTGCACCCACGACAGCGGAGTGCAAGAAGTGCGGAAAGATTCTCGCCTCGTTCGTAGATCCTCGACAGTCCTTTGGTCCTGACAAAGTCATTCCTCCCTCCGTTCTTGCCCAGGCCAAGGTTAGTCTGACCCCTCTTCTGAAGTTCTCTGGGCGGCGCCACCCTGTCTTGATGTGTCTCGCGGATCGCATGTGTCACCCGCAACCAGCCACGAAGACTGGTTTGGACTCAGTTTATTGACGCTACTTCTTCTCTGTCTAGGGCCTCGCTATCCTCACTGTCATCAAGGCCGGCTTCCTTGGCTCGGCACGATTTGGAAGTGGTCTTGTCGTTGCACGGCTACCAGACGGCAGCTGGAGCGCGCCCAGTGCGATCGCAACCGGAGGCGCTGGCTTCGGAGGACAGATCGGTTTCGAGCTCACGGATTTCGTCTTCATCCTCAACGACTCGAACGCCGTCAAAACCTTCTCTCAGGCCGGCTCCCTCACACTTGGTGGGAATGTCTCGCTCGCTGCCGGTCCCGTCGGGCGGAATGCCGAGGCCGCCGGAGCAGCCAGCTTGAAGAGTGTCGCGGGTATCTTCAGTTATTCCAAGACCAAGGGTCTCTTTGCAGGTGTCTCGCTAGAAGGATCGGCCATCATCGAGCGCAAGGACGCCAACGCGAAGCTGTACGGCCGTCCCGTCAGCGCCCGGGAGCTGTTGTCGGGTGGCGAGCGCCCGCCGCCGCAGGCAGGACCCCTTCTCAACATCCTCAACTCCAGGGCCTTCAGTGGCCAGCGGTCGGGCTCGATGAGCGACGGGATGTACAATGACATCCCGGTCTACGATAACAACTACGACAATGTTGTATGGGGCGAGAACCGCGGTAGTGCGTACGGAGAGGGGCAGAGCCGGGGCGGCTATGGCAGCAACGACGACTTTGGAGCTCCGAAACGGACGAGCACTTGGCAGGATGACGTCTACGACCAAGAGCCTCGGTTTGGCGGTGCGTCGCGGTCCAACACGTTCAACGATGCATATGGCGACAACAAGAGCTCGGGTCCTGGCCGTCCAGCAGCGCCGAAGCCTAATTTTGCCAGCAAGCAGGCTCTGCTGAAGAAGAACGAAGCTGTGGCTCTGTTCAACTTTGATGCGGACCAGCCAGGCGATCTTGGATTCAAGAAAGGTGATGTCATCACAGTTCTGAAGAAGACTGAAAGTGACAATGACTGGTGGTAAGTTTTAGGATCAACATCAAGCTACCCTTTGGATGATTGTAGACCAGTGGCCTAACTTGACCTTCTAGGACCGGAATGATCGGGACGAGACATGGCATCTTCCCCAGCAACTACGTCAAGATGAAGGAGTAGAAGGAGTAGATGGCGCTCTGCATTGTTTGAACTCGGGTGACTATGCGCTGGAGAGATTGGCAACTTTCACTTCTCCTGGGGGGTCCTACATGGTGGGGTTCGATCTGAAGCATTCAAAAGCTTGTTTCTCAAACTTGGTTGTTTCTCGTCAAGTTATGATCCATACAGATGATGATATCACTGGTTGCTTCTCTCCTTCTTTTTGTCTCTTCGGGCGGGGCTAGATATAAGCCTGGAGTTATTGGTTTGATATAGGATTCACAACTGCAATTGGTACTGAACAAGCATATGCAAGACTGCCATCCATTCGGTTCTTTTTGCTCTTGCCCCCTGTGCTCGCTCACGACCTCTGCCTGACAACGCAGTGATTGTGATCACTTGGTCACTGCCCACTCGACGTTCAGCTCCTGGAACGCCACCTCGAGGGTCTCGGTGGTGTTCTTGTCCGGCCGCGCCGCGTACGCCGCCACCGTGAGCATCCAGTCCTCGTCATCTTCGTAGGCAAAGGCCCACGCGCACTCGCGCATCGGCAGCAGCAGCACCTCCTCCTCCCCTTGATTTCCGGCGGCGGCGGGAACGACCTGGTAGACCCACAGCGAGGTGCCCAGCTCGTCGGCCTCGCGGCGCGCCAGCAGCGTCACGACGGGCCGGTCCGCCTGGCCCGGGCCCGCCGTGCCGGCCGCGGGCAGGGCGACGCTCCAGTCGGCCCAGGCGTCGCAGGTCACGGTGCTCAGGCGCGGCTGGTCCTGGTAGTACTCGATGCCGGTCTTGACCCACTTTGGCGGCGTGCTGGGGCCGGCGGAGGCGGAGGAGGAGGCGGAGGAGGAGGAGGAGGAGCAGTTTGTGCCGGTGCTCCGGTGCAGGGAGAGGGCCATGCCGGCCTGGTCGTAGCGGTGGGTCCAGGTGCCGGTGAAGGAGACGCGGGCGGAGCGGAAGGCGCTGAGGGGGTTGGTCTGGGCGTGGGAGGTCGGGGCTGGAGGGAGGGAGGGTTGAGTGTTAGTGTTGGCTTGGCTGGAGAGAAGTGGTTTGGGGTTGTTTGTGTGTATATTCATGATTTGTGTGGTTTTTCTTTTGCTCTTACCATTAAAGACGTCTGTGCTGGGGGGTTTGCGCCATATGTCGGTCCCCGGCTGGGCCGTGATGGTGAAGAGCGTCGTTAGGAGGGAGGGGAGCATTATGGTCTGTAAGTGTAAGTAGATAAGAAGAGCCTTTGGAGGATGTTACTAGGATTTGATCGGCTCTCTTGTGTTGAATACTACATGTCCATGTCTAGATACCCTTACCCACACAGAGCGAGGGGCATCGGCCTTTCTTTTATATACAGCTGAGGCTTGGTGAAAGCGGCATGTCGTAATTAATGTCCGAGTTGCATACAGCTTCGTTTAAGCATGACGGAATCGTTTCTAGAACAGGCGGCAAGAGAGCGGCCTGCCACCAATAGTTGCATGCATCGTGTGCGGTGCTCAGGCGAAAGCGGTGGTTACAGTGCCTGGGACAAGGCACACGCTACCATCAAGCTGTTTCTCTTCTGGCAGGTGGTATTTTGCGTCTTGAATCTCGGTCTCTTGGCAAAGCTTGACGCTACCATCACCACTCTGTAGCCGCCACACTTCCTTTTTGAAGATTACTGGGATCTTGAGGCTTGGGCTTACTCCAAGTTGGTCTTCATTGTTCCCGTAGTTGGAGAGATCTGCCTGCCGTCCCCAACAGGAGGTAGGTAGACTAGGTCGCCAGGTAAATATTGTCTTGTTCAGAGATGTGTATATATTCCAGAGAACACACACACACCTTGAAGGTCAAGTAGGTACCTAGGCTAGGTACACTGTAGGGGAAGTACTGTTGGCAAGCCTACCTCTCAAGAAACAGAACCTCTACTTGTACTTCCATTCGTATTCTTGTGGACCCAGGGGAAGGCGGCAAGTTCCCTAGCGGCAGTTGGATATCGGGAAGCCTAATCTTCGCCTGGCATAGTGGCAGTGCCCCTGAACGCCCCAGTGAATGCCCCCACATCTCGACTAACACGCCAGGGATGCTGAACAGATCGAGCCTTTTCGATCTTCAGCTGATGAACTTCTCATTGTTTTCTCTTCATCTCTTTTCGTCCTTCTTTATCAGGTTCTTTCCTCTTGACCTGCTTTGTCACTCCTTTCATGTGCCTTTAATTTGCCCTGGTGATATCACTGACGGCCTTGACAAGGTGATCTCTCCCAGTTGACGCTGACCTGGCATCCATGTGAATCACTGGTCGACTGGGGACGCGTCACTCTCATTTTACAAGCATCTCAGAATTCATTCTCCAACTTTCCTACATTGCCATTTGACAGGCCTTCCTCTTACTAGAGATCTGCTTGGTAGTCGATATGGTCGTCTCCAGCATTTCAAGCCCGCTGCGTCTGCGGCTGATCATCGGGTCCTGCATTCTCTTTCTCCTTATCCTTGTGGCCCTGCCGTCAAGCGGCCGATCTCCACCGGTCTCACCAGCACGTTCAAGATATTTCCAAAGTATGGCTGCTGTTCCCTCAGATTACACCAGGGATCAGGGCGAGACTCCCTTCTGCGCCAGTCTCTACGGCATCAAGTACCTCGAGGATCTTCGAGACAGCGCCTTTGTCCAGTCTACCCCTGAATCACAGTCGACCCTGATCACCTTCTGCAATTCAACCGCAAAGGATCAGATTGACTCCATGTTCATCGCCAAAGATGTCAAATACCGGTCAGACATCAAGAAGTTCGCTCTCTCTGGACAATTTCGGGATCTTGGCTGGACCGAACGGAGGGTTCAACTTCGACCTCGCCCCGATGACTTCGCGAGATACATGTATGACACTGGTCCCGGCCCAGTCTTCAAGCAGGCAATCTTGATGGACCGAGATCTCTCCCTCGAGTCTGAAGAGCTGGAGTCGCCCAAAAGCTTTACGATTCTCGTCAAACGCGAAGGCGAGGGAAACATCTGGCACTGCTTGATGGAGATCATGAGTCTGACCATGACGATCGATGTCCTCAAAATGACCATCGACCCTGAGACCAAGAAGCCCTTCCTGTCTGACGAGGACGCCGAGAACACTCAAGTCGTCATCCTCGACGACAAGGATGAGGGCCCGTTCTTCAGCATGTGGCAGATGTTTGCTCGCAAGCCTGTGCTCCGCCTAGGCGAGATCGAGAACCGGTCCGGGTTGACGAATGTGATTGTGCCGCTGGCCGGCGGTGGAAATCCATTCTGGTCAGGAACCTGGAAAGTACACCCATGTGGCCGGTCCGACCTCATTCGAGTCTTTGCGCAGAGGGTCTACGAGCACTTTGGGATCAACTATCAGAAGGAGCGCGAGGGCGAAGTCGTCGTCACCTTCATCGATCGAGCCCAGACGAGAAAGCTCGTCGATCAGGATGCAATTCTGGAAGCCCTCAAGCTCCAAAACTTGAAGATCGACCTGCGAGCCGTGGATCTGGCCTCGCTCAGCTTTCCCGAGCAGATCAAGGCCATACGCGAGACTGACGTCCTCGTTGGCGTCCACGGTGCGGGCATGACACACGCAATGTTCCTTAAGGAGGGCTCCGCTGTCGTCGAGATCCTCCCGGCGGAAGTCTTCCACAAGGGCTTCCGGAACCTCGCTGTGATGATGGGCCACACCTATCTCAGCATGCACGCCAAGGAAAACATCAAGGACGACGACGATGTCTTCCGGGACTGGCACGGCGACAACATGAGGATAGACCAGGCTAAGTTCTTGGAGACTGTCTCGATCGCCGTCAAGACGATGTACAACAAGGGCTGGCGCAGCTGGGATGCGGTCGGCCCTCTCGATGGGGGTGCAGGAGACGGATAAGAAATGGCGGAGGGCCATCCACTGTGCCTTTTTCACAATACTAAGAATTGATCTTCTTTGTCACTTCTTAGACTTGGGGGTGTTTCCAAAGGGAGACTGTTCAACATGGAGGAAAGGGATATTGGCGAGACGAAGCATTGATACCCCATGGCGTAACGGTACGGCCATGATGAGCTGAGGTTCGAGAGGCACATAACTACGCACTTTTGCAAGGCACATGTATTTTAGACCTGCGCTTGCACTGTACACGACTTAGAATGCGATGATATTTTTGACTTTCAGAGTGTGGTAGTCTCTGATGCTATATTGACTCTCAGTGAAGCATCTGCTACTATTTACGTGGTCTTAACCTCGACTTTCAACGCAAAGCATTCAACTGACAAGATCGGCCATGGGAGTGATTGGCAGAGTGAAACATCGAAACACTTCCTTCTCGAGATCCTCAGGTTGGAGTCTACCTTGCTGGACAAGTACCTGCGATTCGGTAGCCGAGAGACCGAAAGCGCAAGTCATTCTTCTTCATACAGGCACGCGATGTAGTCTAGGACCAGGGCGCAGCGGCTTCGTACCTTGGACCCGTGGCGCGGACGAAGCTGCGCACCCAGGTCCCCATCTCCGCGTCGTCCCTGTTCCCAGAAACACTACTTTCTGGTGGAGTCAAGACCCGGATATCGAGGTTGCCGAGTAGAGGCGCTGGAATGCGGTCGTGCTCGGGGCCGAAGCTCGAGTGGGTCACCCGGCGCACGGAGCGGTGCATGCCGGGGACACGGCGTCAAACGCGTGCGTCGTATCCGCCGTTTCGGGAGGCTTTGTCTGGCTCAGCCTACCTAGCCGACAAGTTTACTGCAGTACTACGCCCCGTAGAATGTGAGATGCACCTTCAATCCTGCAGTATCCCTTCTATTCGGTTTCCATCACCATAGCTACGGTTATAAGGCCCACGCAATCAATCCTTCTACGCAGTCCAATCCTCCTCATAGTATTGGATTTGGGATTGACTGGCCAATGGTTTTCAATTCCATGATTTGATCGGATATGAATCAATATCCTCGACTATGTCGAATATCTATCTCCCGCTCCAAAGGGCCCTCTTCCGATCAACACGCCAACCGCCAAGCTATTTGGCGCATGCCCCGGACCCGACATCATGAAGAAGCGTCTCGCTGCAGAAAGTACTGGCTCGATGGTGGTCGCTGCCGTAAACGGCAAAGAAGATCCCGAAATATCGGTAAACTTCCACGGATCAGCGATAATATGATGTCGGCGCCCAAGTGCTCGACAAACCAGGACGCCGGAACGGACACACGAAGACCAATAACCGCCAGCAGGTGACGATCACGACATGGCCGCCGCATGCGTGAGGGCTGGCTCGTGGAACGAGGGGGAGGATTCTTCAGAGTGCCCGCCTTTCAGTCCAAGTTGTTCCCCGAGGACAAAAGCCACTCCCGAGAGAAGCTCTGTCAACCTATCCTGGCAAGAAAGCATAGAACGTGAATGACACCCCTCCCCCCCATCCTCCCCCACGTTAGGCAAGCCTCTTGATAACGGGCTGAGAAAACTGAGGCTGGACTTCCGAGAATGCGTGCCGATCTTGCCTCCGTATCTGCAGCCGTCCGTCTGCACGAGGGGAAGAAACGGAAGACGAGATTTCGGGATAGAGCTGAAATCGTATGTCCGAGGGGTTGCCGTACCGTGTGAGCCAGCTTGAATACGTAGAGTTGTATGTCGGTGTGTCGAAAGAGGAGCACATAGCAGAATAGCATGTGTACCTGTTCCTTGGTTGCTGCTTGTCGATCCTGTAACTAGTAGAATTGTGTGATCGCGCACAAGCCAGATTCATACAGTACATGTGGAGGAGGGAGGTCAGGAGGTGGGGGACGGGTTTGCCTCCTCCATACACTCACTCATATGCTAGTGGAAGGAAAGGAAAAAAACATTGGTTATATTACATAGTATATTCTATTTTTTTTTCTTTTCAAAGAAAAAAGAAAATAAGTGTTTAATTCACTAGGGACTCAATCAAAGGAGAGTAAGGGGGGAGGGTTTTACACAACCGCCCTGTGATACACATCTCGACTTAGACCTGGCCTGAGCGCGCCCGAGACGCTGGCTCGAACAAAACAGGATGCACACCGATGAACTCATATTGTCTCGCAGGAAGCAGTGACACAGTCTTCTCGGCCAGCCTGAGTACGCTCTGGCAAAGGTCAATTGAACAGAGCAGCGTCATAGCCAGCAGGTGAACTTTGTCAACTGAAGGCCTAAAACTCAGGGTCCTCCCACGTGTGCAGGTGTCACGCTCCGGATTGGCATCTCGATCTTGAGCACCAGCGGCGAACTAAAATAACGGGGTGGGGGACTGTGAAATCCATCTTGATGGTGATTAGGCCTGGAGGAAACTAGGGATCAAATAAGAATATTCAATTAATCATTAAAAGACCTGCAGAGCAAAGAGAAAGGGGGAGGATCATGGCAATACGAAGAAGTATCGCCTCTGAGACGCGGGCACCGGAACGATCTAACCAGACGAGACTGATCAGACCAGGCAAGACCGGTATTCACAATATTGGCGATAATATGGCTGGATTCAATTCCCATTGGAGCGCAACAATTCCTGGAATTGACAGCCAAGAAACAATGGAGCAGAGGGGATGAGGCGTAAACCAAAGAACCAAGAGAACAACGAGAAAGAGATAAAATCCCGAATATTCGAAAAAATGCAAGACCGAGTCCGACTGGATGCTTGACACATACAAAGTAACTGCAGTGGGGGTTCGAGCAGGCATCAAGGTTGCAAGTTCCTCGACCTGTTTGTTGTCTTGCTGCTTGCAAGTGATTCTGGCGAAACAGGTCGGGCTCAACCGGCCTGGCCGTCCCGCAATCCCACCATTCCCGTCCCTCCCTCCATCTTTGAGGCGAGTGACACTGAAGACAATCACCGCCCTCAACAAACGCGGTCTCTTCTTCTTCGAGACACCCAGGAGATCAAGCGAAATGGGCTAGCCTCACCGGACCGTGACGGAGTGGTGGTCATGGTGCTGGTGGTTGCATAGTTGTCCAAGGTCATCTGCCACACCTCTGCTGGGGCGGTGACCTTGCCAACTCATCAACCCCAAACCTCGGGAATTCCTCTCCAAAGGGCATACAGCTTGCATGCGCGCCAATGCAAGAGTGTACAGCCCGGACAAGAGATCACGACACCCTCATACCATGCTTGCCTGGCTGCCCTCTCTCCTTCATCTTCTCTTCTCTCTCACCAGTGGTACTGGCTGGGAGATACTGCAGAGCCGTCTCGAGACTGGGCAGCTGGCCAGGCTCCCCCCCTCCCTCGCCCTCCCCTACATGCAGTAGGGCCTACATGATCTGGCAGGTCTGCGACGCCCTTCTCCTGCAAGCACGGGTCCCGAGGGGCCAGCCACCGCGCACGCGCAGGCACACATGCGAAAAAAGAAGACCTGCCCCCCCACCCCCCTCATCCGCCTTGGGACATCTACCCGTTGCTTTTCCTTTGGCAGTGCAGTGGCCCGTATCCGGCGATGGGACCCAACCACACCTGGACGGTGGGAACGGAGCACCGGATACTGTCCCTGGACTGTGACCATCGACGTGGCAGTCGAGCGCACCCGCTTTTCCTTGACCGAGACCACCATCGCAGCCGGGCGTCGGGCGCGCTGGGGGGGGGGGGGGGGGGCAGCACCAGCGAACCCGACGACGAGCAAGAAGTTGTTGAGTTGTCGACATGCAACCTGCCGCTGTCCGATGCTCCTCGGCCTCGATGCGGTGGGCTGGTGCCGTTCTCCTTGCGATCAGGCCTACCGGCGAGGCACATTCGCGCGTACGTACGTCGTCAGAGTGCCTTGGTATCATTTGATGTCCTGCAGCATCGTGAAGAGGGGCCACGAGAGCCTCGCTCGAAGGATTCATGCAGACGTCTTGAGCCTTTGGGCATCGATACTGGTCATTCCACCGCGTCAAAGTCCTGGGTACATGGCATACTGTTTACTCCCTGTCACTTTCCTCATTTTGCTGCCAGTGAGATTAAAATGTCTTGTGCGGTAGACACGATGCCAACATCGCGAAGTCGTCGGCCACTGAATAGTGCCCGGCTCCCAAGACAAACTGTCTCACACCGAGATTGCAAGCTATTGTGTCCAAGCTCGCTCATCTTGTCTGCAATCTAAAGCATCAACCGCTTTCGGGATCGCTTCAACGTCTCGTGGACCACCACGGCCGACTACGTCACCGGTTGGCCGGGGAGTGCGGTTGAGCATCTGATTTTAAGCATAGTTGCTCAATCTGCAAACGGTATAGACGGCGACACGGTACAGAGAGTCTTCGTGCTTGTTGTCGAGCAGTCTACATTTCAGGCAGAATGGCAGTTGCCGAGTCTCCTCCCCAAAGGGATATATATGGCAGTCCGTCTTGCCGACCCGGCCTCCCGAATCCTGGCATCGGTCCTTTCCTAAATGAAAAATCAGGCACATGAGCAACCAGCTGGGCCGGACCGCCCTTGTGAACCCTGGACCGCCGCGGCCCTGGACCGGGTCGAGCGATGCGATGGGCCAGGGCGCGATCCGGTCGGGGTAAGGAGGTCTCTTCATATGGCTAAAAGAGGGCGCCAGCAAGGCCCGCACGTGGGAGACTGTGGGGTAGCTCGCTTCTCCGTGTGTCGGTATGTGAATATCAATATCTGCTATTACGATGCGGTAGCCATGGAGGTTATGTACGGCAGCCGACAACTCCCATGTTTGCCAACTTTACGCGTGACGACGGGCTGGTGTCTCTCGCCCGGCATGCTACCTATACGGATGATACTGAGAGCTGGATTGTCCCTGTTCGTTCAGCTGCAGACCAGAGATAAAATGGATAAAATGGAGCTAGCTGTGCCATTTGATAGTAAAACGATGTACAGAATATAGGTAATGTGTTTAAGAAGCGAGTTGAGCAAACAAGGTGTGGCGTCACTTGGTCACAATGAACTTCCATTCCTAAGATACCGTAGGTGGCGAGTTTAGTGGAGGCCGTCGCCGGAAGGGGCCGTGCTTTCCCTCTCCAGATGCCCCCACCTGCACCTGTTTTCAGCTAGTGAGGCATGAGGCGAGGATGATTCATACGCCATCATCGCCAACCTCACCTCAGAAGGTGAGTCATGCCGAGCTGAACTTCAAACTCCGGAGAGCACCGAAGTGGCTAACGTCTTGTCCGTAGAGCCGGGTGATATCTTGAGTCGTCTATCCCGGGCGATGCGACCTTGAGGTTCTCTATTTCAATTGCCAGGTTCAAAACGAGTATCAAATCGGAGCTCGGATCATTTCGTCTGTGTATCTGTATTTGTGTTGTTTGGAAGATTCGACGGCCGGAGCTCGCTCTATTTGGCCCTCTCCAACTTACCGTTATTGTCATCGAGTCCTTAGTGTCTCTCTCTCCTTCTCCTACTGTTCTCGAGAGGCGCGTGTTCTCTCTCCCCCGACAAGATTATGATCTCCACATCGAACCGGGGGGAGCTACCCGCTCCGTCCCGGAGACAGGCCGTGGCCGAGGCGGCCTCCTCCCGGGTGGTGCCGAAACCGGTCCCGCAAACCCAAAGCAAGGATGCGAGGACGTACCAGCTGGGCCAGATCCGGAAGCGCTTCTCGCCGCAGGAATCGACGCTTCCCAACGGGACGACGTCTCTCGTCTTCGGCCTCGTGCCGTCCGATCCGGACTTCCCATTCGAATTGAATCAGCTGGACTGCGAGCTGCAGGTCCCGCAGACTTACCCCAAGGCAGCTCCTCAGCTGCGTGTCAGGAATAACAACATCCCTCGGGGCTTCGGCATCAATGTCGAAAACGGCTGGGACAAGCTCGTCCAGGAGAAGAGGGGTGCCTCCCTGCTCGCCCTGACCAACGCCTTGGACAGGAACTTGGAAGCCTTTTTATCCGAGCAAAAGGCTGACACTGTCAAGTTGACAATATTCAAAGACACCCGGCACCTAGACCAGCTGGAAGAAACAGCATCAACCGTGCTGACCGCCCCTCCTGTCGCGCAGGCAGCGGCGGCACCGCGGAGGACCTACGTCCCGGAGGAGTCTTTTACGCGCGAGCAGATCGCAGAGGCAAAGGCAAGGCGTGCTCAGGAGGTGAGGCAGATCGAGTCGCGGATGGGCCGCGTTGCTCTCTACCAGAGGTCTAGTGATGGCATCATCTACACGCTCCCGCTGGAGCCCAAACGGCGGTCATCGCTACCCCCGGGCCTGCAGGCAGTCAAGTCGTTTCAGCTCATCGTGCCTCTGCTATATCCTCTGCAGGAGATCAGGATACTCCTGAACGATGTCGAGTCCGAGGATGCGGAGCTCGTTGAGGAGCTGTTCGCCAAGAAGGCCAACGAGCAAAAGCAGATGACGCTGATGAGCCATATCAACTACCTAGCTCAGAACCTGCACCTTCTGGCAAAGCAGGTGGATGAAGCCAGAGCAATCGCCGCGAACATACGGGCGACGGCACTGTCACAGGAGGCGAAGGAGCCTGTAAAGAGCGAGGAAGAGAGCAGCCATATCAAAGTCATCCCGCGGCCTCCTGAATGGGCTTACGGTGGAGACTTTGATGGGTCAAGTGGTGAAGATGAAGAGGACTACGATTCCGATGAGGACGGGGACGAGGAAGGAGGCGCCGCCGTAGGGGGCAGCGATGGACAAAGTGCTCTCGCTCAAGGGCCAGAGCGAGGAACAGCCCTATCGTTCCCGTCCATCGAGCTACACGGCATCGAACTTCTGCAGGTGTCGGTGCTCAGCATCAGCGTCAAGTGCCAGAGGTGCAAGACGGCCAACGAGGTTGGCGGCTTGAAGCCCAACGTCGAGAAATCCGAGAGCTGCAAGAAGTGTGCCACAGCGTTCACCGTCACGTTTCGGCCCGAGCTCGTGCATGCAAACTCGACCCGGGCCGGCTTCATTGATACTTCGGGTTGCACGGTGAACGACATGCTACCAAGGTACGGATCCCCCCCCAAAAAAAAAAGTGAAAAAAAAAAAAAACAAGTGAAAAGATTAAATGCACAAGTCACGAGAGAGATATATATACACATCTACGAGTATTACCACGCTGACATTATTTCCACAGCACCTTTGTCCCCACCTGCGGCAAGTGCTCGACGGCATCGCCGGGCCTAGTCTCGGTCCGCGGCGAGACCACGACCAACGTCTGCCGCGAGTGCCACGCCCGCTTCACCTTCAAGATCCCCGACGTGCGCTTCCTCGTCTACGCGCCGGGGTCGGGCGCCCTGCCGCCGCCGTCGAGCCCGCGCCGGCGCACCGAGAAGCTGGGCCTGCACGTGGGCGAGCCGCTGCCGGACCGGGGCGCCTGCGCGCACTACCGGCGCAGCTACCGGTGGTTCCGGTTCAGCTGCTGCAGCAAGGTGTACCCCTGCGACCGGTGCCACGACGCGGCCGAGGGCCACGTCGTCGAGTGGGCGAACCGCATGATCTGCGGGTGGTGCTCGCGGGAGCAGAACTACAGCGTCGAGAGCTGCTCGTTCTGCGGGCGCAGCGTCATCGGCAAGAGGGGCAAGGGGTACTGGGAGGGCGGCAAGGGCACGCGTGACCGGGTGCTCATGAGCAGGAAGGATAAGAGGAAGTACAGGCGCGTTGGGGGAGGAGGAGGAGGCGGGTGACGGCCGATGGTATGATGGTTGTGCGGACCCGACGGGCAAGAACGCTCCGTAGTAGAAGACTCAGATCGTCTGCATGTAGAGGTCAAATACCAGAGGTATCTGCCACTACCGGATTTCCCAAAGACGTCTACTCTATGTGAAGACTGAGAACCTTTTGACACTCGAACCCGTTTGAGGCTGCCTCTCGCCGATATCACAGCCGTCGCTGCAGTCACGATGGCCGGACCGAGCCGCTTGTCTATGGACCAATGTAGTTTCATTGGATGGCACCTGGACTGTTGGTGGATAAGTGATTTACTCTGTGTTTACACCATCATCCAGCTCGTTTGCCTCACTTTCTCTGTTGGTTAGAGGTGCACGCTCGGATATATCACACCCTCCCTCCCTCCCTTTTTTTTTCTCCACCATGCTTTTGCAACGCTGTGCGTAGCGGCTGCGACGCGGGAAGCGTTTGGGAGATTGGCACAATTCTGGACAGTGCGCACTTTGGATGAGGGTGTGATGTGCTGGAAAAAAAAGAGAGAGACGTGTAGTGTGTGTGTGTGAGTATGCGTGTGCGTGTAAGAGCCCTGCATGACAGGGCGTCTACGGCGCGGCTCCCATTTGCCCACTGCCGGTGCCATCACCGTTGTCACAAACGGGACGGCGGCCACCACTCCCCCCCCGTAAGATTACTTTGCTTCTTGAATACCTACCTAGCAAGAGAATGAGAGTCCCGGGAATGAAACAAGTTGCCAGCATTGCGTTTGCGCGTGCATGTCACCACCACAGCCGCCTTCCCTTTTACCAAACGGCTACCTACGCTACGCTACCAGGCCTCGGGTTCACGTGGGAAGTGAGGG